AACGACTTCTTGCTTTGTCCTAGTAGTTGCTACCTAGGTTTCTTTTGTCTTGTTCTCGAAGTGTGAAAGGTATAAGACCCCCAAGGGGGTTTGTCGACTTGATGTTTTTCGACGTACGTATCCTTTCCCCTCTAGCAAACCTATAGCTTACTACCTTCGTATCTTTTACCCGTTCACATCTATCGTCAACTATGCCTTCTCCTCCCCCTCCTCCTGCTCCTCCCGCTCCCGAAACCCCGACCAAGCGCAAGACTCGGTCTTCGAAGGACGACGATTCCGGGTCTCCGTCGAAGAAGGCAGGGAGAAAGCCCGCGACCGGCATCGAGCACGATGCAAAGTGGGGATACATCCGTGTCGACAATTGGACCGGGCCCGAGATCGCCGAGGTGTCCGCGATCCAAAAGAAGAAGGACAAGTTGAAAGGCTGGCTCCCGCAGCAGTTTGAGGCGGCTTGGAAGGGAGGGAAGGTGGACGAGTTCAACGGGATGTTGGTGAGTTGTGTTTTCGATCCTCCTTCGCATCCCCGCCACGGTCTCCTTCGCAATCTCCGTCGGGGTCTCCGGTTGAATCTCCTTCTTGCTCTCGCAGGCTCGTTACGCCGGTAACTGGCAGTGGTGCTGCCAACACTGTTACGACGACATCCCTCACAAGGATGTTACCCCCGACGACTATACCACCTGGGATCCTTACGAGTCCGTCTTCTTCGACCATGTTCGCTTCCAAGGGATGGCGCTTTGTCGCCACGTCGTTCCCCGTCCCGGTCAGAGTGGGAACCTCCAGAAGTCGTGCTGGTATTGTTCCGGCGGGAAAGGTGGGTGTACCCCCATCTCCCACAAGATCCAGGTCCTCTTCGACAGGGCCCAGCCCGTCGAGCACCGGATCTCCGCGGGATTGGAGGTGCAGAAGACCCACAAGATGGGCGCCAGGACCCGGGACGATCTTTACCGGGAGACGAGTAGGCTCTTCGAGCAAATCGTCAGTATCTTTCTCTTCAAACGGTCTCCTACTAACTCTCTCTCTGATACATTGCTGTGTGTTCGTTTTGTGTATATAGGTCGTTCCTTCCTTGAACCGCCACAGCGGTTTCTCCGTCGAGGCCGAGCGTGGTGCGCTCCGGAAGAAGATCGCCGCCGTTGTCATCGCCGGTGCGCAGGCGGAGAACTTCAGTCCCTTCGAGGCCGCCCGCAAGGAGATGAACGAGTGGAAGGGGGGTGTCTACGAGCCCTACCCCGAGCCCGAGGAGCTGGAGGACGACGGGATGGATCTCGACTCGGACGACGAGGTCACCATCGTAAGTAGTCTCCTTCGTGTTCTCTTTCGCACGCTGACTCGGGTTTCGTAGGCCAACAAGAAGAAAGTGGCCGAGGAAGAGGCCGAGAAGAAGAAGCTCGACGCGGAGCAGAGGCGTCTCGACGCCGTCGCCGCCCAAGAGGCCCTCGAGGCCGCGAGGAAGAGGATCTTGGAGCTCGAGGCCGCCGCCAACCCCCCCCCTCCCGCTCGCCCCGCTCCTCCCGTTCGCCCCGTCAACGATCCTCCTCCCGTTCGACCTCTTCCGACCGGATCTGGTGGGAACGGCGGCGGAAACGGCGGCGGGAACGGCGGCGGGAACGGCGGTGGGAACGGCGGTGGGAACTGATTCGGTTTTGACTTGTAATATCTCGTTTTGGTCGCCGTTCTGGGGTCGGCTCCCTTTTTTTATTTTATGCTATTTTCTCTTGCCATTCGCTTCTCCAGCAAAGTCTCCGAACGAGTCTCCGGATGTGTCCCCGAGCGAGTCTCCGAACGAGTCGTGGTACTTCATTGTTTTCGTAAGACAAACTTGTTTGTCGTTGGCTCGTTAAGTTCGTAAAAAAGGAATGGTGATAAACATCTTCGTCGGACCTGCCGACGAAGGTACAACAATGAGTAATGACAATCACGAAAACCCTAAGCACCCGGAGTCCATAGCAACGGCTCGTCCCCGTTCTGCTTAGCGAACTCCTCGTCCCAATACGCCTGGTGGTTCTGGGCGGGAGGTTGCATGTACGTCGCAGCCACCTGCATTCGACCAGCCTGTTGCCGAGCCTGCCACCAAGCAGGTGGAGACCTCTTGGCGTTGCTGCACTGGGCACTCCTGTGGCCGGGCTGCCAGCAGTTGTAGCAGGGTTTCCCGCCGGGCATCCTCGCAGCGTCCACCTCCATGGGCGTAGCACCCGACGTGGCGGCCACCGCAGGAGGGGCAACAGTGGTGTTAACCACAACAGGGTTTCGGGGAGCGACGTGATTACCTGCGTAACGATTCCCGCTCGTGTGGGCACGGTTACCCGAAGACGTGTGCCTACGGGCTTCCGCCTGGTCTTCGTACCGACGACATTCCATCTGGAACTCCGCCAGCGTCATATGCTCCTGGTTGGGCATAGGGATAATAGCGTCCTGAAAGGCCTGGTTCAGGTTGGCGCGGAAGAACGACCGTTTGCCGTACTCGTTGAGGTTTGGGAGGAGGGCGGCGAGGTCGTTGAACTCGGTGATGTACGTACTCAAGCTCTTGTTGCCCTGCTTCAGAGAGTAGTACTCCTTTTCCGTAGCAAGGATGTTCCTTCCCCCTCCGTACATCTCCACGAGCAACGCCTCGAACTCCCGCCAGGTGACCTGAGTTCGTCCCGACGAGTACTCCCTTGCCCATGCCTGGGCCTGCCCATCCATGTACGACTCCGCGTACATAATCTTGTAAAGGTCGGTGTACAACCCCGGCTTGACTTGGAACTCCCGGTTGCATTGGTCCAGGAATCCCCTAACCTTCTCCTTCTTGCTGCCATCGAACCTGTCCGGCGTACCGAACTTGAACAGCTTCGCTCTCGCTTCCTCCGTGGCCGTCGCCGATCGAGTGTCCCTCGACATCGCCAACTCCATCATCTGGCTATGCATGTTCGCCATCATGGAGAGCAGGGCGGAAACGTCCGGACTGGTAGGAGGCGCAGCGGCCGGAGCAGGGTTAGCTGCTGGGGGTGTTGACTGCATTTGTGGGGGAGTCTGCCCCATGTTGTTGGCCGGTGCGGCCTGCGTGGAAGCGGTAGGTACCCCCGCGGCACCTACCTCCGGTTGCTGGTGGGCAAAGACGCACTGGTCGTTCACCAGCGTCTCCCCAGTTGGGTTCCTCCACATGAACCTTCCTTGTCCATCCATCATCTGCATGCTCCCGTCTTCGCTCAAGACCGGGATCGCATCCGCAGGGATGGGGTGGACAGCCCTATCCGGTCCGTAACACTGCGTGAACGTATTCATCGTATACGGGGTCTCCTAGTCGGGGTGTTCGGGTGATCCGTTATTCTATAAGGTTTGCCAGCAAACCTGAATAGTAACACACGGGACTAGAAGGTACGGGTAGGGTAATGAATGTAATAACGGATGTCTAACTACTACAAGGTGCTAGTTAGACATCTTCGAACACATCTCCTAATAGGTCTCCGAGAGGGTCTCCGAGAGGGTCTCCGAACGGACCTCCGTACGAGGTGAAAACCTACATCCCGCGCGTGTGCGACATGCGTACCGCGGATGCCTATAATACGTGACGCGTCGGACGCGCCGTACACGACTCCCGTATGCGACTCCCGTCGGGGGTACTTTTCGGTATTGTTATGTTGATGTAGAACTAGTACCCTTGTAATAGCTCTACATCCGTTATTACATTCTAGATATCTACCCATACCTTGCCTCATTCCTGCGTCCCGTCAGCCTGTCCAGGGGGAACCCCGCCGGGGGTCGCTCCCGGGCCTTACAGCCAGGATGTGAGCGTTCCGGTCGGATCTGGAGCAAAGATCTCGAGGCGAGCGCTCTACCGAGGCCTGGTGGTGCTCTATACAGTATGTCCCATCAGTACACCAAGGTAGGGGATGTCTGAGCATGTTTTCTGAGCCGGCCGAAATTGGCCTGCCGGGGTGTTGGGGGAGCGATCGTCGAGGGGGGCGATGTTCACGTGAAAACTGACGGTGGGATTCCAACGAGTCATGTCTCAGGACTTTCTGGATCACCAAGAAGGAAAGCACGTGAAGAGCGGACCAAGAAAGCCGTCCTGGGTGGCGAGATAATTCAGAAAAGGCCGAAAAAGACGTGATTCGGGTGACAGGGTTGTCTGGCGTGTGAGGCCTGAACGGCGCGGTGAAAGTGTGTTGGGATTCGCGGTGTGGGTCCTCATGAGTCTCAAGATGCCCAGCGCGATGAGCGGACCAAGTCCCCGGAGGATCTGGAGGGCTCTCCCTGAGCGGACACGCGGGCCAGGATGTGAGCGTTCCGGTCGGATCTGGAGCAAAGATCTCGAGGCGAGCGCTCTACCGAGGCCTGGTGGTGCTCTATACAGTATGTCCCATCAGTACACCAAGGTAGGGGATGTCTGAGCATGTTTTCTGAGCCGGCCGAAATTGGCCTGCCGGGGTGTTGGGGGAGCGATCGTCGAGGGGGGCGATGTTCACGTGAAAACTGACGGTGGGATTCCGAAGAGTCATGTCTCAGGACTTTCTGGATCACCAAGAAGGAAAGCACGTGAAGAGCGGACCAAGAAAGCCGTCCTGGGTGGCGAGATAATTCAGAAAAGGCCGAAAAAGACGCGATTCGGGTGACAGGGTTGTCTGGCGTGTGAGGCCTGAACGGCGCGGTGAAAGTGTGTTGGGATTCGCGGTGTGGGTCCTCATGAGTCTCAAGATGCCCAGCGCGATGAGCGGACCAAGTCCCCGGAGGATCTGGAGGGCTCTCCCTGAGCGGTCTCGAGGCGAGGGACTTTCTGGATCACCTGGGGCAGTTTCCTATCGCTATCAAAGTCGTGGAACGACGGCCAGAGAACGCTTCCAGCCTGATCGACCCTGGTCAGCCCCTTCGTAGTGTAGTAAGTTCACCGACTCGAGACGCCCGCTACCTTGACACAGGCCAACCCGAACATGCGTTCCCTACAGCAAGCACTTTAAAATTCAGGCAGGATTCGCCACGTCAACCCCCTTCGATCAGTATTCCGCAATAACGATGACCCTGGACCAGCGCGGCGGCGGAACAGACACGCTTTTCGGCAGGCAGCAAGAATGTTCGTCCAGTACCTGTGGTCAAAGTGACTTTCCTACATCTATATGAGATACAGCGCGCGCGAGGCCTCCCTGGGTCACCGCCCCTCTCGCTCCACAGCTCTATACAAGCTTGTCGAGCATGGGGTAGATCGCTTCATAAACAGTAAACACCAGCCCTCCGCTCATCTAGCACACATTGCGATCCAAATGACACATCAGTACGCAATGTGCGAACAGTCCCTGGAACAAAAAGGTGCCTACCGATAACCGGGCCAACCTCGGTGTGGTCCCCTTCCAGAACCGCCTGATACCTTCCTCGGTGAAGATACGGTAAGCGCAGTGGGCGGAATTGCGGTACTGCGTTCGCGCTTCTAAGGATTGCATCCTGGTCTTGATCACGCTACGACGTACAAGGAGCAAGTGTGCGGTCAGTACTGTGAGGGAGGACGTCCTCAGTTGCTTAATAACTTACTCTAGAGGCATGGTAGTATCTGTGTATGACGAAATACAAATACAAAGCTTCAGCTTCTGGCATCATCCGTGCCAAACGGATTTGGACTTACAGACGGTGATGATCCCGGCGATTGCCCCGATCCCGAACGTGACCACGCTAGGTAATTGTTGGCCCGGCCTAGCGGACCCTTGTACCGACTGCTTTAGGGTCGAATAAGCTGAAAATCTTACTGCCGAATTGGCTCCTTGTCTCATGGCCTGATACGACCGGTGACAGCATTTGCAAGGCAATATGAGATTCGATTACGAGCGGAAGCTCAACAGATGCAGTAGCAGGCAAAGACGTACCACTGGCAAGAGACCCCGATAGATCCCCCCGATTCCCTCGTCCCGGATGATCTGCGCCGAGCCGTGCAAGAGACCTTTATACCGAGGTTGGGGCCGTCTCGAATCCTCGATCAGCTTGGTTCTGGCACATATCAGAATATATGATGACGATGTTAATGATACCAAATAGATCGAGCAGATGCAAGGTCAGTCTTCGGTAGCGACGAGAGAATGAGGTGCAACTGACTTGATAGTTTCTGAGGGTGTAACGGCAAAGACGGCTTCCGTAAGACCTGCTCCGAGACCAGCTGTATGAAGCGAGAAATGAAAGATGTATAGGTATCATGCCGAAGCGACTCTAATTAAACCATCGGCCTGGTCTTACCTAATAAGCTCCGGGGTGCGCTCAGCTTGCCCTGCAATCATAGCTCGATGCACGATCAGCCTAATATTGACACCGCCTCACGCCCGCCGCAACTCACGTTCTCATCCCTGAGCAACGATTTGTACTGGTCGTAACTCAAGAACCTGACTCCTGCCTTGACAGCATTCCCTACAACGAGCGCGCTGCATCCTGCATAGATCCCCGTGATCCCCTTCGAAGCGATCGTCTCTCGCAAGATCGAGATGGGACCCTGTAGCGTAGATGGCGTGGTCACGGTCAGAACCCGTAAGACCACGTCAAGAACAGCGCATGTACACACCTTGCTTATCCCCTTTCCTGCAGCAAACTGCAATTGCGTCTTTGCGTATTCGGTAGGGTAGGTGACAAACCCTTCGATGGCTCCCGCGGTAGTACCGGCGAGGAGCGATGCCAGGGGTTTCTCTGACGACGACGTGCTCGCCTTGGGCGCCGTTGGTGGAGGGACCGGAGGTTGAGGAGCTGATGCTATGGTAGATGACATGGTTGTGTGTGTGATTCAGATTTCGAACGGACTCAATAACTGGGAACCTGCCTTTGAGATTCGACACGACTTTCATCCCAGGATTCGACATGTCGACTTCGGGTCAGATCAAGAAACAAGCCTGCCGCTAATCTTTGGCGCGAAATGCGTCTGAACTTTAGCGATTTTCGTGCGGGCCGCGTCCGGTTTTTAGCTATTTTGGCTGACCGGACTCGAGGCCGATTCATCATCACCCTCGCTTGCACTTGATGCAATCCGTTGACCTCGCCGGGATATCAGCTTCATATCGATACATCGCTGCGTCATAAACCCCGGAGTACCAAACCTTCAAATACGCCATACCAAAGCAGAGAAGTGAACCTCTGCCTGAACCCAAAACGAGCTAGAGACGAGCGACAATGTCCGATGACGAAGACTGGGCGATGGGCGGGGTAAGCACATTCCAATCCATTGAGCCTGACCCGCTTCTCCTTTCTTATGAACTACTGCCCAATCATCCCCATATATCAAATGAGCTAGGGTGATGACGAGGATTACGATTTCGATTACGAGTCCGGTGATGATGATGGCGAGGATAACCAGATGACTGAGGCCGATCCCGAGAACAACTATTATCTCGCCAAAGGTTCGTTCGTCTCGGCCATCCTCCCAGATTCATCGGAGTCGAAAACGATCGAGGCTCTGTAACATGGATCTGATTACTTGTTATGATATATAGGGGTCAAAGAAGACGACCCAGAGGAAGCACTCAAGAAGTTCAGAGAGATTGTCACTGCTGACGCTGCAGAGCCTAGCAAATGGTCAGTCCTTAGCACCACCTTCGTTTCCGGCCTTTCTTCGTTTCGCACACATCGTGTATCAGATCCTCATGACTAATAAGACTCATTCTCGCCTTTCACTCGTCATACAGGGGGTTCAAAGCTCTGAAGCAATCGACCAAAATCTTGTTCCTCGAACTTCATCGACCGGAAGAGGCTCTCAAGACTTATGAGGAATTGTTACCTTACACCAAGGTGAGTCTTAAACATGCCATTTCATCTGGTCTTCGTGAACCCGAATTGAATCCGGTATTGACAAGGCTGATTGCGCATGTTATAGAGCACTGTTACGAAGAACATTTCTGAAAAGTCGATCAATAACATCTTGGAATACGTTGCTGGAGAAGGCAAAGTAAGCCCATTGACACCTGTATCTCGAATGAGGATGACCGCGCTGATATCTACGTTGTTCGGATGTAAAGCATGGGAAGAAGGCGCCCCAGGTCAGCTTGGAGACATTGGAGGCGTTCTATCAATCTACCTTGGCGGCTCTTAGGGAGGCGAACAACGAGGTCCGTTTCTTTGGTTCGCGACAACCAATGTCGTCCGTGTCTATCGTGAATCTGATGCGATGGCTGGACTGTCGGGTCTGCGCGTATACAGAGATTATCCGTAAAGGCCAACCTGAAGCTGGCGAGAGTATACTTAGAGAGGCAGGAATGGACGAAACTCAAATCGGTCAGTAAGAACTATACATCTTCATCCCACTTTTGAAAGCTTGAACTCATCGTCTTGATATGGTGTTCCATTGATCAGTTGCTGAAAGATCTTCACGAGGCTTGCGCGGTGGAAAGTACGGGATCGGGGACGTCGGCTGAAGATCAGACCAAGGCTTCCATGCGTAAGTAGTCGAAACGGCATGGCGATTCAGTTCTGGTGTGAAATCTTGCTAATACGGCGGGACTAGTGTTGGAACTCTACGCGACCGAGATCCAAATGTACAGCGAACTGAAAGACAGCAAGAAGATGAAGGTATGTTCCTTCGTGCACGACAGGTAGAATACCAAGTTCTTGAAGGGCTGACGGTTTGTGGCACAGGCGGTCTATGAGGCTACATCCAAGGTTAAATTGGCCATCGCTCCCCCTAGGATCATGGGCGTCATCAAGGAATGTGGAGGCAAGATGTGGATGAGCGAACGTCAGTGGCCCCGGATCTCTCATCTATCGCAAGAAGACTGTTAAGACCATTCTCCACACCCCTTGACGTTTCACAGGAAACTGGCAAATGGCATATCAAGACTTTTACGAATCGTTCAAGCAGTTCGACGAGTCGGGTTCGACGCAGAGGATCCAGGTCTTGAAGTACCTAGTCTTGGCGACCATGTTGATGGGCAGTGACATTAATCCGTTCGAAGCGCAAGAGACCAAGCCGTGAGTCGGTAGGGGGAACGCCGTTGAGATTCGGTGGCTAAGGTAATCAACGCTCGATGTACGATGGCAGATATCGGAATCATCCTGAAATCGCCGCGATGACGGGTTTGGTGGCAGCGTACGAGAGGCGAGATGTGCACGAGGCAGAGCAGATCCTGAAAAGTGAGCTCGAGCCGGGTCTCTGGTCGAGATCGCTGATACTCAACGCATACGCCTCCTTGACAGAAAATCGAAGTACTATCCTACAAGACAGCTTCATCCGAGCGTATATCGACGACGTACTTCGGTCGCTGAGGACTCAGTACCTTGTGGATCTCATCAAGCCGTATACGCGAATAGAGCTTGGCTTTCTGGCCAAGGTAAGTCTTGGCAGAGGTATCGCTTCCACAGCATGTTGATCGCGATTCTTTTCGACAGCAACTCAACATCGAAAAGCAGGACGTCGAAGGGATCCTGATCGAATTGATCCTCGATGGCAAGGTCAAGGGAAAGATCGATCAGCAGAATGGCAGGGTCGAGCTCGAACGATTGTCAGTAGCATCCCCTCGAATTATCCACTCGAAACGCACAAGCTGATTCATGAACCCCCGTTGCGCTCGGAACCAGCCAAAATGCCACGCAGGAGCGATACAATACCCTCAACGTCTGGTCGGGCCATCTCGCCGGTATCTCGCGTAGTGTCACGAACAAGTCCGGGTCCCGCTTTGGCGGTGGTGAAGCGGACCTCCAGGCTGTCGACCTTACCATGATGGGTTGAAACCCGGCTTTGGGTCTTTATACGTTCTCCCTTTCGTGCTTTCCGCTCACGCTTACGCTTCTTAACGACACTTGCCCACACCTCGGACGGCTGCTGTGAGGTTGTAACCAGAATTCATCTCGGCTTGATTCCATTTATGAATTTATGACGATATTCCACAGCTCGGATGAGAACAAGCGAGGTCGGGGAAGCAAGTCACGATCGCAGTGGAAGTCACAGAAAAGTCGAGGTCTCGTAGCTTGTAGTCTGGATGTCGTTGTTGCGTTGTTGTCGGTGTCGGTTCCCTTCAGCTTTGGGACGTCTAGCGCGCGGAAGCGTAAGCCCCAACCATACGAATCATGAAACGAGGAATGAGAGGTTCACGGGAGCTTCAGGATAGGAACAGAGATTCGCGACAGCAGGCAAGTTCTACCCCACCGAAATTTCAAGTGCCCATGAACTTCTGTCCGAAACGATCTAGACAAACGATTTAGGAGGTCAAACCGGATCTGTCGCTTGTTGCTTGTCGCTCGATGATCCAGTCGAACGAAGCGCGGGCGCGTTTGATGGAAACGATCGGCGATCGGCGACAACAAGCGAATGGTCGTCGTTGATCGCTTGAACGCTCGGACCCTCTCGATTCCCCCTTTGATCACTTGATCCACCCCGATTGTATCACTCGGCTCGTCATCATCAAACGTGGGCCAGCCATCGTACGATCGTATGACAACGTTATTGTTGACGTAATCCTCGCGTCGTCACCGTACGAATACTCGAATACCTCTACGACCTTCTCGCTTCTCGCTTCTCCGTGGGTAAACGTCTCGATCAACACTCATCACCGCCACTACGCTCGAGACTACTAGACTACCTAACCGCCATCTACCATCTATACATCTATACATCTACCAGCACTCTACCCGCTCATCTCGTTTCGAGACCGCTACCCTCGATCACTCATCACTCACAACATCTCATCTCGACATTCAACAAAGATGCCAGCCAATCTACCCTTCCCTCTGGAGTGTGGAACCATCCTCCACTTTCGTTCGTTTGGCTTAAAGGTCAACAACTACACACCTCCATCTCAGAGATATTGGAGGATTGATAAAGAACTTGGAAGGGGGAACCTACCTGTATACAGAGCGACCCCCCTACGGCTGGAGTCGGAGACCGAATCAGACCTGGAGGTCGATCCCGACGAAGAGCTGTCAGAGGGGGACTTGGACTTTCGAAAGCGGAAGCGTACGGAAACATCTGAGAGTGAGAAAGCGGCAGAACTCCTGGCCATCATAAAGGCACCCACAACGGTTCGCACCACAACGGTTCGCAATGCTCGTGGCCGGTTCACAAAGAAGGCCAAGGGCAACTCCGAAGCATCGGACAAGACAGTCAAGGCGTCTACTGTTACTGCCACTGAGACCCTGGGCAACACCGTCGTGGAAGCCCCGGTCAACACCGTCGTCGAAACCGCGGTCAACGCCGTCGTCGAAACCTCGGTGAATACCGTCGTCGAGACCCCGGTCACTACCGCCAACCCCCTCCCTTTCGTCGAAGCTCTCACTATCGCCGCCGATGCTCCAAGGACCGGGATCGAGGTCGAACCGACTCGCCCATCCTTCTTCAAGAGTAGAGGTGATGCTCGGGCCATCAAGGTCAAATATCTCAAAGCGGAAACGTACCACCACAGCCAAGGGCTCGGACAGCTGGGAGAGGAGTTTGATAAAGGGTTGAGCCTAGCGGCTGTAGCAGAGTCGGTAGTCTCACCGATGATGGCAGGATGGGTACAGGTGAGTCCTCACTCAGACGAAATGCCCGGCAAGCGTAATTCAACGAGCAATGCGACTCATTTGCCCGCTCACTTCATTGCGTAGATCCTGCTTCCTGGCGACACGATGTGGTACACTGGACTCTTCTCCGCCCTCATGATGGTAAGTCGTTCGTCGATCGGGATCTCAGATACGTCTCGGGCGTTTATCTTGGTCACAACCCGTCGCTGCATAATCTTGGACTTTGCTACCCTCTACTCGCTACCGCTCCGACCGTCGACCTCTCTCCGCATCGTCGCATTCGGCTTCGCTCTCGCCGCTATATCTTTGACCTCAACGCCCTCATCGCAGCCGGTCTACGAGGAGTTTCAGACGGTACTAGGAAGAGCTGCGGATGGTGAGTTTTGCGTCGAGGCCAGAAGCTAGATTCGGACTTTGATCTCTGTACATAGACGAGGTGCTCCCATTGTTTCTTCAGCTTTTCAACTCTCTCAGGCTCTTCCACCGAGCAGGATATGTCCACGGTGACTTGAAGTGGGAGAACATCCTCGCTAGGCGGACGACGATCGGTTTCGATGTGGTACTGGCGGATTTTGAGGGTGAGTCGTCTCGGTTCGATTGCGCTCTTCGCATCGAGGTAGCTGATCGTGCTCGCGCGTATCAGGCTCCCTTCGAATCGGTCAGCTCCTGGATGAGGAATTTGTAGCAACATGGCAATACATGCCTATAAGTATTGTTGCTCACTTCCTCATTGAAAGGTCTAATGTTCCAGATGTTATAGAGACACTGGAAGCAGGAGCAGCCAAGGTGGTTGACATTGGTTTAGACTTCTGGGCCTTAGGGATCTTGATGCTGGAACATTTTGCACCAAGATTCATGAAAGGGTATGAAGTGGAAGCTCTGGTAGAACAGGTGAGCTTCTCCGTGCGCGCACGATCTCCGTGCGGCTGCTCGTGCGCGCCCACGCCTCCGGACTCATCTCACGGGTTCGTTACGAACAGGCCCAAGAGTTGGACAAGCAACATACGCCGGCTCCTTGTATACAACACCTCGATCAGCTTAGACGACTGTTCGTCAGTGTGTACGACACTCGCGCGTATGAGACAGAACTACCAGCAGAAGAGACACCCGGCAACAAGCTCCTAAAACAGGTCCTCAGGTTTTGCCTTCAGCGTCCATCGAATGTTGGTCTGCACTCTGCCAACGAGAGGACCCAGGAGGAGATCGACGACCTCGTCGACACGTTCGTCAGGGCTTATCCTCTGCTGCCCATCGATGAACTCGACGACTACGGCAACACCGAGGACGAGAAAGAGGCTGAAGCCGACGAGCACGAGGACGAAGTCGACGAGTTAGCGTCTTCGGCCTCGGCAGCTTCTTCTGGGTGTTCCGTCGACAGTCTCAGACACCCAGTACGACTACCCGGAAACTGTGAAATCGTTCAATATGGAACAACATGGAGTGAGTTTGAAGTTGTGGCAATTAAAGAACCCAGACTTGCTAAATGCTGAACGGTTAATTGGATCAGCTATGAAAGTAACCGGCACAGTTGTGGCTACTGAGGACCAGACTCAAACCTTTGAGTTATCTTCAACCAAACATGCGGTCGGCTACCCCAAACTGCAGCCTCGGTACTACTGCGGCAGCAAGGATTGCGCATACTCTGTTGTCAAGTGGGACATCATGGTTGAGCACATAAAAAAGGCACACTCAGCCGGGTGTCAACAATTGAAACCAACAGACTGATGAACCCGTCGTGAAGAGGGAGTTGGATTCAGGAGCACCCGCCTGATCGGTTTCGAGGTCGCAGTGCATAGAGCTATTTCTTTCGTCATGTTTACGAGAATCTCATACGTCGGGTATACAATCCACTACTTCAACTTGTGTCGCTCTACACATATATATACATACGAGCCATCTTCAAAAGAAGTCGCAATCAGTCGAGCGTTACTCCCATGTTCGGCCGTCGGGATCCAACATTTCGTCCCTGGGTTGATCGTACGTCACCAATCTGACCGCTCCGTACGCATGATCGAATCCACCAACGGCCAGTACCAGTTCAGTCTAGCAAGTAGCGGATTCATAGGACGCAAGTAGATTAGCACCACAATCAACCTCCGAAAATCGAAACGGCACATACCGGATGAAAGGCCAGGGCATTCATTCCCGCTCCCCATCGTCTCTTTGACTGGGTCTGAGACGCCCTGTTCTGGCGCTTCTCGTTTTCATAAACGTCACCTGGAAGGCCGGACACGCTGGGTGTCGACGGTGCGGAGACGTGGCCCCCATCTCCCCGTATCATCACTGAAGACAGCAAGCTTGGCTGCGGCCCATCGGCTTCTGTATCCGGCCCGTTGATGTAGGCTGACGCCTGAGACTGCTTCTCGCTCCAATTCGATGGCAGACCGCTGTACTTTTCCGCACGGCTGCTAGCTCGGCCAGAGTATTGTGAAGACCTTCCACCGGCGTCGAACCCATAAGATGTGCTGTCGTAATCGCGAGATAGATCATCGTCCATTCGGTAGATGTTCAACCGCTGACCCCGTCTAACGCCGTTCTGAGGTCCCCCGTGACCGGCACGACCGCCGTCATTGTAGGAAGACGAGGCGTATGGAGCTGATGTCGCGGCAAAGACAGGGCAATGAGAATGAATCGCCATCGATGACAGACCGTTAGCAAAGGCATTGGTGGAGGAGATGGGAATATCCGACTGTCTGATATCCCAGATCTTGATATCCCCGTTCATGCTGTAGCGGATTCAGGATCGATGAGTTTGATATGAACGGGAATCATTTCGCTACGTGCTCACCTGGCGGAAATCAGATCTCGTCCATCTCCCTGGAGAACTCCAACCGTCTTGATCCATGTGTGATGCTGACGAAGTACCTTGACAACTCCCTTCTCTTCCCCCATACGCTTGTCGAACAGTCTCACCACACCGTCACCGAAACCCGCCGCAAACATGTCTCCACCGAGTTGGTCAGAGGCGATGGCGGTGACGGGACTGCCTGCTTGGGTCGGAAAGTCGAGGAGAAGGGATTCTATGCCAGCATCCCAAATCCGCACGAACTTGCTATCTCCCGCAACGAGCAGATGCCCTGTTCGCTGTTCCCATGACGTAACCACCCCGCTCCTTCGCGTTACGGGATGCTTCTCAGCAAGGCCATGGAAGGCCGACGTCAATTTGACCGTGTCGGCCGAATCGTAATCTCGATAGATCCGTATGCTTCCGTCGGTAGATGCTGTCAACAGCAGCGACGCCGCTGTCTCGTTGACATGATGCATACTCGAGACGCTACTTCCCCTGGCGTTTCCCAGAGAGAACTTTGACAACCGTTGTTTCTCTTTCCAGTCCCAAATGCAAATGTTGTCCGCGTCGTCGGAAACGGCTAATTGCGGTTCGAACGAGTGGAATTCGACTATGCATGGCCATGCTTCGTTGTTCAGTTTCCCACAATCCCTCGTCCACTTTGATTGCGAAGCCACCTCATCTGCTGCCCGACTGTATTCAATGATGCGATGATTCCGTTGCTGTCTCCAATTCTGTTCATTGAACTCTTTGCTTCCTGGCTCTTCGGCAATCCGGATGCGCATTTGAGGTTCTTTGAAGTATTGCATGCTGTAGTCGTAGAAGTCGCTCCGAAGGGGCAGCACATCGTCTTTGACATGGCTGGCTACCATCCCCAAGCCGAGCTCACCCGGTTGTGGCATCCCTCCATCAGCATAGCGACTGTCAGCCGGGTTGCTTCCCGCTTCACTTCGTGCCATGCGTCTCATGTTCAACCGCTCCATGTCCTCCTCGGTCAATGCCTGAATCACCTGAGCTGCGGAGTACTTTTTGGGTTTGTTCCTATCGTTTTCAACGCTACTGAACCCAAAGTCGCCTCGCGAGTGGGCCTGCATCATGGAGGTCATTGAAGCGGACCGCGAAACCTTGTCGGACGTTCTGGAGGAAGCTATACTCGCCTCTGTGTTAGTCCGGGCCATGGGATACGGTGGAACGTATGGCTGGATATGAAGATTGGACTGTGTAGGGGTTCGACTGGGTTTGGGCGAGGCTTCCTGTGGTGGCGGAGTTTCCGGCTCAGGTTGATGATGTGTAGCATAGCCGGTCATCGAGGCGAGGCTCTTCAAAGCATTGGCGATCGAGCTGCTACGTTTCAAAGTCGCTGTCATCCTGGAAGTCGGGTTGGAGCTCACTTCTGGCCTTGATTGCGGTTGAGACTCTGCTGGGGTGGACGCGCCAGTTTGCGAAATGGAGGGACTCGCAAGGCTAGGCTGAGCCGCGTCGGCTTGCGATCCAAGACGCTTTGTACGCTCTTCATAGCCCTTAATCTTCAATGTTGATCCTGTAGCTCGTGTGAATGCCGAGTCCATGAGCAAGGCCGTGAGGTAGTCTGTCACTGTGCACGCGAGCGATGCCACTTCGGGATGTGGGTCCACAGAAAGGTCGAGTAATGTCGATAGCATTAGCTTGAAAACGAACAGGGTCCTCATGTTCTCCTCATGTTCCTCCTTGGCTCTATCGTGATCGTCGTACTGCTCCTTGATGCGATTTCCCCATTCGTGGAGAGCCTGGGTGACGAGATCTTCACCGTCATCTCCGGCATTATCGTCGCCCATATCTCTCCTCGCTTTGCGTTCCTCGAGTTCGTGGTAGGTCCATGCCGCCGCAACGAACCAACCTCGCCATTCCCTCGCGATACAGCTCAGGACCACGACCAGCTCTTTCCGGACGATGGGACTGGCGTCCTCCTTGGCTTGGAGTACACAAGCTTGGGCGACTCCGGCCTCGAGTTGAAACTGATGACGCTCCGTCATCCCAATCTGAGCGCCAGTTCCGGCTCCACCCTTTGCGGTGCCCTCGTTCGGACCTGTTCCGGCGGGCATACCAGTGGCACCGAGAAAAGTCCCGAGCGCGTACATCGCGGCAGCACGGACTTCGGTAGCATTGTCCTTGAGCATGAAGATCAGTTGATCCTGGTATCCCTCGCGGATAGCGACCATCTTCGCCTCGTCGTTTCCGCCCGCCCACATCTGAGCGATGCACAAAGCGCTCCACTGTTTGAGCAGCCAATCGTGCTCTTGCAACCTAATGAAACAGCTTCTAAATACGTCGAGGGTCATGCAGGCCATCTGACCCTGCTTGAATCCCCGACAAACCATACTGAGGATGAATGCGCACATAGCCCGATGCTCGCTAGCATTTGGGATGAGGAGGGGAGCCGTCTGAGGCGATGGCGGAGCGAGGACCTTGGCGAAATAACCGAACCCGTTATCCTTGAGCAGATCGACCTGGCAAGAACGATCGTGTGCCAGGATCCTGCCCCAGATAAAGATGAGAACCGGTTTCAAGTCGACAGCGGGCGATTGTAGCAGCTTCTGGACGTAGGGAAAGATCCCGATCGAAAGCGCGAGTCGCACTGCCCACGGTCCAAGGTCGACGAACTTGGACAGTAGGATCAACGCTCGCAGTCGATGAGCCTGTGACAAGAGTACCTGTAGCACGATCGGGAGTTGGTCTGGCGGTTTGCGAGCGAGGTGGGGGGTCTTGGGTCTTAGCGAGAGGTGGTTTGAGACGGATCCATCGTGCTGCAGCCAGACCTCGAAAGCGGTCAGGTGTTCGGTGAAAAAGCGGGAAGGCTGGTACTCGTATGTCGGAGGAGCGTTCGGGTTGTCCTTGCTCTTGGCCTCGGCTTCGAGCAGAGCAGGTAGCTGATTTAGACAGGCGTCAACCGCGAGATCCCACGAGTGCCATAGGGGATGATTGTGGGTTGCTGGCAGCGCTGGGTAAGACATCGGGGTGCAATTGTACGCCCTCATGATCCTCTCTGCCAAGAGATAATTGCGGAACAAGGCGGCGACCAGCAAGTCTTGCCTGAACAACCTCTTGAAAATGTCGTGAGGAAAGACCAACCAGGCGATCGTATCCGTGACGGCGGTGAAGATCCAATTGAGCTCTCCCAGCGGCGTCCGACGGTCCTTGAGGTCACCGGGAATCTTCATGACCAGATCGACTGTGATCTTGGCCTTGGGATCGCTCGGGTCGACGTTCATGCGCAAAGGATCTTGCAGGACGAAAAACCTGAGCGCGATCTCGATCGGCGAGGTCAAGCAGCACGTGAACAGGTCCGCAGGGAGTTCTGGGGACATGGGCAACGTCTGATCGGCCTGACACGCTGCCAGGTGGATGCAATCGAGGAACGGCGTATAGGTCCCATCGACCGGAGAGTTGGGTTCATCCGGATTGGGAGGGGTCGGCTGTCGAGATTGTCCCCCAGAAGCGGCCGCGTCGGCGTCCCGCCTCTCTGCCCACCTGTTGAAGTTGCTGATAATGTTGCCCGCCGCCGAACAGTCCCAAACGAAGATGCATGGACTATATGAAGAAACAAGAGCGTTTGAGATTCGGACGTCCGACTCTTGCATTTTGTCTGCAGACTCACCTTCCCAACCAGCTCTGCAGGTCAAACAAGCTAACCGGGATATACTGTGTCAGATCTAGGTACCGCCGTCATGCACACCCGAGTCAGCCGAAAGGACCGTGGTTTGGTACATCAAGGTACCTTCTCCTTGTGTGCTGGACTGACTCTTGTTGAACACCCAAATCTCCCCGCTCGCTGTTGGTTTCGGTACTCCATGCCCGTTGTAATACATCAAGATCCGCTCGTCTTTGGCTTGTCTACGAAGGTTGACGCAGAACTTCTTGGTCTCTTCGACGGATGGGTCCAGGTACTGGCGCATTACAGGAACAACAGGAATGTGAGCGATCGAAGATATGGACGACGTTGCAATGAGTTGGAAGAAGTCTTACCTGCTTGTACCTGACTTTCGGACTGAGCGTCTCGAACTGTTGTTGGATATCTACCCCACAATCACACCCGCCGGAAGCACATGATCAGCCGACCCGTTTCCTCAGCTCGCCACGTCCTGCGAGAACCGTTCCGACCCACTCCGACCGATCCCTTCCAACGCCTTGTTCGGGGGCAAGCTCTCTGGATCCACCCAGCATTCCAGCTTGGCGCACGGGGTGGTCTTGACCACGTCTGGCGGATCTATACCGAGGTTGAGGCAGAGTACGAGTGCGGCGGAAAACGTCTTGAGACGGGAACGGAGACGCCATGGTGGGGCTGTCGTGCAGTACCAATGAGGACGAACCACGATCAGTAAACAGGCTTGATTGGCTTGATTGAAATTGGGAGTGGAAGAAGTGCGGAGACATACCATGCTGTTCTTCCTCTGACAAGGCCGCCGGATTCCCACTCGTCAAATGTCTCGTGTTCACCCAGAAATGTTGCCCTTCCTCGTTCTCCAATCCGTCCAGCTCGTCTTGTCCGTCCAGCAAGCCCGAGTGAGATCCCCGGAGACCGTACGCCCCCGGATCTCCGTCCGAGCTGTCATCATCATCGTCCGTCGTCGACCCGTTCCCCCGGACGTTATTATAGCTCTGACTGTGTTGATGATGTCTGGGAAGCGTGGCGATCGTCCCGAAAGCCGATTTCTGAGAAGGAGCTCGAGAGTGCGTTCGGGTGTAGGTGTCGCGTGTGGCCGCGTTGGTCGTGGTCCCAGAGAGTGCTTGGGCGGTGGACGATTCGTCTCGAGAGTAGTGGAGGGTCGAGCTAGGAGCGACCTGAGGATTGGTGGCCGCCATGTCGAGCGAGTAGTAGCATGTGCTAGTTTACTGGGGGGGGATGCACCGTTTCAAGAATGTACTGGGACCAGGTCGCTATGGTCGCTCCTTTGAAACGGATATGGCCGCGTTGGAGGTCCCGTTTTTCCGCGTATCGTCAGGTTGGGAGAATGGGTTCTCAGCACATCCTGAGGGTCGGCTGTTCGGCAGGTCTGGAGTTTCAAGAGGTGTATGTTCAGGTCGTGGTGGTTGTTGTCAGAGGATTGTTGGGTGTGGTGCGTGTGGGTTGGTTCACCCTCGAAGGCTTGGATTGCTTTGGATGACGACAGCTGTAAGGTCAGGGTAGAGACTAGGGGATCTAGGGTGATCGACGAGTCCAAGCTCAGGAAGAGAGTTGTTGAGAAGGGCATATTCGTAGAAATGTCCGGGGGGAAGACACTGACCTCGCTCTTCATCCGGCTTGCCTCGTATCACACCACTCCCCCCCAGCACAACATACAACCTTCTTTCGAGTACTTTGATTCCCGGTAAAGTGAGTTTGAGCCGTCCAGCGGTCAGCGAATGCTCTTCAGGGTCAGCCGGCGATTCTTAAAAAGACGTGCTTTCTTTTTCACTCGACAGAACATCTCTCAAACCCTCTTGACCACCGAAACTCGTTATCGAACGCACACACGCACCATGCCAGCTCTACAAAAGCTCTACCACGTCCTGGATGACCGCGAGAGAGCAAGACAAGCAAAAACGACAGGGCTTACACCCCAAGGCGAGGTTATCAGCTCGTGGAAGACGCTCGACGAGGCCGTCCACGCCGCTCGACATCACGTCATCTCGGTCGCCGCTCCGAACAACATGTATTCGTACGAGGAAAAGGACGAAAAGGAGGATTTCTGGTTGAGCTACAAGATCGAGGGGAGCAAGTACCTGTCGTGCATGCACGTCGTCCACAAGGCGGATCCCGAGCACCAGGTCGTCTCCACTCAGACGTTCCCGCCGATCTACTGGGGCATCTTCAACCAGATCAAGAGGGAGATTGATGACCAACGGTTCGACGTTCAGCTCGGCTATGCCGTGTACGAATCCCTGTACGAAGCCAACCTCGCCGCTCGTCAATACGCCTACAGCCAACTCCGTGCGGCCTGTGACGCCCGTGACGAAGGCTGCGGGGCCATCTACCAGCTCAAAGAGGAGGGGATCGAGGATCCCAAGAACAAGAAGCATTTCGGTGAACACGTACCCAAGGAGAATAACAAGAGGAGCAAGGTCAGGTGTTATTCGGTCCTCGCGCACGATGCGACCACCTGGATGGTCAGCTTCGAGTTCTTGCTCCACGTCCGACCGGTCGTCATCCAGAAGAAACGCGAGAGCGCTCGACCTCGCGCTGACGCTAGTAGGGTCAAGAGGGTCAAGACGGAAGTCGACGAAAAGCCCGACGTCAAGCACGGTGTAGATGAAAAGCCCGACATCAAATCCGAGGTCGATGGAAAGCCCATCGCGAGTGGAAGCAGCCAGCGTACCACCCGATCGAACGCAAAGAAAAGTGGTGCCAAGCGGGCGAGATCACCATCAGTCGAATCGCGGGCATCGGACAGATCGGACAGGTCGTCCTCGCCCGAATGGGGGGAGGGGCCGGAAAGCTGCCCGTATTACTAGTGAATCGGTCTTCGAGGTCGGGCCGGGCCCGCATTGAAAGCATATCGGGCGATCACCCAATCGCGGTCAGGGTGGTGGTCTCAGATATCGTCCGTGAGGAACGAGTTGCAAGCCAAAGTCGATCTTGGGTACTGGGCCTGCTGAAAGCGACGTCTAGCTCGTATGATCAAACGATGTAAATTGGAATCCGTGGCATGTATGATAGATATAAAGGGGGACCAGCACGGTCATTACAAGGATTGATGGATGCAAAAGAATGGCGAGAGGAAGAGCACCGAGAGCACGAAATGAGAGAGGTTTCCTAAGAGTCAAAGCCGTCTGAAGCGGCTGGACGTTTGTTATATCGTTGCCGATATGTACGTGTTGTTAGAGTGCAAGGCGAGTACGTTGAGGGTTCGGTAAACCTCGTCGGTCAATCTGAATTTGGTGGTAGACGGTTATGACCAGACCTGTAAATTCACGACGAGCTAAGTCAGCACCGATTCCATGGCCTTTTTTCAAGCCACCTTGTCATTGCTCGCTCACCTTTAACAAGCCGTCCCAACTACCCGTACACATGGCCATCCCATCGGCGCTGACTCCAAGGCAACTGACCCGGTTCTCGTGACCGGCCAAGACTCCCACTCGTTCTCCCTTCAGGACGTCCCATACGTTGCAATTGTAATCGTCGTACCCGGCAAAGAGCAGTCTGCCAGAGACGGAAAAGCCGACCGAAGTCACGCCGCAGAGAATGTTGTTGTGCTGATAGACGTTCAGTTCTCGGTCAGCTCGGAGGTCGAAGAGTCGGCACGAGGCGTCGTCGGATCCGGTCCCGATAGCTTGGCCGTCAGGGAAGAATCTGCGTCCGGGTTGAAAAGGGAAAAGATCAGTGTCGAGATTGAGGGGAAAGGGAATGTCGAGCCGACTTACTGTACGGCGTTGATGTCGCTCTCATGGCCCATAAACGTTTGTACGCATTTACCCGACCTGATATCCCACAACTTGGCCGTTGCGTCACATGCTCCGGATACGAAAATATTCTGATTGGGCGAGAGGGACAAGCTGCGAGGCGAGAGACTCTCGATCAGCAGACCTTCTGGCTTTGTTTTCCAGGCAGATCCGACTGCTTACCTCATGACGTCTCCCGTATGATCATTAAATTCCTGCACTCTCGTCCCAGTCTCGATGTCCCACAACATGCAGGTCATGTCCCCCGAGCTCGTCACGATCTGTCGGTCATTGATGAACCGACAACAACTCAGGTAACCCGTATGCGCGCTCAGCTCTCTCGACACCTTGGTGATCTGACCCAGAGGTTGTCCGGCATTCATACTGCTCCCAGCCCCTTTGAGCGAATAGATTGAACAAATATTGTCGAGACCACCGCAAGCGACAAACTGGCCCGAGGGGGAATAGGCACAGGTCATGACCCAGGATGACCGGAGAGGGATCGCGTGAACCTTGTTGGTGGTGTAAGCGTCCCAGACAATGAGCTTGCCGTCCTGGGAGGCCGAGACGATATGCCTGTTGTCGGCCGACCAGTGCATGGCGTAGATCTTGGCGAGATGACCCTTGAGGGTACGGCGGACCCGCATGACGACGCGAGGCAAGGGTTCGACTTCTTGAGCCATCGCCCGGACTGGCGACACCGACATTGGAAACGGATCAGCCTTCTGGCGTAGACCCCAGATGCGAGGTCTTGTTGGTGCAAGACGCGAACTCACGACTCGTATCCGATGTCTGGTCTTTACGCTGTCTGATCTTGTCCTTCAACATGTCGGCCTCCCTCCTCGCCGCAGCGATCTTTTCCTGTATTTCCGCTTGAGATGACATGATAGGTTGAGACTAGCAGTCGATCACGGTGCGTATTGTTTCGGTCTAAGAAGAGGCAGGAATGTCGTGTGTATCGTTTTGGTACAAATCGGTTGTGGTGAGGCGATGAAGTGAGAGAGTTGCGGTTGATGGTGGTCGGAAGAGGAAAGAGACGAAAGGACCGGGACATCGTCAACGTCTATTCTTCTCTTTTGTCTTCCTTATATTCCTGATCGGGGCTCACCAATTCTATAACTCTGCCGAGTCCCTGTCTCCCTTTTCAGAAGAATCGTCTGTGATTCGGAATGGCCGTGATAATGGTCGTTGAGGTCGACGTCGTTGATGCGATGTCGGTGATGGCTTCGAAGAGGAATGTTGCTGACCAAAGCTACTCTGTGTATATAGGCGGGCGAGTTATGGGCTGCTGCTGTCCACGCGGTACCGTTGTTTTTGCGTTGTCGGCTCTACACGTTCCTTTGAATCCGTCCGGTGATCGAGGGTCAAGTCAAGAGAGGTCAAAGAAGGTTACGGGAGTGAGGTAGATGGTTGGGCTGTCGAGAAATGTGCAATATAAGAAGCCCTTGTACGACGAGTTTGCTATGGTTGTCGGGGTCGCCTTTGATTCGGGAACGTTGTTGATGCTGATCACCAAGTCGTTTTTGATGGGATGAGTGAGTGTACTGGGGGGTCTGGCAGGTGGAGGATCCGCCTTGTCGTCTGATCGGGTAAAACGTGTGGGGATCCCGGTCGTCCTTGTTTCAAGACTGAAAGGAAAGATGGCCGACGTCGTATTGTCCTCTTTTGTTCAGGAAGTCACGATCAGCTCTTGGTTTCCTAATAAAGCTGAGTGAGATAGAGAGAGAGGTGGTCGTAGTTGTGTCGAGATCCCTTTCCCGACTCTTGCGACCGTAATCAATCCTCTGCGCGCTGCGCCGCTATCCAAAGGACGTCCTGATCAAAGTCTGAAAGCTGGGGCTCGGTGTATGCAGTGTCCCGGTCGTCCTCAAAGGAAGTTTCTCTACGGGGCGGGTGTGTCACAAGCGCCCTCGGTCCTCCGTCTTCCTGATCTTCTAGGATCTAGAGTCTAGGATTACGGGTGGTCTCCGACGATGAGCTCGGACTGATGATCGTTCTCTCCCTACGCCCTTGCCAGGAAGCTGATGATGATATGATGAGATTTCCCGTTTGACCTTTTCTCCTTGATCAACGTGCTTCTGTTCTTTTTGTCCTCTATCGGATCAACTGCGGAGTAGGGCGAAACACCAAGCAAACACACGGGGGATGGGGCCAGTCGCGGGTCAACACAACAGCAACGAGGAAAGAAGAAGGTGGATCAGCGTTCTAGATCCTAGATCAACGGAAACGCATCAGTTTCGGACCCGGTCAAGGTGGATAGACTCACAAATTCACGAATACGCAAAACAGGCCGTTTCTGCGTTGTGTATCCTCTGATCCAGCAGAGCTTTCGGGTAGATGGTAACGATGGTAACGATGATGAACGTCGTGATCGTGGCCAGTCCTGCTTCTGTCAAACCCGGGTGATCGACTTCCTGATCACTACTGATCACTGATCACTGATCAATCCCAGAGCGTGTCGTTGAGACTGAAAGTGCTGCCCGGAAACGAGCCGAATAGCCATGCGACGGCAGATGCCGACTCGGACCAAAAGAAGAACAACAAGCAGCAGTCCTGGCTGCTGCTGTCGGCCGTTCGCAGCTTGCCTGGGTTGGCGGGTCCAGGGCCCTCGCCCAACAAAGTCGTTCGCTCTGTACAAGGCGATCGACACGACGACGGTCAAACCCGGAATCAGCGAACAAAAGGGACAAGGGACAATTGCTTGCCTCGCGTGCGAGCAAACTGGGGGCGGACGCTTTACCTCGTGGTCGTTTGGCCGAGCTTGAGCTGGAGCACCTGTCTCTCCTATCGATATCAGATTGGGCGTGCAGCTTACCCTGGACTATGAAAGCAAGAAGAAGGAGGTCGGGAACCGAACGATATAACGGTGGGAACGCCGAGCGGAGTCTAGGGATATACGTATCTGTGGACTTTCGTATTGATGGGTACAACATGGGCAAGGCCAGGGCCTGGTCGGCGTCGTGTACGGTAATTGGTACAAGAGGTGCTCTGTTCTCAGCTGGTTTGTAAAACAATGGAAGAGATCTATGTGTTCGTAAAGTGAGAATGGGAAAGCCATCACGGAGCCCGTTCCCGTGTATGACATGTATGTTCAGAAGTCTGGGAGAAACAGCGGCAGACCAGAGTTTTATCAGCTCGAGTTCATAGCAAATATGCCTCCATCCTGTTCGAGCGGATGGAGGAGCCGACCTTGCGACCGTTACTCACAGTAATCCGGTTTTCGAGCATTGACGCCGTGCTCCCCCAAAGCGTTGCTCAGGTCGTCCATCGTCAAGACAACCTTGCCCTTGTCCTTCTCGTTGCCCTGATAAGGTCAGATTGTCCAAAGTCCAGCCATGGTATTAGCACTGCCGAGTGGAAACCGGTGAAGGAGCCTGTAGCATACGATCCAACTCACCTTGGAACCGGCTTTCCCGGTCTTGGCGCTCGGAGCGTTCATACGCAGTTTGGCATAGTGAAAGGCGTCCGAGGCGATGTCGTTGACAAACTTCTGAGCGGCGAGCGAGAGGAGACGTTTGCTATAGGTCGTCGTACGGTAGGTTCAAAATAGAGCAGGAAGAGGTTGAAGAGTCAGCGAGTTTGTAGACGAGCGAAAAGTCATGTCGGAGAAGGCATCGAGGGCTCACATTCGAGGATCGTCGCATTCGAACCCAGAGCGTTGAAGGTAGTAATCCGTCACCTCATCCGGGATCTACCTCGCCATGCATCAGTACCCATTTGAGTGTCCAGATTCCAAATCTCTCTCCACATCCTTGAGGTCAAGGAGAAGTGACCTCCAACAACACTCACTAGAGGCTGATAATCCTCGAGCATGACCAACATTTCTCCCAGCGATTTATCCTTTTTCATCAACATCTCTTCCCTCTCCCTTCGTTTCCTCTCTGCCACCTCTTTTCGCCTCTCTTCTTCCCTCTTCTGAGCAGCATTCGTTGTGGCCGTTCCGGGTAGGCCGGAAAGACCGGAGCTAGACAGGAACTGCGGCGGACCTTGTCCTTGTCCAACGGTACGAGGTCCAGGGCCTGCTTCAGCGTTCGTGTTCGAGTTCGGAGTGGAGTTGTTGATGTTGCTGTGTATGGGAGGAGGTCCTGCTTGTGAACCAGGTGGGTAGGGGTTTGGATTGGCATGCATCGTTGATGTGGAAGCTTGCTGGGATGGTTGTTGGATTTGCGGCGGTGCTGTCGTTGAGGCGTTGCCAGGACGCATACTTGGAGGCTGTGGTCCGGATGACAGATTTTTTCCAGCTAAAGACGACATGATAGAACGAATGAGACGGGATGATTTGCGGTGGTCGTTTGTCTATCCACGCAAACCCAAGTCGATTCGTAGGTCGCGGTGGTGTGTGACACCTTTACCTTTACCTCGACTTGGGAAAGGATCGAGCGACCACCGGTGAGCCCGACGCTCGGGCAAGGCCAAAAAAAAAGGCCGGAAAAAAGGGCAAAAAGAAGTTTCGACGCAAGCTGGATTTGAACCAACGCATGCAATGCATAAGTGATAGCTTAGAATCCAAGTTCTAATCACTCCCCTTAGACCGCTCGGGCATTGCGCCGGATATAACGGTGCAATTGTGGGAAAAATAAAGTTACAACACAAAATCTCCATCGTCATAGATCAATATTTACTTTGTGTAGACTCCCCATATCGTCACGTGATCTCGTCCACAAAAAGTAGCAGAGCAATGCATGATGATTGCTCGAAGTGTCGGACTTGATCGAGTCGAGAATTTCGATATCCTTTCTCAAAAGGTATACAGCCCGGCATCGATCGAGCTACCAGCAGTTTTTATCGTCAACATGTCCAAACGAGCCAACGATCAAAGCGAAGAACGGGCGGCCAAGCAGCTCCGACAGGCCAACGACGGTCAACCGACGCAGAAGGCCGATGATGAGGGTATGGGCGAGTTTGAGGATCAGTGGGGTGATGAAGAGGAGAGCGATGGCGAGGTGATCGAGCACGATGTCGTCGAGGACGACGATGTCAATGGGGACGAAGACAGTAAGTTTCTCGAGGCAGCGTACGGGTCTACTCTGCACGGTATTTACTGGACATGCCTGACCTGCAGTCGAGATGATTGGTGCGATCGAGGATGAGGAAGCGGAACCTACTCAGCCGGAAAAGGAACCTTATATTCCCGGCGTCTCTCGTCCTCTCACCGCCGAAGAGATCCTCGAGCCCGATTACTCGGTTTACCAGGCTCTGCATCAGCTCGCCTACACCTGGCCTTGTCTCTCGTTTGACGTGCTCCGGGACGACCTCGGTTGGGAGAGGAACAAGTTCCCGCACACCGCCTGGGTCGTTGCGGGGACGCAGTCGGGGCAGGACGGTTCGAGCGACGGAATGGGAAAGAGCAAGGATGAGGTGGTCGTCATGAAGTGGGGGGGTTTAAGCAGGACCCGGGCAGAAGAGAGTGACGACGAGGAAGAGGACGAGGATGTTGACGATTACGACGAGGACGCTCATCTCGAGTTCCTCTCCATCCCCCATGTCGGCGGTGTTAACCGAATCCGAGCCCAAAAGCAACCGAGCTCCACCGGTCTACCTGCGTCTGGGACGCCTTACCACGTCGCCACCATGGCGGAAACGGGTAAAGTCCACATCTTTGACGTTCGACCGATGATTGATCAGCTCGCGAGCCCATCGACCGCCCTGCCCCGAACGGATAAAAGCAAGCGTCCCATCCATACCATTACCAACCACGGCAAGAACGAAGGGTTTGCGCTCGACTGGTCCCCTGCCTCTAGCTCGACCTCGGATCTCAAACTCTTGACCGGAGACATCGCTTCCCAGATCTACCATACCTCCTTGACCCCAACCGGGTTTACCACTCAACCCAAACCTTTCCTCTCGCATACCTCGTCGATCGAAGACCTCCAATGGTCGCCATCAGAAAGCACTGTATTCGCCTCGTGCTCGGCTGACCGAAGCGTACGGGTATGGGACGTCAGGGTCAAGAACAGGAAGAGCGTGACCGGGATAACCGAGGCGCACGACGAGGATGTCAACGTGATCAGCTGGAATACCGGCGTCGAATACCTGTTGTGTTCGGGAGGAGACGAGGGTGGGATCAAGGTGTGGGATCTGCGAAACTTGAAAGGAGGGTGAGTCGATAGGAGTGTCAAGTGTGTGCCGAGGTAGAACCCATAAAGCTCACCAAAGTCTCTCTTTTCTCCTCGACCTTTCATAGCCTCGCACAACCTGCACCGGTCGCTCACTTTACATGGCACAACAAGCCCATCACGTCGATCGAGTGGCACCCGACCGATACCTCAGTCTTGGCTGCAGCTTCAGACGATGACTCGGTCTCGCTCTGGGATCTCTCTGTCGAAGCCGATGAGGAAGAGGCCGCTACCAAAAAGCTCAACGAGAGCAACGGCGGGATCGTCGTCCCCCCGCAACTGCTGTTCGTCCACCAGGGGCAGAAGCACATCAAGGAGGTGCACTGGCACGCTCAGATTCCTGGTATGGTGTCGACCACGGCGGCGGATGGTTTCAACATCTTCAAGACCATCTCGGCCTAGGACTGGTGAGCTGTCCTTCCGGATGGATGCGGTGTAACGGACGTGGATCTTCAGGGCGTGTCATCAATGTTAATATGTATCTTTACCCATGTCATCATATAGCTAGCCGGCTCGATCGAACTTTGTCATATCGAGACACGATAACAAGGCGACTCGATGTTAAAAAGAGTGGACGATGTATGATGTGGCTGAACATCCAAGAGCACGGCTCGATTGACATGCACTGCAACTCGGCACGATGGGAAAACTACGGAAAGTTCGAAAAATCTAAACCTAAACCATCTGGCCTGCTACTGGTTGACGTTGCGATACTGGTGCGTCTCGTAGGCCTGGCTGCCGCGCTTGCCAAAGCCACGTCTGTGGCTGCCAGAACCGCGATATCCAGTAGAGGTGCCGAACCGTTGACCGCTCCCGCTGTGGTACGAGTTGTGGGCGTGATCCGTTCCGGGTTGCTGACGCAGGCCGGGCACGCGAACGGAGGCGGTGTACCTGTGAGGCTGATGTAAGCTGTTCGTAGTAGCAGCAATCGTCCCCATCACCGTGGTGGCACTGTGATGAGCATGTGCAGTGGCGAATTCCCGTGGTGCCGGTGTTGGCGTATACATGTTGAAGCGTGGCTCGAAAGCTTGCGGTCTCGGCAAGGGCATAGGGTGGTGAATGAAGGGAGATTCGCGCCCATGTCGTGGCGTCTGATACGGAAGACCCTCCGATTGCATCCCGCGCTCGAAGCGTACATCGTGATAGGATCGATAGCTGAAGCCATGATCGAACTCCTCCAGTCGCGAGCTTTGCGGGGTAGGAGGAAGAAGGGCGGTCTCTGTTCTCTGGTTGCTGCCATCTTCGGTCTCGAAAGACTGCCTATACTGAGCCTCGCTCGAAGCGGTCTGCCATTGCGTATGTTTCTCCGGTGGATGACCTCCGCTCCAGATAGGGTACAGGGTGTTTGATTCCGCCTGTAAGTATTCCTCTTCAGGTACCTCTTCGTGAGGTATCGTTTTCTTGTATTCCAACAATTCGGTTCGGTCGTACAATGCGTAGAGACCTTGTGGAGTATCAATGACTCTGACTGGCTGGAGCTTACCGCCTACCGAGTGGGGATGTTGTACACCTGGAGAATCCTCGGAAGCCGGCGCCTCAGGGTAGATCTGAGGGATCTCGACCTGGTATGAGTCAGGCGATTGTCGGAGCTGTGAATCGAGACCTCGGGAAGGGTCGAGATTCCTTTCGGCGAAAGAAATCTCTTGAGGTGGTAACGCAAACCTTTGGCGTTGATGGTCGGCTTCATTTTCCCACTTGAGGTGAGGGTGGGGCATGTCAACGTTCTGGCTTTCGAGCGGAGAAGCCATATGATTTCGTCCGTAAAGCGGCTACCGAGCGGGAAGGTTTGAGCTAAAGAGACCCTCAAATCTCTGAGCACATCACTCACATTGAACTGAGGTTGTTGAACGGTGCTATGTACTGGTGGGAATCCGGAAAGGGGTGGGACTGGAAGACCGTTTCGAACGGCCCAGGTATGCCATTGAGCCAGCATTATATTGGCTTCCGATAATCTTCGCGCCATCTCTTCGTGATGGAGAATGTCGGCGGTGACTTGAGGCGCTGGATAACGATAGTCTTGTCTGATCGTCTCAGACATGCCTCGTATCGATGGATAGGCCCGAGCTTCATGTTCGACCATCGCGACAGAAGGGTTTAGCTCTTCCCCATGCGCCAAGGCGTCCTCTAGCGCGGTTTCAGATTTTGAATCATCCGAGAGGATTGCCTCCGCCTCCATTGCAACTGGTGTGTCTCGCCCGGGATCACTTCTGGACCGCTTGCGGCCAGCCTTTGTATCGTTCGGTTCAACGTCTAATAGTTCATGGCTTGCATCATGTTTAAGGGCAAAGATGTGAGGCTCGCTGTGCGAACCACACAAAAACGACAGTGTGTCTGGTTCGGGCGGACCTTCCCCCTTGTCCACTTGTATCTGTGATTGCACGGGCACGATGGTTAGTCGAGTGAGTTGGATACTTTCGTTTCTGCGACTCACTTCATCTGCCTCTCCGATTCGCTTTGACATAGGAACGGCTTGCCGTTGTTCGTCACCGACGATACGGCAGTTCTCCCGACTTGCAGCGTGACGTGCGGAAGCGACAGACGTAAACGATACAGTGGCTCGGCGTGGAAGACCACCGCCTTGATCAAAGACGTTAACGGCCGTCTGATTAAAGATTGGCTTCATCAGGGGTCAATATCGCTGGGATTGAGCAGAAAAACTCACCACCCGGCCATAAGGCTTGAAGCGCTCGCGTACCGTATCCTCCGTATCGTGAATGGACAGATTGCTGATCTCCAAACTCATGCGCTTTGCAGCGGATCCGAGGCTGTTGGGTGTTTTACTTTGCTCCGAACTTCCTAGAGAGACAATGGGAGTCGGTCTATGGGCGAGGAAGGGGTCTACAACCGGGTTCGACGACATCCCGTCCTCTTTGGTATCCAGCGCAGGTATGTGGGTGAGCCCTAGCGATGAAGGGGTGACGGCATTATCCACGGGTCTAGGAATGTTCTTCGGGGTCTTCAACACAATGGACGGTTTGGACTCAGATGTCGCAGAGGAAGAGAGCGCTCCTGGCGACGGTGGAAGACGGTCGGCGACTGTTGTACTTGCGAGTTTCTGTTCCCGTGGGAGAGTGCTCGAGGCAGTCTCTTCGAACGAGTCTGAAGCATCCACTGGCTCCTCTTCGACTGGACTCAGCATCTTGACTTCCTTTCCGTGGCCTACAGGCGGATCCATATCGACATCAGATGTGTGTAGGGACGGCAAGCTATCGCCTCGTTGAGCTCTTGGCAAGGCCGGCCATTCTTCAGCGAGAGCGATAGTAGACTGAAGCGCGCGATGCTCTGTTCCGTTGGGAGAAGCAGGTTTAACCTTTGTACGTTCGACCGAAGAGTTGCGGATGCCATCTCTTGAAGCCATCGGCCCCTGACTTTGGTTGGCTAGGACACGTTGGGGGCTCAAGTCTGTAGGGGCTGACGTTGCGGTATCAGGCTTGGGCACGTAACAGACGACTCCGTTGAGAAGTCTAAGCTGCTGCGATGCCCTCAGTGAGCCGTCTCGATCCCAGTATTTGACGTTAAAACCTCCTTGATCCCCTCGAGAGCTGATCGAGGGCGTCATTGTTTCAATGTCGCCAAAAGGCTCGCAGAGCAAACGCATTGCAGCTTCATCGGAGGCAGCCGATTTCACGTCGAGGACTAGAGGCTCTATAGTCGCTACGTCGTTGCCATAGAAAGAGCGCATGTTTCGTTCTCTCTCGTATTCATCGGGGCATAGCGTGTTGGCGGAAAGGTCGACACGATGACGTATGCGGTACTTCTTGCGCCTTTCGTCGGAGCCGGCATACTCCAGATATCTCTCATACACGACCTTGTCGCCGACCGGTCTTCCTATCCGAGACAGAGGATGAAATCCGTTTCGGGGGCCAGAAGTCTTGTTGAGCTTGATGTACAACGGCCGAGTCCCTTGAACCATCTCAATCTTCAGCGCGTCTTTCACCTCGTCACCGGTCCATTCGCCGAAAGTCCCGGTGTTGTAAAGCAACACCCTGGCCTGTGGGTTGTCGATCAGACTCAAAGCATGCTCGCGGGTCTAAGGAAAGCGCGTAAACGTCGAAATCAGCTTACATGTCGTACACGCTCAGATCAAGCAGCTCACATCGATAGAGACAAAGGCGTTGTAGACAGCTGCAGTGGTATCGGCAACCAGGTTTCTGTCGAGAGGAAGATCAGCCCTGTCTCGAAGCGTTTCTTCAACAATATGCGACTTACATTCTTTCCACAGGGTAGAAAGCACTGAAATGGTCGCGGAGAATGCGTCTCATAGTTCCAGGATCTACGCTAGAATTCTTCCTTATCCTATATTCAGAAAAAAAGCGATCAGGTCACATTGTTTCGTTCCGCATCTCCTCTGCGCTGACTAACCCTGTAACAAAAAGAGACCTTTCATACGGTGGCCTCGGGCGTGGTCCAGGGAAGACCACGATCTCCTCTCCAGTTTGTGGATGTCGACTGATGTATGCTCCCTCCTGAAGATCCGATTGTGCTAAAGGGACCGATGAAGTGCCTCTGTCGACATGCAGTTGCGACACGGATTGTTTGGCGGGCCCGGAAGGTGGTCGGCACGAGGTAGTAGACTCCCGATTGCGTTGGTGATCTGAAACGCTCTCGCGTCCGGATTTGACGACAGTGAATGATGCCCCATCCCTCTTCTCGGTAGGCAGATAAATCTCGGAAGTGCCAGTCTCACGTTTCTCATCGCCAGGTCTTACGGAAGGGTGCGGAGTCGCCGGTGGCGTGCGTTGCGCTTGACCGGGCGACTCAGATGTGAGATCAGGTGTAAGGGGAGTGATGTGAGTCCGTTCGAGTGCCTTTGTGGGTAGGGACTTCGCTTGGAGCTGTGAGGTGTCGGGCTTCTGAGAAGCAACGGGGACAACTCAGTCTCGTTGCTTGAATGTCCGACGGACAAGATTTACTAACCGGAGAATCCTTCTCGCCGCATACCGGTTCAAATCGTCTGCTATCAGCAGTCGCTGATGCCGGACTGTCTACCTCTTCTTTGGCCAGTTTTGTCGCCACCAATGCCAATATGTCCACGTCCGACGCTTCACTCTCCGAATCTTCGTGACTTGAATGTCGAGCAGCACCGGTGATTCTATGCTGCTCCATCGGCTTCTTAGCTTTTCTGCGTTGCTGTTTCTTCTTGCGTTTACCGAATGCCTTTTTTGAGACGGGACCGGCCCCCAATACACCGGTGGAGTCTTCCATCCAGCTGTCATCGATCGTCGAGATCTCCGGGGACTGGGCCTCTGTCATCGGAGGAGATAGATCCGATACGTCAGCGGATACGATCGCTGGCTCTTGCACGATAGTCGCTTGATCGGTTTGCTTCTCCTGGAGCCGCTTTCGGCGCAATTGCTCGTCGACTTCCCGCCGGGCCTTGTCGACGGTCCATAGTTTTGTTCTATTCTCTGTCTTGGCTGTGTCCATCTTGACGAACCTTGCGTAGTAGACGGCAGAGGTAGGGTCATATGTAGGTTCTTCAGACTTGGGATAATGCCTTTTCAGGTCTTCGAGTGCCGCCACCCATGCCAGATAGAATTCCGCGTCGGTGGATGCCTCCCGAACATGTCTGAACATGGGGGAAGTTGACATCACGGCCCTAGTTGACGTTGAATCTACTTCTGATTGCTGTTGGGTATCGTGCGCGAATCCCCTGGGGAGACTTCGCTTTCGGATTTCTTCATGGGTCCCATCCCGCCCGAAGGTGGGACCCGTGAGCTTGTTGCTCTGCCTTTGTGGTCCGGGGCGGAACGGAGCAGAATCTCTTCTGTCACAGGTGGGACAAGGGAATCGTAAACCCGACTCGGCGCCATGGGCACAAGGTGGCTGTCGAGAATTCTCATCGGCGCCACCGGCTTTTCCTACGACCAAGGAGGGTTGGAAGCTTTGCTTGGATCTAGCGATGATATGCGGTTGGCGAAGGTTGTTGCGTCCAACAGGGACCGCTCCTAACACGTTGTTCAGCCTGAGCTTATTCTGCAAACCAGCATCATTTGCTACCGGTGACAAGTCGTTGAGTTGCCTGATTGTACGATGCGGTACGGAGGCAGAGTTCATTTCTGCTTCGGACTCGGATGCCGACTGGGAAGCGGTGGTCTCGTTTTCATCGGACTCGTGTCCAGATGAATGTTCATACCTGCCGTCATCCGAGCCGCAGAGCTTGACGCTGAGCGGGGTACCGGGACGACCCTCTCCCCCGGAAAGGATACCGTCGTCTTCGTCTTCGTCCGGCTCCTCTTCCTCGACGTCGTCACCGTCTTCATCGTCAGAGCTGCCCAACTCGTCCGAATAGCCGTCTCCGCTATCATCAGTCGAGACTTCGGGAAGCGCGACGGTCGATGTGGCTCGGAACAGGGAAGCGGGCGAGGTGGCCCTTGCCTCCCTTTCGGCTATGTTAAAGATACCGAGTCCAGAGGTCGAGTCTCGGGCAACATTGTTCGAGGTTGTGGGGCGAGTGTTTTGGGAGAGTTTGAGACGGGCGTTGTTCCATCCGACCGAGGAAGAGACGTCTGCCCGAGGCTGGGGAGGCGGATTGATAGCTAGCGCAGGCGCAAGACCTGCGTCGGATCGCATGTCGCGGAAAGATAGTTGGGTAGCTTCGCGTGTGAGACCGAGATCCGAGACCCTTTGACTGAACTGAGACATGTCACTTAAGTTGCGAAAGCCCGGACTCTTACTCGGAGGAGGAGCAACGCTGTTCGGTCTATGGACCTGCACGTCGTCTGGAATGTACGTGTCGACGATTCGCGAGTGGCGCGGAATGCCTACGTTGCGAAGATCGGGTACAGGTCGACCGGGCTCAAGCATGAATGCGACGTCTTCGGCTCGGTCGACATCCGTCATCTCGATGTCTTGGGGAATATTAGGTTGCACTTGGTCGCAGGAGCTGCAGCGATCCCGACATGCAGGTGCATGCCTGGCTGTGGAGGAGGTCGAGCTCGGGTCGAGCAGACCGTGCGCCAACGCGCCGAGCATGACGCTCTGATCATCGCGATCAGCTCTTTCTGTCATGGACAGCCGCGGGTCAGAAGGCTCGGTCAGATCGACGGGCTGACCGACGGACATTCTCTGTTGATGCTGGGTAGGGTTCGGCTCGTCCGCCGACCCAGGAGTGACGCCATCCTCGACCTGATCCTCCTCGTCAGCGCTGTTGGTCTCGCCAGGCCTACCCTTGGCAGAAGCAACGATGGTCGGCATGATCTGGGCATACTCCTCGTAATGCATGTAACTATCCCGCATGATCCGGGCCTTTTCTTTCAGTCGGACATAGTCCTTGACGCTGGCGATGTGAGCCGGTACCTGCCGCATGACTTTGTATCCGGCGGCGTAGCGAGGAATGGAGTCGGTGGATGTGTCGTAGTTAAGAGAAGAGTTCTTGCTTCTGACCATTGGCGATCTCGGGTCGATGGACCGTGTTGGGGTGCGTAAGTAGTCGGGGATCCCAGAATTGAAACAAGGAGTATGGTCCTTGATAACAACAGGCTCTTCTCGTCGACCGGGTGCTCGCTGCTTGGATAGCCTTGGAATGGGTAGCCTTCGGTTCAGCGAGAAGAGGCCAATCAGGCAGATGACGAGTAACGATTTGTAAAGATACGGGTATCTGTCACGAGGATCGGATGACGGAGCGTCACTAGCAGATATAGGTGGATAGGTCTGGGCGAGCAGGGTGGCGATGGGAACGGACGATGTTTATCGATTGGAATTGGTAGGTTGTACGAATCTGAAAACACAGATGTCGATCTGAGTAAGTTGTCTTCTAGTCTGCCCGGAATTCTTGGTTGCCTATACATACCTCAGGAGTTCTAGCGATGTAGCGGAGTGGCATTAACTGCTAGCGAGTCTATCGCGGTCTAATGGGGGTGAAGGCAGCTTGTGCCGACATCAGCTTTAACATGCATCGGCTGATTATCCTTTTACTCGTGCACTTACGACAGTATCTGCGTGGATGTGGATAGCAGATCCTGGACGATCGAGTTGCGATGTATCTCCTTGAGAGGTTGAGATTTGGATACTCCGGTTGTTGGGCGACGATGTGGTTGTAATCGTCTCGTTTAGATTGGTTTTAACGTGGTCTACGAGGCGGGTTCGAGTGGTTTTGTGTACGGTGTTTGATGAGAGTTGAGTGTTGATGCTGAGCTGATTGCTGGTTGCTGGTAAAGACAGAGTCGATCGACGGGGGGCGACTTTTGCGACTTGCTCCTTATATGATCCATTTGCTGTACGACGTACGACGGAGGTGACTCGATTTGATCAGAGCCTAGACCCAGCAAGAGGATCACGGGGGCGAAGAGCGACAAGCCAGTCGGCAGTGCAGTGCAGCAGACCCAGAGAGCGAAAGATGAAATCGGATCGAGATCACGAAAGCTGTGCTGGACGCTGGGCAAAGGAACAACCTGCTCCCCGATCCCCGTCCTCCTGCCTCCTGACATGCCGCCTCCTCGCTGCTGCTGGAACCGCTGATCCACTCAATTCCCCCGTGTTTCACGCCATAGCCGGCTACCACATCAGGCGCGCAGGCGTGTCCTTCTTCTAGCGTCGAATTCATGGGTCCAGCCGCGCCCAAACCTCCTGGAGAACGTGCCTCGAACTGTTTGTCGGGAGTGTGTCATCACATGATTGTCTCGGGCGTTCCAAAGGATAGGCGATGGAAAGGTATGATGAAGCCGGGGTTTCGGGTTTGATCGCTGATCGTTGATGCTTCGTCTTTTTCGTGCTGAGTGAGAATCGGGAGATGTTGCACGCAAACCGAGAACTTTGGGTGCAGGGGGATTGATCACTTGCATAATTCATGTCCAAGTAATATAAGGCTCACTGATCACTGAAATACTGACGCTGCGTGCATTCGAGCATACATTCGCTCACGTTGCGCCTTGTTGTTGCGAACTGTTGTTGCCCGAAGATCAAAGATCCACTTTGATCCATCAAGCCATCGCGCCATCGTCAAAGATCGGGAACACACCATCCCCGGAGAAAACCCTGTCCCCACGCACGGACCTTCATCAAGATTCCAAAGGCGAAAGAAGCATTCGGTGTTTTCGGGTCCAAGCGTTAGCGCTAGGTTTCACTCGCTTGAGTGCAATGCAGATCCCTCTCGGTTCCGCGCGACAACAACGACGGATGTCTCAGATGGTCGTCCGACTTGTGATTTCGGGTGTCACGAGGCTGTGCTCGTCATTGGCTTTCGTGCTTAATCATATATCATTTAGAGTTGCGCGAGTTGAGTGTTTCGAACGAACAGAGGGAATATGAAACGGCATAGAAAATAGCCCGATAGCTTGTACCCTATGATCTAACGGAGTGGAAAAGGGGCTTTCGTCTCTCCGTACGCCCATCATCTCACCAGTTGCTCCCGTCAACCCCTGTGAATTGCTTTCGGGCCCATCTCTCCAGTTCTCTAGGTCCAGCAAAGTTGGTCTTCCACATGAGAAAGACTCTGACCCCTTCATCCTTATCTACTCGGTATATCCTAAATGCCGTGTTCATCTCTAAGGTTAGATGGGGTCAATCCGCAACGTCTCGCGGATAAACCAGCACGCTCGAAAACCCCCCGAGGCGCGAGGCAGCAACCTGACAGGGCTCGCAATATGAAACGTCGAACGAAGCCCCACCAAGATGCTGTGACCCTCGTTACTGGGCCATGTTGCGGCAGACAGTCAATGTGCGATATGTTTCTGAGCACTGAAAGCGGTCCGCTACTTCTTGTAGCTTCTGGAGGCGTACGTTACTGCTACGCGCCCGTTCTTCAAGATGCTTGTCGCCACTCCTCTCAGCATCCCAAGCTGGACCGATGGACGGTCTGCGTTCGTATGCAACTCTACAGATGTAAAAAGGTTCGTTTAATTCGACGATTCTGCCTGGATGGCCAGCGCGGCCGACGGATGAAATGTCGCACGATGAAGTGTCTGACGGAATCAACGACGGTGAAGATTACCAGCCCTCATCTGGAGGTCTGTAGGATCTCAGGGACGTTCAACGTGGAACAGAAACGTGGAGGGGCCGACCACATGTGTTTCAAAGGCGAGAAGTTGGAGACACGAAGCCTGAACGTCGAGACCAGCTCGAGCAATTGCCTCTGCCGGTAGGCAGACCTTGCCTAGATCTCGATTGAAGTTGTCTGATTGACACAATGTACCCTCGCGAGCGTTCGAGATCTTCACGTCGTACACCTCGAGGCTTTCATCGATCTCCGAATCGGAATCGATAAAAATGGCACGACAACGCTGACCTGTCTGAGTAAGGCGGAACGACCTGATGACGGACCTTCGAGGAGGACTGGTGGATTTAGGCTGGCCTCAGAAAATCTGCTTAATCATCACACCCAGATCCCATTTATGACTTGGCTTGCTTGCTCGCGCTCGTTTATGATGATTTCGGGTCATCCGATGCGAGATGATAAATGATAAAAGTCCCCGACACGAGGTGCGGTATCAATTGCCGGAAATTTCGGGTTTGGGGAGGTATTCCGCTGCGAGATTCTCAAAGATCGACGAGCGATACAGAATAGGTTGGTGAAGGGTGGGACGATCCGAGTTCAAGTTGACGGCGATTGAATCACCGTAGCGAACCAGACGGCATTCCCCAAAGCCGAACATGTCACTACGCCTTTGCCGACTATCGAGAAATCTAGACGAGAGATGATGCCCAGTCGTCCCGTCCGGCTAATCCGTTCACCTTGGGACGACAAGTCTACGGTCAATGGGAATGGGAACGGTGGCGCGCGTGATGAATCGACTGGTCGCCCATTGGGCCATGCCCTGGCAGCTAGCAGCGGCTATACCCCCCTCGACTCGCGACTCGTTCATATCTCTCACCATCTATAACAGCAGCTCGCACACATTCATATACTTGCTTCAAGTAGCACATCACTCTAGATTCTACTGTACAACCACATAGACACGAAGCAAAGATGTCTTTCCGTTCTGCTTTCACCCCCGCTCTCCGAGCTTCCCGTTCGGCCATTCGACCTGCTATCAGGTCGAGGGTCGCCGTTCGAGGATACGCTACCGAGGTAAGTTCGACGATACGCTACGGGTAGGCTTGTATCATCAGATGTTCGGTCTCACTAACAACTCGCTCTCTGTACGGTATTCGTATCGCTATAGCCCGCTGCCAAGTCTAGCAACAACACCCTCATCTGGGCCGCTCTCGCTGCCGGTGTAGCGGGAGCTGGTGGGTACTACTTCTACGGCACCGATGCCACCCCCGCTGAGAGGGTCGAGGAGCTCAAGACTGCCGGACGAGAGGCCGAGCAGATCGCCGAGGCCAAGACTGGACTCGGGTTGAAGAAGAAGGAGGACTACCAGAAGGTTTACAACAGGATCGCCGAGATGTTGGAGGTCGACGATTACGATGGTGAGCTCGTGGTCCCTGGCTAGACCACCTCCTGCCTCGAACTCTTCGACAGCATAGAGATTGACAGCCATGACCATTCTCCTCTAGACGGCTCGCTCGCCCCCGTCCTCATCCGTCTCGCTTGGCACGCTTCGGGTACCTACAACGCTGCCGACAACTCGGGTGGTTCCAACTACGCTACCATGAGGTTCAAGCCCGAGTCGGAGCACGGTGCCAACAACGGTCTCGTGAGTCTGCTTCCTCTATTCACTGCCTAGAGGTCAGCACTGACAAATCATCTCGACGCCTTCCTCATCCTCCTTTGTCCTCGAAATGAACCTCCGCAGGGAATCGCTCGAGACCACATGGAGAAGATCAAGAAGGAGTTCCCCTGGATCTCTTACGGTGACTTGTGGACCCTCGGTGGTGTCTGTGCCGTCCAAGAGGCCGCCGGCCCCATCGTTCCCTGGAGGCCCGGTAGGATCGACGGTTACGACCACCACTGTACGCCTGATGGCAGGTTGCCCGACGGTTCCAAGGCTCAGGACCACTTGAGGGACATCTTTTACAGGATGGGGTGAGTCCGGCAGATAATCAGATTTATGCCGAAACTTTAGAAGCTGATGCGGTTGGATCTCTCGTCGGATAGCTTCAACGACCAGGAGATTGTCGCCTTGTCCGGTGCTCATGCTATGGGACGATGCCACACCGGTGAGTGTCACGAAAAGTGTTGTATTTTGTCAATTGGACAGTGAGCTGACTTGCTGCTCGCTCGACCGTAGACCGATCCGGTTTCGACGGTCCCTGGACTTTCTCCCCTACGACCTTTACCAACGACTACTTCAAGTTGCTCTTTGACGAGAAGTGGTCCTGGAGGAAGTGGGGCGGACCCGCCCAGTTCACCGACAGCAAGACCAAGTCGTTGATGATGTTGCCCTCGGACATGTCTCTGACCAAGGACAAGGAGTTCAAGAAGCACGCCAAGGCTTACGCAGAGGACCAGGATTTGTTCTTCAAGGAGTGAGTTCAGGTCATGCCGATTGCAGTTTCAGCGTATGCGCTCGAAAGAAACGGTTATTGATGACTGTACTTTCGTCGTTTCTCTCGATCTCTAGCTTTGCCAAGGTCTTCAACAAGCTCATCGAGTTGGGTGTTCCCAAGGCCCAGTTTGCTAGCGAGCCTTACCACCTGAAGACCATGGACGAGCAGGATGTTGCCCGTTAAGCCAGCTTCGGGTGATGCGTGAAGGGGATCCCAAGCTGGACTGTCATCTCAAACCCGTGCAATCGGGTTCGGCGTGCCGGGTTCAGCTCGGTTCTACCTTTGAGCCGTCGGAACTGTTGCCTCAGGGACCGACCCTGATGATATCCCTTTGATCGGTCACAAAAAGTGTCTTGTAGATGTCAAATACCTATCCTAGTCTATTCTATATTTTACTTCTCGACTTTGGATTCGGCAAAGGGTCGCAAGGAGCTAAATTAGGGGCGTGACACATTGTGGATCGTTTCGGCTGAGGAGGTTGGTGATCGAGATGTGTCAGTTCACGTCTGCGCGTCTGATGAATCGAGGCTTGTTGAGATCTCGGTGGTTTCGAATGGAATATTTCAACGAGTAGTTGCGAGCAGTACACGGTAAGTCAGGCCGATAAAACGTCTACAAACTCCGTAGAGTTCGAGTCCACTCTGATTCCACTAGGTCCTAGATCGAAACCGAGTTGCGAGTTGGTTGCTTGTGAGGGAATTCGGTCATCGAAGTCGAGAGAACAAAGAAAACTTGGGTGGTGGAATGATGCCGAGAGTCATTCCCGGTTCACGCGTTTCATCTTGTTTCGCGCGAGACAAGGAGGGGCGGGGGCACGGGCGGCGAGGCAGCAACGGCAGAGGATGGGCGGGAAAGGCAGGGGCAAAGTATTTGATGAAAACTTTGATCAGAGTCGATCAAGGTTTGGCAAGTGAAAGGAGGGTGCTCGAGCAGGGAGAGCACAGCGAGACGGGGGTGATGACCCTCCTTTCGATCATGATCCAGGAGATGAAACTCGGTGGGCGAAGGAGAATCGGAGAAAGCGAGTCGACTGCGGAACAACAAGGGACGACGCTCGTCGTCCTGCACCCCAGATCATCTTGGTTTCGCGATCAGACCATCAGGCCATCAGAATCATCAGACGCGATCACAACAACAAGGAAGAGCCCCGGCTGATACGTGATACACAGAAACAGCAGCAGACAACAAACAACACACACACACACACACGAGCACCACTTGGCGGTGCGGACATGATCGAGTGGCGTCGCGGCTAGCTGACGAGGACATATATAAGATCGAACGCCCCGCTTTGGGCAAATCGAAAGCCCCTCCCTCCATCCTCTCTCTTTCATCATCATCGACACGACACGACATCAAACTCGCTTTTTCGACTTTCCGACTTTCCGACATTTAGAAGAATCGCACATTTCACGCCGAAGGACAGCTCCACAGACCGGTTGACCCAGTCTCGAACTTCCCCCTTCGCCTCTTCTTTTCTGATATAGACGCTCGCTCTTCTTTTCCCGTATCGACATCTGCACAAAGGGACTTTCAAGTCATACGTACATCAACAACACTCTTTCTCATCATCAACCCTTATCGTCCACTACCGATACTGATACTAGACAACTCATTCTCCTACACAGACTACTACATTCGTTAAACCTAGCATCTCTCTTACGACCTTTTCTCCGGGACCTCGGAAGACTTTCTTCCAGAACCCGGCACGACAACACACTTCCTCGTTCCTTCGACGACCTTACTCTACACTACACATCACTTCATCGCAGATCGACCTACAAGCATGGTTGCATCAACTCTTGTTCGCGCCGTCCTCGGTGCTGCTCTCGCCGCTTCCTCCACCGTCGCTCAGTCTGATGCTTGGCACTTCGACATTGTCAAGACCCTCATGGTCGCCCGAATGGAGTGAGCACCGCATTCCGTTTCCCTTTCGGCCCCTCCACTGATTGACATCGATATTGAAACTCTCGCCAGCCCCATCGTCGATCCGAACCGACTCTCAATGCATATGCACCGGATCATGGGAGGGTCCAACTTTGCCGCTGGGTATTCGTACGAGAACAACCGGGCTTCGGACTGCAGTACCGTCTACACTCCGTTTGACATGTCCAATTACTGGTGCGCACGCGAAACTGGTCACCGGGTAGGTTGTTGTCGATAGCTAACGATCCTTGCTGGGTTTAATGGTCGAATAGGACGGCTCAGATGTACTGGGTCAGCAACGACGCCAATGAAGTGAAGGAAGATACCACGTACACCTCTGTCCCCGGAGGCCATCGTGTGAGTCCTGCCTATGCCAAACCACTCTCTAACATTTTCAACTTCGCTGAACAACTATCCTTTCGCTGGCAGTTTTACTACTTCTTGACCCGAAACGCTCCTGATGTGCCCGTCAGCCCTTTCCCTGAGGGACTACGGATGCTCGCTGGGAACAAAGACGCCAAGAATTGGGCCGAGACCGGATTGCCTGAGAACGCTTGGTCTTAGTGAGTTTTGCCGCTTTCCTATCCTTCCGAGCCGGATCGTCGCTGACAACGACGTTCGTGGCGCACGTACAGCACTTGTCAGAAGAGCAGGACCGACATGAGTCAGAACATCGCGGTCTCTAGTTGGAACGAGCTCGACACGTACTGTCCCGAACTGAAGCTTGATCTGAAGTTCCCTTCTTGGTAAGTAACTATGCGATGGAACAGTCATACTGGTACAGAGGCTGACCATGGATTGTATCTATAGTTGGGATGGAAAGAACTTGTACTCGGACGATGGAAGCCACATGGCCGTGAGTGGATACTCAACCCGTATGATCTCCCCACTCGGTTTAACTCCCTTTTTCGGTATTGCAGTACCCCAGTAACATGTTGTACGGTGTCTGTCCCCTTTCTCATCCCGTCAGGATCCCCGCCATCATGTTCGAGGTAAGTTTCGCCTGTACTTGTTGACATATGTGCTCAATTTTCTAATCTGCTCGTTTGTTGCGCGTGATAGACTACCTGGCTCTTGCACGAAGTCATCAAGGAGACTGATCACCCCAAGAACCGCATCATCCTCTCGAACGGTGACACCACGTGAGCAAACTTTCGAATCTGTGTAGGTAATCTTAAGCTGATCCGACTCGCTCAACTCAGTGGTTTCGGTACCCACGTCGATTTCGCCAATGTGAGAACTGCTCTTTCAATCCACAGCAGATTGAGCTAACATCTTTGGGTAATCTCCAGGGTTGGAACACTTCGATCTTGTACCAAGCTTTAAATGATCCTCGATGTGTCAATGTCGGCCACTCGATGTCAGTATCATCCGTCCTATGCCTCCAAAAGACAGCATTGAGCTCATCTGCGCACATGAGAAAAAAACAGGCCCGCCACCGACTGCCCCGTCTTGAATATCAACTACGAGAGCGGACGTGATGCTGCCGAAGCTTGCAAGCCCATGCGAGGCCGACTCGACGAGGACGGTACACAAGACGGCGTTGCCATCAAGAAGCTTCCCGGATGCAACCTTCCTTGTAAGTCCGGCGACTTTGTGCTGTCGTGCGCGCTGCTAACCGCGTTCATGCTTGCCACAGGGGCTTCCGGACCTAAGCCCACTTGCGACGACAAGCCGACCAATGACCCCGACTTGACCCCCTTCTTGGGAGTTGACATTCAAGGCTACGTCGCAACCGCTGCCGACACTCTCAAGGTCTACAAGGCCAACATCTTGTCGCAGACGGCTGACGAGTGGCAAAAGGTTGGATGCATCGGCGACTTTGGTTTCCCCGACCCTACCATGTGGCACAGCTGGGACAAGATGAAGGTCGACTCGTGAGTCAATCGGCAGCCCGTATATTCTTCCCGGTAGAGGCTGAGAGGAATTCGTACACCGTACAGGTGCCAAGACTTCTGCGGCGACATCGGGATGCCTTACGCTAGTTTGGTGAGCTTAAAGTCCAGATTCATATTGCCTCGTCCCCTGACTGATCTCCAATGTGATTGATTAACAGCGACTCGGATACCAATGCATGTGCTCCTCTGTGCTCAACAACAACGCAACCCTCGTCCCGGATGACAAGTGCAACAAGGCTTGTACTGGTAAGCTACGTCTCGCCTAGCGCTCGCCTGCCTGCGCACCTACTGAACCGTTTGCGATCATGCTACTAGGCGATGCCAAGGTCAACTGCGGCGGCGAAGGCTTGATGCAGACCTTTTACAAGCCCACCGTAAAGGCAAAGGCCCCTTCGGCTACAGACAAGTCTTACGTTGGCTGTCATGTTGACGGCACCGTTCAAGGCACGAGGAATCCTGATTGGACCGACGTCGACGGCTGCCGAACTTACTGTGGCGACAACAAGAAGAAGTACTTTGGTGTCTCCAACTCGAGGTACTGTTTCTGCAGCAACGAGCTCAAGCAGGATTCCTGGGAAAGTCGAGTCCCCGAGATGGAATGTAAGCGATGTCACACACCGAACGATGCCCTTTAGTGATCACTGAACTCGCTTTTCTGACTCAGGCAACGCCAAGTGTCAGCTCAACGAGGCGCAGACCTGCGGCGGAAACTCTGACGGCTACATGTTTCAGAGCGTGTTCTTCGTGTGAGTAGTTGCTGATGAAACGTTTTTCATCGGTTTCAGGCATGAATTGACAAATGGTTTCTCGGTGCGATAGTGATGGAGAGGTCGAAGTTCCCGTCTCCCAGACTACCGCCCCCGTTCCCCAAGTATCATCATCGGGGGCTGCAGCCGCGGCCAGCACCTCCTTTGCTGCGCCCACCCCGGTCGGAGCAGCCAAATCTGGTGCAGCCAATATCGTCGCCACCTCCACTGCAGCATTCTCTTCGTCAGCCAGCGCCGCTATCACCGGAGGAGCCATGGACGGTGGCAAGGACAATGTCAGCCCTACGAAAGCGGTGATCGGTAACATTGCTCTAGCTCAGCCCGTTGCAACAAAGACTTGCAAGCGCACTCGCAAGAGGTCCCAACGGAAGCGTCAGATGCTCCGTCACGGACAGCCGATCCAATTGTAGGCGGTCGGAAGGGTTGAAAGGTGCCTGAGGCAACTATCGTTTGGTGATTCCGGTTTATGAAACGGTCTAGCGATAATCTGTAATCCAGGTGATACAGATATGACAACATATACACAATATTGGCCGTACTTTGTCCCTACGAGCCAGCGTTCTGCGTGGCGTCTGAAGGGATGCATGTCCATACTGATGCGCCTCAGCTTCGGCGATCGTCATTGTGGTAAATCTGCATGTATATACAACGCGGTCGAAATAAGGGAAATCTAGAAGAGTCCAAGAAGATCGTCGTTCTGCGAACTGTTCATCGTCTTTGGTGCAGGCTTCGAGGGTGCTGCTCCGAATCCGAAGTCGTCGAGCCCACTGAATGCGTCAGGTTTGACAGGTGCAGGTGTTATCGATGCTGCAGATAGCGCGGACGCTGGCGAAGAAGCCATGCCAAAGGGTGAAGGAGATGATGTGGCCATAGGTGTAGTGGTAGGTGCAGTCAGCGTGTTGGTTGCGAACAGATCCATCAACTCGTCCAGCGGGTTCTTCGCCAATGCTTGTTGTACCGAGGCCGACTGCGACCCGCTAGGCGCGTTGGCGAATGCCGAGGCGGATATCGACGTGTCTGCCATCGCTGCTGGTTCGTCCATGTCAAAGTCGAGGAGGTTTTCTGCCTTTTGTCCCTGCGCCACTGTCTGCAGCGCTTTCTCCTGAATATTATCCTCCAGACTAGGAGATTGCCGCGCATCAGTATGATAGAGTCGGTGAAAACACATTTCGCCACTCACTCATCCTGTCTTCGCTTTGCCATGTCCTCAGCTCCATATCGACCACGCCCAATGAAAGTAGCGGCCGGCTTGTGGTAAACGCTGGCCAGCGACGATATCTCGCCGAGCAGCTCGTCCAGTACTGTTGCTGACACCGTTGTTTGTGGCAACGAGATGGGTGGTTTGACGGAAAGTACAACAGCCTGAGCGAGGTTGCATCAAGAATAATCAGTTAGAGCTGAAGGAGAAACGAGAAGGCCTTGTACTCGCTTTGGCAGCTGCAGGATCCGTAGACAGCAATCGCCAATACACGTATGCCTTATCACGGACGTCAGGGTTATCGCAGTCCTTCGTTGCCGCCTGTAACACTCGCTGCACTATCGCTTGCGAGCCGTCTGGTTTCTTCAAGAAGAGCTTCACTATCGCTGTAACTGTTTGCAGTTGCACCTGACGATGACGACAGGAGTTTAATACACAGTCCGGCAAGAGTAATTTCGAGCTTGACAAGGTACTCACAGCGTAGGGCTCCTCCTTGAAGCTCTCCAAGAAGATCCCAAGCAATTCATCGGCGTTCTCAATCTTCTCGGCATATTCACCGATAATCCAGATCAAAGAAGCCTTGGCCTCAGGCTCGTCCAGGTCATCTAGGTTGGCACATAGAACGGGAATGATACCCTCGTAACTGTGCGGGTATTTCCGGAAAATGTCCTGCAAGCGATGGTAGATTATCAATGATCTGCTTGATGCCAAGCATACTCTATCCTGGAATTGACCTTGATGACCACTACCCCTTCCTGCACCACGTACGAAACCCTCGTCTGAATGAGATCCAGTAGCAGTTGTACACATCGACCCGCCGCAGATTCGATCTTGATCGCGGTCTGACCGATCGCCTTGACCGCTTTCCTGACAAAGTCAACATCGACTTCTGACGCATATCTATCGATCTCGAGGTGAGCTATCCCGGTTTTTTAAAGAAAGTGAATACCGACGTACTCCCGCAGTTCGCCCAACAAGGTGTCGACATTCCTGTGATCTGCCAGTCTGACCATAATATCTAGCTTCTCCACCTTGACATACGGAGGATCGTTATATTTGCAGAAAAACACCCTCATCTCGTTGGCCAGAATGTCTGGCCTCTTCTGCAGCAAAAGATTAATGTTCCTCAAGGCGACCCACTGAACCTCAGGAGCCGAGGACACAAGGGTAACTGATAGGTTTGCCAGGATCAGCCTGGTAAACCTGAATGTGAAATATCGATTCCAGACTAACCAAGAGGTGGGGCCATCTTGCGGATAAGCTGCGTGACTAGTTCCTGACGTCCGACATTCCTCATATGAATCATGATCACCTACAAAGACGTGTCCGTTAGCTTCGCGAGCTCGGTAGAACGCCCTTCTGTCAACCTACTTTGACGGCACCGAGCACCACCGCCGCATTCGCGTGCTGAAACTGAGGCATCACTCTCTCACAGATATGCTCGCTCTCCTTGTCATCCTGAGCCTTGTACCGAGCAAGAGCGTTCAGAAGCGCGATCCTTCCCCATTCAGAGCACTCGTTGAGCGCCAAGAGGAGCTTTGATAATGTAGGGGGGTCGATAATGAACAAGGTGGGAGAAGGCCGTGTAGCGGAAGGAGGAGGACTCTCGCCATCTGCGGCAGGAGAACCTGGTCGAGATGGAGGCATGCTCTGAGCAGCTTCGTGAATGTCCATCAGAGCGGTCACAGCGTTCGCAACAACCTAACGAAAGCGCCTCAGTCCGAGTTCACCAGCGTAGCAGAATCCGTAGCGTCGCCTCAACTCACCATCGGATTCCCGTCACCAACCAAATCCCTCAGCATTTCCACGAAACCCCACTCGACACACAGCTCTGGTTTCAGCTCGAAAGCCTTGGCGACGCACAGCGCGGCCGTCTTTCGGACGTATGGGTTGTCATCCTTCAGACATCGATTCAGAGGTTCTCCCAGGTACGTCAAGATCTTCTCTGCCTTCAAGGTCGACATGGTTCGAATGGCCAAAGCCCGGACGAGCGGGTTGAAATCGGCGGTATCCTGCATGGCTCGAAATTGTCAATCGACTGACCTAACTCCGGGTAGCGACCAACTCACCTTGACAAAAGTGTTGACAGCGAGGATCACGAGCTCTGGTTGCGTCTTGGCATAGTTCATGAGATAGAGGTATACGAGCTAAGGAAAGGCCAGAGGTCAGGATCGAACTTGCTTCATCAAGGGACAGCGGCATACGTACTTTCTTCTGCTCCAAGTCGTCAGTTTGCTAGAGTTGAAATACATCTTTCGTGAGCTTTTTAAAGTGGATCTCTTGGCTGCCTTGCCTGCTCACCATGTTTTTCAATACGTCAGGGAAAAGACCGGATACATCCTTCCCGACGGTCATGTTTGCGATGACACGCTTGATTGCATCTGCCCTACGATCCCGGTATTCCGAGTTGAGCTCTGCGCGAAGCTCAAAGTTCTCGCCTGAAAAAGTAGATCATTACTATTAGTCCACTTGGTAGTATAAGAAGCTGAGAGCAGCTTGATGAGGCCAGGGCGTACCCTTCCTGGGAGGTGCTCGACTCATTCTTGGGGTTATGAGTCCTTTGTTACGCCTAGTCGGTTCGCTGTTGACCGAATTGCTGGCCAAGTGTATACCAAACTAAGCTCCGAGGCTACGGTTCACCTTGAGGTATTAGCTATGTGTATGACGTAGGGATCGAGAGCCCACGCTTTGACGATGTGGTTGCCATATTGAGGCAGCTCTGAGCTAACCAACTCTCTGACATGCAACTGCAACAACACATGACAACATCACGGAACCATGATGATCGTTGGTCGACGTCGAGTCTCAGCTCGACCTCGACCCCATTCGACCTTCACATCGAGCTTGCTCATCGCCTGTATTTGTGCATAGCGCTTCAATGACAAGGACAGGACTCTTCAAGATCGTCGGCCGTACTCTAGCAGAATCATGCCAAAGTTGGACAACCCCATCAAGCTGAACGGAATACGGAAGCTGGCCAGTGCTAGCAAAAGCTGCTCGACCCAGGTGAACAGCGATAGACTAGATCGGAAGAATCGGACAGGACACTGACGGCTGGCTATGCCAACTTTCCATCAGTCGTTGGCTTACGGAAAATGTATCGGTGCCAACTATACCGATGTCAGTAAAGGAATGTGTGCGGAAGAGTTCCGAGCTTTCAAGGAATGCGTGCAGGCGAGTTATGGCCAGTAATCAAAGCGGCGAACCGTGTGCTCATACGAAATATGGTCTGGACCGGCTTGCAGAAAGCGATGGGCAAGAAGTGGTAGCTTCCGGCTTGTCGAACAACTGTATCCAAGTATATGGCCGGATGACTGTACTATAATATCGGGCGCCCATGAAACATTCGTAATCGAAAGACTACAATCTGCATCGCCCGTCCGTAAACCGCCACAGTCACTCTGAACGAAAGATACACCAACAGCCATAGGCAACCCGGAAGGTAGTAAGATAGATGCTCCAGAGATCTCGCATTGATTGTATACCAGTCAGGCGAGTCGCAAATACATGACAAATAAGGAGATTGCATCGCTCAATGGGTTCTTGTAGTCCGAAGCAAATCGAAGATCTGCCGGCTTCCCCGCTCAAACACGTTCCGGATGTCTTGTTCGACGTCACGACTCTTGGAACGGACGGCAAGATAGTCGGTGACCTGCAACGGACGATTCTAGATTAGTCACACGTGTCAAGAGGCGAACACGAATGGGAATCCCGTCGATCGAGACTCACTCCCGGGAAGAATGGTTGGTCCCGTCCGACAGTGGCAGCCTCGATCCAGCTCGGCAAGAGTACAGCAATCTCGCTGTCCAAGTATCGCTTGCCTTCTGTGTCGTCGAAGGGCGGCTGCGATCACATCGGTTTTTGCAAAAGAATGGGCTCTGTTCAGTTCCAGAGATTTGCGCGACTTCCGAATCCGAAATGCTTACCTGATCTTGAGCGAGATAGCCCAGAGTGTCCCAGATCTCGCGATGTGCGACGCCAGCTTCGATGAGGGTACGCGTCACCCAACCCGAAGGTGAGTCCTTCATGTCATAACCTCGTTCATAGTAAGATTGAGCGATCACGCCTAGACAAGAGGGAGAGTCGAAGTCAGTCTGTCGGTCTGACACGACAGAAGGCCATTCCTTGTTGTTACGGCTGACTTACCTGTTGGGAAAGCGGCGTGCGAAGGATAGAAACGCTTGCCCAGCCGTACAACAAGGTCTTGGAACGGCCGATACCGCTGGCTCGGGCTCAGATCTTCTGCTTCATGATCGGCTGAAGATGCGCGGTCGTCAGTGTCATCTCGGTCGCAAGTCGTCCGACAGAATGACTGACCTTTGAGTAGCAAGGCATTCCAGATATCTGCAACTAGTTGTGCATCCCGGTGATCGGACGCATGCAGTATGGTCAACTGGGATTCGTACAGCCCAAGAGGTTCGGCAAAGTCTGTGAAAAGCTGCAAGACAATACTGCCGTTGGATCCTATGATCATTGGCGCTCGGTCTTCAATCTGCTCACCTCGCTGATCGGGATCATGCGACCTTGCAATTGCTCGGCTTTACTAGCAGCCTCTTCCGTGACGTCCGGGTCATTTGCAATGGCTTCCCAAATCTCGAGTTGGATGTTTGCAACGTCATTCGTCTCCTCCAGCTCCGTGACAAAGTCTACTGGAGCCCTTTCAGAGTCCTGCATTGTCGATGACTTGGCGTGCATTGAAGCGAGCGCGAGGCATTCGACCCGCTGAGCCATCGGAAGTTCGATCCTGCCGACGGCCACAAGATTCGCATGAGTTAGGATAAGTCAGACCAGCTGGTCGAATCTCAGACATACCGTGCTTCGGCGAGCTCCCTAAGTGCTTGCGCTGCCCGGAAGTGTCGATTTCGACGGGCGTAGAACCTCCACAGCAGACTTGGTTCACCGCTTGTCAAGCCTCGGTAACGCAGGTAAGCTTCTACCTTGGCGTCGTTCTCGAGCTACGCGTCATTTGTGCAGGTCAGCCTTGAGAACCGATCTATCGATGGCTAAGGGCGGCCCTGCTTACCTCCAGCAGCTGATCTGATTTGCCTTTCTGTACCATCCACTGATACAGAGTCATCAAAAACAGGTCATCGCCAGTGTTGAGCGCATAGTCGTAAGCGAGATCTCTTGTGCTACTCGCTTCACTTCCTGTTGATATGCGACATATGCGTGAGCCCATGTGTGATACGCTTGCCGAAGGATCCCTTGCATACCTGGACCTTGCTGGGCTGCATCGTTGTCGAACTTCTCTACAGCTGAAAGTGCCAGCAAGTAGAATTTGAGACGCTGCTCGTAGTTGCCTTTTCGACCATCATCGTCCTTGCGTCCATCCAGATAGTAGGTAAAGGCTAGATGATCGGGATCGGCCCGTTCCGCCTTCTCAATAGGCAATTGTATGCAACCTATGTCACAAATTCAGATTCGGCCTTCTGGAACGGCACATGCACATCGCTCACCAGCTGGATATCCCAATGAACAAAAATCGGAAACGACTTCGTTGAGCTTTTCTTCGCTAAGCCCTGGACAGGCCTTCATGAAGTTACTAGGAATCGGACAAGATGAACTCCCCGAACAGCCACATCGACTCCGACAGAAGCCACACGGCGACTTACTCGAGCGCTGACTCCAAGTGCGCCTGGCGTTCCACTCCCTGTCGGACCTCCTTTGCTTTTCGCAAACTCTCCATGGCCTTGTAAAGATCGACATCGGCTCGGCTACAGTACGATGGACATCGCTCTTGCAACTTGTTGCTAATAGTCTCGATCTAAGCAAGGGAGAATGCTTGCGGTCAGCTAAAGAGCGGCATTGTTCCGTACGGGACATGCTTACGCTCTGTTCCCGGCTGATCTGTTGATTCACCACATTGGTGACGAGTCTTTTAGCCAGATCCCTCCCTCGAGGATCGACCACCAATTGGAAGTAGTTCATCGCACTGAGATCACGTTGCAGAGATGGGTCGCAACTGAGAAACCACCGGATGATAAGCGAACGTGGCTTTGACCACAGCTGGCGCTATACTGACCTGGCCAAGACCGTCTCGAACCTTTCCTCGCTGAGCAACACCACAAAAGCCAAAGCCTCGATCGTCTGTGCGATTAAGACCCTGACCGGATGGAAGCTATCCGCATTAGGATTGGTCGCACCCGAATTTGGCACGAAAGTTGGGTCGATGGAACTGAAAATGTTCGTTCGGCTGTAGACACAGGGTTGATCAGTGACATGGCATCAAACCTCTGGCATGAACCAATGATTGACCTTTTCAGCAAAGCTTGCAGGTCTTCAAGTCTACTTTGCAGGTCCTGTAATTTCCCGATTGACAGCGAACTCGAAGCCATTTGTGTTGACGGGCTGTAGAAGACGAGGGCTGGCTAAGCGATGGCTCAGCCCTGCCTCGCGACCCTACTTACTTGGTTGACAAAACATTGGTATTCCAGAAGGTTCTCAGGGATCTTGACAGGTGCAGGTACACGGCGTCAAGCTTCCATTGAGCAGCATTCGCGGATTGGTGGTCTGGATCGGATGCAGACGTAATTATGTAAGAGCATTTCTACCGAGGGAGTACGGTCGTCGGAATACTTACACAAGGTCTTTTGCTTTTGTTGCTCATTTGCCCAATTGACGAGATGGTCGAGAGCGCCCTGAGCGGCATTGTTCGGCAGGTAGTCTCGCGTCCGGATCCCGTGTTGACCAGCAGATCCGTTCTGAGCGGCAATGGCAATGTCGATAGCGAGCAAGGGCGAGACAGACGAACTGAGTCTTTGATAGAGGGCTGCAATTCAGCATGCGAATCGTTTCGCGTCGAGTCTTTTCGGCTCTTTGCTTACTGTCGTTGAATGGCCAACATCATCTCCGTCCGTCCATGGCCATTGGCATATAAGAAGTCCAAAACGTCTATCGGTCGATTCTTCTCGAATGTGATCACTGCACCGCCCTGAGTCATCACAACGAATCTTCGTTTGGAAGACACCGTAACTTCGGTGACCATTTCGTGCGTTTCCTTGATACTCAACTCAGGTCCGCTTGACCCCTTGACCACCCGTTTGAGCGCGCGGTCTCCGCTGGACCAAAAGTCTGGTTCCTCCGCGATAGCACAGACTGAAGACTGAAGATCGGCGGTGACGAAAGATTCAGGGAATCCTGTACCTCGACCGGGTATGTCCTGCGCGACCATCTGTCCTTGCTGACGCTTGGCTGCCAGATCAGCCCACTCAAACGGGTCGGCAGCATACCAGACGAGTGAGCAAGAATCGGTCGACTTATGATGGACGGTCACGTAGACGCCATGCATATAACGACTTTCCGTTATCGGTTGGGAAGTTATGCTCAAAGGGCTAGATCCCTGCGCGACAGGAACGCTCTCAATGGGAAGACGGATATGCGCAACGTGGAAGCCGCCTGGACCATAAGAGTATCCCATCCCTCTTGATTGAGCGCCATCCTTCATGTAGATTCGGGCGTCTGGAAAGAAACATCGTTCGGGCAATCAGTGCCGGGTGCGCCTTGCTTGATCTGATCAATCGGCTCACTACTAGAAGTCGTAAGAACCAGACATGCTTCAGACTCCATCTTGGTGATGACATCGATGCTGAGAATTTTTGTCTGCTGGTCAAAGAACTTGCTCCCTTCTGTAAGTCTTCGAGCCAAATCCACGGGTGACACGGCTCCTTCTTGTTTGGGCACGATCGTGTTTCCTCCGGAAGATGCTGTCTTTCGGACGATGGACCATCTCTCGATCTTGTTGTCTTTCGTCAGACCATAGATGACTTCCCGTTCGTGATCGATAGCCAGCTGGACAAGGTTGTCCTTCTTGTTAGAGCCCACTGGAATGAAGTTGGTCCAGCCTGAAAGACCCGTCGACCAGTTCTTCATCACGGGTTCTTTCACTCCACCGCCGTAACCGATCAAGCCCAACCATCCTTGATTGCTATCAATCTTGGCTTCGTAGACAAGCTCCCACAAGCAGCCGCCTCCTAGGAGAAACACCCGGGACCCGATGGGTGTACAAACGATCTGTTGAAGCTCGATATTAGGAGGCGATGTGGCGGAGAGGAACGACTGGTTGGGCAGCATGTCGACGAGCGAGATGGATCGCGTGAAAGGGTCGTAGGCCAAGCCAAGAAGACTGGTTCTGGCGTTTCCGGCGATGACGAGAAGATGGGTGAGGTTTTGGAAAACGGCTAGCAAAAAACGCGAACATGCGAGCGAAGTGAGCGGGGGTCGAGCGGTCGAGTTGGCTAAGAAACGAGCTTGCGCTCACTTGGGTCGGCCTTGACTACACCAACGCAGGTAACCGAATTACCGGCATCGTGTTCAATCCTAACCAGACCCGAGTCTCCCCTGAAACGCGATACTAAGGGCTTAGCAGATTGAGGGGAATGACGCTTATGTCGACCTCGCAACGTACTCTTTCGTATAATCCCACAAGACCAAAGTCCCGCTCGCCGTGAAGTAGGCCCTGCCAATGTCGAGCAAGAGCCCTTGACCTTTGCTCTTACTACTGTTCCTGCCTATAGAAAGATGATCCATGAGCTCTTCGTTCGAATTGCGCAACCGAGTTCAGTTATTGCTACACCGTACCACGAAGCATGTCGATAACGCCATTTGGGGGCCCCATCTGGCTGACCTGGACGAAAGGAGTCGCCAGATTATTCGAGTCGATATGCGAACCTTGTGCGTGTGTATATAGATTGCTTAGCGAGGCTATAGGACGTCATATACGCCAAGTGATCTTAGCAGCGCATCTGTCGACCAGCGATGGAATATGCTTACGTCTAGCCAACCCTCCCATACCCATACTTCCAGCACCGAGATGATCGTCAAGTCCGTTGCCGAAGAGCGATTCGTCGTTGATCATCATGTTCTCCACTGCATCTCTTGCAGTTTTGAGAGGAACGAAGAGAGCTGGATCTCCTTCCAAAGGGCTAGATTGCTGCGCAGAGCTTGTGCCTTGAGGCGGGGCCTGCACTGATTGTTGCGCAACCTCCTGTGGCCGATACTGAATCTGCGGTTGTTGAAAATAGGTGGTGCTACCCATGTTCGATGGGTCCGCCTTGACCAAGCCATTGATGCTTTGCATCTGGTTCTGCGTCTGTTGCTGCCCCTGAAGGTCCCGACCTGACATGCTCATCTGCATCTGGCCCGCATATTGTGAACCAGGTGCAACGCCCTGAATAAGGCTGTTACTGGAAGTAGCTGGCTGCTGGTTGTAGACCGCCACCGAGGATGAAGCGAGTTGCGATTGTGATCGAGGGAATGTTGGCGTCGGATTCGAGTTGTAGTAAGACGATGAGCCAAACATTTTCTGCTCGCTATTCAGCCGAACTGATAGCCAAGATGACGAGATCAAACAACTACTGGAATTCGGAGCCGTCTGTTCAAGACCGAATTGCTAAATCGTTGTGAGAGATTTCTTGAACTCCTGTAATTTATCAGAAGCATCCCTTGATCCCTTGAAATGTTGCATGAGATGTTGTCATGTCGACGGTTGTGAGCCGGTCGGGAGCCTTATCAAACAAATGAATGCAGCAAGAATGAGGTTAAGGGGAGTGAATGACGTGGCAAATATCAGCAATCGCGATTACGTAAATCGACTCTTCGAGGAACCAAATTATTTCGAAGAAGTTCGGCCTTGCCATCCATCTTTCTCTTGTGTGTACATGTCAAAATCACAACATCTCGGCTTCGCGTCCCTGACGGCGGCGGTGTGATAGCTATAGTAAAGCTCCAAACGACACTTGTGGATACTTTGAACGAACACCACGTAGGTTCACCCGTCTCCGAAGTTGGTCAGCAGCAGGGTCCGCCATCATGCAGAACGACGAGATCATCTGGTCGGTGATCAACCAACAGTGAGTTTACCGCCTGACACTTCCTTTACCTGGCTATTATTGTTTGGCCTTCTGATCCGATTGAGTTGTAGGTTCTGCTCTTACAAAGTCAAGACTACAACACAAAACTTCTGTCGAAATGAATACAATCTTACCGGGTTCTGCACGAGGCAGTCGTGCCCATTGGCCAACTCGAGGTATGCGACGGTGCGGGAGCATGAAGGTGGGTTTGCACTTCGTCTCATCTTGTCACTTGATTGTGAGACACTGACATAGAGTTGCATTGACCCCGCAGGTGTACTATATCTCTATGTGAAGACGATTGAGCGAGCGCACACACCGGCAAACATGTGGGAGAAGATCAAGCTGAGCAACAATTACGCCAAGGCATTGGAGCAGGTCAGTAGCCGAATGCCACGCACGGGATTGATACCAACCGGCTCATGACATCGACAAACAGATCGACAACGAACTTATCTACTGGCCAAACTTTGTGACACACAAGTGCAAGCAAAGGATCACCAAGATCACGCAATACCTGATCAAGATGAGGCGGCTGAGTCTCACGCAACAGTATGTCCTCTACGTTGATCACATCGTTGCCCATTCGAATATTGACCTTTTGGGATTGTCGACTAGACCCAAGCTCGTGGGAATCAAGAAGAAGCTCGACCGAAGAGAACGAACCCGAGAAGCCAAAGCTCTCAAGGCTGCCCACCTCGAAAAGGCTATCGAGAAGGAACTCTTGTCTCGTCTGAAATCCAAGGCTTACGGTGACGCACCTCTGAACGTGAACGAGGATGTATGGAGAGCGGTCCTCGATAATGAGCGAAAGGCAAAGAACAAGGAGGGCGAAGAGGAGTTGGAGATGTTGACGGATGAGAGCGAGGAAGAGTTTGAGAGCGGGGACGAGGAGGAAGAGCTGGAGGAAGAGTACGAGGGTGGCGACAGGGAGTTTGTGGAGGACTTTAGCGGGAGCGAAGACGAGATGGACATGGAGGACTATGACGATGGCTCGGATGACGTGAGTGGCTCGTTCGGTTACAACTCTGCATCGAACAGCGCTGACACTGTTTTGTATCGATGTCGAAGCAGAGCGAGGCTGGTTCCGACGAGGACTCCGATTCCGAGGACGACGAGCCGGTCACCAAGCATAGCCGGCCAGACAAGTTCAGCGGAGTCAAGCGAAAAGGACCCGCTGCGGCCGGAGGCAGTGCCAAGGGCAAGAGTAAGCAGTGACTCTACCTTGATAGTCGCTTCCGATCTCATCTCGCTCACACTTGTCATACTTGCAACAGAGATGCCCAGGGTCGACGTCGAGTACGAAGTCGAAGAAGAGCGCGAAGTGGTGCCCAACGGCCGTGGTCGGGAAATGTTGGCCAACTGGTAATCGCAAGCAGGCATGCTTGGCCCTCTCTGTTGTACGCCTTTTCACGCTGTTTATATACGTTCCGATCAGATCTATGTGGTCTCGCTTTTGGGAAAGAAACAAGCACATCTTGCCCCAAGAAGAACCTTGAGCCTCAGCTACCTCGGATACATTCGGAAAGAATGTGAAAATGATCCGCTAATCTACCTGCAAGTCGAGCAACATCATACTACTCGTATCAAGCTATCAAGCCTGTTTCGAGGGTTTCAGTCGATCAGTAAAAGAGGTGTCCATGTCATTCGAACGCGTCAGCCCGTCGAACTCACGCGACGCGACGCGCGACCAATATAAATCAGGTGTCGGATGCGTCGGATGCCCCGTCCCCCATCTGATCATCGAGGAGATCAGACTCCAGCCTGCACCCTGTAGATGGCTAAGCGACAAGTATGACATACAACCGGTCGAATACCTTCCCATGAGATAGATCAGTCATGCAATGGAGGGATCGGACGATGAAGATCCCCTCGCTCTATTGCCCAAGAAAAGGCATCGTACCACGGTGCTCCACGAGCCGTTCCAGAAGAGCGATGCCGATGCTACCACTACGGCAGCTCCGATAGTCGATGTTGTGCCTACTTCTGATTCAGAGGAAGCTCAGGAAGATCTGTTCGGCTCGAAAGGATGGGGCAGCTGTGCAGGCATCTTGAATGACCCATCGGTTGTCGTATGTAAGGGGTCGGGCGGACCAGCCGTTGGCGCAGAAAGCGGACGTGTCGGTACGTTGACCGCTGTGTCTAGAATGTTGGGTCTGGAATGCTTATCGTTCGTTGAGATCTATGTGGCTATAGTAGAGAGAACCGGGATGGAACCCGTAGCCGTCCCTTCAGTATCGCCTCCTCTCGCCTCGATTACCGATTACCCCAAACAGCACGATGTTCAGGACGATACCCCCGACCCTCAGACATTATCGTCTGCAGAGTTTCCATCGGGGCTAACATGTCCGTCGTCTGAGCCGGAAGGAAGGAACAGTAGATGCACAACAGCACTTGATGGTGCCATAGCCCTCAAAGAAGCAGGCTATCTGGAACCGTCCGGACCCTCAGAAGCTGTGATTCCGAACGTATTCCGAACGCATAACACCCACGCTCAACCGAACGGGATCTTCTCGGAAAACTTGGATGTCATTGCCATGGACGTCGAGGATGATCAGGGGCCAAGTGCAATTAGCGTGATGCCTGCCAGCGATACTGCAATGACTACTCGACAGGCTAACTCTCAACCGGATCTCCAAAGCCCAGAGGTTGAAGATGTCCTCAAGGCTTTTGGAGACAGGGTGCCCGGACAGAGGATAGCAGCTGATGATGATATGGGAATCGATCCTCAACCCGTCAAGGAGCAGCACGAGCCTTCCAATGACGCAATCGAGAATCATGATCACCGAGAAAGAACGAGCGTCGATCGAGATATCAGCTTTGAGCCCTTCTTCGATACGGAAGGTCCGGGAATGATGGCGGAATCTGCACCAACCGCTTCTCAACCTCCATCAGACCATCTCTTGTCGGCCCTCAGGAACGATGTCGCTTCGATTACAGGCTCGCCAGTCAGACCGACTGGTTCTTTACCAAGAGCTCGCACGAGGTCGCCGAGCTTGTCGCCAGCTCCTGCAATATCCCCGAGCAATGGGCTGGCACCCAGACCTGCTAGTCCGTCTCCGACACCGCAGCTTATTGAGCCGGAGCTAGACCCTGCGCTTCTAGCGTTCCAAAATGCAAGGACTTTTCGTCGTCGTACGGCCATTCAGTTGCAACCTTATACGCGCGAAAAGACCAAATACAGAGCAATGGTACGCAAGGGAGGCAGACTGTTGATTGCCGAATTGCTACACGATGACCCTGATAGGGCCGCCATCACAGCAAGTCTGCAGGAGTCGGGGGATAGTCAATTTCGAGAAGATCAGCCGGAGGTTCCTGAAGAGCCTGAAATCGACATGGCAGTCTCACCGCCTGTCACGCCTAGTGATCAAGATTATGCAGAGCATTTCCAGCTGTATGGAGAAGTCGCAGACGAGGCGACGGACCCACGGTTGCAAGCACTAGCAAAGACCAGGTTGAAACTCGAGCGCCAGGAGGCTAAGAGGAAGGCAAGAGCAGATAGAGAGGCCCGACAGTACATGGCTTTCCTTGAGAAGGAGATCAAGGAGAGAGAGCGTGTCAAGCGGTTGGAGGAGAAGGAAGCCAAGCGAAAGCTGAGGGAAGAAAAGCTGAAGGAACGGCAAGCCGTTAGGGTTCCAAGTGAACCCGATACTCCGCGAGCTAGGAGACCGGTCCCTAAACAGCGATCTACGACGAAACGATCTGTGCCGGTTGCAGGAAGCAGCTCTGGCTCCGAAAACGACATTCAGCCAAGCGTCAAGCGTCGAAAGCTGGTTAAGCGGGCAGGCTCATCCGAAGCTGAAGGAAGCCATCGGACAGGTGGAAGAGGAGAGCTTCGCGAGTCTCGCACGGCGTCCCCCTTGCGAGTCTCACAGCGTGACGACATGAGCCAAGGCGATCGTGATGATTCGCACTCGAGAATTGACGCTTTCGACTCTCATGTCGGGCCGTTCGAAGAGTTTGACTTTGATATGGGGGATGACGAGTTGCCGGAATTGACCTTCGATATCGCGACCAGTCCTCGCGTACCGCTTTCTTCAAGCCGAACTATCAATCTGGCTACCCCGATATCTATTCCCGCAACAAGTGACGATTCGGATTCGAGCGAGAAGATTGACGGCCCTCGGGAAAAAGTGAAAGCGCTGAAGCGAGTCATGCCAGCCCTGTTGGCCAAGAAGCTGGCTGATAAGGCAGAGGCAGACTACCAAGCGCGACAGCGCCGCAAGGCCTTGAAAGCCAGAGAAGCGGAGGTTGCGGCTCGAGCCCGCCCCGGTCAAGCTGTCCGGCGCAAGGCAAATGCGCCCTCACACCGACAAGGCGTAGAAGGGCTGTTTGACGACGATCCTTCGGTGGGAAGAGATGATGAGACCCCACATTTCGCGTTAGAGAGACCGCCCGATCCGATGATAAACATTTTTACAGACGACGAACAGGACGATGACTCCGTGCTTCCGAGCGATTCTGGCGGCTCTTCGCATGAGAGCCAGTATCAGAATGAACGAGTACGGCAGTTTCAAGTTGGAGATTTCGACAGCCTGCTTCACGGGCCTCGAAAAGCTCGCCCAACCAAATTGCCACCGAAGCAAGGGTCGAAGGCGCTTTTCAGACGACCTCGAGTCGATGCGAGGCAGCAGCGCAAATCTCAATCGCGGAGGCCTCAGGAGCATGCTGGGATGCCACACAGTCCCGCGAACCTGAATAAAGTTTCTGCGAAGAGACCTCGCAGGAAGCGACGCATTCTGGATGACAGAACCATATTCGAGGTAGAGACCAGCTCGGCGGTGGTTACTCGCGCTCGTCCTAGATCAGGGAGTAGGGATCAGCTGGCTCGACCCGTCGAAAAGCGAGCGTTCACCAGGACGCCATCGGCAGTCACAGCTGTGAAAAATACAAACCGGAACAGCGCCTCGCCTGTTAGATCGGGCCTCGATCTTGTACCGGAGCCCGTCGCATCAACGACCTCAAATAGGCATGCCACCGTGTCTGAAGCATCTGACATGTGGGACGATTTGCAAGACTTTCAAATCGATTTCGCGATAAAGCCCTTGCAAACAGGAGTGGAGTTCGGTATTGCCTCCTTTATCGGGTCAGGAAAGCTCCGGAATCATATCGACTATTTGGATGGGCGCGACCGTCTTTTTGCAGAAGGGAGCATTGAAGCGATAGGTCTGGCGTTCGAGACATCAATGGAAGTCTCGGCATTCATCGCGCTTTTGCCTATTGCTTTGGACAAGATTAAAGACGATGTCCTGGCCGTCATGAACGATCGACTGGAGCCTCAGATGTCAGCGGCGCCTCGCCTGATCTCCTTCCTGATCTCATACCTTGCCAACGCGGATTGCAACGACTCCGACTTGCGTCAAGTCCAGCTTGCATTTCAGGCTCTGAAAGGCAATCTCCAGGATCTCTCCGTGCCTCGATCAGCAAGAGATCGCAACCAAGCTTTCTTTCTACTGGAGGTCAGGCTCTCTCTTGCAATTGCGCCGATGGTTTTATCACGCGTCGACGAGCGTTTGGAATCGCCTACCGCATACGATTACGATTCGTTAGTATGTGAGCAAATTGCTGCAGTTATAGAAGGCTTGCTGCAGTATGGCTTCGATCGAACCATGAAGCCCTTGAAGGCGATTATGAACTTCGAAGCGGAAGACGGGATCGTCGATGACTTCTCTGCGGAATGCTGGGTTGTCGTCCTTCACCTAGCATCTTGTTGGGATCGCAAGCCTGTCTTGCAAGCTCGGGACGCTTCGACACTCCAGCAATGTCTAGATCGCGCTTTAAATTTAGCTTTTGAAGGCAGGCACGCGGGTCCGCGAGCAAGCGAACGGATTTGGTATTTGACTATTGGCCTAGCGGCGTTGTCGCAATTCGACAATGCCGGTAAGGTTCCTTCGAATCTGTCAGTGCCTACTCGCTGGTTTCTCGTACGGAAAGCGTTGAGTTCCATCAAGATAGTGTCACCTACTGAAGAGGAGGAGACCAAAAGGCGACATCAACTCAAGCCTCGGGATAAATACATCAAAATCGTGGTCATCCGGTGCTTGCAATTGACCAGTGTCTGGCGATGGCATTGCGATCGTGAGAGCTTTACCATTGCCACGAAAGACTTGGGCGTCGTCTTTCGGGACAGGGCTTTGCGAGGGTTGCCTAACGAAACCTTCGCCGATTACCCGGTCTTCATTCGCCAATTCAACCGAACTTTGGCCGAAGAGATAGATATGGAGGAGTCCGCCTACAACCTATATCTCCAGCTCGTCTGTCTATGCGCATCGGACATTGTCACGATGCCCTCGAGTCTGGATGAAGCTAAACAAGCAGCAGCCGATGTCAAAAGGCTCATGCTCTCTATCGTACCGTTTAGTCCTGTGCGATATCAAGAAGGCAAGGTACCAACCGACAGGCAGCTGAGCGCCTTGATAAATCGCTTCAGCACCGCGGTTATCGCCGCCATTTTCGACATCACCCTGATGCCATATCTGCTGGGCAATACTCGAAAGTGGATCAACTTTGCTTCGGCAGACACAGAGAGTCGCAGGACATGCATCCGTGGTTTAATGTACCTGGGTGTCGCCGCCCGTCATCACGGGGAGTCGTTAACGGGAATCGTAGGGGAACTATCGAGCCATTTCGAAGTCGTACAACGGGAGAAATCTCGATTGGAAGCGGCAAACGCGAACGACCGTGCGATTCTAGAGCACGCTCGACTGTTGGTGCTGATTGTCAGCTGTTTCAAGACGTTGATCTGTACTCACTCGTTCGACGCCGAAGTAGAAGCACAGCCCAGGTACCCAGATCCAGAACTCCTGGCCCCTTGTAAGTTCTTCTCAGGCAGCTGATTTGCTTCGACGCATTATCGCTAATCTACGATATCGCTTTCGGGATGTCGTTCTTCTCCAGGCTGGACGCAGAGACTACGATCGGCAGAGCTGGTTGCTGATCGCAAAGCTGGACTCGAAGTCGTCGCCTGTGTGCAAAGCTTTTTGGACGCGCGGGCGTCAGCTCTCCCCGCAAGATCGAAAACTCGACGACCTGTCACTGACGACCCTGGGGAGGACAGTCAACAAAGCGACTACAGCGCTATGGGGCTGGATTTTACGGATGCGGACCTCTTGGCGATTGACGAGTTAGGAGCGGTAGTCGCTCCGGAAGCGCGGCTGGATGCGGGGGTTGCATCGGTAGGTTGTGCATGTCCGTAACAGTCATAGTCCCTCAATATAGTGACGCTTCGCTATCGCACAGATTCTTGCCGATTCGATCTCGCCGGGTATCTACGCGCTCCTGTCGAATACCATGTCGGAATCCTGGCAACGGTTTTCGGGGCAAACCCGGGCGGAACGACAGCTGTATATTTCAGCAATGACGCGTTGTTGGGCGGAGTGTGCGAGTATCTTGGTAGTGGATCATCATTTACGAGTGAGTGCTAGGCGTTCTTGGTGTCGAAGCGGTCGGCGGCTGATTTGCCTTTCGAGACAGGACTGGGACACGTACCTAGCCTATGGGCAGGAGTCTTGGGAACGGTTGGGTGACGAGATCGGTAAACGTCAAGTTGGAATGAACTTCATGCTCAACGTGGCGCAGCTCGACCCGCCAGTTTTGACGGTACGTTTCAACCGAGAGCATGCCAATCAAGCGTTGTTGACGAAAGTGTGGTTCGCAGGCATACGGCGACACCTTCATACTTTTGATATTGCAGGCTTTAGTCGCGCAACAGATCACCATTGAACCAACCTTTGTGTCGACGGTTTTGCAAGCCTCCTCAAGTCAGGTTCACTTTCTACTTGGGGACACGTGGCCAAATGATATCAGCACCTTCAACCGAGCGGACTATCTTAAGAATCGTCTATCGATTTTGAAAGGTGAGCGTTTTTGCCTTTCTATTTAGGTCTGATACGGGAGACGCGCCCGCTGACTTCCCGCCTGTGTACCCAGTGATTTTCAAGAATGCTGGAAAGGCATTGCAGTTTGGCAGCGCTGTTGCGGGTAGCAGCAAGCCGTTCGTTTATCGGTGCATCAATCACGTTCTGGCAGCGATGCAACAGAACTACTCGGTGAGTAATATATGATCGGGTAAAACTTCGATAATCGCTCGACTCAATTCCCGTAACCTTAGCTTATCGACCTGCGCAAGGGAGTGCTGAGATCCGACTATCGCGCCTTTACGAATGAGGTGGTACAGGCCATCCGGGACGAGTCGAACGCAAGCATATCCGAGGCGTCTGTTCCAAAGCTCAAGCAATTCCCCCTTCCTGAGCCGATCTCATAGCGTAGATTAACGCACTACTTGTCCATCTGACCATGTAAAGATCTGTTGGACGAATTGGCCGACGGCAACAACATGGGCACTTGTCGTGGTTGTTCTCTCAGTCCAACTGCGCGGTGGAGATCAGGTTCCGCACTCGAGCCAGCCGCCGTGGCATGCTTCGACAGAGATCAGAGAAACATCGACCGGACGTGCAGTTCAGATTGACCGGTCACTCTCGTCTTTCTGCTCACAACATTAGACTCACAGTCATAGCGATACCTTGCCTCTTTCCATACATATAGTGGATATAGTGGACCGTTCATCGGACTTTACGGGATTGTCAACCCGTAGCACTGCTCACATCAGACTCCAACGAGCGACAAATCGTTGCACCCAGCTCTGCTATCCCATAATACACGTTTGGCTACCATGGCTCGAGATCGCACGCCAGAGTTTCGAGCTGCTCTGTCCTCAATTCGCAACCGTACCCGGGCATCCATCGCTCCGGTGAATGGGTCAATTCCCATAGGACAGCGAGACGACTCGAAACAGAACCTCTTGATCAATGGAAACGGGAGAGGAACAAGGGGTGCAGGGAAGGAAGGACAGAAGAGCGAGTTTGCTCGGATGGCAGGGCAGATCAGCAAAGATCTGACCCTGACTATGGGGAAGCTGCAAAAGCTTGCACAACGTAAGCCTCTAGCCCAAACAATGACGCATCGAACCATCTTTGATAATACCCTTCCACGAATTTCAGTGGCTAAACGGAAAACACTGTTCGATGATCGGCCCGTCGAGATCTCTGAATTGACGTACATCATCCGACAAGACATCTCTTCCCTCAACTCTCAAATCGCTCAACTCCAGGGCTTTGTAATTCAGCAGAAGAAGGAGACGCAATCGTCCTCGTCGGCTCAGGGGAAACAAAAGGGCGTGGTCGAGGAGCACAACAACAACGTGGTGATGATGCTGCAGAGTCGTTTGGCCAACGTTGGAGTGGGATTCAAAGATGTTCTGGAGCTGCGAACCCAGGTAAGATGGTTGTGATTCCCAGATACGGTCCACCAAGCAGAAGCCTGACATGTCACCGCCTTGGCGTGGTCAGAACATGAAAGCCAGCAAAGATCGGACGGAGCAATTTATGCATACCGCATCATCGGCGGCGACAGCGCCTCCATCCCAGAGTGAGCAGCAAGATCCAAAGTTCGAACTTACCGAGACTGATACGTTTATACGCATCCGCAGACTCGGTCCTGTTCAACTCCAATTCGCAATCAGGCGGAGCTCTCTCAGCAAATTCTGCCCTGCTTCAACCCACCGACCGCAAGGGCAAAGGTCGAGCGTACCCCTCGTCGTCCCCTCTATCGGGCTCGACGAATCCTTCCTCTGATTTCCTCGCCTTGGACATGTCCGAGAAGGGTGGTCCGGGCAGCGGGCTTGGAGGTGGTGGACAGATGCAGCAGGAGCTGGTACTCGATCGTCAAGACGAATACATACAGTCGCGTAGTTCCGCAATCGAGGGGATCGAAAGCACTATTGCGGAGTTGGGGCAGATCTTCCAGCAATTGGCTGGAATGGTTCAGCAACAGGGAGAGATGGTGCAGAGGATCGACGCTGACGTGACGGACATTTCTGCGTAAGTCCGCGTTGCTGTGCTCAGTACCTGTGCATCAATTGACCTCTACTTTTCCGCACGCATTATGACAGCAATGTGACCGGAGCTCAGCGGGAATTGTTGAAATACTATGCATCGATCACGTCGAATCGATGGCTGATGCTCAAGATTTTTGGCGTTCTCATTATTTTTGTGAGTCTGCTTTGTTTCGATTTACTAGCTACCAAGCTTGTCACATGCCGTATTTGCTGATCTCCTCGATAATTGCGTCTCGTCCCAGTTCCTTGTGTTCATTCTTGTATCCTGATCCGAAAGTCACCAAGCCTTGTCCCGTATCCGATCATATAATTTGCATGCTACTTCGCGATTGGACTGTAGCAGAGCGCAGAGAACGTAGCAAGACAGCCTGAGCACAGGAGCCGAGAGCCGAAGCGGAGGGAGGGGCCGAGAGGGGTTAGTTGCCACTTGCGTCATCATGAGGGTAACCTATCCACAAAGTCAACAAACGCGCTCGCTCCTCTCGCCGAGCACACGGCGATCGACGATGGATCGAGGATATGCCCGTTCCCGCTTTTTTTGTGTAGCTGCGGTGAGAACGTCATTCCTTTCAGATCACGATCGGATGACCTGAACTACATCGGTGTCGATATATATCCAGTCGAGTGAATCGAAACTGCCCAAGATCGTACGGCTGCGTTTCTCGTCTCACTCTACCAGAGAAAGACTTGCGAGCCAACCAGACGACCATCTTAAATTAAGAGCCTACATCAGAGTGTCCCAGCATGGTCGCCTTCGTTATCGACCAGTACTACCTGGTCATTACCCTACTCATCACTATAGGGTGGCAATGTTTGGGCTTCTTCATCGCCTGGACTTTACAGGTAAGTCGCCAAAGACACGGATGTGTGTTCCTGAACGACCTCTCTGATCGCGCAATGCAATCCTCATTTGGCAGTTTGACAAGATCACCGAGTAAGCGATGACCTTGCATGATGCATGATGAGAGCAGTATGGACCGTTGCTAACGACATTCCAATCTGCATCGCCGCAGCTTCACGGTAAGTATGTGCCACCTCGAGCTAGCGAACGATGCCAAACTGACGCCCGAGTCGTCGCTAGGGGGGCAGCAACTTTTTCGTTCTAGGTGAGCAGGAATGCTCAAGACGGTCATGGTTGAAGTTTCGATGCTTACCTCTGCCCGTCATATTATAGCCCTGGTGACTCTCTTGATGGGCAACAGTAAGCTTGACGGCCCGCTTAGCCGCGTGCCACGAATCTAACCACATCTCGATGTCGTCTCATCGATAAACTACAGCTTTCTATGCAAGAAACATCGTGTATGTCCCTACTTCCAGACGGAAACACGGCCGGTCATGGTTGATCTGACACCTTTCTGATGACGATACACAGCGCATCCGTCTTCCAGATGGTCTGGGCCGCTCGATTGGCTGGGTTCTTGCTGTTCCGCGTTCTCAAGACGGGTAGTGAGTCTTGTGTCTCACAACAATCAGCCCAGATACAGCGAAACGTCTAATTGCGATCATGTTTCTGATACAAACCAGGCGACAATCGTTTCGACGACATCCGGTCGCACTTTTTGAAATTTGCCGGGTTCTGGGTCGGCCAGATCCTTTGGGTCTGGGTCGTCTGTCAGTCGACGCGATAGACCTCCTTGACAGCTTGTTACTGAAAGTTCGAATCGTTTCCATCAGCTCTGCCCGTGGTCATCTTGAATTCTCCTGCCGTATCGGACTATTCGAGGGGAGGAGACAATCCCTCTTTCGGTACAGGAAGGGACATTGCGGGAATCATCCTCTGGGCGCTCGGTTTCATCGTCGAGAGCTGGGCTGATATCGCCAAGGTCAGTATCGACGGTCCCGTTTCACCTGGATCGGATACAGGTTGACGTCTGGGCTACTCGTGTAGTTCTGGCACAAGAGCAACAACCCGCCAAAGAACCGACCATGTACCGCTCAGGTCTGGGGCTGGTCTAGACATCCTCCTTACTTTGGCGAGATCATTTTGCAATGGGGTATCTGGATTCTGACCAGTGAGTTTGCCTCGATGAGCTGCTGCACCAAGTCATCCAATGCTGACGGCGACGTCTGCTAGTCTCACCCTCGACCAACGGACGTGTTGATGGAGGGGCCAAGAGCGCTCAGTACGGAGCCGTCGTTGGACCCATCTTTACCACGCTTTTGTGAGTAGAGAAAACCCCATCTCTCTTTTTTCGGCGCTTGAACTCTGGCTCAACGAAGTCGTCTCGCAACCAGACTTCTCTTCGCTTCTGGAATCCCCACTGCGGAGAAACCCACTGCCAAAAAGTTTTACCTTCAATCCTACTCGCCCAACCCGGATCGGGAGAACGACGGCGGTTCGACCTGGAGACACTACAAGGGCTACCTGGATCGTACTTCGTTGCTGATCCCCATTCCGCCTGCGCTGTACAAGCCTCTGCCGAGATGGGTCAAGACGTGGGTCTTGTTGGACCTGCCAATGTATCAATTCGACGAGAAGAAGGATGGGGAAAAAGCGATCGAGGAGGAGAGGCAGAAGTTGGAGAGGGAGAGGTCGTAAAGTCTGATTGTAGCCGAAAAGGATAGGTAGATGTAGATCGGTCGTGTCTATAATGATGATGTCGAATTGAGACTGAGAATAAAGATGGCACGGTTAGCATATGATCATCGCCAACCACAGCCACAAGGCTCTATTTCTGAAAAACACACATTTTCCACCGGGGGATAGCACCGATGAGACTGCGAGCTACGAGAATGCTAACTGAACGTGAAACAGGTCTGGGAAAGAGGGGGTCGTGCGGTCGAAACAGGATCATGTCCGCGTCTGCTGTGCCGTTTGTTGTCTTTGTGTGTGCGTAAATTCGGGATCAATCATCGAGCCAAGTAGGGGAACCAATCCGGGGACGACCACTCTCGATACGGGGACGACCATCTCGTAATATTTGATATTTGATTCGCAACGTTGGCAATCAAACTTCCACTGCTCACGTGACAGTCATCCTTGCGACTCTCACGTGATGCTCAAAGTCCCGATCACAACTCCCCGTTCGGAACGATCCGATAGGGGTATCGCGTTCCTTGTGAACGACCGAAAGATCTCTTGTTCCTTCCATCTGATCGTTCCATAGCTTCTTTACCTGACAACCTTGCACATCATGGAAGCTTTCGTATTAGCCAATCTTCATCATATCGTCGCACCTCCCCTGGAGCAACATCCAGCCTCGCCGCCCCCCCTGATCGTTGAGAATCTACCACCTTCACGCGTCGATGAGCTTGATCAATCAGAAGAGGATGAACCTGAACGCATCGATGCGCCTGAAGGCTTTGTGGCAACTCCCCTCCCCATCGTTCCTCAACCTACCCTCGAGAAACTGATTGAAGAATTAAATAAGCATGGTCGAATTCAGGGTTATGCGATACGCATCCTTAACACGACAAAACGAGATGGAAAGATGCGAGCGGCGTATATCGGCTGCACACTTGCTGGTCAACATCACAACTCGCACAAGTACATCGAAACCTACGGCCGAATAAGAAGCAAACATCCGAGAAGTAAAAGAACAGGATGCTTGTTCAAATTATATGCCTCTATAGACGAACAAGGGCGATGGAACTATGAGGCTCGACACCTCATTCACAATCATGAGCCGGATGATTCCCCACGCATACATCACCAGCATCGAAAACCTACTACTGTTGAGTCGGAGAAGATGATCGACGCTTTCAATGCGGGCATATCCGCCTCAAAGATACTCGAGCTACTTTGCCAGTCAGCAGCTCGCGAGAATCGATCCACCTACGTCTCGATGAGGGAGATTTACAATGCAAAGACGCGATACTTCTCTTACGGAAATCAGGGTCGTACTTTTACGGACGAATTGTTGCTGCAGCTCAAGGAGGCGGGGTTCGACGTCATTCACAAGGTCGGGGATCTAGGGGAATTAACCGACCTCATCATGACGGAGCCAATGGCCATGGCATTGATGCGACATTATGGTTACGTCTTATACATCGACTGTACTTATAAGACGAACATGTACCGCTTACCTCTCCTCAACATCGTTGCGACTACTGGATGCAACACATCGTTCACAGTAGCCTTTGCGTTCATGCATCGCGAGAGAGAAGAAGATTACATTTGGGCGATGGAGTCATTTAAGAAACTGATGAGGGGCAACGTTCCGACTCAAACCATCCTTACCGACAATGAGAAAGGCCTGCGTAACGCTATTACTCGCATCTTTCCTGATTGGAACCAGTTGTTATGCATCTGGCATATCAACAAGAACATCGTTGCGAAGTGTAAACGCGGTCTACCTGAAGAAACATTCAACGCAATGTTGGCCTCGTGGACATCAATCGTTCAAGCCCCAACGGAAGCTGAATACGTATCGATGCTCAGAGCGTTCATCCATGCGTATGGTGGGGCGGAAACTTCCTCTCCGTGCACCTATATGGTCAGCCTATTGGAAGACAAACGGTTCTTTGCCAGGCATCTTACCGACCGCATGTTTCACCTGAACAACATCGCCACATCGATAGCTGAGAGTTCTCACGCTGCAATCAAGCGATCGCTGAATGGCACACGAGGCAACCTCTTTCAGACGACCAAGAACATCCTTAGGCACATGAGTGCTACGCAAGCAAAGATCTTCCTCGAACATGCGACTGAAAGTCGCGCGAAGCTGCTGTACATGCCAGAGATTTTCGCTTTGGTGAGTCTGAACTTTGCAAAGCAAACTTCGCACGCTAAGATACTCGACAAGTCTGCTAGGTTCGGGGAAAGGTTTCTCGACGCGCAATCTTGAAGGTGTTGGAAGCCGGCTACTACCCTGCGAAAAGTGCCAAGGACAACGACATCGAAATGCAACCTTGCAGTGGATCGTTCCAAGCGACTTTAGGTTTGCCGTGCAAGCATACATGCATGGCATTCTTGCAAGGGGTTCGCAGGCGTCCCTTCGTCTTGGCAGACTTCCATCCTTATTGGCACATCATCCTTGAGACGCAACTGGTCGACGAGGCAAAGGAGATAGGGACCTACGTTCCACGCATCGATCCTAGAGAGGTTTTCGACATCATCGATGAGGTGGAGGTCGTCACCGCGCCTGTGCTGGCGAATCCTTACTTGCTTCCGCCTCCGGAGGGAAACGCGCGCGAGACTCGCCTCGGAACCGTTTTGAATCCGATTCCTCGCGCCCATGTCGGTCGTGTTTCAGCGACAGCAACATTGCCCACGGACGGATCTCCCGGATCGTTACCACGCTCGCAACAACCTTCCATCACCGAAAGGATGTATGGAGTCGGTCCTGCCCCCGCCATCTCTCAGCCTGTTACTTCCACCGAAAGGTTGCAGTGTAGATTTGAACGAGTAGAGGGAAAAGCACCTCGCAAACCGCCAACATGCACCGTATGTGGTACACTTGGCCACACGAAAAGGAATCGGGACTGTCAGCGAGCCAACGATGCGAGGATAGCAGAGATTTGGAACGCCTCCCAACCTTCTCTTGCACCGATCACACGCACTGTTGAGCCTCAATCATCCAATGAAACGATTCCTTCCACCCTCGACATCAGTGGATCATCATCAAACATCCTTGTTCCAGCGACTCAAGCATCAGTCGCAACGATCACAGCCAACTTTGATCCTCTGTCGTTCTTCAACGATCCGACAGGAACATCCGTCTTCAATGATGGGGTGGATCTCCCCTCGCGGGAAACAGAGGAGGGGCTCATGTTCGAAGACTTTCCATTTGATGAGGAGAATCGATGAGACGCAACGACGCGTCTCAAAGGATGTTTCACTATCTTCTTCTTTGTTTCTATCAGTTCCCCCGCACAAATGCCTATCGATCAATTTGTTCTTTCCATGACATCATTGCTACACAGAGAACAACAACAACAAACGCGCTCGAGCTACGCGTCGTTGCATTTTCCCTATATCTCTCGACCAAAGGCAAGTTTCCCCCTCTCCAATATTTACTAACCTTTACTCTTCACTCTTCACTCGCATCAATGCCTCCCAAACATCCCCTGTACGATCGGGATCCTCATAACCCGTTTGTCCAACACAACATTACGGACAGGTCGGTCTATTTCGACTCCGAGAACGAAGACGAGGAGCGGTACATTGCGGGAGAGGACGGGACGATTTTCAACTCGAAGGGGAAGGAGGTGTAAGTCCTTTTGCAACGTTACGTCTCATGTATCTCGCTCATCCTTCTCGACCGAACTTTGAGCAGCAAACTTGTCGATTTTCGAGGCAACCCCATCTTTCCGACGACCAAGCCCGAGCCCAAGACCGCAAATATGTCTCTCGGACAAGCTGGCGCGGCTTTGCAAGGTCAGGCAGGCTCCTCGACTGGTTCGGGGACGCAGCTTGGGGCCCAGACCGGAACGTTGAGCCCGGCTTTGTGAGTGGAGACTGTTTTCGTATCAATCAGGACGTTTTTTTGACTCGGAACTTTGTCTCGCATCGTTCAGAACCAACATCTGGGAAGCAGCGTTCCTTCTCGAAAAGCCCTCCCACCTTCCCGATCCCACGATCCACATCTGGCCGGCCGCATTTTTGACCCTCTCCCACTGGCAGCATGCTTACGAAGACGAGAGGAAGAAGCAGGCCGAAGAGGGCGACAAGTCGGATGTTTCCGACACATCTCCCGGAACGCCTCGTCACACCGCAAAGAAGAGGAAGCTGGGGGGGTCGAAGAAGTCGAAAACGACACCCGCGTCGCCCTCTTCCCCCCGCAAGAAGCAGGTTCTCTTGACCAGTGAAGCGGCTCCCGCTCTCTCGGAGAGCAAAGATGCGGTGTTTCGTCTCTCGACGGGCGCATACATGGCCTGCATCATGACGGAGACCGTCAAGGGGGCCAAGAACGCCGCTCCTGCCAGGAGGAACAATGTCAAGAGTGAGTTCGGTCGGAAAGATGCTTCTTAACTATCATGCTGATTGTTGTCTATCACGTTTACGTCTGGTATAGTGCTCCAAGAGATCATCAAGGAGTCGAAGAGGAGGGATCTCCCTCTTCAAACTCCCGAGGATTGGAACGAGTGGATCGTTCCGGACGAGAGCGGTCTCTTCGACACGAACGCCATCCAGGGGTTCTTGGTGAGCATCTTTGCGTTGTGTTTGTCTTCAAGAACGATGCGAGTCAACGATACTGATTCAAAGTTTATGCTTATGTTTAGTCGACCAAGAAGGGTGGTTGGCGTCTCGCATGTTCGAGGTGCTTCGATCTCTTCGGAACGGACCTCCCTCCGGCCTACACCGGCCCCGAGCAGTTGATGGACGTCGCAAAGATGCCCGCGGCTTGGCAGAAGGAGGGTAAGGAATACCCTCCCCTCGTCAATTGCGTCAAGTACGGCGGGATCTATCTCTGTCGAGGTGTGGTCGCGGGAACGTCGAGCGGATCGTTGTGGGGGCAATGCGGCCTCTGCAAAGAAGCGTCGGGAGGATGCAAGACCTTCGCCCGGCCCCAAGGTCCCGCCTACATCGATGCGGAAGCCAACGTCTGGCTCAAGCATGCGGCCTTGCTCGAAAAGTTGATTTACGATCGACAAATGAGCAAGGACGATGCGGTCCAGATCGGCGCTCGGATCGTTCAGATGGAGAAGTACGAGATGTGCCACGGGAGGGCGGGGGAGGACCAACAGGTCCGGTCGGACGAGGGGGATGTTTGCGAATGCAAACATGCGCTCGTTCACCACCCCGAGTTCTTTGCCGATCTCGAGAGAGCTCCTGACGTTCCCGACGACGAGTAGGCCGCATCTTTGCGGGGGGTCTTTGACCTTTTTATTTTTTTTTCATTTCTATACGGTTCGATGCGCGAGATACATGCGCGATATATTTTTTTCTGGATTGTAATCAAGGGGGGTGCTGGCCGCCCCCGTTCATCGATGCGAGAGGATTAAACCTCTCGCGATATTATGCATATGTCTGGGTCTCGTCTTTGCTACTCGATGATGAGATGGATCGATGAAGCTCGACGTTGCAGTCGGCGATGATGACGTGGATCGTTGCGCGTGGTCATTACGGCAGCAAACTTACGGCAGCATCGTTAATTTGCAACGATGTCAAAATTCAATTCAAATTTGGTCAAATGGTCGTCCCCGTATCGAAAGTGGTCGTCCCCGGATTGGCGCCCCCAAGTAGCGAGTAGATCAGTGATCAGTGATCGAATGCGCAGCAAGTAACATGTCGCGCTGTCGAGATGCCGACATGTGAACAGAACTCTGACCAGCGTGTCCCAGAGTTGTGCTTGCCTTGTGAATCTTCAGCACCGCCGACGACAGAGCGATATAGCGATAGACCGGCAGCATAGCACAGCAAGTGGGAGAGAAGAGGAGAGAAGGGGGGGGACCCTTTCGGCTAGATCCGAGGGTGGATCACCTTCGATCCTACGTCACGAGATCACGCCTGGAAGGGCGGAAAAGTTGGAAACGAGTGGGGGACATGGGACATCATCAGCATCCTCATCCTTCTTCTCCGTAGCATCATCATCGTCGTCGTCATCGCAACAGTCGGGTACCCTCCCTCCTCTGATGGATGGATGGATGGATGTCACGACGAACTTCTCCTTCTCGGCGGCCAACATTTCAGCGCTGATTAGCCCCGGTCATCAGCCAGCCCGAATCGAACATCCCCCATCAATCCTCCCTCTCCCCTCTCATTCCCGTGACACACGGATCAAGAACACGGATCTCGATACGAACCCCTCATTCCTCATCCAAAAGGAGGCCTCGACCCCGCACGTTTCCATAACGACCAGACTTCAGCAACACCACCGCATTCACCATATCATCTTACAGCATATGGCATACCTGACCCCACAAGTACAGCATCTCACCCATAACGACGCATACGAACCACGCCAACCACATCCATCATACAAGCCGAAAGATCAGGGGGAAACGGTAGAGACCCGAGACGATCCTACCGACGATCCTCACCCCTTTGATAGAAGGTGGGTCGATTTTTATTGTCTCGGCCGGGATTATTACTGTTCACCACTTGCTAGAACCGTTGCTTACCTTGCCGGCACGTCTTCTCCCTTCCTCTTTGCTCTCTGTCAGCTGTCAGCCTTCCAAGTCGCTTCGACCAAACGAGACATCAGCATCCTCGTACGAGGTTGTCGTCGTCTCCGTTGACATCCTCAGGCCATCTCCACCCTATCAGGTCGACTGATACGAGGCCTCGTGATCAAGGCGATTGTCGACAATTCCCGCTCGAATCGATCGGACATAGATCGAGACGTCAGACGACCTACGAATATGGAACTTGAACTTTAGAATACACGCACACAAACTTCACGACCCAAATAGAGCATATATAACAACGACAGCCACGTACATCCTATTCATCCACAGAAACATAAAGTAAGCCGAATTGTATTGACAACGAGCGACGAGATCGAGATCTACCTTGGCTGACCAAAGGATCCCTTTGTGTCTCGTCCTCAAGATAGCACGACCGCCAGCCGAGCTTCATACTAAAAACAACCCGAATACATAGATACAGCACTGAATCACGTCATGACCAGCAACTCCGGCTCTCGTCCATCGACTCCGATGGACGACCGTCATCTCGCTTCTTCGCCTACCCGGATCCCCGTCCATTCTTCTCGCGTCCACACGCTATCCCATCAATTGGAGATATTCGCCGGGAGGGACAAGGTCAACGCACGCCGACCTTCATCATTCTCACACGGCTCGCCGATATCATCGAGCCTCCGTCCGACGAGACCTGCTTCTCCTTACGCGGCCTCTGCGCAACGGGCGCAAGCGGGTCCTAGGAGCAGACCGAGGCTCGTGGATGGAGGAAGGTCTTTGTCCTTTGCGTTGATTCACGGGCGGACAGTGGCTAGTTCGGAATTATCCACGAGTCTCAGGCAATCGCAATCTCGACTCGAGGGGGCAGCTGGGAGCCGACCGACGTCTCCTGCGTTGCCCGTCGCGGTCGATGTCGTCGGAAACAAAACGATCGACTCGAGGGGACGGTTCCCATCGAGATCCGCTGCATCTCCTCGGCCGGACCCCTCTCGAGCTCTCACAAGCCCCATTCTACCGTCCACCAAAGAGCTCTCCCGAGTGTCTATGGGAACGTCAGAGGAATCAGCCTCTACCGGCGGTCAGACCCCCAAGAGAGGTAGGACTAGGACGGTAGCTCCCGTTATCGGTCGAGGTTGGCAGACGCAAGACTCTGTCCCGCCCCAGGCCGCTTCCCGAGGTGACTCTCTGAGCTGCCAGACGGATGCTTTGAATTTGGCAGTCTTAGAGGCCGAGGACCTGGGCGTCGGAGTCGGAGGACACAAGCTAGGGGTCAGGCAGCCGGAACGACAAGTCTTGACTCCCTGCGCTTCGCCTCCTAAACGATCCATTCACGCTATGGTCTTGCCTATCTCGATCACCACTGGTGAGCCTGTTTCTCATGGCGAAGAAGCGTTGACGAGGAGGAGCGCGAGTCCGCGAGATTCGCCGGTGAGAGGGTCGGTCGAGACGACGGGATCGGTTTTGAGCTTGGAGGCTGTGGAAGACGTCTTTCAGTCAAAGCCGGTTGCGGCATCTACCGCTGAACATGATTCACCCGATGATCATGACAATAACCACAATCAAGATGTAGAATCGATCGAGGCGGCGCTTACCGATGCGATGGAGACTAGCCTGGAGTTGCCCTCGATCGATGACGAGGCCGAGTTGGACGCAGGGCGATACGATACGATCAGATCTACCGGCAAGAGGAAGAACCAGGAGGAGCCCGCCATGTACCCTGAGAAGAAGGGAAAAGTCGCCGGGATGATCGCGCGATTCGAACAGTCTGGGACAGTCAAGTCCAGACCTTCGATCTTTGGTCGTTCCAAGACCGATGGGGAGCGTTATCGACGACCGACGAGCATGATCATCCAGGATTCAGCCTCTCCCATCGCTATCTCGGCCAACGTGCAGGCATCTGCGGAGATGGCTACTTGCCGGCCCTCGAAGGATTGGTCTCGCGCCCAGACTGTGCGGGGCGAAGTCTCGTTACAGAAGCGTCCCTCTATCGACAATCTAATCAAGGGCTTGGAGCCTATCGGCGATGCTATCGCATCAATGCCAAACACGTGGAAATCTCGCGGCAGGTTACCTCGAAGAGGTACGACGCCTTCCATGATTCGCGCGCTCGAGCAGAAAGATCCTGCCGATCAAAAGGCTCGACCGAGCCTTGTCAAGCAGGTGACGGAAGTCATCCTCAGCCCAAGGAAAAATACGTTGTCGTCGCGTGATGGGGATGAGCCGGGCGCACAATCGGCTCGCTTGACCGAGACCGAAGCTCTCAGGACCGCTTCGATCTCGCTCAAACGTATTCAGGATGATGATTTGGAGAGGGTCATGCATGCCTATCAGACTCGTAGCCGCTCTCACTCGCCAGCATCACAATTGGAAGCTGCGTATCGGGCGAACGAAGCCTCCGGTACCACGGCGTCAAATGGCATGTCCTGGGATACACTGCACAGGCAGAACGTAATGGAGCGTGCGAGGAATGCGGGCAGCGAATGGCTCAGGGGGAGGGGTCGGGCTGGGACTCTCAGTTCGGTTTGGCCCAATGCGCTCAAGGCGTCGCAACCGCCTGTTACCCCTGTCTCTGGTCGCCCTGCCTCTCTCAATCGGTCCGTCTCGTATACCGGGAACATTCCACAGCATTCTCGACGTCTCGGACCTTACACCGCGGATGACAGGAGGCAGAGTGCAGGAGAGGCCACGCTCATGCATACGAGATGGGATGGCACCAGAACTCCTATCACCGAAAGAGACCATCCTACCCATTATGCCGCCCTGCAAGAGCATAGGCTCGTAAGGCAGAAAAGCAAATCGAGTCTGTCTGCCGTAAATCGAAGTCCGACTCCGGATCTGAGGGCTCCTGGGAAAGATTACGAGGCGGAACATACATTCGCCGCGCCAGTGGCTCCGCCTGTGTCTATTGAGCGCTGGAGACAACAACTACACCAGGCTGGTGGAAGAAACCTGCCGCAAGTCAAGTCGACGAGTCAATACTCGCCAAGCGAGGGTTCGCGTCCCGCATATCGACACTCGCGGACCTTGCCGCTTCCCTTGGATACCGCTGTACTCTCTCGATCGCCTACACTCTCTCGCTCGAATCACAGCCAAGATAGCCACTTGCCTCTCTCGGCATGTTCAGGTACCAGCTTCGACGTCAAGACGGCGTATGACATCGTCAAGGCCGAAAGGGGTCTAGTCAGTTTCGATCAGATCCCGGGTCTGAACGACGGTGAGTAGGTGAAGATCGGTCACAAATACCGACTATATCCTGCCTTCGTGCTCGCTCCAGTCGCAAGCTTCATGTGTCGTTCTGGTCTTACTACTATATACCATACATATCGCGCATCGAGAACGTTCAATCGAGAGATTCATGCTGCCACATTTCTATCCGTGTCAGCTACATAATCATCCAGAATGAAGTACAAGTCGCTGGACTACGCTTCCGTTGTGAATGGACAATCAGCAAAAAAGATACTATTCATCGGGCGGATCATGTAGTGGTTGTCACCAGGACGACTATTACAGTGGAGCGAGGCTTGTGATACTGTCCAAGGGGTAAGGAAATATTCAAAGGGTTAAAGGCAAGGAAGGGAATTGTCCGTAACTAGTCATAAATCATAAGCCCAAGACCCGATTGCAGCATCCGTTATTAGATTTCATCATCACTTGTATCCCGTAAACTCCAGCGAATTGGACTGCAGAGTCGGCGCTCCGATCAACCGCTTGTCCACTGGACGACCGTTGGTCGAAGTTCGCCATGCAGGTGACCGCGGTGCGGGTCCGTTCTCGAGGTATGAGCGATGCACGATATCGGCAAAAGGATTCTGCGACATCTGAGGAGATGTCGGGTTGTTCGCTCCGAAGTCCCGCGAGATCCGGCGGTTGGATTGACTGCCACTGGAGCGGAACCAGGAAGACCCGATACCGCTTGGAGGCCTATGCGACTGATTGCCGAAAGTGACACTTTCTCGTACTGCCTGAGACACGCTGGAACGTCTGCGTCTCGCAGCTGGGAAGTTGTCGGCGTCGTTGGCATAGAAGGACGATGGACGATCGTCTACCTCGCTTGCAGCCAGGCTGCTAGACCTAGAGTGCCTGTAGTTGGCGGGATAGGTCCCGGCGAATGCCGCTCCATCGTTCACGGAGAATCGCTCAGAAAGACGCCGGTGGATCTTCGCGTCGTGATTCCGCTTGACCCTGCGATAGATCCAAACGGCAAGTGCTAGCCAAAGTGCTCCTCCTACACCAACACAAACGCCGATAATAGTGTCTCTGCGCGTGTTGTCGGTCTTCGAAACGCTCGCAGCGGACGTTGGGGATCCGTTGTTGCCTGTATTGGTAGACCCTACGAGCGGGTAGGAAGAGTCGATCTGTAGGGCAAGCTGGCCTGGAATACCAGCTTGATTGTATAACGGGCTGCTGGGAGTCTTGATGTACTGAGCGAGGTCATTCACTCTATCGGCCGGGATGTAACCAAGCCACTTGGTGAGCAATTCTGTGCCATCGCCATTGTAGCTGGCAGGGGAATAGGCCTGCAGGGCATAGGTTCGGACTTCTTTTGCTACAATAAGCGAAGTGGTCGAACGTCAGCTCTGGGTGGGGTCTAGACAGCGTGAACGGTGCTCACAATCGATCGCAAGAGCCGTCGAGAGCATTTCCGGGAAGGTTACAAACAGCTGGCTTGTTGCGTCCGAATTATTGACCTGAGATTTCATAGGGACTCAATTACTGATCTCGTGAAACGAATCGGTTAGTCGCAGCAACTCACCACGAACTGCCAAGGGTAGTTGTTCGAGTTCAATAGGATACTAATCAGGGCGGAACCTGCGGTAGTTTGGGAGCCATCCTCAGATGCCGTAGCAGTCTCGGTTGCGGCTTTCGTCGTAGTAGTAGGTTCACTGGGCGGGACGATCATAGTCGGCACATTCGAAGCGATCACGGCCGTCGAGGGCATGACCAAGGTCGTCTCCGGCGTCAGGGTAAGGCTTTGCTCCGTCGCCTGGGTTCGGGTAGCGCTTGCGGTCGAGCTTGAGGCTGATGTCGTCGAAGTCGGAGCGGCAAAGATCAAGGTTGTAGCTGTAGGAACGTAAGGCTGGAAAGAGCTAGACGTCGCTGCCGCTGTCGACTGCGACGACTCCCAGCTCGTCCACGAGTCGGATTGAGCTGTAGACTCGGCAGTACCGCTGACCAAGGATGTAGCGCTTCCTGTCGCGATACTCTCGTTTGGCTCGGTGCCAGTGGGTCGAGTGGAAGTCTCAATCTCCCCCGTTATAGAAGAGTTGCCAGAAGGCGAGATGACGGAGGAAGCCGAAGTCCTCGTCGGCTCGGCAGCGGTCTCGGATGATCTGACAGATGTGGCGTCCGTCGTGAGGGCCGACTCGACAGGGCCCTGCGAGGTGATGGCAACGCTGGAAGATGCTTGGCTGTCCGAGGTGACGGAGGTCGTGACCGGTCCAAACGAGACCTCCGATGTCGCAACAGGTAGGGTTCCGCTACTGACGCTCTCTTGTATAGACGTGGTCATGACCGGACCAAACGAGCTAGACTCAACAGTAGAAGTTGCTTGGACTTCGGTCGGGATTGCTGAGCTGCCGTTCGTGGAGGGATTCGCAGGGGCGACGCCGAACGTCGGGTCGGCAGCAGTGGACGTTTCTCCCAGGGTAGTCTGCTCAAACAACTGTGATGTTTGGGACGAGCCAACCTCCGATGGCACAGGTCCGCTGGCGGTTCCCTGAGTACTAGTGACAGGCTGTCCTGTCATGTCCTCCGTAACGGATGACACGGCTCCCAGAAGGGTTGATGTAGAAGCCGGGTTTTGAACAGGCCCGATGGTGGAGGTGGTGGTAGCAGGGTCGAAACTACCGGTCGGACCAGCGGTGTTGGCCGAATCAGCGGTCGTCGACGGGATGACCGTGGCGAGACTGTCCGGCCCCGTTCCGCTTGCGCTTGGATTCGCTGTGACAGGCGAAGATAGCATCTCAGTGGTTATGATGCGATGTTAGGCTCTTCTCTCACATGCAACATACCAACGATCGTTGAGCCTCCTGCATCAGGTACACTACCTTGCGAAGTAGTCGGAATAGCGGATTGCTGGGTCTGCGTTGCGAGGAAAGCTTCAGAGGTGTTGGCCACATCTGGAATCCAGCGCGCATACAGCGTTGTTATTATCGAAGCGCTCGGACATGAAGCAAACGCGACTCACCAGTAGCAGATTGCATGGGTGCTGCGATAGTCTCTACACTGGATGCAGACACGGAAGCTGAAGGGATACTGCTGGAAGGCTCGATCGTGACTGTCGGGCCCACATCTGCAGGCTGGGTGGCAGTCGATGCGACTTGGCTCTCGGTTACAAAAGAGTCTGTCGGGGAAAGGAAAGTCGCGTTAATCACAGAACTTGTCATCGTGGCTCCTGATCCAACAGGCTCTTTCGTCAAAGTTGTTCGCATGGAAGGTTGAGGAACTAGTCCTGCCGCAGTCGCCGTAACAGCCCCACCAAGACTCGTAAGGTTCTGGGTTGCAACCAAGCCTGAAGTCTCTGTCGGCCTTGGACCTGTCCTGCTGCTGCTCTCGACAGTGCGGGTCAGGTTATGAGACAGCACGACGCCATTTGTCTCACTAGAGGCTAACCCGGTCGTTGTCGCTGTCGAGTGTTCAGGATCTACGCCAGTGCCATTGCGTGTCGATGTAAACAAATCGCTTGTTGCGATCGCAGATGAGTTAGTGTCGGAGGGCATAGCCGTCATTGAAGTCACCGATGTCGATGTGACGCTGTTTGTGAGGCTCGTTGTTGACATAATATTGTCTGTCCAACTCGTTGTTGACATAATATTGTCTGTCCAACTCGTTGTTGATGTAGCGTCGTGTGTGAGTGCTGCAGGAATCGTTGTCGATGTAGCGTTGTTTTTCAGATCCGTTGTTACGGTGACATTGTTGGTGAAGGTCGTCGTCACAGGACTGCTTGTAGGGTTTAGGGAGCTCGTTGTTGACTCGACACTGCTTGTAAGGCTAGCCATACCAGTCGATAATGTCGTCAAGCTTTCCGCGACTTGGCTCGTTGCAGTATCAGACAAGCCGATACCAGCTTCCGTTTGCTCAAATAATTTGGTAGTCGAGGCAGACAGGCTTGTAGACCCTGTCGCGCTTGTAAAGCCAGCCCTGGTAGCATTTGGTAGCAGAGGACCGCCCGTTTGAGATGTTCCAACCGTCAAAGTTCCAGATTGATCAATTGCCACTGCTTGTGCGCAGGAAGTCGAGCAGAAAGACGGTTTTCGCGTCACGGGATGTGGAGACATATCGTCAAAGGTAAAGCAGTGTCTGAGCGTCTTGAGCTTATAGCTAGCAAGATGTATGACAGAAAGGAAAAAAAGAGCAACCACACTTGAAACGTGAAGCAGGAACGCAAGAGAAACCGAAGCGCAGCCGAAAGACAGAAACAAAAGAAAAAGAGAGAGACGAAAATTCGCGCGAGACTAACCTGAGGTTTGACTGTCGACCTGCGCGGTCTGGGCAGGGACCGGCTCCACGACCGACCCGGAGGGGTTGGCGACCGGTTGCTCGCTGGTGGTGGTGGCGAGCGCAATCGACGTTTCAGCCGGCAGGCTGATCGTCTCTTCAGTCGTAGTAGAAGCGATGACCGGCGGTACAATTGTCTCCGAAGTAGCTTGGGTCGAAGTGATCCCGCCTTCCTGGGTAGGTGTAGTCTCGGGCGTTACGGTCTGCACGCTCGGCTGCATACTTTCCAGAGTTGGTTGAGTGTTGACCTCGGCGGCGGTGTTTGTAGGAGCCAGCACAGAAGCGGAGTCAACAGTCGCAGGTTCTTCAGTCGGCGGAACGCTGCTGGCAATCGGTCCGGACATCGTGAGAGCCTGACTTTGCGGAACATTCTCGAAAGTCGAAGATGCGCTAGACTCCGGGACGATGGCGGTAGGAACCGCCTCTGCTGTCGTACCGGCAGAGGATGGCGCTTCTGCAGCCATATCAGTGCCAATTGTCGACGCTACGTCTGGAATCACTTCAGCAGCGGTGGAGGAGGTAACAGCTGAAGTAGTGGGTGCAGCTTCCTGCTGAGATGTTGTGCTGGTTTCCGCCGGGTCACCGGAGGGAGCAGCGACAGCAGAGTTGCTGGGAGCAGCGACAGCGGAAACGCTTGAGGCTGTGGCGGTAGCTGATTCGCTAGGAGGAGGTACCGGCGCATCACTCGAGATTGACGACGCGGTCGGCTCTTGAGTCTGAGTGACAGTCTCCGAGGCAGTTGCTACAGTCTCCGACGTCGTCGAAACCGTGTCAACCGTGCTAGTCGGCTGTTCCTGCGTGACGGAGGTGGGCTCTGTGGTGACCACTTCGATGGAAGTGAAGCCGTCGATGGGAGAAGTCGACTCGGGAGTCACCGACGTGACATCTCCGACAGAGACGTTGACAGCTACCGCAGCGTTGAGTAAACCTTCTGCGAAACCTGGGAACGAAACGGAACACGTGATGTTTTTCAGCTAAATCACCATCGCAGAAAACAACGTGATTGTACTGACCGGCCAGATCCTGGCTCTCGTCCCTCTTTGACTCGCTTCCCTTCTTTACCAGCCCAAATTCGGGCCCTTCCTCGTCCCTGATGACCTTTTCCAACCCATCCTTGCCCTTGCCCCTGACCCGCCTCATCATTCTCTTGTCCGCAGCCCCGTGTTTCCTCCCAACCAGGCCGTGGCCGAGGGAGCGCCCGTAACCTCGTGCATGTCCTTCGGGTCCATCTGCAGGTTGGTGCAGGTTTCCTGGAAGTTGTTGAGCAGACACGACCGGGATCAGATGAGTCGAGAGCACAAAGAGGAGGAGGATGGCGAGGGTAAAAGTTTTTAGGTGCGACCGCGTAGAGCCGGTAGCAGGCGCGGCCATGTTCCGATCGTTAGATTTGCGAGTTGAATGATTCAGGTGTAGTGTTGCTTGTGTTCGTTTTGGAAGTCCTAAGCGGGTCTCTGGTCGAGTGATTTCGAAGTAAAAATGATGTGATTGAGGGAAAGTCGGAGGGGGAAATGAACGGACAGACTCCTCTTCAAAAGGGTCCAAGTAGTTGGGTATGTCGGAAAGGGAAATAAACCTGCAGACTGCCAGGAGGACGAAAAGGTCTCGCTAGACAATTCAGGAAATCGGTAGCGGTGAAAGTATTGATGCCTCGACAAGGGCGTAGGAGAGCGAAGAGGTAGGTGTGTGGAAACGAGTCCTGCTCAGAACGATCTGACGGGATCATGGATCAAAGGAGGACCGGTCAGTCGTTCTGCTTCAGGTCGAACGATGTAGGCGTACGAGTCTGCTGGGTATGATCTACTTGGCTACTTACGAGATTCGTTGGCTCAATACCAGACGACGCATCCACCTATTCTTGAAGTGGTCTCTTTGCTTCGCGGCTACGGCTTGAGGAGACCCTGCGGCACTCCTTTTCGAAACTTGGAGTGGCCAGATGTACGTGAAGACGTGGTAGTGAAAAGAAAGGCGTATAGAAGTAATGTCGATCCAAATCCCAAGGCGATATCGAGGTGTTATTCACTCTCGATATCAAATCCCTCCTCGTTTCGATCGAGATGATGTTGATGTAGGTCTATCGACTCTTGACGACTTGCACGCGACGATATCGATTCGATCACAACCGTACGAGCCAGGTGCTGTCAACTGATGTTGATGATGGATGAGGGGCGAAAGGTCTTTCGCTGTTTGTCGCTGATTGCTGATAGAGTTCGTGTCGGCGGAGGGAGAGGAGGGGGGGGGGGCTAAGGGGGCAAGGACGACGGATGAAGAAGAGATGAAACTCGTATCACACGCGAGTTCGATCAAGGGGTTCGGTCGAGTTCCAGGGGGTCGAAAGGGGGCGATCCAGTCAAAGGGTGTCTCGAGCAGTCAGAAGGGTCCGTGTGCCGTGTGTTTGATAGGGGGAATCTTTTTGTCGTAGGGAGGTTGCTCCTGCGATCCTGCGAGGCCTACGACAATTCGGGGTCGTGAAAGTCTATTTCGTGGACTAGGTTGTGCTTTCTAAGTTGGAGCTCGCCAAAGGATACAATCCCGTGTTGATCATGCGTCAGAGTTGTGGACATCAACCAAAAGAACGAGAGACGATCAAGAATCAATTGATCACAGTCGATTGATTGTTGCTGCCCGAGGCCAGCCCTCCCTCCTCTCTGCCGCCGAGGCGTGCTTACGGCATACATCACTTTCGCTTGCCCTGTCGTCCTCAGCCCTTGGCGCGAATCACCGAGGGCGGGCACAGCGAGAGAAAACGCCACATGGAAGCCTCCGGATTTGTTGATGAAGTCCGAGTTCCATCGGCAAACGCCCTAGAAAAACAAACCGACAACCCTAGAAATGGAAACGCTGGAACGATCGATGGGTCGAGATCCCGAACATTATCGTCGCTCGGCAGCCGGCAGCCGGCAGGCGATAAACAACACAAGGTCGGATTTCGTCTCGTTTCGCATAAAGCGTGCATGCCGCTGGAAAACTTGCCGGAGACGAGACAAAACCTGTCGGGGACGAGACAACGTAATATTGCGTAAGGGTGGCTTGCCGCGAGGGTGACGTAAGCGTGTCACGTGATGTCTACCAAGCATGTAGACTACCGACTCCCTCTTGTACGAAACTCTATGCAGACCGTCGTATCGTTACGAGGTGTCGAAGACCAGTTTATCAGCGACATATCATTTGATATGAACAAACACGCCGAATGGGGAGGAATTCCACCTCCCCCAGTATAAATACAACGTATGGGGGGGGAATTTCACCCCCCCCGTTGTCTATCGAAACTAATTATCTTCGAAAAACCCAAAGATAACGAACCGGTTGAGAGCAGTTCTGGAATTTAAAAATCAGGATCTTACTCCTGTCGACCCCGCCGTATCGTTACGCCGTCTAGTTCTCGTCGTCGGAACCGGTGATGTGCTCCTTGTGAGAGACGAAAGGGTGGTTCCCGTCGTGACCACGAGCCGCGTGACAGAGATTGGCCTTCAACTGCTCACGAATGAGCAGGACGTGTCCTTGTCGAGCCTCCTTGGTCATTTGACCTTGGGAAAAGATCGTCTCAAGGACGGCGTCGATCCTCTTCATCGGATGAGCGTCAGGGTCGTTGGCGATGTCCCCGACACGAGGGTCCCGAGCGTGGCAGACGGCCTTCTTGTCCTTGCATTGGCCGCAAGTGCGTTCGTCGGACGATCCAAGGTTCTTTCGGCAGAGGAAGACGGGGCCGTACTTGACACAGTGGACGAGGGGGCGGTGGATGTTGTCGGGATCGACACCAGGGTTGCTGACGACGAGCTGGTTCTCGTCGATGTAAGAAGGGGGCTCGTTCTTCTCGATCACCCTTTGGTAACAACCTAGGCAGGCGACCTGCCATCCACCGCGCCATTGATCCTAAATGTAAAGTCAAATCGTAAGCTAACATCGATGAACAACGATGTAATCGAACGACTCACCAACCAGCCGTTGATTGGCTTGATGTTGACCTTCCCGGATCGGTTAGGCCTCAACCACGCCATGAGCAAGTCCACGGGCGGGAAGATCGGAAGAACCGCGCGTTCTTCCTCGTCGACGATGATCTCGGCGACTGAACGAAAGAAAAATACGAATAAGATAAGCACCGTAACGATACGACGTAAATGAACACATTACTCACTCGTCTGGTCGTCCCTCCACCCGGCCTTGTCGTTCTTCACCCCGCCTTTGTCGACCTTGATCTGAAGACAGGCGACGTACGCCCCAGTGCTGAGACGCATGACCGGCTTGGTGTTGTCGTTAGGAAGGTAGGGAATTTCCGCGCCGTCGACCTTCGACACGATCTGCCTGCGAGTCTTCTTGGAGGGGGAATGATCGATTCCCTTCTTTCCCCCCTTGGCGATACGTTGGGCCTCGTTGTTGGCCGCGACATATTGATCGATCCAATCCTCGAACGAGACGAAGCCGGTCGGGTGAGCTTTAAGACCGGAACGGGGCAGGTTCTCCGGCCATTCGAGGAGATATTCGAGACGGAAGAGTTTTGCGCTAGACATATCGATCCCTATCAGCGACAAGACGTATAGCAACAACGAGAAAAAGCTATAGACTCACAGCTCTTCGTTCTGAGCCTGAATCTGATGCTGGGCGTTCAAGAGGGCCTTGTCCGCCTTCGAGACCACCTGGAGTTCTTCATCAGAGTCGAGGTCGTTCATGGTTGCACTGTAAAGCACAGCATCGATGATCAGATTGAGTATAAAGACAGTCGAACGCGGTACTAACAAAATGAGTTTGCTGGCGATGAAGAACAACAATGATCAGTTGAGAGTCCTTTGTACGCCGTATCGATACGAGAGGACTCACAAAAGTAAACAAGAGAATGAATCCCACTTATTCCAAGTCCGAGTACGAGTCCCGAATTGAAGAGTAGGTGAATAAAGGTGAATTGAAGTGAAAGGGGGATTTCCTCGAATCGTAAATGAGCTGTCGAGTTATATGTTTTTTGTTTTGTTAGGCAGGAAAAAACTGTCGACGTGTCGTACGATGGTGATGTCATGACTCGGCCAACCAGATTCCAGCATTGAGGGGTTGAAACACATCGACTTGACGACGGTGGTCGTATGAGACATCGTTCAAACTCAAATCTAATTGTGGCATATCTAACAGAGGAATACGCGACATAAAGAACGATCCACAGAACAAGCGGCTTCATCCGACGCGCGCTAAACGCCCAAAGGCATGTTTGAAACGATCAAAGGGTCCTTTGACTTTTTTCCATACGCCGTATCGTTACGGGGAGGGTTTTAATCGGAGTTTGGCTCATCAATCATCCCTGTCGTCGAGGCTGAGTTGATGGAGCGAGCATCACACCAACGCTCAGGTCCCCCTGCCTTTCGTGGACATCGGTTCCTGAAGTTCTTTCAATGGAAAGGGAGCTCATCGCTCTACCGTTGTTCGATTGTTGCGATGCTGCTCGACGAGCAGATCCTGCTAATACCTCAGCTTGCACAATTGCCAGGCCTTGCTTGCACTTGGGTGAACGGTAGTTATGTGGCCCCCCACACACACTGCACGAGACTGGAGCTCTATCCGTTGTAGCAGGTGCGCTCGAGGTCCGAGCCCGTTCTTGATTGATGATGTTCTCGTGACGAGAATAGGCTCTGCCTGTCTTGGCAACAGGAGTATCGACAGCAGCCGGTGGATCGATACGAGCTAGTGTTTCAGCCAAGCCATGCGACTGTTGATAGCTCGGCGCGACAGCATTCTTCTTTTTCTTTTTTTCTTTTCCCACGTGTACCGCCTTCATGGGGTCGAGAATGGTTGGATCATCTTCTGCCCTCGGTGGAAGAGCCTCTCGATCAACAGGGATGTATCGATTGACGATTGGGGGAGCGATGTTTGCCCTTGTTCGTAGTTCCAAGTCGCCTGTTTCCCTCGTAACGATCCGGGGGACATAATGCCCGATCGCTTGCGCCTCTTCTACCAGTTGGTTTTCGTGTACGAGATGCCAATGACTGTGTATCTCGTGCAGTTTGATAGGCTGTACTCTAACTCCGCGTATGAGACTATCAAACACGTGCTTGCAGGGTAAGCCTGTGCTCTGCGTATAGAGACAAAGCCCAGGGAGTTTGACCATCTCGCCCGTGTCAATATCCTCTTCCCAAACATCCTTGCACCTGTCGAGTGGTTTATGTTGGACCATGCTGGCACGAGCATGGGCATGAGGACCCTCTACCATAAGACGTAACGCATGTCGAGAGACTTTCCCTTGTACCTGCAAATGGTCGAAGTTATTCGTAACGTTACGACGTTTACAAACCAATATTAAACCCACCAGTGCTAGACTAGACGGTAATTCCACCCATCCTCGCCCTTGTTCGTGTGCATGCTTTGTGAAGATACGGTACTGACCAGCTGTCATGTACCGTAGCACATTGTTGGTGACATGATACAGATCACTAGCTCGAGCGTTCAGAGAACGTTTGAGAGCTGCATGTGATCCTTCGACGACACTTGTGGCTGTTGCATTGAGGTGGAACTTCCCCTTCGTGGCATAAGCACAGAAGTATTCGGCGTCGTTGAACAGTGTCATCATGTAGGTACATGCAGCCTCTGTATCGTCGCGATAGGTCCACTCCATTGCAAAGGAGGTGAGCACCTCCTCGAATTCAGTGAGCGTGGGAGCTCGTACAATGCGGTACCAATGGGAAAGCATCTTATTCCAATCCTCCTCGGCTATTCCCTTCTTACGGGAGACGATGTTCTTGTTGATATGCCAGATACAGAGCAATTTTGTCGCCTCTGGATAAGCACGGTCGATAGCGTTTCGTAGAGCCTTATCATTATCGGTGACGAATGTTTTCACCGGAACGATACGTAGTAAATCTCTAAGGTTATGCATCGCCCAGAGATAATCGTCTTCTTGCTCCCTGGCTAAGAATCCGAAGGCAATTGTAAAAGAACAATTCGCACCGGTTGAGGCCACCACATGGAAGAGAGGCAGCTTGAATTTGTTGGTACGATAGGTGCAGTCGATATAGAGAACTTCCCCATAGTGTTTGCCCAGCGCGAGTGCCATTGGATCGGTAATAAGCAGGTGCGTGAGTTCACCAAACTGTCCAAACTTGGCGGCGGTATGCGACCCTGAGTTCTTCAGTTCTTGGATCAAGGTGTCGGTACGCGTACGACCTCCCCCTCCTATACGATAGTATCGAGATCGCATGGTGTAGATCTCTTGTTCCGATACAAGAGTCTCCCGATTTTCACGTTTAGCGGTTTCTCGAAGTGAAGCAAGAATCCTATTGCTATTGATTCCTGCATCGAATGCAGCTAGAACAGCGATGGTCTCAGCTGCAGTGGGTTTTCGATGGATATGTTGAGAGCGTGCTGAAGGGTCGCGAGGATGGTTGTGACGTAGTTCTTTAGCCACGACCGACCACATGCCTTTTGATAGTTTGGCATATAACTTAAATTCACAACCTCGACGTTTGGTGGAGGGTCGGCGGTTTGTCATAGGTGTTACGGGATCATCACGTGAGTCGACTACCGACACACAGGCTCGATCTACGGACATCAGCATACACCTAAGTCCGGCTCGACGAGGCGAATCCGATTCCCTCGGAGCAGATTCGGTCGCCTCTACCATTCGCCTTCACCATTCACCGAAACAACACACATATCACAAACAGGTACAGGGACCTCGAGGTACACGACACTCTACTCAGGACCTCGACAACCTTACTCGACGTACCTAGGGACAAATGAGAACTCAAACTCGCCTCCTCTACCGAATCCGGCTGCTCTCGACAGGATTCGTCTGTTCGCCATCTCGTTCTTCCAGTTTCGCCATCTCTCGCCATTCTTTTCGCTTGGGTCTTTTCAGTGTTCGCCAGCCCGTCTACGTACTCGTCTCCGTATAAATAGCTAGAGGAACTTGACCGAATTCGATAGAGGACGCTCTGTAATAGTTAGAGGTCAAGTTCCGATATCACATTCAATACACGCCTATCTGACTTGTTACAACATCTTCAAGACGTGTTGCGGAGAGGTTACAACTCAAGGACGTCGCTAAGTATCTACGCTTCATCGTTTTACCTTAGACCGAATCCGGTACCTCACACCGAGTGATCACCTTCCTTATCCATACATCTCTGGATTCGTATCCCGCACCCGAACCCGCTTCATCTAAGCAGACTTGCGACATTCTCCCAACTACCTGCGATTCACCTATAAGCACCCTACGCCTTACGACTTAGGACCTAGCTCGATTAGCGACTTCCGCCGTAACAGCATATCGGAACTTCTACTATCGCACCTGGTTAGGACAATGTCAGTCTTTTCCGAAAACCACGACTTGCCCCCCGAGGAAGAACAGCGGTTCTCTCGAGCCAGGACCGGCTCAATCGAAACGAATCCGGCTCCCAGGGAAACGGACTCTGAACGTATTGGTCGTCTCGAAGAACAAATCCTAGAACTCATGCAGACGATCAGGAAACAAAGAGACGAACTCGCTACACGAGAAGAGATTCCGGCTCCCCTTCCTCGAAGGCAGTTCAACATCTATCCATCCAACCCTCCATCTCTAGCGGGAACTACTATCGACCCTAGAGAACTTCACCGACCTTCGGTAGCTCGGTCCAGGGATCCCTATACTCCTATGAGGGACGTTCCCCTTCGGGAGAACGAAGCGGATCTGCTTGCCAAACGGACCAAGGAACCGAAACCGGCTGATCCACCCACGTTCAAGGGAGACGCCAAGGAGTTAGACGAATTCATCGTTAAGCTCAACATGGTCTTCCGACAACTGCCTGGACGCTACCCCACTGGAGGATCCAAGATCGATTTCGCTATCGGATTTCTTGGGGGACGAGCCTTTAAAACGGTTTCGTCTTATCTCCAGTTGGATGAAGCGGACCAACCCCTTTTCCTACACGACTACGATGCCTTCAAGAGGTTCTTGAAGCATAACTTCGGGGGCTCCAACGAGAAAGCTGCAGCCCAAGCCGCTTTAGACAAGCTGGTTCAAACCGGATCCGCTTCGTCTTACTTCTCCGAATTCACCCAGTACAGTCCCTTGTGTGGCTTTAACGATGAAGCTCTTATCGCTGCAGCAAAGAAAGGACTGAAGGCCAAGGTGGTGGAACGTCTCGGTATCCTGAACAAGAGGATGGAGTTTGCAGACTTCAACGAGTTCAGGAATGAGGCTGTCGACGCGGACAATAGGCTTCACGATGATGGAGTTCTCAACCGAGAAGACGAGAAGCGGAACGCTCGCAAGGATAGCAGGAAGGAACCGAATCCGGTTCGATCCGAGCGAGTTGTCACCGAACGGACCAAAACCTATGAAAAGGAGGTCGTCAAACCCAGAGGTGCGACTCCTTACCAAAAGGGTCCTATTACCGATGAAGAAAGGAAGAGGCGCCGCGACCTCGACCTTTGCACTTACTGCGGGAAGGCCGGACACTACGCTTCAGCCTGTCCTGTCCTTGCTGGCAGAAATGGAGGAGGTACTCCTAATGTCGAACGAGCTAGAAATGCCACAATCGAAGCAGTTCCGGCTCCCACCTGGGCGAACAAAGCGAATCGAACCGAATGGGTCAAATTTCGCTTCCAGGGGCAAGATCCTCTTATTACGGTGGACTTCCATGCAGGAGCATCTTCTTACACGACAGACGCCCTGATCGACAGTGGAGCCAGCTGTAATTTCATCCGTCCCTCCGCGGAGGTACTCCAGCATGTCGAGGCGATCCCTTATGATCAGCCGAAGCGACTCCGGTTGGTTGATAACCAACCTAACCCGAATCAGCGAGGAGAGATCACTCATTACGTGAGCCTGATTTTCTATGTCGGTGGACATATTGGTCCCTACTCCCTCGACTTCGACATTGCGGAGATTGCGGCCCCGGACATTATCCTGGGAGTCCCATTCGTCAAGGGTCTTCGTACCATCACGGATTGGGACACTTGCGAGATCAGTTTGATCAAGCCGGATTCGCCTCTCAAGGGAGCGAATCTGGAATATTTGGAGCGAAACCGGTTCCTACGAAGACAAGACCCGGAAGTTGTCGATACAGATGTCGATCCTCGAGCGCTACGGGAATTGGGTCTGGAACACGACGACGAAGACGATTACGACATCGCATCGGAAGAGATGCGTCAAGTGATCCCAGTTGAGTTTCATGACTACTTAGACGTATTCAGGAAGAGCGATTACACCAGCCTTCCTCCCCACAGGTCGTACGATCACGTTGTGGAACTGCTACCAAACGTGGAGTTGAAACGACTCAAGCCTTACCCGCTTTCTGCTGCGGCAGACAAGTGGCTCAAGAATTGGATAGACGAATCAAGGCGGATTGGGCACATTGAACCGAGTTCGCATTGGTTCGGTTCCCCGGTCTTCCTCGTACCAAAGAAGACTCCTGGAGAATTCAGGATGGTTACCGACTTCCGAGCATTGAATAATGCTACAAAGAAGAACGCGTATCCGCTTCCGAAGATCAATACCACCTTAGAACGAGTTAGCAGAGCTCGCTTCTTCTCCAAATTCGATATGCCAACTTCATATCAGTTACTTCGAATGCGGGAAGAAGACGAGGATTGGACCACAATCCTAACTCGCTATGGGTCATTCAAGTCTCGAGTCATGCGAGAAGGCATGACCAACGCAGGAGCCAGTTTCCAATTCTTCATGAACGATGTGTTCAATCCCCTACTGGACCAAGGTGTTACTGTATACATCGACGACATTCTGGTGTATACGGAAACGAGGGAGGAACATATTCGGCTCATCAAGGAGGTTTTTAACCGGATCCGCTCCTTTTCGCTTTATTTGAAGCCGAAGAAATGCGAGTTCTTCAAGTCTTCTATCGAGTTCCTCGGCTACATCATCAAGGATGGGCAAATCGCTATGGCTCAAGACAAATTGGAGTGCATCCGAACTTGGCCCAAACCGACGTGTATCAAAGAAATTCAACGATTCCTTGGATTTACCAACTATTACCGACGATTTATCAAAGGATACGCTGGGTTAACACTTCCGCTGGTGAAGTTAACCAAGAAGTCCGAGCCGTGGATCTGGGACGAGAAACAGGATGGCGCGTTTGCTACACTACTTTCGTCCTTCGCAAGCGAACCCGTTTTAATTCAAGCAGATTCGGACGAAACCTGCTATCTTGAAACGGATGCATCGGACTACGCCATCGCTGCCGTCCTTAGCCAGCGCTACAAGGACGAACAGTTGCACCCGGTAGGATTCTTTTCAAGGAAGTTGAACCCGGCAGAAATCAACTATACCGTCCACGACAAAGAGTTACTTGCGATCGTTGAGGGATTCAATCATTGGAAGCCGATTCTGCTTGGGATGGCGAAACCGATCGAAATCCTCACCGACCACAAAAACCTCGAGTATTTTGCCACCAACAAGCAGCTTAACCGTCGGCAGATTCGATGGGCTGAAACATTGGCGGATTTCAACTTCTCGATTCGTTACCGACCCGGAACCAAGGGAGGTAAACCGGATTCGCTTACACGCCGACCGGATTACCACCCAGGTAGGGGAGGTATTAACTCTTTCGAACACAATCAGCCCAACTTCACTACGCTCTTGCCCAAAACCCTGTGGCTCAACAACATCAGGGATTCTGAACTTTACCGAAGAGCTGAAGAGCAGGATCTGGCTGCGATGAACGAGTATATCCGCGGGATGGAAGCGAATCCAGAAAAAGGGGGAGATGGAGATATCATCGACCGCATCATCAGCAAGGTGAAGACAATCGCGCTGACTGATGAATTCGCTTCCACGGCATTCAGAGCAATCTGGAAACAGGACGAAACAGATCTGGTTACCGGAAGCGAAACCGCTTCAGACGAGCAAATCTGGACCTGGACCCAGAACGGGATTCTCAAGTACAAGGACACTATCTACGTCCCCGACTGTGAGAAGATCAAGCTCTGTGTACTGAAAGCACGACACGACGCCTCACTGGCTGGACATCCCGGGAGAGAAAGAACTATCGAGCTCATCTCGAGGGATTACTATTGGAACGACCTGAGCAACTTCGTAAAGGTCTATGTCGCGTCCTGCGAAGTGTGCCAGCGAGATCGTACCAATCGACACAAGCCTTATGGCTTATTGAAGTCACTTTCGGTTCCGTTTAAACCGAATTCGGATCTTTCCATGGATCACGTGGAAGAATTACCAAATTCGGAAGGATTCAACTCGATACTGGTAATCACCGACCGATTCACCAAGCGAGTCAAGTTCGTCCCTACTACGACAACCTCTACAGCTAAGGACTTAGCCAAAATCTTCCTCAAAGAAGTCTTTACGCAGTATGGGTTACCCGACAGGATCGTTTCGGATCGGGGAAGCAAATTCACTTCGAAATTCTGGAAAGAATTTACCGCGCTTCTCGATATCTCGAGCGACCTGACTACAGCCTACCACCCTCAGAGTGATGGAGCCACTGAACGGGTCAACCAGTCCCTCGAGGGATTCCTTCGGCACTATAGCAGTTATCACCAAGACAACTGGGCGAATCTGCTTCCCTTAGCCGAATTCGTTTGCAACAACGCGAAGCATAGCGCTACAGGTATCTCTCCTTTCATGGCAACCTTCGGCTACGAACCACGCTTCGACGTCAGTCTCGACAAACACAGGGCTGAATCTCTCGTCGCAAGAATCGAAGCCAGGGATATGAAAGAAGTTTGGGAACAGATGCGAGTACAGATGACTGCAGCTAACGAAAGAGCTGCCAAGTATTTCGACCAGAAACACCAAAACCCTCCCGAATTCACAGTAGGATCGAAGGTCTATGTTTCATCGAAATACATCGCAACCAAAAGACCTACCAAGAAGCTGGATCACAAGCGATACGGTCCCTACGAAATCATTGAAGCGATTTCGTCTCATGCGTACCGGATCCGCTTGCCGGCCACACTCAAGGTTCACAACGTCTTCCACATCGACATGTTGGAACCACATTACGAGAATCCATTTGATGGACGAGTACAGACTCCTGGACCAATTGTCGAATCTCCGCACGATGACGAGTATGAGGTCGAAGAGATTATCGACAGCAGGATCAGGAGACGCCAATTCGCGTACTTAATCAAATGGAAAGGGTACTCGGGACCCGAAGGACAAGATTGGGTACCCCTCGAAGACCTCAACAATACAGCAGAGGCACAAGAGGAGTTCCATGTTCGGTTCCCGACTAAGCCAAAGCCTCCGGGTTGGGAAGCGTAGCTTTCCCGAATCCGCTTCATTGAACCGATCCCGGCTGGACCGAGATACGGATAAACATATGTTCTGAACTCTTCTGGATCTCGTCTCAGACTTCTCGCTCGCATAGGATTCATCGTATCAAACGACTCGGATTGAAAGAAAATACAAAACCCAAAAACAAATTATAGACGAAGCGGAACCGCTTCAATCCTTCTTGGCTCGCTTCGGCGGGCGACCATCATTCTCTTCCTCTTCCTCGTCCTCGTCCGGATCCGCTTCCTTCTGCTTCCCCTTACCCTTCGGAGTCGACTTACCCCCCGACTTCTTCGAATCCTTCGGAGTCGACACGACTCCGGTCTTCCTCTTCTTGGGCGTGGGCGCCGGCAACGGGTTGATAACCCTCTTGAAGGCCGCGTCACCTTCCGCCGCGATCGCCTCCCGGACCTTGTCGAGGTCCTCCAAGGCCTTCGAGAGACCCTTTTTGATGCCCGCATCTTCGAGCATGTCGGCGTAGACCTGAATACGGTCTCTGGCCGATTGCTGCCAAATTCGGTTGCGTTAAAACAGATTCGGTTCGTTGAAACAAATTCGACTCACCCGGTACATCGCTGTCGCGGTAGTCCGAATCCTCATCCTCGGACGTCACCACCTTCTTCTTCTTCTTCTTCTTCTCCGACAGGTCGTCAAAGAAGTTGGCGGGCGCTGCACCCGTTCGCCGAGTCGGCTGTACGCCCTCGAAGTCGATGGGCCGAGCTGGAACGCGATTATCCAAATTAGCTTCGTCGAACCGGATCCGGTAGAAACCAAACAAAAACGCTTACCGGGTTCCGGGCTCACCGACCGTTGGCGCACAAGAGCACCCCCCAAATCGATGTTCTCGACATCGACCCTCGCACCCGCCGATGCGGCTCCTCTCCCTCGACTCGACCTCGCGCTGTGTCGTCCTTGTCGATTCCGCTGAATCGACCTCCCTCGAGGAGTCCTGGGCGGCGACACGACAGCTACAATCGAGCAAGAATGGACGTAGTATCAGGTTACGAATTGTCGATTCAGAATCCAAGCAGATTCGCTTTACTCACCCGCACTCGGCCCCGCAACCGGTTCCTCGTCGACCGAATCTAAAGGTTGCCCGGTCATGGCAACGTCCTCGCCCGATACCGGGCGTCCAGTCGGCCTACGAGCTTCCCCGTATAGCCCTTCCCGACGAGCCGGTTCACCACCTGCGAAAAACCCAACAAGTTCAGCGAAACGAAACCGCCTTTCGGAACCGAATCTGCTTACCTTCCAACCCCGATCGGGTCACCGACAGCCCCCTTATGTTCGAGGCCAGGTTCTGGTCGACTTCGTCCGTGTCGTCCATATTGCGGAGTTCTTCAAAATCAAAAATTCCTCCGGAAAAGACTTGGTTGACTTCTACACACAAGCGGAACTGGATCAGTGCACGCAAAGGAACCGAATCCACTCGAATCGCACGAACGAGAAGCCGAGTCTCCTGGATTTACGGTCGAGGCTCGAGAAGGAGTCGAGCGTTCCTCAATCTTGGGAGATACGTCAGGAGACGGCATCGTTGAGTATCTTCGAGAAAGGAAGTGCACAATTCGCTTCAATCGAAACGGATCCGGCTTATACCCCCCACTCGACGCGAGTCGATGGGCCTTAGCGAAATGGAAAATTCGGTCGCCATCAAATCAAAACAAACGCGTCGTAGACAATCATCAAACAAATTGATGCGATCAATACTTGAAACACGATGGCTCGGGGCGCGCCATTCCGGAGGGGGATATACTGTTACGGGATCATCACGTGAGTCGACTACCGACACACAGGCTCGATCTACGGACATCAGCATACACCTAAGTCCGGCTCGACGAGGCGAATCCGATTCCCTCGGAGCAGATTCGGTCGCCTCTACCATTCGCCTTCACCATTCACCGAAACAACACACATATCACAAACAGGTACAGGGACCTCGAGGTACACGACACTCTACTCAGGACCTCGACAACCTTACTCGACGTACCTAGGGACAAATGAGAACTCAAACTCGCCTCCTCTACCGAATCCGGCTGCTCTCGACAGGATTCGTCTGTTCGCCATCTCGTTCTTCCAGTTTCGCCATCTCTCGCCATTCTTTTCGCTTGGGTCTTTTCAGTGTTCGCCAGCCCGTCTACGTACTCGTCTCCGTATAAATAGCTAGAGGAACTTGACCGAATTCGATAGAGGACGCTCTGTAATAGTTAGAGGTCAAGTTCCGATATCACATTCAATACACGCCTATCTGACTTGTTACAACATCTTCAAGACGTGTTGCGGAGAGGTTACAACTCAAGGACGTCGCTAAGTATCTACGCTTCATCGTTTTACCTTAGACCGAATCCGGTACCTCACACCGAGTGATCACCTTCCTTATCCATACATCTCTGGATTCGTATCCCGCACCCGAACCCGCTTCATCTAAGCAGACTTGCGACATTCTCCCAACTACCTGCGATTCACCTATAAGCACCCTACGCCTTACGACTTAGGACCTAGCTCGATTAGCGACTTCCGCCGTAACATAGGCCCGATTTCAGTTAAGTAGGCATGAGACGGTTTATAAACCCCACTGTACGGGCATACGAGATACACATATGCAACTTCGCCTTTCCTATCTTTAGCTGTACTGCCCTTGCGTACAGCATAGCCATTCTGTTTGCCATGCAGATTGACAGCGTCGATGAGAGCAGTAAGGGTAACAGTGGGGCTGATAGGGGGGAGCCGGACATGGAAGTCATCGCTTGAAGGTTGGTCGGGAAGGTCGAATGGGAGGTTTATGTCGGTGATTTCATCGGCAAGTTGGTAGAGGTCTTGCACGGCGGCTAGAGGAGAGGGAATACATTCGATGTCGAGTTCCGTCTCCTCTTCCTCGTCGGGTAAAGGAATCGGATCGTATAGAGGGAAATCGATGGGGGAAGAGGTCGTCAGATCAATGATCGGGGTGTTAACGTTTGGAAGCTTCCATTCTTCTTCCACGAAGGGTGATTCCACCACGCCTTGGGCTTGTAACTGAGCGAGTAGGGCTTCCATGCTAAGGGTAATGTGGGTGTATACTACGTTGTCATCTAGGGGGTGTATACCTCGTACAAACACATCTCGAATACTAGCAGTGTTTATGATGTGTGGATGTACGCCGTATCGTTACGGTGGGGTCAGTTCTGGGAGGCTGCCAGTATAACTTGCAATTTCAAACAAACGTCTGATATTGCCAATGTCTTTACGTCATATTACGTTGAATTACGTTGTCTCGTCCCCGACAGCTTCTGTCTCGTCTCCGGCAAGTTTTCCATGCCGCTCGGCGCGCGGACTGCGAAACGTTGAACCCCTAGTGCCGGCTGGATATCGCTACGCCGGTCGAAATTGAGGACCTGAGTCATTGGCAAAGCAGGGGCGTTGTCCAATTGGCACAGCTATAGGCAGAGCAAGTCCCGATGGTTTTGGCATGTTCAGGAATACCGATGAATGCATGTCGAGGTCGATGGGGTCCCGGTCGAGGGAAAGTTGGTGGCGAGGGTAAAGTGTAAAAATCACAGGATAGGTTGGTCCGCACAAAGACGATTATCTACGTACACCGCTCGAGCAACTCGATTCTAGACCTAATCTGTTCCGTTGCTCACGATCATCATTCCACCCATTGTACAAGTCATGTGAACAATCATGGCAAAGCCGACGGAATATAGCTCGTACAGCGTTGAACCTGGTGCCTACCGACCAAGCAAGTCGGTACAAATTGAGGTCTCATGATCCCCTCCTGCTCTGCAACTTGTCGAAGGTGTGTCTGCAGTAGAACCCACGAGAGATCGCAACTCTGGACATTGAACGCCGTGAACTCGAAACGCTTAGCAAGCTAGTAGTTCCAAACGAGCTTTGCAAGGATGTAAGTGCCGTTTCATACATACATGACAGGTTTTAGACCATACTTTATCAGCCCAGGTAGTTCTATCGGGTCGCCCAGGTTCAGTTTGCCGCTTGGGAATGCAGGTCGCAATCGCCGTCGAGATGCGCGGTAAATAGGTCCAATGGAATGTAAGCCGAGCGTACGAGAGTACGCGATCACTTTATACTCATTCATGACCACTTCTTGTCTGCATGTAAGGACGAGCGCAGATGGTGCCATATTGGCTTGCTATGACCTGTTGTTTACAAGCTGGTTGCCTGAACAGCGGGTCGGTTCAAGATGTATCTTGGCATGGACAGAAGGGAAGCTTCTGCCTTGAGGAAGGGCGCGGTGGCAGAGCTACAGAACGGATACAGCGGTTGTTTAGTCAGATGAGATGTTTGCATCGATACCAAGTTGTCAACACTTCATTGCGACAAGCGCAATCAACTGATCAACAAAATCCCTTTCGGTTGATGACGAAAACGGGGTGATTCCTTTCGGAAGTATATATGGATCCGACGCCGAAGTCCGAGGCTCGTCATCTGATCTCTCAAGCTCTGCCAGACTCGCCTTTGTAGTTTGCTAGTCTGACAGACTGCGATCGCTTTGACCATACATGCCATACATCCATTAGCGTGAGTATAGCCTCCAGAGTCACGGGAAGTGCGTTTCAATCCCGTCTATAGTCCGACTTGAACTATATCGGACGCAACGCGGCCTATACACTATGATCCTGCAAGAAACAGCTCTCATCTTCTGGGTTGCTGTGTATGTCCGATCTTTGGCTCAACATCGTTTGACGTCTCGCAAGCTGAATCTCCTTACTACTTTTTCTTCCTAGGTCGTCTTGGTACTGTAAGTGCACGCTATACCTACATGAAAGGGGGCTCTACTAAAGATCTACGGTGTGCTTAGATGGCTATCACATCTCAGAGCTCAACTTTCCTCAACCCTCGTTGACCTGTCACAAAGATGCCTCTGGACGATCAACCCTTCCCGCATGTCTGGATATTACATCGACTCGATACTCGATCATTACCGCAGTCCTAACGGTTGGAGGGCTATTAGGATCGCTTGCAGCAGCCAAGGTCATCGGGCGGTACGGGATGTACGGGACGGTATGGTTGACAGGAGCGATCAACCTGGTCGGAAGCATAGTCATGACCATCTCAACTCACTGGATTGGACTGGTTTTGGGACGGTAAGCACGATTGATGCTTTAGATTTCTACATCAAACTCTGATAATGAACCGCAACTCTCTTTCGCAGCTTCGTCTCGGGTTTGAGCGTCGGTCTAGCTATCACTACGGTGGCTCCTCTCCTCTCGCACATCGCTACCACCTCCCCTTCCGCCTTTCTAAGTTCTAAACGCGGTCTAATCGGAACGCTGAATCAGCTCGGCATCGTCCTAGGGATCCTCAGCGCTCAGTTAGTAGGTCTAGGTGCGACCGGAATGAAGGGCGACAAGCAGGGGGGTTGGAGATGGGTTGTTGCCGTGAGCGGGGTCGTGGCTGTCGTACAGTTTGGGCTAGGAATACTCCTGCAGCCCCACATCAAAAGACGTAGCAAGAAGGACTCGAATGAGAGGTTAGGTGGAACGGGAGAGCATGGCGAGGATGCCGAGGGCAAGTCCGCTCCGGTCGCCTCAATGCGGCCAAACACTCACCTCTACCTGATCTGCATTTGTGATCAACAGCAGAACCTCTGCTAAGTCCCTCTGGACGTAAAGATGTGGTCCGCCCTAGTACCATCTCCGAGATCCTCGCCAATCCTAGCATCCGTCCTCAGGTCCTCTTGGTCGCCTTCATCCTCGCCGCTCAGCAGTTCAGTGGGATCAAGTGAGTATCCGCGCAGTTTCATCTCGTTGAAACCGTCAGGCTGATCAGGGGATTCTTTTCGTCACTTTACTTACCACTGTCACCCAGCGCGGTACTTTTCTACTCGACCCCCGTTCTTAAACCGATCATCCCTGACCAAGCGGGGTTGATCGGGATTGGGATTGCGGTACTGAATGCATTGATGACGTTCCCACCGATGTTCCTCGTCGATGTAGGTACCAAGCTGGTCCACTGTAAAGACCTGATCTATATGACGGGCCATTGCTGAAGGGTCATTTCTCTTGCTTCTCAGCGGATCGGACGGATCCCCATACTCCTGACTTCGCTCGGAGGCATGATCCTCTCCTCCATCCTGCTCGCACACGGCCTCAACACTCATAATCAGACTCTCTCCGCCGTCCCGCTTCTCCTCTTCGTGGCCTCGTTCGCGATCGGTCTGGGCCCCATCCCTTTCTTACTGGTGAGCGAGCTCGTACCCCCGGAAGCGGTCCCAGCGACCTCGAGCATCGCACTTTCTAGCAGCTGGGTGGCCAGTTTTGTTGTCGCACTCGGGTTCTTGCCCCTGAGGGATGCGCTTGGGTGGGTCAGGCGAGGGGTGAGAGAGGGGGAAGGAAGGGTATTCTGGGTGTTCTTAGGATTTCAGGTGGGCACGGCGGCAGTGGTTATATGGAAATTGTATAAGAGGTGAAAGGAGCGGAGCGGATTTCTCGTAGTGAAGACACTTTGTACGATTGGTGAATTCCTTGAGGACGCGGAGACCCGAGTTATAGGTTGTCAAAGGCGATAGCGACGAGATGAGCGCCGGTGATGATGCCAATCGATGTTCTGACCTTGAGTGTAGAAAACAGGTAAATATGAACCCATCTAAGCGTCAGTAGGTTGAGCAGTGACGGAGGAATATTGAAGTACACCCGTTCGCCACTCCTGAACAACGTGGAATTCAAGATCCTGAGAAAGGAACTCAGCGCTCCTACTCATAGGACAATACAGCAAGCTGTAATCTCTGCTGACTGCAACCATTTTGTCAGGTATATGGACGAGGTGATGGACGAAGTGATGGGTTCTCTAAAGGAAAGTTGTCTTGATGAGCGGGGTGGGGGATGACATACGGCTTGGATGATACCTTCGGGAGCGACAAAGATGCCACCCACTGATTCGATCGTGTTTCATCGTGGGCAGCCCAACCCCGTACGACGCGAGTAACGGCATGGTGTCGTCGCGTGAACCTCCGGGGACACGATTTACTTCCGCTTCCCCGGCCCCCCTGTGCCCCGCCCTGTCCTCTTGCTGCTGCCCTCGCTCTCCTTTGTTGTGCCTTTCTGGCTCTGAGCTCGCTCGCCAGTGATGCTGGTGGGATCGACCGTCGACGACCTTGGCCCGCCTCTTTTGACGAGGTCGATATCGTCGTCGACCAACAAACATCATCCACTACTCCCAGCAATAGGTCAAGCAGACAAGCAACCAACCACACTCATTCAAGCTACGAACAGTATCCTTTCGATAAGGATTCCACGACCACAAACCCTACGGAATCCCCATCAGCCCCGTCTCCCTCCGCGGCGATTCCTTTCAATCAACTTCCCCCTCAATCACCTCCGCGTTTCGGTTAACGATAGTGCTGGACGACTACATCAACAAACGAATACTTGATTGAACTTTCGAGCCTCTACCATCTTGATCTCCTGGAGAGACACAAGAGTGGCCGTCCTCTACAATTCACGAACGCTTGTCGGACGTGAGCTACGACCACAAACGGGTCAAATCATACGCAACCTACCGACTCCCACCACACTCGCCCACAAATAACCCTTTGATCAAGACGTCTCTTCAAGATGCACATCCTCAATATCAAACCTACCTTCGCCCTCCTCTTGGCTCTGACGGCCACCGCCAATGTAGTCACCGCCAACATGCACCACCGGTCCGCCCATATTCATCGAAGGGCTGAAATCGACAGACGAGCCGGAGCGGCCTACAACGAGACGGACGGTATGGAGCCTCTCTCCCGGTCTGTCGAGCTGGGACATCAAGCGAGCTTGTCGTCCGCTGCCGCCGCTTCGTCTTCTTCTTTAGCGGCAGTCGCGGCGGCGACATCCACTTCAGCGAGCGAGGTGGATGTGCCGGCCACGACGTCTACGGCTGCTGCGGTCGGAGAGCAGGTCTCTTCGACTAGCGTGGTCCAGACTTCGACCGCATTGGCCGAGACTGATGATGTCGGTGAGTTTATCGTGCATGATCTGAATTGATCGATGGGAGCGGCACTGATCAGTTCTCGACGTGATTCTCTCGTAAAGTCACCTCTACTGCTACGGCCGCGACCACCGCTCTGGCCGTCGATACCTCTGTAATCGCCGCCATTTCGTCCAGCTCTACTCCGAGCACGAGCTCTATCGTCCCTACCACTTCGTCGACCACCCCCGCTGCTGTCCTCGCGACCACCTCGACCAGCACCGTCGTCCCTACCACGAGTATCGTCCGAAGCACCGTTACGCCGACCCAAGATCAGACCTTGTCCTCCGCCGCCTCGTTGGTCAGGACAACCGCACGATCGGTAACGGCGAGTGCTAGCGTTTCGGCTGCGGCTGGGTCGAGCGAACAAGGCTCGAGCAAGTTGAGCGTGGGCAAGACGGCCATGATCGTAATCATCGTCGTGGCCAGCGTCATCGTCGGTGCCCTAGCCATCTGGACCATCATCCGAAAGTGGAAGTTGGGACCTAGCAAGAAGTTTGATGTGAGTTTCTCAAACGCTGATGTTCCTGGTCAGCCTCGAGTTCTGGGTCACGAGCTGACTCCCCTGCAAATCGGTTACATCAGGAACGCATGCAACCTCTCGACTTTTCGCCTCACAGCGGCATGCCCGACCCTTTCCTTGAAAAGACCAGGAACCGGTTCTCCAACTCGTCCGTCTCCTCGGCCGACCGTCAACGACGTCAGTTCGTCTCCGAGCTCGACGCTGCTGAACAGGAAAAGTACGCCTACGAGACCCAGCCCAACTACCTGCACGGAGTCCCGAGCCACGACTTTACCGCTCCGCCGACTGCAGGGGGTGGCGTGGCCAGTTCTCGCTATGCCGACGATTACGACTATGGGTACCCCGCTCAGCAGCAACAGCAACACGACTATGCCGCCCATGCCGACGAGACGGTCGGTGGAAACGACTATGCCGATCTCAGGAGGGGCCCTTCGACCGTGGGGACCAACTTTGCCGGTATGGGTGCGGGTCCCGGTGGATTAGCCTCGGCTGCTGCTCCGCCCGTCCCGCCCATGCCTCAACACGCTGCTGAGATGGGAGGATACGAACACCAGGAGACGCTCTACAGCGATAATCCCAGCAGCTTGGGTCGACCGACTCAGGGTGAAGGGCCTTACTTTGCGGCTAGTCAGGCGCGAAGGTATTGAGCGGGGTGAAAGGTCTGGGCGAGATCTCAGCCTTTTGAATTCGATTGGTCCTCCATACTGTCCTTTCGCTCGCGTCTCCCTTCCCTCTAGTTATCATTCTACTTCTCGTCATTGTGTGGCTCGATTTCGCGTCGAGGTGTCATGTAACAACGTCGTGTGCTATATATCTCGAACTCTAGTTTCATCATCTTGTACTATGCTGCGGGACCGGTAGTCTGTGATATCAAATTACGATTGCGATTGCGCTTCGTTACAGGCAAAGACCGATCGGTGGGAGAAAAAGACGAGCGCGGCTCGGGTGCCTTCAAAGGGGGTGACGGCGTGTTTGAGGAGAGTGGAGTTGAAAAGCACAAAGTCGCCCGGCTTGTAGTCGAGTTTGAAAGCAGTGTCCTCAGTTCCGACGATGAGCTGACCTCCGGTGTAGCGCCCGATGTTGGTCATTGCGACAAAGCCCTCGGGATCGTCCGAGCTGTCTCTGTGAGGGAGGACGCGGAGGTTGTACACGACGGCGAGACCGAGGAAGGCGGCGTCGGTGTTCTTCTGCATCTGTTCGAGATCGGCGTTGCGGGAAGCCAACTCGTCGTAGTTTCGTTTGTACCTATCGCCAGACGGCAATTGAGCGAGGCTTCTCTGCAGGGAACACTACGCCAATTCCGAGCTTACCGCTCATAAGCTTCCGGCTCGAGTATACGGAAAAAGTTGGCGATCCTGGTTTGCAATGGGCTGATATTCTTGAGAAACTGTGAGGTATATCGGTGCTTGTGACTACCACTACATTGTTGTGACGAGACGACGGGTCCTAAGTGAGTGTTCCCTTGAGCGTGCCAGTACCTTTCGAAGTGTAGCACGGTGATTTCAGCCGCGCGGCTTCTGCGAGAATGAATTGCGAAATCTGAAACTCACGCCAAATGCCAAACTCCAGCGTGATGCGTCCCGTATTTCGCTCTCATCTCGGCAAAGGCGTGATGTCGATGATCACCAGGTCCCGGGGAGGGTAGGGCCGACCAGACATGATTTCCAGCTTTCGTAATGTGCTCGTTCGCCCAGCCCCGTCGCAACTCTTCGACGCTCGCTTCGATAATCTCTGTGCGTGCAATCGATTCGTCAGACAACGCGAAACATCGCTCTCGGACGCAAAGCGTGGCTTACTGGACAACGGTAGCTCTTGCTCAGAAGTTTCGGCATCGATCCCAGCGCGGATCTTGTAGAGTACGATATGGTGATCCGACGTCTCGACGATAACGTTGGGCTTGTAGAGAGGCATCGCCGAAGCTTGCTTGTCCCACGCGGCGACCTTTTCTTTCCAGACATCGTCTTCCTTTCCATCTCCCGAAGAACCGCACTTGGGGATCGCCGTCGCACGTATTTCTGCCCATGTCTGAGGCAGAGTCAAGACTTGACAGTATCGTAATGCGGATGTCAAAAAGTCCTGGTCTTTCTCTAGCGAATGCAGGCTTTTATCGCACGTATGCTTGAGCAGATTCTCGAGGTCCTGATCGCTGCCGGTAAGATCATACCGATGTCCTAACCGGATCCTTTCCTTGGTCCATTGAGCTTTTAGAGCCCGCACGTCGATCTTTCGGATCCGATCCGACACGTTCTGTGCCCAGATTGCGGCGGGAGGTTTGCCTGCCTTCCAAAGACCGTCTCGAACGGGCGGTTTGACTTTCGGCTTCGAAATTTGCTCGGTGCGAATGGAGGGAATCTTGAAACGCAATTTGATGGCCGGTGGAGCCCGGGTTTGCGATCTCAAAGGAATGACTCCTCCTCGCGATGCACCAAGCTGTGATACAAGGACCGGCCGAGGCTCGCTTTTGGCATGAGGGGAGGTTTGTAGATTATCTGACTGCCATGGCGGTCGGTCGTGGTAGAGTGCCTTGTGTTCGAGCGGCCTGTTAAGGCGACGGCTAGCGAGGCCGTCTCCGAGGGCGCGACTAGTCAGCATTTGCTTGGTTCTGCTACACCGATAACTTTGGTAGTATGTGTCTGTATGATTTTGAAAGGTGAAGGGTTGTGCATCAATTTGCACTGTACTAGCACCTGCTTGAAGCTCAACGTCTGATCGTCTGATCTATGTCTGATGTCTGCACAAGTTGCAATTTGTCTGTCGCATCTGTCGACTTGATCAGCTGCTTGCTGCGTACCACTGTATGATGATGTCATCATCGTATCATCATCTATCCTGAAGTTCTGAACAAAGGAAGTCCTTTCGGTATGGCTTCTTGCTTCTTGCAAGTACGCCGATCCCCCTAACATTACTCTATCACTCTCTATATATTATTATATCTCTAGTGAACTAGCTATTTTATAGCATCTATAGATTACTCATATGCGAAGATAGTAAAGAGTTAACCTTCGATCATTCCCGCTGTGTAATCGGACCCCATATCCCATACAGCATATCTTGACCCTACCTTGGTACCGCGATCGCTTTACCGCCCTGTTGGCACAATGCAAGACCATCAGATGACATTGGATGCAGCCCCTTCTCGAGACACTGAAGATACGCAGCCTCTATTGCTCACTGAATTGCAAATGGAGTCCGATACCGAGATCAGAACTTCCGCTACTCCCACCAAGATTACCGATTGCGATAGCACTGCGGAGAAACGGGCCCATTCGATCGAAAGTGCTTCTCACAAGATGAATAACGCCTCGGCTCCCTTCAGCATCACAGGCGCTGGAAGTTCCGCAGTTCAACAAGCAGAAGCTGTCGATGCGATCCTGCAATGGGTTCGTCTACTAAAACTGGCCGTTGATAGGATGCTTAACGTCGATGACAAGTATTCACTTGGCGGACTTGGTCAAATACTGCAGATTGATCCACGATCACGGTGCTTCAGGTCTAGCTGTCAGACACCGGCCGGCATGGCATAGGCGACTACGTGAGGAAACAGTTCGTGTGAACTGGATATGTACACATCGCTAATCTGCACGCCCGTTGCCCTTGCCCGCCTCATTCTGTCAGGGAAAACCTTGAGGCGTGCATGGCATCCTCTGCTTGCCAGGAATGGACTTTGTATCATTACCAAGGAAGTCGGAAGCCTTTTGGATGGATCTTCGAGCGAGGCGTGTATTGTCGATCCGCAGGAATTTGCTGTCCTCAAAAAGTTAGGATTGCCTGGAGACTGGTTCAATGTAGACAAAGGAGGACGATATCACACAACTCAGATAGTGTAGCTTGTCGGATACTATGGAAGTGTGAGAGATCTTTAAGAGACGTCCGTTGTTTACCCGGAAGGTCCCAGCACGATTCTCGATCCAGAAATCATATCAGGACACCCCTTTGATTACAGTGCCTCTGATGTCAGAAGAAAGGTTTCACCGGTACTCATGGTCTCCTGTTCACTCCCAATTCATCCGATCATATAGTTGCCTTTCCCGGTAAGCGCTATTGTGGCGCACGCAGTCATACAGTCGAGAACCCAACCAAGTCGAAAGCGTTTCGGAAAGAACGCTCAGCATATGAAACACCCTGAGTACAACTGTTATGTGTGATTTCAATACGTGACTGGAGTAGCGATCCACCTGTCATATCGTTCTTGCTTGCCTCCCCTGCCCGGAAGTGTGTGGTCGGATAGCGGATGGATCGGCGCGAAGGTGACGTCCGCTCTTGCCCGACGACAGAGCCTCTCGCCGTTTTCGGCCCGGAAGGCATCGCTTGCTCAGACGTTGCTATTGCCTGCTGAGGCGTCTGCACCACCCACCCTCAAACTAGCCAGTTCAATGACATTGAAACAATGGCCTTTGCCCCTGTCAGAACCGATCTGAATATTGATCTAAGTGTGGCTTGGGAACCATCGAGTACCTTTACCTTCGCTCGACGTCCGACGCCTCCAGCTGCAACCGCCTTCCCGCTCGCTCATTATCCGGCTCCTCCGGCTGCATCTGCATTCACTTTCGCTCATCGTCCAGCTCCTCAAGCTGGGCCTCACACTACCTCCGCGCCTCAAGCTGGGCCTCAGGCGGCTGCGCCTCAAGCTCCTCGAGCCTCGACCTCTCTGTCCGGGATGACCGATATGGATGTGCTCCGCGCAAAGCTCGTCAAGGCCAAAGCGATCAGGGACAGGGCGAGGCAGGGCAAAGTCACTGAAGCGGAAAGTGACAGGAGGAGTATTCTCGCCAAAATTGTCCAGGGCGAAGCCGAAAGAAGGCGCAAGGAAGCGCAAAAATGCCACAAGCAGCACATCCATTCGGCGAGGTTCTTGGAAGTCCAAGCTGACGAGGAGCTTGTGGAGGGCTACCGTGATGTCGTAGTCTTACGCAGGCTCGCGCTGGAGCTCGAACATGAGAGGGAGGAAGAAAGGGAGTCGAAGCGATAGAGATTGGAGACAGAATTACATGTATCGAAAAAGAGAATCGGATCAAACACGGGGATCGTCAAAGAAGCGTTTGGTAAATCTGGTTGATGTATTTATGGCTTTGAATTAGCTAGCAGTGGCCCCAAATCGTATCAGCAGAGAATATTTGTTAGCGTCTGGTTATGATTTCAATTTATGGTGACGGTGAACTGGTCAACCTTAGAGAGCTTATGCTAGATGAATAGAGCCATTGATCTCTATCAGTCAAGCCATGTCCGATGAATTCGATAAGTCCCCGAAGGATGGAAACACAGTAGAGACAAGAGGAAGATCATCGGAGTAGGCATGGTTAGGGAATCTAGTTGGTTCATGGCTAGGAATTTCGGTCGCAAGTGATTCGAGCATTACCAGTTGATGCGAAACAGGGAATGGCGATGTTCGCTCTATAACCGTCATGTCTATGAGCTATTGCGACCTGGGACGCCCGACACATACCCGCGATGGTGATCGTCTTCGTTGTGAAAGGAGATCGACGTCGTAGAAAAGCTTCACCAGTAACATGACCATAAAGTCGACCCATCCAGATTTACGATGCAGTCATAGAGCTCTTAGTATCACTCCTACAAGAGTGAAAAATTGTTGGAGTTAGCAGGTGCAGCGCTGAAGCATTTGAATATCCTATTCGTATGAGCGCCTGGAGACGAAGAGGCGCAAGCATTTCGGTGCAGGTTTATGCATCGGTGCTTGACGGAATATCACACTCACAATTTCAATCTGTGTTGAATGGTGTATTAGTCAATTTTAAAGTAATCGTTTGAACAGATCTGGCCAGATACACAAGGTAAAATTGCCAAACACTCGGGACAAGGGCATATGAAGCAAGTAGAACAGGAGCCGCGCAAGATGATCACGTGACTCTCTCTCCCGTCCCGCTAACAACTCGTCCTCTCGTCCCGAGGCGTCGATAATTCAGCGAGATTCTTTGTTACGAATCGTATGAATCTCTATGGTAAACAGCCCTGACCGTTTAGACCTCCTTACGAAACTTACGGATCCAGGAAACAGCTTATAGAGTCTCGTTCTGACTCCCTCGAACACGCTTGATCCGGGACACGAAACCTCGCGGTCGATCGCCCGACTTCTGCTCGAGAATCTACCCTCTTACCGCTCGAAGAACAGGGTCGTCGGTCACCTACTCTCTGCCATTCGTCGCTCCGTTGTTCCGGGATCAGCGCATGCTTCTCAAATATAGTAAGTAGTTCACGATCTATGCCTAACTTTGTCATGTTTCGCGAGAACGGAGCTAACAATGTGCTTTGGCTCGACCGATAGATCAATGCTTCGATCGTGCAAGGGAAATGTCAAGCTGGCATGGCCCTTCCTTGAAACTCTACCCGATCTCTTCCCGGTCATAACAAGGTCAACATCCACGCTAGGTAGCCATACCTCGTTAACCTCCTCGATTGGTGCAGGACCATCGGCCATTCCACCACCACTACCACCACCACCACACGCTCGGCGCAGAGAACGATCGAGCTCTGCTCTAGGGGTAGGAACCCGATGGTCCGATTGTCGATCACGGCGGGAGAAGCTCGAACCGTGTCATGAGAGTCAAAATCAACCTCGACAACAACAACGGCGGAGGCTGACGAGTGGACTTGCACCTCGGCCTCTAAGCATCCCGCTCGGAGGTCGGTCGGGTATGAAATCGAACGGAGGGGCCGTCAAGGTGGATGTCATAGGAGGAGCGATAGCCGGGAAAAGGCAATACGGTTCGGTCGCTCTGGCCGTCAAGGAAGATCAGGATGTAGTTCTTGGCGCAGAATCGTCAGCGTTACCGTCGTTACGGTCGATGCCTGACCACGAGATTCGGCGGACAAGACAAAACGATCATCCATCATTGCCATTAACATCGGCATCAGCGAGAAACTCTACCAGACCTGGATCGACTTCATCAGAAGCTCGAAACCGATCAGATCTCATCGAGCTAGAAGCCATACTAGACGACTGGCTCACGGTCCGTCAGAAACGTGCGAACCGACGTACCGGCAAACTTCCTCATCATCAGATCAAACGGTTCATCCACCTCGCTCAGGCACTTCGTCACGAGATGGAAAAGTGCCCTGAACTGGGGTCGAAAGTGGTCCATCGATTACAAACGCTCGCTCAAGGGGTGATCGATCGGAATCTACAAGGCACAAAGGCAGCGTCGAAGCTGGCTTCTTCCGAGACCCTGTTGCCGTCTACCTCATCTTCCCCGGCTTGTGATTCAACACCATCATCCTCGACCGTACCGATGCTCAAGGACTGGAAACTATCTTCCCGCATGGTCACGACCCTGACCGACGGCCTCATGACTTACGGACTGTACGACCTGGCAGAGGATATGATCTATCTCTTCGAGATGAATAACCGCGGGAACAGGATCGATCTAGATGACTGTCTAGACATGATGGTGGAAGCACGAAGATGGGTTGAGGTATTGAGGTATACTTCGGGGAGAAGGCGGGGTTTACAAGATAGGGTCGCCGGGGATAGAGACTCAGTTCGTGACCAGAGGCAGAATCATGACGTCGAGAAAGACTCGGCGAGGTCGACCAGGTGGTTGGGGATGGAAATGAAAGCCTTGAACGCATTGAGGCGGTTCGGCGAGGTCGTGCGGCTACACGATGGCATCGAAGCCAGCACCTTCGAGAAATCCCCTGTGCGAGATCAGTTGACGGTCTGGTGCGAGGCAATGAGGGCGTCCCTGTGCCTGAAACGTATTGTTCCGGCCATGGAGATCCGGGACAGGCTGTGGGACTCGAAATGGCACGAGGTGGACCGAGCGTCGTATGTAGCGGCGTTGTCAGAAGGAATCCGTTGGACGGGCTTCATCCCAGAGATCGAGCAGAGGGTTTTGGCCGAAGAGATACAAATCTTGCAAGACCAACATCGGAGACAACTCTTGGACTCGCTCGCTAAAGCTCGTGTGAAAGCCGGAAGAGAGATAGGTCTCATCTTGCCATTCTACGGATGCGGGGCGGACGACGTCCACGCGACATTGGGCCTCTTGACGCAAAGTTCGAGGACGATCGAGTGGATGCTTGGTAGTAAGGAGATCATCATCAACGCCGACGCCCTGATAGGGCTGTGGGATAAGTTCGTCGCGGAAAAGATACGGACAGGGGGCATGGTGCCGAGTTATGTACTCGTCGCTTTCATCAAGGCGTGTTTGACTTTGGGCGAGCGAAACTTGGCCATGGACAAGCTTGATGACGCTCTGCGTACCAACGCCACCCTGCCGGTATCCTCACCACGGTACGAGTTCCACATCGCCGTTTTCACACCACTGGTGCAGACAATGGCGCGCGCAGAAGGTCGGGATGGGGCGGCGCGAGTGCTCCAGATGACTCGACGAGCCAGGGTGCATGTGGATAAGAAGATGGCCATGGTTATGATCGAGGCCATCATACGACATTACGACATTACGAACGCGGATCATGTATCGTCCTTGCGAGGAATGGTACAGATTCTCTGCATGGATCAGCCGCAAGTCCGCAAACGCAAGCATTTCAAAGGAAGTGCGAGCCCTTCGGATCAAGCTTTCTCGCTGGACAAACAGGTCCTGCAAGGACTACTTGATGAGCCGTCGAAGGATGCTACAGATACACCCGACGAGTCCGCCGAAAACTCGCCCCTTGAGCAGTATCATCATTTCTTGCGGATCAATGATCGCATCTCCTTAATGAGGCCGAACGACTTCTATCATGCCATGACACGCTTTGGCATCGAGATCGACAGCAAGCGCTTCACCGAGGTTATCGGCACATATCTCGGGATGTCTGACGCAAGATCTGCGTTGGAGGCTTTCAATCTGGCCCGTATGGTCGGGGTCGCTCCCGGCTTTTCTATGTGGGTGACTCTCCTCTGGGGTATCATGCGCTACGAAAACCTGGTTTTCTGCAGAAAGACCTTGAACACACTCCGTCAAGAAGGCGTCGTCCCGAACATTGCCGTCTACACTACGGTTGGGGCCGGACTAATCCGATCCGGCCAGTATCGCCAATCTAAAGAGTTCATGGACCTGGCGATGAAGCGGCTCGATCCAGAGACGATCGATACGATCTTTGTCTCGGTCGCCTTCAACGCTCGTTGCCGCGCTGGATTGCAGACTGACGCCATCGAGCTGCTGCGAAAATACCAGAGTCTGGATCAAGTTGCTCTCGATCGCAAGTTCAGGGAGAGCATCAAGCGGTTTCGGGCCTGGCACAAGAAACAGGACAACGCGGATGCTAGCACACTTGTGGGAGCGTTCGACGAACTGATCACGAGCGATGTGGAGGAAAGGGCTGCCGAGTCTCAGGGGTCGTACCCCATTACAAGGGCTTGGCTACACAATACCATCCGGAAGTATTGGACCCTCGCACCCGCACACAGGTCTGGACACAAGAAGGATTCACAGGAGTCAGATGACGAGCTGCTGCCGACCCTGACTGTTGTGGAAGAGAAAGGAGAGGGAACCCAAGCGGTAGGGCTTGACATGCCTCCGGTCGATCAGAAAAGTTGAGACAGGGTCGCTCAAACATGATCTTATGAGATCTCATTGTATTCTAGCAGCATATGGGACCCATCCCATTGTAGTATCCCTTCGTAGCATTTGCATCTGCATGGTCGAAACACAGGTTCCCCGCATTCGTCACATCTTCACTTGACCGTCACGTGACGTGGCGCGGTTGTCGTTTGTCCGGTGGTTCGCTCTGAAGCTGTGAAGTTCAACTTCTGCATGACTGTGACTTCCAGCAACTCTAAGCAAGAGATCTGCATCAAAGAGATAGACCAGACATCTGGCCATCTGAAGATTGGAACACATATGAGATTAAATCTGGTACGAAGTTTCGCCACGAGGATGTCATCGACAATACCCGGTCCCGTACAGAGCAGTATGCATCGCAAGGTGGGGCTTTTGCTCTCATCAGCATCTGGTCATACGACCCGCTGACATGTTACTGTTCCCGACTACAGCTTTCTGAAGGTCTAAAACCCGTGTTTCTGGAGATTCGTAACGAGCGAGTCGACATGTAGAAGTGGAATTGCATAAGGCCGCCGTGCTGACTTGAAGAGATCGGCGTCACCCGATAGTTCCTCGAAACATGCGCACCACTCTGCAATGAGAGCGGTCGGTGGTGGAAACGGAGAGACCCGTGAGGATGTGTGATAATCGTTGCTCAGCTATCATACACTGATCGATGTGACGTCCCGCTCCTCATTGCAGACTTCTCCGTGACGATGGCCTCGGAGGCTTTCAATGGCCTGACACCGATCAAGCGACATCGCCTCGTCAATGGACTCCTCAAAGAAGAATTCGAGCAGATGGGCCTTCACGCACTCAGCTTGCGATTAAAAAACGTCGAAGAGGCCGAAAGGGAAGGATTGGTGCAGGACAAGTCGGCACGGGCGGATGTACCGTCTTGTAAAGGCAGCGTGATCTGAGGGTTCTGAGCGATGCTGGACGATAGATCATACAATATAATAATACCTCTCAAGATCGTATCAAGCCGATTGTGCCTATGGCAGAAGCCTTCCGAGATTAAGGACGAATTAAAGCGCCGTACGCTTTCGAGCTCAACGTATGATTTACATATGCGATGTCATCGCATGATGCATGATGCATGATGCACGATGCATGATAATGATGATTTGTCACGTGTTACAGTAGTAGTATAATATGTCTTCTACACCAAGTGCCCTACTGCCCGTCTTGAACAGCCCGATCAATTCTTCTTCGGCTTCTTGGCTATGACAATCGACGAGAAATCAATCAGCGTCACTCCCCACGGGTCTGAGGGAGAGGAGATGAAGGAGAGCGCAGCAAGGGAGACAATATAGAAAGGGAGAGGGGATGCGCCAACTCACCCCCGTATTTCGACCTCGAAGCGGTTCGGTTGGCTACACCAGAGAAGTCGAGTGCACCACGAACGAGCTTGTACCTAGAGTGTCGACCGTGTTCATTCGCAAGGGTCAAGAGAGTCAAGGTTATGAGCGTCATCGAAAAACTGAACCCCAAATCGATTGCAACCCTGCCTCACCTGATACCCGGTAAATCCTTTGTCCTCCCGCCCCTGACGAGCACGACCGAATGCTCTTGCAGGTTGTGTCCCTCCCCGGGGATGTACGCGATCGTCGTCTCCCCCGTGCTCAGCTTGACCCTAGCGACTTTTCTCACGGCAGAGTTGGGCTTCTTGGGCTTGGTCGTGTAGACTTTGGAACAGACGGCTTTCTTCTGGTAGCATTGCTCCAAGAGGGGGGATTTGGAGAGTTTGGGGAATTGTTTACGGGCGCCTCGGGCGACTGCATGACAGAAGTCAGAGAGAGAGAGAGAAAGAGATTGAATGGGAGATTAAGCTCAGGATCATACTATCCTGAGATGTGGTGGACGAAAGGCTCACCCTGATTGATGGTAGCGTTGACCGTACTAGATGCCGAGAAGTTCCTGCTCGACAAGCGGGAAGGTCCGGCGATGCAGGTCGCCGTCGAGGAGGAACGCAGCGCCATGCCGTTGAAGGCTGATAGGAGGGATCTTGAGATTGACATGATCAAGCTGATTGTATTACCGCCAAGTTTGATGTTATCATTTAGGAAGCTGGGTATTCTCATCTCGAAGGTCGATCTCAGAAATCTCGACGAAGCACTCACTCACTTCGCTCGAGCACGGACGGACGCGCTTGAGCGAACGGGAGCCGAGAATACGAGATTGCGCTTCGAGGTGACGCGAATACTCTTAGGCTGTCTCCATCTCGATCGGATCCCCCAAGCTACCCGAGTCAAGACACAAGATGCATTCGAATGTTGCCCAATCTGGGTGGCACTTATGGTTCTACCTCGTCCCGAAATCGATGCTGATGGGTTGTTACCAGGTCAGAAATCGAATCGACGTTGTTGTTGCTCACGAATTGTTTGTTTACTTTGTCAGCGACCTCGATGCTCAATGTCAATTCAGAAAGCACATCGAACTTTTCCAGACTGAATACTATCATCTAGTATCTAGTACACAAGACCGCTCACCCAGCGCTGTCTGCTGGTTCAATAAACGCCTGTTTCTGAAAGATGAGCGGCATAGCACCAGAATACGCCGCCTTCTTTCCTCCATCTACCCATCCCAACATCCCCAGGTACGCATCCTCGGTACTCTCCACCCTCAGGTCGTCCACCGGGAACCGTGGGACCGCAAACGAACTCCGTCCGGAACAACGAGCCGCTTTGGCTGGTATCAGCGCTATATTGGCATGCGAAAGGTCAGTTCACCCGTTCTCTTCTGCTACGAGCGCTGTCTTTCCGAGCTCAACTCACTTTGTCTTCTGTACTTCTTCTCGTAAGATACGGCACCGAAGATATCTCTATCGAATACGCCCGTAAACGCTCGGCGACCACTCGGACGATCTTCCAATCTACTCTTGTACAATGTAGGGAGATCATCGCGTCAAGCCGGACGACTCCCAGCAAATCTAGGTCGATCGCGAGTCCTCGGACCACTCCAGGGGGCAGTAGCAGCTTCTTGCCAGGCAGTCCATCCAGAGCTCCAAGTACTCCTCATAGGGCGGGCGGGATCTCGAACCCGTTCTTATCGCCCTCTGATAAAGGAAAGGACAAGATCGGGCCGGTGACTCCGGGGAGAACACCGGGTTCGCCGTTCGGGAGGGGAAGATTGGATCTGACCGGGTTGAGGAGGAATACCAGTACTACGAGCACCAGTGCTGGTGGTGCTAATGTCACGACGGGTACGACTTCAGAGGGAGTCAAGCTTGATAGAGGGACTGGAAGCGAGGCCGATGCAGGGAACACGGAAAGCGAGAAAGGGAAAGGCAAGGAGAAACAACCCGTCCCCGGCCATGGATCTGCTGCTGGTTCAAGCTCAGAAGCGGAGTCGAGACCAGGTCCTCTGAGCGTTCCTTCGCCTTTTCTTGCCTTGAGTCCCAATGCATCTCCGAGCAAGGCGAGCGGCAGTACTACAGGCGCAACTGGGTCGGCCGGGCCCAGAGTTGTAGCATCAGCGACAAAGCCGATCCCGACTACACCGACGAAAGCCCGTCAGACCGCCCACCCAGACCCCCTGCTCATCCCGTCAAGATCCAGAGCATCGCCTTTGGCTTCGACATCGGACTCAACCTCAGCTCCCGCTCCAGCATCAGCGGGACCGATCGCCCCCTCCCCGTCTCGTCGTGGAAACGCTTCACCGATGCACAACTCGTTGTTGAAGGCCAAGGCCGAGATGGTCCGTCGGGCCGGATTCGCAGCGATTGACGAACGGGACGAGGACGAAGAGGAAGATGAGGACGAGTTGGCATTGGGCACGAGGACAAGTGCGCGAAGAGGTGCGGACGGGGGATCTCCCTCGAAACGGAGGAAATTCCAGGGTCAAGGGATCGACTTGGAATCCGCCATCAAAAGTTCTCATTCCATCTCGGGACGTATGGGGAAAGAACCGACGAGTCCTTCTTCGAGCAAGAGAAAGCTGCGGGAAGGTTTGATCGAGAGGGAGGTGGAGCCTGTCAGGCCTACAGTGGACATGCTCCAGCTCGTCCTTCCTCCCGGTCTGGCATCGATCTCCTCTGCGAGCGCCACAGCCGCGAGTCCTGCAGCTACGACCACGATGAAGATGTTGCCATACCTCGTCTCGCCTTACGTATCCATCCACCACCCTCCGCTCACCTACTCTGGAATATCCAACCACGTCCTGCCAAGCGCGCTCGATCGAATCTTTGCCAAGACGGTCCCCTCTGCCGAATACGCTTGGGGGCCATCGTTCTTGATGCAATGTAAAGGCGGTCATGGGTATGTCGATTGGGATGAGAATCAGCAGGGAGACGAAGGACGAGACGAGGAGAGAGAGATGTGGAAGCGGCTAGACATGGCCGATAAGCGCAAGAGGCGAGCAGAGAAGAGAAGAAGGAGGGTTCTGAAGCACCTACAGAAGGGGCTAGAAGTGCCCCGCGAAGACGATGATGCCGGGATGGACGTTGACGACGATCAAGGACGCAAGAAAAGGCGGGTCGAGAGGCCGAGGTGGGAACGAGAGTTCGGTATGGAGGACAATCATGCCGAGAACGGCCTCAGGGTGAAAGCATTGTCTGAGGTGCGTCTTGCGCGGTCCCTTCCATGTGGGAGGTTTGGAGCTGACCGAATCGTCGCAAATCAGGTGTACAATGCACCAGGCTCGGTTGAGGCGGTTAACAAAGAATCTGGTGCAGCTGCCGTCCCGTGGGATCCGAAGCAAGCCATATGGTTGGCAAGGGCCGAAAGTAAAGGAATTGCCGTGAAAGTCTGGAGCGAGGAAGTACTGGGCGGGTCAACCTGAGCGAATGCGGACCGCATGCAGGAGTACGATCGATATATGGAAAGTAAACAGCCTATGCAAGTACTACCTAACGTACGAGGACAAGTGCAACGTCAATGTTGATACAGACAGTCGTGAACGAGCGCGAGCCTCCTTCGTAAACATCATGTCCTGGCAAACCTTTCTCACGTCCCGACTGCTGATCCGAAGACGCTCAATGTCTTTCCGGCCGCAGCGTATATGCTTCCATCGCCTTGAACGAGCAATCCTGCCACGGGGTCGGAGAAGACCTTGGTCAGTATCCCACCGGATTCCGCCGTATGTGTGCAGATGGGTTCCCCCGTGTACAAGTCCCAGCCGCGAACTCGGTTGTCCGTACCGGCCGCTAGGATCTTTGTTTGGCTGCCGTCTACGGCCGTCCCCTGTGAGGACCGATTCGGTTCCAGTCAAGAGATAACGGAAGGCGCTTGTCAGACCGGCAGGTGCTCACCAATCTATGACGAAAGGTAGTATTGATGTGCCCTGCAAAACGCACAGCCGGTCCTGCAGTCGAAAAACGTAGGTCGAAAAGCGACATCTGAAGGAAGATGCAGCGGATCAATCAGTCGCTCCCGCTGGCATGTATTGGAGACCCACCTCGCTTCCCATCCTGCCCACTATCAACCCTCGACCGCATCCAAACGAGCTCTCCAGCCCTATCAGGTTGATCACCGGATCACCCTTTTCCTTGGGCTCCGAGACTGGTTGTGGGGCAGAACTGGTCCTGAAGTCGTGATGCAGGATCTTGCCAGACCGCAACCCGATATACGCTTCGTTCTGATCAGTCACAAGCTTCAGCTTGATTCTTGCGGGATGATACGATGCATCAGATCGTTACGAACCTTATTGACGTGTTTGACCGCATAGATGGCGCTTCCTCCGACAGGAACCGTCCGAAAACTTCCCTGAGGTCTCGACAAATCGGAAGAGTAGAGCATCTTGCCATCACCTCCTATCACGACCGACCCTGATACGCTGTCCATACACCAGGCATCCGTGAGTTGCTTGAGGTTGTAGTGGATCGTCGATCTAGTTGTCTGTTCGGCGTATCGTTGTTGAGAAGAGAAGAAAGGTGGATACTCGGGGCAGATGACGAGGGAGGGTTTAGGTCCGAAGCTTGTAGCGCTGTGTATGATTCGAATAGTCAGCCTTGAAGAGCGCTTGGCAAGACGATCACCCTCGCATGGAAGTATCTCACATGAAATAGTCCTTTTCGCAAGCGATACCGCTGATCTTGATAGCAAGGTCGAGTTCGATATGAGTGCAACGTCACGACCCAACCCCTCCTGCAACTCACTGAGGAGGCCATGTCATATGTCTTCCATCGATACCTCCGAACCAGGGTTCTGTTTGTCGGCGGCTGAGAACGTCCTTGGACTTCATGCAGTTCCACATCATAAGAGGCGAAGTAGGATTCGAAGGGCTGGTCTGCGATCCCAATGACCTCACCGGCCTCGCTGCCCATCATGACATGTGTCGGCTCATCCGGTACCGACTGGTGAATGACAAGAAGTTCGTGGTCAGCCGATTGTCTGGCGATGCGGCGATAGCGATCAACAATTTGCTCTCACTCTCAATATCGTAGTCGGATAATCGTAGGCCTTGTCTCCGTAGACCTCGTTCTCTTCGAGACCCAAGAACCGTCCGCTTCGCAAGAATCTGTTCATATGACGACGCAGTACCGATCAACACCGTTGGCCTATGAATATGGATCGAAAAATCCGGCAAGCTTACGATCGATGGCCCCCAACATCTCCCACTTTCCAGCTTAGACTCTGAGAAAGTCCAGCCGTACCTGAAAAGCGGGATGTGATCCGTGCGCATCCCACCGGTGTTTCCGTAGAAACAATACGCTGTCTGCCATATCCCTTCGATCCATCGGCCAAGGTACGCTTGAACCCCCTTTTGTCTATCTCTTTTCCGGTCGAATTCTTCCCCAATGACGATCGTGGCTGAACAGATCTTCTTGAGGGACCAGCAGAAGCTACAGGTACTGGTGGGGTCGGAAAGTAGCGATTCCTGATCGGATCAAAGGTCATCCCCGGTAGATCCCCGAGCGGTCCAGCCATGTCGAAGCCGTGATGTTAGGCGACCTGGAAGTCCGGCCTCTGACTGATGAATGCTGGAAGACGTGCTGACCAGCATGAAGACATGGATAGATGGTAAGAGTTAAAAGTAGTATTGAATATGTTGGAGTTGATTCGTAACTTTTGCTGAATCGGATCTGACCGAAATTCGATCTCGCGCTTAGCACAAGTCCGAGATGGCCGCCGCCATGAGGCGAATGCGAGGCAGGCGCAGTTCTGGTCAGATCAAATGGATGATATGCGCGCTATGAATGGGGTCGCTATGAAGAAGGTCATCGGCTGCCGTTAGGGCTGGGGGAGTGAAACGAGGGTCGGCTGCGCTCGCAGGAGATCTCTTGGGAGAGTTCTTGGGAAAGTCCTCGAAGGCGAGCATCGTCTCCTTTGCGGGAAAAGGGCTGTCATTTTCCCGCATCTCCTTCATCGATAGAGCACGCTTGAGGGTAGCCCTGACCGTCTGTAGGCCAAGTTTCCGTACTCTTTATTTGATGTACAGGTACTCGATGAAGGCAATCCTCATCTATATACAGGAGTCTTTCCCGATACACGCGACACTGATGTGCTCTTTCCCATTCTCTTCCTTCCCGATCGATAAAGCGACACTCGTCGGTTCTCTCTGTTCCCATAGCACTCGATGCTCTTCTCTCTTCTTTTTGTTTCTTATCTGTTAGCAATACTCGTCTTTGTCTTCAATTATCTCTGCATCAGAGAATCGTAAATGTTTTCATTCCTATGTCCCTGGTCCAGCCTCCTCCATCAGTCATCTGTTTTATCCTGAATCTTCTCCACCTCCAGCACGAGTCTGCATAGGGTAACATAGTCCTGGTACCTGGTGATGAGTACCTCATCCGCCTGGACCTCCAGAAATCAGCCTGATGGATTCACTACCAATGACATTTCTGCGCTTCCTTGCACCTCCCGTTGGCTTCATTTTCAATAGCTTTGCTAAGGATTTGTACTCTCTCGATCGCTTCAACCATCACTTTCGTTTGAACGATGGTAGGTACAGAGGTAAGCAACGCTTAAGGCGTAACGGGGCCAGCGTTGACATCGATACCGATAAGAGACCGGGATGATGCGCCTGCCGTCTAGACGAGATGCCGTTTGTCGGTAAGATTCACTTGTCATACTCCGGCTGCCGGTCATTGGCTCAGTCCCACGATATTCGAATCGATTTCTAGTGATACAAGACGTTCGGCGTTTCTGTGTCTATTTCTATACAGATGGTCATTATACAAGAAAGTTGAAATTCGTTTTTCAAACACGGACGCCCATAAGACAAGAGATCAATCTTCGGTCATCACGAGCGGAGATGGATATAGCGATCAAAGCCTTCTGAGTTCCATCGCACACCTGCGCAACGCCGCAGTCTTCGCCTCCAACTCATCGGCCTCATCTTCGAGACTTTTGGCCATCGCCTCGTGCTTTTCTTTGGTCGTCTTTAGTTTCGTGATGACTCCCCCGTCTCTCGCTGAGGAGGAGACTGCCCTCCCCGCCTCGTTGCTCTTGCCACCATAACCTCCCTCGCTAGTCTCCTTCACACCTTGTCTGTTCGCCTCGACACCGGCGGGTTCGCTCATTCGTTCGGCCTGGAGTCGACGGTCAGAACCGGCTGGCTTCTCCCCGCAATGATGTTGGCGAATGTTCAAGCTACACTGCGAGGGTCCACCTTTGGCGGCGACGGAAGCGATGGCATCCGGCGCCTCATTGCGAATGGACTGCCGATCAGAGTCGGCTGTGTGGATGCTGGTAGGGCTGGGTCCGCTGAACCGGTTGAAAGAAGTGATGGCGGCCTTCTTGGGAGGCCTTTCATCCGCCATCATCTTCTCCCCCGTACGCTTGCCCAATGTGGCCTTCGAAGCGAGATCCGTGCAAACACCTCCGATAGTAGAGAGGGGTGGAGGTCTTGGAGTAGGTTTCTTTTGGATGTTTCGAACCCCGTTGTCGAGAGCTATCTCGTCAAGGAAGCTGATGTCCTTGACAGAGGCTTCAGAAGAGCTCAGAGCTCTGGATAGCGCTTCTTCCAAGCTATCGATGGTCTCATCGTCTTCTTCCGCGACGACGTAGTCGACTCTAGTGGAATAAGAATACGAGCTGTTAGTGATTTCGGCGAACGCTCGGCGTGCTCTGAACATTGACACACCTGTAAAGTACTTGATTCCTCCCCGTTCTGGTCATCGGCCTGACCGTCTTTTCCGTGTCCGTGTCCGACCCGACCGACTCTTCCGTATCCGTGCCCGCCTCGGAATCTGTCGCTATAGTCCCTTCCGCTTGCGGCTCCACCTTGATTAGCAGAGGTTGTGTATCCTGTACATCGAGGATTGCCCAAAACGTCGTTCAGTACCGATGTTGTTACATGGAGCGCGTTCCTCCTAACTGTGATCGTACCTTGATCATTTCGTAAATATCTTTGATACTATTCTCTCCACGATGAGTCAGTAGATGCGCAGGAAATCGACACAGCTTCGAGGCTCACCCAGACTGAGCTTTCTCCTTGGATGGTTGATGGGATGATACACCCTTGATTATGACCGCTCGGACAGAGTAACCTTGGTAGCCCCTGTCCGGTCGAATCTGAACCTTGAGGAACGCTTGAAGCCCGAAAAGGCGATACTTGGCTTCTTGAGATCCTACACGATCCGGAGACAGTGAATATGATCGCCAGTACGGGCACGATCGTTGGCTTACCTTCGACCAAGAGATGCATGTAGTTGCCGAAGTAGCACACGTTGCGGCAGTTCATCTGAGTACAATCTCAATCGTGAGCTCGGTCTGGATCATCAACGAGAAAGGCAGCCATATCCTTACCTGTACATCGTGGGTTCGCAACCTTTGCATGATGCTTTCCATGATGGCGTAGTGGGATGCGGACGTGGCGGGTTCTCCGAGTTTGGGTTCCCGTAACCCCTTCATCTCCTTCGACGACAGCAGAAGGTAAGACTCCCCAATGAACCATTTGGGTTCTGACCAGTAGGGAAGGTAGCGAGACATGATGCAAGATTCCGGACGCGGTATAAGTGTAGGCTGAGGTCGGATGTCTGTGATTGTGACACCTAGTATATCTATCTAGTCAGCTAGCAGCTAGCTAGCTAGGTCGCAGAGTATGCTATATAGATATACGAAAATTGAGAATGATGCGATCGTTAAAGGGGCAACGTGCAAAGATCGCATGGGCAAGGGTGCGATCACTCTGATCGCGGAATGCTCACAATTCTACGAGACCGACAGAAAGTCGATGCGATCCACTCAACATGGGGCCGGATCTCGCGTGGTTAACCCCAAAGCCCAAGCCCCTAAAAACGCCTCGCCGGACCCGCGGCCTGTCTCTCCATCCTGCACAGCTGTTACGTGATTTCGTACCTTAATAAACAGTTAGGGTGTTGGCCCGAAAGCCGGAATAAAAGCATCCGATGCCGAGCAGCATAGCAACAGGCGCAACAGGCCAACAGGCCACGAGCCACAGGACACAGGCAGTGTGACAGGCAACAGGCAACAGGCGACAGGCCGACAGGTCATCTGGCCATCAGCAAATTTGACATCATCGCTAAGTCACTACGTCATAGATCATAGATCACGGATCCCAGACCAGACTGCTACGTCATTTCACCGCCTGCATCATCGTCATCTTGACCCGCAGTCACGTCATCCCCTTACTGTATTACCGGCTCGTGCTCCAGTTAGTATAAAGATCTCGCATTCGCCATCATTTTTCATCATCTCCCTGCTCCCTGATCTCTCGTTCACCAATCGGACTGCGCACTTATAGTCCCATGGCTAGCTACAGAATCACTCATCTATTCCTCTACGACCAACAACCTTGTCTCGCCGCTTTCCTACTTCTTCAAACCGCACTGGGTATTCATTCACCGACATCAATCCCGGACGAGGCGAGCGCGAGGCTGCTGGTGGTAAAATCGCATCGTTCGAGTTCCTTGGCCGGAACAGGATCCAGTAGCCCCGCTCTCAGTCTTCATCCTCATAGCAACGGATGTCGACAAGCCTTTAACACAGCGGACCGAGCAATCGAAGGATCGTCCCTGGTCGTTCTTAGATAGTACTGAACGATATCTCCAGGCGGGGGCTGGTTGCTGCGGGACCTACATATCCCAGCATGTTCGGTGGCCCTGTTGAGCCTGCGGACAAGCCTAGGAAGGTTTTAACGCCTGGTCATTTATGAATCCAGAGACACCTCCATATGAAACTATCCGCAGCGGGCAGAGGACTTGAATACTACGACTATAAGGACGAGGACGACGCCCCGGTTAGCGGATCGTCAAATTTTACTTCGCTAAGTCGGCTCGTTTCGGTCTATCATACGAGTTCGACGACGCTGATCCCCGTTTGTGGTATTGTTAAGATTCGTTCGTCACCTTTGTCTACTCAAACGGATTCGCGACTACGCCAACACGCTCTCTACCGCAAGAGCATTGCGTCGTGCGGTCAACAAAGCCAAGTGCTTGTCCCGTATGTGTCTTCGCTTGAGTCTCCGCTGGACTACGCTCACGATCGCTCCCTTCGACTGATAAGTGCATGGCCGTCACGAGTCTCGGCGGTTATCAGGAAGAAGGGACTGTACCAGTCATATCAGGCAACCATCGTCCAAGGTGAGTGCCCTTCTCTTCTGATTCGGGTCTCTCTTCCATCATCAGTTCCACTGATCACCTCGTCCTTGATTCCATTTATATAGTACGGCACTCTAACCCATAAGATCCGGTGCGGACGACCGCTTCACAACTCCTCACCTGGCGGTGCTACAATGTGCGTCGAGATACTGTAGGCAGTTATGAAGCTTGACACTGAGGCTGACCTTCCTGGTTTTCTGCGTAGCTACTTGTATGCGACATCTTATGCGTCTCTCGCCACCAGGACACGATGACATGGCACAGACTCCGATCGGGTAAGTCGATGGATCTCGACTGGCGTGTCACCATATTCCACAGCTGATCGCCTCGTATGTGGGTGATCTCGCAGTTCGCCTGAACCTGGACCAAGAAGCTCGTTCATACCGAAGCGGATCGCCATTATCCACTGGATATCGCGTTCTTTCACCACCCACTACACGCTCGTATGTTCCCCTTCCCGTTCTTTTGCCGGCTCTCGACATCATCGCTGATCCCGAATTGCACGTACACTCTTTCAAGAACTCGAAGAGCCCCTCCCGGATACACGATGTACGACAGGGGGCCCGGGAGGGATAGGGGAGGCTTCGTCAATGGTATCCCGGGCCTCTCTGATTTCGTATGTACCGACCGTCGCGTGGTCGATATCGGTTACGATTGTACTGTAGCGGCCCCGTGTTCCTGATCGGAGATGGAATGACTTCAACAATATACCTTTTCCTCTCTCACTTGGTGTTGATCATGAGCTCGGATATGGATATGCACAAGTCTAAGCTGACTAACTGGCCGGACATGACTCGATTTGAAGCCATGGACACCAATTCGACCCCTCGAACGCAACTTCTTCAGCTGTTTCCGCAAGCTCTGGTCTGTCCGTCTCACAATCTATCTACGGAGATCAAGCTGCAAGGTATTATCGGTGAAGAAAACAGCATATCGACAAGCCCGGCTTAGCAGCAGATATAGCGTACCCAGCCACGATGTAAATTGCACCAAGAATATATGGTGACTATGCGATAGACGTTTTGAGCCCAATATATACCGACACGTGTCGTCATACGAAGAGCGAAGACCCTTGATCTACTGATAATTGTATCGATGCTCATATGGTCCCTCTTGCTCTGAGCATGCAGGGAACAAGGTCAAAGCCCAAGGCTCAGGGGTAGCCTGAGGCCCGGCTTGAGGCGCCAGACAATGAACGAAAGTGGATAAAGTTGCAGCTGGAGGAGCTGGATGACGAGCAAAGGTGAAAGTTGTTGCAACTTGAGGTGTTACATGCTGAGCAAAGGTGAAAGTATTTGATATTTCACAAGCTGCATCAAAAGTAATGTCCTAATTGTTTCTGACATAGGCAAGCGCCAATGTCCAGTATCCAATGTTTTAGAACTGACTAGATTGAGGGTGAGTGGTGCAGACGCCTCAGCATGAAGTCATAACAACAAACTGGCAATTGACAGTGATAGCAACATCTTGGCAAAGACCCATTAGCGAGTGGAAGCTTGATGTTGTGAAACGTCGAATTCGCGGAAGGACATTGATATATATTCAGGATGTCCGTTCAGCCTCGGATCGAGCACCGATATCACTTCCCAAACGCTTGCTGAATATGTGTGTATGAAGCTCTTGAGTCGATCGAAACACGGGCCATCATAGACTTTGCCAAACAATTGCAACAGGTGACCTGAGACAAGGAGAGCTTCAAAATGCCCAAAATTAGAACGAACCGAACGAAACCACCTCCAGAGGGTTACGAGGATATCGCGTGAGTACACCCTTTCCTCGAACAAGTGAGACGCAGCTGATTGACCCGTTCTGAATTCGCTCGGCTCAGTGACATCCTTGAAGATTATGCCAAGAAGATGAGAGACGCCGAGAACGATGATCATGAGGGAAAGCGCAAGGTTGAGTCGGTCTGGTAAGTCTGTGAGATAAGATCGCTTTCTCTGTCGTACAGGGTGATACTGAATTACTGCCGAATCTTGTTACCATGGTTATTGATCCTTGCACCTCGCTCATCATATTTCGACAGGCCTATCATGCGGATATCGCACGCTCGATCTAGGTACATTTACGACCTGTACTACAAGCGGGAAGCGATCAGCCGGGAGCTGTACGACTGGCTGTTGAAGGAAAAGTATGCGGATGCCAAGTGAGCAATCTCTTTTCGTCTTCAAGGATTCACGGCGAGGTATGTCGTAGAGAGAGCGAAACTGATCCAGATGTTTGATGTTTTGCGTGTAGCTTGGTAGCAAAATGGAAGAAGTATGTTGACCCCCCTTCCATGAACGCTCCGACTCAATCGTCCAGCTCGTGACGGATCATGTTGTACTGACCTCTTACGATCGCCCATTGCGGACTCGCAGGAACGGATACGAAAAGCTCTGCTGCGTCAGATGTATTCAGACCAAGGATATGAACTATCAGGGGTCGACCTGTATCTGCCGGGTACCCAAAGCGCAGTTGAAAAAGGGAACCGTAGTGGAGTGCGTGCATTGTGGTGAGTAGAGCTGATGCAACGGAACCTGTCCCGGGGACCTTGTTTCTTTTGGGAACGCGGTACCGGGCAAGACGGCTGATGGTGGACTGTTCGCGTTGCGAGGGAATAGGTTGTCGAGGATGTTCAACCGACTCGTAGTCGACCTTTTCCCGGACCCATTTCGTCGTCCTCTCCGTTTCCACTCCCGACACCTACCTATATTGTACACTCATGAACCCAAGTCCAAGCTCAACGAAGCGACAATTGGACCATTCGACGCGATTATTCTAATATCGATGCCCACAAGACTTGGAGGTCCAGGCGGCCAGTATTCGTTCAAGATACATCTGTGTTTTCTGAATACAGGATTATTGGCGGTCGGTACAGTTGGCCTGCTACAAATACAACAACAGCAACAATCGGACGGCGGTATACATGGTGCAAATAGTATACCCAGGCAACAAGAAGGACCAAATCGAAATCCCAGTCTGTTCCGCTCTCCTCCTGGTCCAATCAGGTCAACGATACCCATTGCTCGGCGCAAACGAGACCATCTTGCCTCCCGATCTCTGTTGATGGTTGGACGTATAATACGCCGTCCCCGTTCCCGGGTTGCTGAACTGGGGCATCGAATTGGCATTCGGTCGTTGAGCATAGTTCGTGGGGTAATAGGTGACATCTTGAGGGTAGGCGTAGGCGGGAGGGGCGGGCTGCCAAGGTTGAGTTCCATAACCTGGACCGTAACTGTCTTGTTTCTGGTATCCTGAACTGGAGTCGGATTTCCGGGACGACCGTTTCCTAGAGAAAAGACCTGAGGAAACGACGTAATATGGTGTTGGTCAGGCTTTTACCTTGTTTACGGCGACGTTGCCAAGCTGGCATGTCTTACCCATGATGAACGGAGTGACGCGGGTGGATGGTAAGAGTGCTAGCGGTCAGGGTGTGTAATCGATATGCTTGGCGCAAAGGATCAAAGAGAATAGAATGAGAGGCGTCTGTTAGGTCTGCAAACAATCGGCTTCGTCGTTTTGCCTCGAAAAAGCTTCTCGTCCAGTCCTATCATATATAGTCCCATGGGGAAACCTGGAGCTATGCTGCGAGCAGGCCAAGGTTCGTCATGCCATACAAAGGAAGACTCTCTGTCCATGTCGCGCGATATCCTGCCCCACGCAACAAGGCAGGTCGCGCCACGACTGTCACAATCACTGTTTTCGTTTATGGCACTGAGGGGATCTGCAGCAGCCGATGGTGTGGCGATCATGTGCGTGAGAATCGTGAGATAATCGTCATGTCCTCCTTTGTGTAGAGATCGGAGGGCTCACAACGCGTTTCATGTTTCGCTTTCTGAAAGGGCAGCCAACTCGGTAATCGATCAGGTTCTTCAGGTTGTTCGTAGATCGTCGTTGATCCGCCAAATGCTTGACACAGATCTGTTTACGTGGAAACTACCGGCGGCAAGTTTATCGCGAATTCGATCAATCTTATATCGATGATCATGCTTCATCTCGCAACAAGAATGTCCCCTTTGTCGCATTGACGTCCCTTTTTGCCTTTGCTCGCACACAACCCTAGTTCCTGCATGTTCGCCTTCAAGGATTAGGGCCCGGTCCGGGACCAGGTCCCCCTTGATTAGGCGGCCCACCCGGATGGTTCGAGATGACTGACTGAGGTGTTGCGGGATAGTGATGCGGTGATGCGGCTGATATTGGCAAGGGATACATCAACCCGAGCCATGATGCGCCGGCTGGTTTTAACTCACGATGCGACATGCCTGGCGGTTGAACGTAATATACTGGGTTGCCGGCTGGCCGTAACATCGCATTTGCAACCATCATAGGCGACTGGTTGCCGGGATTGTTAGCAAATGCTGCAGATTACCGGTGATATCAGTGTCATCGAACGCGGCAAGAAGGGCGAATGGAAAAGCTTACGTGGCAAACCCTGAGGGAAGCCATTTGGCGTGCCGGGGCCTGCGAGGTCAAAGCTCGAGCTCAGAAACCGCGAGGCCCTTACTCTAAATCCCTGCCACATACCTCCCATTACAGGTCCACCTTGCGGCACGTAGAATCCACCTCCCGGACCGTATGGCGGTGCAAAGTGACCGTTAACCATTCCAGGCTGACCAGGACTACCAGGTACCGGGAACCCACCCTGTCAAAGCCATTTCCATGAGCAATTCTGCGACCGTCCGCTGGCTTGTTCGACACTGACCTGATGCTGCACTCGATACGGTGGGAAAGGACCGTTCGGACCCATAGCAAATTGGTTCATGATGGGTCCTCCCAGATGTCCCTGGCCATGCATGGGGTCTTCTTCCATTCCCAACGGCGGTGCGGTCATGTATGCGCCAGTAGGATGCAGAGCGGCTAAGAACTTCTTGCCCGCAAACGGCCAGTTGACAGCTGTGATCAAACCAGCGTCAGTCTTGGTCGACGGTATCAATGCGAAATGTAGGAACGCACGGATGTTTCTAGCTTCCACAACCTTGCCCTTGAACGGGTTAAAGTCTTCGCGGAGGTTGACCATACCATTACGCTTGGGGACTTGCAAACCAAAGAAGGGGTTTCGAGCAGGTACGACAGCGGCAGCTGAGGCTGAGGCGAGAGGTGGGATTTCCATGGCGGGCTGTGTTCGATCATATCAATATCTTATTGTCCTTCGGCTCATAACAAGCAAACTCACCGCTGCAGGAGGGCTCTTGGCGTCGACCGGGGCTCCGCTCTGCGCCATGAAGAAGATCGAGCATCAGCACAAGTCAAACTTCAGAGACCGCGCTAAATTCAAACTCACGGGCTTGAAATCGACCGCCTTGGGGTTCGGTTTGAAGACAAAGGTCGAAGCGCCCGGATTAAGTTTAGGAATTGTTCCGGCAGGCGAGACGGCGGCAGACACATCGGCGCTCTTGTCTCCGATCGAAGCATTGCTCTCGTCCACCTTGACTTGAGGAATTGTGACATCAGCGGTCGGCTCAATGGCGATCGCTTCGGGTTTCGGTTGGGCAGCTCGGTGGAACGGGGGGATCTCCGGGATGACCATCTTGATCTTGGGCTTAGGAGCGGCGGCAACGGGTTGAGCGGCCATAGGTTTAGGCGTGGGTTGGACAGAGGGAGCGCCACCGACCGGCTTGGCCGAGCTAACGTTGGGAGAGGTCTTTTGCGAGCCTCCCACAGGCAGGTCGGCCGGCTTGGCCCCAGGAATCTAGCGCGACGTTGCCAACAAATTAGCCATCAGCAGATGCGACTTTTTTTTCGCTGGTCGGTGATAGGCAGCGCGTCGACTCACCTTGAAGGTCGCTCCAAACTTTTTCAAGTCGGCCAGCTTTCTCTCGCGTTCCGCTTTCGCCATGGTCTCGCGCTGTTTCTGCAGCTTTTCCTTCTCGTGCTCGACGAACCCTTGGATATCTCCCTTGATCGCCTGGGATCCACGTGCGGCTCCCTGTCAAGACCACAGCACCGTCAGCCGGGGCACAATCAAGCTAGCTATTTCAACATCGAACTCGAGCCTCACCGTCCTGAGCTTTTCCGGCGTCCTGCCCTCCTTCTTGGGAGTCTCCCCATCAGCCGAGGTCACGTTCAAGACGGGAACCGAAGAAGCCGCATCCGGGGTCGCCTCCTGTTTCGTCTCGGTGCTGACTACCTTGCCACCTCGAGCCGTCTTCGTAGCAGGCTTTTCCGGGGTAGCAGTGGAAGCAGTCGTAGCCGGTGCCGCACCCTGAGCTTGCGTCTGAACATCCTTGTTGTCCTTCTTTTCAGGCTGAGCGGTAGGAGAAGGAGTAGCGGCGGCTAGTGCGTCGGAAGGAGTACCCGAAGCCAATCGACGAAGAGCCGGAGGTACATAGGCCGTCTTTCTCTTGACCCCCGAGTACCTATACCAAGTACAAGGGTTAACAACCCCATGACAAGAATGCCATATGCAAAACAACCTCGACTCACTTGTCCTCCTCGTCCATCTCCTCGCCATTTCCGTTGGCGACCACCTGTCCCCTCTCCTCGGCGACATGCGTGTTGTCCGTCTTGCCCCCCAAAATCTCCTTTTCCAACCTCTCGGCTGTCAAGAGCTTTTCCTCCCACTCCCTCCCTGAACCCTTCTTGATCGTCGTGGTGTACAGCCCTTCGTCGTAATCCGTCTTGGTCCCGAACAACTTGGCGTTGGTCGCGAATTGATCCCATTGACCGATAGAGCCGTTGTTGTACTCGGACGCGAGATCTCCAAAGGTCTCGGCGTCCTTTTGAGATTTGGTCTGAGCCGGGCTGGGCGAGGCCGAGGTGGGCGAGTTGTTATTGATGTTGTTGTTCGACATGGCGTTGATCAGTCCTGCCAACGGAGTCTGGGTCGAAGGCGAAGGGCTAGGCGCAGCACCCTTTCGTCCGGCCGAGGCAGGCGGTTGACTTCCGAGAGCGGGGAAAGCTGATCCTCCTGGTCCAGAAGGAGATCCCATCGACATGCCCGGCCCTCCGCCTGGTTGCTGTTGCTGCTGGTGTCCATGCGGCTGTTGGTGCTGATGGTGAGGCGCAGCGTTGGAACCCCAAGGTTGCAGATCCCTCATTCTGCCCGGGTTGTTGTTCCCAGCGGCTCCTCGTGAGATGTCGGAGTCTGTCCTTAGTCCTTGATGAGTGTTGGGAGCTGTCATACCCGCATCAGTCAGGACGACAACGAGGAGTAGAATCAGCTAATATTATACGACCAGAACACATGAGGCATGTTTCCCATTCTCAGCCGTCCGGTAAGACGGTACCGAACGACGTTCTGAGGAATGGGCGTTTGGACCGGAAATCTATACTCACAAGACCCGAGCCTGACCATTCCGCTCGTCCCACCCCCACCACCCCCACCTCCACCAGCACCCCCACCGCGAGGTCCACCCTGATGCCCGTGTCCGCCGTTCGGAGCGGGTCCTCTCCATGATCCTCGCCTGCAGATTGTTCGTCACCGTCAATTCAGTTGTTGTTGTCATGAACGCCGTTCGGTCATTGACGATTAATCGTGTTTAGATTAGGAGATTATGTAGAGTCGTTGTTTAAGTTCCGATCGATGTGTCAACGAGCGAGACGTAGGACAAAGTAGAAACGGCATAAGACCACATCATATAAAGATGTATATCAGCCAACAGGAACCTACATGAGATCACTGACGGTGCAGCTGGACTTACCTCTGCCCACCGATACCACCGCCCGGACCACCACCACCACCACCTCCAGGAGTCTGTTTAGGTTTCCCGTTCAAGCTCATCGGATCGCTTCAATATGCCGTTGTCTTCGAGTAGTCCTCTATCTCAAAGTCGAGATCGAGTTCGAGGTAACCTAGTTGACAAGTGAAGTTTATGGATTCCGAGTTCGACCCTCGGGTTGGCTTCCTATTGTTCGGTGTTTCGGTTGATCGGTCGGGCCGGGGTTCGCGTCAGAGCAATGTTGAAGGGTCGGAAGTCAGAGTCCCGAGCGAGTAAGCAAGATGGTACACACGCCGAGCTCAGATCAGTCTGACGCATTGCTTTGTACTTGTACCACCATCGGAACTCACCAAAGAACGTCTAGAGGGTGAGAATCACAAGGAAACGAGCGAGATCCACGTCCAAGAACTCAACGAGCGAGCGGAGGACAAGAGAGATTTATGTGAGCGACCCGTTTCTGAGCAGACGTCTTGATCAATGCGTAGTTTCTCGATCAAGTGAGGATCGAGAGCATCGGGTCGTCGATTCGAGAGGATTGATCTCTGAAAGCTGAAAGCATACGGATCGTGAACATGATCAAGGTTGGCGAGGTTGCTCGCTCGCTCGCTGCTGCTGTGCCTGGGAGTGAGCGATAGCGCGGGGGGGGGTATGACCGGGGCCGAGGGTGTGGGTCGATGATGAACGCGTGGGAAAAGATGCTGGTAAGTCTTAAGGCGACCCACTCGTCGGAAGCTGTTTCAGGTACCGAGTCCAGTAATCGCCCCGATCACCTGAGCGCGGTTGGAACCTGGTCCTGATCGACGGCTTTGTCTTTGCCTTTGCCACTGGAGCCTACGGTGGCGTTGATAAGTCCAAACCGTAGATCCGCCGTGACGGATGAGGGAACAGGCAGGTAGCTTGAAGGGACACTTGGTAGAGTCGGCTTCCAATTTGCTGGAGGGGATGGAATAGGTTGCCGCGGGAATTTGCTGAAGTTGACAGGAGCTTGTCGCTCCAAGCCTTGAAGGAAGATCGTCTCAGGACCAGTGCCAAGAGCTTCCACAAAAGTCTGTTTCGATGCTGTAATGGCAGTGTCTTGGTCGAAATTGTTCTTCGGGTATAGATAGTAGAAACTGTATGGAAGTCAGCACATGGCCATGTCAGGGTTTGATGGACTCGTTGTACAATAATGTACGTATATCTCCCCGATCACCGGGTCGCGAGGTGGAATCAAACGTGTGTATCGCGTGAGCGGTACCGGGGAAAGGGGGAGGGGGGGCAGATGATCACCGCGACGACCACCAACGGGTGGACGGGCGATTGCGACCAACGAGCATGAGCAGGTTGCAGGTCGAAGATTCTGTGATACGATAGATGAAACACCATCACTCAAGCAGTCTCACTCGCCATGCTCCTTCCTTTTATCGTCTGATCAATTGATCATCATCAAGCCACCCGATCACCTGATGATCCAATAGAAACAATTTGAAACGCAACGCGATCCCTCCCAGGACAGGTTATACCGGATACCCAAAGTCGACCTGCCTCATGTTAAGCTGGAACTCGTAATAATGTCGAACCCTAAACCCAAATCCAGTCCGCGTCCACTCCGTATCAACCCAAACCCAAATCACAACTACCATTCGACCTCGCCTTCACCTTCCTCCACCTCTTTCCATATCAACTCGAACCCCTCTTCCTCCTCGGCTTCTTCTTCGTCCTCTTACGACACCTCGAACCAGGATCGACGACCTGGACGTCGAATCGATTTCTCCGAGAGACGAGGCCGAGATCAAGGACTCGGACTAGGGTTGGAGAGGTTTGGCTTCCTCTTCCGCTGGTTCGGAGGACGAGCTCGCGGATCAAGCCGGCGGAGAGACCCGGACGATCTGACAGGTCAAGACTTGCCACGGTCTTCCAGCTCGAGTTCAAGATCGACCCGCCGGAGGAACACCTTCTCGAACCCTATGCCGCTATCTAATCCGGGCTCCAGCTCCTACTCTAATGGTCGGTCCGGCTCCATCGGCTCGAACAGAAGCCTGAGCAGGATATTTTCCCCGAACAAGCTTATTCATCTTTTAAGAACCCCACGTCGAGCGCTCTTCTTATTGCTACTTGCCGGGGTACTCACACTGGCTTGGCTGAACTCGGGGTTCGCTGGAGATAGCATCCTTGCGGCGAGGAACGGCGCGCAATTAGGACGATCTGGATCTGGGTTGGGGAATCTGGGTCTGAACAGGGTGAGGTGGAAGACGGACAAGGATCCACCTTCTCCTCGTCGAGGTTCGAACCTGAAGCATGATCAGGTCGCAGATGGGGTCAGGGATAGGATGCACCCGGTCTGGCTAGACAGGGGACAAGGGAATGGGAAAGACTTTCATCGAGCTTCGACGGGGGTAGTCGCTGGGTTCGAGAGAGAGTCTTCCGAGCGGGCAAGAGATCAGGAGCGGGACTGGGAGCGGGACGGCAGGGAAGCGGGCGGAGTAGTCGCAGATGAAGCAGTTCTCGAAGATGAACAAGAAGACGAGGATCCGAACGCAGACGTAGATGTGAGGTCAGAACGAGATGACCACGATGATCGGGAAGAAGAGGACGACGTTCAGGAAGATCAAGAGTCTCAAGAGGGAATGTCCGACACGACAGAAGAATACTCGGACGGACTTTCACGGGACACAGAGGCGGGACGGGGAACGGACCTGGCCATCGACCATGACGACAGCGACGACTACATTGACGAGTACGACGAATACTTTGAGGATTTCCAGTGGGGCGATGAGACGGGCCTGAGGGTATTGACCGAGGAAGACCTCTATGATGACGACGATGACCCCAATGTCAACGTTGACGACGCGGGATCCGATATCGACCTTGACGCGGATTTCGAGTCCGACGGTGAGGCCGACGAGGTGTTTTTCGACGAGTCCGAATTCGAATTGGGATCCGAAGCCGACGACGAGGAGGAAGAATCCGAGGAAGCTCGTCAAGCCCGGATCCAAGTATGGCGCGATCGAAACCGGCTTGCGAACCGGGTGCCCTTGCGAGATTTACCGTTCGATAGCGATTCGATGAACGACGAAAAGGAGGATGAACAGCAGCCCGCCTGGATGGAAGGGCTTGAGGAGGAGATGAAGGACGATGGGGAGTGCAGGTTCGAGAGCCCGGTGGAAGGTGAGTTCTCAAACGAACTTGGCCCATTCGACCGCTACACCGTGATGGGATAGAAATCTGAAACTGAATCCGGTCTGGATCTGTATCACACAGCTTATCAGAGAGCGTTAACGAGGTTGAGAAAGCAGAAGTTGGCACAGATGTCAAAGTCTGTTACTGAAGATGACAGCGATTATGAGGAGGAAGAAGTGGATGTTACTGCGGAAGACATCGAAAGGCTTTCACACCCTACGCTAGCTTCTCATACTCTGCCCGACCTGCCTGGAGCACACAAGTATTCGCCTACCGGACATCTCGTCATCTCGACGGATGAGCAGGCGGCGGAACATCCGATCCCACAGCTGTTGAAACTCGGGGAAAGGCGATGGGAAGAGATGATCGGAAGACAGAGCAGGACTTTAAGCGAAGCTGTGGATGAATACAAGAAGAGGTACGGACGGGCACCGCCTAGAGGATTCGATGTCTGGTGAGTGAAATTCAGCCGTGCATCCAAAACATGATCTAACGCAAGACATATTGCCCCTTTCAGGTGGAACTTTGCGCAAGAAAACTCCTTGTTATTGCCGGACGAATACGATCGAATTCATCTTGACCTGGCACCCTTCTGGGCGCTGCCACGGGCCGAGATGAGGAAGCGCGTGAGACAGGCGATGGACGTTAAGGAGACTTTTGTGCTCGTTGTCGATAACGGGACGGTTTCGGTTGAGGTACGTAGACAGTAAGGATCCAGTTTGCTTTGCAGCTTGACTGACGCATACTCTGTGATTAATAGGTCCTAGACATGGGAGGCCTGAACTGGGGCGGGACGCTGCCTAGAGCGAAGGATGCCGCGAGGTGAGCATAATTCATAGTAGACCTAGATTGTGTCGCTCATACTCTCCGCCCTGCCCGCATACAGCCTCATTCGTCCGTTCGCGCAGCATCTCCCCGATATGCGTGCCGTCTTCTCCATCCACGATCAGCCTCAGATATACTTGTCCGCGACACGTAGGGCCAGCTTGATCGAACTCGGTCTTCGTGGGGAGCGTGAGTCGTCCCCGACTTCGTTTGCGATTGAAAGCGTATACTTAGCCTCAGTTCGGCCTTACGTAGATACCAGCCACTTGAACGAGAGTCACTCTTCCGAGATCCGTTGGGACCGGAGCTGTCGTCGCGAGTCTAACTTGAGGAACCCCAACAAGCACGAAGTGGACCGTACGTTTGAACGGGAACCCTTGTATCGGAGACTCGGCTGAAATTGTTGGTCAACAGAACGAGGTAGCTTGGTCTACGACACCTCGGAGGCGACCGACATGTGTAAAAGTAGGTCATGAGTCGGCTCGGGATTCGATAAGTCGAGCAAGTGCTGACGCGTTTTGCCCGTTCAGACCCTTATCTGCTTGATCTGCATGGCTTTACCGTCGAAAAGGTAAGCAAGACAGGATCTTGCCTCGCGAGTTGATAGCTGACTCGTTCGTGTTTCGCGCATACAGCGCGGACCTGCATCACATCCGAAACCCAGGACCAACTTGATCCCGCTTTTCGGTCTGGCCAAGACTTCGATCAAGTGAGTTGCGAAACAAGAATGGTCCGTATCGCGTTGATTTATCATTGTTGTTATCAGCTCCGACATCCTCATCACTCCCCTCGACCAATTCGCCGATGCGCCTGGGTTCGATCCTCCTTGGCGGTTCAAGCGATCGCAGCGAGTCGCCTGGGTAAGATCTCTGCATCCGTTTCGAATTTGCCATCGTCTTGGCTGAAACATCCTCGATGAACAGCGCGGCAGCACTACCGGAATATCGTGGATGGACAAAGACACGCCATGGGAGAAGTCTCATCGGTTCAGGCTGCATAACTTTGCTCAGAACGCTTCCGAGGCAGAGACGACCTTTATGGTACCAGACATCGGAACCGAAGGAGGACCCTTGCGCATGAAAAAGGAGACGGGACCGACAGGCAACCTGTCCGCCTTTTTCTACGACATGAAACTCGCTGGCGAGCCCTTGCAGTGCAACGAGACGGATGGTACTTGTAATGACATGGAGTGAGTATTTTGAGGCTCGTCGTCAGCGTCTCCAGGCGGAAAACTGACTGCTCTACGCCTACACAGCGATAAGATCGATTTTGCGGACTTCCAACCAGCAGAAGAGCTCAATGAATACAAGTTTTTGTTCGATATTGACGGCAACTCGTGGTCTGGCAGGTTCCGCCGGTAAGTCCCTCTGAACCTTGTCAGGCGGGAACGAGGCGCTCATCTCTGTCAAACAGTCTCATGAATACGAAATCAGTGGTGCTCAAGACTGGTATTTTTACCGAGTGGTTCCAGCCCCATTTGATACCGTTAGTACAATTGAATATTTTGTCGCCGGATATCTGCTAACACTGTCATCTTGCGCAGCTGGTTCTCGTACATCCCGACTCGTCTCGATTTTTCGGATCTTCCATTGATCTTGTCCTTGTGAGTGATTATCCCTTGCTTTCAGGGCAGCGTAACTGTACTGACTCCAAATATGGTTCAGCCTGCGGGGAAGCCCTGAAGCGCCGGACGACGGTTTCGACGAGGTTGCCGAAGCGCTGGCCAATAATGGGGTTAGTCCAAGTATCGTCGGTTTTTCACGCATAGTCGAGCCCTGACGAGACGCTATCCGCATTCTAGCGATGCTTCACCCGCAAGATCTTCCGCCTGGAAGATATGCAGGCGTACATGTTCCGGTTGTTCTTGGAATATGCGGTAAGATTCCAGACTCGATACCATGCATCAAGAAACGGCCCACTCACGTGTACGTTCGCCTCGATTTAGCGACTGATGGCTCCTTCGGACGATAATGTCGTAAGGCATATACAACGATTCAGCTGTTCCAATCTATCAGTTCACTAACTAGATGCGTCATTCGATGTATAGGACTTTGTCTTTGACGCGAGCATGACCGACGAGGGAGACATCGCGAGGATCAACACGCCAGAATTCTTTGCAGATGATTCCAAGATCTGGCGTGAACAGGATCAGGCCGAGCCTGAGGTAGAAAATAACATGTGGTAAACAGCCAAGGTTTGAACAAGTGTATTGTAGAGTTGTAAAAAGGGTTTCACAGGTTCGTAGCATAGCATTATTTTCTACATCGAGGTATTATGGGTACAACCCGATATGATTCCGGCCGATACAGTAAGCGGTATAGCCACGCAAGACAAGACAAAACGAACTCCTAAAACCCCTACTTTCTTCTTCAACCAGTAGACATTTCGACATCCTCCCCCAACCCTAACTCGTCATCATCCGGCTCCAGATCCTCCCACGTCAATCCATCTAAAATTCCGTCTGATGGCGGATGTGTCGGTCCCCGAAACCCGTTCCCGAAGCGATCGATCATGAGCCTCTCTTCTTCCTCCATCTGAGCCAACCTCGCCAGCTCTTCTTCATCCAGTTCAACCTGCCTCCCTGAGTCGAGTTCAGATCCCTCCTGCGGTCGACCGTAGTCGTTTCCAGAAGTGTTGTCACCCATACCGCTCGTACTCGCGCTGGCGTTCGTACCACCCGTGTGCATGAAAAACACATCCGTCGTTGGTTCCGTCAAGGGGGTAGACATGGGTATCCCATTCCGAGCGGGCGATGGGCGGTACCTCCAGATTGTGCCCGGAACACTGGGCTGGCCAGGTTGTGGACGAGAACGAGGTGAAGTGAACTGGTTGGGTGCGGTTCCCGTGCCCGACATCGAAGCTGCTGCTGCAGCTTCAGCCTCTGCTTCCGCTTCAGCTTCGGCCTGTCTGATATCCATCTCGAGAACGGCCGGATCTGATCCTCCTACTTCTCGATCATACTGCAACCGAGCTTGGTGCATCAGTTGTCGTCTTTGTTTCTGCATCATCAGTCGGAAGATCTAAGATGAAAAATACGTAAATCCGGCAGGAGATGCGGAGTATCAGCCGGTCAAGCGATGGCTGTCAGTTGGACAGAGAGTCCGAGACGAACCTCTTCATTATCAGCCTGTTCTTCGCTATCCTCTGACATATCCTCGTCATCATCCGCAGCCGGGTCGAAAGTCTTCGGCTTATCTCCCCTCCTCGACCTCCTTGTCGACCCAGCTGACGCCCCTGATCTCTGCCTCGACCTCCCATTCTCCACCCCATTCGCCGTACTGGGCCCATTGCCGCCGACCCTCTTCGAATCACGATCCCGGACCTCCAAACACTGTTGCCTAAACTTGTCCCTCCACATGGCACCCTTGACAGACCGCTCCGTCATGCCATCCACGCTCTCCCCGAATGACGTAAAGCCCGCTGCAGACGCCGACTGCGAATGCCGCCCTAAAGAAGGCCTCTGGCTACCCCATCGAGCGTGAGGATCAGGAGCAGCCCTGTGGCTCGGAGGGAGAGGTTGACGAGCTCTTGCTCGAGAGGCGAAGGATAGGCTTTGGCTGTGGTTCGGCCTCAGGGTGGATGTCGAGGTCGATACGGAGCAGGGGGACGAAGGAGGGTGGTGGTAGGAGGTTCCTGGAGTAGGCGATGGGATAGGTGGGGAAGACGATCCCAAGGGAGGTGGGAAGAACGTTCCCCCATCTCCTCTGTAAGTAGAAGAGATTGGAGGAGAGGACATCGGATCATCCCGATTCATCTCGGTCGTATTGCTCGTCCCGGCTTCGGTCTTCAGGTCATGATGCTGTCCGTTCTGATGCTGGTGCTGGTCATACCGAAACGGGTTGAGGGGAGATAGTGGGAAAGTCCGACAAGCACGAGACGAGTTGGGTGGAGGAGTTGTCGGTAGTGCAGCGGAAGGTGAGAACAAGATTGACATCAACGTATGAACCAGATTCAATGGTGGTAAGGCGTATCGCGAGGGGGTCGTCGATTATCTCGGGCTTGCGGCGTCCTAGTCGTGAGTCGTCAAGTTTGCCAGAACCGTCATCGAAGTGGCTAGCAGATGAGCAAGAGGGATGGATCGAGCCTGAAAGGACACAACTGGCTACTGGGTAGACGTCGGCAATAAATGACAGTATGGCCATTCTGATAGACATCGGATGATCACCGACGAGGCTGATATTTGAGCTGAGACTCGGAAGGATGGCGCCACACACAGAGGATAGATCGTGTCTCAACCACGACTGGCCGCTAACATGATCCTGAAATGATGTCGCAGCCCTATCAACGAGATTGACGGATGATCTTATGAACGCCTAGATACAGTCCAAATCGTATTGCCGGCCGTCCAGTCGGCTGGCCCTCGAATAGTGTGAGCGACATCGAAAATCCTCCTCACCCCCTCCACCGGAGTGGCGTGGCCAACGTCGTATGGCGAGGCACAAGGCGTATTTAGGTCGTCGTTCGAATGACAGGCCAGACAGTTGCATAACCAGCGGAAGAAAGGTGCTCTTCTTACTGGGCAATGACATGGCATCCATCTTCCACGATTGCAAAGACAAATTTCGTAACCTAAGGTATCAACTCACGTAAGAAGGACGACGGATCTGCATTGTCAAAGGCCGGGAGCTTATACAACTGGACACCAATCTTCCATAAAGGAACGACATATCCCCGCTAAACGACAAATGATGTCGGAAGACCAAATCTATCTCGTTCCGCTGTATCCTGATTCATCTGAGTTCTGTGTGAATCCATCTCGAGCAAGGTGTCGGCAGGGGAGCGCAAGGCGTGAGCTCGCTGACGCAGGCGATCGACTGCTGTAATTAAGCAAGAGGTCTTCCTCAGTCTCTAGACTGAGATTCACGCCTGGACGAAACACTTGCTTCTGTTACCAGTTTGCTAGACGCACGTTCCGTTCGGGCACTGTACCTGCAGTTTGGCCGCTTCCGACTCCCTCAGACCCTCCTCTTCCTTCCGACTCGCTTCGTATCCGAGACTCGCCGCAGTGACCTCTGTGTTGCGAGCCGTATTGATTGACGGGGTAGGCGGCCTGATGCCGAGCGGGAGGGATGTACCTCGCTTCACGGGCCTATCGTCCGAGGTAAGCCTTTGCTGTAAAAGCGCTCCTTTGAGCGCGGTTCTAACCAGCGTGGCACTTCCGCCTTGGATATCCTGATCGACGGCTTTTCCTTTTCCCTTGCCGGAAACCAACCTGACGATTGCCGTTTGCAGACCGGATCGTAGCTCTGCCATGGTGGAGGGAGCCTGGACGTAGCTGGATTTGTTGTTGGGCAGAGCCGAGGTCCAATTGGAGGGAGGCAACGGAGTCGGTGGAGTAGCGACTCTGTCCAAGTCCATGGGCCATTGCTGCTCCAAGCCTTGGTAGAATATCGATTTGGGGTAGGTGCCTATAGCCTCTCCAGGAGCTTCTTTCAACGCTATCATTGCAGCGTCTTGGTCAAAGTCGTTTTTTGGGTAGATATAGTAGAGACTGTACGAAGGTCAGCGCATGGCCCTGTCAGGTTCTGATGAACTCGTTTGTATGACATACTTGCAACGATGTTTTTGGGAAACCCCTCTGATCTTGACCTTCGCTGTCTCCCGAACCCCAAAAGCAGCCCTGCTACTCGATGGTATTGTCGCCTTTCCTTCCATGCCCTTCTTGCCCCACGGCTCTCTCTCCTTCCACGCAGCACGCCCTGGTGTCAAGCGATAGCGACATAGCAAGTGTATACCGGTTCAGCCTTTGAGATGGGGACAACAACCGAGGTTGCGTAATTCGGATCCGAAATAAGAAGGAGACAAAAAGCTTCCGCACGTCGGCCGAGGCTATCAAAGGCGCGCAATCAGCGTTCCCTCGAATGCTCGATCCTTGATGTCGATATTGATGTTCGACCTAGATACACAGCGTGCTCTGGCTATGATAAGTAGGCATGAGGTCTGACGTATACGAAGTCGTAAAGTCCATTGCGAAAAGACGCCATCAGCGGCTAGTATCCTTCCTGTGCCAAGAGCGTCGTGGGGATGTTGTGTTTGTCGCGAGAGTCAGGTGGTGGCTATGCCCAGCGCGAGGGGGTCAGCCTCCTCCTTACACCCCCCGTTGCCATTGTCGTCGAGGTCATCTTGCATCAACTGTTCATCGTCCATAGCATCGATTCTGTGTTTCTCAGTTCTTTCAGATACAAATCATCACTTACACCGTACAGACCCCCTTCCTACGCAACCTATCATTCCCATCGGGTTACGAAAACCCCAGGTTTCTTTTGTTCTGTTTACACCATTCTCATCAACACATCAACTTATCATCCAATTCTTCGACAACGATCAACATGTTCGCCTTGCTCTCCACCCTCACGCTCGCTCTCCTTGGCTCGGCTGCCGCTCAGTTCACCATTACTTCCCCTACCAGCGAGATCTTCTGGGTGAGTATAGTGTTGGGCTTGTCGTTGGAGATGGTGATCAATCTGCTGATCAAAATCGACTTTCTTCTTCTTTTTTGCTCCTACTTTGTTCATGTATCCTCGAACTTTTCCTGTTATCCTACAGATCTCTGACAGCGACAATGTCGTCTCCTGGACCGGCACCTCACCTGCGGCCCAGTTCACCGTCTTGTAAGTCCCTCGCCTCTCTCTACCGAGACCCATCCGGGCGTGATGATTGCCTAGTCCCAACGTCGATGTGATGACTGAATCGATCGCTTGTTCGCTCGTGCAGTATTGCCAACCCGAACGTCAACTTGTTGACGGATAGGACTCCCATTGTGGCCATCTGTGAGTCTCTCTGATCTCCTGCTAACAACTCTGTCATTATCTTGCTCTCCTTCTTGTTGATGGCATTGAGACCTCTGACCGCAGATCGCTGACCTATACTTATCTATTCGCTTCTCCGTATCGACTATGCAGTGGATGCCTTCCGGGGATCTTACTTGTTAAACCCTGGTGCTTTGCCTGCTGGAACGGGATACACCATCCAGGTACGTTCATTCGAATCGTCGCCTAGCCTTCACCTCTCCCAGGTTCTGTACTGACCCGGTCTCATCCTGTCTCTCATTTGATCTTTTTATCGAATCTCTTCCCGTCCCCCTACACTACCGACGGTGCAACAGCTCACTGACACCTTGAACTCTACCAACATCTACGCCGAATCTGAGGCTTTCGAGCTCAAACCCGCCGGTTCCGCCTACCCTACCGTGACTCCTGCCGGAACTGCCGACCCGGCTACGGCCACCCAGAGTGGCAGTATGGGTACCGCCACCTCTACCGGAACTCAGAGTTCGGCTGCGGCCTCGAGCGCTCCGGCGAACGGAGCCGAGGCGATGGGTATCGCTTGGGGCAAGGTCGGAGGGGTTGTCGGGCTGGGTGTTGTCGGGGCTCTATTGGTTTGAGGGTTTTGAGGCTACAGGGTCATCGGGTCTACACCCATGACGTCTACCACACAGGGTGCTTTTCCTTCACTTTCTCAGGTTTACGGGATTCCCAGGCTGGGCTTTCGCTTCTCATCGATTCGGATTGATTACTTCGCTTCGGGCTGTCCTCTTTTACGTTCCCCCACGATCTTTACGCCTAATTGTACCGATTAATTCACTTTATATAATATGGTTCCTCCTTTCCAACTTGCGACAATCCTCCTCCTTAAGACGATGAATTGTGTATCGTATACAAGCAAACCCTTCGGCCTCAGAAGAGCCATCCGGTCTTCTTCGCCTTGCTCCCTTGCTCGAGGCTCGCTCGCCTGATGTGCACCCCCGCCACAGTTTCCGGCAATCCCACCTCCTGCTCGATGGCCCCTCCTTCCTCGTGTTCCGCCTGGAGGATGATATCGTAAGGGTACGAAGGCATCAAGTAATCCTCGTCCTCGTCGTCCTTCTCAATCTCCTGTCTGGGACCGTTCGAGCTGGCCCATACGACGATTGGGGCGCTCTTCCTCAAGGAGAAAATGCTAGCTCGTTGAGCTTGGGCGCGACCGGATCCGTAGCTGTTGCGAGTAGAACGATTGCGACGGTTCCTCAGGGTGCGAGGTACGGGCTCATTCGGATAGTAGAATGGGACGGTGGAGCAGACCCGAGGGAGGTGCATCATACACTTGGTGCGGCTGAAGACGCAGCGAATGCAGACTGGATCAAAAGAAATCGGTCGGTCAGTCCAGATCGGTGGCGAGTAGCGCGTGTGAGTGTGACATACACATGTTGGATTGTTCGGGTAACGATGAGTGATAGCTGAAGACCTATAGATCAATGGTGAATCCAATGCGTAAAAAATGTGCGATAGAGGAGGAGGAAAGAAAGATCAGTTGGGTGTCGGATGAAGGTGCTAGACCTTGTACTATTCGGCGCGAGCGATCTGATGATTCAATTTCCTGTTTGGGGCGGTTGAGGCCGTGACCCATGGGGACTACGCGCCCGTTCATCAAATCTGAGAAAGGCTATCGTCATATGCCCAATCCTGAGTGAAGCGCTAAGCGACAGACCTCTTGCTCTCGTGTTGACCACGTATACAGTGTGGTGAGCCGTTTCACACGGCGCGCGCCTTATTGGACTGTCCATTCGGGACGCAGAACATCTTGTACCAGCGATATTGATCCGCTTGAGAACGGCTCTCTGAACCTGTAAGTACTGGTGGGCCATCGAAGAACCTAATTGATTCCTCCGGACTCGGCGGCACGGTGGTGTATCATATCTTCTGGCATGGTCATTGATTCTCTCTGGGACGTACATCGTGTATCGACAACGATACTGCTAGCCACTCCATCAATGACACATCGTTCTTCCCTTTCCTATCATGAGTGCACGTGTCTATCTCGCACTCCTACTTTTATCCGCAGCGGTCCAACGGCAAGATCGGTTGGTGCAGCTTCCACACTTTGGCCTTTCTCCGTTGCATTTTACCTGCCGCCTGATGCATTCGTCGCACGAGGTGACACCTTGAGGGACCGTGGGTTTTTTTACCCTTGTGTAAGTGCACTCTTCTCCTCTCTCTTCGCACATTCTACAGGGCTGCTGTCTGTCGCATTTGAACTTCCTTCGATGACAGAAATCGCATGCTTGTCGTTTCGTCGACCCATCCGAAGACGTTGTGGAGGCGGTCAGGCCGGATGTAGTGTCTTCATATGCGCTGCTAGCATCAGCTCCGGAAGAGGGATAGTATGACATGACTTGGAATGGAAAGTGTTGTAGAGGGGATGGTGGCGATGGAAACCCTTGTATCGGAAAATGGGAAGCAGAAACCTGCTCGTTTTCCCCTCTCATATATACTAAAATTTTAGTCTCTGCCCACAATCGAGTTCGAACTCCATTCGAGCTCTTCCTTTCAAGGTGTATCCCAATCGGGAAATGCTAGGTTCCGTCATAATCGGCTACGTGCCATCACATAACGTTTGATCGCGTCACTTCTGGATAATCGCAGGCGGAGGCCGCTCTGCCAAATCATTTCAATATCCGTGACGACACGGTGTGGAAATCGATGACGCGCCTTATACAAAGGAATCGCAACATTCGAGCGATTTAATCAATATTACAACATTTTCTGTTAAGGCTAGAGCCTGATGTCGTGACCTGAGAATCGAATTGTGAGTACCAGTGGATAGACGCGGTCTCTTCCGCCTGCCTTGTGGGAAACTTCTCTGCCGTTGTATTCCTGCAACGAGAAGTACTGATCGCAACTGGTAATGGGCCCACGTTTGACCCCCTTTGCTTTTACTTAGCCTAGAAATCTCTCGCGTGAAGCTAGCCCATCATCGATAGGGCAATATCGTGCATCGGCCTTGAGTTGATGTGTTCCCTAAAAGTTGTAGTAAGTCGCAGGAAGTTAATTTGACTGAAGTTGTCCGCAGGGACACAACGATGGCAGTATCTTGTCTCATGGACAGGATGATGATGAGGAGCAGTACTGAATCCCTAGACCATGAGTGCCTGCTCAATTCTGTTAACTTCCGGTAATATACCGAACCGCACCCGGCAGGATTTCGCTTCCCAGGAGTCAAACGCTCGAGTTTGCTGTTAGCTTTATTTTAGGTGGTTCGCCGTCAACAACTTATCATGTCTCTAATCTCATACATCTTGTTTATAATGGCCCGTTATATCTTCAGACACGTTTTAATGCCTGAGCTGCCAGCTTTCTCCCTATGCTATGCTCTTCCGCTTTCCTTTTCCGTAGCTTCGGCTACCTCCCCGTTCTTCTTTTGTTTAAATGTACAGTCCGAACTATCTGCCTTAGAAGGCAAACACACGATGGTGCGGATCCGGCGGCTGTTGAGATGCCTCTTTAGGTATCGCCGTGGATTTGAACCCTGCGAGCAATTGCGTCTGAATCATCGTGATTCCAACCGATAATCAAAGCTTCCGAGTCAGCTGAAGCTGAACGGCGTCCTTTATCAACGCCCACGAAACAGTATCCTCTGTTAGAGAATTGAAGCAGGCATTCCCTCCTGTAAGCTTGAAAGAGGCATGCCCGTCTTTTTGAACCTCGTTACTTCAGTGCTCACGAAAAAGCCAGAATCAAAGCCAGCAGCAGATAGTTGAGAATGGAAGGTATAGTATGAACAGGGGCGACCTCTTTAAGCCAGTGACCGCTTCTGCCGGAGAATGATGATTTACTTACAGGCGGTTGAAGTGGCCGTGTACAGTGCGTGGAGTTGTCGATAAACAGAGTTTGTGGAACCCAATCCCTTGTATGGTCGTCCAGTTCCCACCATCTTTCCATGTGGGCTGATATATCATCTTAAAATGACCAAGGAGATCTTGGGGATGCCATGTGTACAGACCAAAGAGAGTTCGATAGACGCTCGGGCGATGCTGAATGTTTTTCCTTGACATGGCTCCAGGGAACCCAGCGAATGCCCCCGGTGCTCATACAGTAGGCTGGCATGACTCCATGACGAGGTACTGGATTGCAACTATGAGCTATTGCCTGCTTCTTTTCATGTGGGATTCGATGACAACTGATTGCTCTCTCGGAGGAGCTTTCTTTATACCTACCGTCGGCAAGTGTGACTTGTAGCTCGGCATGACGTCGGTCCAATATTGCGTGTTGGCTATACTGGCACAGGCAAGACTATGGCTGAGAGTGCTCCTCCCTGTCGTAATCGGCTCCAATGGATTCATCTGATTGGGGATTCGAGCTTTGCCCCAAACGTGAAACGGTGGAACGCCATCCTGGGCCGAGGACGCGTTTCATCGCCTTTCCTTTCCCCCAATGGGCGCACCGCGGATACAGAACAGCCCCTCGAGGGGATCGCCGGTGAGGGCGAGAGGACGCGATTCGATGACGACACCTGCCAAACCCGGTCAACCGATAGGGAGGGACACCGTTGGGTGCTTCGACCTCGAAAACAACAAACATCAACGTTGCACTCGACGACTGGCAGGAGCTTCCTATAGAGTCTTACATAAAACAGCGCAAAGATGTCCAAATACGGAACTTATATGGGCACCGCCAAGGCCCTCCTGGCCATGGCAGAGGGCGAAAAGCCGCACTCGTCCATCTCGGATTGGGTCGAGATCCTCACTTCGGACCGATACGAGGAGGATTCGTACGATGGAGTCAACGAACTGCTCGAGAGTATCAGGATCCAAGGAATGGACGGTGTTACCGAGAGTTCGAGGGCGATCAGGAAGAAACTCAAGTATGGGAACGTTCATAGGCAATTGCGAGCTTTGACCGTGAGTCGTCAAGCGGCTGTCTATCTGTGTGACCGTTCCTCTGATTTGATGTTTCTACGCATCTAGCTCTTACGTGCTCTTTCCGAGAATGGAGGGAAGGGATACAAGGCCACCTTCGCTAACGAGCAGCTGCTCCAGCGATTGAAGGATATGGCGACCGACGTAAGCCTATCACGGTCTTAGGTCACGCGATCTATCGAGTTGACTGTTTATCTTCCGCTTGGACCTCTAGTCTCTGGTCGATCCCAAGGTCAAGAGAAAGTTGTTGTCAGTTTTCCATTCGTGGAAGTTGGCGTTCGGCGTGAGTGATTGGGAGACAATATATGCCATCGCTTCTGTCTAATCATGCCTTTTGAACGACAGGAGGATGGCAGGAACAAGCAGCTTGCCGGTCTCTACGATCAGTACTCAGGTAAAAAGGTAGGCCTTACAACCGATCTATATTGTCAGAGGTAGGCTGCTTATCACAACACTTGCGGCTGTACTATAGGTCATCCGTCAAACCCCCAGCGCTCCCGCTGCTCCGGCCAGCCCCCGTACTTCGATGTCGTCGTCCGCCCCCGTCCGCAAGCCCACCGGCGAGTTCAACGACCTCGAACATTCTTGGGTCCCTACCAAAGGCCACGCGACCTCCGCTGCCGACTATGCCGACTTGGCTGCCAAGAAGGATGAGGCCGAACGTCGTCGTGCCGAGCGAGAGGCCCGATCTGCCCTCGAAGCCAGGGAGGCGGAGGTCGAGCGTCGGGAACGAGCGATCAAGTTGAAGCAGGAGGAAAAGGAAAAGGCCGAAGCGTACAGGAGGCAGCTGGCCGATCAAGATATGAAGCGGAGGGCCGAGAAAGAGAGGGAGAGGTTGGAAAAGGAGAGGAAGAAGAACCAGCCGAAACGACCTCCCTTCGATTATGCCCGGGAGAAGCCTCAGATCCAGTTGGCCATCGCCAACGCTTCTTCGGCTGCCATCGCCTTGGTCAACGCTTGCAGAGTGGGTCTCGATATTCGATACCCGATCTGCTTCTAAAATCGCGCTTACCCCTATCTTGATACCCAGCACGTCAACCGACAACAAGAGTCTATGCTAGAGAACCTCAAGGTCCAGGACGCTCTCGAGGAATGCAAGGTCGTTCGACGACCTATTATCCGCTACATCCAGGTAGGACCGGAACCGTGTGACACCAGCAGACACAAGCCGAAGGCTGATGTGGCTTATGGCTGATTTGCAGGTCGTCACCGATGAGGTCATGGTCGGAGTCTTGTTGGATGCCAACGAGAAGATCGTCGAGGCTATTCAGCTGTACGACAAGGTCGGGATCAATTTGATCTGAAGCACGATGCGAGACCATGGCTCTAAATACGTTTGCTTTACAGATGAGCAAATCCGCCGACCTCGACTCCGACTCGGAGGACGAGGCCACTGTTAAGGCTCGAGCTGACAGCGCGAAGGACGCCGACGCTTTGGCTAAAAAGCTCGAAGCGCAAAAGATCGAAGAGCAGAGGACGGGAGAAGTCTGGAAGATGCAGCAGAGGCAAAAGTACGAGAGCGACAGGAGAGTCCAGAAGAGGACGAATTCTTCGCGTTTGCCTCCTCCTATGACGCCTGATGATCTGGGTGACGACCATAGAAGGTGAGTCTCCGCCCCGCATCCCTGAAGAATTTGAGTCACTGACAATCAATTCGACTACATGTAGAACATTGTCCGACTACTCGGACTATGACTCGTCCGACTCGGAGTATCAAGCCCGTGTCGCCAGTCGATCGCAGTCTCGACGAGGATCCATGGCAGCGAAGAAACCGGCCTATGACCCCCTGAGCGAGGACGAGGCCGAGACTCCCGCTGCAGGTGGAGACCCCAACGATCCGTTTGCGGACCCTACGGACTTCCTGGGCAGTATCGGAGGCTCGTCAGGATCCAAGTCTCGAGGCAAGGAGAGGATGGAATGTCAGTTGCTTGCGAAATTGTCTCGCTTGGAAGCTGTCGGCTGAACTCGTCTCCTTTCGACACAGGGGCGGCCATTTGATGAGCAACGATTCTGACCAGAGTGCTCGATCTTTTGTAACAGTACAATTCCCTCTTGTCATAAGGTATTCTCGAGATTGCAATGTATCATGTCAGGCTGTATCGGGGTTGTGACCAACTGTCGTCGCCGGCCGACCTGGGACGGCGGTAATCGGAAGAAATCGCGTCTAGACCCAGCAACGAGCCCCCAGCTTGCTCCCCTCGTGCACACACACACTCACCTCCTCCTGGCTCCTGGCCCAAACCAAAGTTCTCTCTCAGATCTCAGTCAAGATCCGCATCCTCACAGCCATCCTGCTTCCAGTCAATCCTGATCTCATCTCCTTGCATCTCGCTTCTTGTCGTCTGTTTTCTCGTCTCCTTAATGTTCGCTAGACAGGCCATTGCTTCTTCCGCCCGAAGGGTAAGTCCAGACCGTATTCACCTCTTCCCCTTCCACACCCGAGACTTGGGAGATCTACGAACCGGACTGACGTCTTCGATCTCTTGCATCCCCTATATCTCACCTCGTGCTCTTCTTGGATTGCTCTGTCGTTTGTCGGCCTGTTTCAACAGCTTCCTACCCGACGTCTCGCTGCCCAGGCTTCCATCTCTGCCAGGACCCTTGCTACTTCGTCTGTCACCATGGTCAGTCTCCTCGCTCTACTCTCAGGTCTGACGTCGGGACCATTGTCGAGTGCTAGACTGAACAACTTCGTTATGCTCCTGCTGTGTAGACCAACTACCGAAAAGAAGCCGACACGTTCGGACCTCTCGATGTTCCCGCCGACCGATACTGGGGAGCTCAGACTCAGAGGAGTCTGATGAACTTTGATATCGGTGAGCTGACCCCCTCAAGCTCTTCGCAGTCTAAGTAGTCGATACTGATCTTGATCGGAATTGTGTTTCCCGGCATGACCAGGTGGTGAGCAGGAGCGAATGCCTGCTCCCCTTATCAAGGCTTTCGGAGTGTTGAAGAAGGCCGCTGCTCAGGTCAACGCTACCTACGGTGAACATCCGGTTGATAGCTCAGTGCCGTTGTCAACCATGGCTAACTCAGAGACTCGACCTGGATCCTTCCAGGAATGGACCAGAAGGTCGCCGATGCCATCTCCCAAGCCTCGGACGAGGTCATCTCTGGTAAACTCCTCGACCACTTCCCCCTGGTCGTCTTCCAGACTGGATCTGGAACTCAGACCAACATGAACGTCAACGAGGTCATCTCCAACCGAGCTATCGAGATCATGGGAGGAGAGTTGGGAAGCAAGACCCCTGTTCACCCTAACGATCACGTCAACATGAGCCAGAGCTCCAACGATACGTGAGTCACTTTTATTCCGAACTTTTCTTCTGAACAATCCGGCTGATTCGATCACGATTCACTACCTTTGTCTGCAGCTTCCCCACCGCCATGCACGTCTCTGCCGTCGTCGAGATCAACCACACCCTCTTGCCTGCTCTCCACCAGCTGCACGACGCCCTCGAGGCCAAGCGAGCCGAGTTCGAGTCGATCATCAAGATCGGTCGAACTCACTTGCAGGACGCTACTCCTCTTACGCTTGGACAGGAGTTCAGCGGATACGTTCAGCAGGTCGCTAACGGTATCAAGCGGGTCGAGGATGTCATCCCCAGGTTGAGCATGTTGGCTCAGGGTGGTACCGCCGTTGGAACCGTGAGTTCGGACCTGAATAGCACTGGTAAAGTAAAAAGCATTTGAAAGGCTGAAGCGATAACTTGCTGCTCTATAGGGTTTGAACACCAGGAAGGGCTTTGACGTCAAGGTCGCCGATGCCATCTCTGAGATCACTGGACTCAAGTTCCAGACTGCCCCTAACAAGGTGGGTTGAGACGTTTCGCAGCTTGGCTATGTTCTCTATCACTGACTATCCAATGATATCATCCTCTGAACCTGCTTCTGCCTCGATTTGACCGTCTTCTGACTGTATGAGACCTCAGTTCGAGGCTTTGGCTGCTCACGATGCCATTGTCGAGGCTTCCGGTGCCATGAACACGGTCGCCGTCTCCCTGATGAAGATCGCCAACGACATCCGATACCTCGCTTCCGGACCTCGATGCGGTCTTGGTGAACTCTCTCTGCCCGAGAACGAGCCCGGTTCTTCCATCATGCCCGGAAAGGTCAACCCTACCCAGTGCGAGGCCTTGACCATGGTCGCCGCCCAGGTCATCGGGAACAACACTACCATCTCGGTCGCCGGATCTTACGGTCAATTCGAGCTCAACGTCTTCAAGCCCGTCTTGATCAAGAACCTGCTCCAGAGCATCCGACTGTTGGGAGACGGATCGAGGAGTTTCACCAAGAACTGTGTTGTCGGAATCGAGGCCAACAAGGAGAAGATCAACCAGATCCTTAACGAGAGTCTCATGTTGGTGACCTGCCTCAACAGCCGAATGGGATACGACAGTACGTACTCGGTGATCTGTCAAATAAGCCAGTCGTGACTGATGAGCTATCGCCATGTTTGCTGTAGATGCCGCCAAGTGCGCCAAGAAGGCTCACAAGGAGGGAACTACGTGAGTTCAGCATTGATGGCCCTCACGATATACGAAGCCTTTGACTGACTCGCCATCTATGAATTATACATACAGCTTGAAGGAGGCTACCCTTTCACTTGGACTTTTGTCGTCAGAAGAGTTCGACGAGCTCGTCAGGCCTGAGCGTGAGTCTTCGCACGTATTGAGTATTTGATGTTTCCTGAACGTCTACTGATATCACGTCGCAACGCGTCTCGCAGTCATGTTGGGACCCAACTAGGCATGTCCACCACACACGTTGTAACGCTACATACACAGGGAAAAGGTACAAGATGATAATGCATTGCGAAAAGGCTGGAGCGACGCCGATCTGACCATACTGTCTCTTTCGAGGCTTTTCCTGTCGTCTTGTTGCGTTCTCAAAACAGCTGTCCCCGTACATTGACGTAATACGTAGCCAGACCATCAGCGCAGCTTGTTTCTGGAACTGACAGCGTGAGAGAGTTGTCATTGCTCGAAGCGCCTTCCGGCTTGGACCGAGGACGCTGCAAGCGCGTCGATGCATCAACCAGGCAGGGGGCAGTCTCGAAAGGATCGAACGTCCCGCGAGGATGATTGTATCATTACTCTCGAACGTCAATTTCTACCTCAAATCCATACGCAGCCCGGAACCCTTGATTGACATAGACATATGACACATCCCAGCTGAAACGAAATGCCAGAGCAACAGAGCTCTGCAAGAAGAGATCGATCGGCCTCGTCCGAGCTCTCGGATGCCCCGATCCCTTCATCAAAATCTTCGTCAAAGAAACCGGAACAGATTCTCGTCTCGGACAGTACTCAAGCCTACGTGGCCAAGCCAGCGGCCAAAAAGACTGCAGCGGGAGGCAAGGCTTCATCATCGAAACAAACCAATGGCAAGGATGTCAAGCAGAGTAACGGGAGCAGTTCAAAAAGGGCGAGCACGGTCGTAGCTCGGAGCAGGGTGTTTTGGGGCAGAAAGGCTCAGGTGGATTGCGATTACGAGGTCGAAGGACCGATCAAGGACGAGTAAGCCAATTCGCAGCCGCCAGATGGATGGAGATTCGCTCGACTGATGTGACTGCGACGATGTGATGTTCATAGTTGGCAGGTAGCCTACGTCTGGGCTTTCCTGATCAAGTTTCGACGCGATAATGTCCCAGCGGACGCCGAGAGATTTCAGAAGACGAACGTCGTCACGGAACTCAAGACGGTCGATGAGTAAGTGTCGGGAACGAACGATTCGTCGATCGAAATCCTCGAACTTTCACCCATCGAGCCGGTATGACGGGGGATCGTCCTCAATCTATGCATTACGCGACATGACAAGCGCGCTAGATGACGCGACGCGCTTTTGGGTCAAAGAAAGCGTCTCCAGCCAGGTTTAGCTGACTGATCGACTTCTCGCTCGACTACAGGTTCGAGACATCACTGAGGAGCGAAGTGCCAGACGAAGGATTGACCGAGGCGCTTGTGGTGCTGGTGAGGCCGCTGTGGAGGGCAATGGCGGACGCGTTGGAGGACAAGGAGAAGAAAGACCTTTTGAGGCGGAAAGGAGCCAAGGCTAAGCACACGCCTTCCAAAGCACTACTCGGATTACGGGAAGCTATCAACCGGGAGTGAGTGCTCGGTGAACAGTAGTATAAAAGATCGGTCTGGTCTGATAGCGAAAACGCAGCAACATCATCGACAAGCTATCACATCTGATTGACGATCGCCTGAAACCGGGATGTCCCCTGAGCGTCTTTGACGCGTACATCTTTTCCAAGACGGAACACTATGACACAGAGGTGAGCCGCGAGTAGAGCTGTTGCGTTTGGAGTTGCAATTGACGCTACGCTCCGACAGGAATCCGCCAAAGAGGCCGACATATTGGCGGCCAAGGATGTCAACACGCTCGAGTACCGCGAGATGAAGGAGAACGACCCTCTTTCCGATAGGTCCGAGAACAATCCTCTCCGTTCGCAAGGTTTCTGGACATCGCCGTGGTCGGTCAAAATCAAGATCATGAGGCAACTCGTCGACTGGAATCGTATGTCTTGATCGGCGGCTTGTGATAGTGGCGTCCGAGCTCATCATCATCTCATCTCATAGTCTCGGATACGGATGTGCACGATATCATCACCCACACTCGGGCCAAGGGGAAAGTGCCAACGCCGTATGATATCAACAGGGCGGACAAGGGTAGCGAGCAGCAGCATTGGCAGGTGATCGAAGGTGAGTCGAAGCTCAGATACAGACACAGACACATGCTGTGTGCCTCCGCTTAAACCGCTCCCTGATAGACACATGGAGGGTTTACGGTATCAAGAAGCCATTGCAAATTCATGGCTCGACCAGTAAGACTTCTGATATGTTGCGATGTTGCTCTCTGGCACAACTCTCAAACGATTTCCGTGGTTACAGTTACATGTGCTTCGACGAAAGAAGAGTACTATGATCTCATGAACAGGCATCTTGCCAAAGAACAAAAGTTGCCTGACATGAAGAAGGAACAGGCTCTCGCGTCCTCGAAAACAAAAGCCGTTCAGCTGCGGAATGCTGCTATCCTCGCTGAGCGAGACGTCGACTTTGGGAAATTCCTGCAGGGCAGAGTAGAAGGGATTGAGGCCAAGTTCGAGGTAAGTCGTCAATATGTGTTATACGAGACGACATCAGTCGTTACTAATTCATCACCTCCTTGCAGGAAATCGAGAGACAGCGTGAAGCGTTGATATTGAAAAAGGCAAAGGCGGCGGAGCGGGAAGCTAGGGAAGCTCGACGGATCGCATCGCTACCGATCATCACCAAGTACGGGCGGGCGACACGAAGTAGGACTAAAGTGAATTATTCCGAGGTGAGTCGATCTGTCACCACCAGTATAGTCGACTTTCATGCTGAGCTCGGCTTTCGCTGCAGCAAAACGACGAGGTTGATGACGACGATGACGGCAAGATCGAGTACCGTTCGAGGCGAGACACGAATGGAGACAATTCCGACGCTGGAGACTACCGTTCTTCGTCTGCTGAAGCCGAAGCACCAGCTCACGGCCGGAACACTCGAAACAGCCGCACGAGCGCTCTCACGGCCGCACACGGCTACGCTACTCGAGGAACGACGGCGTCAACTTTCGGTGACGTCGATGGTGATGCCAGTCGTGCGGCTACTGAATCGGCGAACGAGGACGAGGAAGCTATGCAAGAGGACGACGCTTCCGATATCGAGGAGATTTCGGACGGAGACGGCCGCAAGAGACGGCATAGCGACGTGGACCACGACGAAGAGGATGAACCCGCAACGAAGAAAATTCATCTGGATGACCAAGACGACGAGCCCGAGGAGGAATGAGGAATGTAGTTACGAACAACCTGCACTGTATGCTCAAATCGCATTTGCTGTCCACCATATATGTCTCCATCATTCGGGTACTAAACCGCTTCCGCGTGCCTTGCTAGTCCTCTCTGGATGTGCATCGGCTTGCCGTTGTATCTCGATCTGGAGAATTCTAATCCACTTGTCTCGCTCCAGCTATATAACAAAGAGCAGGTCAATAATGTACACGTGATTAATCCGAGCACTGAGCGTACCTTTGATCTCGCTCGGAAAAGTACAAGTTGCGAAGCAGGCTTTCCTAGGAAGGGTGGGATATAGTTATCGTCACTATGGATGCGCTCGTGGAGTTGTTGGGGTGTCCGCTTGTGGGAAATCTTTCCACGAGTTTCATGTTTGCGTATCCAGACGGCAAAAGTGCAGTCCTCAGCGACGTCGGCGGTTTCCAGTCCATCTTGATAGATTCGAGCTTCACCGTGAAAGGCATCTTCCCTCAATACACTATTAAGTTCGGCCTCGGCCAGAACGCCGCTATACACCTATAAACTTTCGAGCATTAGCGTCAAACGATCGAGGCATCAGTCAAAGCTAGACTCACATAAGCTTCCAGCAGGGAGTATCTGTTACGTCTCATGTGGAAGGCGCCATGCTCGAGCTTGAATGTAACAAGATAGCCCTGGGTGAGAACGGTGTAGTATGCTCTGTGAGGTATAGTCCTATCAGTGCTGCGAATCGAGCCGTTTGCATGTACAAGTGTTGCGTACCTGAATTGACTGCTTCTCGAATGCTTGACAAACAGTCGCCCACCATGAATCACCGGACTGCATCCTTCGATCGGGCACCAATTCCATTGGAGTCCCAGCTCCGGGTCATTCTCATTCTCCATCGCATCCTCGAGAAATTTGTTGGGACCCCGGAGAGCAGATCGAATAGAATCCATTCTCGAGCGGGCGCTATCACTCGGAAGTAGGTCAGCGAGCCCGAGAGTGATTGTTGCTAAGACTGACTCACTCGACGCGTTGACGATGGGACCAGTAATCATGCAGTTTGCGAAGCCTTTCGACCCACTCCTTGGCAGCCTCAGGGTTGTGAGCCTGTTCGGTTAGAGGGTCACTGTTTAGCCAGGTCTTCTGACAACCAAGTTCGCCATCGTTATCTCTCACCTCGAAGCGGACCTTTTCCCCGGTCCTGTCCAGTATCATCTCGAATACCTTGCTTCCCTTGGGCGCCTGTGCGACATCTGGCGCGTAATCGACTTCTGTAGTCCTCGTCATTGCACCCATCATCGTCATCGTCTTCTTCGGTTTGTGGGCTTTGCTTCGCACCGCTACGATATCACGAAAGTCGACAAAGCCGGTGCATTCTAATATGTTACGCGAACCTCGAGCAAACTCGTTGCTCATGAAGGTATCAAGAAGCTTGAAATCGGTCGCTGCACCAGTGATGTCGACATGCTGCGGTGGAAGCGGCGTCTGCGCTTGTCTCGGCGAGGAAGAAAACAGGTTTCCGTTGAAGGAGTATACGTAGATCTGCTCCCTGCTCGCTTTGCCCTGCTTGCGGCCGAGGCGATAGAGATACCCTTCGACGCATGGCGGTTCTTCCAGCTTGCTTCCGTCGCTGAGTTTCAGCACCGATGTTGAATGTCGTGCGCCTCGCAATTCGAGACGGGCAGAGTGGGCAGGCTATGTCACAAATAGCATCGTGCTCGGTTTTGGCCGCCAATAGCGTGCATGTACTCGGTCGCATACTCACGCTTATGATGGAAAGACCCGCTAGCAATGACCACTCTCGTTTGCTCCCTTCCGATCTCTTCTCGTCCTGCTTGCTGATCCATTCCAGGTATTCCTCCCGTTTCCATGCCAACTCCAGTCGCAACATCTCGTTCGTCTCCCGACGAGCGCTTTCGACGAGCATGTCAAACGTTGGTAATCGTCTGAGCGCATCGACTGCCGTCTTCAGAATTTTGCTCCGGGACAGCGCTCGACATGTAGCCATGCTTCCGACCGAGTCTTCTATGGGCCTCGCGAGCTTGATTGTGGTCTGCAAGTTGGGAACGTAAACTTCGAGCGTCTCTGGCAAGACTCCGTCGAGATCCTTCCAGATCTCCCACATCCAGTCCATCGCTCGGATCCGTTCTCGGCAGTTGAAGATGAAGACTTGACTCCCGCGTTCTCCTCCCTTGAGCCACTCGAGCTGTTTCGAGTCTTTTAACCGTCGACGCATGTTGGCGGTCCGACGGCCTCCATGGTCTCCATCGAATTCCTCCACAAACGGTACCATGTCAAGACAGAGCGCGAAGGAAAGGTCGACAGGGGAGAACAAGGAAAAGGTCGTATATTTCGGATGGAGGGGGATGGTAAAACATAGTCGTTTCGTCCGGACGAATCGTTCCTTCAGGGGGAGCCTCTATGAGGTTGACACTGGTCAGCATTAGCATGATGGCATGAAAATCCGGTGATCATCTCACCAAGACGCACCCATTCTTGATACAACTCGATTCGCCCTTTCCGATATATGACGAGGTATTCTAAATGGTACGCGTAATATATGTCAGCGTACATGACGGACAGCATCCTCGTCACCGTCGACCCACCCTCCATCCGGTCCAACCGCGAACAAGGTCGTCTCCTCGACATGGCCTCGTCATAGCCAGCCAACCCTCGTTCCTTGCTCTTCCCTACCCTTACCAACATACGATCCCGAAGCACCACGGCGTCCGGATGCGCTTCCATTTCCGTCTCCACCGTAGGGTCCAATCCGAGTTCACAGTTGCCCATCGCCCTGTCCTTTCCTTTAGCCTTTTCTTTACCCTTCCTCGGGTCCCGGCTCGTAGAGAGGTTGACAGCCGGGTCCACTACATCTATTGGGGTTTCTGATGGACCCGGTGGACCCCGATGCGCTTCGACTACCCCAGCCGAGGTCCCGACCACCTCGGGCCCCGTCCTGGCGAGTACTTCCCTCGGATCGGCGGGCTCGAGGGAATGGTCGCTCTTCCCATCCGCATCATCCTCTTCCCCACCATCGCCGTCGTCGTCGTCATCGTCCCTCAATCGATCTCGTAAACCTCTCCACCGTGTCCTCAGCCCAGAGATCGATTCCGAACCCCGATCGTCGAGTTCCCGCCCGACGGGAAACTGGACCGTCTTGGTCTTCTTCGCTGGGGGTCTTCCGGGAAGACCCTCAACCCCCGCTGGTATCCCCGCTACTCCATCGACCCCATCTGCAGCCGTGGTACTTCCGTGATCATGTTCCTCCTCATTCACCGCCCTATGGCGAAACTTTAAAGCCGACTTCAACTTGCCACCCGACCCCCTCAATCCCAACCCAGATCCTGGAGCTGAAGATCGTCTCCCCTTCAAGACCTCCATCGCCTCTTCTTCCTTCTGCCTATCCCCTAATTCCGGCTGAACCGGTGGGACGCCGATATGGTTCGCACTGTGGTCGGATTGACGCGACGTATCATACGTGACCCCGGTCGCGGGGGGGATCAACCTGCGTGTAGATCCGTGATCGGTCGTGCTCGACGATCCCGCCCTTTGCGTCTGGGTGGAAAACTCTGGTGGGTCCGTGTCGAGTAGGGATGGGGCGGGAATCGAAGAGTATGCCGAATGAAAGTCGCCCGTCTGGGTCGTCTGCATCGAGGTGGAAGTCGTCCGGGAGTCGAAAGGCGGAGGGACCAGAGATTCGGAGGCACTAGTGCTAGGACCGGGAGCGGGTTGATGGGTCCGGGCGGTCTGGAACGATTGTGTCCTCGTTGACACTCCCGTCCCTGCCCTGGAACTTGTTTGATGTGTTCGAGCAGTCTGGAAAGACTGTACCGTCGTCCCGGTTCCTCTCGATGAAAGACCTGGTCGCTCATCTCCCTCTCCGTCTGCCAGGGACATGCTCTTCGGAGACCCATAAATCGTGCCTTTCCCATTCCCAGCCTCATCACCTTTATCCTCAACATCAGACGGAGTGAGATACTCGTCATCCACATCGATCAACCCTCCATACCTCTTGAAACATCTGACGTTCGAACCAGAACCGTTCGAAGCGGTGATACTGGCACAAGAGACGGTCCTCAGCGGCCGGAACGAACTGCCAATGTCGAAAGATTCACCGTGCCACACGTTCGGTCTGCGTGGTTTGCTATCCTTCTTCTTCCATCCGAGCTTGGACAAGACATTGTTGTTCTTGTTCGTATTCGTGGCGTTCGTATCGGTCGTCAGGTCGGTCTGGCGTGTCTCGTCCGTCATGTAACTCTCGGCAAAGAGGCTATGTCCATCCGAAGCGTTCGGCGTGGTCCGTTGGTGGGGATGTAGAGGATGCCTGACATGTTCCCCGACCGCTCTTCCGATCTGCCCGGCTTTCCTCACAGGGTTCCTCGATGGGCCCTGGTCCGTCCAGTCTCCTGCATCGTCGCCGTTTCGATGACGGTGAGGACGATGATGATCTCGACCTTGATCGTCGTGTTCTTGTCTCCTCAGCGTCTCCCTCAAACTCTCATACCACCGTTTTGCCTCTTCAACTTCTGTACTGTTGAGCACGCTCTCAGGTAAGGGGCCTATGAACCTTCGGTGGGGGAGTCGATGCGGATGAAGGATCGGATGGGCCGTCGTCGCAGTCGATGAATCTGGATCGTCCTCGGCGTTGTCCTGACGACGGTTGGGATCGTCCCCGTGTACGCTGGATGCACCGATGACGGCTGGACCGGGGAGCGGTCGAGGTTGAGCGGAGGATGATGGGGTCATGGTTGGGACGACGACATCGGGAATGAGGTATGTCTACAAGAGTAAAGATGTTCTCGCAGCAAACACACACATATGAAGAAGTAGTAGATGATCGATTGACCTAACTACTCGCACATGGTCCTCGAGTAGTCTCACCCTCGGTCATCACCTTCACCTCGACATACACCGGGTATGATGGATGTTATCTCTAGTCGGGGAATTGGATAATATACAGCCAGGTCATCCCCATCGGTACGGCCCCGTACATAGAGGATTTACTCTGTAAACACGACGCTGTCGACGACATCGGGGTCGAGAAGATGCCGACGACAACGACGACGACCGCTCCGGGCTCGGCCGAACCACCTCGTCGTCGTCCAAACCCTACACGCCAGCGTTCATTCTCCAACGTCGACCCGAGCACCACCTCGTCCATCTCGTCCAGCAACAACAACCTGGCACCCAATTCGAACTCTTGGTTCAATACCCTCGCTGGCGGTCTGAGCTGGATAGAAGTACAATCCGGCAACGTCGTCAATCAAGCGACCCAGGCCGGTCTCGGGGAAACGATTCGAGGAGGCCTGCAGGGGGTCGGAGGGGTCGTACAAGGCGGGCTGGCGAATGCGAAGCGGCCATCGTTGTTGAACGGGGTGTTGAGTGGGATTACCAGTGGGAGTGGAACTCCAGGTGGTTCGGAGAATGGGGATGCCATGAGCGACTATTCGGACCACAACCCGGGGAATGGCAGTAACAACAATCACATCAACAACAACCTGCTAGGCAGTCCAGGGAGCACGACATCGACGCCGATGAGACGACGACCGGCATCTTTTCTCGGGCTGATGAAACCTCGTCCGCAGACACCTCCGGCTGGGACGTCGCCGGCTCAATCGCCCGTACAGACGCCTACGAACCCTTCGTCGAGGTTGTTCAGAAACACGACATCGCCCTCCCCCGCGCCCGGTCCTGGTCCTGGTCACTCTGCTGATCCTGACTCGGGCTCGTCAGGTGCCCCTGGAACCGCCACCCCACCACGTCCTCCCAACTTCTCCTCGTCATACTCTTCCCCGCCTGCGAGTACTACGCCTGCCACGGTCGCACCGTCATCTTCAGCGACGAGCAATCTGGGCAGACCGACCGTCACCCGCCTAGGACCTCCCAAGCCGGCGAACATGACCCGATTACGTCACGTAGAGTCGGCCCACCCGTCCCAGTCTCGGTCGACTTCCCAACCTTCTACACCGACCCCAACAGCTTTACAAACGCAAGTAACGGGACTGCAAGGCTCTCCTCAGCTGCGCAATGTTCAGCAGCACGGTCGGACGAGCTCGACCTCGGACGTCAGCCCCGCGAACCGGACCGCTCTGAACGGGTTGCTGAGAGCTTCGACCTCGGGACAATCTTTGGACAAATTCACGCTCGACGGAGGGAATGTCAGTGGGAATGCGGGTGGGGCTTTGAATGCGGGTAGGAGAAGGACTTCAGGCTGGGAGTTGGGAATGGAGAGACGAGGTTCCAATTCGAACACGATGGCCACGAACACTCCGCAGTCTTCTTCCAGGGCCGGTACGCCTGGGCTTTATTCGAATACAAACGCGACTACAGGACATGCTACAGGGGCCGGTCAAGGTCCGAACATCTTCTTCCCCGGATCCGGACCCCCGGGTAATATAGCCTCAGGCCAACCAAATACGGGCGCGGGAATGACCCCGCCACAAGCGCTCAGAACCAGGTCGTACAAGCCGGGCTTCCAGCCTCCCGGTGTGAGATCGACCAGGACGCAAGAGTTTGACGAGGCTAGGAGACGGGTCGGGGAAGAGAGGGGCAGAGAGGAAGGGCGGTTGGGGAGGAGATGGGCCAAGGTGAGCAGATACGAACAGAAAAAGGGGATGGAGATGGAGTGAACTTTTGGCTGATCCTTTTCGATGATGGTGCGACGGCGCGACAGTTGATCGATCTCCATTTCAACCCGATGGCAGGGCCAGATGGACCTACGAATGCATCGGCATCTACCTCGGCGGTCCCGTCAACTCCGCCCAATGCAGGGAAACCTTCCCCATCCCGCCCCCGTCTAACACCCCAAATCAGCGAACGATTCAACGCGCTTACGAACACGCTCGACCAGGTCACCCCGAAGGACGTCTGGAGAGGGTTTCGAAGCGTTACGGGGGTCGGATTGGAGCAGGTCGAGTTGGAAAAGAAGAGGGAGGTCGAGAGGGGGTTGGTCGTCTGGGAAGAGGACGGCGAGGTGAGGCGATGTAGGATTTGCCAGTGAGTACAGACGTCTCGCGTCAGGGAAACGTGACTGTAGGCTGACGAAAGGGGTATTTAATCTCAAAGGTCGATCTTCTCGTTGACGAACCGGAAACACCATTGCCGGCTCTGCGGTCGGATTGTCTGTTCACTCCCGCCTACACCAGCGACCATCCTCGCGCTCGCCGCACCGTCGTCATCGACATCAAGCGGGTCGACAAAGACGGGTCTGCCGTTGGGGACACGCAGAGAGACCTGCTCGCTCTTGCTCGTCGCCGACTATCGGACGGGCAAGGGTCACGAGGTGGACGAAGGTTTCGTCGGGTGGATGCAGATGGGCTCGGGCGCAGGGGTGAGCGAGCAAGGCAGATCAGGTAGCTCGACCGCGACTGCGATCGCTCGACGGCCGGACGAGGTACAGGTCAAGGGGGTGAGGACGTGTCGAGAGTGCTGGGGGGTCATCTCCCGTAAACAAAAGATGGCGGACATGCGGCAGGTCTCGCGCTTCTCCCGCCTGTACGGTGCGCTCAAGTCGCTCGAGGCCGAGATCGCGGACGCTCTTCCCGAGTATCAAGACCGAATACAGGATCTGAGAAGGGCAGACGATGACGACTCGATAAAGCCAAGCCCGGGAGGGATCCCACCGGAACTCATGACTCTGCACAAACACCTGCTCGCCCTGTTTGCAGAGTATGACGCGTTTACGAAACGGATCCGGAGTTATCCCTGTTCACCATTGAGCGCACAGGAACGGGTGCAGCAGGCGATTGCAAGGCAAGCGGGGCTGTTCATGGCCAAGGAGGCGGGTACACTGCAGGTGAGCGGGAGAGCCCATGACTGAATTTCTCTGGTCCTGTACTAAAACAACCGTTTGTGTATCGCAGCTCCTCCCTAAATTGCAAGCGCAACGACATAAACGAGCGACCTCATCAGCGGCCGTCTCGATCGACTCGTCCATCGCGCCCGCCCCACCCATCGTCGACGAGACCGCCACGCTTCTGCAGCCGCTGCTCGAACAAGAGGCGCAACTAGAAACGTTCATCGCCGAGGCCAACGCCCAGCGCAAGCTCGAGGATGCCAGGACGTTGCTTATCAGTCTCGAAGAGCTTCGGCAGGAGATTGCGCGGATCGCCGCTGGTGTTCCATGAACGGTTGAGTCTGGGATGGCCATAATCAGGAGGGCAAGTAGTTCGACCACCGATACGAGTTGTACATGTAGCAGATACGATCGGTTCGGACACTATGACCTGCATGACTAAGCGGCGCGCATTGTGCTTCGTGCTTGTACGGGTTCTTATTAACCTTGCTTCCTGCTGGATTACATCCTATCTTGCCGTTCCTTTCAAGCACCACCGTGTTGCTAAATTCTTTCTTTTGGCTTCGCTCCAAACATGGATCGATGTATCCACCTTCTACGACATGAGCGATCGCACTGGCCCGTGCACCTTCTTGTTGTTCGACCTCCGCCAAGCATTTGGACAACCATCAAGACTGCCGTACTGGTCATCTCCATCCTGAGGCTTCTCGCCGGAGTTTCAGCTTTTCTGATTTTCCGCCTGAGAAACAGGTCATTGAACGGCTCTCCAGAGCGCACAAGGCGATATTGGCAGGTGTTTCGGTCGACTAATTCAGAGGCGTCAGCCGCTGCGTAGCCCGATTACCCCTTCAGCGCGAGACGTACCCCATGCGGCATTTCTGCTGTATACCACCAGTCACGCAAGCTACCCTGCCTCGCATCCCCACAATGGCCGTAGCTCCTGCTTAAACGACTTCCATTGAGACGGAAGGTTGTTGGCAGAAAGCGAATTGCCAACTTCTTCCGGCCGGGGTAGACCCAGGTCGCTCCTCTGCGTATCCCCGATGCAATGTGGACCTCAGAGCATCATAATGAGAACGAGCAGAGCGATTTCTGTCCCGATGACCAACCCTCCGAGGAGGACGACCTGATTCCCACTCGTCCGAAACGGTCTCCCGAAGATCCTCTCCCCGTTAGGGTCGATCACGTCCGTCCTGACCCCTTGTGCCGCTGCGTCCGAGAAATCCTTGTCGGAGCGATAAGAGCGTGTATAGGCGATGACCAGGATGAGAAGAGCTAGTACGATGAAGACGATCCCGATGGAATAGAATTGTTGGCTGAATATCTTGCTGCATCATCGCATAATATGTGCGGCATCTCTTAGCACCACGATCAAATGACTAGATCTAGCGTCACACTCACAGAATGGATGCGGCATAAGCGAGGCACATCAGGCTGGTTCTGTAGTAGGCCCCAAAGAAAGTCCTATACCTGGCTCTCAATTCGATCACCTCTGAGTCGTCGAGAGCCCGGAAAGACGATCGGCGGTGCCCTCGGTACAGACTCGGAGCCTGGTGGTGGTTCGGTAGCGGCCACATCTTCGTGAAAAGGTTATTTTACCAGTGCGAAGAGCTCGTTCAAGTGCGCAGGTGCGAGAATTTGTAGATCGAAGATGCAGATATAGCTGGTAGTAGTATCGATGGTGAACGGAATACGTAGATGAGTACATAGCCTCGACGGCATCACCGCCTGTGCGATCGCGCTTTCACGTGACACGATCACGACGCTAGTGGGCCCTGGGGCTAGGCTAGCTAACGGCATGCATGATGAGGTTGCGGTTGACAACCTGTACTTCGGCATCTACGTTCTGCCCGTCACGATAGCTCATATCATCTTCACGATTCGACGACTTGCAGACTTGATAACACTAGATCCCCTCTTTAGACTCATAGAGACGCTCAAAATGGCTTCCGCGGCAGACAAGGACCCCTTCTACCTCCGGTATGTGGATCATGGGGTTTCGAGGTACATCTTCGATACAACCTCGTTGCTGATCCTTTACCCTTGTCTACTGCAGATACTAGTTCGTGACTCTCTCTTCGAAGTTCGCCGGAGATTGGTATCGTCTAATCTTGAGGAATCATGTCAATTGTGAACAGCACCGGTCATCAGGGTATGCACGGACATGAATTCTTGGAGTTTGAATACTCTCAAGGTTAGTCAAGTCATATAGCCTCTTGCTGAACCTGCTTACCATGTTCTTGTGGCTGATACGTCTCGTATCTTTTTGCTAGGACGACTTCGATATGCCAACAACTCGAACTACCGAAATGATTCGTTGATTCGTAAAGAGAGTATGTACCGGACACTTGTCCGTAGCCCTTGCGTTGCGCTAACTTGTTTTGAGTGAATTGACGTTGTTTCTGTTCCTTCCCATGATCATTGCTATCCTAATCGCTCTCCGGCTGTGCATCGAACCTGATATCCGACCGACAGTGTTCGTCGGACCCCTCGTCGTAGAAGAGTTCAAGCGGATCATCCGGGATAGCGAAGTGACCAAGTCAGTCCCGCCGCCTCTCGTTGCGTCTGCCTGTACATCATCCTCATTGCTCGAACGTGGAACTTGATCGTTTGTAGGGAAGATGACTCTGCCTGGCCAAAGAAGAACATTGTCGGAAAGCAAGAGTTGGAAGTGAGGATTGACAACGAACACATTTCGTTCGAGGTGAGCCCCCGCATGAACTGAAAGGCTGGAGCTTATGGAGATCGTTCGCTGAATCGTTCCTGTATATCGTGCTCGACAGACGGCCAAGATCGGTTCGCTTGCGGATGTGCAAGATTCGCAAGACCCTGATGGTCTGAGGGTGTTCTACTACTTGGTACAGGATCTCAAGGTCAGTGCGGGTCTTCAGATGCTGCTAGCTCGACAGCCCGAGAGAGAATTTGTTAACGAGCGGGACGAATCATTCCACCCCCGACATGTAGTGCTTCATCTTTTCGTTGATTTCGCTGCACTTCAAGATCAAGCCCAGTGAGTTTCTTTCCCATTAGTGCGTCGGAGCTTAACTGGTCGGACTGACCCTACCGATCTGTCTGCCATGTCAGTTCAATAAACGATCCAGATCAGGATGAAAAGCAGGGCGTATGGCGATACCCCTCGTCCCCTGCATTCGGTTTCTCTTCCTCCCGTTTGTATACCGTCTGCTCTATGTCTGGCTGGACGATGATAATCCAGTAGCATGTACTAAAATGGCAGTGCATCGAGATTCGAACTTGCGCCTGCTGATTCCCGAACAATGCTAGACCTGGGGCGTGATCACGATGTCCCGGGACAAAGCATGTCACGAAGCGCTCCCCTGTGACATCATTTTGTCGGGGTTCAAGAACGGATATTCGTTTTAGTGAATCGCTCGCTTTTGGAGTCGTCTGCATGTTGTCGTTTTGGTCGGAACAAATCAGGTCGCTAACCGTGCTCTCCAGGATAACGGATCAACTACTTGCACCCTATGGCAGAGGATACCATGGGAGAGGACGATATCGAGTTCATATCCAAGGCGGATTGGGCCGGGCAGATGGCATCTGCGGGCGCTGCTTCTGGGCCGCCAAGTTCTGCCATAAAAGGGGAAACCATCGAGGCTATCAAACGAGACTTCTTCCTTATCGATCACGCTTATGATACCGGACGCATCCGGCCCAGGTACATCGAGTTATCTGCATCGCAGATCAAGCAGCACGTTGACACCATCGAGGGCGACTTTGGTCACAGGATCGGTCTGTTTCAAGGCTGGTCTCAAGTCTCAAATTGGATCGAAAGCGAAACAAAGCTGGCCTGGCAAGAACTCATCGAAGCAATCTACAATCAACACCACGATCTCGTGTATGATATGCTGCTGGAGGGGCTTGAGAGTGTTCTGCACTCGAGCGAAGAGCCGGCCAAAACCCGTCAGAAATACAGGTATCTTCTGGCGATCAGTAGACCTCCTCTCACCCATGCGTCGGGAGTGAATTTGAGAGCGTACCTCAATTCAACGGCCATTGCGGGATCCAAGACATATCGAGACCGATTCAAGACGGCGAATCCTGCCGAAACGGTTACATACAGGAACAGAACGAAGCTGCTATTGAAGTTATACGTGAAATTAAATCATACAGTATCCGATGCTCCCTCAGGAGTGTCGCATGGCACCTCGAGGTATGAGATCAAGGATCTGGAAACAGGATCAGCTGGACAACCGGGATCGGATAGACCAGATCAGGCGAGACCGAACGCAAGGCAGATCGAAGCGGCTCTTGAAAGCCACACGGATCCGGACGATATTTGGGTATTTCATCCAGGGGGCGACTCTCCAGTCCTACAGCGAGTCAGGCTCATTGGCATATTGGGTCAAGCAAATGCTCCTCGAGCCGATGTGCGTCCGATACCTTCACGAGGATGACATACGAGTCTTGATGCTAACGTCAACATTGCGTTGGGCATCGCCAGTCCTTAGCACAAATATTGTCTTGCCTCAAGGTTGGTAACATCATCGATGGTACCATCTTTGCCATAGCCATGCACGGCCCATCCTTTCGCATGTTTCAGTATACCGGTCTTGACGAAGTCTCAACTTGGGTCTACAAGAAGAATACTCACACGCTTCAAACGAAAGGGGCTCACTACGCGGAAGACGGGATCCTCGAAATTCCATATGAAAAGGCAGTTGTAGCCTTTGCTGGATCCGACGCACCGGAGATGTTCGTCATCGAGAAGGAGGCGAAAGAAACGTTTTCCGTCCTCGTCGAGTTCCTCATCACTGCTTCACAGGCAGTTGGCAGGTCAACTCGCAAGCACGAAGTCACGATTGCGAAGAGGTTGAAGACGAGGATCGACGAACTTCTTAGTTACGACGAGCCAGTGATGAACTTTGCGGCATCAGCGGAGGAGTTGCAGATGGAGCGTGTCAGGATCACTGGTGTCAGTGTAGAGACAACGGCTCCTGTCGTTTCCTACGTCAAGGTCGGGGATCCCGCTGGAACACCGAGCGGTGCCAAAAGTCAACGAATGGCAAGCTCATCTCACTCAGACGATAATGCGACTCGTGATAACTCTTGCCCAGGAAATCCCAGCTGCGACGAGGACATGCAAGATGGCCTAGATCCACAGCTAGGAACCGAAGCCGATCCGTGGAGGTCGATCCTGGACGCAGATTCGCCACCGGTGGACGTCAAGGTGATGAACTGGCAAAGCGAACACGTCTCGTCGATAGGCGACGAGGTCACGTCCCACAAAGTTCCGCCCATCGAATCCATCGAATCTCCACCGGATGTCGAGAGTCAGGACGATGTGGATTGGATCTATGAGGACTCGATTCTGGAAAACGGGCATGGATAGAGGTGAGTCGACGGAAGGGTCATTATCAGTCGTCGATACAGAGCTCGCGTCAAATTGGTGAGCGGTATATTCTAGGTGAGGGTATGACAACCCCATGATGTGGTATAGGAAAACTAGATGATTTTACGTATCATTAACAACGCTGCGATGTAAATCGGAATAGCGGACGAGATGCAGACTGAAGCAAGGGCGAGGATGTATATCGAATCTGTTGTACAACTATGCATATTCTCCCAATGATGAAGCAGAACGAAATGGAATTGCCCTCCCATCGGATGTCATTTCTCCCTTCCTCCCGTTCGTCCGTCTGTCCCTGCGCCTACCCCACACCGCGTCCGTGTTCCAAGAACAAACAAATTGCTTTCCGCGTGCTTTCCGCGTAGTCACGTCTGATGTGCAGGTACCCGCTTCATATGGTAAATGGATGTTTTGCGAGGCCGAACAGGAATGACAGAGTGGATGGGCTGGACCGGTATGGATTTGGTAAAAAGTTGGGAAAGGAAAGGGGTATGAAGGTTCCGTAGTATTTTGTCGCATGCTGTGTAGTGGAAAGTGTCGAAGGGTGTCGAGAAGAGAGGGATCAAGGTGAAGGATGGAATAAGAGGGGGATCATGCTCCTCCGCTGTTTATACGATGTTGACGCAACTATCAGCTCGAACTTTTCCTCACACAAACAAGCAGGAGAGAAGGCATAGGATTACGTACACCAAGATCTGGTTACTATTGCGTTGGATAATGCGAAGGAGAGAATATACAGCGTCAGTCCCTCGATCCTGCTTTAGGCTATACCTGGACAAGCCACAAACAGGACGGAAACAGAAAGGTCGACTTACATTGGGATATGTACGAGCTTGACAAAGTACCCGATGAAGCCCATGACGGCGAATCCTACGGCGACGGCTCGGCAGAGTTGGATATATTCTGGATAGGACCGAAAGGGGACCATCCCGGAGGTTAGATCAGGTCGAGGTCTACATGGTGACCGGTAGTATAGGCTGGCTCACCCTTCTGAGTAGGCTTGGTACATCGGTTGATGAACTGTTCGTCCAGTCGACAGAATTAATCGATTCACAGGAAAGAGATCAGCTCTGATCCTGCAGCCTGAAGGACCTCGGCGGTCATGGCCGTTCGACGTTTGACGTACCTGAGTTCCCTCCTTGACGAACTTTTGGGGCACGTCGGCAAAGTCTTTGACCATGTTTTCGGACATTTTGAGGAAGACAGATGCTATCGATGTTATGCGAAGGGTGGCTAGATCGACAGAGTTGACAGAGGAAGCATGGTCAATCGAAGTTCGATGGGTAGGTGTAGGTAGGTAGGGTGTGTCGATGTGTCAATCAACCTCCTGCTCGCTGTGAGCGTGCGTGGGGGACACGCGCGCGTGAGAAAGCGATCTCCCATGCCCTTGTCTGCCGGCAGCGACCCCTCGAAGAGTCGTCCAAGTCGATCTGATTCATATCCTTTGCCCACCTTGCACTCAAGACCGAAACCCTTTTTAGCGATCCCCGCATCCTCCTCTAGACCCCATAGAAAGATCCGGAGACTAGGCTTTTCATCATGGTAAGTCGTCCGCGTCGAGAAAAGACGGCATAGTCACGGCAGGTCTTTGAACGTATCGACAATCTGGAACTGGATCTCGCAAACGCGATATGGGAGAAAGACTCAAGCTGGTCATACGGCGAGAAGAGGTTGTGCATACCAAGGGCTATAGAAGTGGAAGATAGCCGAAATGATACAAGGAAATAAAGCCACGCCAGCACGCTCAGACGCCGATCGTGCAAGCAAGCCCGTACATAAAGCAAGTTCGCTAACAATTTAACTCGTTTTTTCTCGCTCGTGTCACTCGACGTCTCATCTCATGTTTCACAGCCTCGTGAGTTCCCATGCAAGACTCGCTTAGGTTCTCAAATCTGGAACGGTACTCACCATCCTGATCTCTTTCGCCTTTGTAGCCCCAAAAGCCCGTGCGAGCAAGATGCTCAACCTCGTCAACTACCGACTCAAGGTCACCCTGTTCGTCCTCAGCCTTCGATTCGCGCTATCGACTCGTCTCGTTTACTTACCTCATCTCATTCGGATTCTCTTCATTGTTGTGCAACGTGATGCGATGCAGGAACGATGGAAGACAGTTGATCGGACAGATGTTGGCGTTTGACAAGCACATGAACATGGTGTTGGCCGAATGTGAAGAGTTTAGGCGGGTCAAGGTGAGTCGGCTTTGTGTCCAGGAGCCAATTTCTCGATGTCTTCCTTAACACATCGACTGACACCACTCTGTACAAAATTAATATACCAACAGGGCAAGAAGTCAAAGACCTCGACGGACCCTAAAGAATCCGCTCCTGAAGTCGAACAGAAGCGAACTCTCGGCCTGGTCATCCTCCGTGGAGAGACGATTGTATCCGTCAGCGTAGACGGACCACCGCCAAACAAGGAGGACGGACCGGGAATGATGGCTGGGCCTGGAAAGGGAGTTGCCGCTGGTAGAGGGATGCCTTTGATGCCCCCTGGTGAGTCGCAGCGTTCCGAACCAGCAGGATTCAGTGCGATTCAGGAACTGATGTGGATGAATCGATCGGTGCCATAGCGGGTGGAATTTCGGCCCGACCGATGCCGTATGCTCGACCCCCTGCTGGTTTCCCTCCTGGTATGATGCCTCCCGGTTTCCCAGGTGCTCCCGCTGGGTAAGTCGAGTCGTCTCCAGTTTAACCCTTGTTTCGGCCTGTCGAATCGAGACTGACCCGCTATTGATTTGACATCGTCAGTATGCCCCCTGGTTTCCCTCCTCAAGGTATGCCCCCAGGTTTCAGGCCCGGTATGCCTCCTGTCGGGTTCCCTCCGCAGGGTATGCCTCCCGGGTAAGTTCAACTCTCTCTGTGTTCAGCCGCGTCTCCCTCTGGCTTGTCGTCTGAAACGAAACCTGATCTTCATCTCGGTCGCAGCTTCCCTATGAGGCCTCCTCAATAGATGGTCTTGCTTTCAAAAGAACCCTCTCTCCGATAATCATTACCCCATCCTCCTTTCTTCCTCCTTTGCTTGCTCATTCTACCCCTTGGCAAATATCCTCTGTCCTCCATGCCCATATCGACCCTTTCGATCATCCAACCCCGCTTCTTTTGGTCACGATATGCATCACGATAGCTCGGACCGTATCGTGCTTGTTTTGTAACGAAAAATCAGATACAGAATTTGTTCTCGACGGCAAACAGCTGTGTGTGCCTCTTGTGGTTCGTCTCGGATTGGGGTAGGTCGACAATATGCAAAACACGCGATGAGCGGGTTAGTCGCTGCAGACCAACAGCTAAGCCTGACGTGTCGAGGAGAATGACGTCCAGCGGTTTTAGGCGGCAAATCGTCATCAACTCACCGGCCGTCTGAGACATTAGACCATCTGACGCCTCACTTCCTGCGACTACGCACGCATGTCATCGTGTCACCCAGTGGTTGAAAAGGAGAGATCCGATCTTAATGAGGATCCGAGGGGGAGGGGGGTTCAGAACATGGCGCAGAGGATATAGTGGTCGAATAAGATTTGATTCCGGATAACGCTCTCAATAGCTTCCTACGGGTACGATTCGTCATAGAAGCAGTGTGCACGAGCACGAGAACTAACCATATTCATGCCATCTATGCACTCTCGTGTTCATACATATTATTGTTGGGTTGACCTCGCTTCGAAACTATATCAAGACACCAAAAGACTTTCAACATCTCGGCAAGATGGGCTTATCGGAAGCTCGCACCCGCGAGATCGTCCTCGGTTATCTCCAACGAGAAGCTCGGCGTAACAGGCAGCCTCGTCAGATCACGGTCCAGGATGCACGTCAGCTGCAAACCTGGCTCGTTGTCTTCTGGCTCAACCAAGATCTACAAGCGAGAATATCCAGGTTCTTGCGACTTGGAGGTGGATTCTCGGGTCGAAGAAGAGCGGATATGCGCGACTATTTGATAGGTCGAGATCAGGAAACGGACAAGTACGAGGACAAAGGTCTACAGGTGAGCCTGGTCTCCAGACCTGACGCGATATAAGTCATGCTGAGTCTCGTTCTATCATGTTACAGTCTAAAGCCAGAGCACAAATCCCTGAATCTGTCCTCGACATATCAAGAAGGCCAGAACATGGTAACTTCTCTTTCGAGCTCGAACAGGATGATATCCTGGCTCTCAACCTCGTCCGGTGGTTCAAGGAGAGCTTTATGAGATGGATAGACCCTATCACTTGCCCAGAATGCTCTGTGGAAACACAGTTCGAAAGCACTTTGACGGGAGGCGAACTGAACGAAGAGGATCGCAAGTATGGAGCTGGCAGAGTAGAGATGCATCGATGTAAGGCCGACCCCTCACATCCGATTCGGAAATTCCCACGGTATAAGTGAGTTTGATCCAGTACAGGGTAGCCTCGAGACTGATATGAACTATTGTCGGTCCCATCAGTGTCCCAGAAAAACTTCTCGAAACTCGCGAAGGCCGATGCGGAGAGTTTGCCAACCTATTCATGCTCTTCCTCCGCTCTGTCGGTCTCGACGCCAGGATCGTACATAATCAGGAAGACCACGTCTGGAACGAATACTATTCCCGATCGGCGCAACGATGGGTTCACTTGGATTCGTGTGAGGCAGCGTTCGACACTCCGCTAATGTACGAGCTGGGTTGGGGAAGGAAGATGAGCTACGTCTTGGCTTTTGGGGTGGAAGGGGCGCAGGATGTTAGCCGTGGCTATGTGGCGGATTATCATGAGCATGGCTGGGAACGACGGCGGAAGTGGGACGAGCAAGATCTCGCAGAGGTAAGTCTGTATATATAAAGTATAGGTGTCTGTTTTGCTGATTGGACCGCTATAATTATAGAAACTCGCAGCTATCACAACTGGAAGGCGGGAAATTCTTTCTGAGACAAGGCAGACCGAATTGGCAGAGCGAGACGAGAAGCAAGAGGCTTGGATGGCAGATCACGAAGGTCGACTGCGGGTAGCTCAAGGATCCAATGATACTCACAAGGCTCGAAAAAGCGGAACCAAGGAGTGGAGAGCTATGAGGGCAGAGTCCGGAGCGGGAGGGGGAAAGTCGTTCGCGATCAGCACTCTCCATAGTCAGTTGTCAGATCAAGCATCCAGCCAGCGATGACTATTGACTTCTAGGCATCACATATAGCAAAGCTCAATCCGGATCATACCCTGCGATCGGTTGACGACAACCTCCGTCTCGGTGGATCTGCTAGACGGGCCGATCACTATCTCATTCTCACCCCAAACGAGACTTCGCAGATCGGAACAGCATTCGTCTCGACCTCTATCCCGTCTACGTCATCTTTCGTGGTGGAGGTTGATTTTCGAATAACGCTGTCACCTGGACAGGACCAGGGCGCAGATGGCATGGCGTTCGTCTGTCTTCAGCAGCAGGGGGATATTCCGGCTCAACTGTCGGGGGAGGGCGGGGCGGGACTAGGTTACGATGGGCTCGGGGGAAGCGGAGACTGGGCAACAGAGATTGATACTTATCAAACGTGAGTACGGGTATTCTCGCCATACTCGGATGCAAGCTGATGGTAGACATCACTCGCAGAGTCGATCGATGCAACGACCCCCCAACCCCGCATATCTCTCTGCATTCCCCACCAAAATCGCACCACCGGCATTGCATCGCGGTAACACCGCCTTTTTCATTGCCTGATTTGTCTGACGGAGAAACGCGGACTCTGAGGATTGCCATGAATGCAGAAAGCGAGACGGTACAGGCTGAGCTGATCATCCCTGGAGAAATGGAGGAAGTACTGCCATTGTGGGAGGCCAAGCTCCCTAGCTCTGGGATGATGGCCGGTTCGAGTAAACGTCTGCTCGGTTTGACCGCATCTACCGGAGGAATCGCGCAAGCTGTAAGTTAAACAGCTAGACCCTCGACCAACTGAGTCTGAAATCGCGCCTGCTTATCGTACATAGCACGAGGTAACTCGTTTTGACATCTGGGATCTTTCACGCAAATCTGAAACGGATGCGTAGTAGCGTCATATTGTGGTAAAGCCTCGACGCTGTGCATAGTACAGAAACGAGAAAAGCCGGGCGTGAAGCCCATTGGGGAGAAGAGGCTACCTGATGATTTGGCCCGCTCGAGTCAAAGCCGAGTTCCTCTATCCACATGGCCTTGAAGTGGCATCTAACCGGGTAGCTGTAATACATATGGGGGATTCGTACATAAGACAATTGGCTGATACTAATACAAGACTAGTCGCACATACAAATGAGAAGGCCATCAAGCCTACGAAACAGCAAACATAGCGCGTTCATTCCGTCTTGCCTTTAGGAGGCGTAGCACCGCTCCATCCAAACCAACTCGATCCTCGACCGCTGGGTCGGGGTCGCTCAGGTGTCTGTTCGAACCCGGCAACATCCTCCTTGTTGACCTGCTCAAAGGCCGATCCTTCACCCCAGCTGTTGTAGCCGGAGCCTCTTGAGCTGACCCGTCCAGGTCGGACGTCCTCGCCTGATGAGGAACGAGAACCAGGGGTACTACGACCAGCTGGAGTGGTCACGCTTCGTTGATGTAAGCTCTGTTGAGGTGCTTGTCGGCTCGATGCGAACAATTGAGAGGCGGCTTGTCTCATCGCCTGCGAGCTCTGTTCTCCAGCATAAGCGAATGAAGGCGGAGTGGGCGGGAAGCTTGGATATTGCGGGCTTGTAGAAGCAGGAGTCGTCGGTTGCGAATGAGTCTGGACTGGATCTACGTCGAACCCTCGAACGGGCTCTTCAGGTGTCGCAGCGCGATGACCTGGTCCGGCTCGATTGCTCGCTGCGGACATATTCTGCCAGGCGAGCGCGATCACGGGGGCGTAGCTGATGGAAAAACAAGGCGCAAAACAGGATGGGTCAACTTTAGGATCCAGATCAAGCAGCAGTCGCATGTCAACGGTGGGACCTACTTTCCGGCGTATCTGGTGGCGAGACCCATGGCCTGCCTCATCATTCCCGAGGCGGGATCATGCATTGTCGGAGGCTGAGGCGCAGTATCCGCCGGGATATGGGGATGATTACCTTGGTAGCCACTCTGAGCTTGAGCGGTGGAGTTACCAGGTTGCATCTACACATATAAAAACGATATGTAGGACCGCTCGATCAGCATTTTTAGACTCATCTTCGACATGTGAACTCAGAGATTGGGAGGCAGTAGTTGACATACATTGAGATGCGCTCTTGCTTGAGCCCAGATCCAACTGATGATTGCCGCCAAGCCAGACCCCGCTCGGCCTTGTAGACTAGCGAGGAAGGAATCGATATCGTATTCATGCTCGGCAAAGGCCGGGGCAAGGTATTGATTGTAAATGTAGGTTGACCCCTGTAATCAGGGCAAGCAGGGGGTCTGGCGTCAGCTGAGGTTGTCAAGCATGAGCTGTTGAGTACATGTACTGACCTCGAATTGAGGGAGTGATAACCATAGGAAGAAGGTGCACTTGATCAACGAGTAGAAAGGGATCCTGCGAGGTCGCCACCAAACCAATATCCCATATCAGCATCCCAGAAATCCGACCGGCTGAATCTATGCACATGTTTCTGCACTCACACGTAGAGCAACCACCAGGCCACACTCTCAATCGCCGTCCAGCACCCGACCACAGCCCAGTACATCAACCACCTTTCGGTCTGCACGGTTGCGTCATGGCTGTTGATAGGGGTCAGAGCAAGAGCTTTGTAGGATGCATAGGCTGGGTAGAGGTAGCAGGCGACGTTGCTGAGGAAAGTAGAAGTTTCTAGATCAGACTCGTTGTTGATGGATCTGTGTGGCACTTGAAGCCTGTGAAGACATGCCGCTTACCTGACGATCTTGGCGAATAGACTGATAAACATCGCTGCCTCGTCTATGCCACTGGGCTACTTGATGATCCGGTATGGTTCTTTGCGTTGATAACAAAGACCTAGGGGAACCGGTCTTCAATGATAGTGGTGAGATCCTGAAGGTCCGATGTGTCGCTTGCTGTGACCCGGAAGAGATTGCCTTTGCACAGAGCTGTTTTCCCGTCTGACACAGCCGAGAGGTAACAGAGAAGCGTTTGCGGAATGTAGACCTTTCCCAATGATGTACTGTCTGCGGAGGCTATCACACAGACGAGCTGTTGATTGATGCTAACATTGAATTCTGGTGGGGCTGTAGCACATGTTGTTGTAGGACGAAGACTAAGTAGTAGTTTGCTAGTTGTGGTCGATTGCGATATTCGTCACCTGCCCTGCTGAGCAGCGTCGGTAGCGGAGGCGTCGAGCGACCTGCGGAATTGAGAGATCTATCTTACCTACAATAGATCTTGGTACACTGCCGTATACATCGTCCTCCAGCCTTCAGAAGCCTCACACTGCTGTCATCTCCCGTAGAACTCCTCTGATAGACAATCAGTCATGCCCTTCGTAAACCCCTCTATCATCTGGCGGACCGGCGCTCTGTTCAGTGAGTGCCATTTCGGACATGACGGTTGACAAGACCAGATATCGCTGACATCTAATATACATTGAACCTCGCCAGCTGCATCTGGTATCATTACTGGGGGTGCGCTCTGCCATTTCCTCGTTACTTGCATGTCTCCGTGACTTACTGGGGCTCTCGATCCACCTCCGCAGCTTTCGGCTCTCATGCCCTGAAATCCCGTTACCCCGACCTCTCCCCGTTTTCCGTTCAATCCTGGTCCACCGCCTCACAATACCTGATCTTCAACGGTGTCTCCCTCTTGGCCATTTCCCTGCATCCTAGGTTCGGTACTGCGAGGGGAAGATTGGCTTTCCCCAGCATGGCCATCGCCGCGGGGACGTTGATGTTCTCGGGAAGCATCTTCCCATTGGTCTTGGCTAGGGAAAAGATGGGCAAGTTCATGGGACCCGTCACCCCGCTAGGAGGGTCTGTGATGATTCTAGGGTGAGTGAGATAAGGTCTTCGATAGGATCAGGTTATTAGAGTCAAGAGGGCGTGTCTGACCTACCTCTACGATTTCTAGGTACTTGTCGATGGTTGTACTATAGAACAAGGAACTCGAGTAGATGTACAGTACACACGTATGGACCATATCACACCATTCATACCATCACTTTGGACGAGCTTGAAACAGCGGTATACTCACGGTCGGCATCTCGAACGATACAATCAGCTGAAATTGACTGCAGCAAGAGCGTGCACCATGCGAAGATCGGGCTGGTACTTACCGCCCAGGAAAATGCCGAGGGAAGACCTATTCAAGCAGCCGAACTTCCACGAATTCAACCTAAGCGACGATGAGATGCGATACTTGGACGATCTTTCAGGCTTCTCCCGATTGCCCCCCCAAACAAGTTCTCCTGCCGCCAACCGCATGACGATCTTCCTGAAGGCAGCCGCAGCGGCTGCAATATGGTCTCCAGGCGTGTCCAACAGGGCAACAAGTACCATTCGCTCTATCCCTCCTGCGACTGTCAAAGTCCCAACAATTTCGGAACAGGTGGTCGAGAGCGGTCTGCTGCTTTAGTTGCAGGATGAGGGGGGTCGAAGAGGTCCCTGCGACATTCAAGCGATGCAAACGGTTATTAGTACTCTCCGAGCCCGGTCTGGGCATTTTTGCATTCTTATTCAATTTTGATGTTTCAATTCAAGATGGTGAAACCGGTCGAATCGTATCTGGGCTCGTTGCTAATGGGCCTTCTTCGCACACAGCGAGAGATTTGTTCGCTTCGAGCCCAGGTTCGATTCCGGCGGGGTTTTCGATTCTTCGCCCTTTTTGCGCTTTTTGCGCGGCTGCATTTTCCCTAGCAACAGGGAAGATCATTCGATTCTCCCATCGATCATCGAAAGTTTGTCGTCCTGATTTTGGCGCTCGAGCGCTCATTGAGCAGCAGGAATAGCCCAACTCGCCATAGTCTCATACTCTCACTACTACAGACGTCAGAACAATAGCCTCAGCAAAGCCGGAACGGCCTAGCAGTTGGATTGGAGTGTTCCTACTGGTTCAGAAGCACAGCGTCAGAAGACAGAAACTCAGGGCGCTGAGGAAAAGGTTTTCGAAGATCTAGGACAAGAATATGTTGCTCAAGGTGTTGAACCTGTTAAAGCCCACTTAAGAAATTGGCCGCACCTTGGCCTACGCTGACGTCAAAAAGGCTGCCAGGGTGATGTGACGAAAGAAAGAGATAGAGATGTTGATAATCTAGGAGAGAGCTACATAGTTGCGAAGAGCTCTTCTCTCTAGTAGGCTCGCGCAAGCGCGCGCAACGTGCTGCCTTTCATGTAGTACACTGTGTGCGGGAAGACGCGAAGACGAGGAGTGTTCTGATTTCCGTACACCTACGAATACCAGGACGCAGACAAGCCATTCTGTGACCGTACATTATGTATGTTCATGTTTCACCTAACCTCGTCCCTCACACGCCCAGCGCATCGAACAGCTGTCTCTCCCAGACATCCCGCTCGCCCAACCTCTTACCGATCAAGACCAACTTCCCGCCCTTCGGCCGTGTGTCCGTCTCATCCTCAATTCTTGTGCTCGTGCGAGCGGTGTCGCTCTTCAACCGGGTGAGCTCGAAGATATCCCGAACGCCTTGCAAGACGTGCACCTCGGAGACCGTTCCACTTGCTCCGACATCGTCTCCCTGCGAGGCGGGACCGAACGAGAAGATCCCCTTTGACCGTAAAATCTCGAAGCCCTCGGTAGACTCGACCTCGTCCGCCTTGTCCACGATCTCGGTCGGTCTCGCTCGAGGTGGATCTCCAGGGAATTTCGAATCCCAATGGATGGACTGGAGGAAACATTCGAGCTTGTCCAGTGCCGATTGGGGGAGAAGGTCGGGAAGTTGGATGACAAGCGAGGTAATCCCGAGTAGGTGTTTAGATCCTGTCGGTTGATCGTGATCGTGGTCGCCATGTTCGTGCTCATTCTGCAGTTTGCCTATTCTCTCCCTCGCACCAACTCCAACCTCACGTCCTGCATCCACATCCGACCCGTCTTCGAAAAGCTTGTCGGCCAGCTGACCCGCATCCAGGGTAGGCGCGACCGAATAACTCCCGATCTCGAAAATGTTCTTGATATCAATGACCGACTTGTGTGTCCGCTTGAAGATCGCGGTGGGGTTAATCGAACTGTGAGCGCATCGTCCGTCAAAGGCGCCGATTCCATCAGCTCGGAAATGCTTGAGCGCCTAACGCAAGTGAACATACCGTATGCGACGTTCGACGTTATCCAGGATCTCGTCTGTTACCAGATCAACCTTGTTCAAGAGGATCACATCTGACGCGGCGATCTGTCTGTCGTGTCGTGACCAAGAAACGGTTCTTCGTGTCAGTAGGATGACCACGTCAAACTGATCCTCTCACACCCACGAAACTCACTTTTGACATTCTTCCCCTTCTTCCAATTGCTATATCGACCGAAATTAAACCACCAAAATTAGCCCATCAAAGCCTCATGAGAGTAACAGAGTTGGAGGCTAGCGCGAACTTTCAACACGTTCCGACTGTCCACAACGCAGACGACCCCATCTAAGCGTAACGACCCGCCCATCTCTTCGTTCGTCCAGAACGAACGAGCGATTTCGGCTACGCGTATGCTCGAATGACGAAGCAAACGGAGGACAGAGAAAGTTTACATGAGGAATAACGTGGACAATCCCGTCAGGACGCGATTCTCAGGTAGAGAAGAAGAGTTATCAAGAAAAATAGCATGTAGCTTACCTGGATCTGCCACCCCCGTCAGCTCTACAACAACCCTATCCACCCCTCTTCCCTTCCCCTTCCCCTCGCCCTTGCCTCGCTCCTCACCCTGACCCAATCGTTCCTGCTCGACGATCATGTTCTCAATAGCGGCTATTCCCGGCTCCTTGATGCTACAGCATAAGCATCCGTTAGGTAGTGATAGGAAGGCCGTTTCCGGTGCCGCAGGGTCCGACGAAGAGGAGGTTGTTGAAGAGGGGTCGTTGGGGGTGAAAGACATTGAGGTGGCTATGTTGTGAAATCAGAGTTGGGTATTTCGATATCAGTAACAGCGGCAGGTGAACAGGAGAGAGCGAGAAAGAGGAGCTTACATTCAATATCCGTGCTATCTCCAAAATCTGCTCACGGTATAAAACGCAATCATCACCCTGCTATCAGTCTTCCCGCATGATATATCACATCTGTGATATGCATCTGTGAGATTCGGGACTTGCCATTCATGCACACGGCGATCCGGTACCCATGTTCCGCCGTCAAGATGTATTGCAACAGGGTGGTCTTCCCACTTCCCAGATATCCTGTTAGAAGTGTTATAGGTACGATCCGGTCGACGAGGGTCCTGCGTGTGGATCAACGAAAATGGATGGAGCGAAATAAGACGAGGCCGGAGGTGGAAGACATTGAAATGTATAGCGAGGAGTACTTACGGGGCCGGGGCCGTTTCGGGGTCTACGGGGACCAGATCGGGAGGCGCATCATCGAGATCCATTGTTAGCAATACTTTGACCTTATAGTGGAGCTGTTTGGGGTCAATGCAGATAGGTACTTGTAAGACACGGATGGTTATAACTACTTTGGCTACTTATACATGTTTGCTAGAGGTGATTAGCATGATTAGTAAGCAGACTCCCCTCGTACGATAATGTTGCTTTTGTATGCGCGTCGCCCCCCTTCCCTAGACCTCGCTACTGTAGGTGAGAGAGATTTCGCTCATGACCGAAGGGGACGATAATTTCAGATCGAACCATCATATATCAACACGCACAACCGACCTCTTATAACTTGAATACAAGAACAACTAACAATCATGCCGACAGACATTTCATCACGGAAACGAAGAAAGGTAGACTCCACCGCCGAGCAGGAAGAAAGAGCGGACAGCGGGGCCGGGATGTTGGATCAGGACGAGATCCGGCGGCACATGATGGCGTTGATGCAGCAGGGCGGAGATGGCAAGCGAGATTCCGAGGGCGAGGATGACGATGACGAAAGTGAGGAAGAAATTGAAGGAAGTGAGAGCGGAAGCGATGACGAGGAAGGTGATGAGCAGGAGGACGACGGGGAGGACGAGGCAAAGCCAAAAGTGGAGCTGGAACTGGATTCTGACGATGCAGGATCCGATGACGAGGAGGAAGACGTCAAACCCGGACAGACCACCAAACTCGACCCTTCCGATCTCAAACCTTCCTCCCTCTCCCGCATCAAATCACTTCCCTCCTCATCCACCCCTACGTCTTCGAGCAAACCGGTCCTAAAAACGACCTTCTCCTCCCTAGGCATCTCTCCTCGCCTAATCACCTCGCTCCGAACGCTAGCCATCTCCCGCCCTACGGAGATCCAAGCGGCCTGTATAGAACCAATTCTGCAAGGTCGGGACTGTATCGGAGGAGCCAAGACGGGAAGCGGAAAGACGATGGCGTTTGCGCTGCCGATATTACAGAGGATCGTCAAGGATCCTTTCGGGATCTTTGCTGTCGTCCTGACGCCTACTCGGTGAGTCTAGACAGACTACATACATCGCCATCTAACAGACCGTATGATGTATGAGTTTCCCGAGCTAATCGATGTGGGGCCTCGTAGTGAACTGGCTTATCAACTAGCCGAACAATTCATCGTCCTCGGCAAACCACTCGGACTGACGACCTCGACCATCGTGGGCGGGATGGACATGATGAAACAAGCCCGGGAACTCTGTTCCAAACCTCATATCGTCGTAGCCACACCCGGCCGGTTGGTGGACCTGCTCCGTTCATCAGCCCACGGACAATGGGACTTGGGGAGGGTCAAGACGTTGGTCCTGGACGAAGCCGATCGACTCTTGACGCCGACATTCGCACCCGACTTGGGATTCTTGTTCCAAAACCTCCCCGAGGACAGACAGACGTGCCTGTTCACAGCAACCATCTCGGAAGAGATCGAAAAGCTCGTAGCCAGACCGCCTAGAAAGGGAAAGATGAGGCCGTTCGTTCACAGGGTGGAGAGCGAGACGTTAACGGTAAAAGGGTTGAAGCAGAGTTACCTCTTCTTACCCGGACACGCGAGGGATCCTTATCTGTACTATTTGTTGACGCATCCGCCGAAGTCGATCGCCCACCTGAGACATAAAAAGGCCGTCGATCGGGAGATGGAACGAGAGCGGGAATCGTCGAACAGCAACAACAAGAAACGGAAACATCACGAAGGACGTGGGGTAGAGGAGCTCAACGAGGAAGGGGTGAAAGTAGAGGATATCCCATCGACCATCATCTTTACCCAACGATGCGCCACCGCCCACCTCTTACACCTCATTCTCACCGAACTCGACATTCCCTCTGTCGCGCTCCATTCCCACCTCTCGCAACCGCAACGTCTCTTGTCCCTCGCCCAATTCAGAGCTGGGCAGGTCCCGGTCCTGGTGACCACCGACGTCGGATCGAGAGGGTTAGATATACCCGAAGTGGCCATGGTCGTCAACTTTGATTGTCCGAGGACGGGGGAGGATTACGTTCATAGGGTCGGAAGGACGGCGAGAGCGGGGAGAGGGGGGTTGGCAGTGACCATCGTCACTGAGCGGGACGTTGATCTGGTCAAGGGGATCGAGGAGATGACGAGTGCGTCCTCACCATTGCGAATTGTTTTGATAGGTGTGATCAGCTGACTCTGGGTGGTTTCTGTGTGAATAGAGGTCAATCTGGAAGAGATGGAATTGCCCGAAGACGACGTGCTCGAAAAGCTCAACCTTGTCTCGACCGCGCGGAGGGTGGCAAATCTGGCAAGTCCTCTCTCTACGTCCGCTTTTGCCATGTCCTTTCATAGTCATAGGCTGACCTTTCTTCGTGTGTTATTCTGGATGCCTGCAGGCCATGCAAGATTCCGGATTTGGAGAGCGACAGGCGATCAACAAGGCCAAGGAGATCAAACGGAGAAGACGGGATGCCAAGCTGGCCGGCAAGGGATGAGGTTGGTAACGTATATTCGATTGATTACATGTTTGACGATGCATATAGATGCGACAATGCGAGGGGTAGCTGTGCGACGTGTTGTAATTCCCCGATATATATGATGTTACAAATATTCTTTGTCTATTCTGTCATGCTGGAACGACGACGATACACGTATTGCGGGAGGTCGACCATGAAAAGCCAATGAGTATCTGTTCCCCACTCTGTGTTGTGATTTTTATTGCTAATCCTGAGAAGATCTGCCCATCTGCCCTAACCCATCGATATTTCCTCTCTCGCAACCGTCTCATCTCGATGCAAACTCGCGGACGACCTCGTCCCATTCTTCCTCTCCACCCCCATACATCCCTTTTAACGCACGAAGCGCCGTACGCAGATGTTCTTGTCTTTGATTGCGTGCTGGGTCGCTCGTAGTCGCCGTGGTGTTCTCATTAGCGGTTGGGGTTGGATCAGGGGCGAGGTCTGTGGCCGGAAGTGCGGACGCGGTGGCAGAGGTGCTGATGTTGGTAGAATCGTTCATAAGGTCTAACAGCGGCGCCTGTTGAGCCGACGATGATACGATCCCTCCTTCGACCTTTTCGTCCACAGCGCTGATGTTAGGTAGGACCGCCTCTCTAACCGGTGGAGACCTAAACAACGTTAATGCAGGGAAACAGATCAGTCTTTTCTGAAACGTTCCGATGGACATAACAAGAGAGTGGGAGACGGATAGACTCACCACCCGACAGGCGTCTCCCCTCCAGTACCCCAATAATCCTTACCTCCCGCTCCGATCCCAGGCGTCCTCGCCCCACCATATCCGGACTGCCTCCCCGCACTCCCACTTCCAGCCCCGCAATAACCCCCTCCATAAGCCTCATACCCACCCGGTGTAGGTGGATTACTAGCCCGCAACCCATCTTCCACCGAGGCGTAATGCTGCCAATAAGAATCGTCCTCGGTCATCTGGTTGATGTTTGGTGTTTGCATACGGGGCACAGAGGCGGGTTTGGTGGTCTCCGGAGGCTCGAGCGTTTGAGTTTGAGGGAACGAAGGGGCGGAACCCAAAGTCGGAGTGCTTAGATCTACAGTTGCTGGTACCTCTTTTGTAGATCCCGAATTCTCGATAGCCCCGTTTACCTCGGTCTTCTTGTCGTCACCTTCATCATCTTCGTCATCGTACCCATCCCAGAAATCACCACCTTCCCCATCCTCCGCCTGTCCACCCGCGGTCCCCTTGCCAGCATCCTCTTCGTCGTCATCATCGTATCCTCCCCAGAAATCCTCGGCGGCCATACCCTCTTCTTGTCCTTCAGCCTCATTTTCCGAGTTGATGAGCTGCGAAGCGCTTTGTCCCGAAAGCAGGTCGGACAGGGATGAGGTCCAGTTAGGTTCGGCTTTGTTCGAAGAGGAGGATTGGTCGGTATTGGGTACAACCCGGACGTCGAACAGTTTCCAGGGCGACTGTGAGAGCTCTTGCGTTGTCTGAATCGTTTCGCCAGCCATCGAGTCTGATGTAGATCCGACTTGATGCTGAGATTGTTGTTGAAGTTGAGGTTGGGATTGAGGTTCATGCAACAACAAGACCTCCAGATGATCATCCCCCGACCCATGATCTTCCCTTACGGGCAACCCACGAAGATCTACCCGGCTCAAGAGCGTCTCCTGATCAGGTCTCCGGTATCCTATCCACTTCGACCCTCCTTCGAGCTCCGACCGCTTCTCCTTCCCCTCGTCCTCGTCCTCATAGCCATACAACCCCCTCACCCACCTCCCCGGCGCTTCAGGGTCCAGATTCTCCCCCTGAACGCTATCCACGGAAGATTGTTGCAAGTCCCGCAACTTTTGGGAGATGAGGGTGAGACGACGGGTGATCTCGTCGTCTTCTCCGCCGTTTCCATGCGATCTGGTCTGATTCGTAGACGGGTCGACCAGGGTATCTTCCGACCCCGATCCCGATCCCGATCCCGAGAAGCTTGACCCGGAGGAACCGGGGTTGAGGGAGATGAAAGCGTCGTGCATGGGTCGAGGTGGTGGAAAGTACAGTTGACGGTCCTTCAACGGTGTCGAGAGGAGTTCGGATGGAAGTGGGTAAGTCGGGGGGAGGAGTTGGGTGAGGATCGATATCAGGTTGGGAATCGTCGGAGGTTGCGGTTGAGATGCCGAGGACTGCATAATGACTGGATTTCGATCAGGAGACCTGTGAATACCTCTCTCACGGGCTGTATTGATATAGTCTGATGGTGAACGGGAGGTGAGAAGGCGTATGATCGGGCAAAAAAGTCGTCAAACGTATGCTGTACGTTCGAGGATGTGCTCTCCTCGTCCGTGAGAAGCCGCGAATCACAGCTTCGGCCGATCGAGTCCGGTGCGAGGGAACCTGCTGGTCTTGGTCGGCGCCAATCGAGCTATGCCACCCTCTCGATTTTATTCGGAGAGATAGAGATGAACCATGAGCTCGACCTCATTACGGCCGTCAGTCAGAGTTGTAAGGTGTGTGTGTGAATCTTGTTCTCGTTCGGTGAGTTACCATCATGTTCACGTCGACCCTAGAGTCGGCAAGAGTTCATCGGACTTGACCGAAAGACTCGCAAACGACTTGAACAACCTCTGTAGCTCTGTCGCCTCTCTGATATCTGACCATCGAGCTGCTGAGACTCTACATGCATGTCAGTTCCATACAGCTGCCAATGATTCGAAGAGACTTTATCTAAATGTACAAGCTGGATATCATAGAATAACTTACATGGTCCCAAATAGTACTAGCTGATGACGATTGCTTACGGTAAGCTCGTCGACTTACCCAAGGTCACGTTACCAAAGTCGGAGCGTACAGGAAGCAGGGTCCAGGTTCATCCTCCCATCATTCAAGTATGCTAGTATGCATATCTATCCTTCAGGATTAGAAAAATCACCACGCCGTTCGAACTTCAGTGATAGTTTGGGCTCCCAACGATCAGGCCATGGGAATCCACCATCGGTATCACCGGTACAGACTAAACAAGGTGAAGCTGTCGGTCTGACCTCGATCACACAGCCCCGTGAAACCGTAATCAATCCCAAAGTCAAACGTCTTGCCGACACACCCACACACATCCTATATCGTCTTCGCCTTCGCCAGGGGCACGAACGCCAGGACGGCCGGGCGTACAAACAAGAATACAAGTCAGTTACAGAGATCCCAAAAGGCCATCAAGGCCATAACCGGGATCTAGAGATACCAGGATCCTCGAAGCCTATCAAAGGAGACCCACCTTCAGCGACGACGACGATGGAAACGAGCAATAACGCTCACACGAGGATGAGGTCGAGGACGAACTCGACGTCGTTCTTTCCCTTTGAGCGAGAAGATTTAACAGAGCGTCTGGGATTTACTATGGAATCTCCTTCAGATTTCCCAGCGACATCTGGTCTTACGCAGGACCATCACGACATCAACGACAACAACGATCACGACGACATCAAGGCCGATAACGTGATCATCGGTAGCCACACCGACAATACCGCAAACAGGTGGAGGTCCGGGTCGACGTTCTCGAACCTCACCGCCACCACTTCCTCATCGGCAGGAGGCTGGTCAGTCCCTTCCCTGATCGGTTCTCCGAGATCCGAACGAGCGGGAGGCAAAGGCAAGGAAAGAGAGAGGGAACGAGGCTTGAGTGTGGATCTGGTGCTCGGGACGCCCGGATCACCTGGGTGCGGCTGGGATACGTCAAGACCTGATTCTGGTACCGCACGGGCAGCAGGAGAAGGTATAAGTACAGGGCAAGGTCAAGTGAAAGGTAAAGGAAAGGAGAGGGAAGATGTCATGGTGGTCGGAATGGATGTCGGAGTATCGGATCAGAGCTGGAATGAAGAGAGGATGATGGCGGGTGGGTTGGGTGTCGACACGATGACCGCTTTCCGGTCTGAACGACCTGGCCCGGTCGCGCCTGCCTTGTTGGGACCGATTTTACGTCGAGCTACGCCGGATCTACCTAGTCGGATCACGACCCCGACACCCATCCCGGTGAACTTGCGCTCGTCAACCCCAACTACAGCACCATTGGCGACTTCGGCCTTGAACAACAATGCACCTCAAGCTCCACGCAAAGATCTCCCGCAGTGGCTCAAGAATCGACCCAGGTCCAGCTCATCGGCCAGCCTCGCGTCCAAGTTTTCGTTGACGAGTTCGGCCTCGATGACAAGCTTGTCGAGCAAGATCAGTAACGCTCGGACCAAGATCAAGAGCAAGATCAGGGATGGCAAGCGGGACCAAGTTGATCGGGAATTCTCTTTACCTGGCCCAGGATCAGGGCCTGGTGACGGGGGGAAGATCAAGAAGGAGCCAAAGGGGATGATGAGGCGGTTGATGATCCGGAGCAAGACCACGCCCGTCCTAGCCAAGAGCGTCACCCAGGCCGGACCGGGTGCGGACATGCAGAGGACCAAGCTCGACGATGCGCATGCGAGGGGGACGATCGTCAGTCCGCGCCGATCCTCGATGGGTTTGGGGGACGTTTTCGCTACATCGTCTTTGGACCCGGCGAGAGGACGCGTTTCAGCCTCGCGCGAAGAAGAGGGTGAAACGAGCGAGCCCAGGCGGGGTTGTAAGGACGACGCGATGGATGTGCCCGACTTGACGTCCCATACTACCCATCAAGAAGATGCCGCTCCTGAGAACTCATCGTTCCAGGAGAAGCTTCCGAGGGAAATCCGTCTTATGGTCTTGCAGGCTTTAGTCCACTTGCACATCGACGATCACGAACGCGACGTGCAGCAGGGAAGGTGGAAGGGCGAGCTCGCGCGCAAGAGGTGGTACGGCGAGTCGGCTGGCAGGCGAGAACTTTTACGCTTGAGACGGGTCAGTACTAGTTACCACGAGACTGAACCACTTTCGATACCGACCTGTCGATACTGAGACCGCATTATTTCAGGTATGCATGGACTGGAACGACTTGGTCCTCGATGGTCAGATGTGGAGCAATTGCCACATGTCTCCTTACCTCGATCACTTACCACCTTCAACCTTGATCAAGATCCTCCGATCGGCCTCATCGTGTGTTCGCGAGCTAGATGTCTCGGGTTGGCGGAACATCCCTGGACAGCTGTTGATCACCGCCATGCAGGCCGGAGGAACGTTTGACACGGGTCTGCGGAAGCTAGACCTTCAAGGATGTCGCGGAATGGGGGCGCAGGAATTGCAATGGCTTCTGGACCATTCTCCGAACCTGACCTGGCTTTCGGTGAAAGGTCTGAGCTGCGTGCGTCGCGAACACATATCAGCGTTGTCGGCTTGCATGCAGCTCGAGTACCTTGACCTGGCATTCTGCGAGGCTCTGCCTTGGGATTGCTATGACATGCTGCTTGCAGAGGAACGCCCTTGCATGCGCGAGCTGCGCATGTCTGGCTTCCGAGGGATCATCAACTTGGCCATGGTCGCCGTCCATATGCCCAATCTTCAAGTCCTGGACCTATCTTATAGTTCCGATTTGGGAGACAAACATTTCAAGACATTGGTTACCCCATGCACGCAAGAGTGGATGCCGGCATTCGTCAAATCGCAATGCGCTCGATATCGCAAGGATAGCATTTCATACGGTGAGAATATAAGGTTTTTAACAATCGACGAGGCAGGTCAACCTGCGTCGGAGTTTACTGGATGTAACGGGCTCGTCCCTCGACGGATCCTCAAGCTCAGGAAGCTAGTCCTCTCACAATGTCACCAATTGACCGACAGGAGCTGCCAATATCTAGCCCATGCCGTCCCTGCACTCGAGATCTTCGAGATGGCCAACGCCGATGGCAACGCCAACATCCAGACGGCCGGCTTGATCGACCTTTTCAGTACTTGCCCTGCAATCCGCAAGATCGACCTCGAAGGGGCAATGGATATAGAGGACGATCTCGTCCCGGCGCTCTTGCACAACAATAAACCCGTACCAGGATCACCTTCGACCGTTGTAGGGAGTCAGCTCGATACCGTCTGCCTTGGTTTTGCAGGTAATCTCTCAAGCGCCGCCATGCACGCACTGATCCTGAAATGCACCCGGCTCAAATTTCTTGATATCGATGTGAGTACCTCTTATTTGCCAGGTTGACCACCCGCACGACTTAGCACGAGCGTTGTGTCAGAACACGATGGCGGGTGACCTGCTGGTCAAGGAGTTCATCCGCAAGCGCGGTCGTGGTACCGTGCTCTCGGTCGTTGACTGTCGCGGCGTCTCACGCAACGTCGTTGAGGCTTTCGAGAATCGTAGGAGGGCTCGAAACGGATGGCGAGGGTGGCAGGCCGCTCCTCTTTGCTACCAAGACGGGCCCAGCATGGAAGGCAGGCCCGACGAATGCTCTGATGCACCGGTGATACAGAGCTTCTGGACGTGGAACCGTGTGCCGCGGGCCGATCGACCGATGTCAATGACTCTGGACCGAGAGCGGTCCCGATTTACCGATTACGATGCGGACGACCTGCCTGACACCCCAAATAGCTGTATCTTGATGTAAGGCCCAAGTCCGAGACTCGACTGAAAGCTTCCACCGTGCATGTATGTAGCTTGACTGTATCGACCAAGGTGCAAAGAGAAGCAAGACCGGTTGTATAGATAATCATTCAAAGGGATACATTAGAGCAACAAAGCGTTCTGTAGTGACGACAAGAATATGGAAAGGGTCGTAAACGTTTTCGTGAGGGTGTAGATCGGGATGCTAAGGAACAAGACAGTGGAAAGGAAATCGGTCATTCGTGATGTCGTACGTGTTCTAGTTGATATATTGGTTGGGACCACGGGATTGTCGTCGGTTGATCGGCTCCATGGTCGAGGTCCTATCGATGGTGGCGGAAGCCCTGGGGTTGTCCCGCCTGGACTTAGAGGTAGGCTCAGGCGCAGTATCCAGGACAGGTCGCTGCATATTCTCTGCTGCGACGCTTTGCCTCCATTGGGCTGCCCTGTCAACAGCGGACTCTCGGGGTACGCGACTCGGGTCTGGCATGCCAGCAGCCCGTTCGGGCTTGCCGACCGCAGGTCGTTGTTGGTTGTTCCTCTCGGCCTCCTTTTTGGCCATCATCTTTCGTTCGGCTTCCTTTTGCTTTTCATACTTGGCCTTGGCTTCGGCCAGACGAATCTCTTCTTGCATGCTCTCGCTGACGGGCTTTTGGAGTTGAGACAACTTGGCACGGTGTCTCGCAGTCAACTCTTCGTGAGTGACGGTACGCTCTGCAGCAGGACGGTTGGTAGGCTCGACCAACTCCTTGGCACGGTTAGTCGAATAGGCGTGGCCGGTGACCAGAGGAGCCGAAGACAAACGATTGTGCTGATACGTAGATTCGCGCGAGGACGGCTCGGTGGACTGACGTTGATGAGTCAACTCCGGCTGCCTGAGATCTTGCACGCTGTGTCGCACGCCGAGAGGCAAGCCAGCCGAATGAGGTTGAGGAATCTCCTCACGGTCGATTTCACTGACCCCGAGCTCGTAAGCGCTCACAGTACGTTCCCGACGATCCATCGCTTGGGCGACACTGTCCGGAAGCTTGGACAATCGACCAAACTGTTCAGCCTGACGAGCGCGATGCGGGAAAGAGGTCTCAATAGGAGGCGAGATTCCAGCGGGTGGGGTAAAGAGTTTCCTCTCGGCGAGATAATCGTTCCATTCCTTGTCCTTTTTCGCTTGCGCCAACTCTGCGGCGGTCGGAGTCACGACGTTGATCGGCGAAGGCTGAGCTGTCCTCCCCAACGACCCAGTAGCCCCCGTACCAAGACCGCTGGCAAATGAGGCTCCACTCAGAGACATACCCGACTGTGTCCTGCTCCTAGTTCCCGTCGCCGTCCCACCGCCGGCCGTCATCGATCCTGCGGTTGACAGCATATCGACGCTTGTGGGAGTCGTCGACCGCAATACCTCGATGCTCTTCTTGACCTCGCTGATCTCGTCTAGCAGCCTGATCCTCTCGCGCTCTTCGGGGGACATGTCGGCCGTGCTCAAACCTGGCGAATGCATCCTCCCGTCATCGCCACCGGAGATGCTCCCTCCGAGTCCCATGACGGGCAGCCTCCCAACGCTCTGTCCCCCCAAGCTACGTGTATCGGATTGCGAGTGCGATTGAGCCATCATCTCCATCGATCCTGGGTCCCGCATCCCTTCGGATTCGGCGTTGGTGTAAGGTCGTACGAGACTATGCATTGAACTGGACGGGCCGTTCTTGCCGAGGGTAACCAGGGGCACGTCCCCATTGAGTCCCTTGGTCTTGCCATACTTGCTCTCCCACTCTCCCAGTTCGGTATCGTGTTCCTTGAATCTGGCCGCAGCACGCGCCTCTTCCTCGGCTTCCTTGCGCTCGGCGTCTTCGTGTTTGATCTGTTCGAGTTTGATCTGGAGCATGCCGAGGACCCGGTATTGAATGGCCGTGCCGATCTGAGATGCATCGTCGTCATCGTTAGCCTCGCCCGTATCCTCTTCGTTCCTCTTCGGAAAGACAGCCCGACTCACCAAGAACACGGCGATCAAGACCCCCAACTCGACCTGCATGATCGTCGCCAACGGGAAGACCCATCTCCCCACCTCTCCCTCTGGCTGTACCCAGAGCTTGGGGAACAATCCGCTGCGGAACCCGAGATTGTAGATGTAAAACTCTTTCAGGCCGGCCCTGGTGAAACAGTCGATCCCAAGTGTGAAAGCGGTAGCTCCGATGAAAGCGGTCGAGATGAGGATCAGGTGATAGTTGAACGTGGTAATCAGGCCAGCGATGAAGAAGGCGACCGTGAAGCCTGCCGAAATGTTGTTTCCCGGTTTATCAACTCAGCTTTCCGTTCACAGTTCGAGGGTCAAACCGCACGCAGACTTACCTATGATGAGACCCCACCTCCCAACGATACTATCCCCCGTCGCTCCCGAGCTCTTACAAGCTTCGATGAACCAAGCGAAAGCGAACCCTCCCATAGCGGGGACGAGGTATTTCGTCTGATTGTAAAAGAACACCCCGACGCCGGCTCCGATCAGGGAGGCGATGATGCACGCCAGGGTGTAGAGGCCTCGGAGCATGGTACTGGGTGGATTGGGGGTCGGAGTGGATTTGATACCGGGGGAGACTCTGTGTGAGTGGACAAGGAGAGGGGAACAGGTCAGCCAAAATTGAGCGCTAGGAGAGGCATCATCAAGAGAGAGGTGCAACTTGCCCGAATCGAAGTACTATGACGAGTGTGAAGAGGAGGAACGAATAGCCAGAGACGACTGCCATTGACGACCTGCCCGCATCGAATCGCACTCTATCAGCTTCGCTTCCCTTCAACCAGAGATCGTCGTCCCGCCCCACCTCGCACACTCACCATCGATTCTTCCCCCCAAGCACCGCCAACGGGATCCCCGTCAAGATCAAGAACCCCCCCGCGACGCCGTAAGCCGCATCGATCTTGATCTTGAACGGCAACCATTCCTGCGTCCCGTTCCAAACCTCGTCCACCGCAGAGGGATCATAAGTGACCGTCCCGTTCAGAGCGTATTGCGTGCCATTGAGCGAGGCGTAGGTGCCGTTAGGATAGAGGAGGGTCGTATTCGGGAAAAGCACGGTGGAGTTCGAGAAGATCTGCGTGCCAATCGGGTACTTGTAGGTGTTGTTGGAGGAGACGATGGTGGTCAGGTTGGTACTAGGATCGATAGTCACCGTGCCGTTGTTAGACAGCGTCTGCGTAGGAGAAGCACCGGATTGCGTGCGAGTGGAAGTAGCATTATTGGTAGTAGTAATCGACGGGGTAGCCGTTTGGCTCGTCTCCTGAGCCGAGGTGAAGGAGAACAAGGATATGGAGAGGAAGAGCAAGACGAGGTGAAAGATCGGGATCGAAAGGAGTGTCATGCGGGAGGACGATGGCGACGACATGGTCGGAGGCGGGATGAACGGCTAATGCCTAGCTTTCGCCCGATCGCTGTTCGTCCTGGTCCTGGAGATGTGTTTTGATGAGTGGTCGTTAGTCTTCAGGTATCAAGAGGTATGTGTATATATTCCTAGAGAGTTGGTCGACCATGGCGAACAGGATAAAGACGACGATGTTGATGGCAAGGTTAGGTGGTGGCCTGGTCGAGGTGGTGGCTGTGCGGGAGCTACTTCAACTTTGCGTGATTTGTTTATTTTCTGTCCGATTTGTTGACTTTTGATCGAAATGATGATGATGTCGATCAATACGAAACACATTCCCAGCGAGCTTCCCATCCCCATCGGAACTCTACCTGCTACCTGCCTTTTGGGGTAGGTATCAGTCGAAACTAGTATGACGAAAGACTGGCTCAAAGTATAGTCTCATCCCTCTATGTCTCCTTTACGAGCCCTGAAGTTTGTCCTCGAAAAGACTCGCTTCATCACGATCGCGTTCATCAATCCCCCGCGTGATCGCGCGCTAAAAAGGAGATGCCCGAGCGCGCGAACGCAAAAGTCGCCAACCAGGATCAAACGAAACATCGTCTAAAAGAGCTCATAAACGAAGACCCAGTAATACGTGATGATACAACAGATCCCCCTACTGACGTGATGGACCGTACACACACTCTCTCCAAACCCCTCTCGTCGACACTTCTACTTCCTAGCCTTCCTCCCCGCACCGCGCCCCTTGGGCACCCTCCCCTCGTTCGCAAACGCCTCTTCCGGGTCCACCTGCATCTCCTTGCTAGCGGGTACCAAGCCCGGGAACTTGACCCGCATGCAGTGTTCCACCGAGTCGAGCTTGTCGAGCATGATCTTGATGGCTTCGGGAAGGAGTTCTTGGGGCTTGTAGGCGCCTGTCGATTCGATCGAGTCTATGGGTTTGCAGAAGACAAGGAGAATTCGGTCGGTTCTGTCAGTCTCGTCCACCCCTCTCGTATCTTGCTTGTCTGGTTTCGCCATCCCTCGACTTACAGATGAAATGATCCCTGACCCTGCCCAACTTGACCCGATCCCTAAACTCGGGGTACCTCAACACCTCTCGGCTGACCGTATCCAATCGAGGGTTCTTGACGACAACCTTGGTCTGTTCACCCGTCTCGTCGTCGTACTCGAGGTCGACCACACCGGGAGGGAAGCATGCTTGGAACTTGGCCGCGTGTTCAGGAGGGATGGGGGAGAGAATGTCGATGTGCGGCAAGAGGCGGTAAGATGCCGTGGCTGCGAGAGTCGAGGCAGATATGCGCGTCAGTCATATTTCGTCTCGAACAGCTTATTTATTGGAAGAGGGAGCACTCACCGACCGGTGAAAACTTGGCGTGATCCTTCCCAACTCCCTTGACGGCGTACAACAACATGTTCAACTGCTGCCCCGGTCGCATCTTGACCAACAACACGTCATCCACCGAAACCTTTGGTGGTTCACTCCAGCTGTCTCCCTTCATCTCATGATCCGGGTCGACGATCGGATTCTCGTCCGCGGTAGCAGGAGGAGGTATGGGCAGGTTGAAAAGTCGGTACTGTCGACCGTGGTGTTGGTAGGCGAGGTGGCCAGAGTAGACGGACGAGTTGATGTACAGTTTCGCCGGATCCGTCTCGTCCCGTGCGGCCGTAGGGTTACGGGAACATTCGACTGCGAGGGTAAAGACGATCGTGTTTCGGTCCGTCACCGTCTCGTCCTCGGTGGGTTCTACCAGCAGAAAGCGACAAGGTATCAGAACTGTTCACATCCGTCTAGTCTCGGTGACCTTGCGCCTGGACCCACTCAGATCCAGCCCAGAGCCATCCGCTCCGGTGACCTGCTTGGGCTTCCAATTCAACAACCTCGGATCAAACTTGATCGGGAGCAACCCCAATCGATGGGCCAACACCTCGTCCTGCATGATCGACGTGTTGTTGTACACGTATACCGACTCGATGGCGATCGTAGGCACCTCGGCGATGAGCGTACGACGGAGAGAGTTGGCGATGGATGCGTCGACGCCGATGAGGTCGAATTCGATGCTGGAGGGGGTCAGGCGTTGGGTTTCTAGTCGGAGGCCCTGTGAGGTCAGGTCGCGATGGGTCGCAGGAGGATTAGCATCAGACTCGCAAGCGAGATAAGACGGACGACTACGTACGGCTTGGAACTTTTCGAGGTTCCATGAGTGATCCTCCCCAGGGTAGATTCCCGGGTACTCTTTGCTGGCGACCTAGATGGCCAAGGTTGTCATACCAGAGTCGACATCAGCCTTCTTGGTCGATTCGAACCCGGAATGCTCGACCAGATTCTCGGTGACAGAAGAGTGACAAATCCAACGACCACTCACATTCCCTATCCGCTCCTCCATGTTATCCACAATCCTCCTTCTCTCAATCTCGGACGTATGCGTCATCTTGCTCTATAGTTGGTGAAAGGTTCTTGTGCCGCCGAGGCGATTGTCTGGGTTGCGTCTGTCGAACTCGGAGTGAACGAGGAGATCTTCAATGAGTTGAACGAGGATGACGAGTATCTAGTAGTAGGGTTTCAGTATGTAGATGAGGAGAATGTGAGGCTATGTGACCTAGATCAGTCGATTCGGTTGAACCTACAAACTTGACGGATTTCTGGCTAGGCTCACCAACAATTCAAAGTTGAAGTGCGAGGTGGAAATAATTGAGTTGACCAAGATACTTACGTGAAGGCTGCCGAGATTAATACGGTAGCTTACGTAAGCCTAATGCCGTTACTCGCTCGGTTGATTCTTCGCCTTCTCCGTTCGTTCGGTCCGATGCTGTGATGATTTGCTTTCCTCCGCGCGTGCGCGCTGTTAGCCGACCCTCACCTCACACACGTCGTTGACCCGAAGCAACAATCCTCCTCTTCCCAGTCGCTTGTCGATAACACACACAAACTTTCGATTGACACCCTCGCTCGACTCTGCATACATACCGAATCATAGCATCTCTCAACGCTTTACGATAGTAGCTACGATGTCGTCCATCTCAGCACCCACAGACGCCACGGCCGTCGCTTCACAACCGGGCGGGACGAGACACCTCGTCTCGAGCATCGTCACCAACCTGAAAGAAAAGGCCAGACCGAGCGATACCGAGTTGAGCAGGTGGAAGAGGACTTTCGAAGCGTTCGCTCATCAGGACGAGAGCGGGGAGGAAAAGTGAGTCGAGGATCGAGCACAGGGCTGTTAATGGACGGGTGCTGGGTGGATTGGGGTGGTGACGTACAGGCGGTCGAGATGGAGCGAATCGGGTGGATCTCGTTTGACGAGAGGGGTGTTCCCCGCGGGGTTAGGTCATGGTCGTGAACCCCCACCATCTTCCGTCGACCAACGACCCTGCATCTAAGCACCTTCTCAAGACTACACCTCGCTCTTCCCGTCCTTTCCCTCTACTCCTTGTCAGACAACCCGGAAGTGATATCTACCAAGAACCAATATCGGCTGACACCTTGCCGCCCATCTTCCTCTTCTCGTGTCACGCCTCAGGTACCTCGACCAAGAATCCTTCATCGACGCTATCGCACCATCCCACGACTTCTCCAAGATCAAGCGGGATGCTTATCGGATCCGTACGTCTTGAGCTCGGATGAGTTCGATATGGCAATCCGGGAAAGATGAGGTTGACGTTGGTGATGCGGTTATGTTTGCTGCTCTGATTCGGCGCGACAGTCTTCAAGGTCGCGGACAGTGGAAGACAAGGGAGGATCTCGTGGGAGGATTTCAAAGTGTTCGAGACCCGTAAGTCCGGGATGTCTTCCAGTCCTGATATTGCACTCAGCTCGGTATGCTGACCGTCTCGACCATGCACGGTATCGAACGATAGTCCTGAAACGACCCGATGCCGACTACCTCATCGCGTTCCAATATTTTGATACGGATAACAATGGGCAGATCACGTTTGACGAGTTCAAGGAGGCGTTCTCTAGGGTCATCGGAAGCGGGAGCGAGAGCATACGTGAGTCTCGTCGTGAGGTTTCGCGAAGTGTAGGGGTGTGAAAGCTGAGGGTAGCGAGGTGATCTAGCGTTTGATTTCGATTGCGATTGGGCAAAGTTGTATCTCGGCAAGAGGGGACCTGGCGGACACGTCTTGGGATGTAAGTCTCTCGAATTCGCAAAAGCAATATCGAGACAAGTATGGACTGACCCATGGCACCCCTTGCTCGCTCGACAGATTCCGAATTCACCCAACTCATCAAGGGTCTTCAGGGAGAACGTCTGCGTCAAGCGTTCCGATATTTCGACAAGGACGGAGACGGGTACATCAAGCCGGAAGAGTTCCAGAGAATCGTGCTCGAGCTCGCCGGGCACAAGTTGTCGGACCCGGTCTTGGAACGGTTGCCGACGCTGTGTACGCTGAGTCCGGGGCAGAAGATTAGTTATTCCGAGGTGATTGCGTTCCACAACATCATCCGAGGTGGGTCATATGTCAGCGAGATTCGGCGCATTAGGGCTCGGCTGAACGTAATTGTGTTTGTCTTGGGCAGAGATGGACCAGGTCGAGAGGATCATCCGGGACGCCACAGCGAAATCCAAGGACGGAAGGATCACCGCTGCCGATTTCCTCAACGAGGCGGCGCATTCGCTCAGGTACGGCATCTTTACCCCGATGGAGGCCAACATCATCTGGCATTTCGCCAGCAGGGGGAGTGGGGATTCGAGTATGAGGTTGGCCAACGTCGATTTCGATGCGTTGTTGGATCCCAAGGTGCGTTCGGGTTCAAGAGAACCTCGAAGGGGTACCACGGTAAATGTTGACATGGCATATCTGTGGCGTGTAGTGGACATCGCCTCAACAACGAATCTCGATCGACTCGTCGCCCTCTGTAGAAGGGCAGGGGTTCATGAACGACGTCCTCCACTCGGTCTACAACTTTGTCTTGGGAGGTATCGCTGGAGGTATCGGGGCGTTTGCTGTCTACCCTATCGATCTCGTAAAGACTCGGTAGGTCGTGGAATGCGTGTGATCGATAATATAGGCTTGGGAGTAGGCTGATCTCGAATTTTGCAATGCTCGTAGATTACAAAATCAGAGGAGCAACGTTGTGGGGGAGATGCTCTACAGGAACCCTTGGGACTGCGTGAAGAAGGTCTACGCGAATGAAGGAGGTGTCAAGGGGTTCTACCGTGGTGTTATACCTCAACTGATCGGAGTTGCGCCAGAAAAGGTTGGTCCGGGGATACGATCAAGCGATAGACATACACAACCCATTGACCACTATCAATCCCCCTGCTTTAGGCTCTGAAATTGACAGTCAACGATTTGGTGCGAAGTAAAATGATGGACCCGGAGACGGGTAAGATTTCGGTGTTCTGGGAGCTCATGGCCGGAGGAGCCGCTGGTGCCAGTCAGGTTGTGAGTAGCGACATCAAGAGATTGACGTGATGCGGAACTGCTCCGAAGCTGATCCGTCGTTCCCGCGTGGTGCCAGATTGTAACGAATCCTCTCGGTATGTCAGCCAAACTACCTCGGTCACATGATATACCGCTTACATCGGTATCTTTGCGTATCTGCAGAGATCGTCAAGATTCGATTGCAGCTGATGGGAGAGCTAGCGCGAAAAGAGGGTGCCGCCAAGCGAGGAGCCGTCCATGTCATCAGGTCGCTCGGTCTTGTTGGGCTCTATACCGGTGTGACAAGTTGTTTGGCCCGAGATGGTGAGCCGCCGCGGTTGAATGTTCTGTGTCCCGTCACTAAGCTCACTCATTCGCCCCGTTCACAGTGCCATTCGTAAGCAGAATCATGCAAAAGCGAGTAGGTGGCAACAAATACTGATTCTATTTGCAATCGACGATATAGAGTATGATCTACTTTACCGCATATGCCCATCTCAAAGTCAGTATATCGAGGTCGCTGCCATATAGCCGTCCAAGGTTTCTCATCCAGGTCTCTCCTAACTTCCCAGAAAGACGTCTTCCATGAAGGACGCCAGGGCAAGCAGCTCTCATTCGGAGAATTGCTTGTGAGTAGCTTGAACATCAGGTGTCCGACCGAGTTATACTCATGTTCCTCTGCTGCAGACCGCCGCTGCTATCGCTGGTATGCCGGCTGCCTACTTGACCACTCCCGCAGACTGTGTCAAGACTCGACTTCAAGCCGAGCGACGAGCTGGTGTCACTCACTACAAGGGTCTCATCGACGCTCTGATTACCATCCCCAAGGAAGAAGGCTTCCGAGCCCTTTTCAAGGGAGGTATCGCCCGAGTCATCCGATCGAGTCCCCAATTCGGAGTGTGAGCAGACGTCACGCTTCGAGCGGCTTGATAAGGCCAATCTAACGTCCTTTCTACTCTCCTCTAGGACCCTTGTCTGCTACGAGATGCTCAAGAAGAACCTTCCCGTGAGTCGCACGGCTTGCTTTAACTGTCACGAAATCACCTGGCTGATCAAACATTCCGTCCCTTTTTAGTACCCCTACGGCCCGGAAGCTCAGAAGGTCGTACCTGCGGCCGGTCTGATGGACAGCACCGACTTGTCTCGTGTTCGTGCCAGGAACGCCTTGAAGGTGAGTTGAACCGCATCAGGGGACGTCCTGATTGGAACCTCTGACAAGCGAAATCCGATTTTGCAGATGCTGCTCGACACGTCGAGTCGTTTCGGACAGCCGCCTACCCCTCAGCGAGTCTCTGCCCTCCCCTCCATTCTGCGACCCTCGTCTTCCGATTAGATGACGTAGCATTGCATCCATTCCTCTCAACCAACCTTACATCGTCCTCTCAAGACCCAAACAACCAAAATCTTGTCATCATCCAACACGGTCATCATCGGTTGTACATCCTTAGGATCGCTAGTATACACAATCCAGTATTCTATACATGTTCTCGGCTAGATTCAACGTTTCCGTCCGTGCGAATATCATCAAGCCTTGCTTTTTGGACTCGGCTCGAGAGGCGGCAGGTCGACCACCTTGCCCCCATCAGCTGATTGCTGTTTGGGGGTGATATTCGCCTTGTCCTTCTTTTTCTTTTTGCTGTGCACGGAAAATATGTGTTTCACCTCTTGGCTCGTCTGAGGACAGACAAAGTAGACCATCTCCTTGAACGCCTTGAGGTGCGATTTCGTGTCGCTTGATCCGCGAAGCAGACTCGCTTTGCCCTCCTCATAGGCTAGTCTGTCGAGTTCGTCAGCGATCTTTGCAGCGTGCTTGGCCCGGTCGAGGATCAAGACTATTCGAGTCTTTACAGATTCTTCTGAACCTGAAACCGTGGCCCCGATCTGCCTATCGATCATTGCTGAAAACCCCATCGTCCGATCCCAAAGGATCTCCGGCAAGGGTATACTGCTGGATCGTTTAAGGAGTTTCTTGTCCGGCCAGGCTACCCTGATGGCCAATACCCGGATCTGCCACCGTGAACAGACGAATTTGTATTCCGTCTCGCATCGATCGCTCACGGGGATCCAAGGGCCGATCTCGAGATAGTTGAGAACCTGGTTGGGTCTCGTGAAATAATCATTGCCCGCGATGACTATCGGCATTTTTCCGGTATATACGAGGGGTCTGGAAGGATCGATGAACGTAGGTCCAGGTGGATCCGACAACGTCTTGACGTCGGCGTCTTCCGCAAGACAGATCTCCGTCAATTTGACCCTCGACGGTTTCAAGATGGCCAGTAGCTGGCTCAGATGAACCTCGTTCTGCTTCTCGGCTTCTGCGACCGAATCTACGAGGCCTATCATAGGAAGCATGGCTTCGGGAACATCTGTAGCTACCTTGTCAGAGCTAGCAAACGTATCGCTGGCTTGAATCCATTCCTTCACACTCGTCCCGCCTCCCTCACCATCGGCTGAAGTTGAAGCCGGGCGTATCGTCAGGTCGACCTCAAGCTCGCGGAGGTCTAACACCAACCGCGCCGTATCGCCCAACAACCTGTCGGCTGTTGCCTTGTCCTGCTTAGCGGACTGGCGTGATCGGGGGTAAGGAAGCTCCGAAAGGTTGATCTGAATCGATTCAAAGGTGTCCTCTGGGTTGGGACCTATGACGCTCTTCAGCAGATGGACCCGCATGCCATGGCCCATTGATGTCAAGTTCGTCTCGCTGATCCGCCCCGACAGAGGTTCAGACAGCTGTATATCGAGGCCCACCATGTCCTCGACCTCTGCCTCTGCCTCTGATTCTTGATCACGATCGAATCTGACTGTCTTTTTGGAATCCCTGTGATCCGATTGTAATCTTCATCGCATCAACGCAAGTACAAGGATACTTCTGAGTTTGTATTTCTCACTCACCTTCTTTCCAGCTTATTACGAGGCTTCTCAGAATCACTCTTCAGAGAGCTTCGTAACCCATCGGTACCTCGTTCCGCACTCTTTTGCGCTCCTCTTATGGTTATCTCATTTACAGGAGTCTCTGGTCCATCTGTCCATCCTCTTGTCAACGAGGAGCGACCTTTTGGGTTAGTTTTGGCTTTCCAGATCAGATAGCCGGCGTTGCAAGCCAACAGAAGCGCGGTGACCAAGAGTCGCAGGTCCATCTCGTGTCATGAGCAGCGATGGTATGGGGGAACACACGAAGTATCGGCATTGTCTTTGTGCTCTATCGTTATATCGCAGCCTTCGATCCCCTTTGTACAAGGTGCTTTTCGCGATCCTGAAACACCAGACGATCCTGAAACAATTCCCCCCTTGCTCGAGCCTGGAGGACCCGGCTAGAAGCGCGAAAAGTCGAGGGTCAAGCGCGCGAGCGACCTCGGCGAACCCAACGCATACCGTTCGATCTCTAAAAGTAGGTCGACCTAATAACTTGTCGATATCTCATCATCGAGCTGGCGAGACTCTCTTCTTTTCTCTTCGGATGCTCTCGAGACTATTCACGAGATATAGACCCATCAAAAGTACCCTCAACGTTTACCCAGTCAACCGATTCGCGACCTATTCGAACATGTCATCTATTCTCGAACCTATCGCCAAGAAGTTGAAGGCTTCCAAGGTGAATTACACCCCCGCACGTGTACGGTAGTCAGCAGCCCGAGTCTTATCTTTCATATTTGGACGGGATGAACAGACCATTGGAACGCACTCGGGCACATTCCATGCCGATGAATCCCTTGGTGTCTCCATGTTGAGGAAGACTGCGGAGTACAAGGATGCCGATCTGACCAGGACTCGTGACCCGAAAGTCTGTGAGTACAGCTGACCTACGAGTCTGAAGCTGCCGAGTGCAGTTTGCTGACTGATGGATTACTTGCCTCTCCAGTGGACACTCTGGACATCGTCATCGACGTCGGCGGAGTGTACGACCCCGCTCGTAACCGATACGATCACCACCAAAGGGAGTTCGACGAGGTATTCGGCGATGGTACCTTCCCTTACCCTTCGTCGAAGGTCGGAGGACGTCAATTGGAGGAGGGCAAGGAGTTTTCCATCAAGCTCAGCAGTGCTGGTCTTGTCTGGAAGTAAGTCTGAAACTGCGGTGAGACAGGTTCATCGCTGCTGGGCTAACCCTTGATGCGAATGGCTTGCTAGGCATTTCGGAAAACATATTATCAACACGATGTACGGTTGGGCCGAGGATGACGAGAAGACCCAGACAATTTGGTTGAAGATGTACTCGTCTTTCGTTCAAGCCATCGATGCGTAAGTTCCTCATAGAATGTCTGTCTTTAAGGTGGGACGTTGGGATTAATCGCATGGGGACCTGATCTCGCAGTAACGACAACGGTATCTCGATGTACGACACCGATGCCAAGCCTCGATACAGCGACTCGACCAACTTGCCCGGCCGTGTGCGAGACCTCAACCCTCGATGGAATGAGGAGTCTAACGACACCCTCCTTGACGTGAGTGCCTCTGCGAGATCTCGCAGATGCAATATACTGATTCCGGACCTTGTTGCAACGCTTGCAGCAAAAGTTCGAGGAGGCTTCCAAGATGGCCGGAGACGAGTTCTTCCGAAAGCTCGATTTCTACGTTAACGCTTGGATTCCCGCTCGTGAGCTTGTCAAGACTGCCATCGACTCTCGATTCGAAGTCGACTCGAGCGGCCAGATCATGGTCTTCCATCAGGCAAGTGGCGAAGTACGTCGAGGAAACACGCGCGATTCAAGCTTTGCTGACACTCCGACGGTCTGGCCATGATATAGTCGATGCCTTGGAAGGACCACTTCTTTGATCTCGAGGAGCAGATCAAGCCGGAGAAGGAGATCCTTTACGTGCTTTACCCTGAGAGCTCCGAGAAGCCCGAGGGCAAGTGGAGGATCCAGTGTGTCTCGGTCCGAGCGGACAGCTTCAAGAACAGGAAGGACATGCCCGATGCGTAAGTTTGATGTTCCGATCCAATCACTGGTGATTACGATCTGACGTCGACGATCACGGATGTAGATGGAAGGGTGTCAGGGACCAGGCTCTGAGCGATGTTTCCGGTATCGAGGGATGCATCTTCGTTCACGCTTCCGGCTTTACTGGAGGTGAGTTAGAGCACCAAATTTGATGATGCTGCGCATAACTGATGTCTGTCGATCTATTTTAGGCAACAACACCAAGGACGGTGCTTTGAAGATGGCTAGGGCTTCCGTTGCCGCTTAGGCGAAAAGACCGATCAATAGGATTCGGTTTAGACTATGGTCTTGCGCTCGCTGCGCAGAATAATATTACGTTGTACACCTCACGACTCACATTTCGTGACCAACCTCAACAAAAGAGAGTCGAGACAGAAGCACCTCGATCCCGTCTATGCTAGACGGTCATACATTACTGCATATATTTTTACGATTGCTGGTGGCGGTGGCGGTCGTGACAGCCGTGTCAGTCCTGGCTTCATCTTGCCAAGGGCATGCATCGGGTGCTCAAGCTGTGTATGCTCCCATGATATCTCGGATACATCTTATTCATACAACGTAGAAAGCACATCTTGGATTCTCTTGTGGCGTTCATACTCCGCTACTCGGGCTTGACGTCCGAGCCTTGGTATCGAGCCAGACTGGCGGCAAAAAGCTTCTCCTGTGCGGCTGCGAGTTCGGCATCGGACATCCCGTTCGTCTTGAAAGCCTTGTTCTGTCTCTCTTGGATGGCCTACCGCAATCAAGGAGGGGTTTAGCTTGTCAAGTAGGTGAAAGGCATACCGCGACGCATTTTTACCTTGGCCTGCTCTTTGCTAGCATCCCACGTCGCTGTCAAGTCCTCCTTGTACTGCTCCATCCCGATTGTCTGTGGTGATTCCCAGAATTGATTATAGGCTTAGACTGGAAGACAGTCGCCACGCCCGACCCATTGCACTCACGTCCATCGCGGAAATCACATGCTCGGGAGCGATGGTCTTTTTCTTGTCCTTCTCACATTCGTCATTGGCAGATAGGGCGATCAGCTTGATGAATTCTGACGTGTGATCAAGCGGGAAAGCGGTAAGCGTTAGGTGATTTCGGAACCACTGTGACCTTGTATGAGGAAAGCTCACCGACACATGCTGTGCTCAGAACATCGATAGTCTCCTTGGCACATGTGAACTCTTTTGTCGAAGGGTCGTTCTCGGCATTGGAAAGGATCTCTACGTAGAGGGGCCAGGATGTAACCGGGAAGGCGAGCGAATTACGTGCATCCAGGAGGGTAGGGTAGATTATTGATGAGCATGTCGCATAACGGCGAATACCGTGGCTGATCGCCGACCGCTCGGCTGCTCACCCTTGACGATCTTCTGAACCGTAGCTCGAGGAAGAGTCTCCTCTGGCTCCGACATGACGGTCTCCGGGTCTATTGTTTGGTCTGGCTAGGGTCGAGTCTGTTCGTTCTGCTAATCGTCCGCGAGGTCGATTGAACGGAGCAGCGACGCGAGCACGGTCAACCTCGAAGATATATATATGGACGACCCTGGGAGACGGAAGCAAATTTTGATCCGGTCGGCGTCTAATCGCGACGAGATGGGGTTGAAGGTGAAGCGTCAAATCCCAAGGAGCTGAAAGGCAGGTGATCCGTTGTTTCCAGAGAGGCTACCGACACGAACTGACATAGCGAGACGCAAGGACAGTCCAAAGTGGAACTGCCAGTCGAACCTAGGCCAGGAAAGCGACCACGTCTTCCAGTCCCCGAGGCCCTCCTTATACTAGTACATTGGGGTTTCAGTATGATCTCCGATTTCCGGTATTCGATTCGCGAAGGTAATCTTGACATCGTATTAATGAGGGAGAAATCTATCATGATACAAATCGAAAGCAGCCAACGCTGGCGCTGATATAGAGGAGGAAGGAAAACCTCTGAGCCCAAGTTGAGAAGAGGAGGCAAACAAGCTACGTTTCTTTCGTTTTGTCTAGTCCGGCCGCGAAACATGCATCTCGCTACGTCAAAGGTTTAATCGACCCGTCCGTCGGTACTTCCACCCCTTCCATCGGTACAGGTTGAACGCCGCCTGCCGTCGATTGTGGTGCCGAGGCCTGAATGGCCTTGGCGACGTCCGCCGCAACCTGAGCAGGGTTCTGCCCCGCCCTCGCCTTGTTCAACAACTCTTGCGCGTTGGCCAGCTGACTCTGCAGGCTGAGCTTGTCCTTGAAGAACTGTTGTTTTTGAATCTCGAGCTGTCGTTTCTCCTGCTCGAGCATCTCTTCAAACTTTTCAAACATGCCGAGTTTGAGCTCGAGCTTTTTCATCTGGGCCGAGACCAGTCGGGTGACGAGGGATTCGAGTTGACGTTCCTCATGGACGGCGAGAGCGGACGCTTTGGCGGCAGCGGCACCGAGGGCGAGGGTCGCGACGTGCTGGACGTGCGAGTGTGGTAGACCCGTCGATGCGGCCGCTACTTCTGTACTTGTCGACGTCTCGCCGGCATTGACCGACTTTTCTCGTCCCCCATCCTCCTTGTCCATCTCGACGTCGTCCTTTTCGACCTTCGGCTCGCCTGTTGCGCTCTCGCCTGCTACGGCTGTCGTCGACTCGTCCACCTGCATTCCATCCTGCTCGGCCTCGCTCTTTTTGCTCTCTGCTTCCTTCTCCTTCTCCGCAGCAGCATCCGCCTCGGCCGCCCTGTCCGCACTCGCCTTGATCCCAGCTTTCAGCCCGTCCGTCAACTCGCCCAACGCCTTCTGAGCCGCTGCGGCAGCCACCCCGGGCCCTACCGCGCTCGCCAAAAAGGCTACAACGCTCATCACCGGGTTGTCGGCTTTCGAGAACGGCAGTCCCCCCGAAGCCGACCCGTTCAACGACTTGCTAGCGAACCTAAGCGGTCCTAGTTCCGCGCCCGGTTCGTCGAGGTATTGGTCCTCGATGGGAAGCTGCAGGAAATGCATGACGCACTGTTCCTTGCTCCTCGTCCCGACGTGCTCGGCGACCTTGAGCCAGTCCTCGTCGTACATCTCGATCCCTTCGAGCAGCAAGAGCGTCTCCTGGTCCGACCACTCTCCCCCTTCGGCCGCTGTGGCATGCTTGAACGCCTCGTCGTCCATCCGGACGAATCCTCCGGAATGCATCGTACTGGGGAATCTGCCGCTGGAATAACAAGCAACGCAGATGACGTACTTGCCATCCTTCAACGAGTGGTACCTCGCCCGTGTACAATCCACCCCGCAGACCTCGCACGAGTAGGCCTTTTTCGCACTCGGACCGGCCGAGGCGGAGGCGCTGTCGTTGATGGCCTTTTGTGCGTCTTGAGCGGTGATGGGGACGGTGTCGTGTGCCGAGGTGTTGTAGATGGTCTTCCGGAGGTCGAGATTGGTAGGATGGGGAGGAGGACGGGGTGTAGCAGAGCTCGAGGAAAGGGAAGGTCGGTCGGGTTGCGGGGTGGGTTTCGTACCGGGGTGAAGAGGTTGGAGGCCCCGAGGAGTGTCGAGAGTGACTCGGAAATGACCGGTGAATGGAGGACCGAGAGCGGCGGGTTTCGTCTCCGGGTCAATCTGTAATTATATTCAAGGGGGGTTGCAGGGCGTGTCAGTGAAACGCCTGACTGCCTCTGCCATGACCCGAACACCGAACCCACTTGATAATTGATCAATCCCCATTGCTCCAAGAATGCATGTACTCGCATGATCGCTCCCACATCTCCAGCCAGATTCCTCCTACACGCCGTCACCGTCAAATACTCGGACGGGTTCAGTCGATACGTATTGATCATGAAATCCCGGTAATCCTTGTAGATCTGAGGCGTCTTGCTCCTGTTCTTGCCGCTGAAAAACTCGGGCAGAGATTTCCTCTCGAGAGCGTGGACCGTACTCAGATTGAACCATGCCGAGTAGGAAGGGATGACGAGCGGGTAGGTCTGTGCGGCCAGGTAGGTCGTCGCGAGATTGTGCAAGGTCTGAGGATCGTCCCCGAGAGGTTCCTCCTCGGCCTCGTCGTTCTGCTCGTCCCCATCTCCATTTTCGGACTCTACAGAGGTTCGTCCACATCCGTTAAGATATCAAGCAGCACTTCAACTGTCGACGACATGAACTCACGCTGCTCGCTGTCCACACCAGCACCGTTGCTCAAGTTGATCAGGTCACCGCCCAAGATGGGATCTCGCTCGCGTTCCTTTCCCGGCGCGCTCGCCTGGTCGTGCTCGACGACGTCCGCGTTTGATGGGAGCTGGATGTCCATGGCCGAGGATTTGCAAGGAGAACTAGGTCGTAAGTCGTAACTTGTACGATGAAGCTAGAATATGTACAGACAAGACAGCTATCGTCTACCTGTACTTGCATACTTGCTTGTGGTAAGTTGGTTGTTTGCCCAGAACGGGGAGGGTCAGGGCTAAAGTGGTCTGCGCGCGCGACAAAGACGTGTCATTTATGAATCCGCGGTGTCATGACTCGAGCTGCACGCAACCCCCCCCCCTAAGCAGTCACATGTCTCGTGCTATGTCGATCCTCGTACAAGGGGGTATGATCATGCCATCCACCATCTCTCTCCTTTCATTCCACACCTCATTCAAAGCTGCTTCTCATACATATATAGCAGCTAGATCGGACGAGAAGGACATCCCGCAACGACCTTGGGGTCGGATGCTCGGTCGATACAACACCGTCTTTACCCACTTGACAATCCTCATCGTCCTCCTCGCCGTCACCCTGAGTAACACCATGTCGCCCATCAAACTAGACTCGCCCGCGTCTTCCCCGCAAGGAGAACTTTCATCACAAGAGGAAACTGGGAAACCTGTGCTGGATGTTGCTACCCTTTTGAAGACTATGGATTTCGCGGCGACGGTAAGTACTGTTATTGCAGAGAGGGGAATGCAGCGTGTGTTATTGGTCGATTCTCTGACGTCACGCTTTGGATCCTGGTGCGACTTGATGATAGAAACACGAGAATCAACGGAGAAAGAACAAGCATGCTACACCTTATATCAACCATCCTCTCGTACGTCTGTCCGCTTCGCCTCCTCATTCCCTCAGGCTGGGCCGTCAAAATCAGGTCATCGGACTGACGGATTTCCTTTTGCTCCATCTCGCGCGCACACGACTGTACATAATCATTATCATATCGTTAGGGAGTGGCAAACATCCTCTCGACCTACGGCGTGACCCACTTGGCGACCCTCCAAGCGGCCGTCTTGCACGATACCGTCGAGGATACAGATACGGACATCGAAGAGATCGCCAGGGAATTCGGGGACGAGGTAGCCAGGATCGTCGAGGTGAGTCTTCCCTCTCGTTTCGGGGCAGATGACCCACGGTGAAAAGCCGTCAAAGCCGACCTTGACCATCCGACCTGATTCCGATTTCGCCCGACCAGGAATGTACCGACCCACCTGACATGTGTGCGAGAGCCAGGAAGGATCTGCAGGTGGCCACCGCAGCGAAGAAGAGCAAAGAGGCGCAACAGGTGAAATTGGGGGACAAGCTGCATAATTTGAGGAGCATCTTGGAAGATCCACCGGTGGGATGGACGGCGAAACGGTGTCAAGATTATTTCCGTAGGTGTCACCATCCTGCGTTGCAATCATTGACTCGTACTACGTGCACTAACGGATGAAGAGTCGACAGGCTGGGCAAAGAACGTCACCGACATCTGCCTGCCCTCGCTCCCCCTGATCCAGATTCCCCTGGACGAGATCTACCTAAAACGACACTTCGTACTCGACGGCAAGGCTTACAAGTGTCACCCCGATTTGGGGGACAAGACAGGCAAGATCTCGGACGAGGAGCAGAGGAGGATCAAGAGCCTGATCGAGAGGGAAAAGAGGGAGAAGAAGCGGGGGTGGGAGTCGCCCATCTATACGTAATCCGGAACCGCAAAGGGGCAACGGGCCAGCGTATGGCAACATCAGGCTATACCCGCGCTCGTTGGTATCAAGTCAAAGTTTTCCCTAGTCACGACCAGTGTAGCCAATATTATGGGCGGTGTGTCATCTTTCTCGTCTGTTGTGCTCGTCTTCCCGTTTGTAACACATTGTAGAACCAGTCATGTGCATATCTGAAAGGTCTGTTCTAATCAGCGGGTCCCGACTTCCTGATCTGTTGTCGTTCCGCGCGGCGCACTGGGCTTGTCAGCGACCCACTCGATTGAGTCGTACCTGGCGTAACATCGCCGGATGTGAGTGAGACAGCTGAAGAATCCAAATTGAGCCGTTTTGAGCATGTCCCTAGCGATTGCTGTGCTCATCCGGCCGTTTTCTGCCCCCAGCATTCGCCCAGTTGTAACGAGTCGCCTGATATTTGCCCTTTCGGCTGACCTGCCACTCTGGATTCTTTTCCAGATGCTGCACCAAGCTGAGACTGTTCCACAGCCTGAGAATGGCGATGATGACAGGGGAGCCAAAGGTCTAGTAGAGTAGCGAAAGGAGGTCAACCGAACATAGTCGAGATTAGCACGACGTGCCGGGCGAGAGAGACAGAGACATTCGCTAAGCCACATCAACTTGCCTTTTCACAACCTTGCTTCATGGCACTGATGATGGCCACTTGTCGATCCTTGCCACATATTCGATCGAAAACATTTAAAAGGGACCAAGAAGAGGACGAGCGAACGTCACAATTGATTCTGCCCATTCGGCATCCTCCTCAGCTCCCGATGTGCCCGTGCTGCGAACCGCTCACGAAAACCCTCACTCATACGGTGTCAGGTATCCTGCCGCTGCGGCTGTTGTGCTCGGCTTCGTGTTCGTACCACATTGTATAAACAGACACGCGCACCTCGGAAGGGCCCGTCTTTGCTACGTCATTCGCGGGGTCGATTCGTGTGGTCCGATAGAATGCCTCTCGTATACAAATACAGGTGATTACGAGAGAGATTCAGGGAAATGCTCGTCCTGTTGCTACAGTATCACGCTTCGGTGGTGGTGATCTCTGACGGAGCAGATGTCGGAGCAGCCGCCTCCTCGGGCTGAGCTGGTGCTGTCTCCGCGTCGGCGACCGGGGCGGGCGGTTCAGTAGGGATTTGCCCATCTTTACCCGCCTGAATGACCCGTCCGCTCTCGTCCTTCTTGCCCTTGTTGACGGCAAGGGAGATCTCTTGTGGGTTGTACTGCCCACAACGATCAGAAGTAGCTGTCAAAATTATGCGCAATTGGTTCATCTCAGCAGACAAGACCTCTGCTGCTCACCCTTCGGAAACGTTCAAAGTCCGTCATGGTTCCGATCGCAGCGAGGCCCTGAGTATCGATGCAATCAGCACCTTTAATTCGTAACATCCTAATCGAAAATCGCTCACCCTATAGATCTCGATGCCCACGACAATGTCCGCACCCTTCATTGTCACCTTGAGGTCTGACATCTCCCTCGCTCTGCTCACGACTGCATCCCTCTCTATCCGTGAGTCGGTCTTGCTGTTGTAGTTCAATCTCCACTACGAGAGATTCGCGATTCGTCAGCCATAGGGCTCACATAGCCACTGCTGACTGCTGCTGTGGCTCACGGTCACCTCATGCTCAGGACCCTTCTCGGCTTTCACTCGTTCTGCAGCTCCGACAATGAGGTCTCGGCAGGCAGCGACAACCTTGTCAACCTCGAGACTAGTCACGCTCTGACAGGGTATCAGCCTCAGTGCGAACCTGACGAATCGGCGAGGTCAGTCAATCGAGATTTGGATCTCGGTGTCTGTTCTTCGGTACAGGGTACGGACCTCGATTGTGTTAGGCCTGTTGTTTCGACGCTCTTCAGGTAGTGCTCCACGATCCGGTTCGGATCGAGCGGTTTCCTCATGTGAATGTAGACGACTGGAGGAAGTTTGATATTAGTTCATTTCGGCCAACATTATCACAGACGAGAGCCCGCTTACAGCATTCGACCTTGGTTTGCACGAAACCTAGGTTCACCAACGGTTCTGTCAGTGCCCTTCACGAAAGCTGATCGCATCTCATCTGATCTCACTCACTGAATCGGTACACCTTCTTTTCCTTTTCCTTCTTCATGCCTTCGATCTCTGCTTGCAATTCTTCTTCCACCGTCTTGGGTGGACCTGATTTCTTCGGTTGGGACTCGTCATCGGAATCTTCCAGCTTGGTATCCGGGTACAGCTCGTCCGCGATCTGCAAAGCCGCCAGAGCTAAGTCAGTTGTTTTCGCCTGCTTTGTGGAAGCTGATCAGGCTTACGTTGTTGAATACTGCCATCAGCTCGATCCCGCACTTCTTCTCCTTTCCTCGCATACAGTTCACTACGACCCCTGGTGCCCGCATACTCGTTGCGTATACCAGAGGTACGCCCTGCAAGCCAATCGTCATGTGAGTCAGCATCACTACAGACGGCCACTTGCTCTCGTCGAGACTCACCTTGACCTCTTCCTCATCATCGTCGTCTCCGGCCCTGCCCTTGCCCTTCCCCTTGGCTTTGGTGTATCTACCTTCTGCCCATGCTTGAGTGTAAGAGTTCTTCTTATAGTTCGCTCTTCGCTTGTCGACGGCGGTCCGGTCGGCTTTAGGCATCTTGCTAGGAACGAAATAAGTCTGGTCGTTTGGAAAGTCCACAGGGTTGGGTCTGATCGCTGAGAGGGTATGTCGGGCAGGGTTCGAAACAGATCGAGACCACAGGCTACAGGGGGACATTGCTCATCATTCGTTCGCAATTTCTGCCGCTGCAGCCGATCACGGTTCGAACGCGAGCGAGCGATTTCGAGCGCGTCCCGTTTCATCTCGAGGGGCCGCCTGTGGCAAGAGAGGATCTAGTTTGCTAGTCAGAGGAGCCAACAGACAAACCGCCATAGGGGCCTTCTTGCCTTTGCAAACACCTGTTGTGCACCACTTATGTTCCTCGGCATCATCAGCTGCTCCATTGGGCTCCTAACTCTTGTGGAACAGGACCACCAGAACTAGCAATTCTGACGTCACCATCCATGAGGTCAGAGGTCTAGATATACCTAATCCTACCTTATAGGTAGAATTGAACATGGACAATGGCAACAGTCTGTTTCAGCAGGTGGTAATGGATGTTCTTGAAATCTTGAGAGGCAGAAAGCGGTCATGGCAGCGATTATATCGACCACGATAACGCCAGGGGTGACAGAACAGGATCGAAGCTCCTACGATGCCAGGTATGATTACGTTGGGAACAAACGACAAGACATCGAGACTCTTCGATCAAGTGCATGCTTTCAAGACTCGATTGCTTTATTATCATTTGGTCTGGAACATCTGCTACATTTCGGGCAGAGCCCCCACTCGTTCCACTCAAGACAACTCGGCCTTGAGTTTCTCGACATCGACATAGTCGCGCCAATTGTGCACGTCCTTGAATCCTAATACCTCCCTGATCTTCCTGTTCGACAAGGGCGCCTCGTATTCTCCCATCTCACGGGTGACCTTGACATTCGGGTAGTACTTTTGTAGGACTTCTTTGGTCGGCTCGAGGGTGGTGATGGTATCGTTGGTCGCGTTGAAGACCTGCGATGAAGTCAAAGAGAACAAGATTAGCGACGTTTGACAGGACGACGGAAGCCACGCCTCGCTCACCTGAAAACCGAGCCCGCTCTTCTCGATACACAGATGGCAGATCTGACCGAGGTCCCTAGCATCGATGTAAGACCAGGCGTTTCGTTTCCTACAAGCCGGGTCCTTCATGTATCCAGGGAAGTTTTGGGCGTATTCGTGAGGCTCGATCACGTTACCAATTCGGAGAGCGTAGATGTCGACGTCTGGTCGACGGATGTTGAAGGTCTTGGCGGTGAGTTCGCCCACCAATTTCTATTTAGAGGAAGTCGCAAACCAAAAACGTAAGAAAACGCTTCCAGTGAACGATAATCTAAAGACTTACCGAAAGGGCGTAAGAGTCTGGGCGGAGCGAGAGCAGTCATGCTTAGTTGGCGACTCATGATATACTGGACTGAAGCGATTACTAACCAGCGGGATCGACCGGGTAGTCCTCTTCGAGAGGGAACTGGTGCCAATCCTTGTCCCCCTGTGCGAAACACACCCCGTAGGTAGTCTCGGAACTGGCGATGATGATCTTCTTGATACCGAGCTTGACTCCCGCCTCGATCACGTTGTAGGTCGACTGCGTGTTCGCCTTGAACGTCTCGTTATCGGGTACGAGCATGTTACGTGCATAGGCGGCGAGGTGGATGACAGCATCCGGGGTCTGGGGAGGTCCGGGTCTCTCGATTCCAAACTCCTCCATGTTGAACAACGAGGTGAACGCGTTGAAGACCTGGCCCAAATCGGTCAGGTCGACTTTGAGGGTGTAGACGGGTACTTTTGGGTCGGGAAAGTCGATGAGGTCGAGGTTGAGGACGTCGTAGCCCTTGGAGATGAGGTAAGGGATGACATGTCGACCTGCCTTTCCACTTCCGCCTGTCAAGATTACTCGGGGCATGTTGAGAGATTGGTTTGTGGATTACGAGATGTGTGAGTTGAACGTGGCGACTTGATGTTCTTGAATGAAACGAAGTGGGGAAGATGTCATGAGTCGGAACCGTCCGTCCTCTTCCTTCCACTTGACAAAGTATATATACGGCGTTGGTCGCCTTGCGCACTTGCTCCATCGATTCCATCGATCGTCATCCGATCGTCATGCCCCGCAAACCTCCACTCCACTTTAATATCGGTCGGTGCCACTGCCGCCTTTTCGGATGATTGTTCGGAAGCAAATCCGCCTAAAGGGGGAAACTTCGGCCAATAAATGAAGATCTCGAGTCGCGACTGCCACCGGTCTTTCGTACGAGAGATCCGCAACTACGAGCTAGGACTTGGTAGGATTTGGATTGATAATCAATGGCAGAAGCATTGGCTGAATCAGCTGCTTCTTGTTTCTTGCACGCTGGGTGTAATGTTGTTTGATCTCGACAGACTGAGCCTCCAATATCCTTGATCTTCGGTCACATCCGTTCTCTGCACACGCGAGACGTCCGAATCCTCCTCCAAACCCTACGATAACAACAACGTTCCCGTCGCCCGCAACCCCTGATACGCAGCGAGGAGTACCAGACTAAAAGATACAGCGGGAGCCAGCCTCGCTACAGACCATCCGCACCACAATAACGACCCCACCCTGAAAGCTGCCCCGAGACCGAATCCTTCGGCTTCCATGTCCCCTTGGACCTTGATGAGTGGGGTACCCATCATAGCTTGGGCAATGCCCATGACGACCATTCCAAGTGCACCGTAGGTATAGCGGAGGTCATGCAGGCCGCATATGATAAAAAAGAGCCCGAAGATGGGACGGAATATGCTGGAGGCCACGATGATTGCCATGTTGATGAGTCGAGGAACAGATCTTGGTCAGGGAAACAGATAAACCCATCAGCAACGTCGAGCGAAATAAGCGATACTGCTTGAACGACCTACAACGCCAGACGATTCGGGATGGATGTGGTTGCACTCTAGGATGTTTGAGCGAGGTGGTTGTCATTCAATGATATGGAATCGTCGACATCCAGCAACCATCTAGCCATCTGACCTAGATCTACACGTGGATCGGTTCGCGTTTCTGAAGTCACGTGATCGCGATCCTGTATTCGCCAGTGAAACCACTGGCTATCAACGCGAACGGTGACAAGGATGGCGGCTTGACTCCTCAGGTACATTCCGTCTGTACTATCATGATTCCTTGACTGTCCCTTGACGATGACAAAGCGCATACCCTCAGTTTGGTACTATCATATTCTACAGGGATGTTAGTCTGTTTCGGTCTTTGCGCCAGAAGGGCATGATCCTAATTGATGGGTGAAGGCCACTTGCCCATAAGGTTTTGCAGAAATGGAAGCAGTCACATCCCGACTGCTGCGTACAATCTTCTAGTGAGCACCACAATATGCTCAAATCTCGGATGAGTACGGCGTCGAGTACACCTGTCGAGACTATGATACCGGCAGGAATTATTTGAAGAGGAGTTTCGCATTGTGCATCGCTCGAAGGCGCATGCGCCTCATGCCACAACAAGCAGGTTCGTCAGCCAGATACGGCTTGCTCTTATCAGTTTGTCTTATACATCGATAAGAATATTGCATGCAGAACGACGAACGGCTAACGCCCCGCTCAACGACCAGAGAGACCAAGTAAGTGTTATTGTCGCTCATTCATGGGGATATGCTGACTACAAGCTTTCTGTCCGTCGTCTCTTATCTCTGCGGCTCTTGAAAACGCAAAACAGAATTCCTGCGATCACCGCGAAGATGGCCAGTCCCACTACAAAAACCATCACAGTTAGCGGAATGTGCTTCAATACCAGTGCACTTTTACGTACGTATTGTGTAGCCGACCGGGTTGCCGTCATATCCGGCCTGAATGTCATCAAGAGATTTTGCCTCTTTCAGATCATCGTAGGCTTTTCCCGCGCTTGCCAAGGCGCCCGTGGCCGTGTCAGTGCCAGTCATACTTGACGATATGTATGTATCACTAGTCGGTCTACCGGTAGGAGCGTCGAACCTGGTCTCGGATAGCGTATCAGTCCCAGTAGCCCGGGATGTCTCTGGTGGAGTCGAGGTGGTCTCTGTCCTAGGGTCATCGCGAGTTCTCTCTGTTGTTGGCGAGGCTGGGGTTTCGCTGGCACTAGAAGCTGAAGATAGCGAAGTCGTTGATGTGCGGTCCACTCTAGTGGATTCCGGTGTGGTAGTCGGGGAGGGAGGAGCATCCTCGGCCGAGGTAGTCGTCTCGGCTGCCACAGCGGCTGCGATAGCTGACAGAGGCTCGATGGTCGCAGGTGCAGCCCTTGTTGCTGTCCGAGAAGGTGCCGACGCGGAAGCTTCAATAGCGGTATTTTCCATCTCGATACCACCGCTGGCGGTCTCCTCCTCATCTCCGAACCCAAGCAGCCGTTTCACACGCTTCTGTTGCGATTGTTCCATACCAGGCTCACGATTTTCAGCCTGCGCTCCATCATCTCGCTTCGGAAATTCTGCTCCTCGCGCGCTGACTGCCGACGCCGCGGCGATCGTCATGGACAGGGCCAGCTCTGCAACATCGACACCTTCGTCATCTCCTCTGCGATACGACCTGGACTTGCGTTTGGACTTTGAAGGGGAAGGATTTGGCGACCCGGTCCTTCGAGCCGGGAAGGGCGCCATACTGTCTTGGGAGGAATCGATCTTGGCAGCCCGACCGAAAAGGTTCAAGCTGGGTAACGTGGAATCGATCGATTTGTCCGGGGTGGATGGGGTAGTCGGAAGGGGAACAATGATCGTTTATGAGGATGGCAGGAAAGGGAAGAACGTAGCCGCGATTGCAAGAAGACTCGAAGCTAGCTTGACATTGGCCAAAGCCCCGTCATCGAGATGCTGCTGGTTTATAACCGCTGCGAAGTGACACAGCAGATCCTGACTCTCCTTTCACTGCGTCAACGTAAAGGGGCCATACTGAAACGCGTTTCGCAAAGGTATGCTGGCGTCATCAGCGAGGACTCGACAGATCGGACCAATCGCATGCTCAACTAAAGCCACGTGGTGTTTCGATCTGACGATAAGGTGTGCCAGGGTCTTTACGGACCATCTTGAACGATATTTTACTTTTGTCATAATTCCACATCATTCGTTTCTCTGAAGCTTCACAATCATGCGCATCTGTTCCGTATATGAGTCGTCATCCTATTCGACACCCAATCCGTAGTCCGTGTCGAAGGGCATAACGATCATCTAGCCATTAATTGAGCGAACCGATACGTTTAGTGGGCTACGGATTGGATTTCGATAGTCAGCTTTCGCCCTCGTAGTGAAGTAGCTTTTCAGAAGTTGAGCTTACCCTCAGGGGTCTGTATTCAGCATCGAACGAGATATTAAGGGCACAAGCAAGACGAAGACAGTAAGCAATCTCGGTGACACTGGATCAAAGACATCTAAGCCGATCTACTGACCTTGGCGATGTACTCGATAGCTGCGATAAAGAATCAGGGAAAGAAAAAGTCCGATGGAAAGGTCAGCCCCGATATGTTCATAAAAAGCGTCTGGGCTGGCTCTAGCTAAGACACGAGGAGGTGTATGGCCCAGCGGGGATCCCAGTTGATAGGTGCTACCGAGGAGCATGCGGCGATTCAGGGTAAAAGATTACCCGTTCCATCGCCCCGGAATACGAGGATCTCGTTGGTCACCTCCACCTCCTCCGAGCCCATTTCTTTCCCAAGACGGTACGAAACGAAAAACTCACCCTGTCCGACGCTCGTGATGGCATCAGCATCCTCATCAGGAATCTCGATGGCAAACTCCTCCTCGATGGCCATGACGACCTCTACGGCGTCGAGCGAGTCGAGGCCGAGGTCTTTGGTGAAGGATGAGGTGGGCGAGAGCTGTGTTGCACGGGCGAACAGGAACGAGGTCAGCTGGACAATCAGAGGCGAAGGGTGAATGAATCTGGGATGCAGGATCGACGAGGGAGATCGTAGGTATGGAAGGGCTATGAGAAACGCGTATCCAATCCGCTCGCACGTAATTTCTACGCCCGAGCTGAACGGTTCGTCATACCCTGCACCTGTTCCTCCGCTCACTCGATCTCTCTCATTTCGAACCCCACAACCCCTCATCACCAGCGAGTCTTGCTCACCTTGACTCCATCGACCTTTTCAAACTCTTTCAGGACGTCCATTACCCTCTTGGTGATGTCCTCCTTGTTCAATCCCGAGCTGGCAGCATAGAACCTGATGGCCTGGGGTCGTGCTGGGAGAGCGATGGCTCGGGCGACCACGGGTCGGGGGAGGGCGGTTCGGAGGGTGGGGAGGATGGCACGGAGCATTTTGTAGAGGGTGTGGTATAATGTGATGTGAATGAGAAGTGATTGTACGGGGTAATGGATTGGTCAATTGGTCACATCTAGAATTCATGAGCTCGTCGATCCAAAAGCTCGATCGTCGAGAGCCCTAGCAACTAGCAACTAGCAAGCTAGCAACCGGGTGAGGCGCGGGTTCATTTTCAAATCTTTCTCACGCGTCACACCCTATCGAGATCTTGGTTTAAGATCATAGAGTCGGGCACAGACCTCTCGAACTTCTTGGACTTTCTGGAATTCAACAACTGTCGATCATCACCATTACCCTTGTCTGGAAGCTAGCAAGCTAGTGATCACACCCCGAAACCAACTACCGAGACTCTCCCACCATGAAGCACGGTATCAAGATGAGAAAGCTCAGCCGGACGTCGTCCCATCGACAGGCTCTCCTCAGGTCAGCCTGCTCAACCGGATCATCCTCCCCGTCACAAGCACGCACGCTGAGATCCTCTATATGGCATGCTGAATCTATCGCAGAAATCTGGTATCAGCTCTGCTGCACCACGAGCAGATCCAGACTACCTTGCCTAAGGCAAAAGAAGCTGCTAGGTTGGCAGAAAAGGTGAAATTAGCCCCAGAGTCCGAGCCTTACCTGTTGCGGGTCGAAGCTGAGCACGACTTGACTTCTGATTCGCACAGATCATCACGCTAGGAAAGAAGGGTACCGAGCCGGCTTGGAGATCAGCGCAGGCCATGCTATTCGTAAGTCTCCGTCATCTCTGTGCGTCAAACGAGCTAAAGCTTATTACGATCCTGCCGATGTCTTGACAGCCCGCACACCACTACGCAACCCCCGTCGCTTCTACCTCTTCCTCTATCCTCAACGCTTCGGTATCATCATCGGACCCCGAAGCTTTTACACCACCTACGACTCTCCTCCCTAAACTCTTCGAGACCCTTTCCACTCGATACGCCGACCGACCGGGGGGTTACACACGGATAACCAAATTCGGCCGTCGACCGGGTGATAACGCACCGAAAGCGCTCGTCAGCCTGGTGGACGGTCGACGGGACGTAGTCGAAGAAATGTGCGCTAGGGCCGTCGGGAGGGAGGTCGGGCTCGTCAAGACGGGTGCCCAGGTTCAGAAGACGGTCCAGCGGGTCGTCCTCGGAGGTGGAGGTGTAGGCGAGGTTGGATTGTTGAGGGGGATCACGCGGAAATCGCTGGGTCAGGTGTTGAAGTACAGAGACGAGGAGAGTAAAGAGGCGTTTGTCCGAAAAGCGGTCGAGCATGCGGTGAGTCGAGGGGCAATCAAAGTACCGCTGGGTTTGATGCTTAAACTTGGGTCGTGATTATAGTACAAATTGGCTGTAGCCCCGAATGCTTTGAAGGAGCTGGCGAGCCAGGAACCTGCACGAGCGGCCTTCCGACCATCATCGTGCGTATTTTTCGATCAATAGGCAGTTCCGATTTTCAGCTCATGGTTGTCTCTCGCTCCATCATATATCAGAATCAACAAGACCACCTCTATCCCGCATGCCGGACGAGCTGGTGACAAGCCCGTGTTGAACATGCAAGTGACGGGTCTCGGGCTCGCAAGAGGGCTGTTAGGTCGGGGAGGCAGGCGAAAGGAGAAGAAGGAGAGCAAAGGATTGTTGCCTTTGTAGATGAGGATGCGAATAGCGTAGCTACATATGATCTTACAGCCGTCATATGACATATTACAGTCATGTCCCGCTCGATATTCTCCTCACGCATGGAGGAGGTCGTCCGCATCATCTTCCATCCAGCATGCCAGCATTGCGAGACTGGAACGTCAGGGTCGATGTAGCGGCAATGATGGATGTCGAGAGCATGTCGGATGTACAGAGGCATGTATTAGCAGTGGGCACCCGTACGACCCTTCAAAGGCCTCCTTTGGTTCTTGACGATTTGACAACATGATGGTAAATTATCACATGGGAAGATGAGCCGATCGGGAAATTATGCTTCCGATCGTGCCGGAATCTCCGGAAACATAAAGTCGACTCGGGGATCTCGAGGTCGACCTTCTTCATGACGAATCCATAACATCGAACACAATCATATTCCTTTCGCTCATGCAGGCCTGAGCGGTTTGAGAACCGGCTCTAATCACCAGTAGCGTAGCCATAGTTGTTTGACATAGCTTGCTGTCGAGATTCAGTATGGATCCCGAAGCTTACGACCGGGCTATCAAGCTCGTCCAGGACTATCATGGCGAGTCCAGAACATCCTTCTGGACTTAGGAGACGTTTTAGCTGATCAGAGCGAGATGTCCGGGCGGTACAGATCATGTGGAACAATACGATGTCGAACACGAACGGATCGATTCGGATGACATGCTGGGGATGATGCGGGTGTTGATGGAAGCGAGCCCTCGGTTGATCAAGGGGATGGACGGGCTGGAAGGTAAGTCGCGGTTGGGTGCAAAGCGTCGTCCAGCTAGGTCATCAGGTTCGCATTCGAGCTCGTAGAAGCTAATCTGGACCAATACTATATTTTGAATGAAGACGGGACGGACCAGCCTGGCAGCTCTTCCCAGCGAACAAATACGGCGGGCTTTCGGTTCTGGGAACGACAAGGACTGTCGAGCGTTCTAGGGGAATCGAAAGTCTCGATCGCCGTCACGCCGAATGGGTAAGTATGCGACAACGATGGTCAGCAATTTTGCTACCAGTGCAACGTTGGTCTGATGTATCATATTGCAGGTTGGCAGATTCGGTACAGTACGACGAGGAGACGGAGAAGGCATACTTTGCCATGCCCCTAACAGAGAAGATGACGGTGGACGAGCTATTCAGGAAGATCGGTTCGTTTCCCATTACCAGTCCCTAGTAATGCACCCAAGTGACCCGAGAGCCGAGCTCACCAGAACCTTCAATAATGTTTCGACTACAGACGACCAAGACGATACCGACGTGTGTTACCTTCAATCCCAGAATGGCAACATCTGGGACCGGTTCAAGGAGGAGGAAGAGGACGACCCGCCAGAGTTGAGCCGGTTCCAGGAATACGTCCTGAGAGGTCCTCGGGTGATGCAGAAGCTGGGTGAGATCGGATTGGGCTATATGCTATTCGAGGTTGGTCTTCTGGCTTAGTTGAAGCTGAAAGTGTTTTGAACCGGGGGTCTCGGTTGATAAAGGCAAGGAGCCGGATGCGGTAAACCTCTGGGTAGGGACGAGCAAGAGCACGACGACTTTGCATAAAGGTAACGTCTCCCGGCTGGTTTCTTTCAATCTTCCCTTTTTCGGGCAAAGACGTGTTGTCGCCGATGGGCTGATGCGTTCTCGACTTCAGACCCGTATGACAACCTGTACCAAGTCTTGAGCGGCTCCAAGACGTTTACTCTCTTGAGCCCGATCGAGGGTTTCTTGTTGAACCGTGAGCATCCCAGGTCTTATCGCGGATAGCTCTTGCTCTCGCTCGTAAACCGCACGCTGAGGGTATACGGACCGGTGTTCCACTCTCGACCTGTACAGCGATGTTTTACCCTACGGCGACTTATGTACGAACACCGGACTCTAGCTTACGTCTAGTCCCCGATCCCATCCCACCTTCTTCCACGTTGGGCGGTAGTCGAGGTGTCCCGTGGACGACAATAGATCCGACATCGTTATCCTCATCGGACCGGGCGAGCCGAGCTCTGAGACCGACGACGATCGTGGTACGCGAAGGGGAATGGTTGTACCTCCCTGCGAATTGGTGGCATCACGTTCAGCAGGCCGAGGGGGACGAGGGGATCTGTGTGGCCGTCAACCAGTGAGTACCCACCGCGCAAAGGTTCGGGGGAGCTATGGGGATTTCGGGGAGCGCTAGTGAAGGCGGTTGGTGGTGTGACTACCCCCGGATGTTTGGAGGAAGGGAGGTCTGTTACCCCAACCCACGCTCTATGCGCTCTACGATACCCCACTGATAGAGCTGGGGAACTAGGGCGGGGTAGTAGCGCCTTCTCGCTTTCTCGCTTTCTCGAACCGAACCAAATCATTCCAATCGACTGACACATTCTGCTCGCGGGTGTATTTGCAGCTGGTACGATGCGCCCTTTCGACCCGACGTTTACGCGATGGAGCAGTTCATCCTGAAAGCACTCGGACGTGGGGATCTGGCGGTGGCGGACGATGACGATGACGATAGCGAAGGTAGCGAGCAGGGCGAGAGTGACGATGATGATGATACGCAGAGCGAGCAGAGTTGTTGGAGTTGCAATCGATAGCAGATGGTGATGGGGGTATTCTCTTCGTTATCAGCTCCCCCGTCCGTGTTCCTCGGGACCGGCGATGTGCGAATGATGCATGCATGCATGCGATGATGATCGTGTGACCCAGGGGCGCGCGAGACACGGAGGCAATTGGGGGAATTGGATCCACCTGATACCACCCACCGCACCGCTCGTTGCCTTCTAGCTCTTGGCTCCAACGAATCCGGGAAGAGGTCGATGGCAGTTGTTGGCAGGGTTTCGACTTGAACTTGTACGCTTCGTCTTCAATACGTTGTCGCTGTCGTCGTGTTGCAATAGGCAACAGCCACGACATACACATACCTTATCTATCGACACTCGCAATGTTTCACCACTCGGTAACAAAGGACTCGCACGTCCAGGATCGTCGAACGTAGATCCTGAACTATACCCCGTCACACGAGCATCTGGCATAACTGTATCGAATCGTCCCCTTTCATAACATCAGCATCACCTCGGATCGCCTTATATTATTCTCACCACAAGGGGTCGACTTTGCCACGGTTCGACGTCGACATATAATCCGACACCTTTCACGCAACATAAAGTCCTATCATGATCGCCACCCGTCAACCGACAAGGACAGATCGAAGCGAAATGACTTTCACCCTCACGCCACATTCCATGCTCGATCCCCATTCTCACCATCCGGCTTCTTCCGCTAGCACCTCTATCTCCCCGCCACCGTGCCCTCCTTCGTGGATCGGACAGATCCCGTTACCTTGCTCCGACAAGAAACAACGGGACGCTCGGGGACAGGTATGGAGAAACGTCTCGCGATACGCACCTCGAGCTAGGGAAAAGAGCACGACGAAGGTGGACGAAGGAAAGTCTGATAAAGGTCGAACCAACTTTGGCCTGAAGCCCCAAGCCTCGTCGACCAGCGGAGAGTTCGGGTCGAGGAAATCGCAATTGCAATCCCGATCGGACGATGACATTAATAATGGATATGGCTATCCGAGCGTGACCGTCATTCCCGTCCTCTCTCCACCTACATCGTCCTACACCTCGTCCTCCTCTTCGATCTCGATCTCGACCTCTTCTTCCTCGTCCCTCTCCTCACCCAACGATCTCGCCCTCATTTCCCCCTCGACGGGCCGACCACGAGGTTCGTTCTGGGCTCAATGTCCCGCCCGACCTACTCTCCCGCATTGTCGCGGAAGAGGCAGACTTCCGGTCAGGGGCTACAGACACAACACTCCGTTGCCGTCGCCTTATGATCCTAGCGACCTGGACGACGATGAGGACGACGAAGATGGGGAGGACGACGAGGTCTTGAGAGTCAAGAGCCAGAAATGGTTCCTCGCGCCTCCTCCTCCTTCATTACCTCTACCTCGGATCGAACGGGCCGCTTCGGGGAGCACGATCGTCAGGTCTCGAGATGTATCGTCGACTCGATCCGGGATTGACGATGCCTCTTCCACTACCACTACAAATACGGCAAACACGATCCGAAATCGGAATCGAGCGCGACGGGGGGCGTGTGAGAGGTCGAGGTTGAGATTGAGGTTCAAGTTGTTCCCCTTGGATGACGATGCCGACGACAAGACGGATCATCAAGAGAAGAACGAAGAGGTCCTTGGACGGTTATTGGGAGAGCCGGAGGAGGTGGTGGTGGTGGTGGTAGGATCGGATTTGGCCGATGGAGGAGGGGGAGTTGTGGGGAAGCGAGAGGGAAATGGATGCCACGAGACGCGGTTAGGAGCGCGATCGCGTGGAATCGAGATCGAGGCGCACGAGTGGCCCTTGTGCTCGTCCTCGATGCGACATGAAGGCGGCCACGCAGACGTCAACTTGAAAGACGGGAAGGGATCGACGGCGGTACCCCTGGCGAAACATGTCCAGGGGGAGAATGTCTGCTGGCGAGCACGACATGCTGCGAGGTATGCCTCTATGACGGCTCACCGGAATACGGACGCTTTCCAGTCGTTCAAGTCGATGTCCGACCTCGAAGACCCGGCTTTGCTGTCTAACGCTACTTCGACCAAACAACCCGCCTTCTCAGTCCAACTCTCCGTCATCTCCGAACCCTCCTACTCGGGCCCCTTGTGCACCGCTCCCGAACCTTGCCTCCAGCTACAACCCCCGCGCCGCCGATCAGACGGGGACCTCTTGCGCAAACGCGTCTTGGAGTGGAACATGGTCCTCAACGGGAAAGTCTCCAATGTGAGACCGCGCAAGGACAAGGAGCCTCGGGATCCTATCAATACGAGACGGTCGAGTTGTCCGGCCAAGCTGGGTTCGACCGTCCCCACGGTAGAGGAAGTCGGATTTGATGAAGACGAGATGGATCAGGAGATGGGGGAGGGAGAAGGGACTGTGGATGGACCAGAATTTCAGAATCGATGATGGACACTGTCGGCTAGCCACGACGGAATTCGAGCATGATCAGCGAGAAAGTCGAACAATATGTAGCAATCTCATTCAAGCACGACGCAAAATGTCACTTTTGTATCTTTCCTGTAGCCGTCAAAGAACAATGAATCAATCATGCATCAGAAAGTGGGGGTTAGCGCCAAGGAAACATCTGATGTATGGTCCGGGTAATCTTCACCAGTGAGTTTCCGAACGATAAGGCATCTGAGCTGCTTGTGCTTGGTGTATGGCATGTATGGTCAGATGCAGGAAGCTTCCGTCTCCGCGGTCGAAGTCTTATACCCCATCGCTGGAACTTCGGAACTGAAGTCCTATCTATCGCCTATCGTGGGGTTTCTCTGCGAGAGACAAGTCCGATGGCGGAATCTTTGGCTCGGCCCAGATCTCTCAGAATACCCATGCTAATGGCAACTGCAACGACTTCATCCAGCATGCTCTTGAGTGTCAAATCACTCGAATGAGTTTGCAATCTGTTTTGGGGGGAGAGCGATAGTCAACCCATCGAGACGTTCCCCCTCACATGGCGGTCCGTTTGACCCCTGCCAACCTGCTGATCACTTGCCAAAGATTCATTTGTACTCCCGGGGAAGAGCCGATGAATCTGACCTCAGGGACTTTATGGCTCAGTGCGGACTTTTTCGAGGTCCTCAGTCAATACAAGGACAGAGGGAGTAATGGAGGAAATCTTGTCGTTGCGAATCGGGTGATCGCAACTTTCTCACCCCTTGCTTCAATCTAGGGATCAAGCTCGACTGTAAGGTGCGTCTCGATGTTCTTTTCGTGTAGATAGGATACAGTAGCCGCTGAAAAGATGATGAATAGACGAAATAGCTGGAATGGATCATGAGGATCACCATGGTCCTGTGACCTGTCAGCAGTCGTTTTAATTTCAGTATCTGAGCGTAATCAGCCGCCATGTTTACTGACCTGAACCTATATCCGTGATATATGTCTGGCCCGAGCGTTGGATCATTCCTTCACCGTCACCTAAGCACCTCGATGCTTATTGTCGATACGCGAAATTAGGGTGGCTGATCAAATGCATGTAATATGGTGAAACCTATCAGCTGAACATATATCATCTCCTCCTCTATACGTTGACAAGCCGAGCTCTATATGCGCCATGATCGGGCTCCCGGCGTCATCCCCCTGTTCCTAATCCATCTTGTCGGCCTTCTTCTTCCTGAAATCCTCGTCGTCCACGTCCACATATTGATCTCTTGTCCTCGAGCTCGTCGGTTCCGAAGCCCGGCCGATATCCCCTTCGAGGTCGCTATCGTCGTCCTCAAGCGCAAAGACGACATTCTCGTCCTGGAGATCGTCACGCTCTCCTCCGAGCCGGATCCCACCGCCGTTGGCTTTGTTGTAAGGGTCGTCCTTGCCCAAGAAGCCCTCTTGCTCCTCGTCTTCGTCAAAGTCGTCATCGCCGTGCTGAACGGGACGTCCACCTGCAAGCTCGTAGCCCTCGCCATCCACCTCGTCCTCGTCTTGAGCGAGTTCTTGAGACATGGCAAATCGTACATTGTCACGGGACTGGTAGCGGTATACGCCTGTCGTTAGCATTCGCTCGAATGTGGCCAGGGGATCTCGGATCTACGTACAGGTCTCCAGAGCCATGCGATGGCGACGAACACGCCGAGATAGATTATCGCCAGAGACGCGTCAAGCAGGATCCATCTGTACCTCCAGTTTTTAGGTGCGTAATCTGATGAGATTCAAGATCGAGTCAGTCGTTGTTCGTTAAATAGTTGCCAAGCGCGATTACATACCTTCGTCTGCTCTGTTCGACAACGCCAGCGTCGAGATGACAAAGAACACCGTTACGGCGACGACGGCGACCATCAAGATCCTGTAGAGTTTCTTGAAGATGGCGAGCTTGTTGCGCTGCTTGCGTGCTTGAAGATGCAAGATCGTGCCTATCGAACTCTCCAGAATCAGTACAGTATCCACGCTGATGCAAGCGCGAAAGGTGTCGCGCCTTACCGTTCAGGGAGATGATAGTCCACATCAGGAAGCAGGTCAACGATAAGGCGAGAGGGAAGATCAAGAAGAGGATCAAGAAAAGCGAGGCGGTTTCGAGCTCGACCCTGACCGAGCCGATAGCATACAGAACTACGAAAAAGGAATGGTAGCACATGTCAGCATGTCAATTCAAATTCGGAACACAAACAACGATGCTGCTCACCACCAAAGACAAAGTGGAACGCTGTAAGAAGCCTGACACGGTTCATGACAGGGCCTAGGCTAGGGGTGACCACACTGAGACCCATCGAAACGACAAGCAGAAGGAAGAAGGAGATCGAGTTTCTTCCGGCGTTGAGTATAGCGACTGAATCGGGGTAAGTGAGCAGATCAGTCACATTGACGCAGCGCTCATGCCACTAGGCTAGATACTCACCGACAAACAAGAACGCCAGACTGCCAGAACCGCCGCCGTGTTTGTTAATGTATCGGTAGTAACCTTGATTGGCAAGCATCTCGACGATGAGGAAGACGATGGTTCCGGTGATGTACCACTAATCACGAGGCATCGCGTGATCAGCCGAAGTTGCGAGTCTCCGAGTTGACTTTCAGATCTGCTTACCTGCATAGGCCTGAGACAGATGCAGAGCGGACCAAGTCTCAGCGCCAATACGCGATGCAAGGTGAACCGACGTGGTACTTACAACAACTCCTTGTAGTGTTTTACACACAAGTAACCCCAACCTCCAGCTAAGACCGCATAGACAGTGCTCAAGAAAAGGTAAAACTGCCAAAAAGGCCCGAGTATCAGTACTTGTCTGGCAACACCCGTAACTGCCCTGCCATCCTCGTTCTCACCCCGATCTTGGGATATTCCGCAGCGGGAAGCTGTCCTTCGAAAGTGTTCTTAAAAAGGACCGACCCAGAGTAGCTCGCGTGCGTGGTCTCTTCTCGAGGCAACATGTCCGAGCGTTCCAAAGATCGCTTCTTGGAATTGATCAAGGTTACCGGAACGACACCTGCAATGCCCCGAGATCAGGCTCATGAAGCACTTCAAAGCACCACGACAAAGTCATGCTCACCGACACAATAGTAACCAGTTTTAGGGACGTTGTAGATGATGCTGCCGTCGTAGAGAGGTACCACACCGGATTTGGAAGAACCGAAAGTCTGCTTGGGCTTGGTAAAGACAGGGGCAGTCACTTCGTCATCCGCATCCTGGTCTACCCTGTCATCTTCCTGCTCAGGCTCCGTCACGTCCGGCGCTTCCTCAGCAGGCTCGCCATCGTCAATCTGATCCTCTTGATCGAGCTCGTCTTGCGTATCTTCCCCGGTGACATCCTCGAAATCCTCTCCAGCGTCCGGCTCGACATCTTCCTGAGCGTTTCGCTTGGCCTTTCGAGAAAAGGGGCTCGTCTCCTCGGCGAGCTCTTCCTCGAGGATCGCTTCTTCTTCTTGTAGTTCGGCATCCGATTCGAGCCCAGCATCAAGAAGATCATCCAAGAGCTCTTCCTCCAGCTCCTCTTCAGCTTCTTCTTCAGAGACCGGACTAGGCTCGGCGACACGGGTGGGTCGAGTCCGAGAATGAGATGTGCTGGTCGCAATCTCTTCTTCTTCATCAGTAGGCTCAGCTTGGGCTGTCGAGGTCCTGGTGGAGGTAGTATGAGCGGGACGATGACGGGTTCTGGTGGGGGCGAGAAGCGTCGTAGTGTCTTCGGCCGGCTCTTGCTCGTCCTCCTGGCTATCGGTCTGACCGAAACGAATGCCGGTCGTGAACAGGCTCGTCTGGTTCAATTCTACACCCTCGGGAAGGGTAGTGATGAACGATCCTAGTGAGTCCTTCGTGCACAATCCGGACCGAATCGCGGACGTTGTGCAGATGTACGTTTTCTAAGTGAGGAGGAAGAGCCGACGTTTCAGGCGAAAAGTCGTTCATCGCACGACGAATTGAGCTTACGGGCATCGAATCGTCCCCAGGCGAATCGGCGCCGAGATACTTGACATCGCTCCATTCGTATAGCACGAGAGCGAGCTGACCCGTTGACGTGGGGTCAAAGGTCACTGTTGTTTGAGATCATAGTAAGCGAGTGTCAAGGAACAGATGGACAGGTCTAGGATACCGTTGCTTACATGAGATATAGGCCTTTTCGCCACCATACATACCGCTGCAGACTTCCCGCAGCTCATCCGTATCTCTAATGTTTACTGTAGTGAGATTTCAGGCGTCAGAAGGAGGAATTGTCAACGAATCCTGGTATAGGACAGGGCAAACCTTGATATCCCGATACCGTGCTTGCCAGCAGAGACCAAGTCAAAGCCCCGAGAGCTCCTGCGTGGCGTAAAGCACCCCTCATGTTTGATAGTACTATCGACCAGAAGCTGGCCAGAAGCAAGCCTGTGAAACGTGTGAGACTGGCAGACTTGACGATACGACGAAAGAAACTCGAACATGTTTATCTCGTTCCCTTCGTCTCCTTCTCTGCTTGCATGGCTCGCTGCTGCCGAGACCATGGCCCGCTTCCGGCGACAAACCTACCGCTCGATGCCGTAACAAGAGGCGTTCGGAGGCAAACCTCGCTCTCAATCACGTGATCATCTACCTCGCCCATGACGAATCCGCTCTCTGTTCGCTGGTGCGGTTGTGCGGGAAATCGACTCTTGGCCACTTGGCGAACTCGGACCGACGGATCCGTGACATGTATCCCCTTCAACAGATCTGTATATATCTTCAGCTACAGCTCTTATGAGGTTGACAAGGATTACTGACTACACTACCTTGCCATAATAAGAGTCATAGTTTACCTGCCATCGCGATAGACCTCTCACCATGAACAAGCACGTCGTCAACGATCCTCGAACCTTGGCACTCGATTCCCTGCGAGGTCTCGTGACGAGCCATCCCGACCTCGAACTGGACGAGAATTACAGGGTCGTCAAGCGAGGATCTGGAACCAGCCGACCGATATCTGAAAAGGTCCAGCTAGTCTCGGGAGGAGGATCGGGCCATGAGCCTTCTTTCGCTGGGATGGTTGGCACTGGATTGTTGGACGCCTCTGTCTGCGGAAATGTGTTTGCGAGCCCCAACGTGGGTCAGATCCGACGAGGCGTCGAACTCGTCTCTACGGGTGCGACTTCGGAATCGACCAACAAGGGAGTGCTGATGATCATCATGCGATAGTGAGCGCTCACTTGCTGCTTAGCAGACTGCTCGCTCGCTGACTAACCCCAATCCCATGTGCGTGGCTTTAGCACCGGAGATGTGCTTCAATTTGCCCTTACTCTCGAACATTCCCGCTCAACGAATCCGTCCCTTCCCATCTCGCTCATCGTAGTAGGTGACGACGTCTCGGTGACCCGTACGCAGGGCACCATCGTCGGCCGGCGCGGGCTGGCGGGGACCGTGCTCGTACATAAGTTGGCTGGGGCTATGGCAGAGCGAGGAGATGACCTCGAGGCCATCACGACTCGCCTGAACGGTATCCTCGGAAACATCGGGACTTGTGGGGTTGGTCTGGGTCATTGTAGCGTCCCCGGCTCTGGCGGGGGCGACGGCGACGACGACGAAGAAGAACAGGCTCATCTCGCCGCAGACCACGTCGAGATCGGGATGGGCATCCACAACGAACCCGGCGTCTTGACGATCCCCCTTACGAAGGCTTCCGAGCTCGTCCCCCGTCTCCTGGAATACATCACCTCGACGTCTGACAAGGAACGCAGCTTCGTCCCGTTCCAGCACGATGGCAAGGACGAAGTCGTCCTGCTCGTCAACAATCTCGGCGGGATAAGCGAGGTCGAGATGGGACTTATCGCCAGAGAGGCCATTACGACGCTGCAAGGTCAAGGGATCCGAGTGAGACGTGTCGGTACCGGCAAATACATGGTGCGTCGTTTTTCGATTGGCGCCGAGCGTTTGACTTAGACCTGTCTGGCTGATTTGAAATCTCACGACCATTATTCTGTTCCCCTCAGACTTCGTTGAATCTGCCTGGTTTCTCGTTGACGACCCTGTTGTTGCCTCGTGAAAGCGGTTCGGCGACGACCCTCTCGTCGGACCAGGTAATCGAGCTCCTGGATGCGCCGGCTGTCGCACCGGGCTGGATTCCCTTGTATGAGCCCAGGGAACTCTCGGATTGTCTTGTCCAATTGCGAGAAAAGTCAGCGGCACCTGCAACTGCCAGCAAGACCAGGCGCGAGATACCTTGTGAGACCGCCTTCCTTTCATGCATTTTGACTGCAACCAGCTTTCGGAACAAGTAGGCTGATGCCGCTTTCCTCGCTCAATGCAGTTGCGCAGGACGGCTCGACGCTCTTCTCTAATGCAGTCAAATCGGCTTGTGAGAGTGTCATCCAGGCTGAACCGGAGATCACGAAATACGACACGAGTAAATGCAAATCGGGTCGGGATTTGAGACCACGGACTGATTGGTTGGTTCGCTAAAATAGTTGCAGGTGATGGAGACTGTGGTACCTGTCTCAAAGCCGGTGCCGAAGGTAAGCACTTGATACCTCTATGACCCATTGCTGCCGGTCTGACGTCCAACCTCGATCGTGTCTGCAGAGATTCTCAAAGCATTCGACCAGGGTCTGATATCGGAACAGGACGTGCCATCCGCCATCCTTGGACTAGCTGAAGCTGTAAGTAGGATATAGCTCTTTGACAGACTTCTTCGACTGACCCGCACCTGCTGTCCAGATGGAACGGGTCATGGACGGTACCTCCGGTGCCCTTTATTCGATCACGTTCAACGCTTTGGCTGCCGGTTTCCACAACCAGGATATCAAGTCGGGGCCGACAGCGAGAAACTGGGCGATCGCTCTCTCCCACGCTTTGGAATCGCTCTACAAGTACACCAACGCCCGTCCACCTTCCAGGACGCTGGTCGATCCTCTCGATGCCTTCACAAGCGCCTTTGCTGAGTCCGAAGGGTCCGATCTCGATGGTGCTGTCAGCCGGGCGAGGGAGGCAGCTGAGAAGACCAAGGACTTGGTCGCCAAGGTGAATAGCATTGTGGTCTCGGTTACAGATCCTCTGCTAACTTGGAAATCCAATTGCAGGCAGGAAGAGCCGCCTATGTCGGTCAGGAGACGCTCAAGGATCGTCAAGTCCCGGATCCAGGTGCTTGGGGAGTTGTGAAGATCTTGGAGGGACTGCAAAAAGTTTTGTCAGGTGGAAAGTGATGGGCCGGTCGTGACATATTTTGTACCGTCAACCCGAATGGGACTGTATACGTCTGAGTGCAATAACGCAGATCCATTCTTATGCTACTTGTCCCTCGACACGATCCCCGCCGTTCGCTAGACGATCGCCGACAGCGGCTCCCGGCTCGGGCGTTGATTGGAAAAGGCGTCACGGACTTGGCGGTCGAAATTGCTTCCGTGCCGGCTCGACTGTCGAGTTTCCAACGATAGGCGTTGATTTTTCCAATGACTTCTCGTTGTTGACGTCCTTTCACATGACCTCGACAGCTTAGATACAACAGGCTGATGTATATAACAGTGAAATTATACCTGTGATGCCTCGGATTGCAGGGGATCTCCCAATCGACTCGTGTACGATTCTCACCATCTCTAGCATCGCTTCGGCTACCTCCGAAAATGTCCAGGTTTCACCTCCGTCCTTCCTCGGTTGCTCTGAGCCTTCTTCGCGTGCGAGGTTGGCGAGAGGGCCGGTACTTGCACCGACACTTCGCTACGCAAGCAGAATTGATTTCGCCTAACGATCATGCAGTCCTTAGTGTCTTTGGTGAGAACGCGGATCGATCGAGCTCACTGCTTCTGAAGCTGAAACGGTCCGTACAAAGATCTATTTTCTGTCGGCGTGGGACCCAGCTCTTCTCACACGGTTGGGCCGATGGTAAATTGACTCATCAGGTGATAAATTCCAAGCTGACTGAACATCATTCGCAGAGAGCAGCCCGATCCTTCGTCAAGGTGAGATCTAGAAGTACGGTGGAGGCGAACTTCGCTAATCCATGTCCGCCACGTGATTCTGACCGTACAGGATCTAACGAGAGCTTCGATTACGCGCAAGGTACACAAGATCAAGGTCAACTTATATGGTAGTCTAGCTGCCACAGGAAAAGGACACATGACTCCTGAGGTGAGCAGTTCTCAGTCGGTCGTGCTGATGGAGCCGACAGCTAACCCATCTCATCCAGGCCATCTTGATGGGTCTAGAAGGTTCGTTTGCCCAGTGCTTCTAGCTCGAGAGGACTCGCCTCACAAGAACTTTTAACGTAGGCGAGGCGCCCGAGAGTATCGTCGCGAAGAGTATCCCTAGTCGATGTCTGTCGATCCAGAGCGGTGCTCAACTCTATGTCGATGGGCTCCAACCTATCTCGTTCGTGTATAATCAAGATCTGGTGAGTCGCTCGACTTTTACCGATTCTGCGTTCTCATGCTGACCTTGAGCGCAGAACATGTCTCTGTCACCATTACCTCGGCATCCAAACGCCATGACGATCTCGGCCTTTTCAGAGACGGGAGACATGCTAGCTACCAATTCTTACTATAGCGTGGGTGGCGGTTTCGTAGAGAGCGAAGCGACGGAATGTACGTCGAGATCTAAGTGCTGAAATCCTGTTTGCTGACGAATGAATCGACGGTTCCCACGGTAATAGATGCGGACTCTGTAGCTATAGCGCCCCTTCGTAGCGACGACCTGAAAACGATAATAGCACATCCACGATTAGCCTTTACTACCGCATCGGACTTGCTGGCGATCGCTGTTCGAGAGGATGTAAGTCGGTGTGACGAGACTCGATCTGTCGAAGCTGCAAGTCGATTGACGTTCCGTCCGTATTACCAGCTCACCATTCATGAGGTGTAAGTGACCATCTTCAGCGGTTTCTAAATTGGTAGAGGTCTAAGGATTTGTTAGTCCTATAGTATGATGGCAAACGAAAGGATGTGGCGAAACGAGAAACAGATCGAGGACGGCCTCGTTTTGGTAAGACTACACTAAGACTACACTACACAGTGCGTATCGAACGCTAGATTAATCGTCACAACCATCGATAGTTATGGGAAGTCATGAAGGACAGCATAGCTGCGGGTCTTTCGACCGGTATGTCAAGCGTGAACCCAACGAGTTCTGTGATTCTCCCACTAACGCCTTGCGATCAGACGAGACCATCCTTCCGGGTGGACTAAATCTTCGAAGGCGCGCGCCTTCTCTATATAAAGGCTGGAGCCGTATGCAAGCATTGAATGCCGTCCCCGTGAGTCGAGGGTGATGGACGACAGCGTTCCAGCATCTGAATCAGTCGCCTCGAATCAGCCAACAACCGAGAGACGACTACTTCCGGATATCAATCTGCTGAGCTGCTTTGCTATAGCCGTGAATGAAGTGAGTCGAAAAGACGCTAGAATCTGTTGTAGAGATAATATTCACATATGTTGTGGGTTAGACGAACGCTTCTGGTGGCAGAGTGGTGACGGCACCGAGTGAGTCCTGATATCTTGGTTTCTAGCTATGAAGGGCCGCTAAACGATTCTGCTTTGCGGGACCTTCCAGCCAACGGCGCAGCCGGCGTGAGCAAACCATATTACGCATCCAGGTAGTTGCCGTACTGATGTGATTAACCCGTTGTAGGTCATTCCTGCCGTTCTGAATTATCTGCTGGAAACGACGGAGAATAGAACCGATCACCGTGCCCTCGTAGAGCAGGTCAGTCGTTTGGCGCCTCCTGTGGCTTTTGGGCGTGTAGTTGCTCAAAGAGGAATGCATTTCAGTTCCTCTTGACTTCAGCGGCGATTGGAATGCTTTGCAAGAAGCGCGCAACTATATCGGCAGCCGAAGGGGGATGCATGGCGGAGATCGGGGTTGCAACGTCAATGGCGGCGGCAGGGCTAACCTCATGCCTAGGAGGCACCGTCAAGCAGGTGCTTATGGCTGCGGAAATCGGTTTGGAGCACAATCTCGGCCTTACATGTGATCCTATCGCCGGGTAAGAATACGAACTATCCTCTAGCCAACTGACCATCGCTAACGTCAATCAACCATATCCTCCATAGACTGGTACAGGTCCGTAACGATCTGAATAACCAAATGACGAGGCAACAGCTGATTTCCTCTTCACAGGTGCCTTGCATCGAACGCAACAGCTTGGGCGCGATCAAGGCGGTCACAGGTGAGCGGGTGTGAGCGTAGTAAAGTCACATGCAGTCCAACTGAACTATCGATTTCAGCGGCCCAACTGGCGCTGGCGGGCCATGACGAGCCCAAGGTCTGCCTGGACACTATCATCTCTGCCATGAAAGATACGGCGAAGAATATGCATGAGAACTACAAGGAGACCTCGATGGGAGGCATAGCCGTAAGTTTGGGATGACACTCGATGGCGCAACTTGGTTGACAATCTATCCATAGACCGCCTATCGACCGACGCCCGTACCGCCGCCATGTTGAGTGCCATGAATCGAGGTGGCCTTGAAACCGCAGGCGACTTCAGATCAGGGTTGTCGAATTATAATGTGTGACCAGTATGAATCGTTCACCATTATCACGATCGCGTCAGATGAGCTGCTGTACATCCAAGCGCCTTTCGTCCACTTGTTCGTACGTTTGAAAAGGGGAATTGAAGCCAATGATCGTTGATCATTGCTGCTTTTTGGCCAGGCGTTCACGTCTCTGACGCTTGACAGCCTCGAGCTTGGCTTTCAAGGTTTGCACCCTGTCGTCCGCGTCTTCCCTGATAATCGTTATTTCAGCTTCGCGTTTCTGCTCCTTAAACCTCGATACTCACTGTGCACGGGTTTCTTCCTCTAATCGATCGATGATCTCCTCCCTCTCCTCCCTCTGAGCTCGCGCATATCTCTCGGCTTCGGTTTCTTCCTCTTCCTCCGGTTCTACCACACCAGCGTCAGGCAAGACGGGTCCCTCCGTCTGTGCCGTCAGACGACCCGCAAAAGGATTGCTAGCAGAGGTAGGTGCAGCAGTGATGGTAGAACCGTTATCGGGAACGAATAGAGTGGGAGCAGCCTCGTAAAGTGTCTGTGCTTCAGGTTGAGACGGCTTGTAGGCCTTCTTCGCGACAGGCTTCGGGATTGAGCCAGACGCTGAGGGAGGACCGGGATCTGCTGCGATGCCAGCGATCGACGACAGGAAGGAGTCCAGTTCGTCATTGACTATTGTCGGAGCTGGAGCCGCTTGGCCAGAGGTATTCAACCCGTCTACTTTCGATCGCTTCGTCTGCCGCTCTTCATCGTCTGGATCATTTCCTGAGACTGCAGCTGGTCCTTCCTCCATCACATCTTGTGTAGACACAGGGTCTGGTTTGCGCCGTTTGGCCGCTTTGGCAGCCGCCTTGTCTTCTTCTGCCTTGACTCGCTGAAGCGACGTCCTGTGCTGCTTGCTCGCTGTATGCGCTGACCAATGTTTCACTATAGATCCAGGATCGAATGAGATACGGTAGCGAGCAATAAAGTTCTGACGGGATTGACATACCAGACACGACGCAGATTGAACAACGCAATTCGCCCTTTGCTGTTGTGGTCGCATGCGGATCTTGTACTTGCTGGGAGGTACCGGCTTGAGCCTTGTGAGCTCTCAGAAGGCTACGAGCGTCAGACATGTCGGCGATCAAAGGTGTCGTAGACTATTTGAGTGAAGGTAGGTTTGGTGATCTGGCCGTTCTCAGTTCAATGCAGCATTTTGGTCCGTCAACCTCTACCTCATGTCTATCTTGACGGGTCAATCGATGACGTAGCAACGCATAAGGTATATGCGATCTCAAGTCAATAGAGCCTGATCGACAATGGGGGTCGTCCGTCGAGAAGCACGAATTTAGAAGTTCACCCTGTATACCTCTTGTAGAATCACATCGAGATCCGCACACTCGTCACCCTGAATATTACCGGATATAGCTTTCTGTCACATTCAGGTTTCGGAACGGAAAGATGGTTGGAGTCGGTAGATCAGCACATGCTCAAGCGCTGCTCGGAAAGAATGCTTTCAGCAAGATTCGTCATTCCAAAGTTCTCGTCGTAGGTGCAGGCGGTATCGGTTGCGAATTGTGTGAGTGGAACATCAACTTGAAAAGATCCGGAGGCCTGTCGCTTGACTTGAATCCTGCCATACCTGAAAGTGAAAAACCTGGTCCTCGTTGGTTTCGGTAACATCGAGATTGTATGTCGGGGATTGGTCTTCCACCCGGGAATTTTGCGATTCTGACTCTTCCCTTTCTTCCCTTCGGCAGATCGACCTGGACACAATCGACTTGTCCAACTTGAATCGTCAATTCTTATTCCGTAAAGCGGATATCAAAAAGTCGAAAGCGCTTGTGGCTTCCGCATTCGCCCATCAGTTCAATCCTGGTCCAGGACCTTCCGAGAATTCTAGTGTCGATGGACCTGGATCGACAGGCGGCGTAGCTGTGGACCCGGGCAAGGGAGTCAACATCAAAGCGAGACACGGAAATATCAAAGAACCCGAAAACGATGTCGAGTGGATGAAGGGGTTCGATCTGGTCATGAGCGCGCTCGATAACATGGGTACGTGCGATCTCTGCAACATCCTCGCTCACCAAGCTGATACTCAAGCTTCGTTTGTAGATGCCCGGCGACACGTTAATCGACTCTGCGTATCCGCTGGAGTACCTCTGATCGAATCGGGTACCCAGGGTTATCTCGGTCAGGTCACCCCGATGCAAAAGGTACTTGGACGACCGCTTACCGCGAGATCAACCTGTGGCTGACATGTGGGCTTTCTTTTAGGATCGAACAGAATGCTACGATTGCGTCAGCAAGCCGACCCCGAAGACCTTTCCTGTCTGTACAATCCGTGCCACCCCTTCCGAGCCTATTCACTGCATCGTTTGGGGCAAGAGCTACCTACTACCGTTCGTACATCCTGCCTAGAAATACGTCATAGTGATACTTACACCACGTTGATAATTATTCTGGAACAGTAAGCTATTCGGGGAAGACGACGAGGCTTCGGACGAGGCGGAGCTAGAGAAGGCCAAAGCGACCGATCAGGACGGTACGATGATGGTTGATCGACATCGAGTGCGACTTGCAAACGCTGAACATCGGTCGCTTCTGCTTCACAGCTTCGGTGGCGGAGATAGAGGAGTTGAAAAAGGAGGCTGCAGCTTTCCGAGACGTCCGCAAAGGCCTAAACGAGGAAGATGGGGCTAAAAAGACATTCGAAAAGGTCTGTGCTTAGTTTCGAAGGAAGAGACTTTCTTCTTCTGACATTCTACATACTCTGAGTTAGGTATTCGGCGATGACATTCGACGCTTGCTCAAGATGGAAGACATGTGGAAGGTACCCGGCCGAGTAAAACCCGTACCTCTGGACTACAACACCATTCTCGACGGCTCGTTCCGTGTACCACCTCTTGCCAAGGCTGCCTCGGCTCCCGGTAAGGAAGGTCCTGTGCCTGCCTCAACATCACAGGTCAATCCAGCGCCCGCTACCAGTGTTCGCCAAGACAAGTTAAAAGATCAACAAGAATTGTCCATCAAGCAAAATCTGGAGCTGTTCCTAGAGAGGTGAGCAGCGACACGACCATTTCATTGGCTGCAAATCCACTCACCCGCCGCAATTTCCGCCTGCATTGCAAAAGTTGCAAGAAGCTGTCCGCACGCGGCATCTCTAGTCCTGGAACCCTCATCTCCTTCGACAAGGACGATGACGATACGCTTGATTTCGTGCTTGCCACCGCCAACCTGCGTGCTACCGCTTACGGAATTCCAACCAAGACCCGATTCGAGGTCAAGGGTAAGTGCAAATGCTTGTCACATCACGCCATATGAAGGAGCTACAACTGATCGAGCCTGACAATCACAGAAATGGCGGGCAATATCATCCCGGCGATCGCGACGACCAATGCAGTCATTGCAGGTTACATCGTCATGCGAGCCATCAACATCCTGCAGAATGACTGGAGCAAATGCTCCAACGTGTATCTCCGAGGGGACCCAGCTCGATTGATCGCACCCATCGCGCTTCAACCGCCCGAGGACAACTGCGGTGTCTGTGCAGACGTATACGTGCCACTCGCTTGCGATGTGGAACGTTTGACCCTGGGTTCCTTCGTTGGAGAGATCGTCAGGTCTTGGTTGGGTTGGAACACCAATGATGATGGCGATCAGATGGAAATCGCAGTCTACGAGGACAAGCGACTTCTAGCTGACCCTGACTTTGAGGATAACTACGGCAAGACGTTGGCCGATTTGGGCATCACAAGGGGCAAGACGCTAACCGTAACCGACGAGGACAACCTTTATCGCAACGTCAACTTCTCGATCTGCGCACTGTAGGTGTCCCGGCTAATGGACTTTGTGACGCTTCGTGGGACTGACGATTCCGTTCATCAGACCTGCCTCTGCCAACTCAACCTTCCACTTGCCCTCGAACGCGCCGCAGGTCCCGAGGCGACCCAAGGCTCCGGAACCTGCACCAACTTCTTCCGTGCCTTCTGTGGCGGGAACCAAACGTTCGGCGGACGACTTTGACATCTTGAGCGCTAGCTCTAGCAAGAAGCAGAAGTTGGACGCGAACGGGGCTGCCGGCAGTAACGGAGACAAAGGGCCCAACGGGCCGATCGACCTCAGAGACGATGAGATCGAGATTCTCTAGCTCTAATGAGGACTGCGCATGTGTAACGTTGTGGTGGTATGAGGGTAGACATGAATGTTGTACAAAGATTTTGTGATCCGTAGGGAAAGGTCGGACATGGTTAAACGATATGATAGAGGTCCACCTGCGCGCCTGCACGCAAGCATCGACCTCATGCATTGCTAGGTCATCTAGAGTATCCTTCCACTGAGCCGATAATTTGAGCTTCCTCATGGCGATTCGCATCCGAGCGGATCGTCGCCCTCCACACTTTGCCCACCTCGACTAAACGGAGTTTGGAAGCAGTATGCGTTCGATACTCATCTTCAGTAGGGACTTGCTCCGGGGTCGGTCCCGTCGTAGTCAGGACGTCCCCGGTCGACCTCCTGAACATCATTACGCGCTCCAACTTGGACGACAGCTTGAAGGTGAGATTGTTCAAATCTGCAAGTCCGGCTACCGTTTCAAGCTGGTGGGGTCTTCTGGGATCAGGAGGTTCAGGGGCCACCTGACAGGTCTCGCTCAGGTGCTTTGTCGCGTCCATACACGTGTCGTGAGTATCCCCGCTACCTGGCCTCACTGGCAATTCTAGAGTCCGGAGCAGCGGATAGTTGCGCTTCAAAGTAGTCGCCAAAGATTTCTGTATGAACGGTGCCTTCCTCAGCGCAAATCCTTTCAAGGCATAGATCGAAAACAGGCGACTTACTAACGCATCATCTTTCAACTCGAGAACACCTCCGAACGCCATGATCGACAGGTCCTTCAGACTCGTCAACGCGCGGTGTCCGTGCGTCAAAGCATGCAAGGCGAGTTGTATCGATTGTGCATCTGCCACGCTCGGAATGTCGACGCTGGTCGCGTATTGGCGGACGAGGTTGAGATGGAGGACCTCGATGCGGATGCGTTGCATGGACTGAAGCATATCTACAGTCGCTATGTAGGTTGCGAGGTCCATGTTTGCTCCCTGGAAGTCTACTTCCAGGAGACTGGGTGCATGACAGATGAGAGCATGCAGGTTGCCGATATTCTGGGCGTCGACCGTCCTCAAGGTGGATGTCACTCTGAGACTCTTCAGGTAAGGGAACAGGGGTCGGTATTCCGTCGTACCATCCAAGGGGCGGATGAGACGAGGAATGTAGATCCCGCTCGGACTGTTCCTTATCTGGCGATGAAGAGAGATATCGGAGTCGTATTCCTTGCTTCCTAGCTTGATAGGATCAAATCGTATGGTCAAGGTTTCAAGCGAGCTACCGATCTTCTCGAACAGGCGCAAAGCACTGTGAGCGAGAAAATCGTCGCCAGGGTCTATCCCCAGTTCGAGGTCCCTGTTCAAGAGGGGTAATCGCGGAGATTAGTGAGTCGGCCGTAGGTTTAGACGTTATGCGAGATCGTTATGGCTCACCTGACATGACCGGCCCACGCCGATATTCGGTCCCATATGTCTTGTCTCGACTTGTCCGAATTGCTCGACAAGGCAGATAGGCTAACTCTGAGCTGACCATTGAGGAGAGGCCAGATGTTTGATCTCAAAGACTTGCAAGTCGTTGACAGTATCAACAAGACGTCCTTGGCAGCACGTCCGAGATCAAGCTTATCTTCGCAAGAGCCGCGGTTTTCTGAGTACCCGTTGAGCTTGTCGATAGCAGCTTTGTCAGGCACGCTCGATCTTGACCGACGGATGGACTCGTGAGTAGGCCCACCTTGAGCATGGGCGCTATCAAGATTGCTCGCTTGAGGCGAGGCAGTCCCGGTCGTGCGACTCGCCAGACCGAAGTAATCACTCCCCCAAGCGCCCTCGTTCGATATCGCACCGGTACTAACAGGTCCAAGAGGTGTAAGAGGAGCGGATCCTGGAGCGAGGTTGGTAGGCAGATCCATGTAGCTCCTGGCCGGTACGGCTAGCGTAACAGGGACAGGCTCGGATGGCTTCGGTTCAGAGAGCTCTTGTGTCCGCAGAGCTATACGGAGCCATAGCTCGCTCGGTATGCGCAGGACGGCAGGTTGCTCGTCAAACATCCTTTCCGGGCGGGTCTCGAGGAGGTTGATGGGGTCAACCCATGTAGAGGGCAGAAAAGTGTAGTGATGAAAACCAATCGTCCGGGATTGACTCAGTAAGTATAAGGGGGACGTGGTTAACTGTGATTGAGACCGTGCTTACATGCTTTGTACAACCTACAACTCGCAACTCGTGGCGTCCCCCCACTTTGTCAACACGGGTCGCAGCGTGACATCATCATCATCATGCCGAGAGAATGCCGAGAGATGCATCAATTCATCATCCGCGGATTGGGTTCGACACTCGCCTCTCTCCCCTTTTGTCTCGCGTTTCTGTGGGTTTTCAACTTTTGAAGGGCGTTGCAGCTCGGCGAACAGGATCCTGTTCATATGATCATCAACGTGATTCTGAACAACCTCCAGACCCTCTCCAGACCCCGCTTGTACAATATTCTGACAAGCAAGATCACTGGTGATCAAAACTACGAAACCAACCGGATTTAAAAACACAAAAAAGCCTTACAAAGACACAATATGGCTCCTTCCGCTTCCAAGCAAAAGGTGAGCAGTGACCTATGTCTTCCTGGCCAGTATAACCCGGGAATCACCACCATGCTGACTCGTTTATATCTTGGTCGAACGCTAGAGATTGGCTGAAAAGGTAAGATCGACCCTCCATCAGCTCGTAAAAGCGCGATGGTATTGACGGCATAAACCTACAGGCTGCCAAGGCGTCCGCTTCTGGTAAAGGATCAGTTGCCAGCACCGGTGCCAACACGCCATTGACTTCGGTCTCCGCTCCCGAGTCCGAGAACGGTGATGCCGGTGTCGACAGTGCCGCCGCCGCTATGGCCAAGCTCGCCTCGGCTACCGACCGGTACGTTCATATCGACGTTTTCTGTTGTGTAGGAGCCTGGTCGAGCGACGAAATCTAATTCTCTTCGTGCGTTTTCATATTCGGTCGACAGATCCGCAAACGGTGTTTTGGTATCAGACGTCAAGGGACGAGACATCAAGATCGATTCGTACTCGTTGTCCTACCACGGACGTGTCCTGATCGAAGGTGCCGAGATCAGTTTGAACTACGGTCAACGTTACGGTCTTTTGGGAGAGAACGGGAGTGGAAAGTCGACCTTTTTGAAGAGTATCGCCGAGCGAGACGTCGAGATCCCCGAGCACATCGATGTGCGTGATCACGAGCAGGCAATGTTCAGGCTCCGACCGTAATGCTGATGGACCGCCTTCATCTCGCTTAGATTTACCTTGTCAGCGGTGCCGTGGACCCCTCAGATGTCAACGCCGTCGACTACATTATCGCCTCGGCCAAGGAAAAGATGGAGCGATTGGAGAAGCAGATCGAGGACATGTCCATCGCGGACGAGGTCGACGAGTTGGGTCTCGAGGCCAAGTACGAAGAGCTCGAGGAGATGGGAGATGTCAACACTTTCGAGGCCAAGGCCGGAGCCATCTTGACCGGTCTCGGGTTCACCCAACCCATGTTGAGCAAACCTACCAAGGACATGTCCGGAGGTTGGAGGATGCGAGTGGCTCTCGCCCGAGCCTTGTTCGTCAAGCCTCATCTCTTGCTCTTGGACGAGCCTACCAGTCATTTGGACTTGGGAGCCGTCGTCTGGCTCGAGGCCTACTTGGCCACCTACAACCATATCCTCATCTTCACCTCGTAAGCGAACAAGCTGAACTGTATCAGAAGGAATCTCGGCTCACTCATGTTTTCGTCTCACAGGCACTCGCAGGATTTCATGGACAACGTCTGCACCAACATGATGGACTTGAACTTGCAGAAGAAGTTGGTATACTACGGAGGTAACTACACCACCTACGTCCGAACCAAGAGCGAGAACGAGGTCAACCAGATGAAGGCGTACAACAAGCAGCAAGACGAAATCCAGCACATCAAGAGTTCGTAATCGCTCTGATTGTCCCGCAGAAGCGTCGCCCTTCAATGAGCTGAACCAATCGTTTATTGCAGAGTTCATTGCTTCCGCCGGTACCTACGCAAACTTGGTCAAGCAAGCCAAGTCCAAGCAGAAGGTAAGAGAATTCACCGCAAGTCCAATCGACGCACAGATGGTTGACACGCACCAATGCCCAAACAGATTATCGACAAGATGGAGGCCGCCGGTTTGATCGAGAAGGTCGAACAGCCCAAGGTCTTGAGGTTCAACTTCGAGGATGTTGCCAAGCTGCCGCCTCCCAACATTGCTTTCAACGATGTCGCGTTCTCGTACTCGGGAGAGAAGAAGGACTACCTTTACCAGGGTCTCAGTTTCGGTATCGACATGGACTCGAGGTGGGTTTGACTGTGACAACTCCCAAGATTTGCCACGTGCTAATAATGTAATTCATGATGTCTGACAAATAGAATTGCCATTGTCGGAGACAACGGTACCGGTAAATCGACGCTGCTGAACTTGATCACGGGGATGCTGTCTCCTGTCGAAGGAACGGTGTCCAAGCACCCCGCCCTCAAGCTCGCCAAGTACTCGCAACACTCTGCCGATCAGCTTCCTTACGACAAGTCTCCCGTCGAGCACCTCGAGGCGACCTACAAGGCCAAGTACCCCGAGAAGGACATTCAGTACTGGCGACAGCAGGTCGGTCGATTCGGTGTCACTGGTGCCCATCAGACCAACCCTATCTCGCAACTCTCCGATGGTTTGCGAAACGTGAGTGTCCTGCCGGTTGAATAGTTTACTATGCAAACCGTTAGCTGACTCTTGTGCATGTTGTGATTCTGCACAGCGAGTCGTCTTTGCGATGTTGGCACTGGAGACCCCCCACATCTTGCTTTTGGACGAGCCGACAAATCACTTGGACATGGAGTCGATCGACTCGCTCGCCAAGGCTATCAACGAGTTTACCGGTGGTGTCGTGATCGTGTCCCACGACTTCCGTGAGTGTTGGCTACCGGGCGTGAATTCCGTGTATCCCAGCTAAGCAGTTCTTTTCGCGGTATTACAGGATTGATTAGCCAGGTCGCTCAGACCCTCTGGGAGGTCAAGGACAAGAAGATCATGGATCTCACTAAGCAGGACATCACCATCGTCGAGTACAAGAAGCAGTTGGCCAAGAGGAGTGAGTCGACATTGGCTATGCGCCTGCTCAACGCATCTGTTTTTATCGGGTGGCTTTCGCTGACCTGGTTTCTTCGCTTCCAACTCAAAAGGTCAAGCCCAGATCGAAAAGGCAGCTCTGCTTTCCAAGACTTCCACTGGTGGTAAATTGTAGAGGCAAAAATCAAAAGGCTGCCGTTCTTTCCGCGATTGTTTCACTTCTTGCTTGCGGTCCCCAATATTGCGATAGACTTGTCAGAGATTGTATCTTTTATATTGAGAGGCATGCTCACGATTCCCAATGTGATGTGACCGATTTGTTCAAAGCCGCAAAAAGTGTGGAAATCGTCGAAGCGGCTCAAATACGGTGCCGTTGGTTTGTTCCGTCCCGAACGCGATCGGAAGCAAATGTTGGAAATGATCATCCTCGTAGCGGGTTATCAATTTGGGCGGGCAATGCGGGCAAGCAGCTAGCAGGCAAGGGGCGAAATGCTCATGTCGTGTATCCTAATCAAGTCGCCATTCCTCGCTTTCGCATCCCTCCTTCCGCTCCAGGACAACGGAGAGCAGTATACGAGCTGCTTAGAAATCATCATTACGATCGCACCACCTCTATACGCAGCTATATCGATTGACAGCGTTCAACATGTTCGAGCTTCAAATCAAGAATGCCAGTGCGGACGTAGCGAGAAACGTGAGTCGACTTTCGATCCCAACGGTTGGGATACAGGGCCTATCGCTTACGGGTTTTTGGTGGGGTTGCAATAGGCATGGCGACTTTCTCGTACTCGAACTAGAAGCCTAGCGACGGCCGCGGGCGTCGACAAGCAGACTCAGTTCTCCCGCAAACTGGCCGATGGCCCTTCTTTCGACGATTTCGTTGGAGGAGATGAGATCGCACAGGGTACAAGGGTCAGCTTGGGTAACCTTAAAACGTCAGTCGATTTCCACTGTCATTTTGTGTTCGTCCTGTGTCTGACTCTCGTTGTGGATCACTAGGCCTCGTCTGCCCTCGCATTTGAAAGCCAAGATTCCTACAGGAGGATCATATGCAAGCATCAAGAAAGACCTTCGGGGTCTAGGTCTACACACCGTCTGCGAGGAGGCGAGATGTCCTAACATTGGAGAATGCTGGGGCGGCGGTAAAGACGGAGTTGAAGGCAAGCGTGGAGCGACCGCTACGATTATGGTACATCTATCTTTCCGAAGCCTAGGCTGCCGATCTCTCGCTAATTTAGGGGAATTTCTTCTTACAAACAGTTGATGGGAGATACCTGCACCAGAGGCTGTAGATTCTGCTCGATCAAGACCTCTCGAGCGCCTCCACCACTCGATCCCCACGAACCCGAAAACACGGCCGAAGCCATCAGCCGATGGGGTCTTGGTTACATCGTCTTGACTAGCGTGGACCGTGATGATCTGATCGATGGCGGATCGAAGCATATCGCAGAGACCATCATGAAGATCAAGCAAAAGTCAGTCTTCTCTCAAGCGAGATAGATCCGGCGCTGGGCAGGCGATACTTACCTAGTTCTGCTCGATTCTTACAGGGCACCGGATATCTTGGTTGAAGCCTTGGCTCCCGACTTTTCTGGAAACGTCGAGAATATCGAGACAGTGGCCCTATCAGGCCTCGATGTCTTTGCCCATAACGTCGAGACTGTACCTCGATGTACGCCTTTCGTACGAGATCGCAGAGCGAACTTTGAACAGAGTATCGGGGTGCTCAAACGAGCCAAAGAAGCATCAAGAGTTGCCGGACGCGAGGTCATTACGAAGACGAGTATCATGTTGGGAGTCGGCGAGACCGAAGCCGAGGTCAAAGAAGCTTTGCAGCGTGAGTCGCGCTTATTATAAAAGCTAGACTTGACGCTTGCTGACTAGATCGCCTCCAATATCACCTGGTGACAGGCCTACGAGATGTCGAGGTTGATGTCGTCACCTTCGGTCAATACATGCGACCCACCAAAAAGCACATGAAGGTCGACCGATACGTCGAACCGGCCGAGTTTGATGTCTGGCGTACGGTAGCCGAGAACATGGGCTTCTTGTATGTGGCATCCGGTCCCTTGGTCAGGAGCAGTTACAAGGTGAGTTTCTTCGTCTGCTCAACGCTTCCACAAATTGCTCACTTCTCTAAACGTTGATGACAATCAGGCGGGCGAATTCTTCCTGCACAATGTTCTTAAGAAACGGAGGGAAGCGGCGGCCAAGGTCGATGCTGGCAGGTTGGTCGCCGCCGGTGAAGCCGCGGTTCAGCTAGACTCGCACAAGAACAAGCAATAATAGTCGCGGTCTGGTACGGTTACCGTTTGTATTATTCTGGACGCCTACAGGTATGCTGCATGACGTTTACACTACATGACAACCATGTTGTATACCGTTGCCATGGGTCCTTTTTTGACTTTGCTGCCGAGAAGAAATTCCGAGGAGATGATCAGGCTCCATTTAGGTTTGATTCGCGTTCGGACGCGTTTTGATCAAATATGAGGGGTCCCTTGATGATCGCTAGGGAAATAGGTAACGAGGTCGTCATGCTATGACTTGTTGCTCCGGTATCGCCTTGGATAGTGTATCAGGCTATCAGGATCTAGAACGGCTCAGCAGACCGCGACAACATAGCTAGAGACATCGACTCTACTTTCAGCGGAGCTGAACTCGGACCACCGTGCGGGTTTACATCATATCCAGGCGATCAATGTTCAGCATGTACCCGTGGTGACGGGCTGGTACAGCAACGCAATTCGAGAACTTTCGTCAGCACCTGGTCAGGATCAGAATAGGCAACAGTAAGGAACAAGTTTACGTATCTCTTTCGTCACCCCTGGCCGAATCGGTGCCGGACATCGCTGGACTCCATTGCACAAGAGGCGACTTGCTTGACGCATACGCCTCGCCGGGTCTTCTTGAGGGTTATCGATGGAAGGCTTCGACCAGCCAAAGGCTCGTACTGTCATGCAATCGCCAGGCTATGGCAACTTCATCCAACCCTCAGCGTTCAACATGACAACGTCCGACGATCATCATGATCTATCTCCTGATGCGGTTCCGGATATCGCTCAGGTCTTTACCATGTACAAGCTGAACGAGCCCGTGGAGAGGCCACCATATAGGCAATCTCGCACGCATCCAGAGACAGGTCACTGGAGTACTGGCGGTACATCTTCGGCCAACCAAAGCGAACTTGCGAGCCGAGGTATCGACCATGGAGAACCTTTGCTGCAGCAAGCCGCAAGTTCCGATAGGCCTTACCGGAACGCTAGCCCAGAAAAGCGAGCGAGAGAGAGGGCGCCCGTACATGGTCGTAGCTCTACATATGCAGGCATGGCACCTGCACCTAGCAGACAGCGAAGTGGGATCGGAGATGGGTACGCCAGAACATCCCCAAGTAAAGACTATCATCAGCGCTACACGGCTCCGGTACCCGGCGAGGGGGTCTTTGTGCGACCTTTGACCTCCGAATATTCCGGGCCGTCATTTGATAATTTCGGCATGAAATCGCCGGACGCCAACTCGGAACCATCAGATGACAGCCTTGTGACCGATGGCGCGGTCGAGGAGACTTTTCAAGGCAGAGCGTCCATCTATCATCCCAACGAGGTCTCAGACAGCTCGTTTGCGAATTTTTCCCGGTCCACGTCCGTCAGCTCTTTCGGCCAGCGATCGCAGGGACTACCCAGTCCTGTTGTCACGGATAGATTATCAAGTCAGGCTCTGGACTTGATCGATGAGGGGAAGAGCAAGACGATCGACTCGGCTCGAGTCGCACGTTGGGGAGGTCCGGTCCAGCTTGTGACGAGGCTGGAGAACGAGAAAGCTGGTCAATTCGATGGGGGCGTTATTGAGGATCTGAAAGGTAAGACACACGAAGTCGTACAATCGAACCGCCTGCAGACCACTAACGCAAGAACACAGGCTCTACCCATGTGCTGCTGTCTTCTCATGAGCTTCGAAAACAGATCTTTCCGCTCTTAGCCGCGCTCCTGCCTATCATATGCGGCAGTTTGGTTGTCCTTGACGTCCATGACAGTCTACTGCAGGGACTGCCAGACGGCCTTTCTCGGTGTCATGCTCTCGAGGAACTCAATATATCCGGAAATCCGATATCAGAAGTGCCAATCTGGCTAGGAGAGCTGGTCAACTTACGTGTAGCGATGATGGACGATTGCAACTTGCGGTCTCTACCTGCGTCTTTGATGGCTGCGCAACACTTGCATACCATCTGTGGTCAGTGTGACTGCCGTCGTATACGTATAAGTCAAAAGAGCTAACCACAAAGCGGCGTCTTCTACAGTCCGCCGAAACCGGCTCATATCCTTGCCGTCCTGGCTGTCTCAATTGCCAAGACTAGAGATGCTACTTATCGATGGGAATCCCTTCGTCGGTCCATGGAAAACCTTGAGCGAAACAATCAACGCTCCGTCAGCTGCAACTCGCAATTCTCAGGTGCTCGAGCGAACAAATTCCTTCAGCAGGCAACCTCGAGAGGTCGTTAACGACTTTACCATCAGATCTACAGCTATGATGCAACATCTCGATAATCAAGCCGCGAACGTCGCGACAAATAGCACGCAAGTTTTTGAGCAGAGTTCGCATGCGGGTCTGCCAGAAGAAATCAGCCAAGGACCGAATCGGACTCCCAAGGGTTTGCGACGAATGCAAAGCGCGAACGCTCTTTTGAGCGTAGGCCCGGAACACGATCGGCGGCCCCAGATGCACGTCACGGCTTCGGCAACAGCAACTTTGGGCAGGGCAGGACTAGGGCTTGCACGAGATGACCGTGCTGCTGCGATCAGCGACGAGGAAGACGATATGGAGATCCTGTCGATGCCTAAAGATGAACCGGCTGTCACGAATAAGGGGCGCAAATGGGGTTTTTTGAGGAAGATGAGCATGGGCAAGATGCGGGCGTCCTCCCTTAACAACAACCAAACAGCCCCTCCTGTGCCTGAAGTTCGAGGGCGGATTTCGTCTGCACCCAGCCAAGAAGGTTCGATCAAGAGGAAACTGCAAAAGCCCACGTTGGAAAAGCTCGATGTTTCTGGTCAGAAGACCACCTCCAGATATGATAGAGGGAAGCGGCGGAGTTTCTTACCGATCTTGGAGGGGCCTCCTTTGTTGAACGTCGCAATTCCCTCGTTTTCTGCCTCGCCCTTCAGTGTCTCGACACTGTCTCTTCACGGACCGAGCGAGAGTGATAGTATGGGCAAGGCATCGGCCGTCGAGTCCCCCGCTTCCTCGATTAACCCTCCATCGGGACCGTCAAGCAGAGGATCTCAGCCCGCGAGCGCGATGACATATCAAACCGGTCTCAAGTCGGTTATTTCCTACTTGGGGGATCTCTATGATCTATCGCTGCCGGTCCCAGCAGTCTTAGGCGGCGCCGAAGTCATACAGAGCGAACCTGGAACCGCTTCTGCATCTATATCGGTTACGTCTGAGGCTAGATCCGGCGCATCTTCACCTCATATCGGGACGAATGCCGAGCCGAACCGGCATATGGGGATCCGAAACCCGACTCCCCAAAACATCGCGTACGACCGATCGAGAGCAGAAGCTTCTCCTAACGGACCACTATCGCCTGCCCTGACCGACAGATCCGGGACTGGTGAATTGCCATCTTCACGTCGACCTCCTTCTGTAGCCAAGGCGGCGGAGGAAGTGGCAACATCGCTCAAGCGCTATAAGGACGATCCTCTTGTACGGCATGGCGTGATCAAGCACATCATCGAGTGAGCGTTCTTCAACAGTCTAACCGGTGGAATCACTATGTATACTGATACACCTCTTCATGACCAGTACCGAGCGAAGCTATGTCCGGGGCCTGCAAGACTTAGTGTCGATCTACGTGAGGCCGGCCTCTCAGCCAATCTCTAAAGGAGACATGGAGACGGTAATACCAGCCAACGAAAGAAAGATCGTATTCGGCGGAGTCGAGGGAATCTTGCAGTTCCATTCCCAAAGTTTCCTTCCCGCCTTGGAAAAGGCTGCCGAGCCGCTACTTCGTTCCAAACAAGCGTTGAACGGAGACAGCTCGCAGCGATTGGCAATACACATCGCCAACGTCTTCAAACAATATCACCCCTTCATGCGCCAATACTCTGCTTACATCAATAATTTCGACTATGCGTTGATGCGTCTGGAAAGCTGGACTGGTGCTGCTGAGAAACTCGCAGCCCATCAGGGCTCATCTCAGGTTGAAAGTAACTCAGGTCACCACGCGGACGCGACATCGTTGACGGCAGGTGCTATAACTGCGGGTTTGGGAATCGCCTCTGGTGGCCCACTAGGCAAGAGCGGTAATGCTCCGAGTCATACCGGTCTGACAGTTGCCCAGAGAAAGCGCATCAAAAGTTTCCTGAAGGTAAGTTCATCGATCAGGAAGGCATTCAGATAAACTGCTGAACCCGTTCTTTCGTAATAGCAATGCCGCAAACATCCTCGCCATACTCAACTGAACCTGGAAAGCTATTTGCTCTTGCCGGTTCAGAGAATTCCTCGTTATCGCATGCTAGTAAGTCATCTTGATCGTCCCACTCTTCATGTCTCTCTTGTTGATCGGGAGGTCTCAGTTGGAAGATCTAGCTCGATGCACGCCGCCGCATCACGACTCTTTCGGGGATCCCATCGAGGACGCCTTGCAGGAAATGGTCACCTTGGCTTCCACCATGAATGAGGAAAAGCGGGACTCTGAATCCAGGCGGAAACTGGTCAAGTGAGTTGGACGTTATATAGACCACTCAGCGGGCTGCCTGCTGACGTTATGACATCTCTATGTCCAGATGGCAGCAACGCATCCGTGGTCGGTTTGCCACCCCGTTGGTACAGGCTCACCGGCGTCTTTTACTCGACGGTCAACTGGTGATCACAAGGAATGTCAAACGATCTGCGACTCTGGTGGAAGTACCTGAACATATGGTCAACGGCGACGACAATCACGACCGCACAATCACCAGTGCCAAGAGCATCGTTCAGGTCGAGACACTGGCGCCGGAAGTCATGGAACGGCCTGTACTGGTGCTATTAGCAACAGACATGATGCTGCTCTGCAAAGACCCATCGCATGGTCGGGATCCCGACTGTACGGTGGAGCTTTTTGCGGTACTCAAGTTACAAACCAAGCGCAGACCTGCCAGTGTCATCAACGGCAACGGCATACGCTTGGTGGACAATCGAGTGAGCAGCAGAAATGCCATCGGCTTATACACCGACGAGAAGCGCTAAACAGATCATTCGCTTTACAGAACATCCTGTATCTATCGGCTCCCACACCTCACGACGCTTATACTTGGGTCCAGACGATCAACGACTCTTTCGAGAGCACCCGTTGAGAATTACGCATATTATCGAGACAGGTCGAGCATTGTATCGTATTAATTGCTTCCAGGTCTTGATGATCCAGTTCCAATTTGCATCCCGGCTCGCGATACAAACGGGAAATTGACTTATAGGTCATACCCCACGAGTCCGGTTATGGACTCCGACGGCACTGTCGGCCGTGAATGCTAATGCAGTGTCTGACAATAGCAACTTACATTGTTTACAGTATGCAATTGTAATCTCCCGGGAGACGCATCGTCATTTCACCCTTTTTCTTAAGACAGGTCGGACTTTCTATCGTATAAGATGCGTCTGCGGTGATACATTCAGGTCGGTCAGGCGGTTGCGCGAACGTTTAGCGAGGCGGCAAGTTTTTCTTCCATTGCTGCAAGGAATTCGGTCAGCAAAGGCGACATGGCTTAGGTGCGTTTGTCTATACTGACGCCGTGGTCGTATTGGGTGAAATCGTCACTTTGAGCAATGTTTTTCAGCTGCAGCGTGCAAGATACCTGATATCAGACTACCCGTCACCTCGAAGATACGCAATAGAGGGATACTGACATAACGGGAAAGCTTGATTAGTTGGTCGTCAGGAGTGGCATTAGTTGCGCCGTGGTAAGCACGAATCTGTGGAGAAAGACCCAGATAAGTCTTGCGTTAAGTCCATGTGACCGTACTACCAGATGGTCGATACTCACTTTGAGCCCTTCGTGGGGGTTGAGCGCAAAATTTCGGCTCAACTACAGTGCGATCGAAAGCCTGGTCAGTACCCTCAAGCACGATTTCGGTCGAAGTTGATAGCCTACATCATCAATGTGTATCCTGAGGGGAATGAAATGTTTGTCAGCCGCAAAAACGGTATAAAGTACCGAAAAAGACGATTTACGTATTCTTCGCGGTCCTGGTTACGGACAGAACGTCAGGTCTTCGTCATCCATACTCGAAGTATAATCCACTTACCACTGTCCTTGGAACTCCGGTTGTTGCCAGAGGAACGAAAGCGGTTTGACCTGGTTCGTTGCTATGGTGAGCATGTACGCCTTTATGTCAAGATGGTTATCTACTTGCCTCGTGCTTGTATTTTTGTCCGTTCTTCTGCCCAAAAATGGGGAACATGCTCTTGCGGTCACAAACGCATAGCAACTGGATAACAAGGCTCGATTCAGTTGTCAAAACCTAGTCTCGGGCTCACTATCTGTGACTCACCTTGTGCCTTTTCGACTCGTCACCAATGATTCCGCACTCGTAAAGCTTGCTTTCCAACCACCAGTAATTGGTTTGTGACCTGTCGGTGAAATGTCTAAAGTCGTCAAGCAAAGGCGCACTCGCTGACAAGGCCCAGAACGTGCCCACCAGATCACTATATCGTAGTCCTCGTACTGTATCGAGTAGCGCTTCATGTCAGCTTCCTCCCGTATGTACAAGCTTGCGAGTAAAATCCTGTGTACTTGCCGCCTTTTCCAAGAACTCGTGCAATGTCGGTCTCACGCATTCGAGCGGAGGTAGGCTGCCCGCCAACAAGGGCTTCGAATCGACTAGAGCTATTTGAAGAGATCGTTGACACTCCAACTGCACCATACGGGTGAGAGAGGTACTTACTGTAGTCCAAATCGAGGACGAGCAACTTTGACGATTTCGTTGATCAGCATCTCTTACCGGTAACACGAAATCGAAAGCTTACTTTCTTGCCAGGTCGGGGAGGATTGATGAGCTGTTGCCATTTCAGAGCAGGTTAGGGGATATCAGCGAGATGCTGAGAAGGTGAAAGATGGTGGCTAGACGACTCACATTGATTGGGCATTCGCTGATCTTCTGAGTGATCAGTCGGATGTTCCGCGGATCGTCCGCCGGAGCGACTGCCGTTTCCCCACTACCATCTGCGTCTGTAAGAAATCAGCAAGGCTCGGCTTAGCGAACACGTAGGTAGTCTGGGAAAACAAAGGGTCCGGACTGACATGCGACGTCGAAGTTGTCAGACGTATCGGGGAATTGAGACAGGTTCAATTCGTGAGGATCCTTGAAGGTCTTGTCTTCCGGTGTTCCGACGAGGACGAACTTGGACTTTGGAGGAACGCCGAGTTGAGATCTGAACGGTAAGAATCTTAGGTCAAGAGGGTATATGGTATACTGAAATGCTGGTGGTCACTTACACTAGGCACTCATCCCCTGGAAGCTTTCCCTTTACAAGGCCGATATACTTCTGTCGTTCGGGCGGCACCGCCGTCTCGCTTTGGACGGCGGACTATATACCACTCTTCTCCATTAGTGGAGATCTGGATCGATATACCAGTTGAAACTTGCCTTGAGATCGTACACCCTACAAAGGATAGGGTGTTTTTAAGTGAAGTGCGAAAACCTCGAGTTGAACTATGTGCTTACCGGTCAGTTCCTCGCAATTCAAGCTGAAAGGGCTTGCCAGCCCAGGTGAAGTTGAGAACAAAGGCCTCATCCTCGATTGTTTCCCCGACCGATTGAGTCGAGAGGCTTCCGGCGAGCGGCTTGAGTCCTTCAATTTCTGTCGGGAGCGTCTGAGCCTCGAGGTCCGGGCTGGCTCTGATCAAGTCGTCAGGGGGTGATTCATCGTGCTGGCTCGACATCTTGGCCCGGTTTGCGTTCTTTTATCTGGAAGTCTTCAGCCTGGGAGCATGACTAGACCGGAAGAAGTCTATAGCTTGATAGTCGAAGTTCCTTTTCCTTCCTCTGTGTACTCTGTCTGTAATTATGCCATAGCAATCATGGGTTCCTTCCTACCTTTGTCCTCAACAGATCGTCGCTCAAGACCGACGACGATAGCGCCGGATGCTAATTCTACTTCCGAGAGCGAGTGACGGCAGAAAAGTGGAGGTCGACGTTCGCCGATCGATCGAGCGAGGTCATGGCGAGCTTCATCTATAATATACAACGTTTCGTCTTGGATTGACGAGATCATTTCGCCTCTGAACTCTCGACATACCTTTGGCTTCAAGACCAGACTACAACCGTCGATGAAGATGTCCATTCCTAGCTCTTACCGAGTCAACCCTTACCCCTCGGCTTCGTTCCCCAAACGATTCTCTTACTCGCTGCAAGACCTCGCTCCGCACGATAATGCCCCTGCCACCGACTTTTACGTGTACAGCCGGATGGTCCACCATATCGACGAGAACGCCGTAGCCGAGTTTGAACAAGTTTTACGGGGACGTCTTGCCTGCTCCCGTGGTCGCTTCGGTAGGAACGGGGAAGACTACGCCGACGGTGTTACCTAAAATACTCGACCTGGCTAGCAGTTGGGTCAGCCATATCCCCCTCAAAGACAAGGGCGGAGCCATCTTCCCTCGAAACCGGGTCGTCGGCGTTGGTCTCAACGCACAAGAGTTGAAGGCGAATCCGATCTTGAGTCGTTACAAGGTCCTCGACCTGGACGTGCAGCCGGATATCAAGCAGGCCTTGTCGGACGGGACGGAGAAGGGGGAAGCTTTTCAGGCAGTCAGCCAGATGATGGGAGAGCAGGCAGCGACCCCGGAACCCCCGTTCGATGCGGTCATCTGTAACGTCTCGATCGATTACTTGACGAGACCTTTGGATGTCCTGTATCATACCGCCAACGTCATCAAACCTGGCGGTTGGGTCTACTTGGCCATCTCGAACAGATGTTTCCCGACAAAGGTACGTCCCATCCATCCGGATTCACCACCGCAACTGTCTGGTCTGATATATTTTGTTGTGACGGTTCTTGGTAAACTCGATAGGTCGTGCGTCCCTGGCTCAACCTCTCGGAACCCGAACGTCTAGACCTCGTCGCCTCCTACTTTCACTTCGCCGGCACTGCCTACTCGCCATCTCCGCCCTTACCGAAGACGACGGTCATGAAGCAACCTGCTCGGCCTGACGATTCCGGCTATCCCGGTATACAGCCGGGTGGACTGTATGAGCAGATCGAGTCGATCGAGGTCGTCTCAAGGGAGAGTCGATCGGATCCTTTGTGGGTCGTCAGGGCCAAGCGAAGGTCGGATTGAGTCATGTCTATTCTCCACTGTATCGTCATGTCATGTATTTCAATGTCACAGCTGACTGTACGCGACCTCAATTCGCAGGCGTGGCACGTCCGTTGGCTTCTGGTATCATGCTTACATCGCTTATCAATCGCACCTTGGTCACAGCCTCAAAGCTATACGCTCTTTCGTTTCTTCTCTGCTGCTGATTCCGCTTTGCGCTTGATCTCTTCAACTTCCTCGTACACCCTGGACATCTGGATCTCCCGAAACATGCGTGTATCGATCGAGCCTTCCTTTATCCGTTCGGACATGGCCTTTGCTAAGCGGAAGTAGCGCCATAAATCCTCTCGCTGCAGTTCGGTGTGCGTCATGGTAATCAGCCGTCTGTCGGTTTCGTGCTCAGTACAAGTGGAAAAAGCCGGCTTACAGGTGTTCTTTCCAGTCCGCTCGTACTTGGCACGACCCAGAACAGGGTGTCTGACTCGGCGCGATCTCCTTCTGCTGGATGGACCAACTTGTAGCTCCTCGGTTGAGTCCAGTCGAAAGCGGCTTTTGGCTTGCGCTTCTTTCCCGTACCGGAGGGACTTGACTCGGGCTTGATGTCGGTAGCGTCCGGCAAAGTTTGAGCGTCGTCGATCGACACAAGCGACGGTCCTTCTTCCAACTTGACTGGGTCAGGTTTGGTGTCCTCGTTCTGCGGCTCGTTCTCATTGTCTTGCGGCAAATTCAGTTCGATCGACTCCCATACCATTTCCGGCGCGTCGCTGGCTTTGCGAACAATGTCCTCAAACTTGTCCCAGATTCCCTTCCCGACGAAACATACCAGGCCCGGGCGGTATCGTTTCAGTTTCTCCAGTAAGGATGGTACGGCGAGTCGCATCTCATGGGCGGACAGTTCGGCTGCCTGAGGGCGAAAATTGAGATCAGATCCCGCTGTCCGCTGCATGAATGACCTTTTGACTTGCCTCTGACGTCGGGCGGGGCACAAGATTCGTCTGGTTCAAATCCAGAATGTCAGCCATGAGAACTCGCTTGACGCAGTACTGGTTGAAAGCCTATCTCACCAATCCGAAATTGAATAGCTCCGGCATTAGGTGATCGTCCATAGCTGTGAAAGGCTTGTCCGTGAAGCCTGAACCATCGAGGTAGAGTTAGGGCTGAACACACGATGTCTGGATACAATGAGAGCTTCTCACCTCCTCTATATAATGCTCTGAGCGAAGGTGGATTTCGCATAAATATCGTGACAGAGCGTATCACGGCGAGCCCGTGCTTACGGCCAGAACTTGTTGGTCGGGTGGGCGAAATGATGTCCGAGTGTGGCCGACATCTTCCCGGGACTATACAATCGCATCAAGCTCAGTCAAGATTCACTATCTGTGTTCTCAAGGACTCACTTGATGCCAGAGAAGATCACTGCGATATTCCAGACAGGATTTATTGACAAAGTGAGCGTGTCGTCAAGCTCGAGCGATCATCTGAGCAACAACTCACCATCTAGACCCTCTCTCAATCTATCTGGTAGCATATCCAGATGAGCATATACCTCTGGAGCTGCGTACCCCCGAGGGATCTTCTTCGGTTTCTCTCTTGCAGTTTCTAATCGCCTTCGTTTCGAAGATCGCTGAGTACTGTCGGACATGTCCGATGCATCGATCGAATCGAGAGTAGAGTCGCCTGCATCGTAGTCCGTCCCGTGCCCGGTGTAGGGTCTCTTTCCTGCAGACGACTTGGATCTGGTCGTAGCTGGCGTGCTTCCCGGACTCTTCTTGATCTTGGGGGAAGGAGTGTGCGGGACAGATCCTGCTGCCTTTTCAGGTGTAGTCGTCTGTACATTGCCGGCGCGAGATGGTCCGCCTGGCTTGCGAGGTGATCGGACGCCCGGTTCGTATACGAACCGCGAAAGATGCTGGCTAATTCTGGAGGAGCTTGGTGATGAGGCTGACATAGCTCGTGGTAAACCTGATGCTGATTTCTGGCTACGGGAACGTCGCGGCATAGCATCATGCATCATGCATGTTACTCGTATAATCGTAAAGCTCACCGTGATGACGTGTTGGTTATTTTGTTTTTGCCAAATTGAAGCGCAACTTGCGCTTACTCTCAACTTCGAGCGGGGTTGGGGTGACTGATATCATCATCAAGTTCAACCTGAATCAGCAAACATTCCGTCTTCTCAATCACTTGGCATCTCACAGGTACTCTCGCACACTACGTCGTCTTCTGTCCTTACGATTTTGTGATTTTGATTCGGGAGGAATTTGCCGTCATGCCGGTCACCTCAAAGGTGAGCATCCCACCTGCCCTCATAACTTTGCCTCTACGACGGTTATGGACAATCACGCCCGCTGACCTCTTCCCTATAATGACCTCGTTTAGACCACGCTCAAGCGTATCAACAAGGAAATCGCCGACTTGCAGAAAGAAGACGTCGGCGATATTCTGCTTTACCCGCAAGAAGACAATATCCATCGATGGACAGGCTGGATTCCCGGACCTGACGATGGTCCATACCAAGGTGGACAATTTGAATTGAAGATCGACCTTCCTACCGACTATCCGTGAGTAGATGGCTGAGAAAGGGATATACCACCGCTCGGCATGCGAAGCCGATTTTGACCTTTGTTGCATAACTCAGCTTCTCTCCGCCTCGCGTATCCTTTGAGACCCCTATTTATCACTGCAATGTCAACGCTGGCGGGTCCATCTGTGAGTCTCAGTTTCGAAAGACAAGCACAAGGTGATCCACGACTAAGCCTTCAAACCTTTTGTTCGCTGAATCAGGTCTCGATGTAAGTGGAATGATCATGTCAATAACCGCGACAAAGAGGCAAGAAGCAAGAAGCCTAATCTTCAAGACTGTCTCACGTAGATTCTCAAGAACAACTGGTCCCCCGCTCTCTCGCTTTACAAAGTCATGCTCTCCATCTCGGCGCTCCTTTGCGAACCCAACCCGAACGACCCGCTCGTGGGAAACATTGCAGCACAACTAAGGAAGAACAAGGCTCAACATGATCAGATTGCCAAAGACCACACGAACCAGTGAGCATGTGCGAGGACGTTGATGGTGCCCTATAGGTGCTAATCTTGTACGTCTCTGACCATGAATCAGTCACGCTGCCAGCGCTGCCAACCTGCAGAAACGCGAGAACTACAAACAGTCTCTCCTGTCGAGCGGAAAGCTAAAAGACGGCGCCTCCAAACCCTCGACCCCTGGACCATCCTCTTCGACCCCCCGAACTCGATCTCCCGCCGGCCTGCGACCTACCACTGCTTCCGGACGACCTGTAGCCGGGACGGCGAGAGCAATTTCTTCTACTTCTGTGAATGCGGATGCTGTGACCGCGTCGTCTGCTGCGAGATCCACGAATGGAGATTCACCTGTGGATTTGGATGCGGAGATCAAGAATTCGATTACGCAACCGGCCGTTCGAGCGGGAACGAGGAGGACCGCGACCGATGTGGTGGATATCACCGAAGAAGGAGATGACGATGGGGCCGACACAAGCTCGAGAAGGGTCAGGCCGAGGCGCGACGACGGACGGGGAAATACAACCGACGACGCAATCGTTGTCGATTAGACGAACCTTGGACTACTCGAGGCGTTCATCGCACTTCAAATCTACGATCATTACGACATGACATTTCCTCTCACACGACCATTTACGAAGACAGACAACTTTCTTCACAACAACAACATGATGTAACATCCCAGACGAAACGGCCTGATCGCCCCGTTCTACCCGACAGCACATCACATCACGCACACATATATATGTCTCGAGCACATTTTGTATATCCTAGTGCATCATTCGACACGATCTGCCTCTATATTGTATGTCAGCTCTAAGCCCGACACAATGAGCACACGGTTTCCAGTTGAAATTTCGACATCGATCATGCTCATCCGGTTGTCTACCTCGGCTTGGTCTGATGATGAACAGGAGAAGTCGGTGAATGTGCATTCTGGGCGCTCCTGTGTGCTGCTATGGACCGGTCGCCGCCGATTTCTCCAGTCGCGGTGTTCAAGAGAAAGACTGCGTATACTAAGGCAAAAAGAATGATTTCTTTGAGGTCGATCGATCTTGTTGAAAGATGGATCTAGAACCCGTTGGATAAATACTACGCTCTCAAGAGTATTGAGAGGTTGTTCGGAGGTTTCTTCCCACTCCTGTTGAACATGAAAGGCTTACTCCCGGTCGACACAATAAATGTGAATTGACTAGGCGAGACTGATCTGAAGACTACTCCACTCGTTCGGTGCCTTCCGGACCGCAACCACTACATGGTACCAGATGCTGACTCATGACTGAGTGCCAAAGACACAAGTCATGAAGCCACCCTTTCGAGAGCGTGATTTTCGACGTTTCGCGCGCGGCGCTCTATGCTGGGAGCGCAAGGACCGACGTATGCGAACATGCAGCATGTTCAAAAGCATGTCTCGCCTCAGAAGCGATTATCTCGAACAATTGCGTTTCGTAGAAGGTCATCAGATGATCGAACGTTACTGATTAGAAATTATGCCCCTCAGATGTTGGCGAAGGAAACACCTACTCAGGACAAGCGCTTCTAGGCCATCAGCTTGCCTACCACAGGGAATAGTCGTGCTTATACGGAACAAGGAACCACACAGGAGCCAAGCATTCTGTATACGATAAAATCGATCCTCTTGAACGGAAAGGGTACCACGAAAGCCTCCATAGCCGATGCCTGAGCTTGTATATCTTCATGCATTTTTGCCACCCTGATACCCGAACAGTGACTCTGACACATGATGGGATTCTTTTTTGTATACGAGTGTCATCCGCGTGAGGCCGTCGTGAACGGCCGCGGACTTATGCTCAACACGATTACGGTCCATTTGTCTTCTGCTATCCATAGTGTTCCATCACATGTAGCACAGCCAAAGATGCTGTGTGAGGCACGATATAAAACCCGGGCGTCGCGTTTACGTACGGGAAGAAACCTGAGAGGATTGCTGTCTAATTGTGTTTAACTTATTTGTGAATTGGCCTGCACATCGCCACATCCGCTTGCAGGCTGCCACCGTCGTCATCAAAGTGTGCAGGTTCGTTATGGAGCTTGAAGCGCGGCCTTTTGGAGACGAGTGAGGTTAAATTTGACGATGTTGTTGGTGAAGTAAACCCATATTTCAGAATGAGGAAGAGTAGCCTTCTATAATCTAGGGGAACACAAGGCCAAGGTGTGGTAATGAGAACACGGTATCTGTTTGATCCATGATGGTCGATGAATACCTTACCTGCAACTATGGCAGCGGGCTATTCCCATAATCCACAACATTCGCATGATGGCAAGAAAGGTAATGGGCCGAGCATATTGCTAGCTCAAGGCGTATTTCGAGTTAAACGCTCATATACCTAACCCTCAGTATGACCGGGACTAAACATTTGTTACATCATCCAGAGATTAGAACAGTATGCGCTTGAGAAGGTGTTTAGTACGAGTAACCTAGATGTACTAGTCGAGGGCAAAAGTATGGCATCACCCGGAAGCATTAGAAGGAATACAAATATATTGTGCTCGTTGAAAGGGACAACACCGTAATCGGAATGTGAAGGTGTAGGGTAGGTGCGTAGACGAAGAGGCTAAGACTGGTACGAATGCAAGCATTCGAAAGAGTTACGCTTTCCCCATGCGGCATTGCGCAAGGTCCAGGGCCTGTTCAGAAGAAGGGCACCATCTATTCGTTTTTCTGGTTATTGACCCCAGCAATCAAAGTTGTGCGTAGAACACGGGTTGAGTTTACGCTGACTATTGGTTCAGTAGTGTTAACTAAAAAGGTTTTAGATTCAGTCTAGACGCCGCTTCTTGGTCGTATAAGCATGCTCCGTCTTTCTGCGTGGTCTTCTAATCTGATCTCTTAGCGGGTCTGCTGAACCTAATTCGAAGCCCAAGCCATTGGTACGCATCGGACGTGACGGTGACTGTGTCACCGCGAGTTGAAGGAGCGCAACGAAACAGTGAGGTTGGCCGGGCGGAGATCGAGTGCGGACTGTACACTGATATGCTTGAATGCAATACAACGATTTGTGCTGATACAAGTGTGTCTCGTGAAATGGATACGATGTAAGAAATATGCTAAAGCCACGATCGCTATAGCTCGTCGTCCTTGTAATTGGCCATGGGATCGTCGAAGGCTGCTGTACGGGTAAGTCGGTAGGCCTCTGTTCGCGGAAAGAGGTCAGCTCAATGATTCGCTTCATGAGGATGGCCGAAGTCGACTTACCCATATCCTCTTCCGTGACGTCGGTCTTTGAACGCTTGGCTTGATTCCATGCCTCATCCTCATCCGTAACGCCTTTCCTCTTCTTCTCCGCAGCGATGGCCGCCTTCAATCTTTCCTTGTCCAGAGCGATCTCGTCGCCTTCGCCAAGACGACCCTTGGAGAAGTTCTGCTTGACTTCGGGGTCCGCGGGACCCTTGCCCTTGCCGGTCGCGACATTCTCAAGGTGCTGCTCTGCTAGCGACTTCTGCTGTGCTCTTTCGGAGTCCAGCTTTCGTTGTTCCTCCCTTGCACCGGCAGACTCGAGCATCTTGTGAATCGTGTTCTCCTCATTTGCAGCAATACCCGCTTTGCCCGTGCAGTAGCTTCCGGGAACTGGTTGGTCGGAACAAGATGAGGTGAGCTGACTCGTCCGGTCCTTAGTTTGCACCGTTTAAAACTTACTGGTAAGATGACAACAAGCAAAGCCCCAAATACCCGACGCCAGGTCGTACCACGAGCCCCATACGCTGGTGTGGTTGTTGAGCAGGACTGTACGCGTGTCGTCAGTAGCTTGAAGATGCGAGTCTAGGAAAGGATCCGAAAGACTCACCATCCTCATCGTACTTGGACTTGGCCTTTGCCCGCTCTTGTCCCTTGATGACCGTTCCCGTTCGAGAATACTCGACGTCTTTGGATAGGACAGAAGGATTTAGCCACTGATCACAACGCCATAAGAATTAAAACAGGCTTGTACTCACAGTTCTCGGTCTGTCCGGTCAAGAGCTCCTTGGGAACCTTCTCAAGATGCTCGGCACCTCCATACTTGGCCAAAATGCTGATCTTGTTGGTGTCCCGCAACTGCTCCTTCTTCTCCTGGAAGTCCTTGTGCAGCAACTCTCCTTGCGTCGGGTTGGCGTTCATGTGTACGTCGTTCCCTCGTGCAGCAGATTGCCAAGCGAACAGTTGAAGCTTTTGAATACGAGCCGCATCTCCCGAGTATCGTTGGAAGTTGTCTCCGGCGAATGTCATCTGTTGTCGTCGTCAAGATCAAGGGTTGTGAGCAAGAATCGACGTATGATAACGGGAATTCGCCGGCTTACCTCTTCAGGGTTACCCTTGACTGGCGCATCTCGCATCGATCGGGTCTTGGGATCGTAGTATGCCGACTCGGTATCCAAGTTCAACAGATACTTGGCCGTGTCCTCTCGAATACGCAGGTTCCTGACCGACACTCGGTTCTTGGTATCCAGCTTCTGACCGACCGCATCCCCCTCGTCCGCATACTTGTCATCGTCATGCTCATCCTCGTCGGAAGAACCAAAGGCATCGTCGTCCTCAGTCTTGCCTTTCTTGGCAACAGCCGCAAGCTCGGTCGACGTCTGCTTGTCCACTTCTTCCTCTCGCAACCGCTTGCGCTCCTCCTCCATAGCGGTGTATTCCTTGTAGACCTCGGCGTGCGAAGCAGGATCGTATCCGTTGTAACGATCTCGCTTAGCATCGTATCCTCCCTTAACAGTCTGAATGACTTCGTCTGCCGCAATGTTGCTGTTGGTAAACTTGGCTCCCTTCTTTCGTGGTCGCTCCAAACAGTCCTTCTTGGTATGCGTGATGGCTCCGCAATTCTCACAGGCTCCCTTCCTGTACTTTTTAGCTGCCGGACCGGCCTTGGCCCCTCGGTCGTACCATTCCCCAATCTTGGCAATCTTGGACTCATCCACTGCCGCCCAGTTCTTTTGATGCTTGAGCGAAGCATGTCCGGTGTCAGCGTACCAAGGAGCCTTGACGATGTACTCTGGTGGGCGTCGAAAGCAAACACACAACAACCAAAGGAGTATGGTATGAGCATTTGTATGCAAATGATGTATGATAAAGAAACTATCTAAGGTACAAAGGACTAGGGTACTAGAGTAAAAGCACTCACCTGGAATGTGAGGGTTGATGGCTTTGCCATCCTCGTCAACTTCTGCGGGTGCTGTACCTGCCTTACGTGCGGCGTCGAGATCCTTCTGACGACGCCATTCTTCCTTCGAAAGCTTTCCTCCCACGGCTATAGACGACAATATCAAATGGGTAAGCCCGAGATGTTCAGGTTTCAATGGCGAGAGACTGGATGGACTAACCAGACATGGCGATGATCTCGGATTGTCTTCGTATCTATATTTAGGACTACGATGAGATCGAGTAGATTAGCTTCGAGTCGATCAATATTTCGGACATCGAACGCGAATGACCACGACAGGCAAGTCTCTCGTTTTGATAGTGCCTCAGCTAGCCGTTCTTAGAAGCAGTTTGTTTCATTATCGACTCGTAAGTCGCAGCATTAGCATGGTAAGTTTTTAACATCCTCGGCGACGAGAGACTGGTTGTCGGATCATTACGTTCGATCAAAGAAGGGGGATGTCAAGGCAAGCAAGAGACAGAGGGAGAGACGCTCACCAATTATAGGCCTAGGTCATCGATCAAGTCGTCGATGGCAACCGGACGTTATATTTATAGTTATCTGTCTAACAGGTAGCAACAGACGAGTTAGCAAACCTGGTCCACGACAGCGATGGGAAATTCGTTGCTTCGCCGGAAAGAAAGGTCGAAATCGTGGGAGGCTCAGTCGTGCACAATTGGCTGTAGTGCTGTAATCGGATCCGCATTGCGTCTTGCACATCATGGTGAAGAGGCATGTAGGACTGGGGCGACATACTTGTCTTCATAGACAACCCTCGTCTTTCGACCTTTCTGTTCCCGGGAGAAGCTTGGAAGTGGTAAAGTAAAGGAAATACTCACTGTTTAGGTCGTTATCGCCCCGACACGAGACGCTCGTTAATATCTCGGCGAGGGGGTGAAGGCGCTCAGTCAAGTGCGATCCACAAGGAGAGAGAAATTTCGGAGGGGTCTTTATCAAGGTGTTTGAATATGGTCGGTGTGCAGCTGTAGGTTATATAGTTGATCTGGGTTTGAATCGCTGGCAGAGAGGCAAACAAGGGAAAGAGCCCCTGCCAGCCCTTTCTATCCGTGCTTGAGCAGTTAAAAGCGCGTCGCGGGGGCAGGAAGCGCGTAACAACTCTCGTCATCATTTCGTTATCCGCGGATGCATATCCAGGTGAGCGACCCCCACGACAAGATCGGTACAGAATTACTACAAGGTATCATGAGAATACGTAACCTCATCTAGCTTTGACCCAGCTGCGACATGACGTTGAGGAAAGCGGTCGGTGTCATGATCTCGGTGCTTCCGTAGGTCACCTTCTTGCCCGGCCCGACCGACGCGCCGTCCCGGTCTTTCGCGCCCCTCTGCTGAGCCCATTCCAGCAGGTTGGTGTACTCGACGTACCCGCCTCCTCCGACCATGAACACGACGGCCTCGCCAAACTGCATACGGTTCTTGCCTCCAGACTGAGGTCCCGCTCTCGATCGAGTCGCCTTGGGGTCGAACAAGAGGTAGTCGTCAGTGTCGTGCAAAGCTTGAGTCGTGGCTGTTGCGGGGTCCATCAAGGCTTCGACAAGCCTGGTCACCGTCAACTCCTTGCGGGCGGGCAGGAAGTTTTTGACTCCCGATATGATGTTGTCGAACCCTCCCGTGATACCTCCCTCTCGTAAACGTTCGGTGATCTAGGCAATCAGATAAAAGACGGTCAGCGTTGGCTTCTGGCAACCGAGATATGGCTCGACATACCCTGTTACCCAAAACACCGAATCCACGTAGAGCTCCTCCCTGCTGCTGAGGCATAGCAGGAGCCGACGCCATCATCGTCATTCTCGTAATCTCTCGAACCCTAAGCGCGATGCGATCCGGTTCAGTCATCCATCTCGCATGCAAAACCGTGTAAAGGGGGCCCGACTCACTTCTTGACGTAATCCAAAGCCTTGAGATCGGCGCCAGCGAGCTTGAGCACATTCGTCAACTCGTTCATATCTTCCTTGCTGATCGCATTGTCGGGTACCGTCAGATAATAGATGATGACCAGTCGAAGTTGATCCTCAGGTGTCGGCTTTGCCGTCGTCTCGGGATCTTCTGTCACACCATTCAAAGTGTTCAGGATGGTTTGTCGGTTCTATCAATAAGACAGCAGGTGCAGAAAACTATCAGTAAGGTCTTAGAACAAGAACCCGTATCAAAGAGGGAAACGATCCGCACCTGCCTAGCGGCCGCCTCCTCGACCTGGAAAAGGTTATCCAGACCTCGCTCCTTGATCGCTTGCAAGAGCGCTGTAGCGATATTCATATGCGTGTCCAAACAATGCTTCCTAGCCGTCAGCTCGGGCAGAGCCGTGATGGCCGTCTTGAGATGTGCCGCATTGCTCGTGAAGTCGCTGATTGACATTTCATCTGGTCAGCGTTGGTACGTCACCACGAGCCGGCTTGACTCTGCTCACATTTGCGAAACGTCATTCATATCGCTCACTCCTGTACTCCTGGTGATCTCAGCAGCATCGATCTTGTATCGGTTGAGCTCGGAATCGATGTCCTCGGCGACGGCCGGGAACGGCATGGTCGCGTTCTTGGCCCAGAAGAAGTCTTTCGAGTCGAAGTCGTAAGACTTTTTCTGTAATCGACCGTTCTCGGGGGACTGTCCACGACGATGAGAAGGGGGCAGATGTCAGGGATCTCGGGGTGATTTCAATGGAACCGGGCGACTCGTAGACTGACCTCGACCGTTACTCGGTTGAGCTTCATCTCCAAGACATCATGCACGAGAGCCTGATAAGTCCACGAGTGAGACAACATGGGAATCAAATCGACATTCCGATCGAGGATAACCAGCACTGCAAGCAGAATGACAGCACAATTAGCATCATGCCACAGATCTATCAATACGAAACAACGGGAGTACTCACGAGGCCTGTTCAAACCACTCAAAGCATCCCCTCCTACTCCATACCCTCTACCTGCACCGCCTCCACTAGCCCAATCCCGCAACTTGGCATCCAACTTCCTCGCTACCATCTCCGCTGCGTTGCCTCTCGGCGCCCGGATAATGGGTACGCTCCCGAGAGTCACGACCACGCTGAAGAGTCCTCGGGCGATCCTCTCCGACTCGGCCTCGATCTCCACCTCGGTCGCTGAGGGCGAATTGAGGATGGCATACGAAGGCGGAGCATCGGTCTCTTTTGGTACGGGCTCCTTGTCCTTTCCCGACGGTCGTCTAGCAACTTGGTTCTGGTTCGACCCAGATGCATCTGGTAGTGGTACCCTTTTCGGTAACAAGGAGAACAACGAAGGGCTAGGGACGATAAAGTCCAGGTTTTGGTCCCAGACGCCAGCAACATTGTCCCCGAGCGCGCCTGACGGGTCGTGGCTGAGCAAAGTGCTCGCAAACTCTTCCATCAGAGGTTTAGGAAGAGACGAGGTGAAAGAGAGGTGATAAGACGAATAGAGGCCTTGAGCGATATCTTGAGCTATTCGGCGAATATTGGAACTGGTAGGTGACACGAAGTAAATGGCGGGCACATCCGAAAGCGGTGGTCGAGCGGTATGTAGCTGCCTATCATGATCCGATACAACGTTTCAGCTACTAACTTCGGGCATCATAGTGCCCAGCTCGTTCCACACTCTCCCAATCACCTCCGGACTCACATATGGAGAGTGACCCCTTGTTCACGCAAGTCCTGCACGCGGAGACTGGTCGCCAAAACATCCTTGCTCTGATCGTCCAAGATCAAGACCTTCCAAACCAAAGGTCCATTCTTTCCCTTTTCGAAAGCCAACAAGTCGTTGGAAGCGCCTCCTGCATGATCGTTATTGTTGTTGTTGCTGGGCGTTTGGGGTCGGGTGCCAGCGTTGGATGAGGTGGAGGGTTGTTGTTCGTTGAGATTGAGGAGCGAGAGCAGGGCGGAAGTCTGAGCTTCGAGAAGAGTTGGCGACATCTCAACCAACTCTGATGTACCAGGGAAATCCAGAGATGTGGTGAAGGACTGGGATATGAATGAGACACGATACAGACATGCCAGACAAAGAATGTGTCCGACCGGTGATGATGATGATGTCGTTGGCGTTGGCAGCTCGGGCCGGAGCAGATCGCCAAAGCTGAGACTCGCCGTGATCCACGTGTCGTCACCATGAGATCACCAGCAGCTAACAGCTGAAACCACCAGTACTTTCTGTATTCTTACACTCTCAATGCTCGAACGATAGATGCCAGGGGCAAACAGAACGGCTTCATATACACATGCATAAAGGTACTAGGAAATCCGCAAGCGTGCAATCTGGTGGCCGGCTGATGCATACCGGCTTGACGACAATCGATTCAAGTTCACAACCACACGACCGAACGCTCGAGTTACAGGTTGCCTACCAGAAAGCGGGCGACGACCTTGTATCTGTTCGCATGTTGCCTTGAGAATCTAAGCAAGCATTGTGTAACCATAAGCACCCTGGCATCTGTTTTTGCCGTTTGAGCACCGCATTACATCAAACCAAAACGGCCCAAATTGTTTCTGGGTCGTTTATCCAACTTTTCGCGATGTCTCGTTCACGCTTCGGCCTATAACGTCCTGCTTTGCCTTGGAAGAAGCACGAACTGATCTGGATCCCGCTAGCCGTTTGAACAAGATGCATGTTGTTGTGCAAAGTGGTCGTGAGGCTGCAGAATGCTTGCTCCAGAGGACAGTTTTGGGATTTGGCTCGCAGCCAGCACGCGCGAGCTGCTGCTGATGCTCGGCTCGCTCCACCTTCCACTCGTTTTGATAATCTCGAAAGCGATCGATCTACCAACTTCCTAACTTTGATCGAATTCCAAACACAATACCTCTCCACTGTTTACCTCTACGCTCCTCGCTCAACAAGGAGATCCTCAACAGACCGATACCGGCACCCCTTTCAGTCCTAGCACACAAAACATCCCTTCGGCACCTCACACACCACAGCTTATGTCTTCTCAACAAGCCCCGGGTGCACAACAGACACAAGCTAATGCAGCCAAACCGTCTTTAACGTGAGTATCTCCCCTGATTCTTCGTAGACGATGGGGTTGTGCTGTCGATCGATACGAGCAACTGGCTGATGATAGCGCATCTGCACTGTACACGCATTGTCTGCGTCTGATCTCGACTCTACGTGGTGGATACTGAACTATAGTGGTGTGAGGATCAAGCAGAGAAAGGGCCAAGCCAGGGCCACCGCCAAGTTCGAGCCTGAAGGTTTGTCTAGCTTCGAATGTAGATCATCCTCTTTCGAAACTGACCTCGTTCATCATCAACCTTTACCGTAATCTATGACGCACATTCAGCTTTCCGCGACAACCTCCTTACCTACCTCGTCTCCCTTCCCGCCGACGCAACCCCCGATCAAATCCTCGCCAAGCTCGTCACAGCTGGAGCTCAACTTGAACTTCTCAAGTACAGCGATGCATTCTTCGAGCTCCTCATCTGTGGAGGTCTTCTCCAGCCCGGTGGGAGTTACCTCGACGCCGCTGGTGACGAGACCAAGAGGAGCAAGATCGCTATCCTCAGGACCAAAGGGACGGGATTAGGAGATGCCGATATCGGGGATGAGGACCAAACTCTGGGGGGGGATCAGGGTGATTGGAAGAAGGAGATCAGGGATCTCGTGGATGTCTTGAAGAGGCTCATTCAGAGGTACGCTTGGCATTCGTTTGGAAGTGACGAGATTGAGGCGATAGCTGACCCTGTCGACCTAACCTCGGACAGGTACAAGTACCTCCAGAAGCCCCTCGACGAGAACTCGCTCCCCAGTCTGATTGCATAGTAAGCTTTGAGATTCGTCGGCATCGAATTCATCTACCGATCGACCGCCTGACCACGATCACCCATCTTTCGCCTGATAACAGCATCGCCAAATGGGACCCCCTTACCCGAGAGAAATTGGCTTACGCCACTGCATGCTTCGTTACCGAAGGCCTCGCTTCCGGAAAGTGTTTGCAGAGTCTTTGGAGGGATGCCGTCGTCAAGGACGGTGAGTCGTATATGTCCTAGACTAGCACCGATCAATCGGAACTATACTGATCGAATCATCCTATGTCCCCATCGATAGAGGTCGGGCTCACCTTCCTTACCGAGTTCATTCAATTCTACCTCGCCTCTCCCAACCCTCAAACCATCGAATCTTTCGCCCTCTTGTTCCGCAAGTCGGGTCTCGACAAGCTCGGCTTGATCAACGTCTTCCCCTCGCAAGTCAGGACGACTGAACGTCTCGAGGAACACTTCAAAAAAGCCGAGCTGGGTGGAGTCGTCGATTGGTACTTGAACAGCGTTAGGAAGGTCGTCAGGGAAGAAATGGTCGGCAGGTTGACCGAGATGATGGGAGGCGAGGAGGACACCGTCGAGGAGGTCAGTGATGTTTCTACTTTCGATCCGATGACCGATCGCTGATTTGTGTTGTTCGCTCGAACTCGCCTACAGATGGCCGAATACGTCAAGGCTCAACAGAACGAGACCAAGATTGGCGAGGTCGACCTTCTCCAGGCTATCTGGGCTGCTATCATGGCCGACGTCGACTGGACCGCCAAGCCGGAACAACTCGAGGCTTTGGCCCTCAAGAACATCAAGGTGAGTTCTATCGTTTAGCAATTCGTCCCGCGCGAGGATGCTAACCGTCTTCTCGCATGAGCAGACCTACGCTTCGTTGATGGAACCCTTCTGTACTACCGCGAAGGCTCAAGTCTCGCTCATCAACACCGCGCAGGTATACTGCTACACCGAAACGAGGATCATCAAGGCCTTCCCCCAGATTCTCAAGGTCCTGTACAACGAGGACTGTATCTCCGACCAGGCCATCATCTACTGGGCTCAAAAGGGAGCGTCTGCTCAGGGCAAGGGTCACTTTGTCAAGGCCGCCGAGCCGCTCGTCAAGGTAAGCCTCTCCGAACGTCGTCTGATTCGAGACCGCTGATGCTTACGATGTTTCGCTCGGCAGTTCTTGCAAGCTCAAGACGACGATGACGAGGACGACGACGAGTAAAGAGTTGCTCGTATGACGATCGTATATATTATTGATTGACACTCGTAAGATCTCGTTGACGATGTACACATGCATATGCTTTTGAAGTCCCGTATTGCTTCGAGAAAGTTCGTACTCTCTATATACCGCCTATCCCTCGATTCTAGCTTGTCCGCCGATGTCAATGAGTCTCTTCAATTCTGCCACCATATTTTGACTCTTCTCGGCCTCTTCGGCGCTCTGTGCCATGATCGACGCCGCCGCTTCCAGGGTAAGAACTCGATTGGTTCCCACCTTCTCTCGCAGCAAGTGAGCTACACCATCGTGTGCAAGACTTGCTATAGCATGGCTAAGGTGATCTTGAACACCATACAGAAGCCTTTCAAGGGCTAGAGTGATATGAATCTGAACCTGACGAGTCTGTTCGAGTTCTGTACGAAGAGATATGGGCGCGAACGGGAAACTTTTTTGTTAGCGATTTGCTAGGGCGTGCGTTCCGTCTGAGGGCAGACGTACCTGTATCCCGTTTCAGGTTGACCCGGGGGTCTTCGTGATCCGACCTCTTACGCTTGAGCGAAGCCGGCGGAGTCTGTGGCGGAGTCGGTCCTAGCGGGATCGTCGGTAGGGCCATGTCTGGCGCAATGAACAGCTGATGGTAGCGACTGTTGGCAGCTGAATCACAAGTGAGGGTTGCCAACGGGGCCGATCCGATACTGCAATACTGCTGCGTCAAGACCTAGCGGTAGATTTGTTTTGTCAAAGGTTCTTTAGGTTTACTGTCTACACCAGACTCACCTGCAAGAATACTTGACTCGCAGACTGCTGCTTTTCGACCAGAGAAGTTGCTGCTGAACAAATTTTGTCGCAAAGACCTTAAGGTGACGGGACGCTACGGGAGACTGCCGACTGGATTTTGGATAATATTGCCCTCCACAGTGTCTGTTGATGCGAGTCTATACAGCCGGTCCAGTCTTTCTGGATTTTGACGACGATTTCCTGGAAAGTCATGCTGCAGAGATCTCCTTCAAGATGTTCCAGATTGGGAACACTCTCGTGGAGTAGAGTTGACAACCTTTCGCAGAATCGATCACGGTCTTGGTGGCTTGAGATTTCGAAGGTGCGAAGGGTTTTGCAGTATTCCCGGGCAGCAATGTCGATGTGCGCATTGATTTCCCCGATGACTGCCGATCGTTTCCATTGTCCACTACTCTCAGTGAGGAGGGCAAGTTCGCTTCTCAGCTTGCTCAAGGCCGACAAGAGTCTACGATGTTTGGAGTAAGCAATCGGTGGCGCGACCAGACGGGTGAAGCTGAACTCACAAAGTCTTCTCTGCTGCAAATATCTTCGCCAAGACGAGCTTACGCAGACTTTGAATTCCAAGGATAGTCTGCGGGACCTTGTGAACGAAGCTCTTGTTTGATTTGAGCATGTTGTCGAAACAGCTTTTCTCCTCACACTCCAGTTCTTCCAGAGTCGCTGCTACTCCCGAAGGTGGGAGGGAGATGATGAAGCAGAATGATCCCGGATGCGTCGAAATCATCTCCTCCCACGCACATTCGTTACCTGACAATTCGTCGGAACGGCTCAGAGCGACTACGGTAACAGCAATCAAATCCTGTGTTAGTGATCACCTTGGCAAGTTGTATACCGCATTAGACTTACTCAAGGTTTTTGAAAAACTCGGATCCCAAGCCCTGACGACGTTGAGAACGTCCTGGCTTTCGGGTTCGGTGGTTGCAGGGCATACCCCTACAGCGAACGTGTTCGGCATCCGGAGGTTCTCCTGGGTGATCTTTCGGATCTTGTCAAGCACGTGAGGGTGTTGACTCGATACCTGAAGACCAGGCAAATCGATGATTTCAACATCGGGCATGTCCGGGTTGACCTTCTCGACGACGACTCTATTCTCCGTAAAAAAGGTAGGATTTATGTCGGCCAGCCTTTGATCGCTGGATATATCCTCGGTATCCAGAAATTCTCCCTCCTCATCGAATCTGAAAGCTCGTATGAGTTGAGAGAAAGCACTGTCTTTGCTCGATCACAACTTACTCGGGCCGCAACACGAGCCGGTGAAGATCCTTGATTTTTGCCGGGACGTCGATCTTCCTACAAATTTCCTGATCCCCCTGGGTTGGACGGGGTAAGGGGCCTTTGGCATCCTCTATGAACTCTGGCCAGAGCTTGTATCCACCCTGCTCTTCGCCCTTGACGAAGCGGAAAACAGTTGGCCCGCTAAAAGGAAGAAGGTTCAGTTGACGAAGCACAATCTGTGACAGTGTAACTCACCGGGTAGTGGCTTTGATCGAACTCTCCAACTTGATCCCTGTCAACATTGAAACCAACGCACTCTTGCCTGCCGACTGCGAGCCAACCACTACGATTCTCTTCATGTGCTTAGGGCTGCTCGGTTCGAGATGACTGACACAAAGAAGCACGAGTCAGAACGTGTATAGGACGAGGGGAAGCGAGCGAGGCGGCGGACGAAGGGGAACGAGCGAAGCGGCGGACGAAGGGGAACGAGCTAAGCGTCGCACGAAGGGGAACGAGCGAAGCGTCGCACGAGTGGCCGATCGGATCGAATTGAGGACTTACCCTGCGGCCATCAGCCTCTTGCGGAACACCTGCATACTCTTGAACTGAGGGGTTCGCTCCGGTCGGAGCCGAGAAGGTTGCGACATCTTTGTTTGCGATCGACTTGGGTTCGAGTATTGAAGCGAGTACGAGTTCGAGTTACGATTCGTCGAGAGATATCGAAGCGAGGTGAAAGATAGAAGAGGTGCACGACGAGGCGATCGAGTAGAACAGAATAGAGAAGTAAGGGTATCGCATAGTTATATATTCCAAGAAGAGTAGCGACCGAGAAGCTGAGAAGCAAGTATCGACCGACGATCTTCGGGATTTGACTCCGCACGTCCCTTGTTCTCTTTGTTCGCACGCCGATCGTCGCTGTTGCTTTGACGACATCGGGAATGGATCGAATAGTGGCGCCATCTTAGATTCGAGTTGGTTCTGGCAGTCCACGCGAGGACGAAGTGATATGGTTGCCCATAATTATTCGATACGGTCTCGCATTCGCGCGATCCGACTTGAATGCGATATCCGATTCGATCTCTTCGCCTGTGGCTCTCGTCATGAGGCGGCCGACCCGAACTTTGACTATTCTGACTGAAATATAAGTCCACGAGTTTCGAGATCGAGATTGGCATGACATTGCACGGCAGTTTTATGATCCATGACCTACAGTTCGAATCGCGATCGTCGTCGGAACATCGGGACATCGGGACATGCGAGATATCAGCTCAACCCGCGCGATCCTAATCACCCTCGTTTTCACAGCATCCTAATCATCTCGTTCGACATAGGAACGATAGGGTACAGCAAATCCGAGCCGATATTTTCGCGATGATCGTGGATGGTCACCTCGCATCGAGTCTATGGCCCCGAGAATAACTTGATCGCAAAATCTCGCTCATGCGTCGTTGAACCGAAGGCTTTTGCTTGTGGCTGAAACGTCAAGCCGTCGAACGCTCGATATGGAACAAGAGACGGACGAAGGCACCGAGGGTGAGACTCACCGACCTTGCGCGGAGTTAAGTCCGAGTTGAAAGTGGAGGTCTGTCGATCGATTTTGACGCGCGTCAAGAGAAAGCGCACCATCGACCTAGGTCATTCTCGCGCGCTTCGTTGACCACCCAGCCAACTCCCTCTCGTTCGCTCGGCTCCCCCGTGCTCGCGCTGGCCCTAGGCGGCTCGAGGGGGGGCTCTGACGGGGCTGTCGACCTGGGTATCGTCAAGATCAAGTCGAGTCGCATCGTTCGCAAGGACCTGCCATCAACACGAGGTTCACAGGACGGGCAAGTTTTACGACAACTCGACAAGGTGAGAGAGCCGTCCGGATACACGACTCTGCGGCAGAGCTGCACGGAAGCGGTAAGAACGAGCTCGCTAACGATTCTACGTTGTCTTGAAAATTCTTCCCGCCATATCCCGGACCTCACGAATCGAATTATCTATCATCTACGATCCTTGAAATCTACTGCTCTTGCACACCGGAACCTCGAACGTATCTGCTGCTCCATCGGACGATCATATTGTGTTGGAAACGAATTCTGTTGGACGAGAACAGATGGGTATCGACATTAAGAACCACCACGTCAGGAAGGGCAACCGATCCTCTCCCAAGAGTGAGGACCCCTACCTCCTCTTGTTGGTCAAGGTTCGTACACCGCGAAAGCACAGCTGGAGATGGGAAGAAATGAGGAAAGGCATGGACGGAGAGTTGATCTGGGATATTTGGGTCTGTGGTGCTCTTTCTCGAAATATTATAGCTCTACCGATTCCTCGCCCGAAGGACCGACTCTAGGTTCAACAGGGCCATCCTCAAGAGGCTCTTTATGTCCAGGATCAACCGACCCCCTATCTCCATCTCGCGAATCATCAAGGAGTCCAAGGGCCAGAACGCCGACGTGAGCATCGAATACTGGAGGAAGGATCGTCAGAGCAGGACCTATCAGGGGGATGTTCTGGACGAATTCCGATGGAAGGAAGGATACAGGAGGAGAACACACGAAGGCTGATGGACGAATGATTGTTGTTGGTTAATAGGGTGCCAAGACCGTCGTCGTTGTCGGAAAGGTTCTCGATGACGAGCGTCTCCCCGAGGTCGGCAAGCTCACCGTTGCCGCCTTGAGCTTCGCCCGATCCGCCAGGGACAGGATCATCGCCAACGGTGGTGAGGCTTTGACCCTGGACCAGCTCGCTTTGAGGGCTCCTACCGGTAGCAACACCGTTTTGTTGAGGGGAAAGAGGAACGTCAGGGAGTGAGTCATGCTGGAAGCTGTGGACCGTGTTTGTTGATCGAGGAAAGATGTGCTGAACATGACGCCGACTCTGCTCGTCTTGTCAATCAGGGCCGTCAAGCACTTCGGTGGACCCCTCAAGGGAGGAAAGCCTTTCGTTCGATCGAAGGGCAGGAAGTTCGAGAAGGCTCGTGGACGAAGGAGTGTACGTCCCGCTTCTGCGGTTCTAAATACGGTCGACAACGATCCGGTCGATCTGACGATCTTTTCTGCATTATTCGCAAACAACAGTCGAAGGGATTCAAGATCAAGTCTACCCACAAGTAAACGATTTGATCCGTACACGAGGGAGAAGGGAAGAAGTCGGGGACGTGTCGTTGTGGACGATGACAAAAAGCAAAAGAAACGACGGCATCATCTCGTTGAAGACACGGACGGGCGAGGCAAGGGAGATCGTTATCCGGTCTCGCTCCGAACGGTCCTCGATGGGAAAAGGGACGGGTCTTCTGCTTCTTCTCGGGATGTTGTACCTCCTTGGATTCGGTTCATACTGGACGGGTCGAAGGGGGAGGGTTTTGTGATGCAGATGATGATCATGCCCGTTTCCACACCTGTGATTGTTTTGGCATTCTGCGTCACGCAAATCATACCGCGCGGACAGGGTCGACGAAGCTTCTCGATTTCTGAGGAAGGATGTGCACCTCACACGAGTCTGTGCAAACAGCCCGAAACGAATGTGGTGGTATGACTGGCATGACCTTTGGAGTTTCAGCTGTCGATCCGTTATGATGCTTGGCGTGACCGTAGACTCGTCGTTTACCCGAAATCGTCAACAAACCCGCTCGGAAGTGAAATCAAAACAACGCTGAGGAGTAGAGACCGGGGCCTTTGGGAATGATCGACGTGCCTGAGATTCTGGAGAGGCACTCTTTGTACCAGTCAACACCACACCCGCTCAGTAGCATCTTGAAGTCGAATCTTGAATGACTGAAATGTCCGAGCCTCTTGTATAGAAGGAGCGAGGGCGACCGAACACGGAGAATTGCCGAACAGGATCAACGGCTCTCGTTCCGAGGACCAGCTCGACATGTCCGGAAGGATCTTGCCAGGTCTGGCTACCCCAGGCAATGCTACCTCTTATGCACCGGGGTCGAGGACTATCCCGGATCTGACTCTGGGAAGCCTGGCTGCTGATTTCGACGCGGAGGCTGCTGAGGAGGAACTGCTTCGGCAACAGAATGGAGCGGGTTGTGAGTAGCGGTCGGATTTGAAGAGGATGCTGCAGCTCCTTGACCTTATCGGTGGCGATTTACAATAGATGGAAGGAACAGCCCGGACTTCTCGGAGGATCTGAACGGGCGGGAGATGCCGCCCGACTCGCCGTCGACCGTGATGGGACGGTCGATGTCGCGAGACACCCAATCCCCTGTCAGGCCTTCCCGCTCTCGAACTTCCACCGGCAGGAGCGGACGGAGTGATCGATATGATCAGAATCAGAACGAGAACCTGGCTGTGTCTACGAGGGCGTCCAACAAGGTCTGGCTGGCTGTCGGCAACGGGACCGAGGAGGATGACGCGGACGACCTGATGTCTCAGAAGCTCGACCTGGAACCGAGCCCTCAGTGGGAGATCTCGAATGAAGATGCCATGAGGAGTGTGGGAAGGCATGCGAGACGAGCGACTGACGGTGGAACGGACGCTTTGGAGAGGGTCAAGGGAAGGCCGAGACATTCGGTAGCGACGACTGGGAATGAATCGTCGATCATTCGGGAGAACGGCGGAAGGCCTCAGCTCAGTTTAAGGGAACAAGCCAAGGTACGTCCTGCCTGGGATCTCCGGGTTGAGAGGAGACTGATCCTGAGACGGGCCCGCATAGAAAACGCAAGAGCAGGACAACGAGATCTGGAAGTTGAAACTCGAGCTCAGCATGCTTACATCTCAGATGAAGCAGGGGCTGGGTAAGGATGCCGCAGAACTCACACAGAGGTTAATAAAGCACAAGACCGAAAGTGCAGCAGAGATTATCAGGTGGAAGAAAGCCTCTACGATCGTGTCCGAGCAATTGACCAAGAGCAACGAAAGGGTTCTTGACCTCGAATACCAGCTGGACGCGGCTCGACAGGATGATTCTAGCGTAGTAGATGAGCTGCAGGAACAATTGCTGGAAGAGCAGGAGAAGAGGCGAGAAGATCAAGCTCGGATTGTGCAACTGGAAGATGCCTTGCATGAAGCGAGACGAAATGAACATAGCGACGAGAGCTTTGAACAGATGGAAGTGAGGCTCGCTTCAACGTCTCTCTCTCTCCACGATTGCCAGCTAACGGAGGGTTGTCTGTGCTCTAAAGGACGAGGCGGAAGCCGCTCGCACTCGAGCGACGAAGTTGGAGGAGGACAACAAACAACTTCAGGAGCAAGTCGAAGACCTGCAGCATGAGCTACAGAATGCATTCGATGAACGAGATCGGGCTGTTGAAGCAGCAGAAGATAAAGCCGGCTCCGCCTCGAACGAAGACGTGAAAAGGTTGGAGCACGATATCTTGGATCTTGAAGCGGTGAGCACAGATTGTTAGGCTTGTTGCGGCGAATCCGTTTGACCGTTAATTCCCACCAGGACAAGGCATCGCTGGCTGCAGAACTTGAGGCTTTACGAGTGGGAGCTAGAGCGAGGGATGAACAACGGCAACAGGACCAAGAACGAATCAGCCTTCTTGTACGGGAGCTCGAGCAAGCCAAAGTGCAGACGATCGACCTGCAACGCAGCGTTTCGCGTACAGGGAACCTTGAAGTCGAACATGAACGTCTAGCGAGGTTGGTCTCGGACAGGGAGAATGAGATCCTTCACCTGAAGGAGGAGCTGGACCGGTTGGATGCCAAGGTCCACGCTCAAGCTCGGGACATGCTAGCCTACCAGGAAGACTTGGATGAAATGGTTCAGAAGCTCCGCCGCTTGCAAGCGGAAAGGAACGAGATTGCGGAAAACCTGAATGAGACCATGACCATTATCGAAGACAAGAACGAAGAGTTGCGAGAATCTCAAGATCAACTGGATCAGGTAAATTATGCTGCTCAATAACCTCATGGAGCGTTCTGTCTGACGATTTCCCCTCATCATCTATAGGCACTTGATCAACTGGAGCAGTTGAAGGAGGATCTCGCAGTCATGGCTAGGGAAAGGGACGCTTTCAAGAACGAACTCGCTCAAGCCGATTCTGATATTGATAGAGTGGACGAGTCTCGGGATGAAATCGCTTCCGTAAGTGATGAGCTGCAATAGGTCGATCGCATACCTGCTTACGTTGATTGGATTCAAACAGAACCTAGCGGAGGTCGAGGCAGAACTGGTTCAGACCCGGGAAGCGGAAGTCGCAGCGAGACAGGACCTTCAACACCAGCGATTGACTATTGACGAGCTCTCTCGGAAGCTTGGGGACCTCGAAGTTCGTCATCGCCAGGATGTGGATTCGCAGCGCAAGCTTGTGCAAGAACGTGATGAGATGCAAAGCACCGTAAGGCGCACGGAGTCTGCGCATTCGGAGGAAACGCAGAGGCTGCGGAAGGAGTTGAGTTCTGAACTCGAACGATACAAGCAGCTTATCAGCGACAAGGAGCAAGTGAGTTTGATCGCATGAAGAGCTGGAAAATTAGTGCCAGCTGACATCTGATGTGTCCCAGAGCAACGTTCGTCTATCTCATGAGATCGAAGCTGTTCGGGAGCGAATATCAGAACGCGACCGGGATGTACGTGACTTGCAGAACGCTCTGAAGGGTCTAGAGAGCGACAAGCGAAGGATCGGTGACGACCACATGGACGACCGACGCTCGCTCGAACTCGAAATCGATCGGGTGAAGCGGGATCTAGGCCGTTCACAGGATGACCTCGAGCACGCTCAACAAGAGATCGATCGACTGGAAACCTCGCTTTCGCAACAGCGAGCAGAGTTGTCCGACATGGTAAGTCTGATGGCAAATCGTCTGAGATCAGGATTGACACTGACTTCGTGTCATGCAGGCGGAAGAAAAGAGCTCTATCGAGTCGCTACTCACCTCGGAACGTCAGGAGCGCCTGAAGCTATCTGACAAGCTGAATGCGGCTGAAAAGGTTCGCGACATGTGGCTATCAGCTGTGTTGCTCAATTAACCCTGATTGGTATCTCGTCGTAGGCTGCCAAGCAAGCTGAACATGAACTCGTCGCCTTGCGAGAGCGTGTCGAGGAATTGGAGCGCAACAGCGGGCCAAGCCGGGCTCTCACTCCCCGACGGGGAAGCGATATGGCTCAAAAGGATGCCTCGACTCTGCTTCAATCCATATACATCAAGGTTGCCAAGCTATGCGGTATAGAGGTAGGCATACGATGTCCAATACCATCTCCCCACGTCCGCGTATTGACGATTGGCCGAACCAACAGGAGCATGGTGTCCCCAGCAATTTCTCGACGCTCAAAGACAACTTGTTGCGTCGATTACGACAGCTACAATCGACGAACTCCGAGTGGGAAAGACAGATCCGCTCGCTTGAAATCCGTCTAGAGTCGCAGACCTCGTAGGTTCAAGCGACACAATCCGCTACCGAACCGTATCTGACCACCCTGGAGCCGCACAATTGCAGCGCCTTGTCTCGTGAACTTGATGCCAAGAAGAAGCTCCTGGATGGAGTCGAGCACTCTGTCCAAAAGATGACCCAGACCAAGCTGTCCTGGAAGACAAAGTTGACGATGAAGGACGACGAAGTTGCTGATCTCAGAGTCAGTCTCACTAGCAGCTCGCCGTGACTAGTCTGCTTCCTTACGCAATTTACAATCCTTACAGGGCCGTCTCAAGGATTTGCAGTTCCAATTGTCCACCTTGAAAATGTCGTCTACTACCGAATCCTCGACCGAGGTCAGGACACTGCAATCTCGCGCGACCCATGCCGAGAAGCGCGCGGCGACGCTGGCGAATCAATTGTCGGCGTTGCAAGAAGCGAGCGCTACTCACGAGTCGAGACACCAGACGGCGGTGAGCAAGTGGGAAGCAAGAGTGAGGGAGTATGAGAAGCGCCTGAGGGAGGCAGGGGAAATGATCAAGGTTGAGAAGCAAGGCGGGAAGGAGAGGGTGGCGGATCTGGAGCAGCAACTCAGGTGAGTTACGAGTGGATGTCTGCTTGCAGCCACGGACTGATCTCGACCGTTTCTGTTGTTTGACAGATCACTGAGCGCCCAACGGGACGCTATCAATGCCAAGACTATTCGATTGGAATCGATTATGAATATGGCAGGGATGGGCAGGAAGGATGACCCGGACGCTCTGTGATTACAATAATGATGAACCGACAATGACCTTTTCGATTTCTCTGGGAGCGACGATTGTATTATAAGCGTGTAGTGAAGCGCGTGTCTACCACGACAGTATCAAAGAGACTTTGCATAGTAGCGATGACATGCCCGTCGTTCGCAAGACAAGGGGACACGGGGAAAGATTCAAGTTACTTCGACAATACACGTTCTGCCGAGTATCTGTGATACAGACTACGTTGTCTGTCTGAGAAGGGAAAGGATTGGTATTAGGGGGGGAAGTGTAGGGCTCCTCTTCATCCCAGAAGGTGTCTACGTTGTTGCTCCCGGTCAGGTCGGTAGCTCCGTTCTCCCTGCACCTTGCAGGCCCGGGTCATGCTTCTCAAAAACTGTCCCTCGTGTGAGCTTGGGGCAAGAAGCATTTGCAAACAGACCGGTAACAGAAAGGCGGCCAATGACGCTCACTAACGTTAAGAAGACAAAGGTAGAACCAGGAAGTTGAACATCAACCCCTCCACGTCACCCTGGGTCTCGCTCGATATCGTCATCTCAATCCACGTGAAAGGAACCCAAATGAAAATCCTTAATTTGGTCCTCAGCCAGAGCTTATAAGACGCAGGTAGTCAAAATTGCCCTTCATTGGCTTGGGATGGCGGCCAGAACATCCCGCTTCCATCTCCCTCACAGTGCACATGCCACACGACATGCCAGTCAGATCGGCGACTTCAGACACAACCGTGTCTCAGGCCAGCAATGATAGCATTCGCCCCTTCCGACCAAAGCGAGTCCGTATTCGCCTGGATGACAATTCTGTTTGCTTCCCGCAAGACCCGATAACTACTGTCTGCACCGGACTATCCAAAGATTGTGGTGATATGTCTGACGTCAATTCCAATGGGAGTCAGTCGACCGGCAGCCTCGCCAGCTGGGCGTCGCATCTGTGGACTCGTCTGGAGTCTCTCATGGGGTCTTCCCGATCTCTCTACGACGACCTCTGGGGAGGCAGGAACGGCTGCATCGAGGAATATGTTTGCATGAAACCACCCAGACACCGGTCGTGGATCGAACTCCAACACGACGCAGTTTTCGTCAAGGCATTGGAAGATATCATCCAGACGAGTGCGAAATGGGTATCGCTGTTGTCAGAAAGACCGTATAAGCGTACACCCAAGGTAGGTCGTCTCATGTCATCGATACCACTAAACCCGTCGGACGTCGCTCATATGAGACCTCCCCTTTTACAGGGTCTCTTACAATTTGCTGAGTATGCAAAAGGCGTTTATCGGTGTCAGCTCGAAGATGGCAGGATGCCCGGATCGAAGGATGAAGGACTTGATACGAAATTACGCGAGATATCGCCGACGGTATTCAATACTCTCAAGAGCCGCGCGTTTCCGACAGCTTGTTTCATCGAACTTGCCCATGACGTAAAGCTTGCGGTGGTGATCCACGAGAGGTGGAACCACTCAGGGTTGAATGGAGGTTTCCTTGACTTGAAGTTCTACCCAAAGGAGAAATGTGAAGTATGGTAGTATAGGTTGCCGAACATGAAGTGATAGTAGTCCCTGCAGCATCTCATCTCATGTTGTGCCTCTGACACATTTCATAATTCCAACGTATGTCAAGGCCGCGTCAATGAGATTGGCATGTGCATTTCGAAGGGATAAGACCAGGACGATGAGATTTATCGATTATATGGTAGCTCTTGTCGAATCAAATCACGAAAGACCGCTGATCAAGATCGTACTTAGAGCAGCAAGACTGGGATCCGCAAACGGATTTCCTTCGCAATGCAGAAATCGTGTTTACCAGCACATTTCAGTCAGACCAGTGAACTGTACTAGAAGAACGAACTCTGAAATCAGCTTCCAGCCGACCTCCGATCTATGAGGCTTTCAAAATTTCGCAAAAAGGGCAGTCAGCACAACAACCCGACCATAACTGGATCGAACATCCGCTGCCATCGAACATCTCCTACCATTTCCGAGAAGCCGTGAAGAGCCCTCGGAACTGCAAGAGGGTCTTTGTCGATAGTCAATGACCGACTCGACGACTTCGAAGAGGTGTGGGTCGGTTAAACAATGACATTACATATTCTGTTAAGATGTCACAACGTGTCAACACCTATACGTGACAGCATTTCCGTGAGCGCACGTAGTGCTACGGGTTGATAGGCTACTGGGACATTTCTTGCGGGTGATCTCATTACTGTATCATCCGGAGTGCCCAGCGTATGTTACAGGGTATCGTGAATGGCTTCATTCCCTCGATACGTTGGACTGCACGTTGACGCTCAAGTCACGGTCAACGTTGATCATCTCGGTTGAGGCGTTTCGTAAGGAGGGCAAGTATGGAGCGGAGCTTCAGAGCTCGATCAGATCATTTGAGCGATATGAATCGCTATCTCATGTTCGCTCATCCATCATCTCCCTATTTTCTGTCACTCTCTCGAGTCGATATCACGACTTGACGAGCAGGCTGACATGAAACATGAAACGCGCGACGAGCTGCTGGCTTTCCCGCGTCTTTGCTTCCGCCTGCGCCCTCCGCGAGTATTCGGGTGAAGCGATCGACGTTTTCTGACTCAAAACCCTAAGCGAGATGGATCGAAAGGCATGCGGTACCACGGGCGAGAGCGACGAGAGTGATCGGTCTGATGAATTGATCAGATCAATCACATATCAATCAGCTACTCGATCAGTTCAACATCGCTCGAGCCTTCCGAAAGTGGTAACCCACCTCGAGGATCATCGTTTTGACGAGTCTGAACGACATGGTTGACGACGACGATGAGCGAGATGATACCGTTCAAGGGAAGGAGGAGACGGAGGAAAGGATATATAAAGGGCTTTCTTACATCGATATCAACCTCGACGACATCAAGACAAATATCTCTCTCATCGACAACTCTTCACACCAAGTCGACTCTAGATCATATCGTTTGCAGCCAACATGAATACCTCGAACACCAACGACAACGCCAACGCCAACGTCAACAACGTTCCCCCATCAGCATTCTCTCCTACCCGACCATCTCATCAACGTCGAATGAGCACGGAATCCACCTCGAGCACGATCACCACGACGACCACTTCCCCGTCTCGCCGTAAACCAGTCTCTTACCTCCCGACCGACGAGATGCCATCGCACTACCTCTTGCAACAAGGCCATTCGGGAAGCAGTACGACTTTGCCTATACCCATTACTCCTGGGAACGAATCTACATTGAAGCTGCAGCATGGGGGAGAAGAAGAAGGAAAGAACGATGGACCTATCGGCGGAATGGAATTGACTACGGGACGAGGCCTTATCAAACCGCCAGCCTATATCCTCGAAGTCGAGATGCCTACCACAACGAACGAGGGGGACGTCACCCCGGCAGAACGAACCCGGTCTTCCACTCCACCGCCGACCTACATCTACCCTCCACCTACCTCCCCCAGCTCGACGCTCTCGACTACCACCTCCAATACCCTCCCCCTGCCCACCTACACGCCAGAGGCTAGCACCGAACCTCAAACCCTCCCCCGTCAACTGTTCATGTACGGCTTCCTCTTCCCCCCACTCTGGGCTCTCGGAGCGATCCTTCTCTGTGTCCCGTTGAAGGTCTACGAGGAGGATTTCGAGTTGGATTTCCAAAATCGGCACCACGCGGAGGGGCAGGCGCAGGGTCAAGGTCGGATTGATGTGGAGAGAGGGCGAGAAGTGGCAGAGGGGGAAGAACATGGGGGAGAGCTATGGAAGATGAAGAAAAGGGAGAGGGAGTTGCTGGATGACAAGGTCATCATCCTCCGCCGAGTGAGCCTGTCTCGTCTTGTTCTCTATGTCTTCTTACCGAGTACGACATTGACCGGAGCGTCTTGATCGACTTCTAGGCGGAGATTCGATGGGCGAGGTACTGCGCGATCGGGTTTGCCAGTTTCCTAGGCCTGGTCATTGTCGCTGTGGCAGTCGTCTTGTTCGTCACACGTCGATGAGAAGTGTTGTTGGTCTAGTCCAACAGATGGAGGGTGGAGTGGATGAGTCGGGCGGGAAGTAAGAAGAGTAACCGTTCCGGGTTGGTTGTATGGTTTCGTGCTTGTTGAGGTGTAATGATGATAACATAATCAAGTGGCAACGCTTACAACATCCCGAGCTTGACCCGACAACCCGCTTCAATCGACCCATAACCTCCCCACCTCGCCCTTTTCCCGTTCCAAGACCGGCTCGATCACCCCCCAAATCCGAGCCTGCACCTCCTCCCTCGTCCCGCTCGCATCCACCTCTACCCACTCTCCGTTCCCGCTCTTCTTCCCGCCTGCATCTGCGTTCGGGTCCGTGCTCCCGTTCCCCCGCTCGACACGTTCCCTAACCAACCCAAACTGTTCTCGCACTCTCGTCTGCATACTGACGGACTCGTACCGTTCTTCCCCAAAGTCTTGCCTGCTCGAAGTCTCTGCGGTGGGGAGGGTCAGGTAGAGGGTGAGGTCTGGTGAGGGGAGGGAGCGGTCCGGGGTGAGGAGCCAGTCAAAGGGGAGGCCCTGTGTTCATGGACGTATAGTGGGCGCGGATTAGGAAGAGTCAGATGTGTAGATCAGGAAGAATGCACGGGACTTGCCTTGGCGGCGGAGAAAGCGATACCGGAGAAAGCGTATCGGTCCGCTATGATCGACATCCCTTCTTTCAGGTCTCTCTCGATTGCCGACCTGGTCATACAACAGCGACAACATATCAGCTCAGCTCGAGCTTCTGCATAACATGCATAGAGACTCAAATGAAGAGCTTGTGACTCACGCGCATTCCCATCGATTGGCACTGAACAACAAGTGTATCGCCCGGTCGTCCATCTCGGCTGTATTCTTCAAGTAGGCGTCGATCATCTTGCCAATCTCCGTCGTCCGGTCTGATCTGGTCGCAGTCATTGAAGAGAGTTTCGAATCGTCAGCTTCTCCAGAGATCGTGGTTATATCAAGAGGATAGTCATAATGAACAAAGGCTTACCGGGAAACTTCTGAGTGCGGACTCGATGACCCTGTTCACGTAGCGAGTCTTCGAGACGGGCCACCTGGGTCGACTTGCCGCATCGGTCGAGACCCTCGAATACGATGAACGTGCCGCGTTTTGTCATTTCTGCTACGTTGCTCTTATAGTTATTTTGTGGTTAAAGTCGAGGTAGGTATCGGCACAGCGTGTATCGTTTCGATGTGAGCTAGGCAAGGTTGTAACATGCGAGTAAGTAGATCGTCCTTGAGCCATGAGGTTCGCTGGAAATGGAAAACGTGTCAGGCTCGGGTCCAGGACCTCCACGCCAGCAACCCGACGATCTCACAATCACCTCAAGAAGCCTTTGATCATTTCGACTTTGCAAAAGTCGACTCGACCGATCTCATCTAGCTTCTCTCGCAAGTTCCGACTCATACAACATTATGGTGAGTTGTCAGGACATCTCCGTTTCGCCTTCTGGTATCCCCGGCTGACCTTGCTTGGCCTGAACCTTGCAGTCCGACATCAACCGACCAGCTTCTCCGTCTTCAAAGACCGGTGCTTCGACGACCGCCGTCGCCCGTCCTCCTGGTGCCAATGCCGTCCGGTGAGTCTCCATAATATCCCTATCATTTGTCCAGATTTCCTGAACTAATGCATCGAACCCACTACCTATAAATCTGGAACTTGCAGACGACGAGCCCCTACGGCTCCCAAGCCCAACTCGACCCGAGCGGCCGGTGCAGGTGGATCGAGCAACACGATGTTGAAGCTGTACACGGATTCGGGGGAGAACGGTCTTCAAGTGTGAGTCCGCTCGCCGTTGGGATGTCCTCGACATGGGGACGATGCTGACTGAAGCAATTGCGGTTCCCGACGATCAACCTCAACCTTGGCTCTCCGATATATCCCTTTCTGTCCTCTTCCTCTTCTTTATCTGCCAACCTGGAAACCTTTACACCGACAACCGTATTGGTGCACCACAGCGACCCTTACGTCGTCATCGTCCTCGCTCTCGTCTTCATCGCTTCCATCTTTTTCCTGCACATCACCGCGAGGATCTTCAAGGCCCTGACTTCCTAGTCTGATACCTATAAGCTGGCGTTGATGGGCTGGGATTGAAACGAGACCTTTTCAAAAGACGGGATGAGATGAGGTTTGGCGAATCGGCTTGAGAGGAAACCGGAAGATGATTCGGGCAGAGCTTCAATGTGAGGCCGTCAGGGAAGAGGGGATTTCGAAGCGGTACGGGCGGTCTGTAGAATGGTTGTATAATATATACCCGCACATGGGCATTTCATTCTCCATCTTTTCTGCAGGGCGACAGGAAGCGATTCTTGACTAGATGATGCCGTTCAACAGGTTGATGGGACCCGTACTGAATCATCCCAGTTCAAGTACGTGTTGAAGGCTGGAATTGCCTGTTGTTCGATTTTGGGTACGTCATGGTAGCGCACCTCTACCGAATCGGCGCTTGGCGAGGCCAGGATATCACGCCCGAGTCGTTGTGGGAAGAGCTTCCTCGCTTCTTAACAGCTGCATTGGAAGAGCCATTATTTCGATCGGTCAAGGGTGGCGGACACGGGCTTTGTACCAAAGAAGACTGCGTCGCGCAAGAAGACGGTATGCCGATCGTAGATGACGAGGTGGATGATGAGGAAGATGACACAGCAGAAATCGCCGCCCACGCAGACTGGACAGGCACCCAAAGATCGTGAACCGGTATTATATAACGCTACATCGGTCTCCATCGATTCCAAGACCTACATCCTAACCATGCTGCACCGTGGATTCAGGTACGTGGCGATACCCCCTGACCTAGTCTGCGAGGTCCATCAGGGTCGTACGCGACTGCACAGCCCGAACGATCGTCTCGTAGAGTTCCTCCATCTGATGTACGACCACACCATCCCGAACCTCGCCCTAATGGTCTATTATTCAGGCATCGTCCGGCTTGGCAACCTTGCGCTTCTCCCGTTCTCCCGTGACCGTATCTTGCATCTCTTGCCACGAGACGGGCGTCAACGGGTTACCTATGAAGAAGGAAGAAATGGTCGAGACCATGATTCGGGTTCAATTTCGAGGTCAGCCTCGGGATTGCAAACCGGCAGATCGGAAGAAGATCGAGCATCGAGCTTGAACCGGGAAGAGCAGCTCGTTTATCTCGTCTATGACCTGCTCGTGTCTCATCTTCTCGATGGGGAAGTGGGGTGAAGAAAACGTAGGAAACAGGACACGGCGGACTTACCCGCAGCTGAAGTGGCCGAGATGACACCCAAGTGATTAGCCGCCGTCGATAAAAAGTACGACCGGGCGTCTCCCAGCGAGAGCTACGAACGACCATGCCAAGACGATGCCAAAAGAGACAAGCACAAAGAAACAGATTACGATACGACCTTCTATCAGCCTCCTCAAACTCTTCTTCATGTTGGACGATGGTATCATCTGCGCTTGCGACTCACCACCTCGGCCCGGACGACGTCCCCCAACCTGAAACACTCTCCCATCTTCAACTTGTCCTTTTCGGTAAGCCGGACGTCGGAGAGCTTGATGAGACCCTGGAAGTCTTCTTGTGATTGCGGAGTCGGACGGGATGAGACGAGGGAGATGGTCAGGTTTGCTTGGAGGGGCGTTAGGCGGGATATCTGGGGGAAGATATCGAGGGCTAAGTGGATTGTGTCTTGAGCAGGGAGATTATAGGCTTTCTTCTGCTTACTGTGCCGATGACCTGAGGATACGGAACGACGTTCATGATTTAGTGTCTCCAGCGAATGAACGGTGTTGGCGGATCTCGAATTTCCGAGTACTCACGATCGCCCCGATCTCTGGTACGGCGCTCATCTCGTGCCGACTCTTCACGCTAACTATCTTTGCCGATCAACAAAAAAGTCAGCTTGGACTCTGCCTCTGAACTTCTACACCTTAGCTCCTCTGGCCCACCTACGGAACCTTCCCTGACGGGAACCCCGACGATGCTAGCGACCAGCTTGCCATTCGGTGATAGGTAGCATCCCGAGCCTGGTTGGGGTGTCGGAGTCGAGTTGAATTTTGCGGGCAGAGGCTGGCCGGGTAGGAGGAGGTCTGCGGTGGACATGTCGTTAATTGTCGGAGGTATCAAGTACGATTGATATACGTAGCTAGGAACGAGCCGGGTGGGTTAAACTGATACTAGCTACTAGTAGTACGAGGAGATAGCAGCATCGATCAACCTTCAACATCTTTCTAATCTGACGCAAGATCCAAGTTACTACTACCTGAGGCCTGAGGGCTCACTCTGATGATCCGCGGATGGTCAATTCCCCCTTACTCGCTCGACCCTCTGTCTTTGCCGCGGACCGCTTCGCTCCCCAACAACCTCGTGCCGCATTTCACACAAAACACACACACACAGTACAGAACTTGCTATTCGATCACACTCTTCCTCTGGCTCTCACTCGTCTCCTCACCTTTTCATCCCCTCACTCTCCTATCTTACCTACCCAAAAGTCACGCAATGTTCGCTCTTCGTGCCGCTTCCAGGGCTCAACGGGTGGTAGCTCAGGCATCCGCCAAGAGGGGTACGTCCGCAGGTTCAACCTCGCATCTACCTATCCGTATCACATGCTGATCCTTTAGCTATTGAAATGCAGCCTTCCACCCCTCCCCGATGCCCTTGGCGTTGACCAAGTTCCAGATGCCGGCCATGTCGCCCACCATGACCGAAGGAGGGATCTCTACCTGGAAGATGAAGGAGGGGGACACTTTCGCCGCGGGAGATATCATCCTCGAGATCGAGACTGACAAGGCGACCATGGACGTCGAGGCGCAGGATGACGGAGTCATGGCCAAGATCCTCGTGAGTGCCGCGTCTGTTCATCTTGTTTGCGTCTATGCTATGAACTGCAGTAGATGTTGGGATGCTCGACTGTTGCTCGATAGCAAGCTGCAGCGGGAATGGCTGATCTGATTGATCTCGACATCCTGACATTCGTGTACAGGTCGGCGACGGAACCAAGGGAGTCAAGGTCGGAACCCTCATCGCCATCACCGCCGAGGAAGGTGACGACCTCTCCGGAGCCGAGGCCATGGCTCAGGAAGGCGGCGACTCTTCCTCCGCTCCCTCTTCCTCCTCCGAATCTTCGGAATCTTCATCTACATCTCAACCTCAGGGCAACAAGTCCGAGGCCGCCAAGGAGAAGGAGGTGGAAGGTTCGCACGAATCCGTCCAGACCACCTCGTCCGAGTCGGCCGCTCTGGACGTCACCCCCGCCCTCGGTACCCCTGCCGACGAGCGCAAGTACGGTTCCGGTGGAAAGGTTGGAGATATGAAGAGCCCCAAGGAGTCGAGCGGTGGGGACAAGAAGAAGTTCTTTGCGAGCCCGTTGGCTAGGAAGATTGCCCTTGAGAAGGGGATCCCGTTGGGCGAGGTCAAGGGGACCGGACCCGAGGGCAGGATCACCAAGGTCGGTCATCGGTCCTGGCTGGATTCTTCCCCCTTGTCTCTCGTGTGAGACGGCGGAGATGCTGATGTTCAAATCCCCGATCTTTGTCCTTCCTGAACCCACAGTCCGACGTCGAGTCGTACAAGCCCACTTCCAGCCCCGCCGCCTCTTCTTCTTCTTCCAAATCCGCCCCTGCTTCCTCTTCCTCCAAACCCGCCCAGGCTTCGTCTTCGAGCTCGTCGGCAGACTACGAAGACGTGCCCGCTAGCAGCATGAGGAAGATCATCGGACAGAGGTTGTTGGAGAGCAAGACGACGGTGCCGCATTACTACGTTACCGTCGAGGTCAACATGGGTGAGTTCAGAGTGCTCAAATTGCGAGTCTGGGAACGAGAAAAGGAGAAGGACTGATCTGGGGCATCTTGTGAATGGTGTACGCCGATAGACCGAGTGATGAAGTTGAGGGAAATGTTCAACAAGGCTTCCGAGGGCAAGAGCAAGCTCTCGGTCAACGACTTTAGTAAGTACCACTTTCAGTCGCTTGTCTTGCACATCAGGAGGGCAAATCAGGCTGATCAGCTTCACTGCTTTTTCTGTGTGCGTAGTCGTCAAGGCTTCGGCTTTGGCTTTGGCTGATGTGCCCGAGGCCAACACGGCTTGGATGGGAGACAGCATCAGGCAGTGAGTAGAACGAGAGTGCCGTTATTGACCTCGTACATGCGAGGCTGATCCACGAGCGTCTCGTAGGTTCAAGAAGGCCGACATCTGTGTCGCCGTGGCTACCCCTACCGGTCTGATCACCCCGATCGTCAAGGACGTCGGCTCCAAGGGTCTCACCAGCATCTCATCCGAGGTCAAGTCGCTCGCCGTCAAGGCCAAGGACGGCAAGCTCAAGCCCGAAGAATACCAGGGAGGCTCGTTCACCATCTCCAACCTGGGCATGTTTGGCGTCCAAGAGTTCACCGCGATCATCAACCCGCCCCAGAGCTGTATCCTCGCCATCGGAGGCACGGTGGACCGATTGTTGCCCGACGCGTCGAGCGAAAAGGGCTTCAAGGTCGCCCAGATGATGAATGCTACCTTGTCGGCCGACCACAGGACGGTCGACGGAGCGATCGCGGCCAGGTGGTTGAAGGCTTTCAAGGGGTACATGGAGAACCCGTTGACTTTCATGTTGTAGGCGAGCTCGGGGTCGTTTGTATGAGGACGTGGGGGGGTTTCATCTTTCGGTTTCTATATGCAATAGATTGTGTCATGTGAAGAATCCAAAGTTCTCGAGCACGTATGATGGGTTTGTTAGTAGACATCACCAGGCAGCGGGACACACACAATCAGGCGACTATTGCCAGAATGGTAGACGAGCCCAGGACTCGTAGAAGGGCGATGAGCCGAGGATGAACTTAATGTTGAGACGCGGTCATCGGGAGAGCAGGGAAAGGGTCGAAAAGGAAATGTAAACATGGCTAGATTTGGTTTCAAATCGAGAGTTCATTTTCGTGATGATCCCGGACCGACCTCTACGTCGAGAGAACCATTTAGGCTGGCCCGCAATCCGAGACTCGTCACGCTAGGCCGACTGCACCGGCTACGTCCGTCGGTCTGAATCACGTTCTGTAGGTCCCGGCACATTCGAGAGGCTGACGGTGTGAGGGCCTCGGGATGTGGAGCTTGTTGGCAAGACCAGCAAAGTGGATGTCTGCGCTGGCATGGGGCGCAAGGACAGCTTCGTTTTTCTCAAACACGGGCAAGTGATTGATATGTTGAATAACCGGTACATCAAGAGGTAAGTACATTCAACAATCCTCCCGTTTCCGAGTAAATCCTAATTTCAAGTCAAGGAACATCAGATATGAGGCTTACCCCAACTATCCAGCGGCAGCGGCCAACCACGAGCAGCACACCGAGCTGAAGGGCCACAAGCCCCAAGTATGACCAGGCGAAATACGCCGCCGGTCAACACACTCAGAGTCGAAAGGCCAGGAGAAGAAAAAACATCGGGCTAACCTCAACGTCCGGAACGTGCTAGGAGGAGGGACCGGCCATAGGTCAACGAATCCGCCATATGAAGTAAGCGACACCTGATCGTAGGTCCAGTGTGAGACAATGTTCCGAGAGGATGTTCCGATATCTCCCGCTCCGGTCTCGGAATCGTACATCAATCTCCATAGTATGCAGGCGGGACCGGCATTGTTCCACCTATTTGAACAGATCATATGATTGTGTACGTGAGGCGCCATCATATCATTTCACTCGTCGCGCTGAAACGCAGCCGAAGCCTGATTAGCGCGGGATCATTATGATGTCATCGCCCCCGAAGCATGAGGAGGACGAGGGTTTCAGAACGAGGTCGAATTAGCTTTTGTCAGTTGAATCAGCTTCGTCATTCCCCCCTCCCCCCTCCGCCGAGCTGATTCATTCCGCTGATCAGCGGGTCGGCGGAATGTATATAAACAAGATGAAGATCAGAAGGACGACAACAACGATAGACCTCTTCTCATCTCTCTTTTCTCACTAAATCACTCTTCCTTATCCTTCGAACACACTACAAACCCGCAAAGCTTTCCACTTTAATCTTACCAACATGTCTGAACACAGCGACAGTGAGTTCAGATGCTTCTCTGCTTCAAAGGACCCCCATACTGACCATATTCGCTTGACTGTCATACAGACCGAGTTCTCGGAGGCTACAAGGCCACCTTGTCCAACCCTAACACCAGCGACGAAGCCGTACGCACATCAACCCCGCTTCTTCACTCGTTTGTGAGGTTAAGCTAAGAACTTCCGTTGCGTGGTGCATCCTCTGCAGAAGGAACACGCTCAAGAGATGATCGACGAGATGACGGGAAAGTCCCAGTCCGCCGGTCACCAGAAGAGGCAGCACGTCGACCACGAGAAGGGTTCCCACGAGACCGACGACGAGCACAACAACCGAGTGAGTCCGACTCGTGTGGCCTGCTTGCACGCATCCAGATTCCCTTCCATACATAACATCAGGCTGATGAGATCGGATCATCCCTACACCTGTTCTCTCATCGTTTTGCCAGGTCATCGGCGGTTACCGAGCCACCCTCAACAACCCCCGAACTTCTGACTCTGCCAAGGAACACGCTCAGGCGATGATCGACGAGTTGACCGGCGTCCCTTCCAAGCCTTCGGGCGGCAACAAGAAGGCTCATGGAAAGCACGACAAGGAGACTGATGATGAGCACGCTCACAGGGTGAGTCGCGGTTATCCAGCAGACAAGGCTGGAAGAGATGCTCAACGAGTCGAATGTGTGGACGGCAGATCATCGGAGGTCACAAGGCTAACCTCAACAACCCCAACACTTGTGAGTCGCGATCGGTCCCCTGCCTCACAGAGCTGCCCCAACTGACCCGCTTCTCAACATCGTAGCTGAGGCGTCCAAGGAACATTCCAGGGAGGTCTTGGAGGAGTACGGCGTGGTCCTCAAGTAGGAAGATGTCTTCCTTACAAGGAATTTTCCTCCTTTACCGCAAACTTGTATTTGCTCACCTTAGGTGATTCATGAACTTGATACGGCAGGATTTATGAGACAGACGATATGCAGATTCTATACACCGATCGGACCGGTTACGGGTACTTTACTGTGCGTTTCATGGTCTAGGATACAAGGGGTGTTCATGTCGGAAATGGGTCGTGTGGTTTCTTGGCCGCCCTGAAGAGAGAAAGAGGAGGCGAGGTCGTCGTCTAGGAAAGCAGGAACCCTTCGGCTCCTTCGTGCATCGCTCTATGTAGTTGGGATTCCATGATCTCCTTGGTAGAATATTCGGGCAATTTGAGATACTGTTCAATGTCACGTCCGATGGGTCAGCTCGTAATTTCCTCCGCCAAAGTTTGCGCGCAATAGAGGGCTTACCTGAGCGCAGGTCATCACACTGGGCAGGTAGTCGTCCGGCTTGAAAGGAGGCGGCTCGCGTTTCCTGACAACGGTGAATTGAGGATGCAGTGACTTGAACCCTCCCAAGGGCAGTTTGGGCGCGCCCGTGATACTGCGAATGCCGATCGTCGGGTCAATTGGCGGTAGACGCTAGCTATCGCCTCAACGTCTACTCACAATCGAAGGAAAGTCCTTCGCTCCTGTTTGGTATAGCCGGTCATCAAATCGATCAGGAAGCGGACTTGCTTGCTGTCGCTGTGATAACCGTGATCGGCCTTGATAGCCAATTCCACAGCTGTTGTAGAATGAAAAGAACGGTCAGACTATACTCAACGACAATGCTCGACGTCTCATACTCACTTTCGCGAGACCAATCTTCATCGGGATTCCCGAACAGCAATCCCATCTCCTCTGGAGAGAAAATGGACAATTCCTTGATCGGGAAGATACGAGAGAAACCTGATAAGAATTGCGACCTTTCACGTCAGCTCCTGCAATTGAATCAAACCGACATTTACGCCCCCTACCTTCGCGGAAGCTATCAACCGATTTAGCAATCCCCGTCTGCAGAGTAACCTTGTAGACGAGCTCGATGTATTCCTCCAGGTTGTCAAGGTCCACGTTCACGTTCGATCCGTTTTCCTATATTTGCGGTTTTCATTAGCATGAAAGTCTCGAATCAAGCTAGAAGAAATGGTTTTAGAGCTAACCTTGAGAGGAACATCGGCGTAGCCAGGCAGAGTGAAGTCCAATGCAAGATCATCGATCGAGGCACCGTCAAGATTGAGGCCCTCGTAAGCCTGGGACCGGGCAGCAGCTCCCTGCAAGCGGTGATGAGAGGGATTGATGTGATCAGCTGCTGCTTTCTTGATCTTCAACAACATTCCTCCACGTACTATGCCTTCTTCCGCATCGATTTCCTGTTTTTCAGCCAAAAGCTTCTCCAGTTTGCTCATGGTTCGTGCTAGCTCTGGGTCGACAAGCTGTGATCGAGCAGTCGGTTAGACGTTTGACGGAAGACCGATCCATATGGAGTCCCTTACCTTCAACGTATCAAGCGAGAGGTCCACGTGATCGCCAAGGATGGCCTTCAAGAAAACCTTGTTGAAGTGAAGGTCGATGATCCTTGAATCGTAGAGAGCACGACCAACGAACATGCCCAACCCTTGGAAGATGGGAGCCATGTCCCTGTAACATGAAGATGTTGCGGCCGGTCGTTAGCGGAAAGGTCATACTCCGAGCCAAAACCACGATCAGCTTACTGATCCGACGCCGGACCCGCTTTATCTTCGGCGCTGAAAGGTCGAGGGAACAATCCATGAGGATGGTGAACCCACTCATCGCCCTTGCTCGGATCCTCATCCCGCCACATCCTGTTGGAGCGAGCGGCGAACGCTTTCGAAGCCAGCGAGTAGAACTCCAAAGTCGGTCCAAGACCCGTCCCATGTTCGTCGATGTACTGGTAGTCCAGGATGTATGCAGACTGACCCCAAAGCTCCATCGCCCTTCGGACTGACATGAGCATGTGCCGACGGTCGATTCGCAAAGGTTGTCGTCTGGGAAGCGGTAGGTACCGGGTCGCGTACTCGTTCTGACGCGACTGCCCACCCGAGGCGGCTGCTGACATGTGCCGCTGGCAAAGTCGAGGCAAGCCGAATGCAGTGCTCTGCATGAAGGTGTACCTGGCCTCGAACGGAAAGAGGAACCTGAACGATTTAGGCAGCTCAGTTGCCCAGGAAGGAAGTGCCTCGCTAAGGAGACGACATTCGTCAGCGTTGAAAGTTGCGGAACGACCGACTCCAACTGCTTACCATGCGACCAGCAAGATCTCGTCCAGTTGACGGATAAATTTGGCAGTCATCTTTGCATTGATGAAGGCTCCTTCGTCCAAGACACGAGAGTCAACCTCACCCAACTTGTCCCGCTGCTCTTCGTTGATGGCGTGAATGATACGCAACATCAGTAGAACAGTTGCTTGAGGAGATTCTTTCTTCAATGTGCCCGGAAGACCGTCTTCGGAGGCAGGGTCGACGTGTTTTGGGATTTCTGGTTCGCAGCCTGGGCAAGGACAAGGCGAATAAGCGGTTTGTTGTCCGAGCTGAACTGTGTGGTGAGGCTTACCGGGAAGAGGAGCAGGCCCTTCGACCTTCCTGACATGCAGTATCTGCCTGTCGTAAAAGCTCAACCGCACCGAAGTACCCGACATCCTCTTGACCCGAGAGATTGCCCCGTAAAGTGACTCTTGGTATCCCAAATCGTGGCCATTATGCGAGAAACGGTAGTGATAATCTGTAGTGGGCGCTTTCAGAGCCGCAGCATAAGAGCGTGTCCGAGGCGGCACTCCTGCCACCCGAGAAGTATCTGCAGCCGAGGCTTCAGGAGTAGGAGTAGCGACTCGGGTGCCATGAGGGGTGATGCCTTGCGGCTTGGAACCATCTGGTTGATGAATATCGTGAGCTGCTGTATACCGTCTCTACGGAATGCTCTTCGAAGCCTTACCAGAAGGAACCTCGAGGTCGACGGTCTTCTCCTGTAACTGATCGCCAACCGCCTCTTCGTCCTGCTCGGCATCATCATCAAGGTGGTCTTCAAGGAACTGGGGTAGATAGGTATAGGAGGAGCAATAAGTCGCTGCGCCGCATCTGCGATTGGCCAGCTAAGACACTCACGATACCATCGCCCTCCATGTCGTCGTCCATGTCCATCTCATCGTCATCATCTTCGTCATCCAGAAGCATGTCGTCGCCCATGAGACCGGGCATCCCTTCTTCGCCATGTTCATGTTCATCGGCATCTTCGTCGTTCTGCGTGGAGTGATCGTCGTCATCCTCTCCAACAGCGAAGTCTTCGGGCTGTTTGAGAGCATCCGATTCCGCTGGACCTTCCACTGCGGCGTCATTCGAGGTAGGTTCTGCATCCTCGACTGTTTCACCACGCAAACGAGCGCTGCGCCGGGCTGCCGGTTTGGCTTCCGTAGCGGCGGGCTGTTTACTGGCCGATGCCGAAGCACTGCCGGCTGTGCCTGCATCCAGCAAGGCGTCCAGATCCGACTTCACAGCAGCTCCCGAGCCGGTTCCGGATATCCGCGAGCTCGATCTTAAGAATGAGTTCATTGAAGAGATTGGAGCAACGCATGGTAGGGAAATTTCGATAACCTTCGCCTTCCAGTTGATGGGCAATGGACTGTCGCTACCTGCTGACAACTGTACAGTCATAGTTCGCAACAAGCTTGGTAGTGTGCGCTTGGGATCTGTATGCCAAGCAGGTATCAAAAACTGCTGACGTTGTGGAGATGACAGCAGAAATTGTGCTTACCCGTTTCTGCTCCACCATTGGTCGTCTCCACTTCAAAGTTATCGAGTCGACTTAGACTATCCTGCAGTCGCTTGACGAGCAAAGCCAGAGGGCTCGAATCACTGTCGGCAGGGGTCTCGGCCAACGCTGCGAACAGGATGTTGCGGTGGGCGACCGCTAGATACAGAAGACAGCTTAGCTAACCGGGCTTGCGGGCCAAGAGCATCGAGAATCACAACCGACGTACCTTTCTCCCCTTCCTGTAACATCCCCATCAATTTGGCTAGCAGCCCGCTTTGCAGCATCTCAAAGCTCGAAAGCGGCTCCATTCTGTCGGTAAGCAGCTCGGCAATCCTCGTGAATGCCTTCTGAAGATCGTCGTCCGTGATTTCAGGGTCGGACAGCTGCTGAATGACCTCAGCAACAGTCGACGAGCTCGAAGGCACAGCACGTCCTGTATCAGACAAGCTCCATCGCTTGATCTGGAGGATCTTCGCTCTGACGATATTTGCATCGTGAGGATTACTGGGAACAGACGAGACTCGACGTGACGATGAACCCGGCTTTGCGCGAGCGACGCCCAGGGCACGTTCGAAGGCAGAGATCTGGGTGAGATCTTCGCCTGCAAGGGCCTTCAAGAGGGTGGAAGGCGTAGCGCTGGTCGAACCACTTGGAGTAGCTTTAGGCGTGTCATCGGCCTTGTCAGCATCGGTCGCTCCGGATTGTGAGGCAGACTCGGCGTCTGGCTTTGTGGTCGATTTCGTTTGGGCGGCTTCCTTTCTTTTCGACCTCGCTGAGGGCGATAACTCTTCGCCCGCCAGCTTATCAATTTCGTAAAAGACTCCTTCCCTTTGGAAAGAACGCGTGTAGATCGCCGGCAGCTTGAAAAGGAGCAGCTCGGCCAACTGTAGTGCGTTGGTGACAAGAGCCGGGTTGTCCCTGCTGGTAAGGATGGAACTGAGGAAACTGGCAAACGATACGTTCTGAACAGTCGAAGATCATCAGCGTCTTAGAAGGCAGCCGATGCACAGATGACGTTTAGACTCACCTGCAAGGCCTCGGTTAACTGCTCGTCCGTGCAGAAGGCGATCGATCGTTGCAGAGTGGCGAGGATACGTGTCCGTACTTTCAAAGCTGCTGAGGCATTGTACACATCGACCAGCACCGGGATGAGAATCTTGCTGAAGGTATTGACGACCTCGGCGTTCTCCTGCAAGACCTCCTGCCTTTTAAGAACAGCCGCTTGAGCCTCTACCTTGTTCCGTTCCATGGCTTGATTCAGGCCGGAGATACCGAGCGAGTGCGCCTGAGGTACGCTCGACCCAGCTTGCGGAGTTGACGTCCCAGTCTCGTTTTGTGGAGTCTCTACCGGTGGAGTAGCGGTCGCAACTGCTGCGGCGGCCGCATCCCTCGACGCCTTGACAATTTCGTCCAGAGTCTGATCCGGAGTGATACCTTTGTCAATCTGACGTTGCAACTTGTCCTTGGCCTTGGCGTAACGAGCCAGCATTCGCTCAGAGTAGTTTCTCGGATCAAACACGCCGTCTGCCGTTCCACCCATTACGCAGCCATTAGCATAGACGCATTCTCTTGACATTCTGGATTAGACATACCCTGTGGAGCTGGAGGCAATAATTCACAAGCCAGATTCAATACCTCTTCAATCTGTTCCTTGGCTCGAGTCCCGAGATTTTGTAGGATGACGGCTTCCGCAGGCGCATCTGTCTGACCCTTGGCGATGTCTTGCTCATCCGGCGGCAGCAGACCCGTCAAGATGAAGTAGATAGTCCGAGGGAAATCCGCCTCGAACAGGGTCATGGTCACCTTGGCGGAGCTTCGCACACCGGCTGTCAAGACCTTGAGCAGATTGGCGTATACCGAAGGCGAGATCTGGGGCGAGCCAGATCCGGGCAACAAAGCGCCGTTGATCGCATCGATCATTTCACGATCAAGGATGTCTTCGAGGATATCAGCCTTGTAAACGTAGCTGTTGAGCAGACGATACATGATATTCGCGGCGCCTTCGACCAAAGCCGAGTCGGAACGGGCCAAAAGACCACGGATATGAGGCAAAATCTCCTTGATTTTAGGGAACTCGGCAGCGGTAAGGTAACGACAACTGAAGATGACCGCGCTGACGATGCTCTTCTGCACGTGAATGTCAAAGAAATCGAGGATGTCGAGCATGATCTTGAGACCGTTCTCTTGTATGATACCAGTGCCTCTCGATTGATATTCGGCAAGCTTGGCGAGCGTCTGAGCGGTGTGGCAGTAGCTCAAGTCAACGACATGGTCATCTATAGACGACGGCTTTCAGTAATGACTCACCACAATGACCTGTTCGGCCAGCTCGATATTCTCAATGGAAGTCAATTTGTCACACAACACCTTGACCCCTCCGTTGCGAACGATATAGCCGGCCGTCATTCCATGTCCTTCGGACGACATCATCAAATTCTGCAGACACCGACATGCGAGAAGTTGCGCCTGCTGATCCTGCTCGGGATCCAGTTCGGCGTCGGCGGACGGCATCTTGCCTCCCGAACTGAGCGCCATGGCGTACATCATCTGCTGCTCCTCGGTCATCGAATCAAAGTCGTCCTCGTCGTGAGCCTCGACAGCGCCTTCATCCTTGCTCTCGTCGTCACTTTTGCCCTCGACGATAGGCTTGCCGGACATGAGTCCCAGAAAGACCTTGACGGCGTCTTCCCAAGGAAAGTAGTGAAACTGATCTTCCTGCGCGAGCGCAATCGTAGTCGTAGCTTCCTGTAATGCCGAATACCTGCTAGCCGGCTTAGGGCTCTTCAAGTCCTTCAACATTTTCGTCCACGTGTCTGACCTCGCCCCTCCCATCCTGCCTCCGCCGAAGAACGCGCCTCCACCTGCGCCTGTGAGCGTGTTCATCAGTGCTTGGATTCTCTCAAGCTCTGCTGCTGGTACCTCACCAGACCTGGGCAGTGAACCGAACAGGCTGGACATGGCATTAGCAGAGGCGGCAGCGGCTCCAGCTCCGGCTCCCTCTCCGGATTCTGTGGTCTTGCCCTTGGCCTTGGCCTGCTTCGGAATCTCGTCCTCGTCATCCTCATCCTCGTAATCGTCTTCATCCTCTTCCGCCGAGTCATCATCACTACCGGCATGCGGCTCGGGTTCGGCTTGGCGACGCTTCGACCTCCTCGCGCTCGTCGCAACCGGAGTGACGGGTGCAGACTTTTTGCCACCCTGACCCCCAGCGCTCTTTCGACGAGTTGGCATAGGGTTCGGCTCGACCTCGTCGACGTCCATGTCCTCGAGACCGGGTACCACATCCATATCTATCGGAGCATCGCTTTCCAATCAGCTCGACGCACTCTCAAGCTTCCGAACCATAAGGTAGACACGCACCGTCATCCGTTTCGTAGCCCTTCTTGCCATTGTTTTTGCCTCTGTAACACGATCACACGCCCACCGCTCGTCAGACTCGATCATTTCGAGTAGCAACCAGGCACGAAACGCTCCTCTACTCACCTTCCCTTCTTGGCCGGGGCCTTGCCTTTAGCTTTCGCACTCATCTTCGGCTTGTCCGCGGTCGCAGTTGTCGCCTTCTTGCTCGATTCACTCAGACGAGCTCGTTTCTTTGCAGGCGGCTTCGAATCCTTGGTAGCAGTGGAAGTTGAGGCTGAAGCAGTGTTCCTGCTGGTTGAAGGTCCGGGAGCGCTCTTGAGTTGGAGTTCCTGTTCGACCTCTTGCTCGTCTTCAAGTTCCGAGAGCGAAGAAGATCGTTCTCGTTTCTTTCCCTTGCCCTTGTTCTTGGTGGATGTTGAGGCCGAGGTGGATGCGGATTGAGTTCGGGTGCGGGTACTGTCATATGCCAAGAAAAGGCGGGAATCTCACATCAGCACCGGATTGCAAGTATACCATGTGACCCGTGTAATCAAAGGGAGGATCGCCAAAACCTCTGCGATTGATCATCCGCTGGCTTTTCAGGTCCGAAAGGCCTTCATACAGACATCACGGATGACCTTGATCGAGAGGACGAATCGAGTACTCACGATTTGGCTTTCGTCTCCTTCTTCTTGCTGCTCGAAGCCTTGCTACTGCTCGAAGGTTCGATTTCGGCTTCCTCCGTCAAAGCAGCCGTCGATCTCTTGGTCCTCGTCTTCCTGGTAGATCGAGCGTTGTCCGCAGCTTCAGGTAAGGCGGAAGAGCTAGCTAATTTTCCGGTAGTGGGTTCTTTATTCGAGGAGCTCGATCCGCGAGTCTTGGTAGTGATCGATCTCGAGTTGGAGGATTTGTTCGTGGGTGTAGCCTTGGTGCGGGTCGTGGTCGTGGTTGCCGGAGGGATATCTTCGAGATCAGATTCGTGCGGATTGTTGTCCATCACGATGAAGGTGCTTGGGTTCAGTTGAAGTAGACGGTGCTAGCCATCTGGACTATCTATCTGGTTTGAAAGAGCGGGATGTTGTTTTAGTATCGGGAGCCGTCGAGGTAGGTTGCCATACGTGACCTGGATGAGGGGGTGATCAAGCTCTTACCTCGTGCGGTGTCTGATCGTGTTACTGTCGTGACTAGATTCCACCAAGATGAGAACGTACGAGATCCACTTTTAATTTTCCGAGAGTAGAGACGACGTCGTAGATGGATCGTATGGATGGAAAGAGGAAGGCGAACAAGAGGCAAGAGGCAAGAAGTAGAGGCTGTTGATCGTGCTCGATGACTGGTGATCTAGCGACCAGGGTGGGTGGGTGACGAAACGACCAGGAGCTTCGGTGAGGCGAAATGTCAGGCTCGCGTGGGCGTCATTCATTGCCACGTCATTTGCCACCATACCGAACGCTCGCGAGCCGAGCTTTAATTGATTACCGTCTGAAGCTGACGTGAAGCCCTTGCGTAAGCACACACGGAATGGAATGGTCGACCTCCCAACAATTCGTACTAGCAATTTCAAGGTCAACAACGATCAGAATAGAGAGGCATACAACTCACAACTCGATCGACAGTTGGGCTTGTTGACTCGGCTCGACTACACAATAGTCATGGCCCTGAGAGCCCAGGTCGTCGAGCGATGCAGGCCCCGTTCCGAGACACTACCACCCACCTCGCACGGCAGCCGAGGTGGACCACGAGCGGGGCAGAGCCAAGCGCAGCCGTTTTCACCCGCGCCAAAAGTTGTATTTTTCGGGACAGAGAGGGTAGAACGTGAATGAGCCGGTTCTTCCGCTGAAACTTATCCGATCAACCCACTTCGTCCGGGGTCTGTATAACGTTCAGCATCACCTCTCGATCTCTCCATTCTCCGTCATCGTCGTCTGTCGGTCTGTCTCGTCCGTCCGGTTCTCTGCGTTGTCGAGGAGAAAGGAAACCAAGCAAGCCAAAAAAAAGATAGCTCTTCGCTCTTGACTTTAGCTCGTTAGGCAGGGAAAACAACTCTTTCGAGCTCCGGCTGTCTCAAGTAAAAGGAAGGACGCTCTATCTATCATCCGTACACACAACTACACAATCTCTGATTCGGTTCGCGACCGCATCTTATACCAGGACAAGTGATACCGTTTCCCGGCTGTTGTGAGACAACAATTTCGCTCGCAAGCACTTTATAAACACAAAACACCAAAAAAAAAAAGTCAGACTAGCCCGGATCAACTTCACCTCGAAGCCTGCCTCTATCTCTCTGCGCATATCATCTGCACAGAGAATAAGAAAAAGAGAACCCACTGCCTTTGAAGATGGCCGAACCTCAAACTCAGGCTCAAGCTAACGAGCCCGTCGAGCGAGTAGAGGAAACTCCCGCTCAGACCGAGCAGCCAGAGCAGGCAACTTCTGTCCCTGCTCAACCTGAAGCTGATGCCGGAGCGGCCTCTTTCCAAGCTCAGCAAGAACGTATGAAGGCTCTTCACAAGAACTGTGCCGAGGGTGACGTCTTGGGCGTAAGGGGGATCTTGAGCGGGAGCTTGGAATTGTTGGAGAGTATCGGTGAGTTGCGTTCCGGAAGTTTCGTTCGTTTTCCCTGTTCGATTCTATGAGCAACGGAGCCTGGTCAAGGCGGAAAGGGCAGTTCCCAACCAAATTGCTCAAGCAGTCGAACGCGACGGCTGGTGACAAGCTAGACTCTCATGCCAGAGTACCGTTGTCTGCTCGTTCGATTCAAAACTGCAGTGAACGACCTGAATGAGAGACGCTACTGTTGCAAGCGCGAAGGCTGATCTCGCGTGTCGATTTTGTGCAGACCCTGCGACTGGTCTGACTCCCATGTTGCAAGCGATCTATGCCAACCAAGTCGAGGTTGTCAAGGAGTTGATGATGGCAGGTCAGTCAAACTACTATTTCTGATCTTGATGGCTCGCACAAAGAGACTGATGTCGCTCCGGAATCGCAGGCGCCTACCCCCCTCCTCCTACCGTAACCTCCGAGCCGGCCATCCTCGCTGTTCTCTACCCTCAGCTTCCTCCCGCCCAGTTTGGTATGCCTCCTGCTCCTGCGCACTTTGCGCCTATGCCCAACCCGGGTTCGTCGAGCGAGTTTGCTGGATCCGAATTCGCTCCCATCTTCCCAGGAAATGGTCAGCACCGGACGTCGGTGTCTCAGGAGAGGCACCATGATGCCAACAAGCTCCCTCCTACCGAGGTCTCCAAGACCATTCCGTGCCGCAACTTCCCCAACTGCAGGTACGGAGATGCTTGCGTTTTCCAACATCCCCAGCCTCAGCACTTTTACACTTCAGCGCCTTACCAGCCTGCCGAGTTCGTCCCTGGCGGATTCCCGGGGATGCCCATGTACTATGGGATGCCACCACCAGCGCCTTTTGTTCCCCTCGATGCGCAGACTCCTGCTTTCGCACCTCCTATGCCTCCTGCTCAGCACAGGCAGTCTGTGGATGTCAACGGAGCTGCTCCGGTAGCGGTTTCGCCTGCTGCTCCCGCTCCCATCCCTCTGAACGGATCGGTCGAGACCAACGGAGTACCCGCTCAGTCCTCGGCGCCGTCTCAACAGGCTCCCGTCTTCCACCCCCGTGCTGCCGGGATGAACGGTTTCCCGGTCAACCAGATGCCGTTCTCTCAACAAGCTGGGTTCGATCAGAGCAAGAAGGGACATCACGTCAAGCGAATGTCGTTCGGAGGGGTCCCCAAGGCTGCTTGGGCTGTCAATGGCGGAGGTCCTGCTGCTACGCTCGCCCGACAGGCAGCTCTCGGTTCGTGGAGCAATGGACAACCGCCAGCATGCGTCTTTTTCCAGAACAGCAAGTGCAGGAACGGAGAGATGTGCAAATTCCCTCACATCATGCCGGATGGTACTGACAGTGAGCTTGCTTCGAAGATCATGATGACGAAAACTACGGGGATACTGACGATACTCCGAACTGATAGGTCGTCATCCCGACGTGATCGCTGGCACCGTCGCCGCCGCGCCTGTATCGACCAACCCTAACTTCAGGCCTCCCACGAGGGGTCGAGTGCCTGTGGGAAACAACTTCCACTTTGAGCGTCAGCAACACTTTATGAAGGTTCAAGCCATGAGGCAACAACAGGTCGCTTCTCGCGCTTCGCAACCGTCGACAGGGACGACGAGTCCTGCCGAGAAGACTGAGACCGTCGCTGAGACTGAAGCTGCGTCTGCTGCCCCTGCAAGCGAGGAATCCGCTGCTCCCAAGGCCGAGCCTGCGGCAAACGCTGTTCCTGTCGCTCCCAAGGCTCAGGCCGCTGCCCAGGCTGCTCCCCGTACGAGAAGCGTGCCAAACACCCGGGCTCATTCGCCGAATGCCAATGTCCCTACCAATTCGCGAGCTCCTCGTATCGGTGGAAGATCAACGCAGGTCGGAAATGGTCAAGCCGCTCGATCGACCTCGATCCCTGCTGTTGCAAAGGAGGTCAAGCAGAAGCTCCCTAGTGCCGACGACTTTCCGGCCCTTGCCGGTTCGACCGGATCCCTCAATGGCGACAGCGGTGTCATCGTCAAGCCTGGTCCTTATGGTAACAAGACGGCTGCTCAAGTGTTGTCTGCGCCCGCTCCTCACAAGCCGGTAGCTACTGAGTCTGAAGAGGTCAAGGCCGGTTCTCGATCCAGGACTTCTTCTGTAGGACAGGTAAGCGGGTCGTCACTGGAGATGTCCCTTGCAGTCTGCTAAACTACCTCGTACATCCGACAGGGTCTCTCTACCGAGTCTGATGACGAAGCCGTTGTCATCTCCATCAAGGAGACTCCTGAAGCCTCGACTGTGCCCAGCGTGTCCGCAACTCCTTCGTCGGTACCCAAGGCCCCCATCAGCTTTGCCTCGATCGCCAGCAAGACGTCGACGGAAACCCCTATGATGGTAGTTTCCCAGGCTTAAATCATCTGCGAAGTATCGCACGTTTGATCAAAAGGCGCATCACCGGCCGCGCCAAATTCCTTCCTTGTTTCATACTCTCCCCACCGCCCTAGCCCAGCACCGTCTCTCGTCTTATCAGGTTTCCGGTCTTTCTCGCTCTAGCATACAACAACGATAACGCCGCTCTCGTGAAGCCTCAGCTCTCGACTGCCTACAACATTCCTCGCACCATATATGGACAGGCTCGACCTCTACGCTCCGGACCGCTCGCCGACACTTTCATCTCTGCGCCCTGTGTCGACGCGATCTCGGAGGATGGATGATCTCGGACGCCGCTTTTTCTTTCCACTCACTGCTTGCTCGCTTTTCTCCGTCCGTCGCATGACTGTTGCCACCTTGCATGTATTCAGATCTAGTTTCCCCTTCTCCGTGTTGTCGCTTTGGCCTAGCCGAGGTCGTTGTCACTCAATGATATTGGCATTTTTGTATTACCTTTGGTTTTGGGCCCCGGTCATCCCTCGATCCTCGATCAGATCTCGATCGCGCAAGAGATCCGCCGTTTCCGACCTCCACTTTGAACTCGTGAGGCATATAAGTTAGAGGCATATCCTTCTGAGTTTCTGAACGCCGGCTATCGATGCTTCTACCACATCGGCAACCTCTCCTTTGGATCCGTATAACGATTAATACATAGCTAGACCTTGGCAAGGCGGTACCTGCTTCTCTGGCGCTTAGCCAACCATGTTCGATCTGGAAACGTTGCCCAGCTTGGACGACCAGGACCTAGCGGCATTGCAAAAAGGTAGGTCACAATGACCCAATAGGCAGACTTGTGACATGGTACATTCTGACTTTCTTGCTTCGCTCTTGCTTTTTGTAGCGGACTACATCGAGGCTTCCGAAGTCATCACGGCTGCCCCGCAAGACGTACTCAAGCGTCTAAAGTTGGCGGATATACAACAAGTCAACCGTCTCGTCCAAACGCTCTGCCAGGATGTAGCCCCGAAAGCGAAGCGATTAAGCGATGTTGCCGATGAAGATGACAAGAATTGGATCACGACGGGAGATCCAGAGGTAGACCGTCTCCTTGGCGGTGGAGTCAGGACAGGCGTCATTACAGAGGTCTGCGGAGAGAGGTAAGCTGCCGCTCGATGTGCATTCCATACTGGTTCTGATGCTGTTTGGCTCGGCTGATACTCGTCTACAGTGCGTCGGGAAAGAGTCATTTAGGATTACAACTCTGCGTAGCAGGTCAGCTACCAACATCTTCAGACGAACTATTACCTTCTGGAGCCATCCTGCTCACATCGGAGCGGAAAGTATCGTTCTCGAGGCTGGAAGAGCTCGCTCGCCATATTGGCACACAAACGGATCCCAAAGCCGCGAAACTCGCTGCCAAGACGCTTCTCGACAACGTACATACGTTGCATATCACCGAGGTGGATGGTCTGGACCATGCTCTGGCGTATATCATACCTGCGATGATATCTCGCATCTCCGCAAAGAGCGGCAAGGATGGCTCGCTTCCCATCCGATTACTCGTCATCGATTCCATCGGCGCTTTGTTTCGCTCATCATTCGAGACGGGGTTTTCTGGCTTGACCCAGAGGAGCAGGATGCTCTGTCTCATAGCGGACAAGCTAAAACTGCTCGCGGAAACCCAGAACATGGCCATCGTAGTGATCAATCAGGTGACGGACGTTTTTCAATTCAGCTCTGGACCCTCGAACGTCCCTTCCCGGCCCGAATCGCCTTCCCCTGTCATTACACATCAATCGGGCTCGACCATTCAGGACGGCTCGAACAACACCTTGGAAGAACCCACTCCGACAGATGTTCCGGATCAGCCCACCATGACGTACAAGCGACAATCTCGATACTTTTCTGGTCAATCTCAATCATACCCAAAAGAGGCTTCGCTCGGTCTCGTCTGGGCCAATGCCGTTAACGTACGGATCATGCTGTCCAGGACGGGCAGGAGGAGGCTGCTCGACCCGGAAGATCTCGGGAGGAAACGAGTCCGGTTGGCAGCGTACGATAGGGAGGTCCAGCACGAACAAGGTGTCGTCAGCGAGGATACCTTTGAGCCGACCCTGATTCGGCGGATGCATCTGGTCTTCTCGCCATTTGCTAGGCAAGAAATGCTCGACTATGTCATCCTCCAATCAGGTATACACTCGGTACCTGAACGAAGACGCATCGCAAACGAGGACGTTGGCGACGGACCTGCCCCGCAGAGCAGTCGTAGCAACGCGAACGACCAGGAAGCTGTGGGATCCTCTCAGAGTTTCCAGGATGACCTGATCTTTGACGACTTTACCAATCTACCACCGGATTTCTGGGAGGAGCCGAAAGTGCCCCCTTAGATGAACGATCGACACGAGCCATCATTCGCACTAGTTATCACAACAACCAATAACGACCGCATGTTATCCCTCGACGACTTGTACGAAGGGTGCATCATCTAACGAACCTTTGTAACCGGATTGGATTGTCTACAACAGTATCATTCTATTCATACCATGAAGATACATCACGTCAAAATTCAGGGGACGATGTCGCAGGGAATGATGATGCAACAAGGCAAACGAAATCAAAAAAGCAAGCGCTGCTCGTGGCGATACAAACCGATCTGCATAATCATACACCCGTACGGAAATCTCTTGGTCGTCCACGGTCACACGACCAGTCAGCCAGAAACGGAAGAGCCCATTCACTTCTCTGCTGTCGATGTTGATGTCGACTTGGCACTCGCTGGACGGGTCGTCAAGCTGCCAAACATGCTGTTCAGGTCGTCCTCCTGGACAGTCGATTTGAACATCAACCGTACTGCATGGAGTTGAATATACGCAACCGCATCAATCATTGATTCGGTATGAAAGAATGCTTGCTTTTTGCCCACTGACCTTGGTTAAGGAACCAGAGCATCATCGATCGATCGTGTCCCCGTTCCTCCTGAGCTTTCGCAGCTAGGCGGTTAATCCCCTCCAGATGTGGCTTCATGTGAGAAGCTATCGATGAATGCACATCGGACAAGCCTCATTAAATTTCTATCGACTTCTGGCTTGACCCAACCCTAAAATCACGCAATATTTCACTCACGCTTAAATTTACCGCCCCCCTCCTCTTCAAGAGCGATTGAATATACTTCTTCAGGGTTGTTAGGATCGATCTTCGTATACTGGCATACAAAATAATTGCCTGGCACAAACAGGTTGTTCGATATGAGGTGATACTTAGTGGCTGAGCGAGTGCACTCTCGGTTTCGACTCACCGACATGCTGTACATCTAACCCTAGAAGCTCAACTATTCGAGCCAGATCTCGCTCGTCCTTGTTCAAATGCTCCTCCAAGACCTGACTTTGCTTGGTCTTGGCTGAGGGATAGCGCAAACCCAACGACGAATCAGCAACGACCGTCAGAACCCGTCACGGACAGACTCACTCTCTTTAATGCTCGCGATTTCTCGGAGCACGCCCTGATGATTCGATTCGAGCTGCATAATCTGGTCTTTCTGCTTGGCGAGCTGTGTGGTCAGAGTTTCGAGCTCTTTCGTCTTTTCCCCAATAGCGAGTCGTTCCGATTCGAGTGCTGCATGTGCCCCATATGGTATGTGAGCCCGCTTGTTCCACTTTTGCTATTCTTGTCAACTGCACGCACCTGCACACATCCTGGTCTCTTTTTCCTTCTCCGCCTTGATAAGGTCCTCGAGCTCCGCTTTGTTGATGTCAAAGTCCTTCATCTTTTCAGAATGTTGGCGGGAGAGACCCGCAAGCTTGCCCTTCATGACTTCCGTATAGCTATCCAGCTGGCATGACACTATCATATCAGCTGTGTCCTCGAGGTAGTTCAGTAGAGGTCAGACAGCTACGCACGGCCAGGAGGAAGTTGTCCATCCTGAACTTGAAAGTCTCCCATTGCGTGTCGACAGGGAGGTCGGTTTGAGCCATTATGCCGCGATTGGTCTCCGTTATCGATCTCTTATTGCGTTTAAGGTCAGGAAGGATACTATACGTCAACTCTCCGGTATCTAAGATCTGCCGTTTCTCTGATAGGAAGCTAGAAGTTGGTGAGATCAGATAGCAAACCCCCAAGTCGGCCTTCTTCTTGTTATCGATTGTTTGTTTACAAACGGATATTCGATCTTGAGAGCTTGGTCGGCAGACCGAGGTCAAGCTAGGACCTCGGTTACCATTCACCTGGTACAACTACTTGTGACTGTTCAAAGGCGAACTTTCTTGGGATCCTCGAGTTGGAACACCAACAACGCAGCCAGAATATTGAGATAGCATGCCTCGAATTGTGACAACGTCGCTCGGCTGTTGTATCAGCCTGAAGCGCGATGTTCCCCCTCTCAGGCGAAATCTGTCGACAAACCTCATCAAGCATTCCAGGGAGGGCAAAGAACCATATCAATACTATTGGACAACATATTTCCCGGCGCACGATCCTATCTCATATCCAACGCTCATCCCGGAGGACCATCCGACTGCTCCTCTGCACAACTTGATGGCAAGATGGCATTCTACCAAACACGACTACGTTTCCAAAGACTGGAGATCGGCCGTCAAGCGAAAGACGGAGCCGACCGTACCGCCTCTACCTTCTGATGAAGAGAATCAAGCCGTCTTTGATGCGATCCGGAAGAAACGTACAGCTGCGCTGAAGCTGTATCGCAAGCTCGAACGTTCCGAGGTGGAGTATTACCTACGAGGACTCAAGCATTCTCCACTTCGCGTGTTGAAAAGACCCGGTTCACCAGCTCGGCCAGCAGTGACGGGCAAGCTGGCTCGGCTTCTGGAGCAACCCGAGTATCGACATCGTTGGTATCTCCGAGAGCCGCAAAAGAACGTAACAGGGTCGATGATCGTGCCCGAGACGTCGTCGACCACGGAGCAAGCCGAAGATAGGGTGTTGCAATTGGTCAAGGATTACCGATTCGACAAGCTAGACATCGCATCAAACTTTATCCGATTGGCTTGTCGAGTGATGAAACTGCACGATGTGAGTGAGTACGTTTCAGAGTCGCCTAGCTTTAGCTGACCACTCAGCCTGTTTGGACCGCCCCTGAAATCTTAGCACCATCCTCAATTGCTCATGCAGTTCCTTCCCGAGGCCAGGATGTTTGAAGTCAAGATTTCCACCTGGACCCACACCCCGAGAAAGTTACCAGAGCCCGACACCGTCCACGCTCCTCTCGATCCCCTTACCTTTGACACCGACTTCGACCGGGTCACGCAGGTCAACCAGTACAAACACACCGTCCTCTCGGACGATCAACCGAAGATCAAGAAGACCGTCCCGGCTACACCGGGCTTGACGAGGAAGGATTTCTTGCTTGCCTGGGAGCTGGATGCGGCGGAGAACGAGGCGAGGATGAGGACGAGTACGCTCAAGCATCGCAACGAAAAGTGGAAGGCCAAGGTGGCAGGAAGGACGGCAAAGGCAGGAGATCTCGCTGATACGCTCAGCGCGATTGCGAAGATAGGAGATTCGTGACCCGAACTTGTCACAAGGCGCTACCCGAGACTGGCGCCGGCACGTGCATATCATACTACGCTACTAGGAAATGTAGAACCCAGACATCGGATACGAACACCGATCTTCGGACGATATTCATGCATGTGTATATGTGTGTGTATGACGGTCAGTCAGAACAGTGAGTGACCTGACTTCAACCTGCGAAATGTTCAACTGAGTCTTGCTGATGCAAAACTTTCTATATATTTACGCAACTTCAAAATTTGCTATCGATGGCGCTTTAGTCTAGAGGTACGATGCCTCTTTCGGGTGGTTAAAACCCGTCCTGTTTCAGGACTTAAGAACGTAGAGGTGGCCCCGGTTCGAGTCCGGGAAGCGCCCTTTTGACCTTTTTGCCCTTTTTGCGCTGCGACATTGAAGGCTCAATTGGATGGCCCCGGTTCGAGTCCTGCTTCTGCCCTCTTTTTGTCCACTTTCGCAATTGCAGCACTTGTATATACAGGATGCTCACAAGTTCGACTGATTTTCTGCTCTTGCTCTGTTCACATGTTCACATGTGGTGTCAAATCAAGCGATGAAGACGATGGAGCTTCCGTATGATCCGTCGAGTCGGCGCAGGTAGGTTTGAGATCGACGCGGAAAAGGGACGGGGTTGGGGTAGGTATGACGTTGTCTATACCAGGTCAGGGCCGGAGGAAGCTGGGTCCAAAGAGGCCAGGGCCACGTTCACGGTCGAGAGCCACACCGAGGTCGACGAAAGGCTAAATTCGCGAATCGTTCCCACATTGACCGATTCCGTCGTTGCATCCGACACAAGTCTGTGTCACTTTGACAAGTCAGAGTAAAAACGCGCTTGGGGAATGCGATAAGGATTTGCCATACAATTCATCATGCGCCCAGAAGGCGAAAGAGATGAAACAACAAAGACGACCGGCCCCGTATGCATGTCTTCACCCAGCCGAGCGAGAACCCTGATCTATCTGCCCGTTTCAGACCATCGACCCTCCTGCCTAGAAAGTAATCTTCTTTCCCTGGCTCTCGACGATCGAGACGTTTTCTCGCTTGGCCATCGCCAAAGCCGCTCCGGGTCTCGGTCGACCTGCGACCTCCCACTTCTTTCCGATCATGCTCGTCGACTTGCGCACTGCCGGCGCCTCGTCTCCACCTTCGCCAGGTGCGTTCGCCTCCGCTTCCCCAGAGCCTCCCTCGGCCCTGGCTGCCCGGTCAAAGTATCGAGGAGGTCGCTCTGATGCCGGACCTCGTGATGATGGTGCGGTATCATCAAGACCAAGACGTTTGTTCCGGGACATGGATCGCGATGTGGCGTTCTCCGAGGCGTACTATGGTATTTGGCAGTAGTGTATATTTAGCGAGTTGATCTGAGATACACTTGTAACCCCGAATCTGAAACTCACCTGCAAGTTGAGTTTTCTGCTTCCCCTAAAGAATCGGTTCGCTCGAACCGCAAGCGCATATGTAGCCTCTTTGGGAGAGTTGAAATCGATGAAAGCGAAACTACGAGATTCGCACCAGGTCGGGATGAGCTCTTCAGTCATCTCTTTAAACCCTTTCCCAAAAATCCTGAACTCACCCCTTGCACTTGCCCGAATCCTCGAATGTGGGCATCCTGACCTTTTTCAAACCGCACGACGAGGTAGGAATGGTATTGACAGGCTTCTTCTCGCCAGCTGCTTCATCATCCGACCCGGACTCGTCGTCCGAAACGCTCCCCTCCGCATCGCTACCGTCCTCCTTTTCGCTATCAGAACCGTCATCCTCATCGTCGTCGTCTCCTTTCACGCCACGGGTCTCCTTGGTATGCTGCTTGACGTTGTGCTCGACGAAATCTCGAATCTCTTCCTCGGTCGCGTCAAAGGGCAAGTTGCCCATGAACAGACTGGAGGACTCCTTGTGCAGCTGATTCTTGGGGATAGCACCGGCCGGGACCGACAACGGCTTGGGTGTCCGTGCGTCAGGCTTGGCGGTGAAGTCGTCACCTATGATACCGGTCCAGTCAGGAGTCATGAGGATCAGTCGCATATCACCATGAGATGACTTGGGATAAAGCAGCCGACTCACCCATCTTGATCAACACCTTTCGACCGTCCAAAAGAGTCTCACTCAGCCCGACTGCCTTTCGCTGGAGCTCTGGCGTGGCGAAATCAACGTAGGCGAATCTACAAGGCTCTCGATATCAGTTCCTCCACCTCTTGTAATGCGAACCTGCCAATGCGCCCGGCCTGGACATACCCTTTACACTCTTGATGACCCCATCGATTCCGACCTTCCTTCATGGGCAAATTCACCCTCGTCACGCTATTCTCATCCACCTCGACGTCATTCCCCAAAGCCAACCTCCCCTCGAACCAAGCCTTGAGAGATTGCGGGGACGCCTTGAAGGACAAGTTTCCGATCCAGATCGAGTTTCTACGCTTGGGAACCTCGTCCTCCTTCTTCTCCTTTTTCGCCTTCTTCTTCGGCCGTTCGCCATCCGCCGTCTTTCCTTCCTCCCCATCGACGCCGACATCATCACCTGCCTTGCCATCCTTGCCCTCCTTCTTGCCCTTTTTGGCCTTCTTCTTCTCCGCCCGAGCTTGAGCTTTCGATAACGGCGTCGGAGCATCGACATCGATTTCGAGCTCGTCCTCTTCTACCTCGCCTTCTCTCCGCTTCCTCTTCTTCGGCTTCGGCTCTATCGAGGTCGAGTTCTCTTCTCCCTGTACCTCGGACTTCGCTACCGGGTCGACGTCCATATCCGTAGCCTGCGCTGTAGCCGCCGCCGAAGTCGAAGCCTCAGGAGCGACCTGCTCCGCTAACGATCCCTCATCGGTCTTGGATTCCGACTTTGACTTGGACTTTTTCTCCTTTTTCTCCTTCTTGTCTTTCTTGTCCTTCTTCTCCTTCTTGTCTTTCTTGTCCTTCTTGTCCTTTTTCACCTTGACCGGCTCGACCGCGGCGGGGTCCTGTACCATCTTGTCCTCGTTGTCAGACATGGTTGGAATAGCTAATCTGAGTTGTTCTGCTGGAGTTGAAGGTAACGATGATCAGATCTTGTACAGCGATCAGACGCAACAATTGACCTTTGACCCTTCGGGACTGATCGTCGATGCCTCCACCTCGCTTCGATATTTTGGAATCGCGAATCACGTGACGAAAAGTCATTTACACATACATACACACACATTCGCAAACCCACACCCACATACATTCACCGAAGCGTTCACCTTTGAACGATCTCTATATGGCATTTCTCACTAATCATTTCGTATTTGGCTACACGTAGAAAACTCGATTCTTGCACCTCTGTTATCCTTCCTCTCAGACTATACGCCGGTCCATTGCGCTTAAGCAAAGTATTGACCCAAGTTGGCGTGGATAATGTTTCCAGTGATGATGTTCGAACACTCGTTGGAAGCGAGGAAGACCTGATAGATCGGGCGTCGAACTCGAGTTAGTGATGACGATTGAAGATCCAGACGCTCTTTCTTGAAGACTCACGAAGCTGGGAGCCTAGATAGTCGGGAAAGCAAAAACAATCACCATCGCGGTCAGCCGACCCGAACCACGTCACATCACAAACGCCGATTCGCTTGCCACTTACGATCTCACTGGGCTGACCAGCACGTCCCCTCAAAGGCACGCCCCCGACAGTCCAGTCTTCCATCTCCTCGGCCTCCCTTGAAGCGGGCTGGAGCGGGGTGTAGATGGGTCCCGGAGCGACGGCATTGACACGGATTCCCTTGGGGGCGAGTTGACCGGCGAGGGCTCGGGTGAAGGAGACGATGGCTCCCTTGGTGGACGAGTAGTCGACCATGGCGGGTGATCCTACGCAATCGGCAAGAACCATCAGCATCACCGTCCTCGGCTCTCGCTACTCGACTCGTCGACCACTCACCCTTGAAAGCGGTAACCGAGGCGTCGTTGACAATGCTCGCTCCAGCCTTCATATGAGGCACGCAGAACTTGGCCATGGCGATCATCTGGACAATGTTGCTGTGGAACGTCGACCTGACGTTGTCGAGCTGATTATCGTCGCCGAGAAACCAACCGAATCAGATTAGCCTATAGCTCGTACCAGAGCGATCGTATGGAGGCTCGACCTACATCGATATCGACAATGTCCTTGCACTTGATCTGCTTGGAGGCCTATGCGTCACGCGAAACGATCGCGAATTTAGCACCTCCTCTCCTCTCTATCACACCCCTGGCCTCGTGAACCACAACTCACGTTGTTGACCAAGATCTCCAAATGTCCGTACTTTTCCATGTGCTTCTTGACGACGCTCTCGCAAGTCTCGTCCTTCATGAGATCACCGGGAACGCAGAGACACTGTCCGCCCTCGGATTCGATCTGCTTCTTGACGGCCTGAGCGCTGTTGAGCACATGGCATAGTAAACAGTAAAGTGAGCAAGCACGTTCATTGGGGATCCAGGAGAAAGGAATGGGGCAAAGGAATCGAGGACACTCACTCCTCCTCCTCCTCCGCGAGATAAGAGATGGTGACGACAGCTCCTTCCCTGTGGAAAGCCAGCGCGGTGGCCCGTCCGATCCCAGAGTCAGCACCGGTGAGGATCGCAGCCTTTCCCTTGAGCTTGTTGCTGCCCTTGTACTATCGTGTCGAGGGGTAGTGTGGGTTAGGGTACGATAAGCTGATTCTATCTTGAGACGAAGCAAAGGAGAATGGGCTTACGTCGTAGATCTCGGGCTCTCCCTCGTTGGTCCAGACTCTAAACACGAGAGGAATGCGCAGATGCGAAAAAGAACGTCTCGTTCAGCGTTCCGACGTTCCGACTGGCTGATTAGCAAAAAATGCAACGCACTCGAGCTCGGTATGCTTGGCGATCGGGGTCATATCCTTTTCCCTCCCCGGCAGAGTAGTCTTCTGCTTGGCGATGTTCAAGAGCTCGGGGAAAGCGGTCTTGATCTGTTGCTTGGTCTCTTCGCTCATCTTGTTGAGATTGGTCAAACTCGTGTGGAATGTACGTAAGGTGGTGAGGTTGGTGAATCTGGGGTTTCGTTTGAGTGTTTTGGTAGCGTTTCTGGCTATGAACATGTGAAGAAGAAAGGGAGAGAAAGGAGTGCGATGGGGCAGCAGGGATGTGTGGCCTATATACTCTGCCTGCCTTTTGCGATGCGATGACGATACGATGACCCCGGTCGTGTAAACGAGACACTGATTCCCAGCATTTCGCTCGGGCAAAGTCTGACGTCAGCGGGAAACGTAAGCCACGCGAGCGAGGCGCTTTTTTATGCGGGTTCCTGTCCTGCAAGAGTCTTGGTCGGAACCGGGTTTCATCACTCGTCATCAACTCTCCCAGGTCATGGCAAGAGGGACATAAACATGCATCGAATTCGGACAAGACTAGTAATGTAATAACAAGCGGCAACAGCGGGTCATTTCAGATTTCGTACGACAACAGAATCTAAGGTTCTACATAAAACGAGGCGGGGGTGTGGTTACGCGTAAAGGAAGAGAAAGGGAGAAAGACGGGGGGCTACACTAACGAGAACGAGAGGCACTACGAGGGGATTCCAGAGTCTAAACGTCAAAGACGTCGCTCCTCCATCCCTCGCTTCGGCTCTCTCGCCTCTCCTGTTGCCTAGCAGCACGGGACATGGTGCTAGCCTCGCCCCGGACGGCGCTCTTGGCCTTGTCGGCGTCCTTCTTGACCCGGCTCTGGGCGGTTCCGGCGAGTCCCTTGCCCTGGTCGACCTTGGCTCGGATGTTGTCCCGCTTAGAGTTTCGGACACGGGCGGCGGGCTTGTTGGGGAAGAGCTGCAGTAGTGGAGCGCGAATGTCAGTATTGCGGAACATGACAACAAAAATTTGCATCGCAACTCACCTCTTCATCAACACCGACGTGCAAGACGTACTCGCCCCGCTTTCCGTACTTGACGAGCCCCTTGGAAGTAGGCCTGACGCTTCCAGCCTTGGTCAATGAAGGACCGGAGCCAAAGACCGAGGTCGAGAAGACGGCCTTCAAGTAGTTGGCGGGCGAAGGTCGAGCGTTGGTAGCGGCAATGGTTCGCTGTTGCAATCCGTAAAGCTCGAAATCGGCCTGTCGCAGGGACTCGGCGATCTGGAGCTCGAGAGCCTGGGTCATTTGTTGCAACAAGATGGCCCTGACGGGAGCCTTGGCCAACCAGGTGGCCATCCAGTGGTCGTTGTTCTTGATCTGGTAGTCAAATCCGACGATCGAGACCTTGGTGCTCTTGACCTTGAAGAAGGTCTCCCTCGAGTCCTCGTCGGCGTTTTCGAGCACGACGTCGAACGAGATTCCCTTGGGACCGAACTGGACGTCCAAAAGACCCGAGTCTTCGAAAGTAACCCAGCCGGACTGAAAACAACGCGTACAAACCGTTAGCGGGACGGACGTTAGAAAGCTTTTCGTACGCCAACTCACCTTCTTGTGGAACCAGTAGGCAATGTCCTTGGCCTGGACATGCAAGCCCTTGACTCGGAGTCGGACCGAGCTGTCGTAATCAGAGGCGTCTACAAAACAAGAACAAAACCGTCAACGAACCGGCCATCTAGAGACCGTCATAATTCCGGGACACTCACAGGTAGCGTATCCCTGGACAAACTCGAAATCGTTGTGGGCGACAAACTTGATCGAGTCGGGGATGAAAGAGGCAGACTCGAGCGTCAAGTCGTCGATGACGAGGTCAACATCTGTACGTAAGTGGGAACCAAACGAGCATAAGCGCCATGTATTCCGATCAACCTTCGTATCACGAGCCTCATGACTCACCGGCGCTCTTGAACTCGATCCTGGGTACAGGAATCTCCTTGACGAGTCCGACCAACCTGGGCAGGATGACATCCACAGCGTCCCTGTACAGCCCCCTTCCTTCGCTCTTCAAGCTGTTCCAGCCGACGTGTCCAGCCTCGACGCTGTCCTCCCCAAAGGTCTCGATGGCGTCGACGAGCTCTCCCGAGGTCTTGTCGTGCGAGAGGGCGTTGAAGAAGGATTCGACCTCTTTCCTGAGCTTGTCGGCGTCCGACTTCCAGGTAGGGTTGTTCTTGATCAAGGATTGACCGTCGTCGTACAACGAGGAAGCCTTGCGGTAGGCTCGTTGCGAAGTGACGTCTGCAGGACGAAATGATACGACCGTCAGCTCTTCCGGTCCTGCCCCCGCTGCCAGGGAGATGGCACTCACACTTGGGATCGTTCATGCATCGGTCCATAAACTCCTCGATCGCCTCAAAGTATGCGGTCAACTTTGGGTCTCCCCTGATATCCTCCGAAGCCTTCTGCCCAGCCTCGACGACCGGGTCCAAGCTCTTGCCAGCGAGCCTCTCGACAAACGTCTTCAAGTCCTTTCCGGCCTGTTGAACCCTGTCCTCGTCGATGCTAGCGTCCGACTTGTCCTTGACCTCCTCGACGGCCTCTTGAGCCTTGGACATGTACTTCTTGGCGATGTGGATGAGGGTGTCCATGGATTCCTTGTATTCGGGGGTGGTCTGGGCGTGGGAGATCATGTCCTTCATTCGGTTGATGAGGGCGTCCTTGGCCTCGTCGGCGGCGGGGAGCTTTTCGTCCAGGTACTAACGACCACGAAACAGCACGCCACGAGTCAGTAAAGAATGTCGAGATGAGCTAGGTCCAGCTTCTAGGCAGACTCACGTTCTTCAAAGCGACGCCCTTGTCGAAAGCCTCCTCCTTGGCCTGGGCCTGGTAAAGCCCGCTGATAGTGTGCTTGGCGTGAACCTTGCCCTTGTCCTTGATCTTGTCGTAATCCAGACCTTGCTCCCTCTCCTGCTCTGAAGGTCGAGTGACCTTGGCAGCCTCGCTAGCAGATTCGGCGGTCATCTCGGCAGCGTCAGCGAGGATGTCTCGGCTGAGAAGGATGATGTCGGATCCGAGCTTGCGGAAGGAGGGAGAGGTGATCATGACCTGGGCGAGGCTGATGAACTTGCGGATCAAGATCATCGAGTCTTGAGCGAGCTCGGCCTGGCCGGACATGGTGACGGATGGGCCGCCTAGACATCACGTCAGACAAGGTCAGCAAATGAACCTCGTCTATCTGGTCAACACGAGAACATTCCGACTCACCGACCTCGACATCGTAGTCGATATGAGAAGCGTTGTGGAACAAGTTTTGCAACAAGTCGTCCCCGTTCTTCTCCTCGCCCCACTTCTTCAAACACCTCAAGACGTTCTTGAAGTCTTCCGACAACCGCGTACCTTCCTCGCCCAACCTAGCGGTCCGGCTGTTAGGTCCCCCACCCGACTTCAAGACGTCGCTGTTGACGACGACATCGATCATGCGCGAGACTTGGTCTTGCGAGGGGAACTTGCCGGCCTTCAAGGCGCCGACGGATTGAGAGACTTGGATTCGTTGTTGCTTGGAAGGGAGTTTGGACTGGACCTGGGACTGCGAGGGGAGGTGCGATCGGACCGAGGTGGGGAGGAGGGGAGCGGTTTCGGACGACATTCTGGATGTGGGTTGTAGATGTCGTTAGTTGCGGGCAGGGGGTCGTGTCAATTGGAGTCTTGTCTGTTCAGGTCGTTATCGATGTGATGATGAGAAGAGCGACGAGAAAGCAGAGTGTGTTGTTGAGAAGAAGAAGAGAAGAAAGCTGTCGACGCAGCGTTCGCTAGCTGGTGGCTGTGATGAGCCCCTTCTGTCTTATAACAAGAAGAAGAGGACGAACGATGACGAGGCGAGCAGGACACAGGGGACACAGGGAATGGGACGATGACGATCTCGAGAGAAAGTGACGTCACACACTCACAGACCGAAACCTTGGTCTGTATCGCGTGCCCGCGTGCCCCCGGGTCACCACACACGGTCATGCCCGAAGCCCCCCGGGTCATCCATCCATCCGTCTACACACACAAAGTAAACAACTACAGCCCCGATCCACGTTATAACGCAGCCACCGACCGTGTTTCACATCACGTTGTCCATCGCGTTTCATGACTCCCGTCTCTTCGCAAACGGCGATCCCAGATCCACCTCCAACCGATCGATCGTATCCATCGATCCGTACCTCGAATGCATCTCTTTCTGCTTTTGCTGATCTTGCTGTTGTTGCTCTCGTCCAGGCGTCCTGTCCCTGTCCTTTTCCGGGGTCATCAAGAGCATCATCGTCGAGGTAGTCGAAGTCGAACTCCCGAAACTCGGAAGGGACGGCAACGACACTCCTTCGGAAACGCGTCTTCGCAGCTGCTCGTTCTCTTGTTCCAGCCTATACCCGTCTTGTCAATATCAGCTCCTGATCCGTGTTGCTATGTCCATTGAGAGGAACAGAAGGAAAGGATGCAAGACGGGACTGACCTAGCGATCCGACTGACCGCCCCAAGATGTTTCCCTTGAAGAACCATCAACTCGTCCTCCAACCTCCTCTTGCCCGCCTTCTCTCGCTCCCACATCATCTTCATCCTGCCTAGTTCGGTTTCCCCTTCTTCTCCCTCTCCGCTCGCGCCCACTCCACTATCCCCTTGCCCGCTTGCATATCCGCCAATATCTTGATCGCGAGGAAATTCCGACCTCGCAGCAGGCGCCGAACGAGGAAAGACGACCTCGACCAATCTCGGCTGTCTCGCCCCGTCTTCCTCTGTATACCTCGAATCCCTATTAGTTTGGCTATACGGTTCCACCTTTAGACTTCCTAATCCTCGCAGGGAAGGTCTCCCGGTGGATCCTCTCGAATCCCTGGAGCTCGAATGATGCTTGGAGTCAGACCTGCCGGAAGACCTCGGTTTGCTGTAGGAATAGCTCAATCGGGGGAGTTGTAGTGAAGGATCCAGTTCCGATTCCGACTGTGATAGAGTCGATGCGGGGTCCATCTGATGGGCTTCTTGGAGGACGAGTTGTTTTTTCAAGGAACCAGGCAAGATCTGGTGGTGAGATGGCGGTGGTAGAGGTAATCCGAGAGAGTTGAGAGTTTGTCGATTCGATGACGATAATGCCGTTCGTGTAACTGGGAGCCGAGGTAAAGGTTCTCTCGGCGGCGTCCTGTTGAGCCCAGACACCGACCCTGCCCTGTTCGGCTTCGCCTCGTTCCCTTGTCCTCTTTCCACATCAATATACTTTTCGAGCTGAGGAGAGTCCCCTACTTTGTGCTTCGGACTGATCGGTCGAGGTGTGACGGAAGCACTCGGATGGTCCGTTTCATCAAACCCGAAATCCACCACGGGCCATCCGCTCGAAGCTCCTGCTCCTACAGCCGTCCCGCCACTCCGGGGTCCATTCAACGCGTCCTCCAGGGCTTTCATCGCTGCCTCCTGGTCTTCCAGAACCGTCCGAGTGGGTGAAATGTAAATGTCGTTATCGATGAGTCTGGGGTCGTAAGGGTTGGTCAACGTAGAAGAAAGGTGGGACGAGCTCGAGTTCGAATCCCGCGAATATCTGTTTTCCAGGTAAGCTAGCAAGCTGGGCCGGGTTTCGGCTTGCGAATCTCGATTAGTCGACTCGTTCTTGCGAAGATGAAGAGGCTCGACCGGTTGAAGACTGGATCCCAGTGATCCTGCCGTGGTCCTCGATGGGATGGACGGATGACCAGGTTGCACCTCGGTAAACTTGGCATTCAGGATCGGTTCTGATCTTTTCTTTTGCAATCTCAAGCCTTTGATAGGTGGGACCTCGAAATTGGCACCGTCGAGGCAGTTCGAGGCGCTCCATGATTGGGAACGGGGGCGGTGTTTGAGTACGGTCGGGGGGATCAGGTTGGTCTGGACGGGAGGCGGTGCAGAGAACACATCGGCCAGGTTTCTAGCGGGAATCGTCGGAGGGACTGTGCTCTGGATACTGGATTTCAGTGTCGTATCTCGCTCAGCGAGGTCCTGTCGAGGTCTGTTAGGGAAAGCTGCCCTTTCTTTCCTCTCCCACGCCGCCGTATCGCTCCCGCTCCTGAGCTTTCTGGTCATCGGACCTGCTCCGGTCGAGGTATCACCCAGCCCCTGACGAGGGCTCGAAGTCTTGGCGAATGTAGAGTTTGATCGTTGCGGTGGCGAAGTGAGGGATTCGATCGAGTCTGAAGCCGGCATGTCCTTGTCCATTTTGTAGGAGGACGGTCCGTAAGCTTTGTGCAGGGTGATGGGAGAGAACAAACGAGTTTGAGGGACATCATTGGGAGCCGAATTGCTCGATCTTCGTAAATGCGGCCGGTTTGAAGGTGATGGCGAGGGCGCCGCGATGTGGGATATCGGAGAGGGTAAAGGTGGCGATAGATCACTATTGATCACCGCGACGCATCAGTACGAAACTTGCCTGACAATGAAACGACCCCTATCGACTTACTCTTGCTGTCCTTCTCCGTATGCAAAGCTCTTCTTCCTCCGAAGGTCGATTGACGCTCCCCTTCCCGCAGCATTATCCACCAAAACCTGGGCCCGAAGATCCGCCTTGCTCTCTTTGCGCCGCATCCTCCCTTCCTCTCCTTCTCCTCTATGCAAGAGCCCAAACAAACTCCCTCGGAGACCTTTCATCAAGGACGGTTGTTTACGAGGCTGTCGTCGAGGTAGTGACCCGTCCGAGAGGTCGGTACCAGTATCGCTACCGGGTAGTGGGTCGTGCGGGTGAGTTTGGTTCGGAGCGGCCGCAAACGACCGGGGCAGATTGAACGCATTGGAAAGACTAGGTCGAGATTTTCGAGGGGCAGAGTGTGGATTCGAGGCGAGGGAGGTCGTACTGGGGTTTTCCAACGCGCCCAGTCGGGCCGAATGGATGTCGCCAGCGCTGAAACCGCGGGAGAAGGTGCCAGGTCGAGCCCGATGCAGCTGAGACGGTCGCAGTTCCGGTCGGTCCATCGAGGTACCAGGACGGGAAGGAACACGGGGTACGAGTGCAGGATCGACGTTGTTTCTGGGCGTCCACGAAGAAGGTTGACCCGTCTCGGTGGGGCGATACGAATCGTGATTGGTATGGCTGCCAGGTTCTACAGTCGAGACGTTTGCTGAACGGCTGGTTTCGAGATCCGCAGCGCGAGACGTGACAGCGTCTCCGAACAGGAGTGGCGTAGAGTTGGCTCTCTTCATCGTAGGCCGGACAGCGGGTTCTGGGTGTTGCTGCTGATTGTCCGGAAAAGTGCTAGCCATGTCGAATTCTGGAGTCGTCGATCGGATCCAAGCCTTGATCTTTCGCTCGTTGTGAGCCTTGCGTTTCGTGTCGCGGGACGACGGCTGATGCGTCTCAGCTCCCGGTTGTTCCTGCGTCGTCAGTTGATCCTGCTCTGGTCCTCGACGATTGCCATGGTTGGTGGAGTCGTTCATCGTGTTTGAGTTCGGTGCCCTCTTTCCATAAGCCGCTGTTCTGTCCCAGTCTTGGGGAAAGTGGTTGTCGAAAGGAGAGATGGGAGCCAAAGGAGGCAGGGGAGCCGGAGTCGGAACGCGAGTAGGACGGGCTGTTGACTATGTTAGCAGGGTAGGAGCCTAGGGTCGTGACGAGGACATACTGGGAGACATGATTTCCCGCCCGTTGGACGTTCAGGTAATGGACCTGGCGATCACATAGCCAGTCAGATATTGCACAATTTCTGAGGCGCGGCTGTGGAATGAGTTACTCACGTACCAGGCTACTAGGCTACTATCGAAGCCGGAAGATCTCCGAGTCGGCTCTTCCGCGAGAACCTGCTCAAACCGGGAGTGTGATGTTTTCCAAGGTTCGAGGTTTGCTGCTTCTTGCTACTCTTGTAGTGGCCTGGCTATCGCTATGACAATAGTAGCTTAGTAGTATCATGTAACATCGTACATCAAGGTCAAAGTCGATACTATCATTCCAACTTTTGATCGCTCGCTCGCATTCTTCTCGGACATGTCCGAACGCGCGCATCGAGCCCAGAAACGAGAAATGGGGAACGCCAGTGCGCTTCTTCACCGGTATCTGTACTCTACTACTAGCTACTACGGCCTGTATGCCCTCGTATCAACTTTAGCACTATCAGAATACGGGGAATATTATTGCGTCTCTAGAAAGTCCAATCTGACCGCTGCGTTTCCTGTTTACCGCTTCTTCTTCGACATAGATCACATCCTCTTCACGATGACACCGAGGTCGACAGTGAAACACCAGTATGCCATCCGTCAAAATCGTGCACTCCCTTGATCACCTTTAAATCTACCAGTTCGACTCGGTCTTTCCCCCATTCGACGTATATGACTGGTCCTCGAGAGAAGCATATCATGAATCTGAGCGGCTTCTACCGGATGAAGCAAGACTAGGACATACATGCTGCAAAGCTGGCTCAGAAGTCCATAGGCTGCATCGCAACATTAGCCACAACTGAATCTCGGATTCCTGCGATGTTTCCTGGGGCCAGATGAACATATCCTAAGCAGGGCTACATATTCCGAGCGTGTAACAGCCGGGAAGCGCGCATTTCTGTCGGTGAGGAAATGCAACTTGTTCGAGCACTCGACGCAGGTGCGTCACATCGGATCTGTGTCGCGTCCAGGCTGCCGCTTCGAAAACGATACTGGACGGCGTCGACGCCGCTTCAGCTAGAATCTCGAGGCCTTTGGGGAACTTGTTAATGGTCTCCAACAGCATTTGCAAGCTCAGTTGTCACGCTTCGAGCGCTCGGTGGGAAAGCTTGTCAAGGACGAGGTAGACTGGGTAGAGGTCGATAATTGAATGGAGCCAAGAATATTGCTCTCGCTTCAGCCTCCTCCCAAGTGATTGAGGCGAAAAATACGACGAGGCCCGGATTCAGTTTCCGTATAATAAGAATCCCAACAACAATCAAGCTGCAAACATCAAAAGCCATTTTCTCTCTTCTTCCTTCTTCCTGTCGGGCTACCAGAAACTCTGCCATGGAAGTCGACATGTGATCGTCTAGATCCCTCTCTTCATGCATATTTCCTCCCACACAAGGCACTCAGCTCCATCTGTTAGAGAACAATATGATCGGGACATCAGAACCAAAGTACCGGTACCTACCGATCAGTATCGCCTCCTTATACATCTCGGGGCGAACCGGAGTAAGACAAGAAATTGAATGATCTACAAAGTCCGTCAATGGGATCCTGACACTAACTACTGCTGTCTGGTCGTGATGTTACTGAAGATATGAGCGGTCGGTTTGAATCGGTGCAGGGAAGGGTTACAGACTCAGCCAATCCTTCTTGTATATATTGGCGAGGAGTTTTCTGATCTCTGGTTCCTAAGAATTCTACCCCTGTCTACTCAAGGTGATTGCCAGCGATGGATGTTATAGACACCGTCGACAACCATACCAAGGTGGACGCGCAGGAGGGTACTGTTAGGGAATCGCTCACCACCGCAGAGCTTCGGGCCGCCCTTGCCGACGACAAATTCGCTTTTTTTAAACATCTCTGCACCGTAGTCCCGGAAACACCCGGGCGAGCTCCTGTCACACCAATTTTCCGTCCACCCCTTTCTCTGTCACTGTCCCTATTTTGCTACTCTTTTTTATTTCTTTTTAGAGCTGCGACTTGTGTGTCTCAGATCCAACAATCAATACTGTTTGTGAGGGAAATAAAAGTACAGCAAACTGGAGGTCGATCCAAGCCCGTTGATTCACTTGTCGACACAGCCGTTTCCGTACTCTTCATTCAAGTGACAGCACATCTCATACATCCGGATTACGCGAGAGTCGCAATCAAGTAATATCTAGCTTGAAGCACTACATGTGGCCAGTAGACCAGGATATCGAAGCCATAGGGGAAAGCTAGCCTATCGGTGGATGTAGCCAGGCTGTTCGAGATGATCGATGACACGCCTTTGATAGTACGACTTGTTGTGATATTGCGGTTTGGGGCGGGGTCTGTATGTCGAGGAATCTGTTGTAGTCCTCGGATAGACAGCTTCTCCATGATCGACAAGACGACACAAGGGGGATGATACGCAACAAGGCGTCAGCACAAGCCAAAATAAACGGGATACTGTATTGGCTGATACGAAACTCACCCTTGGACCTGGATGAAGATTGGCTGCAATCCTCCCGTGAGATAAAGGCAGAACGCCATACGGAAAGATGACGTTTGGCGGCTCTCATAATACACGATGTTACTGCACCACCAATGTGAAACCAAGAGGGTGTCATCCCTCACACCTGCCGTTTCGGTCTGCTCCCCGGCTACCCAAACAAAATTATAGGGGAGGACCCAGCCCTCACCATCTTTGATGAACAAGCGGGCTTCGAGTATTGCAACGTCCGCCAAATCGACAGAGCGGCCGAAACTGGATGTCTCGGAGCGGTACAGAGCAGCACAAGCGCAGAAGAGCGACCCTTCACCCAGCGCCGTAACACACTATGCGTTCAAGTGAGCTCATCTCAACCTGCAACCTGTAAATCTCAAGAGCGAACGTATGAGAGTGTCGGGACGAGTGCAACTGAAACGCGGCCTGCCAGACATCGAAGAGCGAGAACTCGGGGGACATCGCGATACGTTCTTACTGCGCACTGTACATCCTTTGAGAGCACTACATCGTTAATCCCTTGGCACGGAAGGCCTTCCGTTTCATAGATCACCGTTTCGCGCTGATCCTCTTCGGTCGTCGTCAAGTCGGCGAGTCGTGAAACCTTTGTCGTCCTTCTATACAACAACAAATAGAGTTTGAGGGCGCACTAGAACACGCGCTGGAATTTATGGTTTCGGGGGTGATGACGTAGGTTCCTTTGGCTCTCGGTACGCGGTACGAGCTGGATTCCAGGGACGAGACAGGGGAAGAAAGATGTCAGTGATCAGCGACACAACGAGGGGGGAGGGGCGAGGGGCGAGGGTGGATCACGTCAAACACACCTCGGTCCCTCACGAGCTTCCAAGGAAGGCAGTCTTACCCGAACCTGAGGAACTTCAGAGTAGGTGGATCCATTGCTCGCCCTTGTTCCCCCATGACATGGTCTTTGTTTCGCTTCGTCTCGCGTCTCGCTGTACGCCCCTTTGCGCCGGAATTGCGTAAATTTGTATCCGCGTCATCATTCCCTCCGGTCGCTCTGCTCTGTTCTTCTCTGCCTTCTTCCGTCTGCAAGCCGCTCGTCCCATCACGAGCGAGGCGAAAGTGGTGGATTCTGGGATCTCTCTTCCGGCTTCGACATTCCCTCGACTTCGACAGCGACAGCGACAGGCGGCTACTCACTCCTCGTTTCATCATATGCTCATATGATACCATAGCTTTTCCGTCTAAGATACAAGACCCCCGCTCGGACAGGAACACGCAAAGCAGAAATACCAGGAAACGCATACTACTGGAACTACTGGAACCTAGCTTTTTTTCTTTACCCCCTCCGGCAACCATATACATACGAGGTCATTAATTGCTACAAAGGACCTCAACAATCGACGCTTGAACGGAGAGCCATATGAAAATATAAGAGCTCTGACACTTGTGGTATTCTCACAACGCATATCGGGGTATCAATCTCTCGGTTCTCTCGGTAGAGCGAACGACAAGTCGCCGAGCCGTACGTCACGGTACGTCGGGGAGGATCACATAATCCACGGTCACGACTAGCTCGAGCTCGACAAACTCGTAGCTCGTAAAACGTGCGGGGCCATCACCAAATCTGTAGCACCGCCACCCATATCATCACTTCCCTCTCGACCTCGACCTCGGACTCGACATTGATCCGTTATTACGACGACCACGATGGTCCCCCCTGCTCCTACCGACACGACCATTCCCTCAGCAACCTCGACTGCAAATCCACTTGCATCCTCCTCGACCCCTCCTTTCCCTGATCAGATCAAACAACAAGAACGCACCAAATCCCGGAGCATGCTCAACGAACTCGACCCCAACCCCCGTCTCCGCCCGTTAGCACCTATGGACTCTCTCCGTTCTCTAGAACCCACCATCCCTCCGACCTCACACGCTACCAACCAGTCTCACCGCCTCACCCGGGAACTCTTCTCTCGACTCGTCGAAGCGCTCAAGTTCAAGGACAAGAAGCAGTCGAGCGTTTCTGGGAACGAGGACGAAGGGGAGGATCAGGCCGAGGTCTGGGAGTTTGGGGAGGAAGGGTTTCGACGGCATGCGACGGTCTTTAATGGGGTGATTAGGAGTGGGGCTAGGTGCCTCGTCAGACCGAGATGTGCTAGGCAGGTCAGCCGGTGAGTTTCGAGTGTTCAGGATTGGATGCCGGGGTATGGGGTCTGCTCAGCGGCGGACATGCATTGCTAACTCTGATCAAACCTGTCCATCCCTCTCCAGCCTGATCATCTTCTGCCGGAGCAACTCCCTCGACCTGTCCATCAAAGCTGGAGGTTACGGGACCCACGGATGGTCCGTAGCCGGTCAGATCATCCTAGACCTCTCTCTCATGGACGACGTCAAAACCGCTCTCCCGCCGTTGTTGGATCCTTCGTTCAGGAGTTTGAGAGAGATGAATTGGCCCAGAAAGTACGCCCAGGGTGGGGGCTCCATCGATGAGAGCGGGAGTGGACGGTCAAACTCGGTAGCTTCGGGCTCGGGATCAGGGTCGGGCAAGGGCAAGTCTAGGGAGACTTCCGGCATTTCGACCTCCAGGGAAGACGGCCTGTTTTACGCAGGAGGCGGCAAGAGGTCTTTAGACGATGCGTACGAGGGGGATATGGAGGGGATGGAGAGGCAGTCGGCGTTTGCCAGGGGGACGAACGGGTCGTCTGGGTCGGGCTCTGGGTTGACTTTGGGTAGTCGACGACCGCCTGTCGGAGCTGGGTCATCTGCTTTCGGCTCAAGTTCAGGATCCGGATCCGGGTCAGGGTCCGGCTCGTCGATGCCTCGAAGACCGTCCGCAAAGGAGGATACGCTCGGCATGGGCACCATGACGGCCACGGGGGTGAACCCGGCGACCATGTCGATGATGATGGGCAACAACGACGACGCAGTGAGCGAATGGAGACGGGATAGCGCGGGGAGCAACGCCAGCGCTGGTGCGGGTATGATCCCGGTGGCAAGTGGGACGGCCAACATGGTCGATGGCAAGCTGGACGAGGCGAGCAAGAAGAGCTTGATGGACGCCCTCGCTGGACCGACCCAGTACAACCCGGATTCTAGCGCTGCCGTTCAGCCCGCCTTTCAACAACAGCATCAACAGCAGAGTTCGGGCCAATCTCAACAGCCGTACGAGTATGCCGCTTCGCCGTTCAAATTCCCGATAGCTACCCTGCCCGGTCCGAGCTTGAGCTTTGGAGCTCAGAGTGCCGAGATTCCGTTCGGGATGGGTGACAGGAGGTGGCAGTTCGGACAAGGATTGACGATCTCGCCCGAGGGGATGACCGCCAGCAACAACCCGTTCCAGATGCAACAACAACCGCAACCACAACAGCAGCAGTCGACGATGCCATCGCGATCAAACTCGTCGTCCAATGCAACTTCGGTAGCAGGGACGCCTAATCAGCCGCCTTACACGCTCGTCACCTTTGACGCCGGGGCCAGGGCCAAGGATATCGACCGCGTCACGCACGTCTCTCCCTTTGGCGCCTACCACGTCCCGCTCGCTGCTTTCCCCGTCGGATCCGCCGTCATGATGTCTGGAGGCTTCGGTTTCCTTAGTCGTCTGTACGGCCTCAGTATGGACAACCTGACCGAGGTCGAGTTTGTCATGGCGGACGGACGGATCGTCTGGCTCGGCAGGGAGAGTTTCGAAGATGGAACGCGAAACGAGGTCGGCAAATGTTACGGGGTTGAGAACCCTGATGGCAGCAAGGGCGATATGAGCCAGGAAGAGGCCGAAGAGTTGTGGTGGGCTATTCGAGGCGCCGGGACGACGCTCGGGGTAGCCACCCGGTACAGAGCCAAGGCGTATCACGTTCCCGTCGTCTTTGCCGGCAACTTGATCTTGTGAGTCAGGGCATCCCGAGCGACATGGTCCTATTTGTCTGTGCAAAGTTGCTCATCGCCTCTTTACTTTTGCTCAGCCCGTTCAACCCGCTTACCTCGCCTAGCCTGATTCAACACGTCCGCGACTGTATCAAGGGTGCCCCGCGTGAACTCTACTGTAATATCATTCTCACCGCCGGACCCATCGCGCTGGCCGGGGTAGTCATCATCCAGATGTGCTATGTCGGCAGTCAGGCTCAAGGCGCCGAGTACCTGTCGGCCATCGGCAGCTGGAACGAGGAGAGGTGCTTGTTCAAGGATGTCAGGGAGAGGAGTTTCATCGAGCAGCAAGATTCGATAGCCAACGTACTCAAGGGTGGAGCTGGGCGCAAATGGTAAGCGGACGCTGTCTATCGGCAAGGCCTTCTCCAGCATGCTCACGCTCGCTTTGTGCTTCTGACAGGTTCATTAAGAGTGACCTCGTCGACGCACTTTCTGACGAGACCATTTGGAAGACGTGTCAGCTGTTCCACACGGTTCCGGACGGATGTACCTGGCTTTTCGAGCTCAGCGGGGCCGCTCTGATGGACTGCAAGACTACCTGTCTTCCAAAGACTCACCGAGACGCAGCGTATACCATCGCCGCCCTCCATCAATGGCCCGTAGATGTGCCCAAGGAAGACGTCAAATGCGTCACTACGGCCATCGACTGGATCGACAAAATTATCCACCCTGCATCGCCCGGTGGACCTTTGCCATGCGTGAGTGCCGAGGCTGCTGCTCTGCGGGCGTGTCATCTTCTCAGCTGACCTCGACACTCCCCTCTAGTTCCTGCAATCATCCCATCCTGACGCTGTCAAGGGTACCTATGGCGAAAATTTCGAACGCCTCGTCGAGATCAAGAACAAGTACGACCCGGACAACTTTTTCAAACATAGCGTCTGGCCAACGGGGAAATCGGAGCGAGAGACGGGTAACCCGCTCATGGTCTTTGCGCATGGGAGCGAGTGTTCCTCCCGGCAGCAACAGGTGTATGCGGAAGAGGACACCAAGATTGGGATGGAGGGAGTTGAGGCTCTGGCCCAAATCGCTAGACAGCGATCGGGCTCGCCGTCGATGGCCATGAACATGGTCGTTGACGGCGCGAATGGGGTTCGGCCCCAGGCTGAGGAGCTTGGGAAGGCGGTTGAAGCAAACAACGCTAGTCACCCGAAATAGTTTGAAGGATGGGACAATGCTCAGGTGCTGCAACGGCACAAGGCACAATTACAGTACTACTCAATATGTTCACAATACCATATCATATCAGGCTGAATGCCACATGTACTATCACCTGACAACATTGAACTATACGCATATCCACCTCTGATCCTACAAAACGCTGACCATGTCGCCTGTCGAGCATGATGAACATGTCGTCATCGCCAAACTCGCTAAGCGAAATTAATCAGCGGTGCCGCTCGATCGCTCCCGGCGATTGACAATCGACGCCTTCAGACGTTGTCACGCAAAACCAAGCTCGAACCTATCGCCGAATTTCAGATCAACCTTCACAGCTTTATCCAGATCACTTTAATACTTAGAACCAGACTGTATAGACAAAACACTACATCCTCAATTCTACAACATGTGCAAAGCTATCGAGTGCCCCAACCACGCCCAAGACACCAAGTACACCTGGTGGGGATGCGGTAGGCAGCGTCACGCTCTCGCATTTTCCCGAACCGTGCCGAGCTGACGTCTCCTACTCTGGTTCTAGGCGGTCACATCGAGCAAGCCTTGGCTCCGTATGAAAAGGAGCAGATCTGTGACTGCGAGCACGAACCCATCCCGGGCAACCCCAACGTCTTCCAGCCCAAGCAAAAGTGAAAGAGGGGGGATGAGGAACGAAAAAGGTCGACACCGGATTGAGGGCGACCGGAAGCAGGAAGTTGTAAATTCGGGTTGATGAGGAGCACGAAATGAATCATTGTTCGGATGGTTAGTGGTCCGGGTCGGTCATCAAGGATCGAGACGACAGGGAAGGCCATGCCTGACACGATGAAGTTGGACCAGAAGCGAACCGCTCGCCCCGGCTCAAGCCAGACAGCCGCAAAGAAGAGGTTCTACCCTCCCTGCGCCACATTGAAACAAGAATGATCATCCCGCTTGCTCGTCAATGCTGTCATGGTCAGTCATTCGTCTTTGCAATATATCTTTCACTGCATCGGCGAGCGTTTCGATCGCAATGAATGGTAGCTCTACGCCTCCGACGAGCAAGATCAATGAAGGCCCACAAGATCTGTATGGAACCATCAGCTACCTCCTCTTCTGGGTTGCTAGACAGCTTGATTGACCGCTCAAAGAGGCTGCTGGCTGCTTAGCTCAACCAGAGGAAACAGCTTTTGCAGTGGTATATTCTGAGGGGGGGATCGACCACCTGCCACACGTCATCCTCTGCACGGCCGTCGCACCCACACAAAAGCCAAGAATCACCACGAGATAGATTCCCATCATCTGGCGATGATCATCTTCCGGATAATGGTTCTGACATACCATCCGAACTTAGGTCGCCACCCAATTGACCGGTCTGATACACCCTATTCCTCCTCATCCAGAAAAGACATGCAGCTTCAACTATTCGCAGAACATGCCCTTTGGTATCATGGATGAGGTCAAACCAGTTCAATACGGAGTCGTGCGTGTGTTACAGTCTGTACTCGATTTGGAAGCTCCTCCGACATCATTTCTCTCCTCGCGGGCCACCGGGGCCTCAGGGTCGATGTGCGAACCTTCAATATTATATCTGGCTCTATTCATACTTGGCGCATGCATTGTAGTGTATCGCGATGGCACGATATGCAACAATCCAGCCCACTATGATGGGTTTCGCTCAGAATAATCATAGAGAGCGATCTCGACGGCTCTCCCTACTTCAGGAGGTCAGGATTTACCCCTTGCTCAGCGATGTGATTGATCATCTCTGCCGTGCCTCCAGCGTGACTTCTCCAATCCGTGACCCGCATGACCTGCATTTCCCTGAAAGGCACCTGCGACATGAGCAGGGGATCGAAGTTGTACCGGGATCGCGACTTACGCGAGCTTCAGGTCCTTTCCGAGCCGTCCGATGATGTATACTAACGAGTCCAGATCGTACTCGACCGATGCACATGCTGTATTAAGAATCATACTTCGAGATCAGTTCCAGACACGGCATAAACAGGTATCGTCTTCGCTCACCCAGGAGATCTCCCACGAGAATACTCAGACGCTTCAGCTCTTTGATGAGCACGCGGCCCGCCCAGATCAGCAACATGCAGCAATATATATCCACTTCGTTTAGCTTCTCTTCGGGGAATGCCCTAGCCAGATTGACCATCTTTCGCGCGACCTGTGAGACGATCGAAACAATCTGTTAAGGAATCGCTGGGCTTGCGTCGCTTTTTCGGTGGCGACATACCTCGAGAGCAGCAGTGTTTTCGGCATCTTCCTCGTCGCGGTCCTCTGAAACGGTCGACATGATCTGTTAACGCATTGCTAGGTTCGCGTCGCGTTTGTGGTGCTGACTCACCTAGCCACAGCTCAGCTATGGACACATACAGGTGCTACGTGTAGAGCGAAAGATACGTCAGTCAGCACGATATTATTGCTCCGCCGAGGTTTCAAGCAGACTGACCAGCGTAATCTCGTGCACGTCATAACTCTGCCTGTATGGGTGCAATTGCAGCGGATCCTGCAGTGCCGGTGGGAAAGAGGCCACGAACGCGCTGAGCGCATGCTTGTACTGCCAATACAGCATCGGTTGTCGAGTCTGAGGACAGGCGTCCTGCCGGAAGTCTGGTGGCATGAAAGACCTGACTTCCGAGCCCCGAGAGTCCATGTTGACGGAGACACTTTCCACAGCCGCCAGCCTGGCAATTTCGTGCATCAGCACACTTGCTCTGATGGTGTAGATCCTGATAGACGTCCGTCGACAGTGATTAGCGATATGTGAACTGTCCCCTCATGATTATGGACAGCTCACCGGATGTGAGTCCCGACTGTAACGCCATTATTGCGTCCGTTCAGGATATCATCTACGGTTTGATCATTATGAATCGTCAACTATGACCAGTGATCAGGTTCAGCTTGAGCACGACGAATTGACTTGCACCAGACTCACTGGTTTATTATATGCCGGTAGCTCGTGGGGAAAAGGTGTCGAAATCGAATCGATAGGTATGTTAATGGGCCATTTCATGGCGGTAGCACCTGCGCGATCGTTCGTAAAAACTCCCCAGCTAGATGCAAATGGAACGTTCGTCAATTCGTGACCCTCTCGAGCTAGTCATGAAGCCTTACAAAATGGCGATTCTCTCGCCAAGATCGACCGGGTCACTGGGCGGTGGTAGGGCCCAGAACTTTGCGACCCGGGGCCTTCCCGACCTGCTTCCGTGCATCTCGCCGGAACTATCTGGATAATCCTTCAGGACCTCTTCGTAGACCGTACTAGAGATCTGATGCAATCCACAGGAGATGGCGAGGCGAGCGCATCTGCCGGTCTCTACGTAGGCTTGCAGGTATTTGGCACAACTGTAAAGATAGCCAGCCATAAGGTTGCTCGCCCTGATCGCGTCGAGGAGCCTGTCGCTATCGTCAATTGCTTTCTCTGTTAATACCCCATCATGGATATTAGTGTCGCGTATAGCACGGCATCAGCAACTTGGGCTGACCGATCTGCTTTTTCGCTACCTCGAAAAAGTGATCCCGCAAACTAAGCAAACTCGGTTCCCGAGAAAACGTCGCGCCGAGCAAGTACTAAAGTTACGCAAGTCAGAAACACCCCTTCGGTCGCTTGACGTTGAATGCTCACCATCGCATACATCCAACATGGATGCGGTCTCTTCCGAGGCTCCAAAGTCAGCCTGGTTTGAAAGCGAGGCCGATCGACCCCAAGAAAATATTTCTTCGCTTCTTTGAAGAAGTATCCGAGCAGCTTGTCGCGCATGGTCGTGGGTAGATCGGTAGAATCGTGCCACCCTCCGACCAACCGGGTTTCAGCGGGTCCAGGTAGAACCCCGATACCCAACGGACTGTTACTCGAGGTTGCAGGCTGGGTGCTGTTGCTAAACACCTGAGGAATTGATGGCGATGAAGAAGCCTCTTGAGCTGCGTGTGACATTTCGGTCGGTGATACGGTAGTTCGCAGTCTGTCAATGCCTTCCGTCATGTGGTGCACAGCCGGGTCGGAATATCGTGCCTGCAGATCTTGTTGAATCGATGGTCCATGTCCGCCAGATTGGCTGCTCGATGCAGATGGGTTCGTAATGAAGTTTTCCGCGAGACCCCAGCCCTGGACCATGCTCGTTTGCTGTTCAGCCGTTTGAGAAAAGAAGTCGTTGAGCATCTCCTGCGTCTGTGGCGAGAGGGCGTTGGCTGCCGCAAACGAAGCGTCGTGAGGGATAGGTTCATACTGAGTGTTATAAGTAGCGTTCAGCACATGTGAATGTCCCCCGCTGTCTTGTATGTTCGATAAAATCGCTGCTACATCCCCCACGCCAGCAGGAGGCGCAGGAAAACCGGAATTCTGGTAAAGAGCTGTGGGATCTACCGACCCACTTCCGCTTCTTGGCACAAACTGAGCTCCTGAGTTTCTGTCCTGATTCCACCTGCTCTGCGGTGTCCCCTCTAGGATCGAACCTCCAGGCTGAGTGTTATAGGTTATCCCCGTCTCAAAGGTCGGATGACTGTTAGCCGAAGCAGACGGCATCGTGTTGGAAGACAGCTTCTGTTCCAGTGCGGCTGAATGATACAGTATAATTGCGCTATGAGCTTGGATACTGCCTTGGGTTCTGTAGCGTTATGGTGAGCTCACCTATCTTGGCTTCTAACGCTTTCATCTTGCTCCCCGCTTTGCTCGAAGGCACCGAGCTGTCATAATGACAGTCTTGCCTCGCTTTCGTGCAATTATAGCATCCATCTTTATTGGCGTCACACTTCATCTTTCGCATGCGACAGCGTATGCAAGCGTTTCCTCTGTGGACCGAGTCGAACGACCCATGATAAGCATACATTCGAGGTCGGGCTGTACTTTGCCGACTGACCTCTTCAAGGGCATCGCTGAAACCGTTTTGTAGGAGCACGTAAGCTGTAAGGTACCTATACAACTGATCGTCTTGGCTTACACCTGGTCGGTCTACCAGCCTCGCTATTACCTGTCGCATCCCCTTCGAGGGGGATATCAGATCCGTTCATGGTGAAGCGTTAGACGCTTTACACTGGTCTTGATCTTGAAAATGTGGCTGCTCCGGCTGCTAAGGGTGGACGACGCGATTCCTCCGTGGTTCTATAACAGACGTGGGAGTCATCCAAGTGTAGTGATTGCGAGCAAGATAATCTCTTGAACTGTGCAATCTCACAGGCTTTGGGATCTTCAGATCCCCAGAATCTCAATTCAAAGACACAGCTTGCGGATGCGGCCGATAGAACACGACATCGGCTCGGCAATGCCGTCAGCGAATGCCGTAAAGTCGGTCGCCGAGGTCAACGAATCTGGTGAAAGGGACTAGTGTTGCCAAACGAATATAATCGTACTCATATTCGTATTCACGTTCAGCCAAAATCAAATACTCGTACTCGTACTCATATTCACCCCTCGAATACGATTACGGTATTCATATTCAACGAATACGTACTCGAGTATATTCATGCCATCATTTAGGCCCAAAAAAAGGCTCAGAGCCTAACATCAAAACAAGTTGACGTCCAGATGACCGTGCATAAAGAGAGTAATATACCCTTGAATACTCAAATCAATGATAGGTCAGTCTGCCATCATGTTTATAGCAGTGAGGGGACGAAAAAATGCGTCTTGGGATGGGAACTATAGATGTCAGGTTGAGGATGAATACCAAACGAATACAAGAGTATATATTCATCCAAATACTCGTATTCATACTCGTACTCATGCTTTCCATAAACCGAGATACTCATACTCGTACTCATACTCACATTTGATTACGAATACGAGTATATACTTGCGGTACTCGTATTCGTTGGCAGCCCTTTAAGGGACATGCATAGGTCGTATGGTCGAAGATGTACAGCATAGATGGGTGCCTAAAGTAGGTAGGTAGTGAGAAATGCGGCCCCAGGCCTGGCAGATTAAATTGTAGAGTCCTCCTTCAGTCCCGAGCGATAGTAACCTGAATTTCGCCATAGAATTCTTCCTGCTGAACCCGAATCAAGCTCTTGGTGGCAAGCGCTACGCGATGAAGGTTGAGAATACTCGTCAGTGATCATGGACATACTTATCTTCAGAACGAGCTGGACGGGATAGTTACTCAAGCAATTGTAAAAGGCACCAGCCGCAACTCTTCGGGTGACAGTGTCCGGCGGCGCGATGTCTTCAAAGGTGATCACCTCGTCCGCATCAAAGACGTCACGGCCATTCTTCTCCGGGATCTTCTTGATGTAACTGGAACAAAAACCAAGCATCAATGGCCGACGAAGACCTTTCGTAGGAAACTCGAGTCAAGATCTCACTCCAGGAATTTGCCGGTCGAGGGTACAAGGCTCGACTTCTGTGAGGCACCTTCCCCGGCCTGTGACTGGCGAGCGTCGATGTCGGGTACTGCACACCGGATCCTGGTGAGCTTTCGATACTTCTCGTTCACGTATCGACTGCTTTCAGGTTTCTGCTCACATTCGAGGTCGAGATCAGGTCCGCCTTTTCCGCTTCCGAGCGGCGCGACTGAGCCCGGTCGTCCGAAAGACACGATGGACGTCGAGCGGGCTCGCCGCTTGAGCCTGTGTAGATCCCTCATCCAGCCGTATCAGTCGGTTGCTCGCTCGCCTCTTCCTATCCGAGACCTGGTCATGGCTAACCTTTCATCTAGTGGCGTATCGATCGAGAACTTCGCGCCCGTACCCGTGATACTAGAGCCTTGTCCTGCCAACCCTGTAATCAAAATCTTAGCCACGACATCCAGAAAGGGAGCGGATCGTTCTCATAATTACCGCCTCCAAAATCGCTGAAGGTGACATCTTCAATGTCCCACTAGAAGCAAAATATCCATCAGGAAGATGCCGCTTCACTGGGGATATCGATTGCTTACGGGGAATTGTGCTTTCTTCTCGCTATGCTGGCTAGCTCGTCGAGCTACTTCAACGTCCATCTGACGATCATGATGGTACGATCAGTCACGAGACTCCCCGCATCAATTGTCCAAGTAATCTCACATCTTGCGTGCCCGCGCGACCTTGTCTTTCCTCTTCATCCTGCTTGATCAGAAACTTAGTTCAAGGTAAGGCCGAAATGCCCTTGTCATAACGAAGCTTACTTGGTGAGGTAGGCCGAACCCGTCCCCTTGATCGAAGAAATCTCCAACTTGCCCGTCTAGACCGGCTCCGTCGCCCCAAACATCGTTACCTTCGTCGATCTTGCGCTTATGGCCGCGCGATTCTTGAACCGGACGTTCCGGGCGGCTAGAAGTCATCATCGAAGCCCAGAAATCTTTAATGTCACCTCCAAGCTCTGTGAATTCTCCACGATCAGTCATGTGACATCGTCAAAACATAGTTCCGACTTACCGAATTCCTTGAGGGGTCCTTCTTGGAGATGGCTCGTCGCCTGCGCTTGACATTCCTCGTTGGTTTGTTTCGTGCGCGAAAGCTCTCGAGCCTGATCCATCGCGGGACCCCAGTTGTCACGCATCGCTTGACCTTCCTCCGGAGACAATTCGATCGTCTTCAAGGGAAGTTATAAAAGGTAAGTAGAGAGTCCGGGGCATCGACACTATTGGTCTCACCTCGTCAACGATCCTGGTCTTTTTCTTCTTGGCCTTTTTCGGAGGGGCGTCCTCGTCTGCGGAGGGTACGCCCTCGTCAATCCTCGGGGCTTCCAGGCGGCCTTCTACTTCTGCCTTCTCTCCCCGAAATAAAGCGAGATTAGTAACGGTACAAACGTCCGAGCTGGAATGAACATCGCAATTTCAAGACGAACCTCGTCTCTCTGGGTACTAGGTATGGCCGAACCCTCTCTGCGGACTCGTTCATCGGCAGGCAAATCATTCAGGCTAGTTTCGATTATTCTAGATTAAGATTGTCCAATCCCTGTCTGATATGTAAATTGGAACTTACACGTCATCGAAACCTCCCATTCCCAGATCGATACCCCCGGCCTGCAGGTCATCGAGTGCTCCACCCCCAAAGCCTGAAGAGCTAGGGACCCCAAATCCGGCAGCGCTAAAGATACCTTGATCACTGTTCTCCCTCCCTCGCCTTCGACGTATATTTTCGGGAAGATCGAGATCTTCTCCTTCAAATCCAGTCATATCTCCCATGTCGAGACCCAGATCGATCGTTCCTTGGGCGATGAGATCGTCGTCTGGGTCCAAACTCAGACGTGGATCGCGGATGTCGGGTGCCAAAGACGCCATTCGGTAACGATGGCCGGGCAGTGTAATATCCTTCTGATCAGCGACGTGACGAGCCGCTCGATCCGAGGGTGTTCCGTCACGGCCTGGAAGTAAAGATGCGAAAACCCGATGCCGGTCAGGATTATTCTACGCGTGGCCTTGACCGACTGTACTCACCAGACTCTAATTCTGACTCCCCATCAAGATCGGCACCAATCCCGTCCGGATTATCATATTGCGCCATGAAATCCTCCCAATCCTACTCATGGTGGATGTGCACGTCAGACTGACGCTTGAGCCCAGAGAAACGAAAAGGTCGCAACCCACCAACGCCTGATTGACCACCCAATCTCTAGCTCGAGCCGGTTCTTCTCCGATGTCGCCGCCCAAAGTGATCTGTTCCGGACTATGGCCTGCTTCTCAGTCTCTGTGTTACGCGGTCTGGCAAGGCATATCACACTCACCGAGCTTGTGCACCGTTGGCCATGTCGAGTCCAGGAACCATGCCTCCGCTGACTCCGCGCATTGAGACCATCGCCTTGCGGACGCTGGTCTCGAGGTTGACCACGTCCTATGAGTCGTGAGCAAGGCATAAGTTCGAGCCTTATGTTTGCGATCAGAAATGTCAACGGTGGACTCACGTGGACAAACAATTCGTAATGTGCATCGTGGACACTGCGAAGCGCGTCAGTCAAGACTAACATCCCGGTCCTAATTTCCCGTTAGAGACTCACCGGACAACACCGACCAATAGTCCTGCACTGGTTCTCAATGGAAGCGGCGTCGGTGGTTCCGCAATCTTGGTACAAACTTCGCCTACATCGAGTTGTTGAACTGCTTTCTTGGATGGTCCTCGCCTGTGTTTGGGGCCCAGGGTAGCGCAAAGCCTGCATCGCGTAAGACGGACGTAAAAAGCAGTTCGTTAAGCGTTTGAGCCTGCCTTGATCCTGTGATCCTATGACTCCCGCGAAGGAATAGGCTCACCAGATGATACCCATCCTGATAGATATTGCATTGTCACTTGTCAACGCTGTTTTAAAGTAGCCATAGCCATACTCACCCGCTTTGTTTCCCCCAGAATTCCTCCTGAAAATGCATGTTCGGCAGATCCTTTTGGACGGTCTTTGATTTGCCGAGATTCGCGGAAGCTCGTCGTCGTTGTGGCACACAAAAGAAGTTGAACAGTCTGGGATCTGGGATCGTCGATAAGGGAGCTTGTAACAATTGGCCTCCAAGACGTTGAGCAGGTTACAGACTACAGAATTGCAGGAAATCATGAGGTTTCGACGTCCTGGCCTATTTGTTTCTCGCTGATCGCTGCAAACTGGGAGCCGATACCCTCACGCTGGTACGCTCAGCGCTGTGCCCTATTGCCTCATCGAGCAGGATCATCGAGGTTCGCTTAGAGACGGGCGGACTGATTCCGATGGATCCGGACATGACGACAAGGCCGAAAGAACCTGTCCCTTTCTGCGCTCGGACCCCTTCCTTTGAGACATTCGACGCCCCGAAAGCTGTGCAGTCGACCGTCTGAAACGCGGATCCCTTTTGCGCGCTAAAAGAATCCACCCGACAAAGTGTTTCGAGGGTGATTGACGACCATGGTCGTCGGGTCTGGTGTCAAGCCATCCTTTAGCCTTTGGTCGTCTCGGATCATGCATGTGCATGTCGGTAGCCCGGTAGCTACAGCCCTGGCTAGCCTGGAGTAAATAATAACGGATTCGGTAGTTCAACAATGACACGGACACCTGGGATCGCCGCAGGTCCGCAAAAAGTGCGAGGACTCGTGACAGCTGACAGTCAATGGCAGCTGGCCGTGATGTACACTCGTAGGTAGGTTTCATGATGACAATACAACCTGCTATGTCGTAGCCCTGCGAGATACAGTACCGTATACAAGGCAAAGTACAAATGGGCGATTCAAGGTCGGGTCTATATGCCTCAGGCGAAAGGCGGTCATCAAGTACACTCGCTTGATCGACAGCGAGTGTGGTTTTGGTATAGATGCTGGGAACGTTGCAGAAGGTGTCGTAAAGGATAGCATAAGAGAGTCAAGATTGTAAGAAGGGGCGAGCGGGATCTACTGGTAAAAGTTGTTCCCGCCCATTCCGTAATTGTTCAGGTCGTTTTGATTGGGTATTTGTACCGGATAGCTCTGCTGCTGCTGCTGCTGTTGCTGCTGCAACTGTCGCTGTGCTTGTTGAGCCATAGGTTGCTGCTGCTGAGCCGCCAATTGCATGGCCATCTGCAAAGCCATTTGCTGCTGATTGCCCGGCCGGATATTTTGCATCTGGTTCGCCGGCAGGTTATGCTGCATCATATTCATCCCGGAGGCCGACCCCGTTTGTTGCATATTCGCCTGACCTTGCTGTTGCAGCAACTGCTGCTGCTGCTGTTGTTGTTGCTGTTGCTGGCGATGTTTCACGTTCGTGAGCTGATTTGCTAGCATAGCCAACTTTTCTGGTGGTAAACTGTTCACGTCCATCCCGGGCACTTGCACCTGTAAAGCCGCTCGTAAACCGTCCAGGATTTGGGGCGGGAAATTCCCCATGCCAGTTCCACCTGGGGGACCTGGAGGACGTTGCATTTGCTGTTGTGGCTGCTGTTGCAACATCGATACAGTCTGGTTCTGGAACGGCGCCTGCCCATTCTGTGATTGAGGTGGAAAGACGGGCTGGACCAACGCTGGTTGTGGGACCAGTGATCCGTCGATGGCCGGCTGTATAGCTCGCTGCAGCTGAGGTTGCTGTGTGCGGTTTTGACCGCCAGGGCGAGGAGCTATTCCCGGTGCGGTGAGGGGCTCTCCCAGATTCGCAGGAATAGGCGTAGCCTGATAGAAGCGATCACACCGTCAGGCGGAATGAAATTATAGTACTGATCGCCGACACAACACTCACAAAGAAGCACGCTCCGAGTAATCGAGCTGTTCCGTTCGAGCTTCTGTGGGGAACCACTACCAAACCACCTCCTGGAGTTGGGCCTGTCGTGTAGATAAACATCTAAGTATCGAGGGAAACTGTCAGATCAAGCAGGTTAATTTCCGGTTCCGAATGCAGTGACTCACAAGGTTCCCGCTTGCCAGTTTGGCCGCGAATTGTGAGACTGCGCGGTTATTACTCGCTTGCGCCTGCAAATCGCCCGTTTGCGAACTTTCCACATGTGCCCGGAACTCGACGAAAGGGCATCGTCCCCGTTTGGCAAGGCTTTGCACAGCGTTCATGTCAAGTTTTTTCGCTCCGGTCAGCGTCAATGTTGACCCTGGCATAGTGTGGTACCTCATCAGCGTCCAAATTGCATAACCTGGACCGTCTAGCACTTACCAGCCGCAGGCCAAGATTGTGGCATGTACGTGCTAGGATCAGTGCCACGCATCGAGATAGCAACGACCGAAGGTACTAAAAAAGGTAATGGTGATGAGCGCGACACCGCTTTGAAGGTATCGGGTGGCGAAACACTTACAAGTATCCGCTTGCTCGGACTGAGCTGGGACCGCCATCAGCCGACCGTGCCAGATCGGAACCTCTCGTTGAGGACCACCTGACGGAGTGGTGGGTTGTGCGGTGGTAGCGACCGCTGAACCCAGCGGATGTGGCCCGCCCTGTTGTATCGTACCTGCCCCGTTCTCAGGTTGACTGGCAGCCGCTCTCGCCGCCTGCTGCCGCAACACCTCGTTTTGCAAAGCTTGCATCTGGAGTACGCCTTGTTGACCGTTAAGAGATCCCCCAATTTGTCCTGCACCGGGATTCTGTAAAGTCAAGGCCGCCTGTTGAAGCTGCGCGGCGTTCAGCTGCTGAGCGGCTGGATTACTCCCTGCGGCTGGCATCGGAGCGATCGCCCGTTTTTGTGCGTCCGACTGCTTTCTCTTCAACAAGTGCTGTGCACGAGCCTGCTGAATCGCGGAGATCTGAGCCGGAGTGAAAGTACCATTCAAACCCAGCACAGCTGCTGCCGCAGCGCTCGTGTTCCCTCCCAAGATGGCCTGATTACGGTTACCCGGGGTCGAACCGCTTTGCGACTGGGCCGTCATCTTGGCTTGTTGTGCCGAAGCTGCGGCGGCGGCATCGGCCTTGAATCGCTTAGCTTCGTTTGCGAGGTCCTGCTCAAGGGGAGAAGCGGCGGCGGAAATGGGTCGTTTGCCTGTTCCGTAAGGTATACAAGAATCTGTCAGCCTGAAAATGAAGTAACATGAGAGATCGACATCGCTCACCATTGACGTTCTTGACCGATTCGACGACGGGCTTGGGTCTTTCTACCTCGGTCTCAACAGCATACTTGTGCTTAATGAACCCGCCGGTCGCAGATCTTCCACCGGGAACATCTGGCCACCACGATGTTTCCCTCTCAGCTGTCGACTTCGTCTTGTCTAACCGCCCTTCTGCTGATGCGACCAGCGACCGGACCAGACTGGTCTGTTCGACATCTTTAGCATTAGCGTCGACCTCGGTTTCGACAAGCGCGACGGCGACTTGAAGAGCCGAGTAGAGATCCGGCAGATCCCGCCACGTCGTATAATCGTACTTGGCGTCGGTATTCCCGACCAGTCTGCATCCCAGCGAACTTCCGGACACCCGGCTCTCCTGCACCGTCGTGGTCATTGCGGCGGGACTCGTCTCTGCAGGCGTGTCCAACATGGACGTCGACACAGCAGTCTCCTTGTTCGCTTCCATTGTTGTCGATGTGCCTGGCTTCGGTTTCCGTCGTTCGCCGTCTTCTGGTGAAGGGCTCGGGCTAGGCAAGCCCGTATGGCCCGATGGTCCCAAAGTTTGATTCGCCTCGGCTTCGTCTGCCGATGTGGTACGTTTCCAGGCTGGCACGGTCGCATCGCTGGTTTCCTTCGATTGAGACTCTGTACGTTGAGGCAATACCGCGTCCCGGGCCGTAAGGACGAACAAGAAACGCTCGGCCTCGTCCGTCCGCGCTGGGGTCATCCTCTGACCTGTGCTTTGGGCGAACGAGCTTGCGGGTGTACCCTTGATAGACACGTCCCCCGCCTTGAGCGTCTTATCCATGAAAGTCACAGGTATTGCGGGACGGAACGGATTCTTGACATTGGCATCAAACATCTGAGGAGATGATGACCCGAGGCGCGATGAGTCTGGGCAAGCAGATCGGATATAACTATCCCGTATACCGGACTGACCTCTAGACCGACTACCAATCCTTCTAGTAAACCCTTCAGTCCTTTCTCTGGGGAGACCGTCTTTTCCTCCATTACACCTCCAATGGGAATTTCCGGATCGATACCGAATTCTGACAACCACCCAATGTCATCGTCATACCCCAACGTTCCCCCCATAATGTCTTTCTCAATCCCTGGCTCGCTGCCCGATGTCGGCGCTGACGCCAAGGGCAAGACGGGGAAGTACGTCGACAAGAGCGGGAGCGAGGCGAGGAAGGTCGAGTAGGGTACAAAGTATTGCTGGTAGACGATCGGCGATTGAGTCTGATCAAAGGGATCTGCGAACAAGGAAGATGTAAAGTTTGGAATGGATCCGGGTTGAGTCGAGTGGGTGATGACGATCGAGATTCGTAGCTGCGGTCGATGAAAAGCAGAGATCGGAAGCGGTGTGAGCGATTGCAAGACACTGGGGCTGGGTCCAACAGAAACCTACATCGAAACCATCCATATCTTCCCCGACACTCTTCTCCTTTCCCTTGTCTTGCACGCCCGACTTGGTCGCCTTGGCCCGATTCTTCCCCCTCTCTACCAGCCCGCTTACGATCCCACCGACCACGCTGCCCTCTCCCGTCGTATTCTTGACGAAAGCTTCTCGTCCCAGAGACGTATCGAAAAGAAATACAACGGCCATGGATGCCCTCGTTGTCGTCGTGTTTGATGTCGAAGCTGACGGTACTGACCCGCATCGACCGAGAACGGCCGAGCCGGGAGTGCCTAAAGGGGTCGTCAGAGCGAGCTGGATCTTGGGTGTCGGGAGGTTCAGGGTGAATGCAGGAGTGCCCGGTTTGGAAGCAAAGGGAGACGAGGCCGGGAGGTAGGAAGGTAGTGGTGTGGGCATGATGATCGTGTAGCGTCGAGGTCGTGAAGCAGGTCAAGATTCCAAGTTTGGCTGCGTGCGAGGCGGCGTCCTCTCGACCAAGAACGGCCCGCTGCTTGGCGGGGTGATCTCTTGACGGAAGTCGTATGTGGTCTCTTCGTTCTCAACTATGAATAATACCGAATAACCTAGCTGTAGTCGATGTCCTCCTCCATTTGACGAGCTTATCGATACGATCTGAGCCAGGATATAGAAGTGTTATTCAGGCCGTTTCTCCCTTTTTGGACTAGGGTCCGCGGGATGTTTGAGCGTCTCTCTCTCTCTCTGCTTGCTGCTTGCAATCGCTAGGACGCCGATCCTCTCGGACTATCATCAACTTCGGGATACAAGCGTAAAAGTCGAGCCTTGAACCAAAGACAGACTTCTAATTCAAGTGAATACGTGGTATAGACAAGTACACTTGCTAGGGCCTACCGGGCTCGACCTCGTTTCGGCATCGCTCCATTCATGGCAAGGATCTCACTCATCTCATCGGGCGCGGCCGCCTTCCAGCTCGCTGCTTTTGACCGAGACCTCTCCGACAGCTGACAGAGTGCGCCGAAAAATAGGATACAACAACCCGCTCACAGACCAAAGCCAACAACTCGTTACGCTGAAATTGTTCACCCCCCGAAGCCATGCTGCTAGCTGCTAGATCCATCGTGACGGCTTTGACAACGATCGTTCGACACCCGATATTGTGACCATCGAACCCGCCGGATCTCTGTTTCAGGGGAAAGCACCCCTGGACCGCGGCGGATCCGTATTGACCGAGTGAAGGGGCGACGCGTATGGAAAGCGCCTCTGTTTACTTTGTCGGTCGGTCGCTTACGGACAAAAGCGAAGAACAAAAGAGAATCAAGAACCCGTACGCAACCAGCACAACCAGGCAGAGCAAGCAGAGCAAGTGCAGGGGGAGGACCCATGCTTTCTTCATACCTTACCCCAACTCCCCAGGATGCTGCGAACCGAACATCATGGACCAAGGATCGGTCTCGGACAGCAACCGGGCAACCTTGTTCTGCGCTCTTGCCAAGCGAAAGCATCCCATCACTCGATCAACGTCGATCACCCAGCTCAGCAGATCGTGGCTATTCTGGTCATCCCACCCTCGTGTTAGCAAGAGGCAACAAGGCTAGCGTTTTCCGACTTTCTCGTCGACTTGCAACTCTATCGCCTGGTCGTCAGAGATCAGATCAGATCAGAGTAGCAGGGTGAAACATCGATCGATCGAGCCAGTCAACAGCTCAAACAGAACGAGTAGGAAGAGCAGAGGGCACCCGCGTAAAGATTGATTTCGGTCGTCGGGCAGAAGGAATTCGGTTTAGCTTTAAAGGTGGATCGCCGCAAGTCTCAAAGGAGATCGTTGAAACACTATCGGGCCGGCGAAGCGGGGAGGCCGTTTCCATCAATCAATCCGGATCGCTTCATCAGCTCGTCAGCTCTTCGATCGAAAAAGGACCTTGCAGCTTGCAGGAAGGAGGACGGACGGAGGTCTTTCAGCGTATCAAACTCGAAACGCATCTCAAACTCGCCTTTGATCACGAAGCTTCAGCTAGCGTATTGTATCGATCCTACCAGCATCGCAGCAACCAGGCTCGAGCAGCTGGCTCTCCCGCTAGAAGCACAGGGGAACAACGAACGGCGTCTGATCCGAATCAAAGCACCCACACGAGGTCGAAGATCTAGGAAAGAGAGATAACGATCCTGCTACATCGATCGATCAACGGGATATCGCTTCGGCCCTCAAGTAGAGACGATAGACGAAGGTGGCCCTGGACGATAACAGAAAGAGAGTTGAGCGACAACAACAATCAGATCATATATATCATATAGTTAGTCGCACGACCCTCTGCCATATCACCCGAGATACCACGTTTTTTGTCGACACATAGCCTAGCCTCTGCTCACACTCGCTTTTCGACTGTCCGGCTGCTACCCCTTCTGCCTCTCGCCTCTCGCCTCTCGCTTACGAACTTACCCGTCCCGTCCCGGCACTTGGCGGGCAAAACAACGATCAACCTTTTCTTGTCCGATCACGTTGTCAACAACCGCGACCATCACACGATCGACCTCCTCTTCCTTGGATGAACAGGTTGTTACGTCGTAAACCATCGGTCTCTGTCGTCCATAATTCACTCGACGCCAGTACAGGCATCAACGGGGACGTCAACGATCTTCATCCCGCCGCAGCCGTTTCGATACCCAGATCCACACCCACGCCCAAGCCCAAGAAGGAGAAGAAGGAAAAGAAGCCAAAGTCCGAGCAGGTCTTTTACAACAGTCGTGGAGGCGGTGGGATCCGGAAGAAGCCCGCTGTCGCACCAGGTAAGTCGAGCGGTGCACGAGTGGTCAAGGCGTGCAGTCGAGATGCATGGTGGAAAGGATGTTGAAGGATACTCGAGAAACTCGGTTGAAAGGCACCAAAATCAGTGAACCCTTTGGATATGATGTTTATCACCGGTTCAAAGGGGAATCTGATGCTGCGAGGGTGGACACGAACCGGATGGTTGAATGAAGTATAGGCAGATCTGAGCTAACTATCGGTCTATCCGCTCGCCATTCAGCTGCAGTACCCCTTCGCAAATCCGTCGAATCACTACCAACACCCCCTCCAGCTTTCCCACATACCGAACCCCGTCACGAACCCGAAGCCGGTCCAAGTCGTATACACGTCGACGGACCCGCGGCTGAATCACTACCACCGCCTCTTCCCGTCGTTCACGAGCCGGACGAACCCCCTCAACCTCCTCCCAAGAAGGCCAAACCCGTCCGATCGGTCGGCGCGAGTTCCCGTGGAGGTGGAGCGACCGTCAAAGCCAGAGACAAATCTAGACCTACATTACGGGTCATCTCACCTGAAGAGGAACGTGAGCTAGACGAAGCAGACCTCCGAAGTCTCTACAGTGGAAGCGGGACCGGATCGTCAATTCTCACCAGCAGTACTCGTACGCAAAGGACCGCAGCTGGAAAAGTCGGTGGTTCTTCAAGAGGTGCAGGAGCTGGACCTCGACCACCTCCAAGAGCGAGTCGGAAGAAGAAACCGCCGTCGTCGGTCAATTCCACGAGCGTTACTGGTGATTCGTTCGAAACCCACTTGGCAGAGTTGTCGAGATTGAAAAGCGCGGCGTCGTCTTTGATCACTTCGACCACAGGAACGAGTTTCAGTCGGAGCCAGACATACGGACGCGCGACCGAGAGTTTCGAACTCAGCAGTCTCAGGTTCAGCAATCACCCTGAAGAAGAAGATCAGCCGAACGAGACTTCAGGCGATAAATTGACTGCGGATAACCTCGCTGCATACAACCATTTACGGACAGACGAGCCACCTGCCATCAATCCATCTATCGTCATCTCTCCGTTCGACGAGCCTCACATTGCCTTGACCCCTCTCGACCTCCCGGAAGACTCGCTCGTCACTCCTCATCAACAGGAAACCGAGTGGGACGTAGTCAGTCCTCCCACCACTCAAGCGGAACAGCAACAGTACACCGGACCGAGGTTCGTTATACGAGACGGAATTCGAGTGGAAATGTCGGCCAATACAAGCCACCTAATGAAAACGACGAGGCGGGGGAGGCCGTTTGTCAAGGTGAGCGCCGATGTTTTTTCTATAGTGGGGTTGCGAAAAGCTGAGGAGATTTGAATTTGGCCGGGACAGGACACGCACGACCTGTTCGCGACGTTGATCGTCTCGCTTCGACTAGAGAATCATCGATCTTTGTTCAAAGTTTACCCCAATTCGTTCTCTACGTGAGTGTATCGCGATGCATATGAGAACCGGTAATCCGCACATGGTACTGATGTTTCCTCACTCATATTTCCCCGTTGATCCCCAGCGACGAAGCATGTACCAACTTGGCATCCCTCAAATTTTCTCAATCGAACCGATCACCTGACCCGAAAGACCCGACGCGGATCGTAACGACAACAACAACGACGACCTTTTCGATGACTCGGGATATGGCCAAGGGGATCTGTCAACATTTCATGGACGCACGCCTCATAGAGAATGCTGCAGACCTCGACAACCTGGCGTTCAAGGACCGCGGTATCTACATGCTCACCCCTAAGGGATTACACGTGCTCGAAAGGTTCATCACCAAGAACGGTATCAGCGCGGAACACCTACTTAAGGTCTTTGCTACGCAATCAATATGCTTGAAACTACTGCATCTGGAAAGGAGAGCTGGGGATGACGAGATATTGATAGGCAAGGCCGTCATCGAGATCATCTTCAAGCGCTTCTTAGGAAGACAGCCTAACCTGGCGCGACAAGAGGATGAACGGTCGGGCGGCTTATTGAGCGTGGGACATAGGGACGACCGGTCACGAGGCGGAGCAGGATCAGGTCATCATCATCCCGACGATCCCGATAGAAACCTGGGACTCGTCGTGAAAAAAGTCCCTGCTGTTGAGCGAGAGAAATCGCCACCCACTCCGCCCGGCGGGCCATCATCACCCGAGAAAGAAAAGGACAAGATCACCTTTACCCACGATATTGTCTTTCTCGCCTCGGCGGGTATGGACTGGTTGTGTGATTTCACGACCATCGTCGGGCGGGATGAAGCGGCAGAGATGTGTGCGCACTTCGTGAGATATGGGTTAATCAAGTTGGTACCAGATACGAAGACGCGGCCGCTGGATCCGGCCAAAATCGTGGTCGTCAGGACAGCATCGGCGCCGACAGGCCTGCAGACGGTATGTTCGGTAACAACTTTGGGCTCAGGAGCAATGCTTACCTGATGTTGGCGTACCTTCCAGGGCGAGGCGGAATTCAGATTCATGGAAAAGACCTACTACAAGGTCACGCCTGAAGGCCGACGATGGGCCAAGTGGACAGATGCTATGAACCGTCCTTCGTTACAATCCTCGTCATCGTCACAACCGGGTAAATCAGTATCCCCCGAGCCCTATCGCTCGTCCGAAGACGTTCAGGAGACCGCTCGGAATCCCACCCGCAGTCTCTCTTCAACCACAGACGACCGCATGATACGGCGGACGAGTCTTGTGGATCGGCTCCGGCTGGAATACCTCGATATCGGTGCAAGCGGTTCCAACAGGGTGGTAGTCGATGATAAGCACCAATTCAAAGACTCGCACACGAGCAAGCTGAAGCAAATTCTGGAGGAACCGTCTTTGAGGTCGCTGTTCCGGGAGTTTCTGCGCGCAAACTTCTGCGAAGAGAACCTCAGCTTTTGGCTGGACGTGCAAGATTTCAAACGGCGGTTCAATACCACCAGTTCAGCCGTCGCAAGTCCTCTGCCTGTGAAGGGTCCCGCTCAGAAACCGCAAGGTCACTCTGCGATGGAACGACATCAGCAGGACTTAATTGCTATGGCTTTCGTGATCTACAACAGTGGGTCCCTGCGTTCGCTCGAATCGAATATTTCGCGGGACTGACCCTCGAATCCAGCCTATCTGGCTCCAGCATCGTCGTGCGAGCTAAACATCGATCACAACTTGCGGGAAGAGCTTGTCTCGTACATGTCTAAAATCGTAGCCGAGGTGTCCACGCGGGAAGGCAAGGATGCTGTCAGTCATGGAACGCTGGATCCCGCCATGGCTGCAAAAAGCTTGCAAGCTAGTCAGCTACAAACCATGGTCAGGCTGTACGAGAGGATCCAGAGCTACATCTTCCGACTGATGGCAACAGATTCCGTGCCCAAGGTGAGTTTCTGAACCCCGTCCAACCCGCTTGCAGCTGTTGATACTAGTCTACGCAATCTTACAATGCGACAGTTCTGCAAGACCGAGAAATATGTCGAAATCATGCAAGCCGTATTCGATCACGAGATCGTGGTCGTCGACGCCGACAGCGAAGGCAAACGAGATCAGATCGATGATCTAGGGATGAAGTCTCCGGCCAGGGCTTATGTCACCATCTCACAGGTTCGTGCGAGTGATACCTGATGTTCCGTATATCTGCGCTGATCCGTTCATTCGTCATATAGGCCGCCAACGAAAAGCAGGCAGCACTACTCAAATCACAACAGCAGAACGACAGCGCTCACTGAAACGTACCGGTTAATCCCGACAGTATTCCTTACACATTTCCCTTCACGAACTGTTATGTCGTAGTGCTGCGGTCGATACTCGACCCAGCTTTCATGCCCGTGGCGTGTCCGTTTTTCATCTCTGTTTCGGGACACTTCCTTTGTGATGATTGCGTTTATATTTCGCGGACATTCGCATCGCATTCGCAGATTCCAGAACGCTGGACCCCGAAGCGCAGCTCTCGCGAGACGCAGAACACTGACCCGGTGACTCTCTGGACTTTCCACTGGCGCTCAGCGCCAACACCTTCGTTGCTCCGCCCTAGCACCCGATGTCGCTGGAGAAGCCGCCGCCTCGGCTTGACTATGAGCAAGTCATGGTTGTCGATGTTGTCCATGGTTGTATAGGCTCCGATCCGCTTAGCGCGGCCATGACCATATCCGAAGCGTGGTCGGCCGCGCGAACAAGGTCAAAGTCAAGAATTCAAGACCCATTCATGCCATTCATGTCGATATGTCGATCGATCATGCCTCGTCTCCGTTTCTGCATATTTCATATAACGAGGCCTCTTGCGGCCAGACGCTCGATACCATCTCGATCGCTGCTTATTGCCAGTAGCATCGAAGTCGCCGAGACTGGCACGCAACTCAATGGCTCGAGCAGACCAATACCTTTCCGAAAAGACCGCGAATGCACTTGTCTCCGACCTGCAACCAACAAGGGTTTCGCCAGAATGCTTGAGCTACCTCAATTTGATCCTGGACGAGATACTCTTCAGCATCGTGGATAGAGCAGGGAGCATCGACCCTTATGATGTCAAGCTCAAAGGGGTGCCCGCGTTGTTCGCAGCGGAATCCTCGACAACCCCTATCGTCTCAAACTTCAGCGCCATCACCAAAGCACATGCGAGGGGATCCTCCGTCTCTTCGGATGGCAAGTCGGGAAAGCCGATGATGAATCCTCTCAAAACTGCTTCGAATTCGCACGAAGCTGGATCGAAGTCTCTGGCAAGAGACGCCATCAACGAGGCTGAGCTCGAGCTTGCTGCTTGGAAGACTGCTTCTCAAGCTACAGCTCGCAAGGATGCGTTCCAGCAAGACAGCCGGGGACTGCGACCTGGATTTGAAGCTCTCCCATTTCCAGCTAGAGAAGCTGCAGAGTTCTTGAGGTCAAGGGTCGTAGCCTACTCGGTCAGTCTTAATATGAGCGAGACGTTTAGTTCTTCTAGGAAAGCTGACATCATAGATTATGAACGCTACCTTCGCAGAGTCTAGCAGCGCACACGCCTGATGCAAACAACGACAAGATCTTGTTGAGAGCATGGAGTACCGCCGGAGGGTCAACCGCCCCGGACATTATAGCTCCTGCGTCTCTCTACCTTACAGCGATCATAGAGTCAGCCAGCGACCTTTCCCTTTCAGCTCGCTTGCGTTCATCTAGTTGACTCCTTTGGCTTGCTCATTCAGATGTATCTGTGAACGTATCTTGGCGGAGCTGGGTAAAGTCGCGATACGGAACTCCGCCGCTAGCATGGTCCAGCCTGAGGACCTGTTTGTATGCATGTGCGAGGGTGAGACCCTATGGGGCTTGTTCAAACAGTTGAAGGGTGAGCAGCGTTTGATCTGCCACCTTTCTTACAAGGCAGACGCTAACGTCACGCCACTTCCGCAGTCAAGGACGCACTGCAAGCAAATATCCCAGCTACTTTGGCAGCGGAACAAGTCTTGACCCTTTCCGGCCCGAGCACATCCAAGCCCAACTCTCCTACATTCGGTTCGCTCCAAAGAATTGCCAGCTCCTCTTCATATAGCGCGGGGATAGTCGCTGGGGATAGCAGGAACTCGATAGACCGTCCTCCCTCGTCTCATCAACAAGGCCCGATTGCTAGTCGAATGTCATTCGAGGGCACCCGTAAGCTAGTGAAAAAGCCGAGTCGTTCCAGCATGATCACCACAAGAAGTGGCCAAGGCGCAGTCGCCCGAGCACCGAGCATGCAGAGCAGTCGTGGCAGCATGGATGCAAACAGGGACAGCTTCTCGACCTTTAGAAGCGATCACAAGACTGCCAAAGAAGAGGAATTCGACGCTCTTCTGACAAGTGGTCATACGATGAAAGTCAGTTTGACACCCAGTCGACTCAAGAAGTTCGATGTGAGTCAATCACAATCCCATTCTCTGTATTACCCGGACTGATGAAGCGGCAATATGAAGCGCGGTCGAGTCAACGCTGTGCCTCCCGTTTCTGTTAGCAAGATCCCAGCGACTGGCTCGCCGTTGGGGCGACACAGCTCGACCTTCTCGCGATCAAATAGCAATCGATTGAAGAAGACGTCGGCCTCTCCGGCAGGCTCGCCAGAAGCGAGCCGTTCTCCGAAAATGGTTCCCCGAGATCTTGAGGAATCCGATGAGGAAGGACTCGACAACTCGTTACCTGGCTCGTCCACCGCACAAAAGCAGAATCTCAGCGAACTTCTTCGGTCCGATCCTCCTTGGGCAGAACAGGCCAAGGTGCCGATACCGCCTCGGATACACGTCACGCCTGGCAATGCGAATGGATCTGAGCCGAATAGCCTACCTGTATTGGGACCGCCACTAGGCGTCAATCCAACAGAGACCCGGGCGGCTTCTCTGGCGATCGTAGAGGACGTGTTCCAGAGCAAGACGACCTCCCCAGGGACGCGGAATAGACCCGGTGTCGAACCTCGCGAAATCCCAGTATCACCGCCGACCAGTTCCGGTGGGCACGGCAACGCTTCTGATGTCGATCTGAAGCAAGGTCCTCGCAGACGCTCCTCCGCGGCGGAACTGGCTGATTTCTTCAAGAACACGTCACCAGATGGTACGAGCGTGGCACCGTCGAGCGATAAGGTGCCGTCCGTGCCTTCTCGCAAGTCAGACACGGCAGATTTGGCGGATTTCCTGAAGAACACTCCCCCTCCAAACAATGGACGTTTGGTATCATCACCGGAACCATCTCCCTCGAAACCGAAGCCAAGTCGTATCAGGTCGATGATAGCGAAGGTGATTCATAAAGGGCAAAGTTCCGAAAGGGCAGATCTCTCAACTGTCCCGCAGGCGGAAACTCGCGCCCGACACAGCCCTGAGATAGCCGTGCTTGCGACGGAAGAGCAAGCAGAAGAGAACCACACGAGGACTACTGATAGCCCGAAGGACTCTCGTCAAGATTCCGTAGCTGAAGCGTCAACCGAACCCGCTGCAGTCAGAGCAGAGACGGCGGACACAGCTTCGGCGTCGTTACTCGAAGCTCCTGCATCGGGCACAGGCTCTGGAGTAGATGTAGCAAGCGCAACCTCCAGACCTTCTACACTGCCTCAACATCAGGTCCTTGTCTTCGACATCTCCAAGGATTCGGGTTCGGAAGTCAAAGATCCTGCTTTGATTGCCTTGCTCAGGAATATTCTTTCGCCATACTACACTGTCGGGTCAATCTCGGGCCGGATTCTAAGGAAAGAACCATGGGAAAAGACATGTGCGCTTCTGATTGTGGTTTCCGCCGAGTCGACAGTATCATCCGATACGGACTCACTCCTGCGAGAGCGCATCAGCGCATACATGCGAACGGGAGGACCAGTATGGAGCATTGGGCCTGTGACGGCGCTCTTCTGTCAAGCTGGTATGTCTATCGAGAGGAAGATGGTAGACGACGATCTGTTGTTTCCAGGTGCCATGACGTTCCCTGTGGCAAGAAGCCCTGAGAAATCGAAGACCAGACCGTCTCAGGCGACCCTTGCTCCCGATGGCGATGCCAGCCAGAAAGGCGACCTGCTGGTACTGGAGCACACCGCGAACGATCGGATATCCGCCGTCGGCTGGAGGACGAAGCTATGCAAATATGCTGCCTGGGCCAGCGATTCAGCAGCAATAACCAGCGCAAGTGACAACAAGGCAGCAGCGCAAATCAAAACGACCTTGGCTTTCTTCGGCATACAGCCTCTGGCAGCGGTCAACACGTCTCAGTCTCACTGGAAAGGCGTAGACCCAACATTGCTGAAACCGACGCAACCCCTACCGGTTTTCATTCTGTCTCATCCGAAGCTCGCCAGTAACCTGCCCCTTCTCATCGTCGGCTCACCTGAGATCGATGCGAACTCGACCCAGGCTCCCCTGATCTTGCAGGATGAGCAAGTCACCGTTAAAATCTTGCGAGATACTGAGGATACGTTCAACTTGATCGATACCGCATCGATGGGGGTTGATGTACCGGGCTACATGGCAGCCCAGCGTTCCATCGAGACGATTGAAGAGGAAGAGAACAAGCGAAGAGCCGTTCCTTTGCTTCTTGGATCGCACGAGACCTGGCGACCGGATTGGACTCCGTTGTTCGATTTTGGTCGATACTGGTCCGAGCTAGATGTTACGGCCCGCAAGCAGGGTGTGGGAAGAAAGCGGGTGCCTGCTGCGGACCCGGAGAGTTTGGGATCCTGGAGTCTGGGCGACGTGATACAGTATGGGGAAGCGGTCGGCAGTACCCAGACGATGCTCGACCGGTAAGCTCTATCGGAGCGGGATGTGAGAGTCTCGAATCCGGACTGACCTGACTCTATCAACAGCAACCCGATCATGCTGTACGGCCTCCCCGTGCCCTTCGTTTCGATGGCCAGCTTCCAGCTAGCTGGTCGTGGTCGAGGCAAGAATCAATGGCTGTCGCCGGCCGGTTGTCTCCAATTTTCCATCCTGCTCAAGCTGCCTCGAGGCTTTCCATCCAATAAGGTGGTGTTTGCGCAGTATATCGCTGCACTAGCAATCTGCCAAGGGCTTGATGACGATGGCAAGTTGGGCGTACGCATCAAGTGGCCGAATGACATTTACGCCGAGGCCGAAGGTCTAGGTCAGCCGTCCAGCTCGACCGACGCAGTTGATGGGGGGCGCGCCACGGCTCCCAAGGGAAGAGCTAAGCTGGGTGGCATCTTGGTAAACTCTAGCTTTGTCAAGGGAGAGTGGCATCTGGTCGTGGGTTGTGGCATCAACATCTTGAACGATCTTCCGACCACTTCACTTGCTCAACTCTACGAGCTCTCTCACAAGCGCAACGGCTCGGTTGGTCCAGTGACCGTACCGACGATGGAGACCAGTTTGGCGCGGATACTGGTCGCTTTCGAAGAGATCTGGGACCAATTCGTCGAGGACAAGAGCTTCGCTGGATTTCTGGACGAATACACTGGTCGCTGGCTGCACACGTGAGTTGAGACGATGAAGCTGTCTATCTTGAAGTCGACACTGACTTCATCATCACTCCATGCAGCGATCAACCAGTAACATTAACGACCGTCAAGCCTCATCTTCCGCTGGTCATCAAGACGCTCGAGCTGAACAGCGGATTGCTGCGATGCGTACGGGCGTCGAGTGAGGGCGGCGCATGGGGTTCCTCTTCATACGACGGGTATGAAGATCGATATTCCACCTCGATGTCAATGTCGAGCTCTGCGGATCGCTACATCGATCTGCAGCCTGATGGGAACAGTTTCGACTTGATGAGCGGATTGATCAAGCAAAAGGTATAATGATAGCAGGAACCGTTGCCGGTCGTTCTTGACATGATCTAGTCTATCTGAGGAGAATTGGCTCAACTCAGACAAACCATTGTAGTGTTGCGTATAATAATCATTACAGATAGATGTGAAAAGTGATACATGGGCTCAAGGCAAGTCGAGTGGGCTTTGGACTTTGATAGAAGGGTTTTCATCACTGCACGATTCCGGCACTTCCTCCTGGACCACCCTCGGGGCCGACGGCACCCAAAATGTCGATCCCGGGGGACGAAAGGTCTGCATGCGAGTTGCCTTGAGGGAGATGAAGGAGAGGGTGGGGTCCGTCGTTGGAAAGGCCAGCGGCCGAGTTGGCGGTCGAAGCGTTCGCCTGATGGTTGGGCTTGACGGGAGTGGTCTGGGGGCTATCTTGCTCGTGATGGGTTGCGAGTCTGCTAGGGTTGAAGCCACTGGCCTGTATACAGCGAGCATACAGGTGTCAGTCATGCCCAAAGCAGAAACCTTTCTAGACTGAAGGCGGTTCGGGGAGCTTACTACCGAGTTGCTGGCGGCCGTCTGTCTCCCCCAAGATCCTCCGATGTTTGAACTGCTGACGCTCGACGAGTTTCGTACGTGGTTCGAGAGCGAGCCGGAACTCCCAGATGTCGTACCAAAGCCAGAAAAGGCACCTCCCGCTCCGAGCTTGCCAAAGGCAGACGAACCTGCAGCGTTGCCTCCGATGCTACCAAAGTTGGGTCGTTCGTGGTTCCCGCTGGTCGACGACAGGCTGGCGGATCGCCCGTGCTTGTGACCGTTACCCACGACGCCGAATGGTTGTTGTACGGAGCTCGAGCTCGGGTTACCGAACGGCAGCATGGGGGGTTGACCGGCGGGTTGACTGAAACTGGCTCGAGCTTGAGCGGCACCTCCAGCTTGGCTGAAGCTGCCACGGTTGCCACCGTGACCGTGGGTACGGGCGTTGACCGAGTGAATGATGGCAGAACTGTCGGGTCCGTCATAGGGTCGGATGACGGCTGGGTAAGGTAGATTGGCAGGGGGATTCAAGATGAGGGAGAGGTAGGCGCGCTTGGCTACATGGCACATGTAGATCACAAAATGCGTCAGCTCACAGTCTGGACACTCTTCACAACATGAGATGCGTCACTCACCGGTAGTAGCATCGTTGAAGACGGCGAGCGCGGTCACATCGTCGATCCATTTGATCTTGTATCCTCCCTTGTCCTCTGCCCAAGGCTGGAAAGCCTGATGAAGATCTTTGGTCTTGATCTGAGGACTAAAGTTGGTGAGAGCCAGGATCCTGGTGGTAGCGGCCGAGATGGGCTGGCTGGGCAAGGGAATGTTGGGCATGGCAATGTTGGCGAGACCGGAGATGGACATGGTGAACGAAGGTGTCTGCGTGGGGAGAGAGCGACCAGGCGTGTGTGTAGAGGGAGGAGGCAGGTGCTGCGAAGCTGTCGACGTGCGATAAGTGGCAGTAGTAGTAATGATGGATTCTCGAACTTGGAACAGATGAGCGAAGGGATATAGAGGAGCAGGAGACTGATCACTGAAGAGGTGCAAAGAGGTACTGTATAGACCTTGAGCTGGAGAAGAAGAGATATGACGATATCCTCCCCCTCTCCCCCCCTTTTGTCCCGCGTGATGACGACGAGATCCCCGGAGCCGCGACCCTTTACTCATACGACCGACCCATCTTGCAGTCGTATAGTTCGATCTAAAATCCATATACACAGACTCCTCTCCTCCCCACCGGATTGATAATACTTGATCGAGCTCATCTAACGAAACTGTCCCCAGGATGGACGACGAGGATCTCGCCAACGTGCTGCGCTCGACCGCCAACGTCGGCCTGCCAGACTTCTACTCGAACAACGACCCGACACCTCAACCTGCCATTGACGACCCTTTCGCGAACCCGTTTGCCAACCCCTTCGCTTCCGACTCGCCGACTTTCCCCAAGGCTTCTTCTGGGTTCGCTGGGCCGTCGGATACGCTGCAAGATGATAACAGTCCCTATGTCACCAAGCTGAGGGACGATGGCGTTGTCGCGGACACGCCCGGGTTTGGATATAGTCAAGGTCACGACGGAAATTACATTCCAGCTGCGTCCACATCGGGATTCAGAGATGTACCATGTGAGATTTCGGAGACTCGATGGTATCTCTACAACCTCGCTATCTCAGTGACAAGCTAAGACCAACCTTTCCCTCCGATATTCAGATTCAGGTGGTTTCGAGACGCAGCAGATGTCTGCTGATCCTGCGCAGACCCCGTTCGAAGTGCCGGCCTTCCCGACGACACCGTTCGGAACCACATCTCCTAGTCGAGCCGGTGGGTTCACTTCGTCGCAGGGTGGTGCATACACTTCGCCAGGACGACAGTTCGAGGACCCGTACGGAATGCCTCGGTCACCACTCGCTTCGGCACCGACTGCTACCGGGACCACTTCGCCCGCGCGTATCAGACCATCGTCTGATATCCTCGGCTTGCTATCAGAGGAGGACCCGTCGATCTCGTCGTTGAAAAAGGCCTTCAAGGCGAGCGATAGCAAACAGAACAGTAGCGAAGCCAAGGCTGTCCCGCCGGCTGCACCACACGTCTTCAAGCCGGGGGGTAACGCTTCCCGGAAAAAGGTGGGGATCAGTTTCGATAGCGTTCAACGGGAGAGAGAGAAGAAGGAGCGGGAAGAGCGAGCTCGGATCGAGGCCGAGACCAAGCGCAAGCAGGAGCAGAAAAGGCAAGACAAGGAAAAGTCGGACAAGGAAAGGGCCGATAAGGAAAAGGCGGACAAGGAGAAGGCGGAACAGGCGAAACCTGATATTGCGGGAGATGCTGAAAAGCAAAGTGAGGGTGATCAGAGTCGCCTCGAAGAAGCGTCTACAGATCCGAAGCAAGGGCCCGACAAGGCCGCAGAAGAAACTGTGGAGACTGAAGAAATAAAGCCGACGCAAGAGGGAGAGTCTGCACCGACTGCTCCTAATACCGTCCCCTGCGAGAGCATCCTGGAACAAGCCGCTCGAGACGCTGCCTCGCCTACCCCTGCTGGACCCCACATCTCTACTATCGTGGCAGCTCAGATCTTGGAATCCGGTCATCCAGATCAAGCGTCTCAACAGGTCGCTGAAGGTCTGGCTCACCATCAGGACGGACAACTCATCGACGGCGAGGTCAGGCCTGAGCAAGTCGCTTTGCCTCCCAGCGGAATCACCTCGCCTGTAGTAGCGAGCAGAAGGTCGACGCCCACTCCAGAACGGGAACCGTCGTCGCGAACCGATCATGCGGAAACCCAATCGGTCTTGCCTACCCCTCTCGACGTCAACGCAGGTATTGAAACACATTTCCGAGCTCTGGCTCTCGGCGGTTCGAGTCGCAGCGAGATCGAGACGCCAGAAGCAACCTCAGCAATAACGGAATCGTCTTTGCCCAAGAACGCACGATGGGGGCGTGCTTTTGACGATACCGAGCCAGCAACACCGACCTCCCGGATGGATTCACCGTCGGAACCGCTAGGCTGGACAACCGAGGTAACGCTTCCTCAGCCAACGATGCCAACGTCTGCGTATGCTCCGCCATCACCGCCGACTTGGCAATTAGGATCAAGCACTGATGCTCAGGGGCAACCCTCGGGCGCTTACACGCAACCACCGGACGAAACGTATGAAGATCTTCAGGTATGGACACAAAACTAACGGTCTCCAGGAGCTCACGCCATTGAACAGAAAACTGATCACCTGTTGAACTCCCACAGGCAATTCCCGCCGAAGCCTCGGAGTCGGTCAGGTCGCCGACGAGAAATCGTCTACTGACGCAGCCCGTGTTCACAATCTCGATCAGCGATCCAACCAAGGTTGGAGACCCAGTGAGGGGTTATATTGTTTATACCGTCACGACCCGTACAACCTCTCCTCATTACAAGAGAGGCGAGTTCTCCGTACTGAGGCGGTTCTCGGATTTCCTGTGGCTGGTCGAAGCCGTCTCTCACAACAATCCGGGCGTGGTGGTACCACCGATGCCAGACAAACATGCCTTTGGTGATTACTGGTAAAAGGATTGGTCATAATCATTGCGATTGCTGATGTGCTATTTGATCGCAGGTCGATTTGAAGAACAGTTCGTAGAGACCCGAAGATCTGCACTGGAGCGAGCACTGGGCAAGATGGCGAACCATCCCGTGCTTAGCTTGGATCCGGACCTCAAGCTGTTTTTGAGCAGTGACGCGTTTACGATAGATGTGAGTCTTCGATCTTTCAGAGTGATACAGCCTGTCACAAGTACTGATTCACCGCCTGAATGGCATAGGTCAAGCATCGCCGACAAGAAATGACACAAGAGAAACAAAGCGTGCTAGCTTCCATTGGCGGAACCATAGGAGGCCCGCGATTTGTCGAACAAGACGAGGTTTGTTCTGCTTTTCCAGTTACTGTTTTTCGGTTCGGGGTCCCGCTCAATCTGAATCATGTTCGCCTTTTTCAGTGGTTTATCAAACAAAAGCAGTTGCTCGATTCGCTAGAATCACAGATCAAGAGCCTTGTTAAAGCACTAGAAACAAGTTCCAAACAGCGACTTGGTGAGATTAATGAAAGTCCGGAATCTCGGCGCTACACTCTGTCTGACGTCAGCGGTGGGTACAGACCTTGTCAACGGCTTTGCTGTTCTCTCGGAGGCTCTACAGGCTTTGGCAGAGTCGGATCTGTCCTTGGCATTATCGCAGGTGCTACACCGTTTCTCCCAATTGAGCGAAGAAGAGCGCTCTCTACATGAAAATCAGGCCAAGATGGATGTAGTCCGCTTGCTCAACGTTGCAGATGAGCAGCTGCGATTGATAGGCTCGGTTCGGGTGAGTGTGCTAGTGGCTCAAACGTCGTCGACCTACAACTGACAGCGGATATCGGCGCTTGTAGGCTGCCTTTTCCTCCCGGATACGGTCGTACTTTGCCTGGCAGAATGCTCAGGGCGAGGCGAGACGTACGAGGGTGCAGTCGGAGCGCGATCGAGCCAAGAAAGGAGGCAAGTATGCTCCGCATGATCATAATGGCGCAGATGCGCCAGATATCGCCCAGGTACGCCGCCTTCCTGGATATTACTCATGGATGATTCTGAATAATGAATTCGAACAGGCGGAACGCCGGGCGCTCGATGCCCAGTCAGACTTTGACGCGGTATCACGATTAGTTAAGCTAGAGTTCAGCCGATTTGAGCAAGAAAGAATAGAGGATCTGAAATCTACGATGGAGAAATACATAGATGAAGCTGTTGAAACGCAGCAAAAGGTCAGCTCGATTTCGCTTAGGTTTATGGTCGCTCTTTCCGCTGACAAGGTGTATCGGTGGTTCACATAGCTGGTTCAAGATTGGGAAGCTTTCCACAAAGAGCTATCCGGCATTCTTGCTCAACATCAGCGTACCAGTTCATGACCGAGAGGAGCCAACTTCTACTCTGTACTCGCACGGCATGATGATAATTTCCCATGCCACCCAGATACAACTTGATAGCTTGGCGCTGTAATGTTCACATAATCCTACATTTGGCATCCGGTCCTATTTGAGCATGCGGATCTGACCGAGCAATCTCGAGCTCGTTATCCTTCTGTTTCCTTTTGACTTCCAGGGGGAACCACTGTTCCATGAAGCTGTGTAATCACCGAAAGGGTCAGGTCAGACTAGAACGAGATGTAGGGGAGCATGCGCGGGACTTACTGCTGCATTTCCGTGTCAAGAGATGCTGTATGAGATGATTGTTAGCACTTGTACAGGAAACGAACCGATGCAATGGCTCACATCGATCGGCTTGCAGTACAGTACGTGCTCGGCATAGCGGGCATTCCGCCGCCCCCGCCCGTTGCATTTTGGCAAGACACCTGTTGTAGTTCGCACGTCAGTACGACGATCGGAGTCTCTCGCCTGATCCCATCATACCTGACGCAAAACAAATGGCTACAGCCGAGACGGATCGGCTTGAAGGCGATACTGGTACATATGAGACAGGTATAGTCTTCCAGACTCGGCAAGATCGGAAGCAGCGTCTCGGTCAAGCTAGTGAGAAGGACGTGCGGTAGGGAAGTCGAGTAAAACGCCCAGGTCTTCACGTTGCCGTTCGCATCCACGTGGGCATCAAGGGACGACCGCACAAATTGCGGAAAGCCGGTGGATGCAGTCAGCGCTGTCCGCTTATCGTGCTTCTTGAGAATTCTGCATGAAGTAAAGTCGAGACCCTGATGAGTACTCCTCGACAGCGATCACAAGTCAGCATATCATTACAGCGACTTACTTTCTAGCCGCATTGATATTGGCGATTTGGAACTTCTTGAGATCCAGCAATAAAACGTTCAATCTCAAGAATTCTTCCCAAGCTTCTCGGCTTTCTTTCCTCCTAAGAGTACGGCGGTCACCGAGACCGCGCTTCACCACTTCCGAAGCAAACGCCTTGAGCCGGGCGTCCGCTTGCTCGACCGACCTCTCGCCTCTGTCTCGTTCGGCAGATGACTCGAAGATCTGGGCTTCGATCCAAAGCGTAAAGATTTCGCGCCAAACGTAAAGGTCTGACTTGTGATAAGACGATGCGCCAGGTGTATGTGCGGGATCGTAAGTGTTGCTCTCGGATTTCCGTTTACCGGCGGGCAAATGTATATTGCGGATGATCCCGCCACCCTGTTGGGGGATAATCGAGCTCGAGACGAGCGAACACAAATGTTGCACGGCGGTGTTGAAAAGTTGCTGTTGCTTCGCATGGAGCTCGGACAACGAGACCAACGCTTGGCATAGAACTTGGAAAAAGGCGACGTCGGCTGGGAGAGACACTACGATCTCCCTTCCATTTTCCTCTTGCATCGGCAACTCCAGGACGTCATCGAGTGTAGACTGCTCGTCGCCAGCGGGATGGCTTCCGGGATCCAGGATCTTTTCGCTGTGTCCTCCTTCGCGTTGCTTGCCTGACACGACCTGGACGTCAGGTTCATCGTCGTCCAGATCGTCCAGAGCAGCATCACCCAAGTCAAGATCGTCAAGCTGATCCTTGAGAGATTCCATCCCATGGCCATAGGTCCCGTTGGAAATGGCAAAGATTGGAGATGGCGATTCGATAATCTTTTCCAAGCGTGGAGACGAGGGAATTATTCGCCGAGGGACTGCATTCGGATCGCCGTTGGAGTCACCCTCGCTCTCTGACGAGATTGATTCGGTTCCGTGACCCCGTCGAGAGGACTTGGATGATCTTCGCGATTGTATTCGCGAGGGCGCGCTGGACGAATCGTCGCCTTCATCATCATAGTCTCGTCCTTGGGATATAAAGTCGATCGCTTCATTAGTTCTCGACGATGGCGTGACGCTACGAGCGGAAGGCGAAAGGAACAACCTGATTTCAGGCGTCGGTTTGTCAGTTGGACCTATCGTAAGCGGGACGCCATCAGCTTGTGACACAGATTATCTTCGAGATGAGAGCTCTGTCGCACCAGACAAGACGTATTCCGCCTTTACTCGTGCCATTCTCGCCTCGTGAATACCGGTAGGTTGGAGATGTGATTCTTGCTCGTGACTCGGGGTCTGCGGATCCTGCCTCACATCGCCATCGATGGTCGAACTGTGGCTGGGTAGTCTCAGTCGAAACCGCCTACCATGAGATGGTTCTTGCAGTGTATCGACATCGGAACCTTCATCTACTTCGAATTCCAGCTCTTCAACATCCGACTCGTTGCCTGTATCCTGTCCAGGGCTCGCAGTCTGTGGGCGTTGTAGTTCCGCCCATCGCCGCTCTCGCTCTTGATCTAGCAGCGCAGAATCTAAGGTAAAGCTCGATTGTCGAGTTTTGCGCGGGATTGGTGAATGGATGACGGCTTCGCCAGTCGTCGTAGAGATGGTCGTGTTGGGGACCTCTTCGGGCTTCAAGATCTTGTGCAAGACTTCGGGATTGAGTCCGAGAGCTGCCAATTCGTCGGCGACGTCCTTGATTAGCTTCTTCAGCTGTCCCAGTCATGACTCAAAATGAGCTTCGACTCGAAATGTCGCTCGGCCATGAGTAGCTTTCTCACCTTGCGATATTCGATAGCCGACTCCCTCCACTGCGGAGGGAAGGAGTCGGTATTCATGATCGTCTCATACTCCTATCGAGCATATGCAAATGGTGAGACCAGTCGTGGATGGATGGTGTGTTGATGCTGATTTCAACGACGAACCTTGCTATACTTCATCCTGATGTCTACCTAGCGATGCTCGGGGTTGCGTGTGTCTAGCAGCTCACAAACGTTTCTAGTCGATAGTTCCAGTGCCGTCTGACAGTCAGGTTGTTGCAAGGATCATGCTGAGACGTCGAGCAGTCTTTCCAGAGGCATCGAAGTATCCGGAGGCTAGAGATACCTGCTCTCTTACTGAAGAAGCAGCAATGATGATGTCGATGGGCTATGTGCTTTATGGGATGATGATCTTGCACCTTGCACCTTGCAAACCCAGATATCTTTAGCTTCGAGCCGGCGAGTTCGCCGTGTAGCTCACACTTGCCTCCGCTCGCTCCCGGGAGGTCGGGCTAAGAACACGTGCATGCCCCAGCTTTTCGCGCAACCGAACATTCATCAAAGAGGTGATTCCAGCGATCAAGGTCGATCACGAAAGACGACCAACCACAGCAGCGAATCAGCGTGGTGGCAACGCATGCGGGCGACTGCGAGTGAAGGTGAAGCATAAGGGTAATGCAGAATCATGAAACCAGTTCGGACCACCGGCATAGAGCCAAGCACGGCTCTGATATGGTATTTTTGCAATAGCGTTGCCGGGCATGTCCGGCCGATCGTCCCGCTTGCCCAGAATCCCGGTTCTATCGTGATGTTACAACCCAACCCAGCTACTTCTACCCGCGGTATTGTGAAGCCTTGTCTGTCCAATCTTGATACGCGACTCGTCCCTGCCGTGCATGGACGGGATGCCAAAGACGCTCCCCGGCATCGGGCTTCCGGGAGCGTCCATCATGGGACTGTGCAGCGGCACGCTCATGTTCGAACTCGCTCCAGAAACGACCCTACTCCCGTGCATGCCGCCGCCGGTCGGCGTACCGTTCATCCCGTTGAATCCAGGTGTGACCATACCATTGACGGTTCCGGTGATGGGAAGGAACGACTCAGCGTGCCATTCATACCAGATCCGCTTCGATTTAGGGTCGGTCAAGCGCCAAATGTGGACGTCCAGTTCTGCCCCGGAAGGCATGTATAGAGGCTCCTATTGACAGGAAGCGGATCGTGTGAGGTCAGACGAGGCCGGAAGGTAGCGTATGAACTAGACCGCAGGAATGTACTTACCCGGAAGGGGAAGAAGAGCGGGAACCAACTCATCATCTCTGGGCTGATGAGATGCATTCTCTCCGGATGTATACTGAGCCCGATGTTTCCGTACAGGTGCGCCTCAAAATACCCTGCCAGACCATGACACGCTCCCGCATGAGGTATGCGGAACGTCAGATGGGCAGAGCGAGTATTGTGCGAATTTGTAAGTGGTAGGCCTGTTTAGGATTGTAGTTACGAACAATGGGTCGGCGATCCTATCGTCGTGCTGCAATGGCTGCGGGTGTTCTACTCACCAACATCATCCGTGACCATGTCTCGACGAGGATGCTCAAAGCTCCAGCATTCCTGGATCCTGGGGCCAGCTTTGCTCCCCGCCAATGCAGCGTTCGGATCAGGGTTACCGCTCAACAGGTTGACCTGTTGAAACATCACCACATAGGGGGTCTCGAATGCTATCTCTTCCGTCTTGTTCCGTTTTTCCGATTGCAGTCGGACTGCCGAAAAAAGCTTGTTTGATGATAGTGGTGCAAGATGGGCGGTGTAAGAAGCGGGAATAGAGATGCCCTCGGCTATGTTGTAGCAAAATCGTCAACGCGAATCCTGTGCCCGTATCAGGCGAGTCGTGACTGACGTTTGAGATAACGGACGGCGCCGTCTAGACACTCGGGACTAGATTCATTGTCACCGAAACTGCCCAGCAACTCGCTGACCATGATGTCAGCCGGTTCCGGCACCGCTAACGTTCGCATATCGCCATGCATGATCTTGACCTTGTCGCCCCATTCCAATGCCGAGCGTTCTTGTAGTCTACGCAAATATAGGAAAGAAGATCAGCTAGGGATTTCAAGCAAGGGTGGTGGATGGGACGTACGTGACAAAGGCGTTGGCATTCTTTTCGATGGCATAAATTCTCGCGTTGCGTGACGCTCGCTTCAAGGCGTTCAGGCACCTCTGAACAAGCGGCCCTCGTCCAGCGCCGACGACGTAGATCACACTGTGGAGACTTGACATGAGCATTGGCCTGAAAGCGCTGTGACAACGCGATCTTACGTGGTTGCATGTTCCGGACGATCTGTCAAAGCCGCAGTAATTGCATCTTCGTATAATCGATATTTGACAGGATCCGCTTCGAAAGTTTCGTAGGTGGCACTGCTGAGATCGTCCATGAGCGGTTGCAAAGGGGCTTGAAGGTAATCCATATATTGCTGATAGTGATGACCATGCGGCATGATCCCGGTAGCGGCCGTCTGCGGGGCCGTGATGGGCGAGGGCTGTGTGGTTGCTATGGTTTCAAGATGTCGAACATATTGGATATACGCTTGCGCACCTCCGGAGGGGTGTTTGTTGCCGTTGACGTGCGAGAGAACAATGTATGGAGAGAGCTACAGATTTTATTGTTTCAGTACGTGTTTCATCGAGACAAGGGCAGCTTCTGATTCCTGTACCAACCCGAACAAAGCTTCGAATGAACGCTTGACAGGCCTTGCTGAGCACGGGGTAGCCCTTGGCGTTGGGGATGAAGGATTGAGACGGCAAGAATATGATGTCGGTCGGCTCCGCAATCCACCTTTGCAAGGTGGTCAGTGATGGCGGTAACGGGTTGGACATGTCCAGAGCTGGAATACACAGCCGAAACGAGATTAGCGCAACCTCTGACTCCGAGCCGAGATATTTCGACTTACCTAAGCCGAGGCGGGGATGGTAATCGCACACGTTTCTGACGCAGTCCCAGACCTCCCAGCTGAACGAATTTTGGTCTCCGGTACCCACGATCATGCTCTGTCGATTTGATACTTGATTCATACCCGATTGCTGTACGGACGACAAGAGCGCGCTGCTTCCACTCATACGTATCCCGATACCCATCGAGCTCTTCCGTTTGTGCTTCTTGTCATCGTGAGGAATTTGATTATTGTTGTTGGGCTGATGTGAGGAGTAACTGTTGTGAGACCCTGCGTTGTGCAAGCCGAGGTTGGGTCGATCGGAAACCCCTATTCTGATGGCGATTCGAGTCACGCTAGCCTCGCCTCCAAGTTCCAATAGCGAGGCTATCGCACGCGCATAAGAAGGTAGGAATTCTCGGTTCTCTGGCAAGGGTGGAGGAATGACCAGCGTCCGTACATGCAGATGCAGACAAGTCAATAGCTCTTGACGGAGTGCCTGTCGCAAATGTTATCCTCAGCCTCGATGTCACTAATGAAAGACCGGAGTCTGTCAAGTAATCTTAACTGACGAGTTCAGAGTCGAAGCGAATGCCTTCATCGGGAGAGTCCAGTTCGAGCCAGTCCGACGCTAGAGCAATTGCAGTGTCGGCCTCCTCTGTGCGTATGAGATGCTCATGATCAGCCTCGAGCCGTATTAATCGGACGTCCCCGCCAGCTCGACCAGCGCGCCGCTTTCTATATTGTGTATCTGTCGGCTTACATACCTAGTCGAGTAATGTTGAGTTCCGTTCTTTTGAAACCGCCATGCGACCTCCACATCTCGGCCTCCTTTTCGGTCTCCCGCTTCTTGCGCTCTTTCTCGAGCCATTGTCGAGTCGCCGAATTGTCCTTGCCATGATACGAGACTTCATGCTCTTCCTCTTCGTCGACGGGTCTTAGGCAGAGACGTTCCCATCGCTCTCGCCAGAGATCGTTGGTAAGAGGCACACAGATGGCATCATAGTCGTTTTCCGAGGCTTCGTTTGCAAGTTTAGCTAAGGGTGTGTTTCGATCCGCAGTCGAAGAGGCCAGCGGAATTCCACTTTGGGGTATGCTGAGGGCCAATGGGAGTCTGGACATGTTGGCTTCAGGGTTATAGAACGAAGCAGACTTCTTGAGGTGAATAACAGCTATAGGCTACCTAGTTGCAATCGAGATTTTGCTTCACGTTCGCATGTCGAGGATTTGAAGCTAGATGTAGATGCGGCGCCTGTGCCTGTATGAGCGTCGAACGCAACAAGACCCGACAAGATGACCTAGCCGGAAACTCGAAGGGACACGATTTCCGAGGCGCACGACTTGCCAGGTTGGTGGCTAGATCGCGATGGCGAACCCGTTTGACCGGCAACAGCTAAACCAAACGAAGTCGACGTTTCGAGCTTCGGTGAGCTAGGACGAGTCCGTGCCCGCCGTGAGTGGAATGGGAATGGGAACCCCAGCGACGCGCATATGGGGGGGATGGGACGCGGTTCATCATCTGCTTCCGCTGGCCGAGGACGCGTGCTAGCCGGGACCGAGGGGGAGGCCATCATCATCAACAACCTGCAACACAACATGATGGGAAATGAGATGGTTGGTGATTGTTGGGAGGATGGACGTATCAACCGCTGCAATCTCTGCGGTGAACTAATCCATTGAAGCTCCTGTGCTTGTCAGATCTTATTATACTAGCTGCTTGACGAAACGCGGTGGACGCACCTCTCGGTGCAAAGCCCCTTACGACCCCGGAACGACCATCTTATCACAACAACAACAAATCCCGCCTGGCAATCTCAAAGGCAGTCGCAACAAAGGCAAACGTCAATCAGCGCCTGACTTGGCCCGAAGATTTGTATCAAGCGCTCCATCTTCTGGAAGGGTGCGGTCTCGTTGAAAACATTCGGCGGACAAACGAAACGCATTACGCATTCTCCTCGCCCTGAACCGAGCGATCAAACACGCTCGTTCAAAGCTGGCTCCGCGATTTCTGCGATAATAATCCTACTGGCACTGTCAACCACTCGGTAACACCACTTCGGATAATATGAGCTTCTTCAAGAGAAAGAGCGAACATCATCGCGATGAGAGTACAGATAGCAAGACAGGACCTCAGTCATACCCGCGAGAGTCCTTTCAGTCGTGAGTCTGCCGTCGTGATCGATCTGCGTGACCAGCTTGATATAAGTCTGATATCGGTCATTCCCTGTTTGATGTTGACAGGGCGAGTAGACCAGCACCAAACGGACCTGGAGGCTATAATCAGAGACAGCCCCTGGAACCGTCCTCACGAAATGCTTCTGGCAACCCGGACGGTCAGATTCAGGCCGCTCCTGGCGTCAATGGCGTTCGAGCGGCTCCAGACGCTCATGCCGGACAGTACGAGCCCAACATCCCACAAAAACCTCCACCCTTGATCAGTCCCTCAGTGAGTCTTCGTCGTAACAGCATCTTCGCATAATCGCGCTGAGTTTCACCTCGATGATCGTGCGATTTCGTAGTACCCGTGGTCAACTCGGCAGCTGGTCCTTTCCCCTAGCAATGTCGTAGGGTCGCCACCAGGCGCGCTCGTGTCACCGTTTCCTAGATATGGCCATTCCCTGCCTCCTGTGCCAACACAATCTGGTCATCTTCTCATATTTGGCGGGCTCGTCCGTGAATCGGTCAGAAACGACTTGTTCGCGCTCGACTGTCAGGATTTCTCGGCGGTGCCTGTACAAGCTACGGGCGAGATACCGGTACCACGAGTCGGTCATGCCAGCGCCCTTGTCCGGTCCGTGCTGCTCGTATGGGGAGGCGACACCAAGAACAGGATCGAGGACGAGCAAGATGAGGGGATCTACCTATTCAATATACGTGAGCGCACACCTATTCGGCGTTGTTTTGCTCGACGTGATATGCTCAAAGCGGTTGATTGGCGTTACAGACACACGCGAATGGACCCGGATCATGGCTCTGGGCGCCAGGCCAAAAGGCAGATATGGACATGCTGTATGCATGAGTGGCAATACGTTCTATGTCTCGGGTGGACAGGTGGATGGCAGATTCATGAACGATCTATGGGGTTTCGATTTAAGCACTTGTGAGCTTGTTATTCTTTGTCGCCCTTCAAGCAGTCACGTTGCGTCAAGAACGCTGACCGGAATCGCGGCAACAGTGATGGTCGCGCCGACCTGGCACGTCGTACAGCCTGCCAATAAAGCGCCCTCACCCCGGACGGGTCATGTTCTGGTAACCTATCAGGACAAACTTTACATGTAAGCTTGCAGCCAAAATGATGGCTCTCTCAGCTTGAGTGTCTGGTTTCCCGTGACCGACACGATCTTTCCTGTGTCTCAGGTTTGGCGGGACAGACGGAGCATTTCACTACAACGATACGTGGTGTTTAGATCTCGGCACACGTCTCTGGACTGAGCTACAGTGTATCGGTTACATCCCGGTGCCGCGGGAAGGCCACTCGGCCGCTCTCGTCGACGATGTGATGTATGTCTTTGGCGGACGAGATGTAGGAGGTAAAGATCTGGGCGATCTTGCTGCGTTCAAGTTTACAAGTGAGGCAACACTAGATCTGGGTCCATCAGGTCATGATCGTGCTGACAACCTGTGGTACGCGTTTTCCGCTACGCACAGATCGTCGATGGTATACGTTCCAGAATATGGGACCAGCTCCTTCTGGAAGAAGTGGACACGCCATGGCGGCCTTTGGCAAACAGATCTTTGTGCTTGGAGGCGATTCAAATGCTGCATTCGCGCAGACACGGACAGAGGATCCGAACGTCATCCACGTTCTTGACACTGGTGAGTACCGGACGGGCCGATTCAGTCTATTCCGTTCAGTCCGACCTTGTTGTGTGCTGATTGGCGCTATTTTTCCATAGCCAAGATCAAGTATCCTCCAGACCCGCCTCGAAACACTGCTCTGCCAGCACCGCAGAACACTGTGGATCCACCAGAAAGTCATATCCGAGAGCCCGTCACGCGTGTTGTGGATGAGGACCAAACTGATCGTGGCGGTCCAGACCAGAGTTTGCCATCGTTGAACGGGCCCGGCCCTGCGCCGAACTCCCCGGATTCGTCGGGTCCCAACGAGTCGCGTCCGGAGTCTTTCCCTGTACATCCGGACTCTCAGAACGCGGGCTTGTCAAGCAGCCACGACGCAGCTCGTACAGCGCCGCCTCCACCGGTACGCCCTCGCAGAGCGGATGATGACACTTTCACCCACGATACGACAGTCAATCGCTCGGTTTCGCCGTCTGGTCGCATCCCGGATAAGTCTGACGGGGATGACGCTAGATCCGGACCTTACAACGGAACAGGGGTCAACTTGCTGCCCAATAGTCCTATGGCCGGGGATACTAATAAGCGCTTCCATGCCGGTCAGACAGCGAAAGAGCCGCCGGCAGATGCCTTCTACTATGGCTCTCGATCTCCCACCGGAACCGTCTTCTCGACCCGCGGCGAAACGCCCGTTCAGCAGTACCCTCGCAATATCGATACGCATGATTTGACACGAGTCGTGCGAGAAAATACGGTGCTGCGCGCGGCATTGGAGAAAGTCTCGGACGGCGAGTTCGGGGAAGCTGTCCCAGTCGCATCATCTTCGGAAGAGGATTCAGCTAGCTCAGAAATGCTGCTCGACCACATACTGCAGCTGCAAGAGGATTGCTCCCGATTAAAGGTATTCGCTCTCAAAAGTCTGCTTTTCATGTGCGTTGCGCTGAACGAGATTCTTTTGCAGGTCGAGATGGTCGAACGGGTCGAGATTGCTTTCGAAGAGCTCGGTGATGCTGAGCGTCAGAGGGATGCGGCTTTGCAGGAGACTGCTTATTTTAGAGCACGTCTGGCCATCCTCGAGCACGAAAGTAGCGCCGAATTGTCCGAGCTGGATCGTGAAAAGATCATGGAATTAGAAGATCATTTGGCATCGACGCAACAGGGCAAACAGACGCTGGAAGCTCAAGTACGAGAACTGGAGACAACCCTTCATCGCATCACCGATGATCTCGATACATGGAAAGCTGAAGGTCACACTGCGTCGGAAAGAGCGCAACTAGCTGAGGAAGGGCAGGCGGATCTGCGGCTGGAGCTAAACACGGCTCAGAACCGGACGAACCAATTGGAGGTCCAACTCCGGGAGCAGATGGCCGAGAACGCCGCCAATACCTCGCTGCTGCAGCAGCGTGATCTCGACATCGAGAGTCATAGGACACAACGGGATGATCTGCATCAAGAACGCAGTGGGCATCTGCTTGTCATCGAAGAGATCCGCTCGGCGCTGCAGGATGCAGAACGGCGTAGTGAAGACCTGTCCTTCAAACACGAATCGGCTGCAAGGCGCGCTCAGGAGCTGGAACAAGAGCTACAAAAGCTGCAGGTCGAGCTCGCTGAGCAGAAGCGCGCAGCCGACAAAGCCGTGGAACGCGCTGCCGAGGCGGACACGACCTTGCAGTCTACTAAAGGACAGGTCGAGCATTACCGTTCTCTCACCGAACGCGGGCTCAGCCAGCTATTCTCCGCTGATCGCACTGCAGAAAGGTCGCTGGGGACTGACCGTGGCGAGCATCCCGAAAAGTCTGCAGCTCTCGCCCAGGAATGCGCTTCCCTGCGGAAGATGCTCAACGAAGCAGGGGCGCAGATCGAAGCAGCGCAGACAAACTTGATGCGTCATCGACAAGATCTGCAAGAGTCAAGATCGGCCACCGTCAAGCTGCATAATGAGTTGAGAGGCTGCCAGAAACAACGTAATCTGGACTCAGAGACCATCTCCCAGCTGCGCGCAATGACCGCTTCTCGTAACGGGGAGCATCAGAAACTCCGGGAGGAGATATCGCGCCTGCAATCCCGCTGCGATTTGCTTCGGCGCTTGCTGTCCGATCACGGTATTTCTGCGTCTGATGAACAGGCAGAGCCATTCTTGGTCAGCGCTTCAACAAGCGGTACACACACTCAAACACAGGAGCAAGCTCGATCGCTTGAAGCTGCCAAGCTAGAGTTGGAGCAGCTACGGAAATTATTGAGGGAGAAACAGGGAGATGAAGATAGGCAGGAGCAAGCCTCAGCGAGCGGTATGAATGGACATGGAAGTCAGCCTGCAGATCCCGCAGCCAGACCCACGGAAGTTCGCGACCTTGAAATGCGAATGACAGAGATGGAGCTGGCGCACAAGAAGAAGTTGCAGCAGGTCGAGGCGGATTATCAGACGGCAGTGAAATATGTCAAGTCAGTCGGATTACATGGACTCGCTCAGTAATGGTATCCAGAGAGAGAGACTGACATTTGTTCTGCTATCAGAGGAACCGAGAAAGTGTTCCGTCGGATGAAGGTGAGACTGGTAATAATCGATCTTGCGTCAAAGTCTAAGCTAAAGCTTTATGTTTTTCTACAGGACGAATTGACTAAACAAAAGAGCGCGAATGCTGCTCTGCAGTCCGAGCTTGATGCCGCACAGGGTACTGATGGAAGAGAGGCGGGATCCAGGACCAGATCTGCGTTGTCTGGCAGAGCTACTCCCACGACGGATGGCGAAACGCCGCGCCAGCAACAGAGGCTTGCGTCACAGAACGCTGAGTTGCAAAGGCAACTGGAAGGACTACGCGAAGAGCTAAGCGCCCTAAGGGACGTCTGTGCTGGGCGCGAGAAGGAAGTCGAGATCACCCGTAGACGGGCAGGCGAAGCGGAGGCGCAGTTGGAGCAAACGAGAAAGGAACTCGAGAGATATCAAGGCGAGGACACGGCCGCGCGGACGATGGCAGAAGTCGAACAGGAGAATGCAGATTTACGACAGGAAAACGAGACTCTGAATCATCAAGTGATGCTGCTACTAGCCGACGATGATACGACTTCACCAAGACCGCGATCCGACGTCGACTTTGCCAAATATAATCGTCGCAGATCAACATCGTCTACGCAAGGCTCCGACGAGCAGAGTAGGATTCTCGGCGGGGAGTCGCGAACATTCCCTTCGTTGCACTCGCAATAGACGCCTGTACTATATCTGTGAAGTATTGCCCACCGTGTTTTACGAAGTATTTATGATGACGAAGGCAATGTCCGTGGCGCTTTGTGATGCACTCGCATCTCGTAGTCGTTTTGAAGATCACCGTCAGGCACCGGTGACAGGTCTTCAATCGACCCATGACAGCTAGGCTTCGAAGGAATGTGGAACCGTATAAGTTGCGACATTTAAATCTGCCTGACAGTCGGCCAAGTACCACTGTGCCTTGCGCTCAGACGGGACGTGGCTGAGTGTCTCGCCAGCTGCCAGATCGGCGAATTGGCGGAGTATTACTATGTATGAGGAGACAGGACAAGACGGAAATTCAACCTCTTGTCCTGACTGGACAGAAGGTTTGGTCTGAACAGCCATCCAATCCAATCCACCCCTATCGTCGCCTCGACTGTACCGATAGCTTTGCACAGAGACCCTTGAGCATATCTTGACAAGGTCACAGTTCTGGTGTCCTATGCCTAGAATATCCTTGACGAGAAGACCGTGGCCCGCTATTCACAAAACTGTATTGCGCCCAGCATCCCTGCCGTCTCCGCTTACGCCCAGTTCATCACCAAGCTCAACAAGACCTTCCCCCTCCAAGAGAGCATCAATCAGGAGAGGAAGATGATGGGTCTGCCTCCTATGGCCGTCCCTGCATTGCCTGCCAACTGGGTGGTACCTAGGCAGAGGGCGTGTAGGTTTGGGAGCAGGGAGGTCAACTGTTTCAGCTACCAATCGTGTGAGCCCGGTCCATTTGACCGCCTCTAAGTTCATACCAAACAAGACCGTCTTTATCCTTTGCTTCCTCCTCTCGTGCTATCACCTCTTTGGCTTCCTGCTCTACCAAAGTCACCACTTCTGCGACCTAGGCGATGACCAAGGACAGCAAGAAGAGGATTCCCAGACAACTAAAGAAGATCGACCCCAACGCAGCGACTCCTCAATTTGACCCCAATGCAATAATGTGGATGTCAACTCCCAATCCTAAACCCCATGCCTTGGGAATAGGGGAAAGGAGACCAATGGGTCGGATAACCCCTAAGCGCAGGAATAGTGTCGGCCCGAGTATATATCTTGACCTCTTTGGCCTTTCTATCCCCTCTTAACTGCCTCTTGATCCTGCTTCAAACCAACCGGAAGTCCTCGTTTTTGCTCGGTTGGGCATCTTTGAGGTCTTGAGGATCCATGTCCGAGTCTGAGTCGTCAGGGCAATCCAGGTCTATCTCGGAGCCGTTGTCGTCGTCTGTATCCTCCTCTTCAGGATCATCGTCATCATCGGACCCCGGCTCCTCCCCCGCTTCCCCGACTGTTTCCCTCTTTATATCCTGCACAGGAGCAGAAGACTCATAGATGCGAGCCGTCTGGGAGCGAGTCGCCTTGGAGGGAGTCTCCTCAAAGGGAACCTCCTTGATGGACGGGTCTGTCGGGTCGTCTTCGGGCGATTCGGGCTTCGGTTCCTCCACGATCTCTGGGACTTCTGCCCTTGGAGCCAGTACGACTTCCCTTTCCCAAAGACCTGAAACGTCATCCATGCGGGTGAAGCCAGCTATCTCCGTGATGATGCTGCTCCAAGCACGCATGCGTTCATTCCTAGCCAATTGATGGTCCATGTCGTTTTTGCAGTGCCCCTGTTATAGGTGTCACGTGACGTGCCGGGCGCGCCGTACGCGATCTCCGTAGACGACTCCGGCCGGGGGTACTTTTTGGTATTGTTGTTTTGATGTAGAAGTGGTACCGTTGTAATAGCTCTACATCCGTTATTACATTTCGATGTCTACCCATACCTTGCCTCATTCCTGCATCCCATCAGCCTGTCCAGGGGGATCCCCGTCGGGGGTCGCTCCTGGGCCTTACAGGTCCCCCCACCCGGACATCATGAGCCTGAAGTCAGGCGCAAGTTCCAGTCTGAGCTCCCACCCTTCCAATTGTAGGCAAGAGCCTTGTTCCAGCCAGCGAATGATGAAATGATTGTTTGACTGCCTGATCGTAAAGTTGTTGCCCCAACCCATCTCCAAGCATCGCTGCCACAACGCTTCAACGCTTCTCGGTGTTGCCGGAGGATGCATACTAATCCTTCATGACGACACAGCTGAGATGATGGAGAGCTATCCAGATGACGTTCAGGTAAAGGTCATTGCAGCGTGACGTTGACTTGTTAAATCACTTGCGAGCGTTCTATAAGATATAAAATGCTGCTTCTTGCTTCTTGCTTCTTGCTTCTTGCTTCTCGCTTCATGCTTCTTTGTTCTTCGGGCGTGCTGCTGACGTCAACTGACAATCGTCTCGGTTGACGTGATCGACTCGACATTCCAGAGTCATAGCGCTGGTGCAGACGGAGAGGTACCGATGCAAAGCTGAACAGACCGATGCAAAGCTTACAAGACCGATGCAATGCTCAGAGGACCAGTGTAATGAGGATTGCAGCGGTCCATCACAGATGCTCGTCTTCCTTGGGACATGATGTGTATATGTAAGAGCCGAAACATGTCCATCACTCCGCTCAGCTACTACTACTGCGACAATCAGCTACTACCTCCATCAAGCCTGCGGCTGCCATTTGAGTGCGTCCTCGTGCGAGAACAAGACGAGGGCCGTTCTATCATCAGCATTGTCAGTGATCCCATGTATCACGATGGCAGACTTGAAGAGGACGATTGACCCGGGATCATAAGCCAGCTTGTACTGTTGATCTACCGTCCCAAGCACAAGATGACAATTGTCATGCGTTCCGGTGTTGGTGATGCAGACATAGCCGTGCTTGGCGTCCCCCTCGTCGACGTGAGGAGTAACTTGAAGGTTCCAGACCAGAGCCATCCCGAGAAAGGGGCAGGGCAATTCCTGCAAGTAAGTCGTGAGGTCGGCTTGCGTACCTGCTAAGCGATCCATTTGCTGGCGATGATGGGAATATTGCTTGGGATCAAGAATCTTGAACAAGTTGGATATGAATTGAAGAAAAGGCCGAAGTTCGTCGTGAAAGGTTCGGATCGTCCTGTTGGCATAGCAGCCTTTGAGGTTATCGGAAGATACGACAGGACCTCGTCGGGCCTGACCTGTCGCTATCCAATAGGCAAGGTGGAGCACACCTGCATCCGAGCCGTACTTTGCTCGGGCCTATATCGCACGATGATCGAGAACGATCAGCCTGGACCTTGATCTTGAAATTGACATATCACGCACCGCTTTAAGATTGCTGTGTCTGTTATCGCAGCCCTTTGGATCCGGAATTTTTTCTTGGTCGTGCAGGCTCAGCAGCTGGTTCCTGGCCCTGTCGTGGTTCGTTGCTATTGATCCAACCTCGACACAGTGCTTCAATTGCGTCACTCAGACGATGAATGTCGATGTTACTCATGATCCCGCTGATCTTAAAGCCGAGAGGCTTGTGATTGGAAGTCTCCAGCAAGACGGTACCTTCATGCAGAGGTAAGGTAGCGGCGGACTTGTCCCAACCGTCTAGCATCTGGGCCCATACTTCATCGCACGGCCGGGTATCGGAACGTTGGAATGGTACGGTCTTGGCTCCCTTGATAAGGTCGTTCCATGTCTTGGGAACAGTGATGATGGTGTAGTCTTGTTTTTCTAGACGTTTCGTGACGTCCGTGAAGCCGGCGGTCCGATCTCGATGGATAGCAGCAAGTGATTTGCCAAGATCGAGTTGCTTGATTGGGTTCTGTTTCATGGCATAGTCCAAACTCGCCTGGCAATACTGGGATTGCCACTCCTTTTTGACATCCATGGCCATGGCCAAACTGCCGGAAAAGCGCTTGCCTCTGGATATCATGCCGGTGGTGGTGTTGGGCCACAACGTGGGCATAGGGATGGGAATGGCTAATCACTAGACCGTGGCGAGTCAGTGATTGACAATGGAAGCCAATTCCGGGAGAGCTCTCGATACATACTTGTCTGCTCCATATTCTCCATGTCAACGTCTACATCTGCATCAACCAACGTTTCGACATCCATCTCTTTGTCATGTTGATTGGTCCTGGCCCCATGTCCTCCGAGCCCACAATGCTGTTCTGACTTGCCCGACCGATTGTCAAGACTCGAATCGTCCTGGCTCTCTGCGTCGTCAAGCCCCGGGCCGTCCTGGCTCTCTGCGAGACCGTTGTCCCGATTCTCAAGCCCCGAGCCGTCACTGTCGTCCCAATCGTCGTGTACCGAGCCTTGCAGACTTCTCTCTGTGGCTGCTAGGCGTGTCTCTGCGGCTGCTATTGAACCAGCAATGGCGACGTCCACAGCGACTTGATAGGTACGCAAGATAGCCCGTCCGGTGGTGATAGGGTCCTTCTCCAAGGAGGCGGCGACAAGAGCGGATGCTTCGGGAAGGGTGTTTTGTCTTGAGATCTTCCTCAAAGCCAGAAGGATGCTCCAATTAGGTGTAAACTTGAGACTGAACGACCTTCACCAGTTCTCGCCCCATCTGGATTCAAGGATCTGTTCTAGTGATTCCTTGTCCGATATCCCCCTGTTTCTGCGCTTCGCTGCTAACATCTTGCCGTTCAGGACCTCTTGTCCGATGATCATGTCGTAATTATCCCCGAAGACGTCATCAGCCTTTACACAGCAGGCATACGCCTGGTCCATCAAACTATTCGCAAGGTCTTGACGGTTGGGGTGTTTGGCGATCCAGCAGGTAACGAGATCGACCTTGCCTTGGAAACACAGTGACCAGAGGGTGTCGGTATGTACTCGAGTATGTCCGGGACCTTGACCGAGGTGAGGCAGTGTTATAGCATCCGCGGTACGCGTACCAAACGACCGCGTCGGGTAGTTTTACAGGGACCTCCGATGGGAGTTCGGTACGGAGTATATCTAGAACACCCCTATGTGTTTACTACAATGTAGTACTAGTTGTACTACATCCGTTATTACATTCATTACCTTACCCTTACCTTCTAGTCCCGTGTGATACTATTCCAGGCTTGCAGGCAAGCCTAATAGGCAGTCGGTGGATTGATTCATGTTGGAGCCGCAGCAGATCAGATCCTGATGATTATGTATTGTAGGCGTCACGTGACGCGCGACCTACGGTGCGCGTCGCCTCGGGGTCTCGTTCGGAGACCCTCTCGGAGACCCTCTTGGAGACTTGTTAGGAGATGTTCTCGTTGACGTCTAACTAGTACCCTGTAGTAGTTAGACATCTGTTATTACATTACTATGCCTACCGTTACCTTTCCCCAGTCCCGCGACCTTATTACCTCAAGACCAGGCAGGTCGACTGCCAGGCCTTATATTATGGTGGTGGACTGTGGATGGTCGGGCTTCTGTTTTTCAGTGACAATTGCCAAATATCACTGCTGCTTGCTGCTCGCTGTTCAAAGCGAGGTCGGCCGTACCGATCGTGATCGTGATCGTTCACGTTCTTGGCGAGTCTTCCAAGCGATCATGCGATTTGGACCTGCTTGATCCCAGCAATCACCCATCATGCCCAGACTCATGACGCCGTTGGCACTCCTCTATACCACGCTGCCGAAAATCAGATCCAAGTCTTTGATCTCTGCTCCCTCCATGGCGCGATCCAGCCTTGTCGCCAATTCGATCCTAGGTACGTTAGTAGGAAGAAGTCTGTTACGAATACCCAGAATGCGAATCGCATTAGGTGTCGGAATTGGCTTCCTCGAACTCGTGATGTGTCAAGTAGAGGCATAGCTAGTAGAATTAGAAGTGAAGCTAGCATCCCTACAACCCCTAGTAGTTTGTTAGGGATTGACCGAAGAATTGCGTAGTATGGCTAGAGCGTTCTCGTCTTGCAGTGATCTGTCGATGGAATAGGGATCGGTCTTGCCCAGGGAAAGTAAACTGGCGACATGGCTCCCCTCGAGCGATATCTTGCAGGGAACGACCGTTGTTGCAGGATGGGTGCCGGTAACGCTCTCGAGGTCAAGATTGCCGGAGTTGTCCTTCTCGGAGACGACTTGCTCGGGGGGCTTTGCTGAGACAACCGGCATCCTCGAGGCTGTCGCTCTGGCGAATATCGCTCCCAAGTGAGCGGCGAAACGTCATGGTACCATGGGCGACATTGTTCTGGAAGATAATCAGAAGTGCAGAGTCGGCCTGGGCCGAGCTAATCGCTTTCAGGCTATGACCACAAAAGTTCTGCTGTGACGACGTTGGCTTCCCCTGCGCCATGTGGTTCTGCAAGGCTGTCGTAACCTTGGCCCCCACGCTGTCTGTAGGCACAGCAAAGACGTCCAGCTGATGGAAATGGCCTGTGCATACGCGAGAGGCAAAGGAAGCGGCTGGGAACGGGTTGTTAGATGAAGATGTGTTACGGCGGAAGTCGCTAATCGAGATAGGTCCTAAGCCGTAAGGCGTAGGGTGCTTATAGGTGAATCGCAGGTAGTCGGGAGAATGTCGCAAGTCCGCTTAGATGAAGCGGGTTCGGATGCGGGATACGAATCCAGAGATATATGAATAAGGAAGGTGATCACTTGGTGTGAGGTACCGGATTCGGTCTAAGGTAAAACGATGAAACGTAGATACTTAGCGACGTCCTTGAGTTTGTAACCTCTCCGCAACACGTCTTGAAGATGTTGTAACAAGTCAGATAGGCGTGTATTGAATGTGATATCGGAACTTGACCTCTAACTATTACAGAGCGTCCTCTATCGAATTCGGTCAAGTTCCTCTAGCTATTTATACGGAGACGAGTACGTAGACGGGCTGGCGAACACTGAAAAGACCCAAGAGAAAAGAATGGCGAGAGATGGCGAAACTGGAAGAACGAGATGGCGAACAGACGAATCCTGTCGAGAGCAGCCGGATTAGGTAGAGGAGGCGAGTTTGAGTTCTCATTTGTCCCTAGGTACGTCGAGTAAGGTTGTCGAGGTCCTGAGTAGAGTGTCGTGTACCTCGAGGTCCCTGTACCTGTTTGTGATATGTGTCGGGAAGGTTTGTTGTTTCGGTGAATGGTGAAGGCGAATGGTAGGGGCGACCGAATCTGCTCCGAGGGAATCGGATTCGCCTCGTCGAGCCGGACTTAGGTGTATGCTGATGTCCGTAGATCGAGCCTGTGTGTCGGTAGTCGACTCACGTGATGATCCCGTAACAGTATATCCCCCTCCGGAATGGCGCGCCCCGAGCCATCGTGTTTCAAGTATTGATCGCATCAATTTGTTTGATGATTGTCTACGACGCGTTTGTTTTGATTTGATGGCGAGCGAATTTTCCATTTCGCTAAGGCCCATCGACTCGCGTCGAGTGGGGGGTATAAGCCGGATCCGTTTCGATTGAAGCGAATTGTGCACTTCCTTTCTCGAAGATACTCAACGATGCCGTCTCCTGACGTATCTCCCAAGATTGAGGAACGCTCGACTCCTTCTCGAGCCTCGACCGTAAATCCAGGAGACTCGGCTTCTCGTTCGTGCGATTCGAGTCGATTCGGTTCCTTTGCGTGCACTGATCCAGTTCCGCTTTGTGTGTAGAAGTCAACCAAGTCTTTTCCGGAGGAATTTTTGATTTCGAAGAACTCCGCAATATGGACGACACGGACGAGGTCGACCAGAACCTGGCCTCGAATATAAGGGGGCTGTCGGTGACCCGATCGGGGTTGGAAGGTAAGCAGATTCGGTTCCGAAAGGCGGTTTCGTTTCGCTGAACTTGTTGGGTTCTTCGCAGGTGGTGAACCGGCTCGTCGGGAAGGGCTCTACGGGGAAGCTCGTAGGCCGACTGGACGCCCGATATCGGGCGAGGACGTTGCCATGACCGGGCAACCTTTAGCCCCGGTCGACGAGGAACCGGTTGCGGGGCCGAGTGCGGGTGAGTAAAGCGAATCTGCTTGGATTCTGAATCGATAATTGGTAACCTGATACTATGTCTATTCTTGCTCGATTGTAGCTGCCGTGTCGCCGCCCAGGACTCCTCGAGGGAGGTCGATTCAGCGGAGTCGACAAGGCCGACACAGCGCGAGGTCGAGTCGAGGGAGAGGAGCCGCATCGGCGGGTGCGAGGGTCGATGTCGAGAACATCGATTTGGGGGGCGCTCTCGTGCGCCAACGGTCGGTGAGCCCGGAACCCGGTAAGCGTTTTTGTTTGGTTTCTACCGGATCCGGTTCGACGAAGCTAATTTGGATAATCGCGTTCCAGCTCGGCCCACCGACTTCGAGGGCGTACAGCCGACTCGGCGAACGGGTGCAGCGCCTGCCAACTTCTTTGACGACCTGTCGGAGACGAAAAAGAAGAAGAAGAAGGTGGTGACGTCCGAGGATGAAGATTCGGACTACCGCGACAGCGGTGTACCGGGTGAGTCGCCCGACGCGTCTCCAGGGTCAGCGTACGAACGGCAGATCGAGAGTCGCTATCAAAGAGCGTTCGGGACTCCTGAATTTGCTGGTTCGTACTCGGTACCCGTCGATCGAACTCGTTTCGCTGAACCAGATTTGCTTGATTTTAGCCGAAAGCGAGGGGGCCGACTCGATCATCGACATTGGGGATGAGAGCGTGATCAACATCGGCATGGTCGGCACTGAGGGAGACGAGTTGGCGTCGACACCTGAGCCCGAGTGGTGGGATAGTGAGTAATATTCGTATTGTTTAAGCGAAACCGTTTGCTTCGAGCTAATCCGCTTTGTAGCCCACGCTGGTATCGTCAACGCTACCGACCAAGAGATCATCGATCACGAGGCGAGGCCCGGCGAGCCTCCTTTCTCGACTCGAGTTGGGACGGCCAGCGAGGTAAAGACCAGGAGGGCGGTGGTAAGCTCGTTTCGCTTGCGTTTAAGCGGATTCGGCTAAATCTTGTTCGTTCCGGTAGCTGCAATCACGTCGCCTGGCTCGCGCTCAAGCCAAGGAGGGTATCGTGAACGACCCTAAGTGCGAGGACTGCGAGGGCCTCGGGGACGAGGAGTTGAGTTGGGGATGTCGGTCCCGTACGAACGACAAGTCTGGGACTTTGAAGGGTTGTGCGGAGTGCACTGGTCGGCGAAACACGTGTTCGCTTACCGGACAGCCGATTCCGGAACCTCCCGGCCGAGTTCCCAGCCCCAACACCGCGGCTGCTGCGAATGCAGCACAACCGACTACTCCTCCGGCGACGAGTAGTCTGCTTCCTCGAGCTCGATGGGAAGCGCAGGTGGTGAGTCGAATTTGTTTCAACGAACCGAATCTGTTTTAACGCAACCGAATTTGGCAGCAATCGGCCAGAGACCGTATTCAGGATCTACGCCGACATGCTCGAAGATGCGGGCATCAAAAAGGGTCTCTCGAAGGCCTTGGAAGACCTCGACAAGGTCCGGGAGGCGATCGCGGCGGAAGGTGACGCGGCCTTCAAGAGGGTTATCAACCCGTTGCCGGCGCCTACGCCCAAGAAGAGGAAGACCGGAGTCGTGTCGACTCCGAAGGATTCGAAGAAGTCGGGGGGTAAGTCGACTCCGAAGGGCAAGGGGAAGCAGAAGGAAGCGGATCCGGACGAGGACGAGGAAGAGGAAGAGAATGATGGTCGCCCGCCGAAGCGAGCCAAGAAGGATTGAAGCGGTTCCGCTTCGTCTATAATTTGTTTTTGGGTTTTGTATTTTCTTTCAATCCGAGTCGTTTGATACGATGAATCCTATGCGAGCGAGAAGTCCGAGACGAGATCCGGAAGAGTTCAGAACATATGTTTATCCGTATCTCGGTCCAGCCGGGATCGGTTCAATGAAGCGGATTCGGGAAAGCTACTGTTACGGCGACGAGTCCGCCGGGCTGCTGCCCCGGGCTGGTCCGCCGGACGAGTGAGCGGGAGAGAGGCGAGGGTAGGAGTATACATCTATATAGTAATAACGGATGCCCAGCATCCGGTCTTTAGTGATAGTACAATGTTCGAATGTAAACAACAAATACGGCGGAGTCCGCCCTCGGGGTGGCCCGCCGGAACGCGTCTCGGCGCGCCCCGCGTCGCGACCGCGTCGATCTCTAACAGTATCCCCCGTCTAGACACAAACTCCGGATGTGTCAGTCGGTACTCTCCGAACCCCCTTTGCGGTACTCCGACCGGCGTGGGGTTGGCTTCGTCGGGTATTGGCGATGGAACGATATCACGACGTCGTCGTCCCAGTCGAACTCTCCAGCTCCGACCCAATCGTTGTGCGCCATATCGTACCCCTTCCACGAGACGAAGTATTCGACTCGAGCGACTCGACCCTTACGTACTCGGGAATCCAGGATCTCAGCCACCTCGTAAGCAGCCTCTCCGTTGTCGGCTACCTTGGGCGGTGGCGGCGGGTCTACCCGTCGGCTTTCCCTAGTGTTCGCCTTGTACGGTATCAATAGCGATACGTGGAACACGTTGTGCACGCGCCTCATACTGCTAGGCAGCTCCAGTCGTCGGGCAAGGCCCGAGTTTCCCACCTTCTCCGTAATTCGGAACGGGCCGAAGGTCTTCCAATCCAGCTTCCTGCTCGGTCGAACCGTGGTGATGTGCTCAGACGACAACATCACCAGGTCCCCGACCTCGTACCCCTCCGTCGGCACATTCCGTCGCTTGCGATCGGCGTACTTCGCCATATTGGTCCGCGCGAGCTCTAGCGACTTCATAACCTGCTCGCGGACCTCTTCCATACGCTCCCGGAAGGCTGCTGCCGACTCGATGCTCCCCGGGACTTGGCGAAGGGAGAACTTGAAATCTTCTCCTTCGGAGGCCATGAAAGGCGACATCTTGATCGCCGAGTGCCACGCGTTGTTGTAGGCGAATTCCGCCATAGCGATCAACTCCGCCCAATCATCCTGCTGGAAGTTCGTGTAGCTCCGGAGATACTGCTCCAACGTGGAATTGGTCCTCTCCGTCTGTCCGTCAGTCTCGGGGTGGTACGCCGTCGACAGCCGCTGGTTCATCCCGGTGATCTTGCACACGTCCCTCCAGAATCGCGACGTAAACAACGCCCCTCGATCGGTCAACAAATCCTTAGGGTACCCATGGAGCCGCACCCATTCGTTGACGAATATCGACGCCAGCACATGCGTGTCGTCGTCCTTCC